ACTTTCCCTTCCAAGGGAGAACAAAGGTCAAGAACATTGGAATCCGAAGCATCTGTGAAATCCCTAACAATCGATTTTAAATAGCTAAATAGCTGAAACCAATGGGTTTTCCTTTAGTCCAACCGGATGTACGAGCTGCCTATCCGCGATCAATTTACAATATCACTTCCGCCAGGAGTCTGCAAATCTCAAGCTCTTGGTATGATTTGCGTTGCCTGGTTGTGGTTCGTAGTTTGTCAGTCACATCGTCCCATCGGTGAGGACTAAAGCACTCATACGGGCCATGAAAGTATGTGATTGGCTCTGAAATCTTCTGTCAATAGGGGTCAACTGCCCGTTATTTTTAAATTCATACACTACAGTCAGCTCTATCCAAATAGTTTAATAGCATTTTCACATAACAACGCTGCTCAGCGGTTGATAGACGCCAGCGCTAGAATACCGGGAAAAGTGCAGGTGAGCTTCCCCTTGTATGCATGTGTGCACTCCAGATATGTGAGCTAATCTGCCATCCCCTTCCTTGTAGATCCGTACCGGGTATTGGGGAGCCCTGGCATGCCTTTACTGCCATTCTCCGACGCTATGGACCCACTATCATGGCTAGACTAAGCCATTTCTCAAAGAATTCTTTATGTCTCTTTATACTTTTGCAGCCACCTCGTCATTTGATAGTATATATCGACGCGAGGACAAATCTTCAATATTGATGCATTACTATATCGGGCTAATTCCATTATCCAGGTTCTGCCAGTTTCGATGAGGAAATGGTTGAAAGAATCGCGCAGTATGAACCCATACATAGTGTCCCTATTCGCACCTGATTCGGCTATTCTACACCGGCCCCTTCCACTGAGTCAACATTGACCTGTTGGCGCGAGCTAAACTGCCATAAACTTGGAACCAACCTCACCTACTCTTGATTTGTCGCCCGTAAGCTACATCAAGAAAAGAAACACGGGTTTTTAGCCGACGCCATGCTTTAGAGCTACCACTTAAGCCCAAAGGGGCCCCCAGTAATCCCTTCCCTAGCTTCAAGCATAAGCACAAATATAGTAGATCACCCTGAAAACCAGCATAGCAACGGCCAATAACACCCCACAGAATTGGACATGGGGCTGAACCCTGGGAATAGACCATGTGCATCACCATTCAAACTGGGGTGAGGGGTGGTTCTGTTATCTTCTGACAGGTCGCATTGCCATTTGTGTTTCCACCCCTCACATTGGACGGGGCTACAGCGGCTCCTCTAGAACAGCCCCGAATCCCGCACGATCTGGCGGTTGTCGGTGTGATCGTGGCTGATTTGGCTTACATACTGCCGCTGATGGCGCTTTGTTTGCTGATCTGAAAGACTCTTCATGGTCATGAGGGCGGGGGCCGGGAATCTAGACCCCCCTTTTTTCCCCTGGTCGATCGAACTAGGGCGGTTCCAGTGCTGATCAGAAGCGTCAAAGACGCCCGTCTGTGCCCCAGCCCTTTTTTCTTTTCTTGAATGGGGTCTGCGTGACCGTCTGAGCCGTCTTTTTGGCTTCTAGGCGCTGATGTATTTTTGTAGTCGCCCATTCAGGTTCTGGATCCTGGGGTTTTACACTTTATGCTTGATTTCTTTGACAGGCTGTTACCAGGTTTCGGCATTTTGTTGGTATTTGGGCTCGTAGGCTAGGTAATTTTCCCGCCAACCACAGTGTTTGGATTTTAGGGTCGCGACTTTGCGATCGTGATATGACTTTGCTCTTCTGGATTTGAAAGTCTAGAATGATCGACCAAGTCGTTTATTTGGTTCCCAGGTTGTGCGACGAAGTTTTTAAAATATGTCTCGATTGTGGGCCTCCCGGGTAGTTTCTTGATCTATATATATCCACAATGCATGCCAATCGCACTGTAGTAGAGATCTAGAATGAATCAATTCGAGCTTAAGCTCTCAGATATGAAGAACTCGAAAGAAAGTCACCTCCAGGCACGTGGGTATTCTCGTATTCAGCTTCATTCGCGATTGCTTCGAAAATTTGAAGAGAACGGAATAACGGGGACACGAGACATCAACTCTAGACCTCACCTGGTGCCCTATTGAAACAAGGATTTTCAGCCCAGTATGAAAAATTACCTACCAATGCAAATGGTAGTGAGACAAGGATTCCTGTTGGCACATGAAGTTGCATGAAATTTTCAGACAAGAGTATTGTCAGAGAATACAATTACATACGAAGTCGACTGCTGTTTTCAGTCTGAAGTCACCGGAAATGGTCTATTCTAGCAAAGGCGACCGGGCAAACCGATGTGACAATGATCGACGAACGTCAATATGGTAGGGATAAACGACTTGGGCTCTGATGTGTTAACGGTTGACAGGTTCGTCGTCGTGTGACAAGCACAACACCCGAACAAGCGGTATAGAGCGAGAACCGATGACCGAGAGAGCGGCAACTCCGCGGTCTCATTCCCAGCAAAAGCGAACCGTCACGAGAAAGACAAAGAGAGCATAAGACCTTACGACCTAACGATGTGGTTACCGCGAACCGATCGAAGCCACGTCAATCTGCTCGTCCATGTGAGCGAAGGGGGCGGGAAGCGATGAGGCTGATGACCGCCATAACGATTTTGGCCAGAGCGCTTGCATCCTTCTCTTTATCTGCCTTTTGTCTCACCCGTTGGCTTTACACGACCGGTCATCTGAACTGGTTTGTGTCTCCAACTCCAAATGGACCCAGCAGCGCGGCTATGTCGACTAGAGCAGCGCAGAAATAGAAGGTATCCAATGACGAGTCGTCCTATTCGAAATTTGACAAACTCCGGAGGCCGCGCCTTTCATCCCGCACTGGAACGCAGCAGCCACATAACCACCTTCCCGCCGGAGAAGCAGGTCTCACAGATTCCAATCTTGTCCCGATGAAAGAAAAAGAAAAAAGCTCACCAGATCAGACTTGCGTACCTGTCAATGCGGTCACACCGGAGGATGAGTTTACATCTGGACCGATGCCAGAGCTTCAACCCAAATCTATTCCTGATGCATGCAACTTCGAGCTGACATTGCTGGTGGCGTCCATAGACTGCCTGCAGCCCTTTTCAGCCCGACCTACCACAAGACTTGGGCTACTTTTATTTGATCCGCAGTTGCCGATGTGTTTTTGGCGCCATCCTAGAGATTGTGCGATAAGGTCATCTCCACATGAAATGGCATGATTTGGAGATTTTCCTCCCTGTTGATATTCCAGAGCAAATTCTCCGAGTATAAGTATAAGTGTTAATTAGTGTTATAAAAGTTTCTTTATAGTCCCTACGAGAGCGTAAAATGGCTACACTTGCGAATCGCCCTATCGCTTTGGGACCTAGATTGAACCCTTCCAGATATTGGTTGACATGAGAATGGAAAAAAGCCATCTCGATCTGAATCGAAAGCAATAGAAGCGATCTAGACCATTATACCGGTTCCACAATGCCACATTTCGGATAAATCACTGAGCCGCAGTGGTGGGCGGTTTTCAAAACTCTGTGAACCACGAGTCGCGGGGAACTGGGGTCATACTTCCCCCACGCGGTGTCACCTCTCCAGGCCAGATCAAACCCTGGATCTTCATAGTCAAAATATAGGGAAGAGTTTGGTAGGATGTTGTACTTCTGTCCTTGGAATACTACGCAATCGAAACCAAAATCAGGAAGCAGTCTACGCATTGAAAGCGATGCATGGTTTATTGATGGGAAACGCAGTGCTCCTCTGGTGACTGACCCACCACGATATTACAATTCGGCCGTCCTGGTCAACAGACAATGTATCGTTATACTACGCATCAAACTCCACCCCTTCCCATAGGCCCGACAGTTGACCATAAACGACATTTCCAGAACACAGGAAGCACAAGAAGGGTCAAGCTTCTGAGACCGGTGATCGTTGTCTGACGTTGATTTAAATCAGCCTTTACGACATGCTCAAAGTTCGGATGGATTCTCTTCCTTGCCTGATCCGGTTCTCTAGTGATACAGATTACCTCATTTCAGTTCTTCAGCAACCTGATTTCCTGTCGCCCTAAACGAAAAGCAGGTACCCCCTCCAAGCGATATTTCCAAAGCTAACCCCCACGGAGGCCGAACAAGGATGACAAGTCGCATGTGAAAAGTTTGTCCAATTTCAGATTCGCGTTTCCGATCTAACAGAAAAACGAGTAACAGAAGGATCTGATCCCTTCCACATCTGTTTTGGAGTCGCACAAGAAGGCGCTCACCTCCTCACGAGACTATTTCAGTTGCTTATTCTACACAAGAGACATGTCATAGCTAAAGTCACTTGCGACCAGCCCGAGGTTGGTCGATGTGCGTGTGCTTCATTTCGTATCTGCGGTGGTCCCTCGGCATTACCTGTAACCTCGTGAACGCACTGGGTTTATACATGCGGGTCCTGAGGAACACGGACCCCCACGTCGATTTGTCCTTGTGTAATGGATCTGATGGTATATCGTAGATGGGCAATGGGTTTGAGAGGGGGTTTAAAGTCTACTCACTGCTGCCTTTTTGTTGTCGCACGGAGCCCTGTGCACATTCAAACTTTTAGTTGAAGGGTGTAAGTACTTGGACAGGGTACCAGATTAGAAAGAAAGCCTATCTACAAAAGTATGTAGGAAAAAGTTAGTTTGTTGAATCAATTAGGTAAAAGATACACAAAGGACGACGACGAGCATGGACAAATGTAAACATTCCCGCTCAAATCAAAGAGGTCATGTCACAGAGTGAGATTTTACGGTGGCTATTCATTTGGTACCTAATATGGTTGATCGACCCGGGTGATCAAGCCTCGGAAGTATGCTTGATCTAGATTACTTGACTAGGGCTGACCAAGAGAGATAATGAGAGATCATCATAAGTCTTTTTCTCATTGCAACTCAGAATGCTCTAAGGGACCATTTTTTACATAGGACGTCCGAACAGATTCTTAATCTTTTTTTTGTTTTCCGCTGACAGACCAGAAAGACTTCAGCGCTGTCTATCAGGTATTAGAATGTGCGGTTAACCTAAAATTCAGCTTCGTCATCACCAGAGATGATAACATTGTTGATCTAGACATGTATTAGCACAGTATACACTGGAGAAATGGGTCAGTCCACAGTACCTTGAGAACCATGCGGCAAAGCTGAGTAGCAAGCAGAAGCTGCTGGCGCTTGCCAATCAGGGGGTCAATAGCGAAGTGTTCTCTCATATCTTTAAGAATTACATTAGCCACCAAACGGGTTACGGAAGATGGGTTAGGCTTACCGTTGCTACCGGTCATCATGCAGTCGACACCAAGGCGGGTGTTCTTCTCCTTGACCTGGCGGGACTTGACGGAGGCAAGGGTCTCAATAGGGCTCAAACCAGAGTTCTCGGACAGGGCCAAGGGCACGGCGTCCAAGGCATCAGCGAAGGCGCGCATAGCGTACTGCTCAATGCCGGGGCTCTGTAGATTTAAAGATTAGCCCAGTCCATATAATAGTAGATGTGGTAATAACGAACCTTGACAGCGGCATCTTCAACGGCAATTGAACAAGCAATCTCAGCAGCACCACCACCGTAAACAACACGGTTGTCACGAACTAAGTTGCGCACCACACAGAGGGCATCGTGTAGTGATCGCTTAGCCTCATCAATGATCTGTGAAAGTGATTAGTAATGGTACATATAATCAAATTGAGAACAGTTTTTACCATCTTGTTGCTACCACGGATAAAGACAGTGACAGCCCGGCTGTTGGCGCACTCTTCAATGACCAGCATCTTTTCTCTTGTGGTGCCGAAAGTCATCTCACGAACAAGACCGGCGGTACCCAGCTTGTCTGCGGTCAGATCCTCGAAACGGGGCACAATGCGACCGTTTGTAGCAATGGCAATCAGCTCGATCTCGGGGCCACCGACCCATCGGACGGCAGGAAGCTTGTTCTGGAGGAGCAAGTGGTTGGCCTCATCATCGAAACCCCACTGACAGATGACCAGGTTGGCACCTGAGTCCTTGAGCTGCTGGATCATCTCCGTGAATTTCTCGTGCTCGTAATCCTGGAGCTTCTTGAACTCCTCCACCGAGGTGATGTCAAGCTTGTGCTTAGTCTTGGGCTTCGGGGGCTCGAACGGACAGGTCAGAATAGCCAACTTGGCGTCGCGAACCTCATCGGGCATCTGAGGGTGAGAGAAGTCCTTGTCGACGATCACACCCTTGACAAGAAGAGAGTCCTCGAGGGCTCCACCGACCTTACCGTCGACCTTGATCAACTCGAAGTCGACGTCTTTGCGCTCGAAATCAGCAACGGAGAGAACGGCATCCACGGCAATCTGGGCAAACTGATCATGAGACTTAGAAACACTAAAGGAGGGTTAGTTGAGGAACAATAGAGGCTGGAGATAGTTAGAGCATACATTTTGCTGCCCAAACTGGTCTTGGCAACCTTGAGCAGGTTGCTAGTGTCGTCCTTGGAGAAGGGAATGTGATCACTGATTCTCTCGAGCTCCGCGAGGGCGATCTCGCAGGCTTGGTCGTAACCGTCGGCTATCCGAATGGGGTGGATACCCTTATCAATCAAATCCGAAGCCTGTTCCAGCATGGCCGCAGCCAATACCACCACACCAGTTGTGCCATCACCAATCTCCTCATCCTGTGACTTCGAGAGTTCAACAAGCAGCTTGGCAACGTTGTTTGTAATGTCCATCTGTATATTTCGTCGTATTAGTGCCATCGCATGGTAGGTATAATAGGGGGCCGGGAGAGCGGACCTGGCCGAGAATGGTTGCACCGTCGTTGGTGACTGTGATATCGCCGTCGGGGGAAATAAGAATCTTGTCCAAGCCACGGGGACCCTATCTTGGTATTAACACTTGATCCGGTCGTTAATTTCCAATGTCCATACCAGAGAAGTCTTCACAATGTTGGCAACGGTCTTAGCGGCCACAATGTGCGACTTCACAGCCTCAGTGCCATGTTGTCTCTTCTTCTTTCCTTGGCTGAACGAGAGAAATTCCAATTGTCAGTTTCAATAATCTTCATTTCACATTTGTCGGATTGAGATATTCGAGGCGTATAGGGGGTATAGCGGAAGACGTACTCGCGAACCACGATAAATGGGCGACCCTGCTCATCCTTCAACACCGAAGCTACCCTTGAGTATTAGTACATAGTGATCCTAAGTCAAGCGTGAGAGTCGATTGGATGGTAATCACCTTGAGAAAGATCAAGCTCTGCGAGTGCAAAAGTCAGGGTCAGTAACCAGCACAAATAGTGAGGGGCATTCGGGGAGGGACAAGTAAAAGGGGAGAAAGAACATACGCATCGCCATTTTGACGGTAAACAGCCCTCAAGGGATCAACCGAGAGAGGTAAAAGAGAAAAAGGAGATCGAGAAAGAAGAAGTTCCAACCAAACTTCGACGTTGATAACAAAATGCGGAGGGGGTTTGAAGCTCTGCGGTGAAATGCGTTCACAAATTAAATTCGGGTCGCTCAATCGGGCTTAGCGTGGTGTTGTCCGCCTTTCAGCTTCCCACGCGCGACATTGTCTCTCCAGCTTCATTGTGTGCACTCAATTGCTCATTGCTACTCCATTGTTGAGGCGCTGTGCCTCTTACCGTCAAGCTGTTTTCTCGTCTTTTCAATCGCTCTGCTGCCAGGTCCCAAATGCCGCGTGAGTTGACGCGCTTTGTTTGGTCCGGTTGCGCGCATCCGCTAACCTAAGACCCCATTAGCTCCGGTCGAAGATACTTCTGACGAAGAAGCGGGAGACATTCCGTTCAACACTGCCAAAGATGATACCCCTGAGAGTACCTCTGGTGTGAAGAAAGATCAGAGTGAAGACGGGAAAAACGATGTCAAGAAGGCAAATGGAGACGACTCCAGTGAGGATGAAGAAGACGAGGAGGGCGTGTAAGTCTACGAGCTTTATTCCGCGGGTTCAATTTATCTGATTTGCTACAGTTACGTCGTCGAATCAATCCTCACTCACGACTTCTTAAAGGTAAGTCTCTCAACCCTATCTGGTTCAGACAATCGTGCTGATTATACCCAGGGAACCCTCTTACTGCACGTGAAATGGAAGGGATATGACAAGGTAGAAGATATGACCTGGGAGCCTGAGGAGAACCTGCTGTATGTACATGAATATCTGGATGGATGGAATCTAGGTAATTGCGCAAGTACTCATAGATGATTCTAGGGATGGTGCTCATGATATTCTGGCGGCATACTATAAAAAGATCGGTGGGCGGCCGCAGAAGCCTTCGCCGCAGACTCCAGCAAAGGCGGGTCCGGGCCGTAAGCGCAAGTCAATGGGCGAATCCAAGGTAGCGCCAGTTGAAGCCCCGAAATCTGAGACCAAGAGGCGACGAAAATCGGCAGCCCAGACTCAGGCTTCGGAGACTCCGGCCTTGACAGAGGACAACAGTGAGAACGAGGATCAGACCGACTGGGTTCCCGCGGGAAAAAACTGGGACAAGGAACTGGATGCCGTTGATACGATTGTTCGCGACCCGGAAAGCCAGGGTCTTTTTGTGTTATTGGTATGGAAGAACGGCAAAAAATCACGGGTTTCCATCGAGACTTGTTACGAGAAGTGTCCACAGAAGGTCAGTCACCTTCCCTCTCAGCAGGCGATGCCCATGGCTAATCCGACTTTTAGATGCTGAAGTTTTACGAAAGTCACCTGGTGTTCAAGGATACTTGAATGCGCCACTCTGTGTTCTATGCTCGCCTGGAACAGACATTACGGTTGTAGCCGAATAGCAGATAGCAAAAATCTTCCAGGATTTGTCTGGAAATCATTCTCACGGAGCTTAGCTGGAGTTGGGGCCTTGTGTATTTCTCTCTTTTTGTGATGGCCAGTTTTCACGTTGCAACATCGGAGACAAGTTGTACTGATGTTTATTTCTCGGAGTTATTCAGTCATGGGTATTTTGTCATTTAAGTGGATTGAGATACCAAACGTGCATACTTCTATTTGCTTTTACTTTGAAAGAAACCATCTCGATGTGATTTCAGACACTCATAAATACTTTACGATTAGGCTGCGATATTCTATTCTCTAGAAGATTTGCTACATGTAGGCTGTTTTAACTTGACTGGAGACAATTTGGATTTCTCCTATATACGCCTGCCGAGGTGCTCAAGTGGTTTTGGGTCGAGTAGCTCGGTACCGCTGGTGCACTTTGCTCGCGTATACCCAGGGATACCTACCTGACACACATGGCTAATTAGGTACGTGTGAAACGTCATGTCTGTAAATTTGTGGCTTAGAACTGTATAGGAGCTTCCATACATTACTAGTCAGGGTAGAAGAGCGTACATGTAAGAATTCTCAATCGTTACTACAAATTTTCTGCTTCCAGATTTCATTTCATGGCTTCAAGCAAGCCGTGGGTATCATATTAAAGAACGGATCTAGTCACTCATTAGCCTTAAGAATTCAAATCTAGCCTCGCATAATTCTTCGCCGTGTTTCTTGAATAAACGTTCAATGTCATGCTGATCTCCGCCTTGAAGGCATTTATCGTCCTCCATCGTCCATACTCCCGGCATATCATGGGGAATACCCTTTCCAGCTGCGAATTGCTCTAGCAGCTTGTCGGCGTATTCTGTATTCATGCTTGTGCGTTGCAATACATCAAGTATGATTCGCAATTCCACATTGCCCCGGGCTAGCCGAGCGTCAATCCAGCTGTCAATGTCTGGATAAATTTCTTGATCGTCCTCATTTCCTCTTTCGTTCTCATCTTGCTCCGGCTCTGGGCTGGATGGGTGAAATGGCATCTCCAGAAGTAGAGCGTTGGCAATATTGATCTCATTAATAGATCGGACTGCCTGAATCTGCTCTGGATTTGGACTAGCCAGTGGAGTTGGCTTTCCCCAAAGTAGGGCGTTGATTATATCAGTCTCATTCTGAGATTGGGTAGCCAGGTTTTGCTCTGGCTCTGGAGTCGATGGAAAAAACGGCATCTCCAGAAATAGTGGATTCACCACAACGTTGGCCTTATTTTGAGGTTGGGTAGCTTCATTCTGCTCTGGCTCTGTTTCATTTTGTGAATGTGCCGGTTGCCTAGTAGTGATAGCCTCCGGGGGATTTTGTTGGGGCTGACTGGTTTGTGAAGACATCGCGGGACTTGACAAGGGACTAGATAACCGCATTTGTGAACCGCGCGGTTTTAAACCACTGTTGTTGGAAACAGTAAGAGCCATGGAATCCATAGCGTCCGATGTTTTCATTAATCTTCTCTTGGGAGAAGACGCACCCTTTTCACTACGCCGGCGTGAAGGCGATTCACTGGTGAATTTCCGCTTCCTTTTGGCGTAACCTAAGTCAGTTGGCCTTGACGTAGGAGACTTAGGAAGGACTCGCTGATTTAATTCTGCGGGAACGCGCAATGATGCTGGCTTTGGTTCTAGTGCTGGTTCTGCGGCAGGGTGTAGTGGCAAACGGGGCCCTTGTCCGATAGACAAGTCTGGTTTCGGCTCTCCACCACCAGGGCGAGGGCCCCCACGGAGAATTTTGACATATCGAGAGCGCCATGATTGATATGTATGATGTGGGTACTATATATTGAAAATTAGTGTTGCAATGAGATGAAACTAATCTACGTGCAGCATACCTTCTCTGCGAGTGCCTTGTAGATGGAGTTCCCCGAAACTCCTGCATTGTCTAATTCATAGGGGTGCACCCAGTCATAGAGAATTTGGTCGTCCTTCAAGGTATACTCCAATCGGGTGGTTTTTTTGGGAATGTTAGATGCGCCCACAGGTCTTTGGGCCGAAGGACCAGCCCGATAAGGCTCGAGATCTTCGCGTTTCCCATTCTGCACGGAGCGTTCCACAAATTGATAGGAGTACCTGCGGAAACAATTAGTCACTTGCTTTGCCCATTGGAGGAGTTCGGGGAGGGGTTAAAATGCCATACGAATCAGCGGGGAGATTCTTTTTCCTATGATCGACTATTTTGATTTCTGCATCTTTCTCGTCCAGCACGACCGTGCCGCCATGGCTCTGTGATAATAGTCAGGCATTCCATCTATTGAATGAAGATTTGAACTACGGACATACCCTGATACTAGCTTTCAACATTGTGCGCTGAGGGACTTGTTGTGAGACCCAGAACTTCTTCTGATCGAAGAGGTTGCGGGTCTGCACATCCTGGGCTGGGAGAACCATCTTGCCAGGCCGAGATGTCAACCAGAGTGTTTGAGATTGGCTGTCGATGGTAATTATCTTTTTACAGGTGAGTTATCAAAGGCCTTCGACGCGTTATCACGTGTCACCGTGTTATGCAGGTGGTAGGCATGTTCTCTCGCAAGGTGAAGTTGACCAAATTGGCATGAGCCCCAGAGAGAAAAAGCTGTAAGTCGAAGAATTAAGCCACAATCTTGAAAGCGAAGCCTGGCATTCCCCGTATGGTGAGGAGATGTGAAAGTCTAGATCCACCGGCAGCTCGCGTTTGTGATGGCCCCACGTGACCCCCAGCACCACCAGTCAACGGCCGCGGCGGGAAACATAGTCAAGTCAACATTCTCACCCTAGGAACAGAAACAAGTTCCATGGGTGTCGATGATGGAACCGTGATATTCAAGTTTTGATTCTTGTTTCCCACCGGTTTTAGGTGTCTTGAGTTGGCCATTAGGCCCAGAGACCTGTGGCCGGCTCTACCACAATGGGGGTTATCCGTACTATCGCGCTGACAGTCTTGGGTATCTCAGTATTTGTTTTCATCACGCTATTTGGGCGCCTGCCCGCTTTCAGGTAGGTGAAAAAGCCTGACGAGAACGGGGCTATAGCTTATAGTTCTACGAAGGAAAACACCGATCGCCTTCTTACACCGGGTCGTGTGGGTACACATACCCAACGGGGTTGCCTTCCTCGACTTCCATCTGTTTGGTGGACGTCTAATGCGAGCATGGACACGATCAGGTAGCTATATGTGGAATGAAAACCACCCCGTGATCCTGGTCAGCAGCCGTTGTCGAACCTTATAGGTGACTGTTTCTAATATTGCAGTATAGATCTTTTTTGTGGGCCTGCTCGCCATAGGGGAAGCTGTTTTTCTTCCACCAGCGTGGCCTCGCATGCCAGGCGTTCATAAGCCGTGGGTTCCCGTGGTTGTGATCTTACCCTATGTACTACTGTACAAATGTGTGACGACCAAGTCGTTTATCACACCCGAGAATCATGATCAAGAGATGAAGCGGTACCCGTATGATCGGGTGCTTTTCCATCCAGGTCATCGTTGTCGAACCTGTGATCTGCCTAAACCGCCACGCAGCAAACATTGCAACATCTGCAAAGGCTGCGTTTCTCGACATGACCACCACTGTGTCTGGCTCATGAATTGTGTTGGCGCCAATAATTATGTCTATTTCATGTCGTTACTACTCTCCTTGACAATTTTATTGGTCTATGGAACCTTTGTCGGTTATCAGCTCTTGTGCCAAACACTCGAGACACGGGTGACGGCAGAGGGGAAAGCAGCCATGAAAGGTTGGACAATGTACTTCCATATTTGGGCACTTGTGATCACTGCCGATTACAAGATTGGTACTGTCACCTTACTTATGCTGATGACTGCGCCGCTAGCGGCCGCCTTCTTGATCTACCATAGCTACCTGGTTTGGGCTGGCACTACGACCAACGAAAGTGCCAAATGGTCAGACTTGAAAGACGACGTCGAGGATGGATTTGTGTTCAAAGCAAAGCGGTCCCAAATTGAAAATGCACCACCCTATACGGATTTTGGCGATGAGCCTTGGCCGGTACAAAGTGACCAGATTTTGGTCACGGATGATGATCCGCCAATGGAGGGATATGTTTTAGAAGCAGATTCAAATCGTGTCCATTACAATTGTACTGGAGAGGTGCCAATTGATTCACGGTGGAGGCCAGTCCATAGTATGAATGAGCTGGATAATATCTATGACATTGGATTTTGGGGCAACTTCAAAGATGCTATGGGAATGTCGGTGAGGCAGAAAACGTGTATATAAACTTATTTGTGGTTCATATGAAAATACGGAAGATACGAAGGAATTACCTATTGCACCAAATTCTGGACGACCTCAAAAGTCAACTGAGGTTTCATTCATACTTTGTTTGACCTATGTTTTTTGGACGGCCAATCGAGCCCACGCACCACCGCGAAAGAAAAAAAGAAGAAGGAAAAAAAAGAGATGCGTGCTGCAGGACTCGAACCTGCGCAACTTTCGTTACTGGGATTTCCAAACTCCGTTGAACGGTGCTTAAGCTTTGCTTGAATCCAGCGCCTTAACCGCTCGGCCAAACACGCGGTGTTATGTAAACTTTCGTGTCATATAATATAAGATAGAGGATTTGACCGCCCATATAAGTCAACACGCTAGTTCTAATTTAGGGATGATCAGTGACTTCCCCGCGGGCGGTGAACGGGGCGGTAGGAAATATGATCTTCAATCAAATTGATTACATCCCACCTTGGATTTGACTGTGCTCGCTGTTACCTCTGGACGCCAAAATGGCTGACCCCAAACCATTATGTACACCGCCAGAGCTGATGCTCAAGGTGATACTAGCTGGGACCTTGAGCCACTATGAAGCCCGGGGTATGATTGATGACAAACGCCTAGAGCACATGCTGGCTGCTGGAAAGCAAATCTTGTACAAAACACACCAAGAGAGCGAAGTTCGGTATGTTATCTTATGGGAATTTTTCGGCTGAATATTTCATATGTACTGACATTAACACCTCTCAGGCATAACCTCGGTATGTCCCCAGACATCTGGCAGGGCCTCACAGATGTCCTGACAAAGGCGATTCCGGTCCTCGAGTCGCAGTCATTCGCGTGGAAGAGCCCATCCGCCACCTATGAACATTCCTCCTCAAATCTCATCGCATACAATTATTTTTCGCTGGTAAAGGACATTGAACGTCTTAACGACCTGTGCACAATTGCGCGGAATTTGCTCGCCACCACCAAGAAGGCACAGAATCTGGCAGCTGCAAAAGGCTTCGACCAGAGAATTCTCGCCTTGATTGATACATGTGTGCGAGTGACAGCTAGAGGATTTGACGGCGAGACAAATGCCCGCAATGAGGAGCGTTGGCAAAAGGTAGTCAATCTTTACAAGCGCCTGCTGATAACTTGCCTCCAATATCTGCATAATTTCATTATGCACAATGAGCAACGAAAGATGGTCCTTTGGTTGGATCTTTTCGGATATCACTCCACTGCCGATACAAATATCATCAAGCCCAAAGACGCATTGGACCCTACCGCTCGGGCCGAGGGGGTTGCGCCTGTTGTGAAGATAGGAGAGCGCGTAATTAACCCACCCATCCGGGCATTATATGACCAAACTGCCGAAGACCTGCTACTGGAAACTATCGCCAAGTTTCCACGTGAACCTTCTACAATTAAGGAAGAAGCTGCTATGCTACTCTTGGCGAACATCAAGGATCACATGGAGAAAATTCTGGGGCGGGATCTAACTGATATTCAAGAGATGGGAAGAGATCCGGAGCAAGTCAAATACATACGCGCTGCTTTAACCTCAATCCTGGGAGCGAAAGTGGATGGGTGGTCTGATCTCCAGGATCGAGCTCGCGAAATGCCACCTGCACTAACGGAAGAAGATGAGCATGGGCCAACAAAAAAGAAGACCATCCTAACCATTGACCGCAGCATGACCGCTGGATTCCCGCGTTTGTGTTGGGCTGATTTGCCCGAGGTCGACGATTATTTGTTAGATTGCCCTGTGTCAGAGGAAGATACCAGCATGCCTCGGACGTCTCAATCTGCAGCGGAGACCCTGCAGGAGGCTAAGGATGAATTGATGGCGCGCCTGCAGGAGTCATCCCACCTCGGCGATGGTGATGCGGATTACGACACGGCCGATGCAGGAACAGTGGGTGATGATGATTCTCACAGCCTGGAAGGCCACGCGGATGGAAGCATCGAAGGAGACGAAGATGATGAGGGAGATGATGTTGATGGTCCTGATGACGGTGCGGAGGTGGATGATGAAGAAGATGACGATGACTACCGTGGCCGCCCCGGCGATCAACAACGGGGTCTCTTGACCGACATCCCTCTTGTCTTGGGCCCTGCTGAGATTGAGGCACTGCCCATGATTGTTCAAGCAGGAATAGTGGACAGCTTTGGACTCAAGGGCGGGGAAAGGAACGGTTCGCGGAACATGCAGGCTCTCCGGTGCCATACTCTCCTTGCACAGGAGACGGGTCGCAACTTGCTCCGTGAGCTTTTGATATTCATCGCAGCCTGGGACCTTCCTGATGACGAGCTTTATTTCAAGATGATGGTCCAGATCATGGAAGCTGTGCTACGTAACGGACTCATGTCGGCTGCCTACTCTGACTTCGGTCAGCCCAAAGATATCATTTCACCAGCCCAGGCAGTAGTGATAAAGATACTCACTCACATCTTCCGTGCCAAATACTCTCCAGCCTCGGTGACCGGCTCATCTCAAAATAACACCCCTCGGACCCCATCGCCGCTCAGCCGGGTTGATATTCTCACCGTCCGATACATTTTTACCATCTTCCGTGGCAATATCATCCCGGAAACATGTGCTCTGATCTATCTTCAAGGCCAGATTCGCGCGGACCGTGCCCTTCCAGAAGACTTCCCGCTCAACTTGTGGGACATGGAACGGGTCTACGAGGGTGTATATCAGTTCCTCGAGTTCTTCGCCGTCCTGACCGAGAATAACGACTGGAAGAACCTGCTGGTGAAATGGGAAATTGTCTATGACTTGGTAACTCTGATCAAGGAGCTAGAGGCCAGTATCCCTAAGGGTCAACTTAACTCTCTATCATATGGTTCAGTTCCTCCCCCACCACCACCTCCACCTCGTAGCACCTCACCAGACGAGCAGTCACCTTCGTCACCGGCTCCAGTTGCCGTTGAGCGTCCTTATGACCCAGGCGACCCTGATCCTATTGACAACGTTGCTGGCAGCGTCGACTCGCGTCCGGAATCTCCTCCGATCACCGAAGACCCCTCGGAATTTGAATGGCGGAATCTTAAGAAATTGGTTGTTTTGGTCCTTTCGTCATTGGTCTGGAAATGCCCCGAGGTCCAGGAGCAGATTCGTCGTTACGGTGGTGTCGAGGCTATTTTATCATGTACTAACTTTGACACCAATAATCTCTACATCAAGGAGCATGCAGTTATGTGCTTGAAGTTCTTGTTGGAGGGCAACCGCGAGAATCAGCGTCTGGTGGAGGAGCTGGAAGCTCGGGAGGTTGTCAGCAATGATGGTGGCATTTTGGAGAAGAATGGCTATGAGGCTATGATCAACCAGGCTGGTAAACTTGCCATTCGAGCCAAAGAGACCAACAAATAGGGAATAAAAATTCCACCTTGGTTTTTGGCTGAATGTTTTCAGATTTGGATCCCCAGTACATAGCTCCCAAAAGGAAAATTTTTACCGTTTCCAACGGATACATCAATGAATTCCCCTTGTAGCTATCCATGTCTCTAAGTAACCGCATCAGCCCTGGAGGTCTCATCAATATCGCCCAAAATATCTAAGTATCTTTTTGGCATGACTCTTGACGATCCCTACTTCCCCACATCTGGAACGCGCTTGGGCGCGGGGTATACATCCACTCAATCCGGATAGGTGGAAATACTCTTAGATCTGCATTTCTAGCTGAAGCCCTTCTCCATCAGGTCGGCAAAATACTGAAGTGCGGAAGATCCGTCGTCATTTCGTCATTGACGAGGACATGACCGGCGAACCCGGAGAAAAACAGCGCTCTAAGATAGGCGATCCCGGATAAGCATGAACATCGCCGTGCAGAAGGCAGATAAAGAATAGTGGCTTCAAACTAGCCCGTATCGGGAAGCTCTTAAGCAGAATTAACGAAACTAAAGCATGCAGAATGATAACTATCGTGCCGGAATCCGGCAAAATTTCGGCAAATGATCGTCCCATGTTGATGCCCCAGAAGCCAAGTATTCAAATAGAGCTAACATGTCCGAGCCAAAGATAGTGGGATTTTGAAAGGTACCTTAAGGGGTTTCCCACTTTCCTGGCATTTTGGGATTCACACAATTGCCCTCAGATTGGACAGAGTACACAAGCTCAAGCATCGTGATGAAGCTAACAACCGCCTTCTTGGGCTTGAATGTAGCCCAGATTGTAATGGCATCAGCTATGCCATCCTATCCTGGACGTGCCAACTTGACTGTGACGACATATGCTGATGATATGTTCAATACCGCAATTGAATGGAACGACGGCTTCTGGGACGAAGAGGCAGGCTTCCTGATTGCAGCAGCTAGCAATGACGGTCGTTACGACACGCGACACAGCGGCTGGTACGCAACCCAATTATTGGCCAGAAATGGACCCGGAGATGTTGCTCGAGCTGTGCGCATTTTTGACAATGTTATCTCGGGGCAATACCTTAATTCTGCTTGGCAATGGTACGGCGATTACCAACACTCGCCGTCGGAGCCCGAGCCTGGAACTCCTGAATACGCCAATGGCGGACCGTATACATCAGTAAGATGATCTTATTATATCTCATTCATGTTAACCTGTATTAGCTAAACAGCATTGCTAGTGGGATCCTAACATCCGGGACTTTGTAGGCTGTGCTTGGCTCATGGCTCTCAGTGATTATGAGCATCTACTCCCAGCGGCGACGGTCGCCAAGATTGAGAAATCGCTCCTCCTTGCGGCAAAGGGGGACCTATACCGTGTTGGTGGAGTTGACGGCGATAACCTTTACCCCTGCTATTCGAATCCATGGTTGATGGGGACAATCCTGGTTAGCTGGATTGGTACACGATTGGGCGATAAAAACTTGACACAGGCTGGAGAGAATTCTGCACAGGAATTTTACGATCTCTGGAGCCAGCATCGTACTCTTTCTGAATTCAACTCCCCAACATATGCCGGTGTCTCCATGTGGGCCTTGTCTCTATGGAGCAAATATGCTGCAGAGGGCAGTCTATTGAAGAAATACGCCCCCGAGGTCTTGACCACGACCTGGAACGATATTTCCCAATTCTACAATGCGAATCTAAAGAACCTTGCTGGTCCCTGGGACCGCACTTATGGCTACAACATGAAGGAATACACGTCTTTGGTTGGCGCTCTGATCTGGGGAGCTGTAGGACGCGAACATGCTCCATTCCCGCAACGAACATCGGGCATGTATCATCAAGATGATTTTGCCTTCTACCCACTCTTTGCCCTCAGCATGCCAGAGATGCTGAAATACCTCTCCGCGGAATCGAAGTCGAGCTTCGTCAAGTTCCCCGGGGAGCACTTCTTTACCGGCCAGGCTTATTCTCCACCATTCGACACCTATCCGCGGAACATCACTACTTGGATGTCTAAGAATATCACCATTGGTGCGGAGACTGTTGCTGAACATGTTATTGGAGGGCCAGCAAAGAGCACTTCTGCGTTTAGCCCTGCTGTTATTCAGTGGACTATCGACAACTACCAGATTGGATGTGTCTCGCACTGGGTGACCGAGTCTTCTATTCATGCTGTGGCTTCTCCAAAGGCTTTGAAAATCTCCTATCCAAATGCCACTGCATCAAATGGTCCCGTGTCCTTCAACTTCTTATTCAGTGGTCTCAATGTTCGAAATGGCTTTAATGTGACTGGACTCGAGGGCTTGCCTGGTCTACCTCTGGAGGTCAAGACTAATGCGGGTGCGGATTACAGTATCGTCTATAACACAGATCAGACTGTGAATGACTTTATTTTTTACAATATTACTTATACGATGCCAGAGCATTTCACCGAGGAGCCTTATATCTCTCTCCGAGTTGTTTGAGCTTTTGAATGTGACTTGAAATTATGTTGCCAAATCAACTTATTTATTATCTCTAGTAGCAAAAGCTCCGAGACCACTTCATGGAAGTCTGATTAGAGAACGAAGCCTTAAATAAATTGGTTATAGTGACTTTGGCAGTTGAAGAGTATGCGATCGAATACTAAAGAAGCTCCGCGCACGGTCCAATCACGTTCCCCGCGCCGCGTTATCGCTTTGCTGCCTCCGATCCGCAACTTGCAATTGCTCTGTGTTCCTTCACTCAATTCCTCTACTTTACTTCTCGTCACACCAAAAGGAATACAAGCGCAAATAACTCGGTGTCACAAACCTTCACCACAAGACGGGATCTCCCCGCGCACTTTACACTCTCCTCGCCGTGACCCACTCGGAAAACACACCATGTCGACCTACGAAGGTAACAGAAACCCAGCCCTTCAAACAACATCCAAACTAATATGATTAACTTCAGTTGAGCACGGCACAGCAGACCCTGCTACAAACCCCCAATCCACCACACGTCGCCGCCGTCCTGACCTCTCCACCTTCTTCTCAACCCTCTCTGAAATCTCCCCAGACCCAGATCACCCCGACCACCGTCCCCATGCAGTTCCTGTACCGGGCGATGTAAGCGCGGCTTTCTACTCGCTCGCTGAGGCGTTCGAGGTGATGCGCCGCGACGCCGCTACCGAGGGCACAGAAGGGGAGGATCTCTTAACACAGATGATCCAGAACTTGCTCAGCCAAGCTGATATGCCACCTCGAGAGGTAGAAGGTGTGAGCGAGGAATTTTGTGATTGTAAGTTCTTTCTGCGCTGAGTATAAATTTTAACCTGGGCGTTATCTGACCTGGGAAACCCTAGTGCTCGATCGCGTTCCCAAAGCTTCGCTCAAGCCTGATCAAACCTGCCCTATTTGCGGCAACCCGTTCCTTGAAGATGAATACCCCCTTGTCGTGAAGTTGCCTTGTCACCCCACCCACATTTTTGATATGGAGTGCGTGCGTCCTTGGTTGCGGTTACGGGGTACTTGCCCACTTGATCGGGTAGATTTCGCCAAGGAGTTACGGGATAAGGAAGAGGCCAAGAAGAAGCTCGTGGAGGAAGATGAAGAGGAGGAGTGGGATGGGATGTATGGTTGAGAACGTGATATGGAGCTATGGAGCTATGGTCAGCGAGATGAACATGATGAATGAATGCATTTACGAGGGGAGAATCCAAAGCATAGCATCTATGGACATTTCACTGAGAATCCGCAATTTATTATTGGATGCATTTGGTCGCTTAAAATGTCGCCGATTACGAGAGTCGACTACTTCTATCTGGATTAATAATAGCCTTCTGGAATGTGCTGCAACGCGGGACAAAACATCATCATCTCACAAAGACCCAGATCTTCTCTAATTCATCTTTCACAGGTAAATCTTTCAGGATGAATTTGATCATAAATGGCCCGATGCCCTGGCATGATGGCGAAGAGACGGTACATCATCTACTCAAGGTACCTGACGTCGATAACCCGTCGGTGCCGTTCTTGAGTCCCAGAGCGGGAGACTTCCTGCAAAGAGCACCCCTTGTGGCACTCGGTACATTAGATGCAGAGGGACGGCCATGGTCGACACTATGGGGTGGCCAAGCAGGTTTCGCAGGCCCCATCGCCGAGTCCATCATTGGGCTTCGGGCACTAGTTGACACCAAAGGAGACCCTGTGGTTAAAGAACTACTCGGCAATCACAATGGAAGAACCAGTGAGAATGTGTCCCTGCCGGCAAAAAAAATGGTTTCTGGGTTGGCCATTGACTTGGAGAATCGACTGAGAGTGAAACTATTTGGCCGAATGATGGCAGGATCATTGAACAATGGAGACGTGGCACAGGCACAACTAGTTGTTAAGATCGAAGAAAGTCTCGGGAATTGTCCCAAATATCTGAACAAGAAGCACATTGTGCCCGCTCAATCGGCCCCGATAATACTTTCCGACAAACCTCAATTGACCCAAGCAGCCATCGAACTACTATCCCGCGCAGATATGATATTCGTTTCCTCGGCACATGGACAAACAGACATGGATACCAACCACCGTGGTGGACCTCCAGGTTTCGTTCGAGTCGAATTTAATAACCCAAGCGGCGCAGTTCTCGTCTATCCCGAGTATTCAGGAAACCGACTTTACCAGACACTTGGAAATCTACAGGTCAACCCTCGGGCAGGATGGGTGATTCCAGACTTCGAATCCGGAGATGTACTTTACGTCACGGGCAATACGCAAATACTTGTTGGCAAAGAAGCGGCCGAAGTACTACCGCGATCCAACCTTGCCATACGACTGACAATAACAGCGGCAAGGTACGTGCAAAACGGATTGGCATTTCGTGGCGAACCCGGCGAGCTCTCTCCGTATAACCCGGCCGTCCGCTTTCTTCCAACTGAGAAGGGCGCGCCTGCTACCGAGGGAGCCGGAGATATGGCAGCGACCCTGATTAAGAAAGTGACCATTACCCCAACGATCAAACGATTACGATTCCGTGTTTCAAGCTCTAATCCCATTTCCTGGATCCCGGGACAGTATGCTACGATTTCGTTTGAGGAGGAGTTGAATATGGGATATTCTCATATGCGCGATGACGACCCGAGCAGCTTGAACGACGACTTTATTCGAACATTCACCGTATCCTCGTACCCAGGTCGAGACCTCCCTGCTAACGAGTTTGAGCTTATGGTCCGTCTCCACGGTAAAGTAACCGACTATCTTTTCCATGCGAACGAACGAGCGGGGCTGGAAGTGCCCCTCAAAGGGTTTGGAGGTACTTTCCGTTTGCCTACAGACAACGAAACGATTGTACCATTCGTCGCTGGCGGAATCGGTATCACACCTCTGATCGGGCAGCTTCCAGATCTTGATATTGGTCGTCTGCGCCTGTTTTGGTCGGTGTCTGTTTATGATATGGCGCTGGTGCATGATTTATTTCAGCGGTGGCCCCAGTTGGTTACTTCTACCACCCTCTTTGTGACCGGTCCTAATTTGGATATTGATGATTGCCTTCGCTCGGTATATGATATCATTCAGGCGTCCAGTGCACGTATTGAGGCACGCAGGATGCAGGCTAATGATTTGGATCATTCTTTGGCTGACATTTGGTATCTATGTGCAGGAACTGGATTACAGCAAAGGGTTCTGACTTGGTTGAAGGGGAAAAAGATTGTCTATGAGGACTTCAGTTATTAGTGGCGATCTCTTAGGTCTTTTTCCATATTTTCCTGACAAATTGTACCTTGATCTGAGTCCTATCTGATCTGCGCTTTAGGAATATGTCTACGAAGGATCTTAAATCACTGAAACCAAGGAACTAAAACTGAAACTCATAAGTAAGAAATAAGAATAAGCTATAAATTAGGCCAAGAGTCTAGTGCAGACACCGCCCCAGAATTTGCGTCTCACACGTACACAGCCGCGATAAAAATAGCCGTGACGCACGCCCCAACGTGTCAACGCCGATCATGTTTACTACAAATAATCAAGGGGGCAACCGCTCTTTCCTTCATCCATCCTACACATCATGCGATCCAAACCATCCGATTACCCGGCACTTCCTTTCCATGGAATCCGCATCCTTAGCTCCTTATCGTCCCTAATAGTGGCTATCATCCTCGCCGTCTTTATCTATCATCTCCACTCCGATGGCTACAAATTGCCTTTTGCCTTTCTTATTGTAAGTTCTCCACAGCAACCATCAACATCAACACCAACACCAACAACCAACATAACCACAACCACAACCACAACCACAACCACAACCACAACCACAACCACAACCACAACCACAACCACAACCATAAACAACGAATAGAAACAACAATGCTAACACCTTCCAGCTTCTCATCGCCTCAATCCTCTCCCTCATCAATATCATCTTCACATCCCTTATAAACTGCGCCTGCAGCCTCAACACAAAACTCTCCATAATCCTAAATGTCCTCCTCCTCCTCCTCTGGGCCCTCGGCCTAGCCCTCATAAGCTACAACATGGCCCACACAATCCTCACCTCCTGCACAGCTCAGTACTGGGGAAACTCGACCGGCGAAAACGTCTGCAGAATGTACAAGGCCCTCTTCACATTCACTATCCTCGCTACAGCATCCTACATTGCATTGCTAGCACTAGATGGGATTGTTCGCCGCCGCCAGAACAGATTCGGTGTGTATGGACTTGCGGGACCGGCTGAGGATCATATGGAACTCAAGTTGGCTGGTGAGCGGGATGCGACTGCGAGTGGCGGCTATGAGGCTGTGCCACCGGTCATGACGGGCGGGTATACGCATCAGAATACTTCTTATGCGCATACGCTTGAGCAGAGTCATGCTGGGGAGGCGGCGGCGTATTATGATGCTGCGCCCGAGATAAGCAGACGAGGACAGGCAGGATATGATCCTATTATGCATCGGTGATTTTATTGCGCCATTGATTTCTATGGATTTGCGATCATTTGTTTGTGTTTGTGTTTGGGGAGGCCACTGTTTTGGTTTGGTCTTTCAAGACTGGATTAGGGTTTGATTTGATTTTGTTTGGTTTTGATTGATGATAGCGTGGATATGACGGCGTTAGGGATGCGGAATTCCCATTGGTGCCATTTGTATGTAAAAAGTTTGGAAATGACATGGGATGTTTAGATAGAAAATTAGATTCTGTCTCTAACGACTTCAATGTGCTGCGTTCTAGCGTATAGCAAAGAAAAAGTATGAACGGTGCCAAAGCAGATGACCATCCCATGACACGAATTGGAGACAAATAAATGAAGGTCGCTCGATATAGACAAAATAGGTAGGGGTGGTATTTTCGAAGCAAGAACCAAAGACCAAATTCGCATGTGTTTACATGATAACCTCGTTGGCAACGTCCTAGATCGCTAATTAGTATGACAATCGGGTTAGGTTGTGGATAGAAACATACCCGTTTGAGCTCCTTGTACGGGAGGCAAACACAGTTTTGCACACGGACTTCATCGCCGACACCACACTCCTTACCAAGGATGGTGATGCTCTGGACTTTGACGCCCTGCTTGACAATGCTAGTAGAGTGGCTACCGATTGGGATAGGGGTTCCCTCAACGCGGGCCCAGGCGCCAACGCGGCTGCTCCATCCAATGATCGAGTGCATAACACAGGCATCATGGCGGACTTCGGCGTCCTCGAGGACAATAGAGTCCTTGATACGTGCGCCAGCGCCAACAACCACACGGGGACCAATGGAGACGTTGGGTCCGAGCTTGGCTGTGGGGTCAACGGTGGCAGTGGGGTGGATGAAGACCGGAGGCACGATCATGGCAGAAGGCGCAGTGAGCTCCTCTGACTCGGCCTGGAATGCCTTCTGGAGGTACAGGGCATTGGCAGGAACGGCCGAACCAGCGGTCTTAATCTGGCGCCAGAAGTCCTTAGTCTCGTGAACGAAGAAGCGGTTGCTGTCTGCGAGATCAGAGAGAATGTCCTGTTCCAGACGGAGCATCTCGCTCTTCTCGGAGTCTTCGTCATCGCCGTGAGAGGCGACAAAGGACGACTCAAGGTTGTCGGAGGAGGGGTAGGAGAGCATGCGGGGACGAGTGTTCCGGCGCTTAATGGCACTGCGGATGGCGGGGAAGATGCAATCGGTGGCGAACAGGTAGACACCGCAGTTGATCAGGTTGGAGATGTGGGACTCGGGCTTCTCGACGTAGTGCAGCACGCGCTTGGTATGGGAGTCGGACACAATGCAACCGAAGTTAGTGGCAGTATCGTTGCTCACTCGCGTACCCAGAATGACAGCCTCGGCATCTTTTTCCTCAAACAGACGCAGCATCTCGCCGAGAGGGAATGAGCAGCAGACGTCAGCGTTCAGCACGAGCAAGCGCTCGGGCTTGCCCTTGAGGATCGCATCACGGAAGTGGTAGAGACCACCGGCGGTACCCAACGCAGTGTATTCCCGCAGGTATTGGATGCGGAACTGAGGGAACTCCTTTGCGGCATCCTTGATGAAGTCACGGAAGACAGTCTCATCGTAGTATCCAACCAGAATGACCTCGCGCACATCGGGGACCTTGGCGAGCGCGGTGAAGCAGTGGTGAATGATCGGGTGGCCGGCGACTTCGAAAAGGGGCTAACAAGCAGGGAAAAAGCGTCAGGGCCAACTTGCTGCGTAGGATCACAGGGAATTGGACGGAAACCAAGCACGCACCTTGGGCACATCGAGCGACAATGGGCGGAAACGAGTGCCCCGCGAGGGACCTCCGACCTGTTTGATGTGTCAGTAGTATACGGTGAGGGAGGATGCATCATGATTGCGCCACCATACCAGGATTACAGCCTTAGTAGAGGCCATGTTGGATTGTTCCCGAATAGGTACTTGGAGCATGATTGTCGCAGGAGAAGGAGAGACAATTAAATGGAAAACACCAGGTGGCCGGAATCAGTGACAGCTTCCGCCAAGACAAGACGCTTTCGGTGGCTCACCTGACAATGCGGGATGATCGACTCCCGAACACAAATCTACACTTTATTTATTTTGGTTATTTGGAGTGTTTTACCTTGGTCTTGTTTTAAACTATCCTGTAGGTTAAGTGTCAAAGACCGCACCAATGCTTATAGTCATTACATTGACTAATACGCCTCTCTTGCTAAGTTCCTACAAGCACTCGGTACAAGTTTGCATGAAAACAAACAACAAAACAAACAAGGTTCTGTTCGCTAAGCACTTCAATGCATGCTCTTACAAAGGAGGCGTGGCTGAACGTCTCATTCAATTTCCTCGGTACTTGTTCTCGATGTGCATTGGACGTGTCATATCTACCCCCCAAAATCCCTGATCCTGAACCCATTCTTTTCGTCAAGCACATGGAGGTCCTGTTTCATTCCGTATCAAAATGTCCATTACCAGGATTCCCACAGAACTCGTGAACGAGATCTGTGGCTACCTCGAACTGTCGGACTGGTGCACACTTCGCACTACATGCAACCCACTCTACACAAAGTCATGGGATGATTTTGCCAAACGATATTTCGAAAGCATCTGTATATCCGTCAAGAGCGACAGCTTACGTCGACTAGAACAGCTCGCTGCAGATGAGAATCTCAGAACACGGATCCAAGAGCTATGGATCAAACCAGACTTGTTCAAGGGACGGTATCAATTGAGCCTCGAAGCATTTCGACGCACTGGACATGCAGAAGCATGCCGAACAATGGGAATGGGCCTAGAGGAAAGCTATGCACAATACCAGGCAATATCGGCTGATCACATACATATCCTGGACTCTGAAACTCTCACAAATACCCTCACGAAATGTGTCGCACGCTTTGAGAACCTGAGATCCTTTGGGTTGCGATCTTGCTCGAAAGCCAGTTGGCACGGCCCAAAGAACTGTCCCTTCACCGTAGGACAGGACCACGTTTTAGTCTTCTCGGCGATAGTGAAAGCGGTGGTTGCAACTTGTCGCCATCTCAGAACGCTCCATACATGCAATGGCTACCACAACAGCCTTACGACAGGAGGTCTGACCGTCTCTCAAAACACTCGCAAATTATTGCTTCCTCTTATACGAGGAATGGAAAGTTTACATTTGTGCGAACTTGCAAAGAATCCAGATGAAAGTCCCGTCAGCATCATGAGTGATATTCTGGTCGAGGCCGCACCTTCTTTGAAGGCCTTGACATACTCACAATGTTGTCCAAATCGAAATATGAACCCCAGCTATCTCAATGGAGTATCCGAGCGCCTCAACTTTACACAGCTTACTGAGCTCCGTCTTTGCTGGATCGAGATCACCCCATATAGCTTTGAAACTTTACTAAGCACAGCGGCATCTACTTTGAAGTCGTTGAGCTTAGTATCGGTGAATTTGAACGAGAACAACAGACCGCCTTTAATATCTGACGAAGAAGCTATCACGCTTGGTATAAGATGGCTTGGCATGATCAAAGACCCCATAAAACGAGCCTGGGGACAAATCTTCACCATGTTGCTTGACAAAACATCACTGGAACATCTGTCGATGGAGACGATCGGATTCCGTCGTTATCCCATCACTATCACGGACAGTCTTAGTGATGTGAGTGGAAAGCCAAGCTCAATGGACAACAGCGTCGCTTGTTATGATAGTGCCCGAGCTCGCGTTTCCTTCCGTGAATGGATCAGCAGTTTGCAAGTGCAACCCTCTCGATATTTGGGCCACAATCTACCGGGTAGTAAGTACAGCTCTCAGGCTTGAGATCATGCTGTACTGATATATTTCTAGGATCTGTGGTGGCCGAACACATTTTGGTCAGGCGTTCACGACCACGGGCACGTCGACTGTTGAGGTGATACTCTACGTGGCCCTGAATTTTTCATCGAAAGTTTCATTGAGTATTTTGAAGATCCTGGAAGGATTCCAAGCTCAACATATATCCAAGTTCGCCAATATCTAGAAGTAACCGGCTTTGGTCGCTATGACCGGTGTGCAAGTGACACTTTTCCCCTCATTTGTTCTATTGACCCATGGGTTTCTAGTCTTTTTTTTTTTTTTTTTTTTTTTTTTTTTTTTGGCATTAATTTCTCTTTTTTTTATCTCTAATCATCTGCAACAAAATACTCCATAATAGCACTAGGAGATCATAACCAACCCAACAATGAAACAGGCGTACTGTCTTCAATCTTCACACTCATCAGTCTTCAAACACAAATTATTCCCGCAATAACAGTCTACCCACCGCCATAATTAAAAAACATTTACAAGAAACTGTCATCCCAGTCATGGAGCCCATCGCCCATGCCCTCATAATCACCCATGGTGGCGTCGGACGGAGCCTCAAGTGGCTCCTCTTCGTCCACATTGTAGACAGCAGCCAGCCATTCCTGGGCCTGGCTCAGTTTCCTCCTTTGCTTAGAGAGGTCGCTTCGCCGGGCTTCCCGCTCGGGATCCTCTGCCATCAATTCGCTGCATCTGTCCGGGTTCGCAGCTTTCAATTGAGCCTCGAGAGTCAGCTGAAGCTGATCCCTACACATCCATTTGACTTTTGACTCCGCGAAAAGGCACACCATGTCAGTGAAGCGCATACGTGCAATTTCATAGTAGCCACGGGAATTCTGCAAAATTAGCATTCTAAAATTAACAAGTTTGAAAAGGGGAACTCACTGCCATCATCTCGATTTCTTGAGAAAAAGGGTCGGGCCCAAGCTCCGACGAAGTAATTTTGGTGTGATCGTCATCGGGACGACCACGGAGTCTAAGCCAACACTTGGCTCGTGCGATCTCACGGCGCTCTATAAGGAGCTTCAAGGAGCGAGTTGTACGCTCCTTATGTTCCATTTGGGCCATCGTGAGCGTGTTGCCACGCTCCATTTCAAAATAAGCAGACACATCTTCGGCAAATTGTGCATTGATGCACTCCAAGAACTCACTGATGAGCTTTTGGAGCTCACGATAAAGACCGGTTTGGTGATATTCCGCAATCACATCGTCCAATGTCATGATGATGGCCTTTTGAACCACACGATGCAAGGCATGAACAAAGTCTGTTGCGATCTCGCCCCAATGCATGACCATTTCCCGATTCAGAGTCTGAATCGCACTGGGCTCAATCTGGTTCGGAATTCCGGCACGTTGACATTCTTGCTTAATTTTGCGAATTTCTTCCAACTCAAACCTGCGCGCAGATTCCCACCGCGAAAAATGGTTGGTCAAGAACACTTTTTTAGGTATTGGCGTCGCAGGCTGCTGGGCTTGCGGCTCCACGCTAAGCCTTGATTTAGAGCCAGGTTCCTCCACGGCCGCTGCCTTCCTTTTTCCCCGGGGTGTGCTTGGAATTCCCATTTCCAAGTCGAAATCTAACCTTTCTCTCATTTGATGAGAATCGGAAATCGCCCCAAGACGGAGTCGCGGCTGGGTTTTTTCCAATGCCTTCTGGAAGTCCAGAACCAGGTTGTTCCAGGACTGCTGAAGCATCCTGCTCTCAGGTCCGGGTCCGTCACCGAACATTCCCTTAAAGCGCAGGCCTAACGTGAGTACCTTTTCGATCAGTATTCGCTGAACATTGTCCGCCGGAGGATCAGGCAACGTCCTCAATTCTTCGTCGATGCGAGCTGCCTTCTCGTTGATCTGCTTGATGATCGAAGGCAGGCACTTCTGAATCTGTGCCATCAAGACATCAGAAAGGGCGAACTGAAGCTTCCGCACACCAAAGCGATCCTGGTATGCGGCCATAACGCCTGACCAAAACGGTTGGCCGAAGAACTGCTCCTCCTCTTGTCGGGCAATGGAATGATCAACCTCAGCGCTTGGGTTGTTACGCACGACAAAGTAACCGTGGCCAACAGGAAACTTTCGACCATCCAAAATCTCAGCCCATTGTTGATACGAATCATCTGTGATGGCAAGCCGGTCAGGCTTCGTCAGCACACCAAGGGTGCGGTCCTTGGCGCCTTTCACATTCCCAATGAGTCCAGCAGCGCTCGAGTTTGCTCCATCATCCGTCATCGAGAGGGTCAATAGTACTATGCAGTTCTCTTGTGATATGTATTGCCGGACGAGTTTCTGAACCAGATTCACAAGATACTTCTCACTATCGTTATCTGCCTGGTTAATGACACCGGGAAGATCATAAAACGACAAATTAGGAAAGTCAGGCGCGGATATGTCCAATCGTACAATGTTCGGTGAGAACTTCACCTCCATGGTATTCGGGGTGTCCCTTCCCGGTACATATTCCTGTGAGTCCGAGTTGGGATTCAGAATGGCCAGTTGGGCCCGCCAGATGGCCTCCTGCACGTTCGATCTGTCTGTTAACGTGACGAACTCCTCCTCATCCAGATGATTCCTTCGGAGCCAGGGGCCGAGATACTCTGCCCTCTCCGTTTTTGGGAGCATGGACCTCAATGTCTTCTGCCGATCATAGAGATACCAACGGACTAAGGAGATGGTGCATTTCCAAGGTTGACCAGGCTCGCTCTCCCGTAGAACGATCTCCATTGGACAGCGTGTACAGGTGCCAGCACTTCGGGGAACGCGGATCTCAGAGATTGCTTCAATCAACGAGCTTTTCCCGGTGCTTTGGTCACCAACAACGCACACTTTTGGAAGGGCAATCTGATTATCCTCAATTCCTAGCTGACTGAGCTTCTGTACTTTTCGGACAAGGTCCCTCATGTTGAGGGTCATTCTGTCGAGGGAGGCCGAACCTGGCAAGCTGCCAGATGCAGGAGGCGGGGCAGTGAGTGACATCGGGGTAGTTCCTGCAGATCCTGAAGTGAAAATTCGAGATGAGCTTGAGAGATGAGCTCGTCGGAGTGGTGGGAGGTGAGCCTGTGTTGGGCTAGAGCGACGGGGGCTGACAAAAAGGGGCTCTTCTTCTTTTGGGGTTGGAGAACGTCGATAGGCATACATAATGGCCCTTGTCTTATGGTGATGATACAAAGACAAGTGAAGAAGTGAGTCAACCCAAGATAAATAATGGAGGCAAGAGAAGGCAAAGACTTTGAATGGGAAATGTTAAAGATGATGCTTGGTGGTTGGGTGTTGGGGGTGGAAAATGGATGGAGGATGGAATATGTATCAAGGATGATGGTTGATGGTTGGTGGTTGAGGGTGGAGGATGGATGGAGGATGGAAGAAAGGAAGAAGGGAGAAAGGTCAATATATAGAGGGCTAGAAGGAAAGTTCCGCTAGATATGAAACTTGAAAATTGTGCAACAGCTGGAAGAGCCCAGTCGGGGGCTTTTGTTTCTCTCTTGTTGACATGCTCCTAGTAGATTCTCGACTGTTGTTTTCCTGATACTCGACCACAGCTCTACCACATCGATTGCAGCCTCAAGATGATACAATATGGCTGCCAGGCGACTTTTCTCTTCGTCTGTCTCTCTACGTGTCTCTCCAGCAGCTGACAGTTTACACTTAGGCTCAATGCAGACTGTTCTATGTTTGACATAGTGAGATACATTGCCTCGAGGCACTACATGCCCATCAACTGACCTTCATAGCCAGGTATACCGATGCAGTCTCCCCAATCTTGAAAATGCACCCTCACAATGAATTTTCTTAGGTGCTACTGATTCAATAGAAACTCATCATTAATGAATCACATGAATCGATCTCCTGCGTGTTCTAAAGTTGCAAATGTGCAGTCGTGACAAGAAGAGGGTCTACTCAAGTATCTTTGATAACGAATATCCTTCGAATACAACATACACACCGTATAATATCTCCATTAATATACAGGCCAAGGAAAGTGGTCAATAGGTGGATATGGTACATTTCATATTTTGGCGACGTCTATACTTCGTAGCTCTCGGGAGACGGGGACAGCGGGGTAAAGCCCCACTAGTCTGCCCTAGCCCTAAGCCCCCCATATAGTATCACCATAATTGACTGAATTGTAGATCTAGCGCAAACGATTGACATAAAATGAGTATTAAAGCAATTTAGATATATTTCGCTGGTATCAACAATCATCATGATCCCCAATGCTATTGAATCGATGAGTCATCACGGAAGCATTGCGCTGCTGTAGTTGGGTTGCAGCCAATCAGAAGCGACCGGGGTTGACTCACGCCCAAAATTTCGTTTGCCCCTCCTTCCTTATCCCACCATCCTCGTTTGATCTGTCAACCAACAAACATCATGGCGGATTCCAACCCTGTTAAGGAGGCTGAGGCCTCCATGGCCAACCTTCTGCTTGATGAGGTCACCGGCGAGAAGGTGTCCAAGTCCGAATTGAAGAGACGCCAGAAGCTGCGTGAGAAGGAGAACAAGAAGAAGGAGAAGGAGGCCGCTGCTCCCCCAAAGGCTGAGAAGAAGGTTTCTGCCGAGGACGAGGAGTCAAACCTGAGCCCTAACGTAGGTTTGAGCTATATTGTTTCTCAATTGACATTCTGACCATTGTTTCTTTGTTCACAGCAATACTTCGAGATCCGCAGCAAGAGAATCAACAAGCTGCGCGAGACCAAGAACCCGGATCCCTACCCCCACAAGTTCCAGGTCACCAATGACCTGCGCGAGTTCCTCAAGGAGTACGAGGGTCTCCAGAAGGGCGAGCAGAAGCCCGATGTGCCCATCCGCATCGCCGGTCGCATCTACACCAAGCGTTCCGCTGGTACCAAGCTGAACTTCTACGATATCCGCGCCGAGGGTGTCAAGATCCAGGTCATGTGCCAGGCTCAGAACTCCACTGGAAGTGTGCCTTTTGAGGACCAGCATGAGCACCTTCGCCGAGGTGATATTGTCGGTATCGTCGGTTTCCCCGGCCGTACTGCCCCCAAGAACCGGGCCGATGGTGAGCTGTCTATCTTCGCCACTGAGGTCATTCTCCTTTCGCCCTGCTTGCACGCCATTCCCTCCGAGCACTACGGTTTCCAGGACAAGGAACAGCGCTACCGCCAGCGCTACTTGGACTTGATCATGAACGACCGTTCTCGCAACATCTTCCGCACCCGTGCCAAGATTGTCAGCTACATTCGCCATTACCTTGACTCTCGTGATTTCACTGAGGTCGAGACCCCCATGATGAACGCCATTGCTGGTGGTGCTACCGCCAAGCCCTTCGTCACCCACCATAACGAGCACGACATGAACCTCTTCATGCGTATTGCCCCCGAGTTGTACCTCAAGATGCTGATCGTTGGTGGACTTGAGAGAGTCTACGAGCTTGGAAGGCAGTTCCGCAACGAGGGAATTGATCTCACCCACAACCCCGAGTTCACCACTTGTGAATTCTACATGGCCTACGCTGATATGTATGACCTGATGAACATGACTGAGGAGCTGGTTTCTGGCTTGGTCAAGGAACTCACCGGTGGATACGAGACTGTCTTCCACAGCCAGGATGGCAAGGAGTACAATGTCAACTGGAAGGCTCCTTGGCGACGAGTGGAGATGATGCCGGCCTTGGAGGAGGCCTGCGGAGAGAAGTTCCCTCCCAGTGATCAGCTCCACACCCAGGAGACCAATGAATTCCTCAAGAAGATGCTCAAGAAGATGAACCTCGAGTGCTCACCGCCGCTCACCAATGCCCGCATGTTGGACAAGATGGTTGGTGAATTCATTGAGGACACCTGCATCAACCCCACCTTCATTTTCGGTCACCCCCAGATGATGTCTCCTTTGGCCAAATACGATCGCAAGAAGGCCGGTATTTGCGAGCGTTTCGAGGCTTTCTGTATCGGAAAGGAGATTTGTAACTCGTACACCGAGTTGAACGATCCCTTCGATCAGCGTCTGCGCTTTGAGGAGCAAGCCCGCCAGAAGGACCAGGGAGATGACGAGGCGCAATTGGTTGACGAGACTTTCTGCACTTCCCTCGAGTACGGACTGCCTCCAACTGGTGGCTGGGGCTTGGGTATCGATCGTCTTGTCATGTTCCTCACCAACAACTACAGTATCAAGGAGGTTCTCACCTTCCCCTTCATGAAGGAGGATAAGACCCACGCCGAGGGCAAGTCTGCTGCCGAGATTGCTGGAATTGAGCCCCAGCCCGAGGAGGGAATCCGTATGTTATTAGTCTCCTGTAACTTCCACGAGCCCGTGTCACTAACATGCAATTTGCAGCCCACAAATAAATGAAATGAATCTCTGAGTTGGAATGTTGGTATATCTCGGATTTGTGGCCGTTTATTCTCGGCCTTGCGGATACAACGGTTTAACGATGCATCAGATAAGAACAAACTAGGTATTTCGAAATATTGAAGCTATGTGTTGCTTTACTTCACACTACTTATGGACCATCATATATATCCTTCGATTGTCTGGAACAGCTGTATATTGAAAGTCACTGTATCCTTGAGAATCATCCTAAAATTGAACATAATATCATGGAAGATGCCGTGAAGTCGTGCATAAAAGAGCTGTTCTTTTCAATCTCTTCCTTTCCTCCAACACCTCTCTATCTTCCCATCATCAGTCTTGCCGTTCCATTAGATTTCTTTCATTTGCTACCTATTTTGTCAAATCCTTTTTCTTACTAGCCATGAGTAAAAGACCTGCCCCCGGCTCTCCGCAGGGTAGACCTGCAAAGAAAAATGCATCAAATAACCACCAGGCTATAGGTCCCCTAACCCCAAGACATGAACAGGTCTGTCCTCACGAAGGATGTCCACACCATAGTCATGCTGCGACTACATCAGATCCTCTCCAACATCTGACCCCTGGATCCATCTATGGCAGTCCTGCTCAAGCGTCTCACGGTCGATACATCGAATACCCATGGCATCTAATGCCCCCAACACCGAATTCTACTGATCCTGTTAGTATCTTTACCCAACTTGCCCCTTTTGATTAGAACTTAACCTGTCATTAGATCTTCTATCAATCACGTCGTTTGCCATCGCCTCAGCCTGCATCGGTTTGTATTCCTATTTCTGTTTCGACTGAAATATATAGACCACGCTCATTAATAGTCGAGAGGTAATAGGGCTTCCAAACAACCCTTCCGCCTCTCTCTATATCCTATCTACTTAACCCGTTCCCCGATGATCATCATTCAACCTCCAGTCCACTCATTTCAACAAGAGTATCGCCCCAGACGGAAGGAAGACAAGCCAGCAAGAGCACTGAAACCACCCATACATGGAACAAAACTGAAAAATCAACAAAAGCACCCGAAACGGTGAGACAAAAGTCGCGCGGGCCCCGAGCCCGACAAAAGAAAACAACCAAAGAACGCAACTCAGGTCCTAATCCAGAAAGACCACCTCATGAAAAACGACCCCTTCGTCTCAGAAACGACCAGAGACAGGACGTTAGTGTTGAGTTCACTGACGTGGCTGCCCACACTGCAAAGTGTGATACATGCAACAATCGCAACAGAGATGGAATGACGCGCTGCACTTCTTGTGGCTGGCAATGCTGTCGACAGTGCCTGGGGGAACGGGGCGGAAATCGAAGCCATCAATCCTTCACTTCTACTCATGTGCCCGCGGATGAGAGACGCTCTCCACCACATACGCCGGATTCCCCAATGTTAGCTCCCAGACCTGTCCCTGGTGGAAGTGGAGTGGTGAGCACTGCTGCGGATCGCGCGGCAGCGAATACATTGGTTGATATTGCTTTTGACACTTCTCCGAAGAAGTCAGATAGGAACACGCAGTTGATTCATGAGCATTTTCACTCTGGTTCAGGATATTCGGCCGTGAAGAATGGTATTGCCGGTTCTGGGCGCTTGATTCCTCGTATTCTGCCGGGAGATTGGATGTCTGATTCTCAGATGGCAGGCGAGGAGTTTGACAACCCAAGAAGAAATCCATCTCGAAAGGCAAGGCCAATCGATCTGGCCGAATGAGAATACAAGGAGACTAAATAGTTTCTGTAAAGTTAGACTACGTGCCTTGTGGTATGGTATGGGATTCACAGGGTTGCATGTTTATTTCTTTTGTTTGCAAGTTTGGATCACTGTACCTAAGATTGTTTTAGATCGAGGCGTCCATAAGGACCGGGAAACATGTCAGTTTAGTTCAAAATGATTGAAAAGCTTGTTTGAATATTGGGTTTCTGTACAATATAGATGAAAACAATAGTAACTAATACATATGGATAATGATTTATATCCACGGAACAGGAATGGAGATGGTGGTATCAGGACGGTAAGGCGGAAATTCAATGAAATCCCGCCTTGGTCAACTTATTCATACATGCAAGCAAATTCTTACAGTTGCTTCGCGGCGGAGGCAGCCGAAGACGCGGGTGAGCGCGAGTAGGTCTGCGAGAAGGAAACCGGTTGGCCACGGCCCTTCGCAACCATCTGCAACAGCTTCGCGGTGCGAGACGGGTTCCAGACACGGCTACCCAGGACCATGACCCAGGTCAAAAGCAACACACTGCCAGCCTGGTGGGCGGACGCAAGTGGGACAGGAACGAGATAGAGCAAAGTCGTAATACCGAGGCTGACCTGCATGAGGGCAAAGCCCACAACACCGTGCATACCCTTGCGGGCAGGGACAGGCAAAAGACGCTTCACAGTGGGTGAGCGGCGACTGTAAGCCCACAGAGCCATGATCGCGGTGAAAGTAGTCGTAGCGAGGATGCGGTGATCAAGCTGGACAAGTGAGGGATTCTCAAGCATGTTGCGCCACCAGAGGTCAGAGCGATCCTCGCGGCGGGAGTAACGGGCATCGAACAGCTCAGTTGTGGGTGGTGCCAAGCCGTTACCCATGTAGGGGAACTCATTGTAGATGAGACCGGCATCCAGACCAGCGACAAGACCACCCGACATGGCAGTAATGAAGACAAGAAGGGCCAAACCAGCGACAGAACGACGGAAGAATGCCAGGCGAGGATCACGCAGTGCCTCGAGCTCCTTCAGTCCAGATGCGGGATCCTTCATGAGTCTGTGAGAGCGCAAAATAGCGAGACCGTTCCACAGCATGGCGACGTAGCAGGTAAAGGCAGCACCCAAGTGAGCGGTCAACCTGTACTGACTTACACGGGGGTTGCTTCCAGGCGCGAAAAGATCATCCTTCAATCCAGACTTGACCATCCACCAACCAAGGAAACCTTGGAATCCAATCAGACTAGCAATACCGAAGAGACGCCAAGCCATAGGCGTGGAGACCTTCTTTCGGGCGACGAAGTAAACAGCGGGCACGACAAACGATAGACCCACGAATCGGCCCCAGAGCCGGTGGATCCATTCCATGTAGTAGATCGATTTAAATTCGGACAGATTCATATGCGGGTTCAACAGCTGAAATTCGGGGGATGCACGGTACTTCGCGAATTCAGACTCCCAGTCCTCTGCGTTCATTGGGGGCACAGAGCCGGTGACAGGCCGCCATTCGGTGATACTCAATCTGTTCAAGATTATTCCGTCAGCTTCCAGCTCGATTTTCTCGGATTTTCCGAATTCAATCCGCAGGGCATGTGCCTGATTGACTTACCCAGATTCCGTAAGACGAGTCAAACCACCAAAAACAACGATACCGAAGACGCTTGCTGCACTACCCAAAAGCCAGTATGCGACGGACTTGGAGCTGAGCTTAGGCATGTGCGACTTTTCCTTGGTGGAACCCTCTGCAACTGCCTCTGTAATTACGGGTGCGGCGGCGGACTGACGAAGACTATGGGTAAAGAACTGACGGTTCTTGTCGGTGAAGAGGGACGATCGCATCTTATTGGGTTGGGGAGGAGGCATTGAGCCATATTGGCGGATGGATTTGGCGGCGTAGCCCTGGATTCGAAGGCATTGGCGGCAGTTAAATAGGTCCTTGGATAGACGGGGCGCGAGACTCCGCCATAATGGCAGAGACGTGCCCAGGGAAGTCATGGCAAAGGTGAACGAGGGGAGAAAACCGAAGAAGAAAAAGCGAACCCTCGATCACGGAGATCATGCGATTGTTGCGGGTCATTTAAGTGTGGGACCAATCAGAAATGAGGGATTTGCTGCCGACAATGCTATTCATTTTCAATGCATAGTTGTGAAAAGACTCAATTGATGGTATTCTGGTCATCTCTCGGTATCTAGTATGATGTTTAGTCTACTAGAGAATCGATTCTCTGCAAAGTTTCAAGGTAATTGGTGGTATGTCTTAAATGCCTGAGGCACCTATCTGTAGTTCGCCCGCAGCCTCCAGATCGCGAACCGCTCACATTGTCTAACAACAACTTCATCTTTTAACTCCGCCATGTCCTACGCCGTGGAATCAAAGAAACGGAAATTCCACCGGGTATTAGAGTCCATCTCTAAACCTCACACTTCCGAAAATGCACCCAAACCCTCGAGGCCAGCGTCAACACCCGCTGCCGCAAGCGCGCAAGACCGTCCGCTCGCGAACCTCTCCATCAAGAAGGTTCGTCTGAGCAGCCACGATAATTCAGACCCAATCTCTGTGCGCAACTCCATATTAAAGCTATCTCGTCCTACATCTCGAACGTCCTCGACATCTTCGACGCAGCGCCCAACTTTTCTTCCTTGGGACCGCGATGCCTTCCTCGGGCGACTGGAGACTTTCCGTCGGGTGGATCGATGGACCTCCAAACCTTCACCAATCAACGAAGTTCAATGGGCTAAGCGTGGCTGGATATGTACCGATTCCATGCGGGTAGGCTGTGTCAGTGGCTGTGGCGGTTCGGTTGTTGTGAAGCTGCCCGACGAGATCGATGAGTTGGACGGGTACGATGCGGAGAAGGTTCAGGAACGCAAGGAAGTCCGTAGGTTTTCCCCTTCTCCTTTATATTCATATGGCTTGACACTGAAATGGATCATAAATAGGCGCAAGGCTAGTGGAAGAGTATGCAAAACAGCTAAGCGAAGCCCATGGTGAGAATTGCCCGTGGCGAAACAAAGGCTGTGATGGTAGGTTTCAGGAATTCGAGTTTGATTGTTTCAATTCTGACACTTACTTCAGCTACCATCCAACATTTGCAACTTGTGAATACAGACATTGCTATCACTAAGTTGCATGATCGTTATATGAATATTGTGAAGCTGGGTGAGAAATTGCCCGCCGAAGGTGTTATTGAAACCCCCGAGGGATTCCATCTGGATAATCTCATAGAGATGTTGCCTGCGGAGTGGTTTAAGGACTCGAAGACAGCCTCCGAGGCAATAAATACAGAAACAGAAACCAACGCAGAGGCTACGGCCCCTACCCAACAGCCACCAGCAGAGCCGCCGAAACAAGTCAACCGAACCGCACTTGCGATGGCTTTCTTTGGATGGGATTCCGTGGCCGATGAAGCTGCAGGACTAGTCGGATGCAAGGCCTGCTTCCGCCGCCTGGGCCTATGGATGTACAAGCCCAAGGAAAACGGTGATGTCACAGTCTATACGTCTTTAGATGTGGCTTCAGAGCACATGGAGTACTGTCCATGGATTGACCCAGTGGCACAGAGCGGCTCTGGCAAGCCAAATGAAAAGGTGGATGGCCTACGCAGTGGATGGCAGGTTGTTGCTGAGGCATGCAAGGTAAAGCACCGTCGAAGACTCCGATCCGTGGCATCCATGGAGACGGTGAACAGCAGACCCAGTACGCCCTTGCAGGACTCTGCACCCGATGAGGAGAATGAAGAGAGTCGGAAAACTGCCGACCGCGAGTGGTGGGCTAAGATTCGACGGATCCGACAATCTTTGACTTCCAAATCACCACACCGGAAGTCCGTCCCGAAATAATATTCATCATTTATTGACGGTGCATGCAATATGATGTTTTCTTCCAATGTTTCTTAGCATCTATCATTTGACGGCGTTTTGGGACTGAGCTCTGCATAAGCAGCTTTATTGAATCTACATAATACCACTTATTACCTTATAATCTCTTTTATACTCAATGAGCTTTTCCGTAGCTTGTATACTCACCCTCGCTTGCTATTCATCTTCCCGAAATGTACTCCCTCTGTCCCCTTGATCGATGTTCGTATCAGATATGCTACGCCTTGGAGTTGTTTGCAGATGTGAGCCATCGTCAATACCATATCCTTGCCAACCACCTCCACACTTCATGGCCCACTATCTGCCATTATTCAGGCAAATTGCGGGTTCCAATATCTACCCCTAATCTTCTACCCACTTAAACGTTAGGGTGTTATAGTTTACTCATCCATCCACCTCTTTGTCTTCTATACTATGCTATCGTTGAAGCGTCTTATTCCTCGTCGATTTACAGATAAAAATCCTTACGGTGGCATCTGAAGACTTGCCTTTACTCAACCCTTTACCTAGTATATCTTTTCTGGCTTTCCCTTGGTCATTCAGACCCGGGGCTCTTTTCACACTCATTCCTCGGAGGATAAGATTCTTTCATCATGCAAATGCTGTTGAATGCCCGAGACTCTATTATCGTCGTATGCTGTACCTATTTTCTGACCCTTCCAGACGGCCAAATCTCGGATGTCTTTACTGAAAGAGCATCCTCTTAAGCATTCTGCTGTCAAAGAGTCGGTAGTATATCTACATATTGCATTATTTCTACTAGCTGGAAGCAAATTACCTAAGTAAGACTTCTTCCGCCGTCTATTCGCTCTTCGGTTTGACGCAATGCTTTCCTAATAATTGGTCTTTTGCAATACACAGACTGCCATCATTTTCTGACTAAATCCACACCTCTTATACTCATCACCTACTTCATCCCTACACCCCACTACACTACTCACTTGTAACGTTACTAAGCTACACTTTATAGATACTCTGAGCATGAAACCAGTCGGCTCAGATCCGCTTTTATTAGATCGCCAAGTTCCACTATTGTTCTTATAGAGAACACTGCTTTATACGCTGATTTGGATTGACGGCCTTCAAGATGGCTGGCTACCTAGGTACCTTCCTGCGTACACTTGACAGTTTGACTTGCTTTTTACCCCTATGTATGGAGGTACCATTCAAACTGCAGTCCAGCTCTTTTCTCCAACTACTTGTGCTGCTCAATACAACTATATCTCTCTCCAAGCATATGTGTGAATTCAAGGTTATATTTATCTTGTAACTACTGATAGTTGAGGAGTAGATGGCGTTTTAAAGTACTTCCGCATACTACACAGCGTCGTTGCACGTTTACTGGCAAAGTTGCTTCAGGGTAGCTTGCAGTCAATTCTACCCCCGGAGCGTCTTTTCCTCCGCTGCATACACAAAAAATAACAAATGCTACGCGTCTCTTCTTCCGCATAGACATTGAAACAAGCAGCATCTCATCGTTCTGTCACTTGAGATTCATCTTTCCTGGTCCCATCAATCCAATTTACTTCATCTATCATCCCCGACTGGTTCCCTTTAGTGAAAGTTCACACTGGCCTATCCCAACTTGCTTGCTATTTCAGCTACCAAAGATGAACTCCGACTCTCGACCCCAGAATGAAATGGCAGAGGAGGGCTCGCCACATTTCGGCTCCCCTCTGAGGGCAAATGATGTCGCTCGTTTCTTTATCAACAGCCCCGTTGAAGCCGGTCAAGTAAAAGTTGAGACCAACCCCGATGAAGATTCCTCGACCCTGACCCCAGGAACTACATCTCCAGTTGCGAGGGCTTATGAACGCACCCTGTTCCATGAACCTGTCAATCTTCCCAGCGAAACTCTATTTTTGAACGACGATCAAATCATTCAGTTGATGTACTGTGCACCAAATTTACGCAAAAAGTACATCATCCACTTTGACAGATACGGGTACCTTAAGAATCCATGGAGGCGTAGTGTGCTCTTTGAGATGAACGAAAACGGTGAGACGCGGCACCCAATGTCTATTATAAGGTCGAACGTTGCGAATGCCCCGGTTCAACTTGCCGGCATTAGACGTCGGGCCCAGGCTGCCAAGGATTTGGAGGAGAAGAAACGGACACATGCGTTGAGCCTGGAAAGGCAGCTGGCACACAATATGACACCCAATATGGCGAAGAGGTCTCAAGACCTGGCTCCAACCCTCTTGTGCTTCCAACTGTTGATAATCCTTATCTTGGAGACATCGATTCTCTGTTTGCCGATTACGTGTCCACTCCGCGTGTTCAAAACAGTCAGAACTCTCCTCCCAATGAAGCATCTACGGCGCCAGTTGCTCGACGAACCATGTTTCCCAGTGAAGAAGTTGCACGTCCGCAGCCATCTGTTGAAAACACCAGCAGTGCCGTGCAGGAAGCTGGATCATTTGAGATGGATCCTCTTCAGGCCTCGGGCCGCTCTAATCTTTCCAGCTGGGTTTATGAGCAAACTCGCTTACTCAAAACTCACCTTGCGAGCGCCGACAATTATGGAGAAGATCATCAGTATCAGAAGCGTGTGACGAAGGTGATCATTCAGATGTACAAACTTCGGATGGCTTGTATGAAGCTGAAAGGTGTGCAGTCGATGCCTGGTGTGGATTAGAGGGATTCCAGATTCGACCTCCACCGGAGGTATCTTTACGTCTTAATCTGCTAAAAGTTATCTGCTTTGTCTTTATTGTTTCCATCTGTTTATTACAGCGCATTTCATCGTCATGCTACTTCTCTATATTTTAGTCCCACACGTATTCGTGTCGGAGGTGTGAAGTTTTTTACTGATGTGTTTATTAGCCTCATGGGAATCTAACAAGTTCTATTTTACCTCTTGGGGTGGTCGATGGTATATTTGCCAACGTAGGTATATAAAAAGTCTCGTATAGCTTTCTCGGTCCTATTTCCGAGGCTTTGGGTATAAGCATAGACTCAAGCTCAATTGTCGTAGGTAGATGTAGGTAGGTACCAGTGTAGGGGGATTGTTTGATAGCCATTCGTCTACCAGGAACTACTCCTGTTTTCCTTATGCCAACCAAACATTGCGCGACCTAGGAATCGCTATAGTCGAAGTCAATGAATTGACTTAAGGCGTGGGACCTAATTGGTTCCCGCGAGACTGACCCACAGCGGAGCTCCCTTCGTCTCAAAAGGGAACTCTCGACTCTTCTCACCTCATGGGTCTGATTTGATTTCTTTCTTTTCATCTACTTTGCTCTTTTTGAATTTTCTCTTTTCATTACTCAATTTTAGCCCGAAATCCGAGTTCCGGTATCGCTGAATCCTGGCTCACCGAGATTTCAACACCCAAAATACCAAGCATCTTAACTCAGCTCAGCAGTCACGTCTACAAAAAAATGGACTCCTCGCCCGGATCAGGAGCTCCAAAGAGGTCGACCCCTACCGGCGTCCCCGAGTTTAACAAGAATGGAGCATCTGCCTCGCCAGGCGCATCAGAGCGCAAGCCGAACGAAGACCAGACAGGAAGCGACAACCAGCAAGCTCCGTCAGGTCCTGTCTCCAAACGCAGACGTATGCAAGAAAGCCAACAAAACCGAAAGCGCGGCCGTACACCACCCTCAGTCTTCTCACGCCGTGACCGCTCCCGCAGTCCCCTCAATGCCTCGTCTCGCGACGGCCCATCCCGACGATCTCGATCTCCCCTGCAACCACGCAGTCCTCCCGCCGATGACGCTCCCAAGCGCAAGCGACCAGGCGGCGGCGCCCGTATGGGCATCGTGGACCGTGAGACGATGAGACGGAGACAGGAAGATCGCGACCGCCAAGAAATGGAAGATGCAGAGCGGATGTCCCGAGACCGTGGCGTATCGGACGTCGTGCGGCAACACTACAATGCGGTCCCGGAGCGTGGACGGGAGTGGCGCAAGACGGAGAGTAAAATTAAGGGACTGCGCAGCTTCAACAATTGGGTGAAGAGTACGTTGATCCAAAAATTCTCGCCTGATGAGGAGTTTGGGGCACGATTCGACGATACAAAGGATTGGGCAGATGATAGTATGGGCCCGCCTCCTATGGATGATAAGAGGCTTCTTGTGCTTGATCTCGGCTGTGGAAAGGGTGGTGATCTGGGTAAATGGCAACTTGCGCCGCAGAAGGTGGAGCTTTATGTTGGATTGGACCCGGCCAACATCTCTATTGAGCAGGCGCGGGATCGTTACGCTTCTATGCGATCCGGGCGTGGACAGCGGGGTCGACGCCCGCCTGCGCCGTTGTTTCATGGGGAGTTTCAGACAAAGGATTGCTTTGGCGAGTCGTTGGGGGATGTTCGAATTATTCAGCAGGTCGGCTTTGATGCCAATGCTGGTCCTGGTGGATCTATGATGGCGTCGCGGTGGGGTGGAGGTGGTTTTGATGTTATCACGTCCATGTTTGCGATCCATTACGCATTTGAGAGCGAGGAGAAGACGCGCCAGATGCTTAGCAATGTCGCTGGATGTCTTAAGAAGGGTGGTCGTTTCATCGGTGTGTGCCCGAACTCGGATGTGATCACGAGCCGTGTCAGCGCGTTCCATGAACAGCGTCGGGGGCACGAGGCTGTCAAACCTGCCCAGTCTGAGGGCCCTGAAGATGGCGAAGTCGAGGAGGAGGAGAAGTGCGAATGGGGGAACGATATTTATCGCGTTCGGTTCTCTGGTCCGACTCCTGAAAATGGTGTCTTCCGCCCGCCATTTGGATGGAGATATACCTACTTTATGCGCGAGGCTGTCGAGGAGGTGCCTGAATATGTTGTCCCTTGGGAGGCGTTCCGAGCGTAAGTGCCCAGTGGATGCTATGTTCTATACCTGTCACTAACTTACTCCAGCCTGACCGAGGATTATAACCTTGAGCTACAGTACCGCAAGCCTTTCTTGGATATTTGGGAAGATGAGAAGAATGACCGTGATTTGGGGCCATTAAGCGAGCGCATGGGAGTCCGAGACCGGGCTACAGGTGCTCTGGCTATGACAGAAGAGGAAAAGGAGGCAGCAAGTGAGTACACCCATGACTATAACGTTCTGACAGCTATTGACTGTTCCTAGGTTTCTACCATGCCTTCTGTTTCTACAAGGTCTAAATAGATTACTCTATATCAGTCTAGATCCTCCGCCCATGAGAGAGAAAACTTGTATCTTTACCATGTTAGCCACATAAATCTTGATCAATATTCGTCTTGTGTTGTGCTTCCCCTCGATGTAGATAACCGATAAGAGATAAGCTTATCGCTCCCAAATGTAACCCGATGTAGCCTAGCGCGGATCGCGACGCGTTTGTCTTTGAAGCAGCTCTTTGTTGAAAACCTCAGCGCAAGTCGCTACGTTGCGATCCCTTCCAAACTCTCGTCACCACTCTAACACAGCACTTCGAAGTTCCAAGACCCTCAAATACATTCAACGACCCATCTGAGTCCAGCAAAGATGATGCACTCAACCCCCGCGCGCCAGCGGATGTCACAATCACGCGCCCCCTCAAGTGTACAAAGAGACACACTTCCAGAATTCGAGATCCCAGAATTACCACCTTATGAAGCCCCCTCGGCCCCCCCTCACAGCTGAAACCAATCGCAATCTGGCCATGCTCCTCCAAGGCGAGGAACACAAAATTCTAAAGATCAACCTCCAGCATGCCATAGAATCACTCACCAACAACGCTGGCGAGGTGAACGAGCGACAATGTGATGCGCAAATTCGCTATGAGAAAGTTAAAGAAAAACGACGGAATCGAAATGCTGCTGAAGGCCAAGAAGAGGATTCTAATGAGGAGGCAAATAATGAGGAGCTGGAGAGACTTGGTGAAATGGAACGCAAAACCGATGCGGTGACGGGGCAAATGGAGGAGAAGATGCGGGCGATGATTGATGCAGAGAACAAGCTGCGAGAGCTGGCTGAGACGGTGGAGCGGATTAGGAGGGAAGAGGAGGAAGCGCAGATTGCGATGTTGGGACCGAGGAGGACGAGGGGAGGGAGGCGACGGAGAGCGGATGATGAGGATGGGGACGATGCTGCGGATAGTGATTTTGAAGGGTCACCAGAGCGAGAGGCAAGGGAGCGTTCTGCTCAAAATCCGCCGAGTCGGAGATTTGAAGAGAGTCTTAAAACTGCGGCCGAGAGATGGGAAGGGATGTCGTTGACTGAAAGGTATGATTTCATGGTGCTTAAAGTATATAAGAGCGGTTCTGACTATGGCATCTAGATATGCGAGCAACAACGATTACATTGGGTTTTACCGCATGGTGCACAATGCCAAGTTCCCCAACGACGAGGCTCCGCCGTTACCACATTCATCTACGTGGTTCCAACACATGGAAGATCCCAATGCGACATCTGCAGCGCAAAATGCCTCTGGGCCACGGGTTTTGACGCGCAGTCGCCGTGAGCCCTCCGAATCAGATGACGATATTGCCATTGAGCGAGAACGCATTTCCATGAAGTGTCCCCTTACATTACTCCCCTACCAGGACCCCGTCACCAGCACGAAGTGCCCCCACAGCTTCGAGCGTGAGGCTATCCATGACATGATTGCGCGGAGTGGGATGCAAATTCCCGTCGGACCGGGTCGCGGGGCTCGGCGTGTGCGCGCGGTCAAATGTCCCGTCTGCTCGACTCCTTTCACTGCGGAAGATCTGCGACCCGACCCAGTTCTGCTACGTCAGGTGCGGCGTGCAGAGGAGTTGGCTGCGCGTGAAGCCGAAGAAAACATGGAGGGCCAGTCTCAGTTGGCGCCTCGGCCTAATCAAATTACCTTAGAAAGTGATGCTATTGATGCTGACGACATGGATGTTGATGTGGAAGTAGACGCGGATACAGACGAGGAAGAGGCCCCGGCGCCTAGTGCACGTGTCAAGACGGAGCCATTGGAGCGAGCGGTATCTACTGATAGCGAGGAGAACGAGGGCGAGTCCGAGGAATTGGAAAACAATGATGAAGATATGGACTCGAGCGATAATGCTGAGTCTGAGGAAGAAGAGTAGGAGATTTGTGATAAGTATGATTCCCATGAATGGTGGAGATAAGCCGGATGATGAATCGAATTTCTTGGCTGCCATTTGTCCTCGGTTGTTTTAGCTTCTTTTACCTTCAAACCGTCAGATTCTGTACGAGTCCATGTTTCACTGCAAGTTCGCCATTAGGTAACGTCCATAGTGTCACAGTCTGGGGTTCTGGCAAATACGACGTCCACGGGCGCGTTTTAAGTATCCCAGGCCTCGGACCTTGCATGCGCTCCATTCGGAAGTTTTCGTATTGTAGTCTGGGGATTAGAACGCTAATCCAAGAAGAGGAACTTCTGGAGCCCCCTTTTCACTCATTGGCTGGACAGATCTAGGCGCTCTCCACATGGGATTTTGTAGGAGATGGACAGTCTCGCCATGTGGCACGGTCCAGATGGGGGGATCAAGCCACTGCAACGATCCCTCGTCGATACGACTTCGTTTAGTTTTAATACGTATCACGCGACCCCTGTATATCGAAATTAGGGGTGCAACTCTATCAAAGCGGAGAAAGACACATCGACCACGGGCCAATCAGACCGGCAATCCCCGCAAACCAACCTAGAAAGCTAAAATGATCTGGAGCTGGGATGCTACCTTAACTCGTGGTCGTATTTTTGGGCTTCTTCAATTTTCGTTGTGCTGTTTTTGTTTTTCTTTAACTTCACCGTTCCTTCCTCTCCTTCTCTACCTACTCCTAACCTCCTCCTCCACACCATCTTCACCCTCCACTCCTCTCCACATCTTCCGTGACTTTTTCCCCTTTAGATCATGGCTGATATGGAGACTACCTCCAAGTCAGCCCACGCGGGCCTGGAAGTTCGCTCTGAGGCTTACACTTCTTCGGTCAATGAGACGCACACACGCCCCGCTGGCTGGATGTACAAGCCGTTGAAAATTGGTAAAATGACGACTTGGTATGCCTCGCCTGGCTTTCAGTTGGGCATGGTTGCGTTTGTCTGCTTCATGTGTCCTGGAATGTTCAACGCGCTGGGTGGTCTCGGTGGAGGCGGCAAGACTGACAATACTTTGGCCGATAACATGGTAAGATCCCCCACATTTCCACATTCCTCCACTTTCACGTTTTCCACGTGGGTCATGCTAATGAGTTTAATTTTGCGTCTAGAACACTGCCCTCTACAGTACCTTTGCTGTCATTGGTTTCTTTGCTGGTACCTTTGTGAATCGTATTGGTGTTCGCTTGGCCTTGTCCTTTGGTGGCATTGGTTATTGCATCTATGCTATCAGTCTGCTCGTCTCGGAACATGCTAGTGTTGGTGGTTTCAATATTTTCGCGGGCGCATTGCTGGGTGTTTGTGCGGGTTTGCTGTGGGCCGCTCAGGGTGCTATTATGATGTCGTACCCTCCGGAGCAAAAGAAAGGTCGCTACTTTGCTTGGTTCTGGGGTATCTTCAATGTTGGCGCGTGTATTGGTGCTTTGGTAAGAATTCTTCCTCAGGATACGTAGCTCTGAGAGCTAACGTGTTGTGTCTTTGCAGATCCCTCTTGGTCAGAATATTCACGTCACCGAAAAGAAGAATGTCACCGACGGTACCTACATCGCGTTTATTGTGCTCATGGCCTTCGGTGCAGTCCTGGCCCTCTTTATCTGCGACGCAGACAAGATCATCCGCCCCGATGGCTCTCGCGTGATTCTGATGAAAGCTCCCACCTGGAAGACTGAGCTGGTCGGTCTGTGGGAGACTATCAGCTTGCAACCGTACATTATCCTGCTCTTCCCGATGTTCTGGTCCTCCAATTGGTTCTACACCTACCAGATGAACAGCATCAACAACGCCTTCTTCAACACCCGCACTAAAGCCCTCAACAACTTTCTGTACTGGTTTGCCCAGATCGTGGCTGCCGTCATCATCGGCCCGCTGCTTGATGTCAAATTCCTTCGTCGCAGTACTCGTGCCCGCATCGCCCTCGGTACTTTGTTCGTTCTTACCATGGCTATCTGGGGAGGTGGCTATGCCTGGCAGAAGGGCTACACCCGTGAGACCGTTGCCGCAGCGGACTTCAAAGCCTGGGACTGGACGACCCCTGGATTCGAGGGCCCGATGTTCTTGTACTTCTTCTACGGATTCTACGACGCAATCTGGCAGGGCACTGTGTACTGGATTATGGGCGCTCTCGGCAACTCCGGTCGCAAGCTCGCGAATTTGGCCGGTTTCTACAAGGGCCTCCAGTCTGCTGGTGCTGCCGTTATGTGGTCTTTGGACGGACAGCACAGCCTTCCCTACATGAACGAATTCGCTTCCAACTGGGGTCTACTCATGGGCTCGCTTCTGTTTGCCGCGCCCGTGATTCTCTTCAAGATCCAGGACTCGGTTCCGATCGAGCAAGATCTGAAGGGCACCGACGAGACCATCGAGGACGTCCTTGCGCCTGGTGCGATTGAGGAGAAGAAGACTCTGCAGAACTGAGTCTACCTCGACTATTAATTTCTTTGCGTTGGCATGCACACACGGGGGATACGGGGATCGGCGATTTACAACGGCATCTTTTCAACCGGAGATTTACCACTGCCAGGGATACCCTGAGCTTTTCGGCATTAATATGGGATTCACGATAATGTCCACCTGTTACCTAAGTTCTACATTTATTTTAATCATGAGGCATGGCTTTATCACCTTATAACATAGGCTAGAATTCTTTCTTCACGTAATACGTCAATGCCAAGTGTCCCCCCCCCAATTTGCGTCACCATTCCAGTCCCTATGAAATTCCGGTGTTGACTCATGCCGAAATAAGAATTGATCTTAGTCCCCAAGTTTCCTTTTTCGTGGATAATGAGAGTTTGTGCGCACCATGAGAGGACTAGTCATGTGGTCCATGAGGGATGACGGAATAATCTAGAAACACTACAGCATTCGACTCATCATACCGAAGGATGGCCACAATTGGCAGGAGATATCACTACCTATGCCTAGGTTATGTAGGTGATGAAAGGTCTACTGAAGTTTTTCAAAAGGATAATCCATTTCCCACTACATCACCGGGATGAATACATGGAATGGCCAAGAGATGCATGAGACAAGTGTGTGGGGTATTCGCTTGTCAAAAGGAAAGTAAAAACCAAAAAAAGCAGCAGCAACAACAACAAAAGTAAACATAGGAGGACAACACAGGAGACAGTCCATTTTTTTTTTTTTTCATTCCCGCGGGGAACTCGATAACCATAGCCCCTTGAGTCCCGGAGGAAGTCGGAATGTTTCCCGTGACATATAAATAAACCCAGTCGATTGATGACACTGCTCAATGCGGGTTCGATGAAGCAGAGCTGAGTTCTTGCCATTGTGCATGGCCAATAACCGGAAGAACATGTCTCGCGTAAAATATTCCAGGTAGACAGAAGGCATTAAGACTTTCCTTTTGATTCGGACAAGAAAACATAAAAAAGAATAACATCGCACGCGCAACCAGATCGTTAAGAAAATATACCGGGATCTCATCAATAGCTAATAAATCTAGTCGAAAACACCGACGATCTATTTCGTAATAAGGTTGAGGTAATCGGCCACGATGAGGGTCACCATACTGCAGATCATTAGCCTGTGGGTCCAATATAAGAAAGTGGGGGCAACTAACGCATGAGGAGCGATCCGCACGTAGTAAGTACCAAAGCCACGATAGAACCGCATCCAACCCTCCTCAGCCACAACCTTACGCGCACAATCCAAGACACCCCGATAAGGCACCTGACCCGTCTTTGGATCCTTAGTCTGCTTCTGCAACCGCGTCTTGATAAAATCGAACGGCAACGAAAGGAAACTAGCAAAGAAACCCGCGATCGCAGATGCAGCGAAAGTCTGGTTCTGAGCTGAAAGGCTCGTGTGTTGCTTGAGTTGTGCCTTGGACTCAGCGAAGAAGGTCAACTGTCCCATGTTCAGCGCCATGGCCCGGATCACCGTTGGCAGAGCGCCTGCCCACAGCGCACCGATACCCTCCGCCTTGGGAATGCGAGCCAGCGCATCAAAGACGGAACGGTAGTTTGCGCGGGCGGCGGCGGGTTTCAGGCCGTCGGATTGCATCCGGACAAGTGCTAGATCGGCTGGGTTTCCAATCATGGCTGCGATGCCACCGGCCGTAAGGCCTGCGGCCGCGCGTTCGGCGAAGGTGACTTTTCGGTTTGCCGATTCGGCGTTTGCGTTGAGGGTTTTGATGAATGTGTCGAAGAGGCCTAGACGGGCGGTGGTGTAGACTGCTTGGCGGAGGAGTCCGGCTGAGAGGCCGGTATAGAGATCTTGAAACTTTCCGGCGGCGATGATGTCGCGGGTGATTCCGAAGGCGGAGGGGCGGGGGCCTGTCTTTGCGCCTTCACCGGCGAGTTGGAGGCGGACTTTTACCATGTCGACTGGTTGGATTACTGCCGTCGCGGTCATGCCGGAGAGGCCGCCATTGATGAAGGGGAGGGCGGCACGGAGGTATGGGTTTTGGAGGAGGGTTTTAACTTGGGATTGAGCCGGAGCCACGGGATTGCTGGGTGAATCTTGGACAGAGTTGGAGGCCATTATGCATGCAGGATTCACACCAGATATGCTGGGGAGTCGGTCGGTGGTTAGTTGAGAACGTTCGAGAGCTGGTGTATAGGTTTTGTTTGTGCATCTAGGTTGGATTCCCATGTACTGACCAGGAGATTTGAGGGAATTCAAGGGAAATTCCGGCGTGATTTGTGCCTTTGTGCAGATTAGTAGTTGATCTCTCGGTATCAGAAGCCACGGCGGAAGTTTCCTGCCCATGGAAACATGGAACTCACCGATGACGTCGAGCTTAATGAGTTTACAATGGACAGATGAAACCACGGATGAAGAGAAGAAGAGGGGAGTTTGAGGAAACACAAGAGTGCGGGGAATGTTTTAAACCTTGGAAGCACCATACACGAGACTCGAAAATACTCGGAACCAGGGGGTCTGAGCTTGTCTATATAACTTGGGTGACCTCGGGTCTTTTTCTGATGTACAGCAGCTAGAATCCACCCCGCGAACAACCGTGCCCATCAACCGGACCGATTGTTCGCCGTACGTTCTCCGGACTTGTGGGGTGATGGAGATGACATGGTTTTAGTATGTGGACCAATTACGTCGATCGCGATGCGTTTACAAGCGTCACTCGTTAAATGCGGGGATTAAAGCTTGTCATGTGTCCAGATTCCAGTCGAAAGCGGGGGGTAACATGCGAAACTAATACCACCATCTGCATACACAGATTCTTCTCTTTTACCTCCTTACCTTTTCCTCTTGAACATGAGCAGTCTTCCTGATCGACGGGATATGGTGTTCTCCACGTCATTAACCCCAGACCGCATTAGTGCCACGGGCTAAAGTCGGAACCCCACCTCGACTAAGCTTCCCACCACGAGAACGGTCGGGAACCCGTGTTGCTATCCGAGGGAAACTATTACTACACAATATACGCATCAACTATAATGACTTAATGCCGGTAAATACGTCTACGTCGTTCATCTCATACCGATTCACTCGGTTAGAATTTCGGTGGGACGGATCTCCAGGCCAGATCGGCTATTCCTCAGTAATATTCTCCCGCTTCCGCTACCCGTACCGAGGGCATGGATATCAACTATACAGAGGGGCCACCAAGTGGATCCAGGCCATTGCACTCTAGCCCCATCGCTGCCCCTGACTGGCCCGGCCAATAACACCTCCGCCAATACCAATGAAATCTCCCCTTGACGCGAACGGGCTTTGTTGAGGCAAAAGATTAGTCCCACCCCTGGAATCCTCCGATCTCATCCAAGAGTGGGATTGATTCCGCCGAGGACCGGCACTTTATTGTACGAATGCCTCTTCCAGATCAAGTCATTGGTCCCTGGTAGCTTTGAAGCCCCGGTGCTAACCCCGAATGTCGATTATCGGAGCTTTAGCCTCGATCACGGTGACGACTGGTGGAGCGGGATTCAGCACACGGAGGACAGCAGTCCGCCTTGTTAGTCTGGGCATTGAAGCTGGAATCAATTATTTGACGCCCTGGCAATGATTGCCGGCTGTGAGATCGTCATGCGGAATAAACTCGGCTATGGCTCGTTAGAAAGCGCTCGCCATGCCTGATCATCGGGCATGAGGGGTCCACCGCATGTTCAATGGAGTTGAAGTTACACTTACAACGCAGTGACTATTCCGTCTGGACCTTGATATACTACGTACAACATATACTCTTTTCCGTGGAGCGGTCAGCTCAATGACTACGCTAATTATCCCACGGTCATCTCCGAACTCCTTGTTTCAAAGTTATCTAGCTTGCTTTCCGTTGAGATTCCCGTGCGGGCTAACACGAGATACAGTATGACCTCAGGGCCGGTGTCCAAGTTCACAGGCGCTTTATCTTGGAATCCCAACAAATAGTACATTACGATAGCATCACTCAATAGTGTCATCCTTCTATAACTAGATCTCAGATCCAGACTTCTCATGCGCCCCACCGCCAAGCAAATCCAATACCCCCAACAGACACAAACCCACCATAGAATCCAATACAGACCCTCAATCTCATCACCTGTCATAACCAGATCCCAAATAGGAAAATCACAATCAATAAAGGGAAAGCGGAATCCACCCGCCCCAACAGTAACCACTAGCACTACCCACTCAACCTGAACAAAGCCGAGCCTACGCCCCGCGGAAAATACGGTCGGCATATCTACGGGCAGAAGTACGGGATCCGATGAGTCCCTGGCAAGAATGTTCGGGAGCGGAGGGTATTCCGACGGCAAACGGGTGGGCTGCAGCGGGATGTGGCTCGGGATCGGTGGGGTGTTCGGCAGTGGAAGTGGTACATGTTTTGATGTGGGGAACTACCCATATTATTAAATCTAAACTTGGGTCTTGAAATCAAAGTCGCGAGCTATCTTGACCAGCATCGTTTGTCTTTACCTGAATGCTTTATGTCATATTCTAGCCAGGACGTAACAGTTTCCACTTGATGCTTCGACATAGGCCGCTTGACATAGAGCAGTCGATAGGCAGCTCGATAGCCTCCAGCCTCAGAAACTGCTGAGTAGTTTCTCCATGTCTACGCAAGACTCCACATGAGAGTGCAAATACTCGAGAAATCAAATTGAACTCAAAACAATAAGTTCCAACGTTACCATTTGTAACATGGTACTTTCAAAAAGCAATCATAATAGATGTGACAGGTATTGAATAGCCTGGCAGTAAGTGGAAATAGTAATCCCTGCACCTATTCCGCCCTTCCACTTACGGGCAATTATCACACTGCAGCGTTCCATTCTGGTTAGTTATCCCAATATCTAAGCCATATTCCCTACATCAGCATACCACTCGACTTAGAGTTTGAACTTTGAACTGACCTAACTGAAGACTTGTGGAATTATTCCATGTCCCATTCATCATTGCACAATTCGAGACCAACAAGCCGTTTGAATCTATGATGCTCTCTTGACAAGATAAACAAAAATTGCCGCTGCGAGACTGTTAGCAGAAGTCTTTCGGTACAACTAGCTAGGGATTTTTGATTTACTGAGGCAAGAACTAGAAATGATAAAAATCGTTAATGAACTCCTCGTATATGATGAACGTTAGAACATTTATAAGTTATCCAAGGGGAGCTTACAGTCAGTCTTCCGTCCATGTTCGCAACACAATTGTTCAAGTCAACTTTTGATCTTATTTGGTGACCATCCGGGGTACCACAGGTTGCCCTGAGGTATGGTTTGGCGTATACTATGTGGCTGCATGAGCGGGTGAAGCCATTTGCTGTTCGGGCGGCAGCTTGGTGCAAGCTCATGCTTAGAGCTAGAAGGATTGGATTGAGGATCATTGTAAATTGAGCTAGATATCCATATGGCGGAATGGTAGGGAGTACAGAGAATGTGGGCAGGTTCAAAGGTTGAGAAGAGATGGGAGATCCGACTCTTGATCGCCTTTTTATAATCACCAATCTGCTACCCAGCGGGTCCATATCATGGGTCAAGTTTACGGGTAATTTCTAGCATCCATATGACACGGGTAGAAGCAGATAATAGGTATATCGGAGCACTGGTGTGACATGATTCACAGCACGGGCTATTATTGAATGAAGCCAAGGTCGGTCTCATACTACTTGAGAAATTGCCGTTGGGAATTCAAAGGTATTCAAGCACATCTAAGGAAGACACTTTGATTTACATCTTAAAAGTCAAGGTTGTCTGAAATATCTGATTCATTGGCTATCGTTAAGGGTAATCGAGATGGAACTCCGATTGAGCCAGTCATCGAACATGTCCATCAATAAGACAAAATACATAAGGAGATAAAAAAGAGATATCAAAAATAGGAAAATCAAGAAAGGAAAATACCTCTCACTTGGGCCGATTCAAGTGATGAGGCCGAGATCCAGGGGAATAGATCAAGCCAACGCAGCACGCCATGCAAATGACTTATAAAAGTCTGAAAAATCAAAACCAAAATGCCAATTTTGAGACCCGTCACGGGAATATTTAAACGCGGGGAGCGGCAGCCATGACCTCGGGGGTGGCCTGGTCGGAGTACTTCTTGAAGTTCTCGTTGAACAGGTTGGCCAGCTTGGTGACCTCGTCCACGAAGGGAGTGGAGGCAGTCCAGCTGGTCTTGGGGTTGAGCAGCTCGTTGGGGACACCGGGGCAAGACTTGGGGACGGGCAGGTTGAAGACATCGTAGGTCTCGTACTCGACAGTGGCGAGGTGACCGCTGTGGATGGAGTCGAGAATAGCACGAGTGTACTTGAGAGGGCAACGCTTGCCGCCGGTGGTGGCACCAGCACCGACCCAGCCGGTGTTGAGGAGCCAGACGTCGGCCTTGTGCTGCTTGATCTTCTCGGCGAGCATGTGGGCGTAGCGCATGGGGTGCAGGGCCAGGAAGGGCTGGGCGAAGCAAGAGGAGAAGGTAGCCTGGGGCTCGGTGATACCATCCTCGGTACCGGCCATCTTGGAGGTGTAACCAGAGATGAAGTGGAACATGGCCTGCTCGGGGGTGAGCTTGGAGATGGGGGGCAGGACACCGCGGGCGTCACAGGTGAGCAGGATGATGTTGGAGGGGTGGTTCTCGCTCTTGCAGGGGATCTTGGCGTTCTCGATGTACTCGATGGGGTAGGCGCAACGGGTGTTCTCGGTGAGGGTAACGTCGTCGTAGTCGACAACACGGCTGATGGGGTCGAAGACAACGTTCTCGAGGACGGAACCGAACTTGATGGCGTTGAAAATATCGGGCTCCTTCTCGCCGGAGAGGCCAATGCACTTGGCGTAGCAGCCACCCTCGATGTTGAAGACACCAGTGTCGGTCCAGCAGTGCTCGTCATCACCAATCAGCTTGCGCTTGGGGTCGGCAGACAGGGTGGTCTTTCCGGTACCGGACAGACCGAAGAAGACAGTCACATCACCGTTCTCACCCTCGTTGGCGGAGGAGTGGAGGGTCAGGACGTTGTGCTTAACGGGCATCTCGTAGAAGAGGACAGTGAAGACACCCTTCTTCATCTCACCAGCATACTCGGTACCCAGGATGACCATCTCCTTATCGGCAAAGTTGATGGCAACGGAGGTAGCGGAGGTCATACCCTCAGTGAAGCGGTTGGCGGGGAAAGAGCCGGCGTTGTAGATGACATAGTCGGGGTGGAAGTGCTTGAGCTCCTCAGCGGAGGGGCGGATAAGCATGTTGCGCATGAACAGAGCATGGTAGGCACGAGCGCAGACGACACGGACGCTGATGCGGTAACGCTCGTCCCAGCCGGCGAAACCATCGATAACATAGATACGGTTGCGAGTGTTGAGGTAGTCGACAGCACGCTCACGGTTGATACGCCAGACCTATTGGTGACATGTTAGTATATGACGTCATGCACGTGAGGCCTCGGTAATGCGGGCGGAGGGGAAACGAAAGAGCCGAGGGGCAGAGTGGATAGATCCGGATGGTCTCAGAGAAAATCCCAAAAATGGAAAGAGATCGCAAGAAAACCAAAAAGTGGACAGGATTGCAAGCCTGAGTGCCAGAAAAGCTTGACCCTGGACTGCATATGCAAGGGATCCTGGGGTGGAGCCAGCGGGCCACCTGCAAGGGCAGTCGTCGACCACATAGTCCCGACAAATATGTAACGAAAGAAATCGCTCATAGCAAAGGAATAAAGAAAAGCCTCAAACTTACATCAGGGGTCATGGGCTTGTTGACAGGTCCCCACCAGATCTCATTCTCAGAGGACTCCTCCTGGACAATACGCTTGTCGGAGGGGGAACGGCCAGTCTTAGCACCGGAGTAGGCGCTCAAGGCACCGCTGGAAGTGATGGCGGTACCGGTCTCGTAGACAAGGGCATCTTCGTACAGAGCAGGGACAGCAGGGTTGGCAATCTGTGATGTATTAGTATGGTCATAGCGATGGATGAATCGGCGTCGAGGGTCTGCTTACAATGGCAACACGGTCGTAGTCAATGTGGGCAGTCTCGTGCAGCTCCTCCTCCAGCTCGGTGTGACCCTTGCTAGGCCTATATAAAAAGAAAGACGGTTAGCGACGGGGACGTATGAGACGACAAGGTAGAAAGGGCAACACGTACTGGACACCGCCAGGGTGGAGGGCAGTGCGATTCACAGATGTAGCAACCATGTTTTTGAGTGAAGTAGAATGATAATTATTGTTGCGTTGCTTTGCGACTTGCTGTTGAAAGAAATCCGAGTTCAAGAGACCTGGAGAGCTGGGGCGGCCGGGGACTATATAATTTCGGTCAGGAGGGGCCATTGCCGTGACGATATGTGAATGCGTTCTCGTCCTTTGCCCCTGTGCTTCTCCACAGTTCCACGGGTGATGTCGGGGCGGAGGGCCGAGCTGAGAGGGACGGTTGACGATGGATGAAGCGTTGCCGACTGCGAATACCTGGGGAGGCGCAGTCCGAATTGACCCGAAAGGTTCTAAGTGGACACGAAGTGCACCCGGGGGACGGATGATGAACCGGAAAAGTAAGGAGGGGGAAATGATCAAGTGGATACTGCAGAAACGAGAAAAAAAAAAAGCCGCAGTGGTGGAGCTTCTGTATAGATCTGGGTTTTTTATTTTGGTAGATTGTGGTAGTAGGATGTAGAAGAGAAGAACGAGACCGCGATGCTCTGCATTTATAACTACAGTTGTCTACGACCTTTAACCTAGGTTATTCACAAAGCCGCATTCATGCTTGTGAAATGCTCCAAGGTTTGCTGTAAAAACGTCAAATCCAGCTACGGACGACAGGAATGACGCGCAATGATCTCACCAGGTTTGTGAAGCCAAAGTTACCAAGGACGGTTTCTCACTAGTCTAAACGCAGCAATTCGCGGGGGAAGCTGACATAATTGTCGATCCCGGAGTCTCGATCGGCTACAATGGGCTTGAATGTGATTCTTTCCGGCTTGCCTCGCCGATTTCACTTCGGAATGAGCATCGTGAGCGATAAAACTGGAATGCGAAAAATACAGAAAATCATGAACCCGATGACGACAAAGACACGGTGCCAGGTCGGAACGAAATGTGGTTTTAGGATCCTCCGAAGTGTTCTCCAATAACGGCGTTTAACCAGCCGAGGATGATGTATCAACGACATTGACCGCGGCGGCCTCGACCAATCAGAGGCCGTACATTTCCATTTTCCAGGGATAGTCGGGTGGGCAGAAGATATTGCCGCTGGGTCCTAGGGTTTTCTGCCATTTTGTCTTGCCAGACGATAATGTGCGGTGTTAACGGTTCAATGAGATCGAGGCCCTCCCAATGCACGTTACGTGCCAATTCTCGGTCTCGGCCCAGCTCACGAATTGAGGCTTGGAACATCCCGTGAATGCGGTAGGGTCCCGAAAATGGGTCTCATCGTGTTGGATTTTTCTTTTTTTCTATTCGGTCGTCAGTTCATGCTCGAGCTGCTGCCCTCGTGTCGGCTCGTGAGGCCCAATGGCCCTGGTTCGATCCCAACCCCAGATCCTCCCGGTGGTTAGCGGCGGATGCCGAACCGGATTGTTGTTCTCGGGATGAGACAAGCTGCCCTTGCGCGATTTGTTTGAGCTTACGTATCGAATCGCCGAAAAAGAAAACTATTCTTGTCGCTAGGAATGTGTTCTAGGCATGTTCCTACAGCTCAGCTGATCTGTCTAGTTTTTGTTTTTATTTTAATTCTGTTTATTCCACGAGTTTCTTCGTTGCGCGTGACATCGTCAACAACATAGAGCAATTGATCCCGAGTCTGGAACCAGGCTTTTTCACGTTTAATAATAACTTTGCTCTATTCGTTTTAGTTTTCGTTTCAAGTGGGGAAAGGGTATTCTTGTCTCCAGGAAAAAGAAAAAACCATCTGGAAATCCCGAAACCTGCCCCGGTCTTCGATTCAGCCCCGGTCTCCCCGGGTTCGCCCCGGAACTCTCCCCCCTTATCACCTTCCCGGCTTAACGATTATCAACAGAGTCGCCAATCACATCAGCGTTCCCCCTCCTAATTCACCCGTGATATCTACTTGGTCATTCCAACTAAACGTATCAGATCTCCCTGCCCAACCACATCGCTCCGGTTCTCAAAACGGCCTGGTGCGGGAATAAGGCACACACGTAGATCACTTGGCTCCTATTTTCCCCGACCCGATCCTGCACGTCATGCCTACTTTTTTGCGACTGGCCGGCACTGGAACGGGCCTCTTACCGACTGCCTGATGACGCCTTCGCTCATCAATCACCCGAGTGGAAAGCTGATACTGACTAGGGGGCGAATGTCCACCGTCCTTGTACCAGCGTTGGTCTGACATTCTCGCTTGGCAGTTCTTGGCTGTCTGGGGAAGTCGGTCGCGTGGCTCAAGCGGATGCGGGGTATAGCGTGGAGGGGTTCCTCCACCTGGTGACTTGCGTCATGTCGCCCCTGGTCGCTTGAACCTTTGTCATGGAATGTAGTCTTCTCTATTTGTTTGTCGGCTATTTGCTTGGGCCGTAGCTATCCGTGCCACCATGCCTGAGCGTCTAGGGAAATATCGGATAGCTGCTGTAAGACCAGGTGGTAGTTGCGCAGAGCTTTGGGTTTCAGATAAATTGCCGTGCTCTTTGTATACAAGATGAAGCTATATGGCCCAGGCATAGTGGGCAAGATACTTACTTACCCATATCACCGAAATATCTATGACTTTTCAAATCAGTTTAAGCAGATGACCAGAATCGTGAAACTTTTCGTATACCTAGGGGACTCAGAAGTTCAGCCGTAGCTCATCTTGGTCGGACCCGATGTCATCTCTGGCTTCCATGATCGGGGGCCTTATTATATCATCTACAAGGTATAGCCCAGGATTTTTCTCCTTTGCAAAGCTGGTAGAAAGTTCCCTCATTACTTTCACCAATTTTTTCAAAATAAGGCACGTGCGAAAAACCTTACTGAAATCTCAAGGATAGACAAGCTTGAGCCCCGGAGGTAAGAAGCTGATCCAAAGTCTCATATTTTCTCAATAGCTCATTTGTCTGATAGGACACGATACTGGGCACCGGGCACTCGCATTTGTATGCGAGGTTCTGGCTCACAAGGTAGGTATTTATGAATATAGAATGTTAATCTTGGAATTAAGAAATATGGTGCCAGGGCCGGGGTGTGAAAAACCTCAGTATATATATAATGAGGGCCCCACTAAATTCCGGCCGAACCCACACGATCTCTGGGCAAGTCAAATTAAAACAGAGGACTAAATCCCCGATTCGCAAAGCTCAGTAAAGAATAACCTCATCCTTAATAGCTCCATCTTCTTTCCACTTTATAATAATATCTTTTGTACCCTGAGCAGCAATCTTAGCATATCCCTCCCCAGGTGGCGGCGCGTCGGCAGGAGGCTGCTTCGCAGAATCACCAACAACCCAAACGACCGGCTCCTGGTTTACACCTTCACACGCTGCCCGGAAAGTCTCAACATCGGATCGAGAAAATCCACGGCCAAAAATGACCGCACGGGCCGGCTGAGTGTAATTCCCGGAGCCCACGCCGTTATTGTGGGGGGACTGGGGATCCCGACCGGCGAGTAGGTGGGGAATCTCGGCCAGAGCCGCATCATTGGTTTGGATGAAGTGGATCACTGGTTAAGCTTAGGTGTTGTTTCAAAGGTGTTTGAGATTGTGATGAGGCTGAATCTTACCTTCGAATTCGGGTAGCATGGCCTCTGCTACGGGCTTTCCGATTTTGGTTGATAGGCCACATAGGACCACTGGTAAAGGATTGGGGAGGTTGGACATGATGGACGCTTAGAGGTATTTGATTCAGAGGAGGTTGTTAGACTTGGCTTTTGGTCATTCCGTGGGGAAGTTGTTCTCTTCTTATACCCCAAGAGAGGGAGGGGGCTGAGGGAGGTACAAAAACGTGCAGCCAGCCAACCAATAACCTTACGACCTACCTTCTCCTAATCGCGTTAGTCAACTAGTTGGCATTTTGTAATAGAATAAGCTTTTATCTCACGATTTGCTGCCAACGACCCTTTCGAAAATCTTGGATAGATGCAATATAATAGAATTCTGATATCAACAACCATGCCAATCACAGCGCGAGTTTCTCTCAGCAACAGAGCTCTTCGACTCCTCATCGATACAATACTCCGTAAATCGGCCATTCTATCACTTTCCGTTTGTCTGTTTTGGACCCCAACCTTTTTAAATTCATCTTCACTGCTGAAAGCACCCACAATGCTCTCTTATCACTAATTGACTGGTTGAAACAAGCGATACTGTAAGTCTTACACTATGAGTACAATGCTTGTAATTATATATGTAACCATGGCTTACAAAACAAGCTTATAACATGACAAGCGCGATTAAATCGCTTATGACATCTGAATTACCTAGTGAAGGGAAAGGCATTGCCCCTGTTTAAGTCTTTGCTAAATATCTCCTGAGAACCTAGAACGAGTAACCTTGGCCTAACATGGAGCAAATGCAGGAGGCTGCAGCCACGTACGATCCTGAGGGGATCAGTCCAGGAGCTGCAGCATGGAGGCTTTCTCGTACGTGACATCGTCTAAGATTTTCGTCGAAAGCAGGGCCTATTAGCTCCAGATTTCTGTCATAAGTATATGATTCACCAATGAGCACGACTAAGCCTTTTATTGTCAATAAAATCGCTGTGTGGAATAATTTGCCCCACAGTAACTGGTGATCGATCGACCGGTTGTAGATCATCGGCGATGGTCATCTACATCAGTAACCTGTACACTCATAATAACGAAGCATTTCTTATCCATACTAAACCTGTCATATGTAGCATGAGGGGGTGCAAGTGCCAAACTAAAATTCATTAAGATAACGCCACGTGCAAATCCAAAGATGTAATTCAATGGAAACTCGCCAACCTTACACCTTTTATACGTCATTCGTTCAAAATCGTATGCCATTTATATACATTTAAAGCCCAAAACATCGTCACATTAAGCCAAGCGAAAGCAAGAAAATGCCATCATCGCGCGAAACTCTCCTAAAACAAGCTAAAAAGCTCCGCTTCTGGCAAAACGTCCTCTCCTGGGTAGACCGCTACCTCTGCTGGCCCCTTCCCCCAAACCCCAGTCTAGAGTTAACAATTCCAACAACAGTCAGCAAAACCTCCGGCTCAATAAAACTCTACTTCTACACAGCCCAAAATCAAAAACCAACCTCAACCTTCTCCCAAACCCACGAAATCGATGCACCGCGCCGTCCAGTCCTCATAAACTTCCACGGAGGCGGCTTCTCAATCGGCCATGCAATCGACAACGCACGCTGGGCTCACGCCGTCACAAAAACCCACCCAGACTGCGTCTTCATCAGCGTAAACTACAGGCTTGCACCGGAACACCCATTTCCCATCCCCATCGAAGACGGCGTCGACGCCGTACTGTGGTTATGGGATCATGCAGATAAATACAATCTCGACCGCGACCGCTTTGTGCTTTGCGGCGATAGTGCGGGTGGGAACCTTTGTTTTACGGTTCCGCTGCGTTTACATGAAGAGCTTGAGATTCGTGGACGTCTAGAAACCAAAAGTGAGATCAAACTTGCAGGTTCGTTGGCGTTTTATCCTACTGTGGATTGGACGCGTTCGCGGTCGGAACGGGATGCTACGAATCCTATTGCGGCGGAGCGGTCGTTGATTCCACCGAAGGTTTTTACGTTCTTTGATGAGTCGTATCTTGTTCGGGAGAACTTGCCTAAGAAGGAGGGTGGAAGTGTTGACTGGGCGCATCCGTATTTGTCGCCTGCGTTGGCGCCGGCGAATGTGTTACTTCCAGCGCTCCCACCTTCTGTGTCTATCTATACGTGTGGATGGGATCAATTGCTTGTTGAGGGGGATGCGTTGAGGGAGAGGATTTGTAAGTTTGTGGATGAAGGAAGGATGAGGCATTGTGGGGGGTTGGTGATTGAGGAGGCGATTCATGGGTTTGATAAACGGCCAACGTTTTGCTTGGGGGATGAGGCTAGGGATCAGATGTTTGCGGATGCGAATGAGGAGTTGGAGATTATGTGGAAAGTGGAGCATTATTCGCAAAAGGAGATTGAACAAGCATATAGACAGGGCTGAGCTATTACTCGGTGGTGAACCGACATCTTGTACCTTTGGAAATTAGCACACACTCGTTTCCATTGAAGCTTTCCCAACCTATTCAACAACATTAGAATATCTGTAGATCCTTCAAGTGAGCCATAGTCGGCTCATAGGGCTATCGAGCGTTCTCACTAGAACGTTTGTTCTCTAAGCAGTCAACATCCTTGAGAAAGATCTAGGCATTTACTAACTGCTATTATTCTCCGGTATGTGGAATCTTAGACTAATTAAGGTTGTGCCTATACGTTACATCTGCACATCACGCAGGGTATACTCAGTACAGCTTATCATAAAGCGGGGCAGGCGGGGTAAGACACAAAGTGGATTATTTTCTTCTGCCCCTCGCTGACATTTTCCCTAACGATCACTCGCCTTCTCATTTTTATCTACCTTGGTAGCCAGACCAACCTCTTTAGGTATGATATTCGCGTGTTATGCACATTTCCAGACTCGTTCCAGACTCGTTCCAGAGAACGCTTCCCTCTGACTGGCTGATAGACCAAAGATCTCTATAATATGTCCGGACACGCTAGCTGCCCCAAGTGCTCTGCCGCTATGGCCGGTGGTTCTAAGACCTGTGGATCGTGTGGCGCGGTTCGTTGGTTCTTTTGTTTTGAGTCGGGTGATTACTGATGATGTTAGACTTGCCCTGTTTAAGCCGCCCGCCCGTGATGAGTGATGGAGATAGGTTACGGCGATGAGAAGCGATACGAGTTATGAGAAATGGGGTTTTGGATTTGTGGTTTTGATGAGAATGATATCCACCGGTGCGAAATGGGGTTCTACTAGCTCTTGACAGAATGAGATACCACTTTTTAACCTTCAACCAAGGTAAACTTCCCGTAGAAAGTTAGGGACTTAGGATGGGTTTTAAAGAAGACGGAATGAAATTGCTATATACTCAAAGACGGGGCATCTAGACATTTTCCCCTTCAAAAAAGAGATACAAGTTGTTCATGACAAGGATATAAACGCGGAAACGGTCAAACTCATAACGCAGTAGTCAGGACCAACTAATCTACGTATCCTTCATTCTTCGCTGGTACAAGGACAGAGTCCCTCATACCAGCACACAAGCTCGGCTAGATATGACCGAACCAGTACTCACTACACTCCACTGATGGTGACCTCATGGTTGCAGACTCCATTTACGCGGTCTTGCGCCACTGGGACCAGATACCGATCAGGGAGGTAATGGTACCAGTGATACCGACAATACCATCATCCAGGTTGAGGACACCGATCGCAGACAACGGAGCGGCCAAGTCGCAGACATCGGAGAAGAGCTGTATCCGAGCAGCAGAGCGCTCCCTATGAAACATTAGCACATGGACTCTTTTTCTGATAGGATCCCAAACAAAGAAAACGTACTTTTCAATCTTCTTAGCCTCCACAACACCCTCGCCCTCCTTCCGGTCAACGGTCTTCTCCTTCTCCTGCAGCTTGAAGAGAGTGTACAGACCCGCAAGAGCACTGCACATCAGACCAGCAGCCCAAGCGCGGTACGCATTCTCCTGCAAACGCTTCACAGACTCAAGCTTGCGGAATCCGATAGCATCAACAACGGTCACCATGTCAAGGGACAGGTAACCAGCGTAACCGAGCTGACGACCGACGCTCAGGTAACGCAGGACAGGGTCGATAGGACCCTTGTTGTCGAGGGCAACGGAGGCAGCCTTGAGGTGCTCAGCGAACTTGCCGATACGCATGATCTTGCGCGTTGTGCCGAACTGCTTCTTGACGGCATTGTAGGGATCGATGGCGGATTGGGGCTTGTTGGTGCGGTACAGGTACCAAGCGTAGAAGCGGGAGAAGTATTGGAGGGTACGGAGGAGCTTATCGCGACCGACTGGATAGATGAAGAAGGTGGTTGTTAGCTGGGATTTTTTTTTGGATGCGGTTAGGCTGGAATTGAGCTTCGCCATCTCGTCCGCCCCATCAGGGGATCCCTGAGGACATCACTGCAGTGTATTACACTGTGCTCGATTTGACTCTCTCGGTTGGCCTAAGCCTAGCTCATAGGATCAGGTTTATAGGGGCATGTGCATACCGGTTGTTGCGACAAAGCGCAGCCAGTGCGCCAGCGCTGGGTGGTAAACGAGAGCGTCGGCGACCATGTTTGCTGATTCAATTCTCGATCACGCGAGAATGGAGTTTGGGGTTGGTTCGGAGTCCGGCTTCGAAAGGAAAGAAGGAAGTCACAAGCGGACGGAGAGTGTTTAAAAAGGGAGGAATGTATTGTCGGGTGGTGAAAGGGAGGGCCGGTAATTGACCGGCGTCTGGAGCCGCTGATGGGCAACCTCGGCTGAAGGGGGAAAGTGTGGAGTGACCGGCCACTCCCCGATCTGACGTCTTCCATCTCCCGCATTTCATGTGAAGTGCTTATTTTGGTTCATTTGGCTATGATCTGCTTGTTCTGGTTTAGCTTAAAAAGAGAAACAGTGATTTTTTCTTCATTATTCAATGTATATTGTTATTTACAAGGAGTTTTTGGGCTGTGGTTTACGGCATAATCGCGATCTATCTTCCGATCGATTTTCGTCATCGCATAATTAGGTTCACTGCACCAACATTGCCATCTACAATTTATCTGTAATTATTTGGATGTGCATAAAAGTCTGAGCAGGAGTCGGAAGCACAACACTCGGAACATTACTTACTATTGAGATGATTCTGCCGCTAACATCAAGCTGGTCAAATACAAGAGCAATAAAATGTTCGGAAATGCATCGCCGAGGTAGATCACCCGCAGATCAGCTCGGAAAATGCCCACCATCCTGTCATAATACATTGCAGGGGATCTCTCGTGAATCGTGTCGCAAGGGGGTATGTGGCCGGTTCGTCGCAAAGGGTAATTTCGTATCATAGCATGGCTGATTACTGAGACATGGGGTGTTGCATGGGGTGTCAGATCCAGAGCACATTCATCAGGGGGAATGTGGCAGGAGGGTGTGGGCAATTAATGAAAAGAGGGATAGCAATCGTACAAGTGCCTGATTTGGTGGCGGCAAAACCTGGGCCTGGGTGAGCCCAGTTAATAATTGCCCAGGGTTGACGTGTCGTAGCCCTCTTCGGCTAGGAACTCGCGGAACCTCTCATCCTCGTGGGTAATGGTGTCCTGCAGTGTATTAGAGTTGAGCGTAGCATAACACAGAATGGGAATCGTACCTGGTTGATCTGGGGCAGAAGGAACCAGGCCAGGAAAGCACTGAAGATGCAAAGAGAGCTGGAGATGAAGAAAGGATCTTGACCAGCTCGGACCTTGTTGGGGGCATTGTCTTGAGCAATAGGAAGAACGTATGTGCCCACGAAGGCACCGATCTTTCCAATGGCCGCGGCATAAGAGTAATACTGTCCCCGAATGGCGGTAGCGCTAGTCTTGGCCGCGACCAGGCCAATGTTGTCACCAGGACCAAATTCGCCCAGAGCCAGGAAGACACTATGATAATCAGTGAAAGCTTGAATAGCGAGTCGTAGGATCTACATACCCGTACACCACGATAAAAGCACCCATATACTCCGTAGTGGCAAGCCACTCATAGCATCCGGACATGATGAATCCAACCACTCCCTGAAGAGCAACCCCGATGGCCAGTGTCTGACGAGGACCGAGCCAGTCACTGCAAAGAGCCCCGAGAAAAGATCCGGGCATGTAGAAGAGATAGATCACAGTAGTCCAGCCGAAAGTCTTCCAGAGTGGTGCAGTCGACGGCAAGATCAATGCCAGGAATTTCGAGGAGTACAGACCGAAGGAGTACGAAGAAAAGTCATAGATGAACCAGATCAAGGAGACGGTAAACTATAGCCAATTTAGTAAGATACCCCTTTAGGTGTTAATAGTAGGAACTCTTACCAAGCGTTTCCAGTAGAACTTAACGATCAGTCTCAGTGGGAAAGTGTGCATGCGTTGGCGATTGAATTCCTCGGGCTCCTGCATCTTGTACCGAAGGTAGACCAGACTCAAGGGAGGAATGATACCCAAGCCCAAGGAGATACGCCAGGCCGCTCGCAGATGATCAGAAGTGCAGGCCAGGCACACAATCATGGGCACCAAAGCCGACACCACGAACCCAAGATCGATTTGAAAGTTGGTGAACATGATGAACCACCGGTTGCGATGGCCCTGCTTGAGCTCGCCCGTATTCTCTGCACAGGCGACCGAGCCGGCCGGATATTCGCCACCAATGCCGATTCCAATGAAAAACCGATATGCCGTGAGCGCAGCGAACAGTCCATATGTGCTGTCATGGTAACCATAGGAACCAGCGCAGAGAGCTGCGAAAACAAATAGGATGATGGTCGAAATCATCAAGGACCACTTGCGCGACCAATGGTCACTCGTGTAGCCAAAGATGAGCATTCCGACCACAGTGCCGACGAACGCAATTGATGAGACATTCTGGCTGGCCGTAGAGTTGGCGTAGGCATCCGGATAGATGGTACTCAGAATTGTGTTGACTTGACCAATGACCTGGAAACATCGATATCAGTATGTTTTCCCCACAAAGTAACACGGCACGTGAGACCAATGACCATAGAGTAGTTTAATTGGCACGCGGCCCGTGTTGATTTATTTTTTCTTCTCCAGCACTTACGCCATTGAGATAACCATCAGAGAATAAACCAGCACCGCAAGCAATAGTAGGCCAGCTGCGCTCCCAGCGACTTTTGGTCTTATCTTCAAGTGGTGGCATGCCGTCGGCACCATCCTCCAGCGGACCAGGGCCCTTCTCCGGGTATGTTTTGGGTTCGATTTCCTTAGAAGTCATTTTTGCGGGCCGCCGTCACGGTAGCTCTAAGAAACGTTGAGTTTGACATCGAGGCACTTGGGGGAACTTATCTCACCTTTGAAAAGCTAAAGGATTGCCGTTGCAAAATCACAGTGATAGCGTGACCGATTCACTGTGCGGCGCAGTTGAAAGACTCAAGTTGAAACAAAAGATTAAAGAGGAGAGAAAATAGGGCTGACAAGAGAGAATAAGTAGCACGAGGGCAGTTAAACCAAGAAAAAAAAAACGACGCTAACATCAATTTATGCCGATAACACCTTCAAACCAGTGTCGGCCTCTTAAACGTGCATAGGTTCCCACAAAATCACCAATAAACTGGCCGGGATGTGGGACAGTGGGGGCCTTTTCCACGCTTTTCTCTCTTGCGCTAAGCAACAACCTTCCCTGGGGAGAGTGCAACCAATGAAAAGCCTTCATTCTATCACCTGCGCTCAGACCGGCCCATGGCTTCTCCTCGGTCTGTTCCGCCTCTGGTACCTCAACCGGCCACGCCGAAAAGCTTGTGTAAAGATATGATCTGATTATCGGAAGACGCAATCCGAATCCGCGTGTAAGGATTCGACAAGGATTCGAATCCAGTTGCAAAATTCCCTGTACTATGAAGGGACGCACGTGCGGGTCGTTTGTTAGATTGGGGCCGAAAATCCACTTTTGGTGGATTTGGTCCAAGCTGAGACAGGGAAATGGACAGAGTTTCTACGGCTTTTTTACCTTCAGGGCTGGCACTATGGCCCTCAGGACCGGCACTATGGGGAGAGAGCAAAGGAAAGAATCAGGTTTGGAAAAGGCAATGTCCCACGCGTATAATGGTGGCTGCTTGGTCAGGCGTAGAATTACGGCATTACTGAAAGAGCACACGACCTCATACATAAACCCCCTGCAGCGACATCACGCGCAATGCGGGTCAAATTTGGGATTACGAAGCTTGTCATGAACTAGATGGATCAGCGTATGTATGAAAATCGGACAGAAAAGAAAATTCGATCGATCTATCCTGCGTCACATGCGACAGTAACCCGGTACTCTAGCGTGTGTACGGAGTAGATGGCGGGCAAAAAGATTTAACACATCTCATTGGTCTCCCTTGTCAGTTGGCTCCACTAAGGGATCTATGTAGCGTGTCCTAGAAGATTCGACGATCTCTCTACTGAGCACAAGCTTTCGCTTTGGCGGCGTTCCTCATCTTTAGCTGTATACCGAGAGCTCTCTCATCATCGACCGTAAAAATTTAGTGGGACGGATGCCTGCGAGAAGAGAAAAGGAAACACTGGAAAGAAGTCAAGTACCAGACTCCTGGGAGAGAAACTTGTAATAATAAGGACACAAATAAACAGTAGGCCCAGTACTCCTTTCAGTTTCTGGTATCTCGGTAGACTGCTGGGCTAAATTCTCAATGGATGAAGATGGCAGGCAGCCAATGACGAATTGACGATCAGCAAAACCCCTGGAGTCAAGCTCCAAGTCACGTGGGACTCCACGTGATATGATATTCCAACATACGATTTGTGATTTGGCGCCTAAGGCATCAAGGAGTATTCGGTACGGAGAAACATTCCGCCAGCTGAGCTTCGGTCCAGCTACGTGATGTATCGCTTCCTTCCAGCGTCCCATCTCATCAACGCACTCATCATCTCGGACCCCCGATTCTTCAATCTCTCATTTCGCTCATCAGTCCTGATCCGCCATCATGGGGTCTGATCCACAGTACATCAAGTACCCTGATCTCCTTCTCGCCCAACATGTCTTCAACCTCTCTAACCCTGCATGCGCCTCATCCACCCGCCAGTCCTCGTTGAAGAAGCTACAAGATGCCATTTCCGAACGCAAGATGGCCCCATTCTACCGTCATCTGGCTCACCCTACGGAGGGTATCTTGAACAATGCTGGGGAAGGTGTCACACAACATTCTCACGCCGGAACCTCCAAGCCTCTCATCACCTCCAACATGCTCGCCTCCCGAAAGTCGCCCCAGAACATCGAATTCCCGTGGGACGAGAAACTTTACCAGTCTCTGCTTGATGATAATAGAAAGGAGCTCGAGACTATCCAGAAGGAAGAGGAAGACGCAGAGGAGGCCGCGGGTGAGACTGAGGTACAGGCCGCTCGGGGCAAACGGGCGGAGTTCTGGGCTCGAGTTGGTGATAAGGTATGAAATGTTCCTCAGAAACGTGAACAGAAAAATTACTAACGCCAACTTCCTATAGGATAAAGCCGTTGAGTCGTACGACGAGCTGCTTGATAAGATTGGTTTCCTGGGAACTAAAATTGACTTGGTTCTGGCCATGATCCGCATCGGCTTGTTCTTCGGCGACGCTATGTATGTGAAGAAGACGATCGAGCGCGCAGAGACGCTGGTCGATAGCGGTGGTGACTGGGACCGGAGGAATCGTCTCAAGGCATACAAGGGTTTGCATCTGCTTACCATCCGCTCATACAGCTTGGCTGCTCCTCTTCTCCTTGATAGTCTATCCACATTTACCAGCTACGAACTTTGCAGCTACTCTTCGCTCGTCATCTACTCGGTGCTTGCGGGATCATTGTCCCTCAAGCGGGTGGACTTCAAGGCCAAGGTTGTGGACGCCCCGGAGATCAGGGCCATCCTGGGTGCTGGAGAAGACCAATTGGCTGCCCTCTCTGGCGAGATCTCAGCGGGCCCTGGTTCTCGGGAAGAGGAAATGAAGGACGCGACTGTTTCACGAACAACTCCGGCTGCTGGTGCCGCCACTGCCATCAACTTGACCACATTGGGAACTGGCTCTGGCGAGCAAGCAGAGGATGAAGCCCCGGTTGATTTCTCCCCTCTGGCAAACTTGGTGAACAGCCTGTACAATGGCAACTACCGCTCTTTCTTCGTGGCTCTTGCCGGTGTGGAGGACGAATTCTTGACTCAGGACCACTACCTGCACGAGCACCGGGCATGGTTCGTTCGGGAAATGCGACTACGTGCCTACCAGCAGCTCCTCCAGAGCTACCGGGTGGTAGGCCTGAACACTATGGCCAATGACTTTGGTGTGACTGTGGATTATCTGGACCGGTATGTATCTCTTTGGCATCATCAAATCATGCACATTGCTAATCTAAAAGTAGGGACTTGGCCAAGTTCATCTCTAGCAACCGTATTGCTTGCACTATCGATCGTGTCAACGGGATCATTGAGACCAACCGACCCGACGATAAGAACAAGCAGTATGCGGATGTGGTGAAGCACGGCGATGCCCTGATCACCAAGCTCCAGAAGTATGGACAGGCTGTCCGCCTTCGGGGTAGTGAGCGCAGTTGAATGGAGGAAAGGGAAATGTACTTCCGACACGAACCCAAGAATCCCGCGGACCATGTTGTCACGGATCGAGATAACCTCTTAGCATTGTAACCTGTTTCTAGAATTCCAGTCTACAGCTGGATCTTATGCTATCCATGATACTTAATGATCGTTCCTCATTTTAGGTGGTGGAGAGTACTAGTAATAAATATCCCCGCATCGGGCGGCTCCGGATTGACGATACGGAGTCCACTGGGGCCGGGCAAGCCTTTCCGAGGAAAGATCGACCTAGCGCCAGCCCGACCCAAGCCAACTGCGCTTAGAGCGTCATGGATCTTGCGGACTTGCTTTTTGTTTTTCGATGCCGTGAATAGCCTCCCTCGGGCTCTCCGGTAAACGATTTAGGACTCCACCCCTGTTATCTTTGGTTCACCGAATGTGGGGAAACTCAATGCTGACTCACACACCGCCCAATCGGTCCCTGGATTCTTTTTTCTTCATGCGCTGTAGCCGTTTTATCCTATCATCGCGTCGATTGAAGAGGTCAAAGAGGTAGACCGAACGGCTGACCATCATCATGTCCTGGCAATTTAAGCTCACCTCCAGTGTACGGGCGTCTCCGTTGCGGGCCTTGACGACCCGGCCGAATGGTCTCCTACTTCGCCCGACCGCACTTGGTGCTGCGGGGAGGTTCTCCGCTTGGTCAGGTACGTGGGATGTGTTGCACCATATATAGATCGGATGGTATCCCGTGGAGAGAGGGGCTGTCCCGCCTTATAAGTCCCATCGTGTATCGTTCTGCTTTCTCCACCTCATCTACACTATCATTTCCACTGGATTGTCTCATATTTTGATATCTTACTAACGTCTGGGTTGAACCTCAGAACCCACTATGACTCAAACCAGCGTCGCCTACACTAAGCGAACTTTGTCCACTCAGTCGAAGAAATGCCTGAACGTCGACAACATCAACCAGCACATTCGCGCAGCCAAGTACGCCGTCCGGGGTGAGCTGGCAGTCAAGGCCGAGACCTACCGTCAGCGCCTGTCTGATGGTGACAAGTCACTGCCCTTTGACAGCGTCATCTTTGCGAACATTGGTAATCCACAGCAACTCGATCAGAAGCCAATTACCTTCTTCCGTCAAGTCCTCAGTCTCGTGGAGAACCCCCTGCTATTGGAGAACCAGGAGGCCCTCAAAACATCTTTTGGATACAAACAGGATGTGATTGATCGCGCAAAGGTCCTTCTGGCCAATGTGCAGAGTGTTGGTGCATACAGCCACAGCCAGGGTGCTCCGGGAATCCGAAACAGCGTGGCCAGGTTCATTGAGGAGCGTGATGGATTCCCTGCCAACCCGCAGGACCTGTTCTTGACAGCAGGTGCCTCGTCTGGTGTGAGCACCCTGCTGAGCGTCATCTGCAATGACCCGAATGCTGGTGTGCTGGTTCCCATCCCCCAGTACCCGCTTTACACTGCCACTTTGTCACTATTGAATGCGCAGTGTGTGCCTTACTACTTGGAAGAACAGAAGGCTTGGGGTACCAATGTCAGCGCAATTAAGCAGTCGATCAAGGATGCCCGGGCTAAGAACATCAATGTGCGCTCCGTCGCAGTGATTAACCCCGGTAACCCTACCGGTGCCTCGCTGAGCCCCGAAGATATCAAGGGGGTCCTTGATATCGCCGCCGAGGAGCACCTGGTCGTCATTGCCGATGAGGTGTACCAGACTAACGTCTTCACCGGCGAGTTTGTCTCGTTCAAGAAGCGCCTGCGCCAGCTCCAGCAGGAGACTCCTGGCAAGTACGACGATGTGGAGCTGGTTTCTATGCACAGTACCTCTAAGGGCATGGTTGGCGAGTGCGGTCACCGTGGTGGTTACTTCGAGTTGGTCGGTTTCGACCCCTTGGTCCAGGAGCAGATCTACAAGCTCGTCAGCATTGGTCTGTGCCCGCCGGTCGTTGCACAGTGCCTGCTCGAGACTATGGTCAACCCCCCTCGCGAGGGTGACCCCAGTTTCGAGCTGTACCAGAAGGAATTCAATGGCATCCGGGATGGCTTGCACAAGCGTGCTCTTGCCTTGTACGATGCTTTCCAGCGTATGGAGGGAGTTGAGTGCCAGGAGCCTCAGGTAAGCATTATTCATTCCCATCACCCATGAACCTTCCGTGCTAATTATCATTACCAGGGTGCCATGTACCTCTTCCCCACCATCAACCTTCCTGCTAAGGCTGTCGAGGCCGCCAAGGCTGAGGGCCGCGCTGCCGACGAGTTCTACTGCCTGGGCATGCTCGACGCTACCGGCGTGTGTGTCGTTCCTGGCTCCGGCTTCGGCCAAAAAGAAAACACCCTTCACTTCCGCACAACATTCCTTGCACCAGGCACCGACTGGGTCGAGCGTATTGTGAAGTTCCACTCCGAGTTCATGGACAAGTACAGGTAGGGTCGACGACTCATACTCTAAAAAAAAACCATAAAATAGCAGCAATCACTTCGGTCCTATAAATATTCCTCTGATCTGCTTCGACTTTTCATTTCATCATGTGAGACGAGCTTTCGACGTGCATTTCCACCGTCTCGTCCCGACCCATACTATGTTCATTCCGTTGGCTTTTACTTGACATGTGATTCCATGGGGCTTTGATTTGATACCATATAGAACGTATTTACTTTTGGCACTGCAGGAATGAAGTGAAACCTTGAATTTCATTAATCGATAGACCAGAATTTCTAGACACGATGTCGTCAGATCTTGCAAGCCACCGCGGGCCATAGATTGAATGCTCCACAGACGATAAGCAGCCATCGCGCTAGAGGTATCCACTTGGAAGTTCCACAACAGATTTCCAATCTAGATTGGACCTACAAGAAGCCACCAGAAGCCTCGCCTCAGAAGTCCTCAAACAATCCCCCGAACACCAAGATGTCCGCCCTAATAGCCTATATTACAAATCTCTTCACATCCACACCCCCACAACCGACCTACAAAGTCGCCATCCTCGGCTACGAAGGCGCCGGCAAGCAATCTCTCCTCCGCGGCCTGACCGATAAAGGCGCCCCAATATCTATACCAATAAGGTATTCGTAGGTCGCGATAGGCATGCGTATGTGGGTGTCTTGATCATATTTGCCTATACTACAAGAATCCTGGGAAATGGCCGAGGGTCCTTCCCAGAACCACGTTCAAATTTGGCCTACAACTAGGGAACTTTTTCATTGCTTTAGTAATCACTTGAGGCTTTCCCACACCCTCGTGTACCACTTAGCTTGCTGCCTTTAACTCAGCTCATTGGTGAGTTACACAAACTTCATGATCCATAGTATATCTAGTCTTGCCACTATACTCGTATCATACCACCCAGGTACTTTATGAGCCAAGTATAATGAGTGAAGTTTCGCATTACAGTAACAGCCTCGATATGGTAAGCGCTACTGGGCGGTGCATGATGCGGCTGAGAAAGATCCCCTCTTTTCCGCCAATTCACTTTCCCCCAACAAAGTACTTGAACACTCATCACGGACTTTCAATAAAGTACCCGAGCACTCAACACGAACTCTGATTAGCCTTACCAAAGCAAAAACCTTTCGATCCCTTGCACCATATGGCGTTTTGTATTTGATGGAGTTCTGACACTATCAGGGAAGGAGAGGGTTGCTGAATATGTCTAATCAAAACATGGCCACTCAAGGCTCAGAGGGACAAGGTATTAGGACTATAAAAGATGCGTTTGTTACCGAACCCAGCATGCATTCCATCAGCCAGGACTCCAAAGGCAAAGAGCCAATGAGAACTGCCCTAGACTACAAATCTGCAAATTATGGGCCCTCAAAAAAGGTGGACTCAGACCTCGAAGCATTTCCGCTTTATACAGAACCAGGTACCCCAAAGTCGGAGTACATGCGGCATTTTGAACCCGATCATGTGTGGCAGCAAAGTGAGAAATTTTGCAACCAAAGTATGCGATTGTATCCTCAATTGACATTGCTCAACAGGGCAAAAGCCATATCCAGTCGAAGACCGGTCGCGACTACCTAGTATCAAAGACTGCTTGTCAATATCATGGAGATCTGAGGTGAGGACCTCCTTGGAGAATGGGGCGTCGACCAGCTTGCCTAATTTACTTTAAAAGCGTGGGATAAAAGAAAGCAATAATGATTCATCTTGGATGAGACAGTCGGCACCAAGTTTACCTGCACAGCCAGCCTTGGAAGACTTCATAAGTCAAATCAAACAAGTTTATCCACAGATTGGCTCATCATTAATATTACGCTTTGCACAGGAGCAATTATATCGCTATGGGTCATTAAGTATAGCCGACACTCTTCACTCCCGTAGTGTGGCTAACAATCAATGCCTTTCGGAATCCTATTGCTTTAAAAAAGCCAACAGAGCTGATTCTTACTTCTCTGCTGAGGTTTCCACCACAGATTTCCCCCCAGGTATACCTCTTCCGCCGGTGACGGGGCTTCCAGCAAGGTTTGAGTGTCCAATATGTTTCGAAGTGAAATTCATTCAAAACCCGTTCGACTGGACAAGCCATGTGCATGATGACCTTCAGCCATATGTCTGCATTTTCCCGGACTGTACCGGGCCCCACGTCTTCAAGCAGGCATCTCAGTGGATGGAACATGAAAAGTACAGCCATCGAAGGTCTGGCTCGATACCGAACCGGCTCACCTGCAATGTTGACAAATGCAATGCCGTGTTCTACCGTTTGGATTTGTTCCACGAACACCTTCGCAGAATGCATGGAATTGAGGCGCAATCTTTGGATTTAGTAGACAAGATGGGACACGAAACCTGGACACTACAGACTGAATCATGCATATTTTGTGGGGAAAAAGTGCAACGGAGAAAACCCACCTCTTTCACTTGAGCAAGCACATGGAGCAGATCTCTTACTGGTCAATACCTTTGAATCTGCTCTCCCATCACGAGTCGACGCCTCCCTTTCGGAAGGACCAGCTCGAAGCTGGAAATTCGAGCAGTAACCAAGCCGTACATGCCACGGAATTTTTGGAGCCAGCTGAGATCGAACTTATACATGACGATACTAAGGGATGGGCTCGAACAGGAGAATCCGGGATGGAAGATCCTCATTCCAATCAGAAAGCATCCTTAGTAGGAATAGAAACGCTGATTGACTCTGGGTATGGCTCATATACTCAACGAAAGCCTACACAACAAAATACTAGCCTGGATCAAGAAATGTGTTCGCATCGGGAAAGTCAGGATGCAGGTGCAGCTCTGGAAAACATTGAGCCCGTTGCTGGGAATGACACAGAGGGCAGTGTTTACTCGTCAACGTCTTCCCTCTCAGACGCAAGTATGAATGCGTACGTATTTGCGATTGCAGAAGATATATCAAATGCTGTGGGTGGCTCTTTGTTTTCAGAAGTAATTGTGAACAAGGTTTGCAACGCTCTGCCACGGCTTTTGAAAGGACTGGCATCGAGTATTGGTAACAATGCCACATCACAAATGCATTTAGACGTGATGGTTTTCCTTCGAAAATACCGCAGGTAAAATGAATAGGTCTTCACATTATGTGGTTTCTTGATGATGCTGATACTAGCTCTAGGAATATCACCGCCAGTTGCCGCGAGATACTCGCGGAGAGGCCTTCTTGGAAGAGTTCAGACGATTCTGAGAACATGTCGCTGGCTGAGAAGATGAACAGATGGCAAGGACTGAGTGATAGAACGGTGGAGCGTGCTGATTATCCGGCTTCCGAGTGGTTGCACATTGACTCTGCAGATATATCCACCCATGAAGATGACGAGGATAGCAGCCCAGAGCCAAATTTTCCTGGTGTTCAAGCCTACAAGAGCTTGGTCAAATCCGACCCTTCCTATGGGAAATTGATTTCCGATGTCTTTCGAGAATGTATGGTGATGTCCACCTTACCAGACTCATTGGAAGAGATATCCAGCGCCATTTCCCGAATTCTGCCTGCTTCCCCCCGAGTTAGCCGAAAGATACCCCCAGAGCGATTTAAAATGATGTTCAAAATCGATTGGGACCCGGTCGCATTTCTCCAGGAGCAGCAGTATTTGGAACCTCCGGAATTAGCCATTGGCCAGGCCATTGTCCTGACAGGATCGACCACTATGGTTCAGACATTGACGTGCTCAGAGTATCTCCAGCAAACATGGCCATCCAGTGGAGTCAGTATCCTGAAGCTCATGCAAGAGCTCGTCAGACCTAACCATCATCCAGAAAGGTCAATATGTAAGTCAAATAAGCGCCTCTATAGTTCAACAGGACCATTCAGATAATGATTTCTATCCCAGGCATCTTGCCCGATGAAACACAAGTCAAGGTTGGTATAGAGGCCTCAGACGATGGCACCAAAACATCCATCATTGTGCTGGTGAACGCTCTCCCGAGCTGGATTATAGAGATTGGCGAGGTTCTCTCATGGATGGGGTCTGCCCTGAAGACCTCCCCGCATTCTGACCGTCTCGTCTTCTGCAAGCCTTCTGTTATCAACGCTAGAAGAGGCCCAAGTGTGGGACTGATTCTCTCAGACTTTACATGTACCATCCAGTTTACGACGCACATGGCACCGGGTGACTCGCAGCTCAATGGCCAGTGCTGGCATGGTTTGTTTAAAAATCCTGTTGTGGCTGAGGGCTTCCCCATCGCCCGGAGACCAAGCCTGAAAATAGGTCTAGAGATACCCCTGGCCATGATGGCAATCCTAGCAGGAACATCTCATGCTCACACTTTTGGCAAAAGTGTTTTTTTGAAGGGCTTCTCTACTATGCTTGTCCCAACTGAGTCTGACGGAAATTTCGTGTTATGGCATCTTATTTCATCCAAAGATGGCAGTCGCATATCATACAATGATGGTGTGGAGCTTGGCAATGGCAAGACACAGCTTCTTGACTTGAAAAGCTCCCGCCATATCTTGGGCTGGTGCTCCACAATGAAATTCTTAGTTGGTTCGTGATATACCTATATGCATAATGTCTCCCTGGGTGTGGACTGACTCATTCCTGCAGGGTCCCGTGATGCGCGATACAGTGTCGAGACTTCCGGTCTCCCAAAAGCCTCGCCAACTTGTCTTCTCGCGAATGTAACGATTTCTCAGGGGCACAACGTTGCTGGAGCCACAGGAAACATTTCTTTTGGTCTAAAGGATTTCAAGTCCGGTGGCAGACGCAGAAATTATATTCAAAAATTGAAGTCAATTGAGAAAAGGTTCGTGCTCCTCTGGGACGAAGGCCACAAACGTGGGTGGCTTGTAAACGGGGCTACTGCTCTGCTGCATCTTGTGCGTGCCTCTCTTGAAGAAGACAGAAATGGTGTCTTCTCTGCGGCGACTATCTTCCATCCAGCTAGGATGAGGTATCCTGAGCCATATCGGCCGTACTCTGCATCTTGGGTTCTTGGCGACAAATCCAACGCCAGAATTCCTATATATGATGATGACAATGATCCAGTGCTATTTCATGAGTACGTCACTCAGTTCTATGAAATTCTCGAGAAGGCATTTGATTATCAAACAGCTGCTGTCAGTGCCAACCCAGAACGGTGTACATCACGATCACGACTAGAAGGCTGGGACTTTGAGAACTTGGCGGCTGAGCGCGATCCTATTTTTGCAAAGGAAGCCACTTTGGATTGTGCGGGGATGGCCTGGATTGATCTCATACGATCTGTTCATGCAATCACTCTTTTTGGTCGCGGATTTGGGGATATGATTCAACCCATTGGTACTTGTTCTAATTGGGGCCAAGTCCCTGCTGGAAACTCGTACTTGGTCATCTGCCAGGAAGACCTCAAAGAGATTGTTGCTTCCTGGTGTGGCAACTTATCTGCAAGTCCACCCATGCTGACAGACCAAATAATCTGGCACATCCCAGAGAACACTGCAATAAAATGCCGGTGCATTTCAACAAAATATATGCGGCACTCGGATATCGCCCAGGTCCTGTTGCCGTCTACCATGGCCTATAAAGTCACTGGAGAAACGCTGAACTGTGAAGATAATAAAGGCGGTGCATTCATTTTTGGGCTAAACTCGATGAACCTATGGCACTGGCCGGAAGCTGGCGAGCCATCGCGAAAGCCTATCGTGTTGATTGACGGTATCAGAAACGACTGTGAAACCTCTGAGACACTTGAAAGTGGTATGGGAGGCAGCTGCGACTCAATATCATCAACCCGAGAAGACAGTTTCAATCGACGTTCTGTTGAGCTTCGTACGGAACCGTCACTAACGGCCTTCTCAATGACGTCCTACTCAATCAGTGACAACTTTACCGTTGGCATCATTTGTGCTCTCCATATTGAGCTGATGGCTGTGCGAATCTTGTTCGACACTTCTCATGATAATGTGATGGTCCCACCTACAGACACAAACTCCTATGCCTTTGGATCTATGGGCCAGCACAATGTAGTTGCCACCTGCCTCCCGGATGGTGAATATGGAACAAACTCGGCCGCCAGCGTGGCATCTAATATGGGGCGAACCTTTAGTCGTCTACAATTCTGTTTGCTAGTTGGCATTGGAGGTGGGGTTCCGTCTGCCCGAAATGATATTCGACTGGGAGATGTCGTGGTTAGCAAGCCAATCGGTAGCGGTGTTGGCGTCTTGCCATATGACATGATAAAGGCACATGAGTACGGACCCGAGTTGAATGGATGCTTGCAACCGCCTGCACGAATCTTGAGATCAGTGTCAAGTCTGATGCAGTCGGACCCAAGACTGTCTCGTGCACCTTTAGGGCCCTACTTACGGCAAATCAGTGACGCGAACCCAGAATATGCATACCCTGACGCTTTTACCGACATACTCTATGAGTCTGGATATACACATCCTAGGGGTGAGGAAACATGTGAGAAATGCGACACGTCCAGGGAACTACTCAGACCGCCACGAACGTCCGATCGGCCAAAGATCCATTACGGCTTGATTGCATCTGGAAACAAGGTAATGAAAGATGCAAGAGAAAGGGATAATCTAGCAAAAGAGTATGGCATCTTATGCTTCGAAATGGAAGCTGCTGGTATCATGAACATTCTCCCATCGTTCATCATCCGTGGTATTTGTGACTACGCCGACTCCCATAAGAACAAGAAATGGCAAAACTATGCCGCGGCTACAGCTGCCGCTTATACCAAGCTCCTGCTTTTTCATTTACGGCGTGACTCGGAGTCAAGGTCTATGTCTCCTGCACTTGGTAGCTCGAGGTCTATGGAAGGACTTGACAATGGATGGGCATCGGTGGGAGGAGAAAGCGTTGAACAGGAAGTAGGCTCAGGCCCTGTCAAAAGACGGCGGATATGAGTATGCGTTTCTTGTTCTCCCGTTCTGCGCGGTTGTACTGTATTGGCTGGAAACAGTAGCTGCTTATCTGTATCATGTCTACAGGGGGAATCGTTGTTTGGTTTATAAAAGTGCCCCTCTCTATTACAAACCACAGGACTGCCTTTTTCGATATATAAAGTGCTGAATTTCAACAAAAGCCTCAGAGATGCCGTGTTATGCGCGTCATGTAAATCGATGGGAATGACAATCTCCGGCTGCAACACGTATGATTTCATCTCTCCCTTGCGTCCGCCACGAATCTTGGTCGTCGTAATTGCAATTAATGGCCTAACGTCACAAGATCGCTACAGTATCCTGGTCACTGCAGAATTTTATAGGCAGCTTCAAGTGGTAAGGCGATCCGTCTAAAAAAGAAGTTTATACATGGACTGAAACTTTCATCGACTATCCCATATCATATGGCAGTAAAACAATCGCATAACCTTTACTAAGTAGGAAGAAAGGAGGAATAAGTGATTCAGAGATTCTTATCCAGCCCATTCTTACGACAACACTTCTTTTCAGCTTATTACAGCATACACCCTTCCTAGATCCCAGGCATCACCATTCAATCCGTCAGACACAAGCAAGGAGACCCCTGGCACGCGACACGGACCGTGCAGAGCTAAGCATTAGCCAAGATCATGCACCCAAGGCTTGTATGGCAAGCAAGACACCATGCAAGGTTCAAAAGATGCCGGTGGCTTGTGGCATGGACTAGCGGGCTGTACCATGTACGATCCGGAAAGGCTTGGTATGCAAGACCTCCTGGTCCTGTATACCGAGTACGTGTAACTTTGCCAGGCGTTGCGATGTGCCGAGTCTTCCGGTTGGAATGACAGTGGTGGTTGGAATGGACACGGTGGAGTTGCAGCTGGAGCTGGATTTCCAACCTTACATCTCATGCAAAAGCCTGTGGGAGAAATATTCGATACGAATGTTTTCTTCTAAGTTGATATGCATCAAGTACCTGTGGGCTATTGGACTATTGTATTCATTATAGGGATGTGGTAGATACACACCGCTACTTGTCGCTAAACTTGTACCTCGTACAGCGGCTGAGGACGTTCCCACGTACCTGCCATCCCGACTGAACTACGTAATCAGTTTGCTCTTTGACCCAAGAAAAGTTCCGAAAGGAATGAATACGTGGTCACAGGGGCCAACCGGAGTTCCACACACCTGACCCTGATCTCCTGTAGGTCATGGCAAGCTGCAGTCCGAGATCGAGCATAGGGTTTTGGAGATGCAGATTGGCTGAAAACCTGCTTTCCGCCGATCTGGGACAGGTTCGTGCGGACTCACCGCTACATTGTTGTGAAACCTTTGCTTGGTGATCTTGAATCGGGTATCTCGGCCGAACATTGATCTGCAAAGGTGTGTAGAGGTATGTAGGTGAAACAAATTTGATGTGGAGTATGTTGGACTGAAGGTTGGGGTCAGCTGTTCGGATAGATCGCTTGAGCGCTAAGCATCTCAAGTGGATACTTTACAATACCAACGGTCAGGATCGCCATGTCAGGTGGTGTATTCAGATCTGGCCTCTGGAGGTATGGGTCATTGTACACATAAACAAGTCTATACAGCGGAACGATGCTAATGTACGGTGACCATGTCTAGACACATGGTATCCATCGAAAAAAATCGCAAAACCCCTCTAGATTCAATGCTATCATGAAGAAATCTAGAACTGGCTAGTTGGAACAAGGCAAAGGCATTTATCATCATCTCTCATCAAGGTCATAAAGACGGTGTAGAGGTGGTGGTAAGGTGCCGCAGGTAGCGGAGACCCCAGGAAGTTAGAAGAAGAGAAGCAAAAGGTTTTATGACCGGGTTATTGGGCCCACGATTGACGGAAGTAATCGTCGTCCATGGGCGGGGTCGATTCATCGTTGAAGAGATTGGCCGGCCAGGTGGGAATCGTATCCTGCGAAGGGGCCATGGAGTACATGTCCTGCGCTGTAATTGACTTGGCCTCGATGCCCATACTGGCTTGAAGCTGGTGCTCGAGCGCAGCGGTAGATTCATTGGCGGACTTGAGGAAATCGTCGATGTTGATCGACTCAAGATCATTGGATGACAAGAGTCGCGCCTGCGGGAGTCCAACCAATGACGACGCAGAGCTGATACGGAGATGGTCCAACTCTGACGCTTCGCTCACGCTGTGGAGGTCGTGCATGTCATTACCAGCATGTCCCAGACCGGGAAGCGGCCCAAACTCGTCAACTTCGGAGATATCGCCGGAGGACGATGGCGGCGGCAGGCCCGAGGGATACGAGTTGTAATCGAAACTGGCGTATGACGGGGCCTGGGTGCTGGTAGTGGCAGGGGCATCGGAATACAGCGGGAAACTCGACCAGTCGACTGATGGTGCACCTGCGCCCGCAGATCCCAACGGGAATTCAGAGTCCGGAGAGGTGAAGTACTGATCTTGATAGTGATCCTGGAAGGCCATGCACGTAATCGGTGAATTAGACGAGGTATTCGGGAAGGAGGCAAAGGACGAGACATCGAGGGGCGGAGGTACGCTGGTGATGATTTGCTCGAGAGGAAACTTATCCATGGTACCCGAGGCAGACGTGGGATTGGCGGTACCGTCTGTCGGTTGCTCTATTGCGGCAGTGGGAGGGGGAAACTTGTCGAGGAACGATTGATCGAGAGAAGCCGGATTAGGAACCTCTTCTGAGCCTGTTGCGGGGGCACTGTGGGGAGATCCCTCTTGCGATGTCTGTTGCGACTGGGACACAGGCTCCATTGACAGAGAGAGCGGTTCCTGAACAAAGGCAGATTGGGTCAACGGAAGGTGGTCCACCGACCTGCGAGGCATGTCGGACGGATGGTGAATTGTATGTGATCGTGGGATTGTGTACGGCAATCCACACTTGTGGGCCATGTCATTATGCTTATGGGCGGGTTTGTGGTGACCATCACGGAAGATCGTCAGCCCACTCAACGTCGACTCGGACTTTGTCGTCGTGAGCAGGGGCTTCCGTGTAGGTTCAGCCGGGACAGACGGCAGAGACACAGGCAGACCTGCCTCTGGCACGGGGTCAAGATGAGATTCCTTTATCAGCGCGCAGGTACAGCGCTGGCCATGGCAGCAGCCACAGCGATGGGAGTCCTCTGTAATTCACGATCAGAAAGGGGGAACCGGGGATAGCCAGCGCCATTGCTCACTCAGATCTCGCTTGTCACCATGGCAGTCCAAATCGGCTTTCTTTTTCTTGTCGCCACATTCGCACCTGACGTGGGTTGTTCGAGACTTGCGCAGGCCGCGACAGTGGGTACATTGAGAGACTGGGCGGCCTTTTTTATTGATATGGGTCAAAGGGCGGTCTAGTATGACATGGTTAGGAAATGATCGGACATCTAGTAGATTATCCCAAGATTGACATACCACCGTGGTGACAGCTGCTAACCCGATGACCTCGGACGCAAGCTTCACACGCCCACTTCTCACCTTCAATGATCATGGTGATGGGTTACTGCGAGGCACACATGCGATGATCGCGGAACTGGTCGTGGGAGGTAATAAATTGGAAAAATAGGATGGAAATAGGAGTGCGGTCTGTTTCCAGGTAGAACCGCAAATGGCCGTCAAGGCAAACGTTCTTCAGCCGCTTCGTCGAGAAGGCCGAATTGAACCAAACGAACAAAAGGGTATCTTCAGGCAAATAAATCTCCCAATGCGCAAGATCACAGAACGCCGATCCAGCAGTATACAAGGCAACTGAGGGTCGTACTGAGGGAGGGCAAGGGGAGCCGAATCAAAGAAAAGCAAATGGGTATATCGAGGCTTTTGGGGGGGGGGGTTTGTAGAGAGGAGAGTAAGAAACCAAAGGGGGACCAAGCCTACGCACCGTTTGGCGCCGGCCGTGAGACAGGACACCAAGTACCGGTAGTGGCGGCCAAGAAAAAAGCGTTCGATATAGAGAGTTGGAGAACACCCTATGCGGAGGAGAAGAAAGGAAAGGAAGGAGGGAGGCGAGGGTTAATAACGGTATTGGGAAAAGTTGGGATTTTAGCTGCGTCATTGGTGTCTCTGCAAACCCGGAGTATGTGACAAGGCACAGTGCTTTACACACGTGTTACATCGTTTCCCATGCCTTTCATCCGCTTTTAGCCTGGATTTACCCTGACCATACAGCTTCCATACCTCCACTTTTACCAAAGGTACCGTCATTTGATCCGGGGACCTGATTTTACCATACGGTTACATAAGTCGGAACTTTCTACAGTTGCATTCTCGGAAATTCACATTGAGTCCTGCAGATGATTTATCCCTGCGCCTCTTTGTTGGTTTTTATTTGCGAACCAACTCTTTACACTCATCAAACCCCTTTTTTTCATATCGAGGGATGCGTATCCACTACGAGTCTAACGACGTGGCGGTCCCACCAGGAACCCGGGATTCTACGTAGTATGGACGGACCGGGTTAGGGTTTGTGGTTCATTCTTGGTCTTAAAAAAGAAAAACTTTTCTTGCACACTATGCCGGAAAAACTGATGCTTAGGGTAGACGAACCCTTCAAATCGGTTCATAGTTGAAACCAATGAAATCCATATAGAAACATTCCACGGATTATAGCGTGGCCTCCATAGCTGACCTTGCGTGTTAATCCTCCCTCTTGGTTCGCTTGGGTCGCCGTTACGCCGAGATTCCCACGAGGCAACAATTCCAGATGTCGCAGAAGCATGTCCGCTGCAATGTAGATCATGTAGCGAGAGCTGTGCGGGCAATCGAAATTTTCGAGTATGGGGGAAGCTGATGCGGCGAAATCGAGCACGGCCTTTCAGAACGAACTCGACCCCCACCAGGATGGATCTCGCTAGTGAAATCTGGGGCCGCACATCCCAGCTTTGACGGCCCCCTTTCACCTTAGTTTGTCTTTGTCTTTTGGGAGATTTTTTTTCTGTTTGCCGCGTCGTGCCTCAAACCCTATGTGAAAAGAAACGGCGCTAATTCTATGGATTCAGGTACCATTTCGGGGTTGGAAGTTTCCACAATCCCTGCAAGATCATGTTATTTTCAAGGATAGGCAAATGTCACCGCCCCATGGAAAACCTTGACGTGGTCGCGCGATAAGGCTAGTGGTCCTTTCGAAAAGCATGCAACGGGATCGTCTCCTGCCTTTTATGGGTGGTCAAGCGCATAAAAAAAGCAAAGTCCACGAAACGGGTGCGCTCACCTTGTACAGCGCCGTACGGTACTGCATGTCATAGCGCTGTAGGTGCGGGTCAATGGCGTCACTCTTCCTGTTTCGGGCGGGCTGCAGAGGGTTTTGGCGCCGGCCAGCGGGTGGGCCCTGATCTGCGCATGCAACAGCAAGAGGCAAGGGCCAATCGCTCTGACTAAGGGTGTGGATTCCGGATTACCTGACCCTCCGAAGTTGCTGGTACAATACACCGGAGGGGCGCCTATCGTCATACCCAATCAGGTGTCGTCTCGGGTGAAATCTAAATTAAGGCATGAAATACGATCGGGATGAACCTGACCAAACGCGTTAGCATTGACCGGGAAGGTTCAAGGGCTCAAGTTTGGTTGTTCATGGGGAGATTATTCGCGAGCGGTTTTGGTTTTTCTGGTAAGTTTCGTCGGGTTTCCCGTGTAGTCACTGTCCGAAGTCTTGAGATACCCAGGAGGATCTATGAATTCGGACTCCGAGATCACACCACGTTGCAATAATCAGACCTACGGCTTTCTACGCCCCGAGGTCCAGATGCCATTACCCGGTTATGAGAGGGAGCTTAACGAATACGTAGCCCGGTGTCAACTAGCCCAGTAGTAGTGACCGATGAACGGTCTGTCAGAACAGATTTTCCAGGGTCGGGAATAGCATGTAATCCTAGGTTATCTACAGCCCTAGAGGCGCAGCACTAATAGGTAGAGTTACCCAGCTTCCAAGGGTAGGAACCTTCAAAGTAAATGGATCTTGAATTTTAAATTGATTGTTCTTTCAGATGGATACATCCGTTCACAGTAGGTACTAGTAGTCAGCTGCTAGGTGTGTCTGAATATATATATATGGCCAGTCCTGTGTACATAGATACAGCCCCTGCCAGGCATTTGTCAAGCTCTGCTACTAAGCATTCATATTCCAGAACAGCGATATATGAACACCGCTCAACAAAATTTTAAAAGAAACCCGAGAATTGGACTACCAAGGCGGTCCTCAAATCCCTCGAAGGTTCGGGTCGGGAGAACGGGGCCGATGGGAAAAGGTGTTAATCCGTCGTCCACCTGGGCACGCAGAAACAAAAGGCCGTCCTCCGTGTGATCATCCGGAAGAACTATATAGAAGTCAAAAATAAAAACATTAATATCCAAATGTGAATTATCTTCCAGAGTCACTGCTAATCATGTTGGTGTTCCGCAATGCGGCGGCACTAGCCCCTGCTAAATTGCCCCCCCGCAAAATTTAGCCTGTAAAAAAAACTTCGCCTCTGGCACTCCGCGTCTTCCACCCTTCCACCACCCTCCCCGGAAGCCCGCTTTCCATCAACCCCATCTTTTACCGTGGATTTACGGGGATAGTCTCGCGCAATGAACCCTCGCGAGCAATCTGATATGGCTCCGGCCAATTCTTATCCCTCGCCGAATGGTGCGCAGATGGCCCAGGGGGCTATGCCGTACTACAGCAACCGCCAGCTGACTACCGACGAACTCCTCTCTGCTGAACTGTCGCGTGAAGCCTCAGGCCCCGGAATGGGCGATGGATCAAACAATGGTGTGCACCATGGCCAAGGCATGGTGTTGGGTTCTTCAAATGCAGGTGATCTGGGTCGTCCTTCATCGGAGGATCAACATCAGCATCAACATATGCTACAGTTCACCCCTGGCCAGCAAGTTGGGGTTGATCCAAACCATGACCTGAGCTATGGCGAACAGAGTGCGCGTAAACGATCGAAGATCTCACGAGCCTGCGACGAGTGCCGGCGCAAGAAGGTACGTCACGTCGACGCCTGAACGCCTAGGTAGAACGCGTCGAATATAGTGGCTGACATTTCAATTCTTCAAAATCAGGTGCGATGTGATGCGAGCTCGGAAACCGGTCTTGAGACATGTTCAAACTGTCGCCGATTAGGCGTCGTCTGTCAGTTTAGTCGCGTGCCGATGAAACGCGGCCCCAGCAAAGGGTAGGTCAAATATACGCGTCGCGGCGTATCAATTCGGGGCTAATGGCGGGTGATAGTTATATCAAGGAACTTGCTGAGCGACTTCACACCCTTGAAAACCAGATGCAGCCGGGGATCGTTCAGCCCGATGTGCCCTATCAGTCTATGAATGAGGTGTCTCTCCCAAGGACATACCAGGACTTCGCCTCACCGGTGGATTCAGGCTCTGCCAATCGCAAGAGAACCTACTCTGTATTCGAGGGTCTTCCCAGCTCATCGTTTGCACAGCCATCGTTCAATGCGCGCGGATCGCAGAGTGCTTTTGATGCAACGGATTCCACGGCGGACCCTTACAACACTGCGGTGGCCAGTGGTAGCGCACCGAAACCAGGCAACCTGTTCTGGAACCCGACTGGCCACGAGCAGGATCTGCCAAGCGGTCTTGAAATGTCGGACTTGCACAAACATGAAGGTGACGATGACATGTCCCCTGTCATTCTTGACGAGGGGGCTCTTGATGCGTATGTCTCCTATAGGAAATGCCTATTGCCTCCTAAATCTGGATCTAACATTATGCAGGTACTACCAAAAGGTGCACACTATTCTGCCAATTCTTCCCCACACCAGGGAGCGAACCTTGGAACTTCTTCACCAGTGCAATCGGGAGGCACAGGAAATATTTTGCTATGCGCTGTATACTGTTACTTGCACCGATATGTCTCGTGTCGCTGGTAACTTTGAGCGAGTCACCTCATTCGACAACGCCCAGGACCTTGTTCTGTACCATACCCGACAGCCATTGATCGTCCACTCCACCGCTGTCAACCTTATTTGGTTGCAAACCCTTCTTTTGATGATCGTCGATTGTGACCAGCGTGGCCCCGACAACTTCGTTCTCAAAGACGGTATTCCCAAGCACACCTTGGTTCAAGCTGCCAGCAAACTTGGCTATGACTTGGCGAAGAACCAAGGTCAGCTGAAGAACAAGCGACCATCTGATCCTGATGTTGACTCAGATGCCAACTTGACTCGTCGTAACTGGGTGTCACTGATTATCCTGACCCGCTGGTATGCTATTAGTGTGGCCGATGCGACTGTGATTGGAGGACAAGAGATCGGTGGCCGTGAAGATGAGAGAGTTGTTGGCCAGATCACGACTGGTATTGCTTGTAAGTTGAGATAAATTGCTTGACTTAATTTAACATCTCTGACCCAAAGATTTAGCATTTTCCACGTTCTTGTCTGAGATGGTTACTTTGGCCACAGTCGAACACAATATCTGTCAGACCAATACTGGGCTCGGCCGAATGGTTGGAGCCAATTTGGTTGCTTCCCTTGAGCGCCTATCAGAGATGGAAGATGTGTTCAAGGTTCACGAACTTCCCGAGAACACAACGACGCGCACCCTCTTCGAGAGTCTCCAGGCTCAGCTTTACTGGACTGTCCGCCTTCTCATTAAGCGCCATGTATTCGTCTACAGTCCTTATGAGATTATCTACTGCGCTCAGGAGGTGGTCAATGAACTCTACAAAGCCACTCTGCAAGCTCGACTCCCAACACCATTTGACTTACACAGCTTAGCTCTCGCATCTATGACCTTGCTTGAGGCTACAGTCCTCCCGGAACATGCAAATGACTGCTGGGCCTCACTGGACCGGGTGGAAGAAATTTTGGACCATCGTGACAGCCGCACGAACGAAATAGGCGAGTTTAGCAATATCCTGGGTACTCCAGGTTGGGACGCCAAGATCCGTGTCTTCCTTGAGTGGCGCAAGGCCAAATCCCAAGAAAGCCAGCTTCACGAGTCCGTTGGCAAGGTTGGCTCTGGAATTGCACCACCTGTTATGGGCCCGAATGAGCAGCGTTCTCTCCAGCACCTCGCTGACCTGGCTGTCGGTGCAGAGGATTCTGTTGGGCAATCCTCCGCTACACCTCCCCCTGGCCTCGGTGAGCAGGGTGACACATCCCCAAATCTTGCGCCACAGCTCGCTCAGTCGCATGGTGGTACTGGCCGCACCGTGGTTGATTTCACCATGCTTACGAAGGAGGGGTACTTGAACGTGTTCTCGGGATTGATTTACAACAAACGCTCTCGATAAGTGATTTTGATCACTCGCAGCTCATATTATCTGTTTTATAAGGGATCTGGAGTTGGGTTTGGTCTTATAGGAAAATACGTCCCCGCTCTGCTATGGTGTAGTCTAATTTGGCTTTTCAATTATTTCAACCTTTTTTCTTTTGATTTTCAACCTGATATTTTATTCTCATACAAGATAACTTAATTCAAATGACACCGATCTCCACCTACAAAATTTGGTAAATATATCCACTTGTACTTAGTAAGAGTTCAACTGAAAACCAGCAATTGCGTTTTAAACCCCGCAATGACAGATTAGTCTATCAAGTTATGCTAACATCGGCAATTAATGCCGACAACCATATCACCACGTGTCCAAGGAGACCCCACTGAAAGCCAGCAATTGAGCCTCAAAGCCCGCACATGGCAAAAACAATGTTTATTCAGCATTTGGCGCCGACAGCAAGGCCACCCACGTAATCAAGATGCTCTCTGTCATACAGTGTAGCCACTGCAACAGGCGGCTCCTCCAGATCGATGTAGTGACGGGGATGCTTTAAGTTCAACAGTGTACCAACGTAACAACCTCAGTTTGAATCATATGGAGTCAGGCAAGGTGAAAAAGAAAACACGATGAGGTTCACCTTTGTCAAGACCAGCTGATGGAGCTTAGCACTAGGCTTCATGAATTGGAATTTGATAAGGTTGTGTGCTTTATACCGATTAGGGTTATTATGATATGATGCGTTGAGGCTTTAATTATTCCAGCAAATAATAAGATAAATCGCGACAAAAGAGATAAATCAACAACGTCAAAGACAAGGGTAAAAATGGTATCAGCCCAAAGAATACTGCGCTAACCTCATCGATGATTGCGTTGATTGTGATAAGCCACACCTTTTCTATTTCCTAACCCCAAAAGCGAACCGTCTCCATGTCACCTCAACGTCCTGGCATAGAGTCATGAACCCATCGTCCTCGATCAGCTCGCACATCCAACTCTCCAGAAACGCAATTCTCTCAGGCGTTGGCGCACCAAAATAAGTAGACAACTGATTCTCCGAGATCATCATCGGTTGTGTCGGTTTGCCATGCACAATATTGTTGCCATTGTCCACTCCTCCAACGGCGATATCAACAGATACGACACTCCCATTCCCAGGTCTGCTTCTTACTTGCTCACACACAGGGTCCAGATTGAGGTAGGCGTCGGATTGAGATGCCTGGGGCTGTGAAGGAAGACTTTTTATCTGGATGGTCTCAAGGAGGGGCTGTGTTGGGACTAGAGGCTGAGATTGAGACTGCGAGTCAGAGACTTGAGAATTAGGAGGCATCGACATGGATTTATGACCCATGAATGGGAATAGTTGCTCGTCCTTGGAGGCTTTACTTTGTGGCTGGCTTGTGGCTGCGATTTGTGAGATCGTGAACGTTGCAGCGTCTCCCTTTTGGGACCTTTTTTGACTTGGTTTAAGGAAAGGAAGGTCCCTTCTTGGAGGTAGCATTTGGTCAAGTTGGTCACCATGAAAGGCTGGTGCAGTTGCAGAGCGGCTCTCGGGGTTCTCAGGGTATTTCTGTCTTGAGTGCAACGAAGGATCATGGTGGTTTGGTGGAAGAGTTGTTGTGAGCTCGAATGGATTCTGGAATATAGGCGCACTTTGTCTGACTAGATTGTAGATAGTGCTCGAAGACGAGGATGGAGGATTAGGCGCTACAGCATAACCGGCGTTAGATTCCGAATTTGAAGCAGTTGGGAGGAACACACTTGAAATTCCACTGGGTGTATATCCTGGCACATGAAAAGACGGAATTGTGGTATCATTGTCCGAGGCCACTGCAGTACTTGCCTCCTTCAATGCAGATTGAGGTACTTGTAAAGAGGTCCAGGATGCGGATGAAGGCGATCGTCGTGGTTGCAGCATTGATGTACTTCCTTCTGTCAGCGGGCAGTTGATGTTGCTTAGAAGAGCAAGGGCTGTGAAGTAATCCGTGTTCCGCGAGAATTTGATCTGAAATCGCCGAATCTACCTTGTGTTAGCATCGAACCAGTAGACTATGTGACGTCAATGGAGAAGCATTGTATGTAGACATACATGCATACTGCTTTGAGGGTACTTCACTGCCAGACAGGGCGACTTGACCACAACAGCAAATAAGGGTTTTGCATTTTGGTCATTCTTATTCTGAGCTGTGGACATGCGAACAAAGTGCGCTAAGTCAATTTGCTCCTGAGTGGTATCAAAACTCAATGTCAGTTATTTGAGGCTTGATGAGGGATGATTGGTTGAGGCTCATACCAGAATGCCATCATTTCGAGCCACTCTAAGGACGAGTCTTGGTGGGATAGAGTGTCCCCCAGGAACTTGCTCCAGAATGCATACAAGATCTCCATCTCCATTAACATGTGTCCACGATAGAGGAACACAATGATTGATGGTTGTGGTTGCGTGAGAGAACTTGGTGAGTGGAAGACGTGTCACCTGGGAAGCGATTTGGCCTGGCATCGAATGATACCTTTGGAAGCAGATAAGGTCCCTCGTAAAAGCCTATTAGGGTCATGTAGCTGGGTGAGGAGGGGGAAATTGTGATAAAAAGAAAGGATGGTTGCAATGATGAAAAGGTCCATATCACTCACTTGATGAATGTCCACCACGGTCTCCAGATTCGACAATTACAAAATCTCGAGGATTTGCATATATCTATTTGATTTAGCTCAATATTTCTTTCCATATTCAAGGATTGACAATTGCAACTCTAGACGGGCCAATTTTCATCCAAAAGCAATTGGTCCTCAGTTCTGTGTTCATACTAAATGTTGACACCTGAGGCATACAAAGCCTCCCAGAGCAGACTAGCTCATTTTGATGATTGGCTTATGTAATTTCTCGGAATAACAATGCTCCGAAAACGCGCTCCACCAGAGGGCGCGGACTTTTGGCTGATCAACCCGGCTGATCGCAAGTCCAGCTGTTCTTCGTTGCCCTCCAACATTCAAGGCATTGTTCCTAATCCACTCATTGATACTGATCGCTCAATACCCTGGAACCTGCGCCGATTTCCCGCGCATCTGGAATTGCTCTGGTTCTTGCCAGACGTGTTCGTCCTGACATTCTCGTTGCGCATCCTTCCTTACCATCGAAAACGCGCCTGTGACTACGCCTCGTCCCAAGCCACCACCTGTGTGATAGTCGACGGATGATCTTCGTTGAGAAAGGAGAAATTCTTTGTCAACTTTTCCCTTCGACGGTGGATTCCGCGAAAACTACCAAGACGCCTACCTGTGATCTGCGTTTATAAATACTCCACTCGCGCTGGTTTGCAGCTTCTAAGGGCTGCATATTACTTGAGTCACCAATTTTGAGGACCTGGCATCGAAAGAACAGAGGAAACTCACCACAACAGTTGGTTGCAAAGCACCATACCCGGACCTGATTTGCAAGGGAGGGATCACAGCATCGCAGACACCAAGCCCTGCGCCTGCTCAAAGAGCTATTAATTGATCTAGCCACTAGCCTAGGCCGCCAAAATGTCGGCATCTACACCTCAAAGGACGTCCTTGCGACGTAAGTACCCCTCCATTCCCCCGCTCCCACCGAGCCATTTTAACATTGACCCAGAGGGCCTGCGCCAGGCACCTAAAATCAACCAACCCTTTATCCCAGATACGACCCCAGCGCGTCAAAAACACCACAGCCAGGGCTTTACATCCCCACAGCCCCAAATGACGCCTCATGTCAACTTAAACCCCGCAGCCAACCCAAATAGCGCCCAATTCGCCGTTGATAGCTGGGAAGGCAAAAACCAGACACAACTCCCGATGTCAACTCGGGAGGTCCTCACACCGGGAAATCGTCCTGCACTTTTCGCCAGTCTTGCTGACCGAACAAAGGTGGCAAGACAACCGGATTTCTATGACCCATACTTTGCATTGAGATTCCTTGAAGTCCCACGAAGTAAGTTTTTTCTTCTTCGCCAAGAGCGAGGGGAAACGAGTTGGAAGCTAATGAGTAACAATAGCGGATCACATCTACAAGCGCGCTCACTATGGCCTCCAGTCCAATCTCCCGGATGAGGTTGACTTCGCTTTATACCATTTAGTTCAGATTTCGAACCAAAGGTGTGATAAGTTCAAGTTTGAGGGATTCCCATTGCTTGCCGAAACTCTCATGCAAAAGGCTTTGGACGTTACCTATTTGTGCACTGGAGTTCGGTGGGAGTTGGAATATGATCCTCGTTTTCCATCGGAGCGGGTAAATGTTCTGAACTCTCTGCACGGAACACGAGATATCCTTGAAAAAATCCGAAATATCCCTGTAAATCTTCCAAGCGACACCTTGGAAACCACCGAGTTCACCCACCTCCTTCGGAACATTGGAGAAGCAACCTTGGTGTTGAGAAACATGGTCTTGTTGAGAGAAAATGCCTTCTACGTTTCTCGCTATGCTAGTGGCCTTCTGAGAGACTTCCTGGTAATTCTACTCAACCTCCCAAACCAGTCTCGCTTGAATGAAATCAAGAACGATGCACTGGATATTGCCGAGGAGGTGACCAAATTCATGAGAACCGACCCTCAAGACCCTCTTTGGATATCTTTGGTCGAGTGTTTACATTCCTCGGATCGTGCCCATATTCTAAGGGGTCTTTGGGCGCTGACCCATTTCTCTACTGAGCTGGAAGATGCCGATAGCAATCGTGCCATGGAAAGCCTTCCCAAGCCAACCCTTCAACAGTTGTACTACCATACACTTTTGGATCTCGACAAGGGTATTCTGAGCGGTGCATTGGATTTCTGGTATCAGTACACCCTCAGCCACGACAATATCGAGACTCTCATGGATGTTATCAATTTCCCCAGCGTATTTGTGCCCCGCATGATCGCACTGCTTACATACGAGGCGCGACCAACCAAGAAAGAGACGGTCTTGCAAGAAGAAAAAGTTGCACCACCACCATCTGAGATTCCGCGCGTACCACCTGAGCTTTTAGAGAAGTTGATGGAGTTGTCAGAGCCGGAGCGGAGCTCACAGTGGCTTCGCTGTTGCTTTGTTGAAGATGCGGAGTGCGAAATCACCCAGATTGCTCTGTGGCAAGCTTACCAGAGTAGATTCGCAGACTCTCGGGTGCCAGGCGGAGGTGTCCTTCCCGCCGCAGAATTCATTAAAAATGTCAGCAATACTTTCACAAATGCCCAGGCACAAGTGATTAACGGTCCAGGGGGCACAACCAAATTCATCATCAAGGGCATTCGGCCTTTGGAAACTGCTTACACCGTCGAAGGATTCCCTTACGTGTACTGCAAATGGGCCGATAACTCCAAGCCATCCAAAATGTGCCAGCGCGCATTCAGCTCTCCTACAGACCTCCGTAGCCACGTCTTCGGAGACCACATGAATCTCGAAGCTGAAGAGAAGCCCGGCCAATTCAAATTGGAGGCAGCGGAGACTCCGATTCACACCTGCCTGTGGGAAAAATGCACCCGGTTCCGGGCATCGGGGCCCAGCCCCAACACTGCCCTGGTGGCTGGCCATGTTTCATCTCACCTGCCAGAGGACCGGCCTGCTGATGCGCCACCCCCGAGTACAAAGCGTCTTGTTCTCCAGGAGCGAATTGTCCGCAAATGGTACTACATGGACACCCCGATCAACGAGAAGGGTGAACCTATCGGCGTAGCATACAAGGCTGCGCTGGTTCTGCGCAATATTGCCAAGGGCCTCCCGAACCGGGTCGCCACGAGATATGGTGGCGTGTCTTGGAAGAAGGCATGCTTCGTCAGCCAGCGCCCGAAAATTGTGGAAGTGTGGGATCGCAACCGTGCTTTGCGTAAGGAGTTGACCGAGTTGATCATGGTCATGGAAAAGGAGGATGATTACTGATCCCTACGATTCAACTTCTAGCCCTTTCGGGTTGCTACTTATGTACCTGTGAGCATCGATTTCTTTGTACCAGTAATACCCTGTCCGTCTTGCACCCTATTAATGGACGAAGAATAATGTTGCAACTTTTTATCTCATATCGGGCTCGGTGTTTTGTCCCTTTGTTTCATGTCTTCCACGACGGTGTATGTATATCATGGGGGTGGAGTAAGGAGATAACTGGCTGTTGCGGCCTGACAATTTCAGTTTTATTTTCATCCAAAACCCGTATAATAATCCATTTATCAACAGTTGAGCATGGACATGAGATACCAACCAACAGTGGCTACATCCAAACATCAAACCGGGCACTTGCGCTTCACATCCTCCGCCAGATCCCCCAAGACCTTCATTGCATCCTCCGCCCGCCCAGCAGGAACATATATGATCATGGAAAAACCCGCTCACAACATTGGTGCTGATTTTATGATCCTTGAGTCGATCAGTAACGGCCGCAATCAGTCCGACCGCCTCAAGGCTGGAATGGATCCCCAGCGAGATCTTGCGGCACGGGAAGACAATCTCCTTGAAGCCGTGGGACGCGGCTAGAGCTTCCGTGGTAACAATCGTTGTGCCTTCAGTTTCTTGGGCTATCAATTGTGGATCCAGAGTATCAAGTGGGAGTGATGCGAGGGGTTGTGTTGTGGTGACGAAGACGTAGGTTTGTGGGTCCAGGACTGGTTGCATTGTTGAGAGGAGAATTGAGAGGTTTACTTCGCCAGACATTTTGGGCAGTTAAAATTGCCTTTGAGTGTATTTTGGGTTGGGCTTATTTGGAAGGAATTGAAGAACTGCGAAGAATGAAAATGTACATGGGATTCGAATGGAGTTTAAGAGTAGTCTCGGATAAGAATTGGAGTGGATGTCACCGGCAGGGCGTGGATGGTCTACATAGAAGCTTATATGCCCGAGTCAAAGTATACATATCATTCTCTTTTTCAACAATATTGAGCTAACACTAAATATCACTACAGGCGCTTGGAATGATCAAAAGCTAGGATGTCAAAGAGAGAAACCCTCCCCCCCCCCCTTCAATAATCTCCAGTAGGCATGCCAACGGTCGAAACATGCTGTCCATGGAATCCGAATCCAACGACGCCTTTCACATTAGCCCGTCCAAGTTCAGTCAAGTCACGAGCATCAAGACAGAGCAGGTAGCTATGATCCCGGAAGCCATCCAGAACCACACTGAGAAGGACACCATCATCTTCATTCACACCATCTGGGTTGGCGACAAAGATCGGCTCACCGGGTGAGTGGCCATGGTGCGCCCACAGGAGAGTCTCTTTAGTCTCACAGTCAAACTTGATAATTCCATCCGTCAAAGTCGACTCTCCTCGAAAAGACGTCGCATAAGTATACCGATGCTTCTTCGTGACGAACTTAGAGTTCATGGTAGGCAATTCGGGCGAGAAAGCTTTACCAGAGGACCACTCCAGCGTAGCCTGGAGAACCTCCGAATTAGGTTCCGCTGGCAAAGCAGGAAGGCGAAATCGAGAGAAAGTGGTGCGTGTTTCCTCTGTTCTGCTTGCAGCGAATTCCTTTGCAGTAGGGAGCGAGGATTTCATGTTCTTGTAAAGGACGAGATCCAAGAAGTCGGAGGTATCCATGCGCACGAGGTCAGCAAGTATATCGATCTTGGTTGGATCATCTTTGGATGGCTCTTGGAACGCGTTGATCGTGTGGAAGCAGAAGAACGCGGGACTTTCATATGTTGCAACCAGGCCTCTTCCGTGCTTGCGATCGACCACATACCATGTCGCTGGCAGGGTTGGGTCGGTAGGCATAATAGTATCCCTGAAGGATCCCTTTTCTAACTCGTCAATGTTGATATGCGAGTTCCAGACACAGAGAAGGATGAAGTCCTCGGTGATATTGAGAGAATGGATGTAGGCGGGCGTGCCTGGGAATGTAGCCAAGATGGAAGTCTTGCCTGTCCCTGCAGAGACGTGAAATACGCGATAGATGGATTCTGGACCCGCGGTGAGATTGAAATTGTATACATCGCCCGTGAAAGGATCGGAACGGGCATGTGAAGCAGACATAGGACCGGTTAGCTCAGGATGAAGGTCCTGTTGCGAGGCCAGGCCTATTGGTTCAAGTGTTTCCGGATCCAGTTTCTTGAATGCATTGTAATCTGTCTTCGCATACAGGGTTCGGATACCCTTCGAGTCAGACCAGCGCTCGGCTGACTCTTCCTCAGACTCTTCCTCAGATGGAATGTCGAGGCCTGGCATGTTGATAGAAAGTGTTACGCCAATATTCACCTCGGACGGGCTACGGGGTGGGACAAATTCGGTTTGCACGTTGTTGAAGACTTCTTTGCAGGGATCGCGTTTGTCGGCAAAGCCTATCATGTAGCCGTCCCTCCGCACTTTTGCAATCAAGCCGTCAGTGGAGAAGCGGGAATTGTACAAGACCCGGATGGAAGAATCATCCGAGACAATGATTTGGAATCGGTGGGTTTGGCTGAAGCCGTCAAACCAGTGTCTTAGTTTGAAGAGTTCCCCGGCTTCGGTCTCAACTTGGCTTTTGCCTGGGCCTGTGCGAAAAAGTGTTCCTGCGGCATAGGCAGGAATATTGCCAGTCACGAAGAGCTCGACTGGAGTGCGCTCTTCGTACTCGGGGTCAAACTGTGGGTTGTCAGCATCTTACATAGTCAGGTACTCGAGTACAAGGGAAGATGGAGCTGATACATACTCCTTTCTCATTTGGCCAGTTGTTCCAGTGCTCTTCAGTGGGCTTTGAGCCATTAGCAGTCGCTGGAGAAGATTCTGAGATGAAAGAAGGCATGGTGATTTTATAGTGACTTCCAAATCGGAAATGTAGAAGACATAGACCGTTGGTGAGATGGTATTGATGGCGAGTGATGCGAATTTATATGTGATACCAAGTAGCTGCGTCCAACTTATTGCCTAGGTAGCAACATTTGAATCATAGATCAGCCCGTTCCAAGATTCAGAGGTCCAAATGTTTGTAGGTCATCCTGTCACGAGTGGGGGAATCGCGACGGAAGCTGTGGAGATCCGCGAACACGAATCACATTTCTCTCTGTTGTCACCATCTCGCTTACACCACTGTATAAAGTCGGACACGGACCTGTCTATATACAACCGGACACGGACTGGACAGTTTATCCGTCGTCCATATCCTCGGAGAAATCATCACTTGCCGACGGACAACGGACCCACCACGTCCGTTTCGCGCGTTGTCAAAGCCGGGGGTTTCCTTGCTCGGCCCGCCGGGATTCACCCGCTTTCTGGGGTCATCACTTGGTTCTTGTCTGGGCTCACTGCAAATTCACCCGGCGAATCAAAACCCCTGAATTGCAAACAGATTGGACGCCCCCCTTTATCCCCTTGATGCTCGAAGCAGTCTAGCAGCGCATGGAAGACTCACCGCCACAACCTGAGGCTGGGACTAAGGAGTGGAGATGTGATCAGTGCCCTGCAATATTTGGGCGACTAGATCATTTGAAGAGACACACGGTGACTCGTATGTCAAGGCCACCTAATCATCAAATTGTTGCTAAAGTCGTGCTAGATAATACGAACAGAAGTCATGCATGCCCTTTTTGTGGTGCAGTTTTTGGTCGAGGGTAGGTATTCACCGGCATGCAATACTTCCGATATATGCAAAGAGTATAGACACTAACTGAGGCTGTCAGGGATGTTCTGCGGAGACATTGGAAATCATGTAAGACTCGGATAGAGACCGGCCAAGAAATTCCCGAGACTCAGCGAGGCGGCAAACACAAGCGGGCTTGTGATAGCTGTGCTAGTCTAAGAAAGGCCTGCAGTGGAGAAACGCCCTGTGCAGAGTGCCGACACCGTGCGCGACAGTGCACCTATCAACGGTTAAATGAAGATCAATGTATCAACCCATCTACAGATGTGAATGCAGAACAAGGGAGTTTACCACATAATCAAAATCGAGATACCATCGAGGCACCCGATACCCAATCATGGGCATTGGGGCTTCAAAATTACTACCCAAATACGGATACGGGGAAAAGGGTTTATGCCCACAGGAGGAAGTTTGGAATGTAAGTACCAGGCTCTCGGGGTGGTTATGAATCAATGAGGATATAGTGGTACTCTACAAGAAGCAGACCATTACAGGCAGGAAGCAGACGTGTTCCTTGATGGTGAATCTCAAATTGCATTTGTCCATCCAAAAGACCTTATGATAAGAGTCACAGGTCGCCAATTTTCTGCGACTTGAACCCTAAGCCAGTTCCAAGATTTTATATACAGGCCTTTGGTAGTTATATGTGGGATTCAAAAGATCTTAGCTAACTGGGCGACTGGTTCATCAAAAATCTTCATAGAGCATATGAGAACTTGCATGACGACTTAGTCTTGCGAATAAGCTCTTCAGTCGATTTGGGAGCTCTTCAAAACCTCCAAGTATCGATAGAATTCAACAAAAGACACCAACCATTGCTCTTTCTCTTTATCAAAAGGTCCATATCCCTTTAGTCCAGCATTGAGTCTGCAAGTCGAGGGATTTTCGAGCTTATGTAGCGTGATAGCTGGCGAATCCACCTCCTGGACCCAGCTGGCAGGCTCCGTAGACCAAGGCGTTTTCACTGTGCGGATCCCCTCGTCTCTTTCATTGGTGATGGCTTCTCTAGCCATTTCGGCATGACCCACCGGAAGCGATTGATAGAAAAAGGGCATATCGTCAACCACGACCCGAGCAGTTTCCATGATGGATGGAGAATGTCGAGATTCAGGATTGCACAGTTGATCACCAGCTACAATCCCAAACTCCTCCGTCCAGTTGAGAAGCTTCGCCAGCGCCTCATCGAATGGGATTATGGGAAAGAATTCATATCGAAAGAACTCCAGCTTGGCGAATGGGTGGACTTTATGTAGGCGGAATAATCGACCGATATCAGACCTCAATCGAGATACTACGTGCCCAGTATTTGCACGACGTTTCTGCTCTGGGTCTAAGGTTCGTTTCAAGATATCTGGATTCTCTTCCAAAAGTATCGCGGCACGACGAAGCTGAGAGGCGCATTGATCCACCAAATTTTCTTTTGCGAGCTGAAGAGCGTCCCAGTGCTCTCTAAATCGTTCAACGGACGAAAATACATCAATTGGTGGAATTGGCTTCACCGCATATTGATTCAGATCCAATTTTGGCCAGTTGTGAAGTGTCTTGTAGATATGTTCGTCCATATCGGGTGTCAGATCCTCGTGCAGGAAGCTGGTCCAATTCCGAGACCTATATCTACTTGAGGCGAGAGTAGTCATTGAATACACCCGATTCATCTGGTCGACGGGGTGGAAATGAAGGATTGGAATGCTTGCTTCGAGATCAAAATAACTTCTGAGTCGCTCTCGAGTTTTGGCTTGTGTTTCTGCATTGTCGCCGAGAAGAGATTTGCATTGTTCATGAGCCAAAAGTAAATCATTGACTCGAGGCTGATTTGCAACTAGTAGTTCCATGGCGGTCCAGACCCAGAGGTCATCGATGATTTTGAGTGCCAGCTCATCTGGTATATTTGCCAAATTCTGGATGATCGGGTCGAGACTGCGGCGGGGCATTATGCTGGCTTTGAACAAGTTTGAATAGAGAAATCAAAGAGAAAGCGCTACCTCATGGGTTTAAATAACAACTGGCATTTTGTTGGAGCTGATCGGCATCTCTGACTCACAATAATAGTCACTCATGGAACTTTCTACGGAGAGGACGAGGCTGCAGCCTTGGACTATGTATAAATGATTCACTCCCCTCGCCCAGAAACCCATTTCTCAAATCTCGACCGCAAAATGAAAGACCCTGAAGCTATTGCATTGCAATTAAAAAAAGACCTACAGCTATGTCAAGAGCAAAGACTCCCAAGTACTCTTGCCCTTCGCTTACCCAAGGCCCCGTCCCCGCTTCTTGACAAAGTGGCCTACTATCTCACCCCCGACAGCGAGATTACGGCTGCACTTCGATCTTTCAGATGCGAAAGCATCATTGAGGGGATTAAGTCATACCTCAAAAATCTGAACGCCGTCGCAGACGAACCCAGCGACGCTCTACTCAGCGGGGAGACCCATGCTCCTAAGACCAAAGAGCTAGAGACCACACTCAAAGTTCTGGAGTACCTCCAAAACAATGAATCATTGTCGAGCATCACAACGTCTAGTTCCTTGACCGATATTATGACTGCACTCCGCTCTCAACTCTCAGTCGACAGCAAAATCCGCATGAAATACTACAAGACAGCCCAGAAAGGTCAAAAGTTCAAGAAAGACGCCCAGTCCCGCAAATGCTATATGTGTCGTCAGCTTTGCTCGATATTTGACGTCCACGACTTATACCCCTCCCTATGTGGTCCCTGTGGCTCTTTCAATCTCAGCTCATCAGCGCTGTCGTTACCCGGAAAGCTTGACCTCGGAGGTAAAACCGCTCTTGTTACAGGTGGTCGAATAAACCTGGGATACCATACCGCTTTGAGGTTACTGCGCTGTGGCGCTAAAGTCATTGTTTCCTCTCGGTATCCGAGGGATGCTGCGATGCGATATTTACGAGAACCGGACTGTGAGCAATGGGAACATAAGCTCAAAGTTATTGGTGCGGATTTCCGGACTGCGAAAGACGCATTTCGGCTTGTTCATATTGTGAAAGCTCTTCTGCGTGACTGGAATGAAACGGACAGCAATGGTGCTGATGACGACTCTCTCGATATCCTGATCAATAATGCCGCGCAGACGTTGACGGATCCGGTCAAGGCCGAGATGAAAGCAATTTCCCGAGAAGAGGATTTGGTCCATGAGTCACAGACCAATAGACTTCTGATGGATGGAGGTGGGGATTCCTATACACCGCGAATCCGAGGCGGGAGCCAGGCGGCTTGGATCCCCAGTATTGAAAGTGAGAAGCGGGCACTGATCGATGATGGGGCTGGAGATGGCGACCAGAAAAAAACCATTTATAAGGGTCTCCGCAATGGTGAACAGGATACAGGAAAGTCATCTTGGGTCCAATCTCTGGATGAGATCCCTTACGAGGATCTGATCAGCGCACATTCCGTCAATGCTTTCGTCCCGTTGATTCTATGTCGCGAACTCCTTCCATGCATGGGTCAGCGTCGTCCTGGTAAAAGTGCACCGCTGGGATACATTGTGAATGTTTCCTCGCGGGAGGGTATTCTGGAGGATACAAGAAGATCCAGCAGCAAAGCTGGCCATCATGTTCATACGAATATGTCCAAGGCTGCTATTAATATGATTACGGAGACTGAAGCTGGGAGGGCATGGGAGATGCGTCGTGTGGCTATGAATTCTGTGGATCCTGGTTATATGAGCGCGGCACCCGAATGCCAGCACGAAGATGGTTGTCCGATTAGTTTTGAAGATGGGGCTGCTCGTGTGTTGTGGCCCGTTGTAGTGGGTGAACGTGAGGGTCGTGTAATTTCAGGGAGATTTCTGAAACATTTTGAGGAGGGTGCTGCTATCGTTAGACGAGGGAATTAAGGATTTCAAGTGTCCTCGGGAGGTGACATCCGATGCCTTGGATCGTTTTGAATAGATGTCTGGAAGTTACACTATCAAGTCATGTTTACTGGGATTAAAACACCAGAAGACTGCAGTATATATAGCGGAGTTTTTTATTATACAAGATTCTGCCAAAGATATATCTTTCATTAAGGGGAGATGTGCCACATACAGTCATTAATCTTTATCATCGTGGCAGGAACATGGAGTCTGCACTATCATACACATCACCAATGAAGTTCGTATAGTTGGCCCAAGCAACATCACAGTCCTGAGTCCCGCTAGCAGTCAAATCCATGGCATCCCAAACATTGGGCCATGCTCCCAAGTCAGACTCAAGTCCCATACTCGTCGGCATTGCCATGGGCTGGCTCATTTGCTCGCTAGTAGCCATGGTCGGCCCCATGTCCCTCATTGAGAATTCCGTTAACGGGTGAGTATTCAAAGGTTGAGCAGGATCAACAGTAACACCTCCATTCAAAGGCACCTGGTTGATCGCCTGGTTTAAGCTTTGACTTCCAAGCAGTTCGTGTTTTCGGTTTAATGCTTGATTCATGAGCTTTTCCAATGGTCGCCATAGCATTCCATGTTGTGAATCCGCAATCATAGAGCTTGTTCGCTGATACATTTGCTCAACCACGGGCCAGTACTTAGACATGGTTCCTGGGTCTTTGCAGACACAGAGTTCTGCAAGAGCTACTGCAAGACCATGCCAGGGGACCCAAAGCGACCCGAACCATGACCACTGCGTCATGGCTGGATTGCAATAGACTTCTGAGGCCATTTGCAGATTCTCGGCAGCCAGTCTGAGAAGGACGTCGCCCTGGACGTAGGGAGGAGTAAAGTTCCTACTTCGTTGCAGCGGGCGGAGACAACCAAGCTGAAGCCAGCCATTTATTGTGTCCGTAGTGCGTTTTGCATATAGATGAAAGGTATGAATATCTGGTCGACACCCCCTCAGGAGATTTGCAGCCGTATTCTGGAAGTCTGATAGGATCTGTTGGCGTACGCTCATTGACTTTACCGATTCTTCCATGAAATCTGCAAAGGCAATGGAACGACAGACAGACTGGGATGCTGCGACAACTAATGGGAGTGTAAGGTCGGTGAAGGTACCCTCCGGTGGTTCTTGGACCGGTACTTCCATTTTAGGCCAAATGTCTTCATCGTTTATGTTGGATGGGGGGAGCGATTCTAGCCATGCGGCTTGCATCATTGGTTCAGATGCCCTATCCAATGAGGCAGCTACATCAAGCATGCCAATTCCTAGCCAGCAGCGTCGGCGTAATTCTTGCTCAAACGGGCTAACCCGAAATGGTGGATCAGCCATGTGAAGACACTGTGCTTGAGCTACCCGAAGGGCCATGCTCAGCATGGTCCACACTCGTCGGCTTTGATCTTGGCACCGAGCCGCCAGCTTGATACGGTCAGCTTTTTATTCGGCCAATTTTGATCACTAGGATGGATAGTTTGATAAAGAACTCACCAGTGAGATTACAAAGGCTTGTAAGACAGTCAAATCATTCGTGGTTATGAAATCTGCCTTGACTAACGCAGCTTCTGTCTCCCTCTGGAGGTCGGCAAATGCACTTTTTTTGTCTAAGCCAAACAGTAGCTGACACTGAGAATCATCAATAGTACACACAGCGGCAGTAAAAACGGCAAATGCCAAAGTAGTCGGGGCCTGGTGATCATGCTCATAATCAAGATAAGGCTGATCGTCATGAAGGAATGCTCGTAATGAAGGTCGATGTAGGAGCTTGAATACCGGATCCACGTTGCGCAGATAAATTTCACACAGGGTGCGACGCGTCTGGGGTGAAATCTGGGCCCCTTTCAGGGATTGGGGTGAGTTAGAGACGCTCTCTGAGCCCTCAGACCCAACAAATGCAGAGCCAAAGCCAGTAGGACTCTTAAATTCCAGTTGATCATTCTCGACGCGGCTATCAAGTACTGTCCGCAGCTCTTGCGTCTGTCGATGGAAAACCATTAAATTAGAGTTCACTACGTATTGGGCGTGAGATGGAAAGAAAGAGCGCGCATACCTGATGCATGATATCTTCCCAAAATGAGCTGCCTAAATAAGACATCGTCGGACGAGTGCGATGTGGTAGATTTGTCGATATGACCGGTTGAGCATCACCCAGCTGAGCTGTCTGGGCATTTTGGTCGCTCCAGGTCTCGGCACCAGCCACGTTCACGTCAATGTTGCGCTCTACAGAAGATTCGTTAAATGAAGGCGCCTCATCGACCTGAGGCTTAGACGGGGCATCACGTCCCGCAGCGACTCGTCGCAAAAGATCTTCAAGCTTTGCGACCCGATCCGCGAGTTCCTTGTCCGAGCCGCCAGCTCGCTCGGGAGCCTTCCGCGTACGACCTCGCGGCAGACGGGCTCGCTCAACAGGAACACATTTAAAACCGAGTCGCTGGCAGCTGGTACATGGACTCAGCTTGTCGCATTTCACTTTTCGCTGACGACATGCTTCACAACTTAGGCGAACCCTCGGCGCTAGAGACCGGGACTGAGCTGTTTTTTCGGGGCTGGCCGCGGGGTCGCGGCCTTCCATGACGCATCCACGCCTATCCGGGATCGGCTGAAAGAAGTAGTGTAGCGTAAAGATAAATCCCAATGTTATTTGTTATTATCAAATAGCGTTGTGCAAATATGTGGGGGTTTGATCCTGTGGACCCCGGGGTTGAACAAGTCAAGAAGGCCCAGAGCTCCTGCGTTGGAAATTGACGCCTATTGGCGTAATCAATTTCACGGAAGCTGTTAAGGCCTGTAAACACCCACTTTAACTATGTATATTTGTAATCAGATGAGAGTAGAGTTATTAGCCGACTACATCAAGCTTTTAAATGCAAAGTAAACCATCAGTAGCGACGAAAAAATCCTTTTATTTGCAGTAGTGAACTACTTGGCATAAGCTTATCATGACTAAGCGGCAATCTACAGCCTAAGAATGGAGTAAATTGACGAGTTAACTCATACATGACGAGATGTGATTCTACTGCTTATTACAAATTCCTTTCTAAGATGCATCAGCCTTGGAAAAATGCATTCTCTGGGGAGTGAGGTAGTTTTTAGAATAGAAGGATTCTAGTCTCTGTGCATATGCTAATGACTCCCATTGCAAGCCCCCTAATGAGCAATGAGCAAAAATCTTGGAAAAGAGACCATCGAGAGGATTCGGAGAGATTTACTAGGCAACAGAAAGCACACCGCTATTCGACAGATCTTCTCTTGTGTTACGCAATTTTCTCATTCAAATCCTGCGGTTGATAGATCCACTGGACTAGTTGAAGCCCAGGCTCGTATACTTGCAGATCATAAACCACACACGCTAAGCTCTTAGGCCACAGGAATCCGTATTTGAACATTTCTCTCAACTCGCAAGCTCAAGTTCAAGTCTCGTGACTTGATAAATATTAAACCAAAGGGTTTGAAGAGTGAAATAACAGAAGTACGCAGAGAATATAGCACCGGGGCCATGGTTCGCAAAGGTATCCGCAGGAGCCATAACGGGTGCACCACCTGCAAGTGAGCGACCCCGCAACCTTACCGAGTTCTCGGGACTCAACAATAAACGTTATTCAATCTAAACTTGACCTAGAATTCGCAGAATCAAATGTGTCGAAAATCATCCGAATTGCACCAGATGCACATCCACAGGCCGAAAATGCGACGGTTACACGATCTGGGTCTCTAAAACAGTGCAGCGTCAAGCTCAAACCATCCAACCATCTACCATTCCAGGAGCTGCAGCCGCTGATTTCCAGTTTCTGGATTTTTCCGCATGTTCTTAGCACCTGTGCTTGAGGGCCCATTGCCGCACTCTTTCTGGACCTACACCGTTCCTCAGATGGTACACCAGGAACCGGCCTTGAGGAATGCGGCTGTGGCGCTTGGCTCTCTGTACCAGAAGTTCAGAGAGGATACACAAAGTGAGGCGGAGAAAAGGTTCTCTCTCGGTCGTTACAATTCGGCTATACGCCAGATTGCTCTGCTGCAACAAGGACACCTAGACACGGTGGTTATCGCCTGTGTTATCTTCATGGCTGTTGAGATTATTCGCAGGAATAATGAGCAGGCACTCCTTCACTACAGGCATGGGAAACGCATTTTGGAATCCTACACTCCTAATGCACAGATCGAAGGGATCTTTCGCCAGATGTACATGTTTGTGCTATTCACCAGTCCCTCGGGTAGCTTGTTACCAGAGAAAGATGGATGTCCTCATATCACCCAGCCTTTTTGGTCGCTTCTCCAAGCGCAAGAGGAACTTGACTGGCTCGTTTACCGGTCCATGGAGGTGGTATACTTTGTGAACAAACACTGCGAAGAGGCTATTATCCTACCCATGCAGCATGAACTTAACGAGGAATTAGATAACTGGTTCCACGCTGTATCCGGCTTGGTATCTCAGGATCTACCCGTACTTCAAAGGGCGGCATATCACATGCTCGAGGCCCGATGGCTGATTTGCAAAATTTGGTGCCATGGGTCCTTGAATGGTGATCAAGGATACAATGACTGTACCCAGATGTTCCGACGGGAATTGGAGCTTCTGCAGGAGTTGATGGCAATGGGTGCGCCTAAAAGCACATTCGAGATTGGAGTCCCACCACTCTTGCATTTTCTCTTCACGAAATGCAAGGACTTGAATCTTCGGCTTTCAGCCCTGGCTTTGTTCAGGGAGAAGTGCTTTACGCCTGATACATTGTGGGACTTTATGGTGATTTATGAAACTGCCCAGCGACGAATTGAAAATGAGCATGATCTGGTCCTTGGATCTGAATGGTCTCGGGCGATTGATCTGGATATTGTGCCTGCGAAGAAGAAGACCGCACTCACACGTACTGCATGGGTTAGTGAGACTCAGTATCTTTGTTCATGGGTTCTTGTGGTCTTAGATGTCTCTGAAGATGTACGAGGAGCCATTCCTTTATAGCATTCACTTCCAATGTTGATGTTGATTGATGTGTAGTCTCTGAGAATTTTCATTGGTCTTGGAATGATTGTTGTGAGATTAAGTTTAAATAAATACATTTCTCCTGGAAGATCATACCTAGCCAAGAATCTTTAATCCTCCCTTAGTCTTGCCGGACTTTTTCACTCCATCGTGCTTCACTTTGGCACCCGAGTGCCCGCCTCGACCACCGCCGCCGCCCTTTTTGTGGTTCTTATTGTTCGAAACAGGTTTCACCTCGGTGACAGCTCGTCGTAGGAGAACCGGATGAGAGCCAATGTACTTGCCCTGCATCTCACGTGCAGCCTTAAAGTAGTCGTCGCCATCACTGAAACTGACGAACCCGTACCCTTTGCTCTTCTGCGTGCGCTTCTCTCGAATCACACGCGCCTTCTGCACCGATGTGTATCGTGCAAAAGCCTTCAATAAAGATTCATCGGTGACTTCGCCAGCCAAGTTACCCACGAACAGTCGGAAATGGGCTGGGTCCCACTCTAGTAGTGTCGAATCGGTCCACTCTTGTCCACCACCGGCCCGAGCAACTGTCTTTTGAGATTCGGGTTGTGGAATCGGGGTGCCAGCACCGGCCACTCCAGTGGTCGGAGTTCCGGTACCTCTGCTAGGAGCAGCCGACGGGGTGCCCTGCGTGTGGGTGGAGTCGTCCTGCTTGGAATATGCGCTTTGCCACTGAGCAATCTGGGCCTCGGTCTCTGCGTCTAGGCCGTCGCGGCCGGGGCGTCCCCCGCCATAGGCCTGACCAGGCGTCGAGCCGAAAGGATTTTGGATGTGCGGGACAGTAGGGCCGTACGTGGGTTCGTTGTAGGAGGCGCCGTAGTAAGAAGGCCCGCTCTGATAAGATTGAGGCTGTGATTGTTGATAGTAATTTGAGTAGTTAGTCACCGGCGTGGCATACCCAGCGGACGAAACAGGTGGGGCTGAGATCGTCGGGTTGCTTGCGCGATATGGCTGTGGCTGACTGGAGGCTACGGAACGCGGTTGGAAACCTGTGAAGGCTGGGCGCGCGTTCCCACCATAGCCCGGGACTGGTGGCTGTGCGGCATTGCTGGATGGAGGTGGCCGAGGAGGAAGAGACGACGGCGCCTTATTGAGACCTGGAGGAGGTGGAAAGGACATGATGAATGGAGAGTCCGACACGAGAAACGGTTGAGCTGTCTGTAGAGTAGCAGCCACAACGTACCTTCAGGGCAGTCTAATTCCACCAGACGTCACACCTGAGGACCCGAACCCTGTTCGAGAAGGATAGATGTGGGATTGTGAAGTGACAATTGAAAATCACTTCAAGAGCAAGAAAAGAGAATAAGGAGGAAAGTGAAGAATGGGACGAAGAGATTGGATGGTGACCTTTGATACCCGAAAGATTGCGATTGCGATTGCGATTGCGACCACAAAATGGAATATAGTTGCACACCTGGTCCCTACGACGACCTGGAGCGAAAGCTTATCTAAGGACCGATGGAATTGCCCAGTTGCTGCAGATGAGAGGAGCATGTGACAGGTGACATAATCCCTTAGATAATCAAGTATGAGGTCACCCCCACTCTAGACCGGAATAGGACTAGATTACACCATTGACCGGATTCGAGTGGATTTTCACGGCGAGTGAAACGCAGTTTCTCCGTTGATTTATCCTGAACAGTTCACCGATGTATGGGGGATACCATGGGAACTCAGGTACCTGGTATTATTAGACCAATGCGTCCAAGGACAACGTTCCCCTGATGTTAAGAGGTGTACAATGCTACGAGCTATAGAATGGCAGCTTCTATGTGAAGATTACCCCTCCATCTGCTGAAATCTGCCCCGCGCCGTTTTTGATAGTCCAGGAAGCATCACATATGCAGGTTCCTAGAATCCTACGCATTGCGACGGCAACGGGTGGAGAGACTGAATGCTAATGATCGGGTCGGATATTGCTTTTCAACAATTCCCCCCTCATAAGAATAGGTCCGAGTCGAATCAGAACCCGAGTGGGATGACCGGGCGACTGTGCTCCTGTACCGAATACTTGGCGCGACACCGGCGGCAGTAACAAGAAATAACTCAAAGACCCAGTATATGGTACATTTAATACAGTATTCTGAGTATTCGTAGTACATATCCCCGCCGGCGAATGTATCCCACCACTATGACGGAAGAGTTGCTCCGTCAGCCGGATTACTTCTTCTCGCTCCTTCCCCCTCCCCATCCATTCTTCCCTTCTTCAACTCTCTTCAGTTGTAGATACCCTCACTCCCAACTATACCCTCTTTCTTCAATTCGCATTCATCATGTCAGCTGCGTAAGTACCATTCCGCTTGCTTCCCCTCCTTGCCCCTCAAAAAGTCCCCAAGCCCCCCTCCGGATTCGGGCAGACCCCAACGGGTCCCCGCCAATCTCTGGTTCGCTCAATTCTGCCATACAAGGGCAGTGTTTTCGGAGCTCCCGGGACCATGGAGACCAGTGAGGTTCCTTCTCGAGATCCGATACGATTTAGGTGATCAAGCTTCGTGCATGTTCGCGCAATGCAAGAACATCGCATATCTGCATCTCTCGGAATCGCAGGGACTTTCCTTTTCTTGAACCATTTCATCTGCTTTTACCCGGCTATTGACAAGAGAATTCGGTCGCTGACTATAGCGCCCGTCTCGCCGGCATCAATGTCGGCGCTCCGGCGCATCCTGTTCCTAGTCCCACCGCTGATTTCGGTCTCATCGGTCTGGCCGTCATGGGCCAGAACCTGATCCTGAACGCCGCTGACCACGGTTTCACCGTCTGCGCCTACAACCGCACAACCTCCAAGGTCGACCGCTTCCTTGAGAACGAGGCCAAGGGTAAGCTTCCTCTCCCGCTACTCAGACGCGAGAAATCGCCAGCGCGCAAAAGCTGACTGATGGGGCACAGGCAAGTCCATCATTGGCGCCCACTCCATTCAGGAGTTCATTGCTCAGCTCAAGCGCCCCCGCCGTGTGATGCTCCTCGTCATGGCTGGCAAGCCCGTCGATGACTTCATCGAGTCTCTCCTGCCCTTCCTCGAGGAGGGTGACATCGTCATTGACGGTGGTAACTCCCACTACCCCGACAGCAACCGCCGCACTAAGTACCTCGCCTCCAAGGGCATCAGCTTCGTCGGTAGCGGTGTTTCCGGTGGTGAGGAGGGTGCTCGCTACGGTCCTTCTCTCATGCCCGGTGGTAACGAGGCCGCCTGGCCCCACATTAAGGATATCTTCCAGAGCATCGCCGCTAAGAGCGATGGTGAGGCCTGCTGTGACTGGGTCGGTGACGAGGGTGCTGGCCACTACGTCAAGATGGTCCACAACGGTATTGAGTACGGTGACATGCAGCTGATTTGCGAGGTTCGTCTTTTCTTTTTCTATGATTGCTACAGCTATAACCAAGCCAAGTACTGACATTATCTTCCTTAGGCCTACGATATCCTGAAGCGTGGTCTCGGTCTTTCCTGCAAGGAGATCGGTGACGTCTTCACCAAGTGGAACACTGGTGTTCTGGACTCTTTCCTTATTGAGATTACTCGCGATATTCTCTACTACAACGATAACGATGGCACTCCCCTCCTTGAGAAGATCCTGGACAAGGCTGGTCAGAAGGGTACCGGCAAGTGGACCGCCGTCAACGCTCTTGACCTTGGTATGCCCGTCACCCTGATCGGCGAGGCTGTCTTCTCCCGTTGCCTCAGTGCCCTCAAGGATGAGCGCACCCGTGCCTCCACTATCCTCAGCGGCCCTACCCCCAAGTTCGAGGGTGACAAGGCTGCCTTCATCGATGACCTTGAGCAGGCTCTGTACGCCTCCAAGATCATCTCTTACGCCCAGGGCTTCATGCTCATCCAGAACGTAAGCTTTATTATTATTCTTTCGTCTTTCGCTCGCAATCTTTGACTAACTTATTTCATACAGGCCGCCAAGGAGTACGGCTGGAAGCTGAACAAGCCTTCCATCGCCCTCATGTGGCGTGGTGGCTGCATTATCCGCTCCGTCTTCCTCAAGGATATCACCAACGCCTACCGCAACAACCCCGACCTCGAGAACTTGCTGTTCGATGAATTCTTCACCAAGGCCATCAACACCGCCCAGAACGGCTGGCGCAACGTTGTCAGCAAGTCCGCTCTCTGGGGTATCCCTCTGCCTGCCTTCTCCACTGCCCTCAGCTTCTACGACGGCTACCGCACCAAGAACCTTCCTGCCAACTTGCTGCAGGCCCAGCGTGACTACTTCGGTGCCCACACTTTCCGCATTAAGCCCGAGCACGCCAACGAGAACTTCCCCGAGGGCAAGGATATCCACGTCAACTGGACCGGCCGTGGCGGTGACGTGTCTGCCTCGACCTACGTCGCGTAAAGTCGATGAGATAAAAAATTGGGTTTTATGTATTTAGATGCCACCATGAATGGAACGTAACGAACTTGTTTCAATGAATTCGGTTTAATATACCAAGCAAAAAAAAATTGGCCAGTCGTTCTTTGTAGTCGCACTAAAGCTTTAAGTGGTGCCTTGGTGCCTAAAGTGATCCAACTCACGCTAGACCAGATCGGGTATCGAGCAACGTCGACCTTGTCGCCATCTTATCGCGTCTCCCCTCCTTCCTCCACCAATTTCCCGGGGCGTGAGGCTGTTTTCCCTTCCTTCCTTCCCCTTCTCTTTTACTCTCCGCATTCCAGGAAATCGGGGAAGCTCATTCCTCCGAGCTTCGTCAAAGCCCTTCCTTCCCTATATCCAAAGGGCTCGGTAAACCAACCACAACCTATACAGGAAATAAAGGGTCCGGAAGCCCCCAAGCTCCGTGAGGTCATCAGACAGATATCAATTGAGATACTTGTCTGTGTCCAATGTCCTGTGGCTGACGCCATTCAATTATTTTCCCCCTCAGACGAATCCTGTTTACGAACCACTTGTGCGCAAGTGGACAAGTGAATCACACCGCCCGCACACGTCACACGCTGCATGGCGGAGAATAAGCGCCAGAGCTCGAGTGCGAAGGCCTCTGGTCCTGGTATGGCGACCAACATGGTACCCCACGAGGCTGCTTTGAGTGGCGCGATCGGTGCTCGGTGAGTGATTGTCTAGCCTTACTTCATCCCCTCCCTCGAATTGGACATACAGCCTGCAATAGCTGGCGCGCATTCAATATCTATCATCACCGACCCGAGGTGCGCTAATGCAATGGCTTTCATCTAAACAGCGTCCGCATCACTACTGCTGCGCCAACAACCTCCACTCTCGAGGGAACTCTCTTCACAGTGTGCCCTATCACCAACCTCGTCGCCATCAACACATCCCCCGTCACCTCCTCCACAGACCCCAAGCAGGCGCAGAGCGGTGACTACCACGTCATCCCCGTCTCCCGCATCCAATCTTTCCAGCTCCTCACTCTCCCGTCCAATTCCTCGGACTCGCCTTCCTTCACAGATGCACAGCCCACCATCCAGGCACTTGATACCCGTGCACTGAAGACGCGCGAGATCAAGGCTGTCAGCGAGATTCTGGACCGGGAAGCGCGTCGTGGAAAGGGTGTTACCCGTGAGGCGCAGGATATATTTGATGCATTTAGTCGAACCATGCCTGCACGGTGGGATGGACCGAATATCGTTGTTGCCGACGCAGTTACCATTGCGCCTCCGTACCGGGTTGACGAGTGTCGTCCACTTGTTGAGGGTGACACAGCTGCACTTGCTCGTGTGCGCAAAGTGGTGAGTAGTTCCCATTGTCTCGTGCCTCGTTTCTATTTTCTTTGCCTTTTCCGTATACCTTCGAGTTTACTAATGGCTATGTCATCATTTAGCTTGAGATGGAACGCAAGAAGATTGAACTCCGCAATGCTAGCGCCACCATTGGTTCGACTAGTACTTTCTCCCGGAATTCGGGCGATCAGCGCAAAGGTGGATAAGCTTCTTATTTCATTTATACAAAAGCAAGACATTCGGAATGATTAGCTGTCCTTATCGGATGTCAGTGTCTCCGAAATATGGTGAAATGTGTTTAATCTGGATAACCGTTGAGCTTGTCCAAGTAACATGGCCAGGGTGTGACATGTTCTTCCAAGTTTAATGTACCCTTCATGGTAAATACCCTCTTAAGTGAAATAAGTTTGGGTCGATAACGAATCCGAATTTTGCCGCAGATGAATGATACCACGAATTGGGTCGTTTATGCTGCACCCTCGATTGCTTCTTGTATACCTGAATGTTGGTAGACTACCTCGCATCTGGAACCATAGATCTTGTTCTTCCCAAGTCTATGGTAACTTGATAGTAAACATATTGATTGCTTTCAGCCTTCACAGTATTAAATGTAATTCTATGCTTGAATCTGCTATGCATTTATCTCTTATCCCTAATCGGAATGCTAATGTTCATAACGATCTATGTTAAATAGGCCAAAATAAAACTGAAAAATGTAACCATATCAACAAGTAAAAAAACACTTAATACCAGTATAAACCATTGGACGAAAAAAAATGTACCGAATGAAGATCCCGTCCTGCATGGAACCACAACTTTCATAAAGAACCCACTTAGACCCGTTCTTTATTCATTCCCCACACTTCTGCCCGGAATAACTTCACAAACCGTCCCCACAAATCCTTCTAATCCAGACGCCGTCACAAACCCAGAACCATTGGCGCTAGAGCCGGGCCCCGAGCCCACAGCGGCATTGGAAGACGCTCCTACCGACACACCAGGCATAACGAGAACCTGCGAGCCAAGCTCAATCCACTCGACAGACGTGATAAGCGCAAACGTAATTCGCACATCTTCTTTTAATGCCTCTGTCTTTCCTCCTGAGACGACTTTGCTGATATCTGCTGTGGATTGACGATGCTGCATGGGACCAGCAACAGTGGCATTAGTTCTGGGGCTACCCTTTTCCCCCCGGCCAGAGGACTGGGCATCTCCGTCGAAAGAGAAGAATTCCGGTTCGTCGGGTGACTGTGGCTCGGAAGGAAGCTCGTCGTCTGTCCCTGCAAGTTCCATACAGATGACGCGGACAGTTGTGCGAATGTTGGCTATGTAGACTATTGAATTGCCACCCAGAAGGAGGGGAGGCGAGTTCAGGGCTGAGAATTCGGATGCGGGGAAGGTGGCTATGAATCCTGTGTGGAAAGGTAATGGCAAGGTCGACGGTAGCGGGTTAGTGGTTGTGCTGATGGTGTTGGGAGAGGAAGAAGAGGGCGAAAGTGGTATGGTCTGGTGCATGTTCGTTAGAACCATGCCCTTTCGAATGCGGCTGAGACGTGGGAGCCGGTCTTCATCTGGGGAGGCGAGTATCTCAATGCCGATGGTGCCGACTTGGTCTTTTATAAGGCAGCGGACAGAGAGGCGAAGGTTACGAACGCTGACGACGCGCACGCGCTGCCATTTTGCTTGCGTTAACGAGGCGTCCTTTCCTGGTAAGAAGCCCTGTGGGAACGATGCAGGGAACTCATTTGAGGGGCCTGGTCCGCTGCTGCGGGAAAGCATGCTCAAAGGCGCGTTATCATTGCTGCCGTCTGTTGAGGTGTCGACTAGAAGGGGTCCGATGGTCATCTCGTCACCAACGGATATGCTGCCGTGGCGAACTAGGCCGCATAAAACCATTCCACGGCTTTCTTGTTTGGTTTTCTCGTTCGTCGCCGAATATACTTTTGAAGGTGGAATAGCGAACACCTCGTCCACATCGAAAACGTTGTTGGGAGACTGATGCAACACTGGTTGCTTGTGCAAATGCAGTGTTCTTTGTCGTGGCGTTGATGGAATAGGCAAGTATCGAAGGAATGCGTGCAGTTTGCCTATTCCTGAACCATCAACAGCGCTAGAGAGAACTATGGGCACGGTACGTGACCAGTTCTCGTTGGTTGCTTTAATAAGTTCTTGTACAGATTTACCGTCCGGTCCGCTAATCTGCTGGAGATCAGGTATCTTATCGCCCATTGGAGGAAGCACCGCGGGCTTCCGATTTGCTGTTTTAAGGGCAGACAAGACTTTAGCAAGATTTTCTCGTAGCCCGCTTCGAGAAGCAATGTCTAACTTTGTGATGACAATCAGAAAGGGAATATCTAGTTTCAGACAAAGCTCCAAGTAGGCCAGACAAAAAACGATCTCAGTGGTTTGCTCATTGCCGATTTCAGTCTCTGCCGTCTCCTCACCGCAGTTGGCCGGAATACAAAGCATCACATAATGCGGCGCCCAGCTTACCAGGCCCCTTAATGTAGACTTCACATAACGCACCGAACCTGGAAGGTCGGATACAAACGCGAGACGACCTCCGCGCGAAGTGGCATGGATATCATCCCACGCAGCGACATTTCCAGAGGCATAATTGACCACACTTGTGGGCATGTCATCTGCATAACCAATCAGCTCTTGGGCGACAGAGCTAGTGATACCGGAGGATATCTCGTGTCGGTGTTTGAGGAGACTAAGCCGGCTCTTGCCTCTCCCATTGTCAAGTTGAGACGAGGTCAAAGCTCCCAGCAAAGAAGATTTCCCTGCAGTGCTTGGGCCAGCAATGGATATTCGGATCTGCTCAGTGTGAGAATAATCCTCCTCTGAGACAGAGTCCACTCCGTTATCTGGATTGGGAACGCCATCGACATTCCGTGTTGAGCGAGAAGACATCTTGTAGAAATCCAAATCTGGTGTGACTAAAGCTTCTGCAACCCAGAGTTTGTCCGAGTGGCTTTTGGTCAATTCCAACGCTCCCGTTGGCAAGTCCTCCACCCACTCGCATTTCCCGACGATGACTCGACGCAGTATTTCAACGCTACATCCGAGACTGGCTGCCATGGCCTGTAGATTGGTCACACTTTCATCCAGTTCATCTTGCGTTAAGCCTACAAAGGTACCATCGTCGGCAACTCCAATCTCGTAGAGTGCACCCTGGCTTTCTTCTAGGCCAGCAAGTAGGCGAGTCGGCTTTGGGGGCACGCCTAATTGTGGAGTCGCATCTGGAAGCACCGGAACTACCAAGTTTGCCGTGGTCGATGAATGAAAGGGCGAAGATTGCTGTAAGCGCCATAACAGTTGCGTCGTCAGCCCCTGTAGCCGTTGTTGCCGACTTTGACTCGACCTGGCTTGCATGGGCTTTGGGGGTGTCGTTGTCACATCCTGAGACGGCGATGCAGAAGTTGAGGCCGCTACTAGGATATTACGGGAATGATATGAGCCTGCGACGACATGACCAGTGGACATGGAAAGATAGGGCCGCCGTGGACGAAGAAGTAGATGCAACTTGTACTCGGTGGGGCCCTCCTGAGGTTCCGGCTCCAACTTGCTGATGCCATAGTCGGACAGAAAATCAGGATCTGCCGAGTTCAAAGCTGAGCTGGATCGGGTTCGAATAGCTAGCCCTCGACTGCCAGACACATTGACTTGGGGAGTCGACGATCCTGAGGTCGACCATGGGGATGAAACCCGGGGTGGGTCAGGATCGTAGGTGAAGATGGATGCCATGGCCGTAGCCAGTGGAAGTTAACCAGATTTACAGTTCACCTCGGTGATAAAAGTATTAGGAAGACTGAATAGACGCGACACAGTACCAAGGCAGAGACAGTAACAGAGGGCATTCTTGCGCAGAATATGGGAGAGGGACAAATGATGAATGACCAGTGTTGATGATCGGTTGAGTCACCCGTTGCAGTGCCTGAGGCATCACATGACTCCACACGGATGAATTAGAACTATGAAATGCGTTTCTCACAGAGAAACTTTTGTCCAAGTGAAGACCGCCAAAAGAAAAAAAAAAAAGAATGAATAAGGACAAGAGGATGAAGCAAACATCGAAAGGATATTCAAATATCAAACACCCAAGAATTGTGGTAAATCGCACTGTTCAATCACCCTACTCTGCTGACGGTTCTCGGCCACCACCTTTGCATTTCCCTTGTGCCACATGAATATTCCGCGCTGTTGTTCGAGTAAACACTGCTCCACATACAGGACACTCGGCTTTGGCAACAACTCCAGACTTTTCTCGTTGGTGTCGCAATAGGTTGCTAAAAGTGGAGAATTCACGGCCATTACACCCGTGGTCCCAGCATTGCGGTCGAGGCCTTGAACTAACGACACGGACTTGCCGCTCATTGTCCGATCCATGTAGAGACTCGGGTGGAGAGAAAACGGGGTCAGCAATAGCTGAAGATGCTTGCGAGCCCATAGACGAGGGGTGGGAGGAACTAATTCTGTAGTCAGCAAAGTCTCTTGTGAGGTTCACCTTGAGTGGTTCGACTCACGGAATTTGTGGTGCTTCGGGGAGATAATAAGCGGGTTGGTTCATCATATAAGGGGAAGAGCTAAATTGATACATCAACAACTGGTGCTTCTTGTTTGAGCGATGCCGATTTCCGGATTTTCACAAGAAAAACTTACGATATCATTATAGGCTGTTCGGGGAGGGCAGTGGTTGTGTGAGGAGTGAAAGAACGAGCCATTGAAGGGCTAAAGGCAACAATTAGCTCCTATTTTCCCGAGGGATTTCATAAAACATGGTGATTATAATAGTTCGCCCATACCTGCGGGAATGACTCGGGCGAGCGCTACCAGGAGCCCCAGGAAGATAAGAAGACGGTGCATGAGACTCAGGGTGGTAGCCAGGCATTGGCCCATTAGGATGGCTGCCATAGGCAGCAGAGAAGCTAGATGAAGGATATGACTGTGGCGGAGGGAACTGTTGATACACATTTCCGGATGGAGGCTGCAACGGTTGAAATGGACGGTTAGGCCAGACATAGTCTATGATTAATTAGTGATTGCCTTCATGTGATGATCAATATCGATGCTACATACGGTGAGAGTTTGGCTGCATTTGGCCACCAAAGTATGTGTCTGATGCTACAGACATAGGGTAGGGTATGATTCCAAGACCGCTAGTATAAGAATTTTTTTATCAGTATACTCTTCCTACTGCATGTTTCTTTGGTTGCTTTAATGATGTCCTTGAGTTTCGGGTATCAACTAACCGTGGATGCTCCGTAGGTAATTGCTCTTGGCAATTATCTTGTTCAATAGACTGATGTATAGTCTGTTCAGGATAGTGCTCGGAGTATGTGGTTTTTGAGTAAGTTGAATCCGAATAAGATTGCTCAGAATAAGAAGAATCAGGATCATAAAATGATTCTGGAAGGGAATTAGAGTGTAGGGGAGTAGTGGAGCCTTGTGGATGAGATGAAAAGGGAAAAACCGATGAAGGTAAAGAGGACGTTTCTAGGGCCGGCACCGGGCTAGTAATAAACGGCCACGCGGGATCCGAATTGTCCAAGGCGCTTTGCTGGAACGCCGGCGGCTGCACAGACTCAATAGGAGTGGATAAATAGCCAAATTGGTGCTGCAAGGCTGGGTCTTTAGACAGGTCAGGGTTCCTGTGGTGACTGGAGTAATCCTGTGAGTTTGACTGTGAAGGCTCGGAAGACATTGGGGCTTTTCGGTCTAGGTCATGGACCTAGCGCAAAACTACAATTGAACCAGCAGGGGGCCAGAAAAGGGCCAGCATAACATAGGGGAGTAAAATTGGGAAAGAGGGGCGACAATCTTGAAAAAAAAAAAAAAATCAAATAAAACAATCACGTACAATAGGCCTTGTAGACTTGGGTGGTTGTTGGCAAAGTCGAGGGTTTTTGTTTCCACTTGGTGATTGTAGTAGTTCGGAGTGAGCGACGGGCGCAACAACAAGATTTGCAGATTCTGTAAATTTTTTTGCAAATCTGATGGCGAGAAACGAAAATTCCAAGAATTTCCAAGAAATTTCAGAAAGAAAACCTTCAGGTCGTATGGCAGGGAGGATGTTACAAGAGAAAACGAAGTCCCCGCAATAATGAATCGCCCAGTTGGGTACAGACTGGCCCACTAAGAGAAAGGCAAACCGTAGGCTTCTAGAACTTCTATACCAATGGGTGTTCGTAGCCACGAGGTGGGTGGGAATTTTGTCCCTGAAACAGACTTGGGGCAATTTCGCACTGGGTCGCGATTTTTCGGGAAAAAAAGGGCCTGTAATCATTGCCTATCTGATATAGTGTGAATGAGCCAGGAGACGTAAGATCCTATGATCTTCAAGCAGTGGATCCAAGCATCCTATCATCCTATCACACAATCGAGAGGGAAAGACCTGGTTTTTTGACCCCCACAAGTGACACCGGAACCTCCGTTGTTAGGCCAAAGCCTATATTAGGAAAATAGCTCGGAATGGATTGGCCCATGGGGCCAGGGCGTGTAATGATCCTTGAGCGGCATATGGGAGCTTTTCCTTGCAAAATAAGTGGGCTTTTTTAGCCCCAATTAGCAAATGGGGCGTCCTGGGTCGATTTGGGGGCCATGACGCCGGCCTGTTATGTGGCTGGCGAGAATATCCAGAAAAGTTAGTCGATTTCGACGCAGGCCGCCATTCGCGGTGGCTGCACAAATCCAAAAAAGCAATATGTAACCCCAAAAGAAAAAAAACCCCCGACGGATTACGGTGAGGTCGTTTCCGCTCTATAGACTTGGCCCCCACGAACGCGCCGTTAGAGAAGCAGGATCCGATCATCAGGGATGCGGATGCACCATGAGCTCGCTGAAGAATTAGGTCTGGAGTATAATTGTTTCTAGTATATGCAGGTTTGCGGAATCGGTTGGGCTCTCGGAACCATCAATCTCGATGGATCATAGATGGTATGACCGTACGGTCATATCCACCAACCCGTATAATGGGTACGCGGCCTGGAGCCAGAATAGCACAAATCGAGCTCTAGCGGCTGGATTCGCTGTTAAGTCCTTTCAGGAGATGGCGTCAAAGTTGAACCACAGTGCAGGACCCCAGTAATCCCAGCATCCCGGAGGCCATGTGGTTTGCTGCAACGCCAGAGTGGATCTCATGTAGGACCATCCAACAGTATCGAAGCGAGCCTAGGGCCGAAAAAAGCCATTGTAAGAAGGGGGTCAAAAGGGCCGGGGGAAGGGGCGCACAATTACTCTTAGCGCCTACGAAATTTGTCATGGCACGACCCGAGACAGTGGCGCTTCCCGGGAGTGCTCCCGGGCCAACTCGAGATCGACCGGCTCTCTCCACATTCAGGGCTTGGGATCCGCAAGTGTAGTCAGATCCTGGCAAGTACTCCGTAGCAATGGGTCTGGTTTTTTTCTCCCGCTTCTTCTGTCCCAAGTCTTCCCCTGTACATGTGCCTGACATGTGCTGTGCCCCTGTTTTTAGTGTCTCTGGCACATGGTCATAGTACGACCCAGAATCATGCAGAAAATCAGTTCGGTGCCGGTGCACGGTTTTTGCATTGATTCGTTATCACCGAACTTCGTTGGATAGGTCTTGTCTCCACCCACATAAGATGAATCGAGCGGGTTGGCTTGCAAGCCCCTTGTGCTCGGGGCAAACATCAATCGTAAAATGAACGACTTCGTATTTCGATCTTCCCGACTTAAGTTTCCTAGAATAGTTAGACCGGGCTCCACCAAAATTACATGAGTAGAGATGCACCAAGTCAGCAATACCAGATGCTTCGTACATGTAAATCTTCCAATAAGATGCAACTTACTAAATTCGAACAATGTCATTCAGTTCCGTCATTCAACTTAAGGGACTGGACAAAGAAATGACAATTGTGGCGTCTGTCGCCAAGACTGACAGTTGGAGGGCCCAAGGCATCCGAAAACTGACTTTTGAAACAGTGATTTGGAATGCCTATACGGAGTACGCATGGACTTTTGCAGGATTTGATAATATGCATTGCGAGAAATCGATGTTTTTTTTTGAGCTCCGTATTGCCGAAAGGGCCCTATGGAGGTGTCAGCCGAAGCGGGTGACATGAGTGATCTAGACAGTCGAGACAAAAAATAGTCTTCATTGCAATCAAGAAGCTCTTCAAAATGAAAAGTTTACAGATAGAGGTGCAATAGAGGTGCAATCCCATCACATGATAATTGGAGGACTCTAGACACAGAAAGCATAGAAGCACATGTCACGTGACAAACGCAGTTTGCAGTCACGTGATCATGGCCGAGACTGCACTGTAATCCGACCACATCGACAGCCCGCGATGGAGTGCACACGGATCTTTCCCCACGAAGACCCTGCAAAGCTACTGGAACATAACTCACATATCTTGGTATCGCTACTGTGTGACCGATATACCCACAATGAAGCTCGTTCGGTACGTCAATCCCGAGGCCCACGCGGTCAGCCAAGCTACCACGCGCATTCTACGCGAAATATCTTTCTGGAGCTGAGAGCTGACACGCCATCTAGGTTTTTGATGAAATGCGCCAATGAGACGGTGACTGTTGAGCTCAAGAATGGTGAGTGCCAGCATTATCAATTTAGAACTGCCTTGCGCGTCTGAATGACCATGCTTTCCTCGCAACCCCAGACCGCCATAGCTTCTAACTCATATTTAACCCTACGTAGGCACAATTCTGCATGGCACAATTACCGCGGTCTCTCCGCAAATGAACACCTCTCTCCGAACTGTGAAGATGACCCCCAAGGGCCGTGATCCCCTCTCGCTCGACACCATCAACATCCGTGGTTCCACAATTCGTTACTACATCCTCCCCGATAGCTTGCCGCTCGACACTCTCCTCGTTGACGACGCTCCCAAGCCTAAGAACAAGGCCCGCAAGGAGGCAGACCGTGGTCGTGGTGGCCGTGGAGGTCCCCGCGGCGGTGGTGGCAGAGGCCGCGGTGGTCCTCGTGGTGGTGGCCGTGGACGGGGTCGTGGTTTCTAAGTGTTTTTCTTCTCTCTAAGAGTACAAACTGGCGTTTGTTTCTGTCTTCTAAATGGTTCTTTTTTTCTACCTTGCATGATCATGGGATATCATCTTAACTACCCCGGGCCTTTTCCTAAATTTTTTGGAGGGTGAAAGAAAAAGCAATATCTTTTCATTTCCCAAACTTGGCTTTACTGGCTTAAGCTCTTTGATTTAGTAGATCCAGTCCGGGCAAGATCTTCAGCTCTGGCGAGGCATTTCTTCCATTTTAGTTACGAGATATAACGGTAAGGATGCCGGGATCAAAGGATCATCCTTGGCTCTAGGTTTGGCGGATCTAGACTACGGGCCGCAAATCCAGAATACATTTAAGCATTGACGAAGGTCATACAGTATAAAGCCTGCGCAGGTACCTTTGTTCATGAGCCTCAGCCTCACATTACAAAAAGAAAAATACTTATTTATTTAAGTCTTGTAATTTGAATGAATACCTGACTCTTTTCCACATTCATCACCTGACCACAATCCTTGTCACATCACACATCACACGTGATGCTCCATGCAGTAGTTCAAGGTCAGGCATGCAAGTGTGCCCTAAGTTCACTTCATATAACTCTTCACGATTGCCACGAGAGGGTGTTGCTTACTATTTCATGCAGATACTCATTCCCCAACAATGAACCCCCCCCCCTGGCGATCTTACTTCTTCACGACTGTTACCCTAGTCTGACAGCCACCGTGTATTTTTCCCGTGTACAATGTAGTACCTGCATAAGACCGAATACAGGCTCTCGCATTCTTCAACCCGCTTTACGGTTCAAAACACGGCCACTAGTCTTTGAAGCCCAACGGAAATCAAGCCCGAAGACCGATTTCCACATAAGCAAACCAACCTCGGGGCGTCCGATGCTGGTGCTACTGTAGGAACACTACTCTTGAAACACGCAATCGACATGTCTCACCAGTTACAGAAGCACATCTTCCAAAATCTAACCAACCTTCATTCTAAGCCTTGCATATTTTGCCCCTTATCCACTGCTTCGGGCCCTTGCCACTCCAGTCGTAACGTCAGTAAGCTAGGTAGTGTGTATTCACGCACCGTAACATCATGGGGCCATAATAATTAACGACAATATTTTGCCGAACCGAAAGCGAAGCTCGATGTGGAGATACTTGCGGACCCTTAGTCTACCCGGGGGCCGTACATATGCACTAAGCAGCACTATTCTACTTGACGCACGACTAGGTCTACTGTTCGGGTGGTGATCGTCCACACAAATTTAATCAAACCTCGCTAACCCTTGCGATGTAATTGGGCACCTAGACCCTGACCTTTGATGTCCATTCATGGGGTTTATAGATACATTACTCATACGGTGGACGGTGTACTCAAGCTCGTCAGCCACATTCAAGTTGACGGGACATGTGGAGTGTCAGATTTGAGTGGATATCGATATTGACAAACCCTTTTAACTTCCTTTTTGAATTATAGCTGCTCTTTTGCCTCGCTTGTATGTAGTTGAAAATAATCCAAATTACTATTTCCAATCTAGTAACAAGTGCGCTTTTGTAGCAGCCTCGCACCCCCACATGGACCCGATCCAGTAATAGTGGGCGAGTTGATCTCCCTCAACATAGCGTCAGGGGGGTTGCGTGTCAACTACGCGGCATAGGGACCCCGGGGCCAAGAAGCAAAACTGGGGCCCCGTTGAATTTGCCCGAGTATAGTGAGTTCGATAGATGTACTGTTTCCTTGATTTCCCATGGTTTGAGATTAGTACTAGAACCAATTTTTTGTTTCCAAACTGTCGGTAAACTCTCAGGCTTGGATATATGTTAGCGTCTTTTACCCCCTGCAACTTTAGGATATTATTTTTTCCAGATTTTGACCAAGCTCTGAGCCAGTGCAGCACGGGGAACGATGAACCTTGATCTGTCTGACTTTCTACTTTGCACTAGCCGCTGGCGAGAGACCCCGAGGCCCGCATTTTTGACCTATCATAAGGGTCAGACCCCCCAATTGTTGGGGCATGAAGTAGGTTTAGCCCCTAGTCAAGTCGGCGTGTCTCCGACGGGATCGCTCACTAAGGAACCCTGTGTCAATCTTATGTATGATTTTGGTGGGATAGCAAATGTCAAAAAGAAAAAAAAAATATGCCAGCCGTGTCAGATCCACCCCTTCCCCTCCAAGTCCCCATTTTTCTGTCCCAATCCGGTTAACGAGCAAAGTGAATTCTGATTCGTCACTCTGTGCAAAGCTTCTGGATCAATAAGGCGTTCGGCCCTAAACCTTTGAAACGTGCGCGAATCTGCATCTGTGGAGACTGTCGGCCGATGAGTTGTTTTATCCGACATAATCCCATATTATGGCCGAAACGTTACTCCGAAGAAGTGATAGCGTACCGTGATTCCGGAATTCCCTCATTTTTAGCGTGAATATTATCATATTTTCCTGTCCACTTTGCTGGATTGGGTCCTACTTCGGGGAATTAAACTGGTTCAAATGGCAATCTATGAAGTGTTCTCATAAGTGTGATTGCATTCTTAGCCGTTCACTGATGATAGATTTTCGGGGTGTTTAGCGCTCTGCTTACGCCAACTAGCTATTCAATGGATTCTATCCGTACTACTTTGTAGGACCTGAGTTGTAACTCTGTTCGGAGATAATCGAGAAAATTTAACAATTGCAAAAATTCATCTTCAATCGCTCCCTCCAGCCAATGCTCCACTGCATCGGTTATAGGATTCGCTACAGTATTCAACAGTATGCGGAAAGATGCTGCGGTAGGATCCAGTCCCATCAGCCACTATTTTAGTGAAAGTCAAGGCAGTCCAATACCGTTTGAACTATGGCTCAAAAAGAGAAAAGAGAGAGAAAGAAGAAGAAAGAAAAGAGTCAATTCTACACCGCAAGTTTGATCATAATGATAAATCTTCCCCGTTATCATCGGTGAAGATACTACCTGCATATTGCTTACCAGTTACATGCCGATCCCGGGATTAGTGTCATCACATGTAGCCCTTGGGAGTGACTATCCCCTCGTCTAATATTAGGACAGATCCCGATTCGTTTCAGATATCCATGCTTGTCGTTCCCAATGTCCTGATTAGGACGACATGACGATGGTGGACTCCCGAGGCGAACGCTTATGATGCTGCGCGTGGAAATCTCCCCCACAGGACCGAGCGCCATGATAGATCCTGAAATCTCCACCATATCCACGTGGCCCCTCGGTAGCCCCAAACCAGTGGTTACCACGTTGTTGTCCCTGTTTAATATACCGGCACTCTGACTAGATATGCAACTAGATATGCAACTAGGTATGCGACTAGATATGCAACGGGTTGATTTCAGGCTTGGGGCGGCCCTCCATCGGTGTTGCGACTGCATCAACTTGGGGGCCCGGCGCCACGTTCTACGAGACAGTGAGTATGTACTGGATGCATGCGTCGTGTGATACCTTGCAGGTCGCAGCTGCACTTTGACGCTGTCATCCGGATAGACCCGCGTGTAAGCAACGTCACTGAGATGAGTGGCTGGGTACCTTTCTCGAAGTATCTTTGAGGAGTTCTGGAAACGTAGAGTCTGACATGGATCGCCAAATATTGAGTTTGTCCGGGTTCATTAACGTAAAGTTCTGAGTCACATATCACGATTTGGCAGGAACACATTCATGAAGACGTGAGGGTATAGCCCAGATGGTATCTTTCTCTCGTCTGATGCCCGGCTATGCAAATGCGAAGATATTGCCATCACTCTTGGGTCTTGGAATCTCACCTAGAGCTCAGTTGCCCTCTCTCCATATCCGAACAATCACTAACTTCTCCCAACCAGCTTGCATGCCGCTCGATCCCGCAATTTCGGCACACCAACCACCCCATTCGCGAATGCGCGTCATCACCTCGTCCGGTCGGTTCTGCTTGCATAGCAACACATAGGCTACTCCTCGCACCGAAAGAATGCCAGGAATGGCGTCTAATAGCCGGTTGGTCGTCTCCATGCCATCCACACCGCCCGCATAAGTCAGCGAAAGGAAGAAAGAGTCGCTCTCGAACTTGGCCGAGCGAGACATAGCTTGGGCCACAGCTGGATCATTCTCCGTTGCGGTCGGTAACCGCGGTAGGTCTTCGCTGGGCACATAAGGTGGGTTGAAGAGAAGAACATCCACGCTTCCAGGGCATAAGGATGTGCACAAATCGGCAGTCAAAGAGGAGATGTGAACAGAGTGAAGGCTCGAGTTGTTTCCCGTGTTTTCTTGCTTATGTTGAATGGACTTGATGGCGGTAGACACAGTCTCCCTGGTCGCGATACAAGCATTCCGGTTCACATCGGTTCCCAGTGTGAGAATGTCCTGGCGCCCGAAGATCTGTTGGGAGTGTGCTGCTACAAAACCTAACACGACGCCGGATCCTGTGCCGGCTTCCACAACCAAAGGCAAGGCATTTTTGCTCTTATCTGCGGAGTCACTGCTTTTTTGAAACCTTTCAGACAGCCATTTTGATTCTGATACTGATGATAGGGTGTCCAAGAAGAGGTATGAATCTTCAGATGGCTCGTAGATGGTGTCAAATGAGACATGTGAAGTATCGGGCGTAGGGAGCATCTTGAATGTCCTTGATGAAGTCTATGCGATTTGGAATATCCTAAGCTCTTTTGAAAGAAGCCTTAGAACCAGACTGCGATATTGTAGGTCCCTGAGTGACACAGATTGATGTGCCGATATATATGTGAAGAGACTTCCAACAACCCCGCCAAGCTAAACGGTTTGGCCGTTGAAATAGACAGTGATGCAGGAACCACCCAATCAAAACAGGTCGCAACCTGTCAAAATCCTAAAGGGATTGGTGTAGATAGAAATGAAAAAGCGAAAGTCAGGAATCCGATGGTTCAAAGATCTCCCACGCCGCCTTCCGCTCCCCAAGAAAAAAAAAGCCTTCCCCAGGAAATTATGTCATTCGAACCTCCATAATTCAAAACCCCAACGTCCACCATGCGTATCGCCCAACGTCTCCTTATGGCCACGCCGGCCTCAATCGGCTCCAAATCCAGCCTCAGCGAAGCGCTTGCTCTCCTCCCGCCGCTCCAGCTCTACCGCCGCATCCTGCGCGTCCACCGCAAACTTGACCCGGAGATGCGCGTGCTCGGCGACTCGTACGTGAAGAAGGAATTTCGGGCGCACAAGACCGCAGAGAACCCATTGCATATTGTACGCTTCTGATACCCACTGGATCTAGAGTTTCGCCGGAGTGGAACGAGGGATATGTACTTGGTTTGACAGGAAATCGTGACTGACCGCGCAATTGCTTTACAGATCGGATTCTTGACTGAATGGCAGCTTTACGCGCAGAAGATGGAGGGCGATCAATGGGCTGGAGAGAAACTGGATAAGTCTAAGCTGGATAAGATGAGTGGTATGACTGCTTTGAACGAGTTCTCGGGCTACGGCTGGTCTAGGCTCACAGTTGCTGACATGTCGTTACAGATCAACAAATTGGTCAACTCTTTGAGCTCATGCAGGCTATTCGCAATGAGGGCGAAGAGGGCGAGGGCGAAGAGGGCGAGGGCGAAGGCGAGGGTCAGAAACAATGAATGGATAGCTTTGCATAAGCCTCCGGTTGTTCAGGTGGGATTCGCCGGGAGATGCTGGCATCTCTCGATGCTTGCATGGTCCTGTGTATATATATTTGATTTAAGCGCATTGTACCAGAGAAAAGCAAACTTGCTTAATCGAATCTTGGAATATCTCATTATCTCTGCTCTCAAATTAAATAACGGAGCATCCGCTAGAATGTTTCTTGATCGTAGGCTCACAACTGTATATACACCACGTGCAGGCACCAACCTTTAGACAGACTGCACCGATCTAAGATATTTGTTTCCAAGGTATTCAGGAGCCATGAAATAATCTACTTCATCATAATCATCCCCGATCTACCCCTCAAACTTCAATGAGATGTGGGGTTCTGCGCCCTTAGAACGACAAGATGACTCAGCTAGAAAGGCCCCGATAACGCTCAAATTCAAACCTAGAAGTATATACAGCGTCTCTTAAACCCCATCCAAGAATACCTTCATACTCAATTGCACTCCAATTAGAACCTCAATCCTTCACATTACTTCCCAAAATGCCCGCCCTACTAGAAGACCCCGCATCCCACAACCCCCCACCCCAAGCACACATCCAAGCAGCAAACACACTGACCCCCCGCCACACAACCCTCCCCAAGTCCGACTCCGCAGCTGTAACCCTGTACCCAATCACCAATGGACCCTCCAGCATTCCACAGGACTTAGTTAAGTACCTGCACGCGGAGTTCAGTGCGGAGATTGAGCGCGGCACCACCTACCCCATGGAAAAGGCGCTGGGGCTCCAGCAATTCGCGGAGTACTGGTTCGGCACATTTGCGGTTGTGGCTATTCTTGATGACGAGGGTGATGCTGCTGCTGATGGGCTGCGGGAGGGACGGGACTGGGCTAAGGTCTGTTTGGGAACCTTTTATATTAAGCCCAATTATCCTGGTATGTTCAATAACAGTCATGGAGCCTCGCATATATCCAATTGTGTATAAGTGATTCGCTGACTAGCGTTATAGGCCGCTGCTCCCATATCTGTAATGCTGGCTTTATCACAACTAACGTGGCACGCGGGAAGGGTGTGGGCTTTGCTATGGGCGAGACTTATCTCGAGTTTGCGCCGAAATTGGTACGTATCGCACAATTACATCCTGAGGTCTCTTGCACCAGTGCATCTATGTGTATAACAGCAGTACATATGATTATGGACAACGTTAACGTCGCCGTGCAGGGATACAAGTACTCAGTCTTCAACCTAGTCTTTGCGAACAACCCGGCTTCTATCCGTATCTGGGAGAGGCTAGGCTTTAGCGTTATCGGGCGAGTTCCCAAGGCGGGGCGGTTGGATAATAGCGAGGAATTGGTTGATGCGCTGATTTTTGGACGGGAATTGGGTAATTAAATGTAAATATCTGTATATGCATTTCGTTTATTGATTTGCCCATAGATCCTGAGGTTCTTGTTTGTACACTGAATGCATTTCCGAAGAAGCCTTGAGGAATGAATGGATACATTGATGGGAACTAGGTATTTGATGAATAGCATTTACCAGCCTTGGAGTGTACCTAATAAAATCTAAAAGTCCCATTCCCGTACAGAAAACAAAGATAAAACTACAAGAGATATATTCACATTGATGGAAAAGAACAAAACCGGCAAAATGTAAACCCAACGCTCAGACCATACCATGCAACAAGGGGATATCACGCAAAACCTAACCTTCAATATCATGTTTAGCTCTTTGTGCTCAATGAACAGTGGTAAAGTCCAAGTGAGCACCAAGCACAATGCAGTAGTAGAGAAAATAAGCCATAAGACAGGTCGGTAGAAATGGAGGAGGGGAAAAAGATGATTTGGTATAAGGGAGGTAACTGGAGGAAAGGATAATATGGCGGCAAGGAGATATGAAGAAGGTTGAGGAGGGATATCATGCTCCTCTCCATCGAGGCCGGGTATCTGGTTTCTGCTGTGCAGTCGTCTTCTCGGTTCGTTTTGGCAAAGGAAGCAGACTGATTCTTCGGTTGGTAGAATGTCCCAGCGAGGTACCCGGACGTGTGGGTTTGGTAGGACTCTCATTATTGTATTGGTTGTGTGAGACACTGCGACTAAATGAAGAGGCCACTCCAGCAAAGCTTTGACGACTTCGAGGTGTATTCACTATGCCCGCAGTTCCGGAACTGGACATATTCGACGGCCGTCGAAGACGGCTATATGGTGGGGGATCCAGCAAAGATGATCGGGGGGTGTAGGAGAGGACAAGTTGCGCACGGGACTGCGAGACGAGGATGCGAATCGGGTTGACAGGCGGCTCATAGACCGGCCACTGCTAGGTGCCGGCGAGGCAGACATGTCACGTCGGAACGGAAGTGTCGATGCCGGTCTAGGTGTGCGCACCGGGGCAGACGAGTTGCGATGTCCAGGTGTAGTAGCGCCGACAGGCTGGTATGTGTTCAAGTCATTTGTGTTGGTACTAAGATTCCATCTTGGGCGATTGGGTATTGGAGATGGCTGTGGAACACGAGACATCCGTCTTCCAGATGGCGTGGGCGTTACGGCAAAACTTGTCTTCCCTGGCGTCGGAGACGTGAGTCCCGATGGTTTAGGAATAGACGACTTGCGGCCAGTTACTGGCTGTGGCACGCCAGAGAATCGTCGGACGTTTGGCATGGCTGAGCGAGCTGTGGAGCTACCGGCGGAGCTTTCGCGGCGACTGGAGCCCAAAGGTGTCGAACTACCCTTATACCCGCTACCACCACTAAGAACAACTGATGACGCAGGTGAACTCCCGGGTGTATCAATGGCACTACCCGTGACTGGGCTATCCATTGTAGCCATGCTGGAAATGGAATCACGCAGTTGATGACCCTTGAAGATCTGTACATCTTCAAGAGACGCATCCATCACCTTCAGGCTGGCCTTCAAAGCATTTGTACGCGACGTCATGTCCGATAGTAGTCGCAGAACCTCACCATTAACAGTCAAACGGTCATTCACTCCCTTCTGAATGATTGAAATCACGCGCTCGATTGCAGGCACATAGTGCATCTTTTTCGCCTCATAGTTTTCGATTCGTTTCGTTAAAGTTCCAGGGTTATTCACCTGTGCGTTTGTCTCCAAGCCTTCCTGTAGCTTGGAAATGCTACGCTCGACCGAATCGAACATCTTCTGAGCTTGGCTTCCGGCGTTGCGGAACACAATGATCCACTTGTCTTCACCCAACTCCTTTCGCAAGGCTTCCGCATCTTGCTCAAGCACCTTATAGCTCTTTTCTAACCGACTTCGTCGATCGTCCAGTTCCTCGCAAGCACTGGGGAGAACTGCATTGGCGCGAGACTGAAACATTGAAAGCCTCATAGGCAGGAAATCCAAAGATGCTCGAAGAGGCTGCATCCGCGCAAACAAAGCCATTAGGTTGGAGTGGCTTGAATCATCTTGTGGTGTTTTGATCACAGGGGTGCCAGAGGCCGCGGCCAGAAGGGGACCGATGCTTAACCGGTTATTCCCAGGTGAGCGTCCCTTAGAGGGCGATTCCTCCACAATTGTTTCAAGCTCGTTGATATCAAGTCCACCAGTGGTCTCGCCCGTATCCAAGAGAGCCTGATGTCTCTTCTCTTCCATCTCGAAGATCATGCCGCTGAGGTTATCAATCTCCATGCCCACATCACCCAGAACATTGGACCAAAGCTCTTCCCACTCCATAGCCAGCTCCACTTGCTCCTTCACACCCCCAAGCTTGCGCTTGATCTGTGCCCAATTCTGCAGGATACTCTCCATTTGACTGACAATTGTCCTCAAATTCGCAGAATCAACATTGCCGATGTCTGCTCGAAGTTGTACTTTCTCAATAGCCGTTACGTATACGTTTACCAAAGACTCGAATCGAGTTATGGCCTTGTCCACTCCCTCCAGTCCCTCGCGGCCACCCGCCGCTGCCCACTCAACATCATCTTCCGCATCCAAGCCGCTGAGCACATCGGACGCTTTCCTGATCCAAATCTGGATCTGCTCTGCAGCACCATTTAAAGCACGAACGGCGGCGAGTGCCGTTGAAATGTTGCCGATGCTCGTCTCAAGGGCCCCTGGTTGCGGAAGAGGAATGGATGTAAGCTGGGACAACTGGTTGCTGAAGGAGGCGCGGGAGAAAGAGTAGATGGATTCAGCACGGTTTAGATCTCTCGGGTCGAAAGCTTGTGTGTTTGAGGATGAGGAAAGGGTATATTCTGGGGAGGAAGGAGAATCATCTTTCGGCGGGGGTTCGGGAGCGGAGTCGGCTTGCTCCTCGTTTCGTTTGGTGTCGTCGACATACTTCTCAAAGTCGGTCCGATTATCCTGGTCCTTGTCTTCCGGCAGGGATCCAAGTTCAGAGTCAACGCGCAGCGGCGCGGGGACCGGCTCCGCCACGGACATGGATGTCGGCGGGGAACTAGTCTCTGCGTCTGGAGCAGTCACCGGAGGATGAGCAATGACCCGAACAGGTGATGCCAGGCCGTCGACAACCGCGTCGGTATAATCTAACCCTTGCTCGCGCGCGTCGGAGAGCTCCTGCAGAAAGTCCTGGCTAGGTGTTTCAAGCTTGTTCGACGCGCTCCGTTTTGTTGATTGTGAGGTTGCTGATCCCGGGGATGTCAAGGATATACCATTCCACGTCTGGCCTTTCCTCTCAACCTTGATCGAGAGGTCTCTGTGCAGACTATCGAGCTGATTCAGGTGTTCTTCAGGGATCCGACCGACGGCGCTGGCGTTCCGAGGCGCGCTGGTGACCTTGTTGCTACCGTCGAGCAGCTTCACCCGAGCCGCGAGGGCGGGAGACAGGCGCCGGAAGATAGATTGTTTGCCTGTATTTCTCTCCGCACTGGACGGTTCGGAGATGGGCTCCTCTTCGTGATTGCTGCTTCCTATACTCCACAGAGACGACTTGGACTTCAAGCGGCGGAGAGGAGAGGGCCCGTGTTCATTGGGGGAGCCTTCCGCGGGGGGAGGAGATGCGCACTGAACGGACACGGGGTACGCTGCGATGTCGGTCGCGGAGGAAGGTGGATCGTCGACTGTGGCATGCATGGGTGCAAGCCCGGGGCGAAATTGGAAGGACAGAAAAAGGAAATAGGCGGTTCAAAGGCAGGGATAGTGGAATGTTTCGTCTCGGTAATCGGATCAGAAGGCAGTTTGGGAGAGAAAACCCCCTTCTCACGGTCGCGGTTAGATAGGGTATGTTGGGACAGAGGCTACATGACCAGAGTCAGAGGAAAAGAACTGAAAGTGTTTTTTTGCATCAAAAGAATCAAAGTGATAAATTGGGCAGCAATCACTTTGAGACAGGAAAACGAGGGATGAAGTGGCCAGTATCGCCGTTGTACTCTGCAGGAAAAGGATACTTGGCCCGGCACCCACTTTACTATGGGGCTCTAGGTACCTTTCCCCCTCGGTATGTAATTCAAGGGATCGGCGCTCCCCGACGATCAGATGAAATCATTTGGGGGCGTCCAGGTTGCATAATAGCTGCCTTTCATATGTAAATCAGCTATCGATTATCAGACTAACAATTGCCCATTAGCTACATTGTCTTGATGCACACTTCCGTTGGTCTATGGAAGCTTCAAATAGATTCAGGACCAAACTTAGATAGGGCTAATTTCCAGAGCATATAATTTCAAGGGGCTAGCTCCACGACTATGTGCTCCTAGCGTCCCTAATTCCATGGGCGTTGCGCATTGTTCACTTGCTCTTCCAAGGTTCGATCCCAAGCTCCGCTTCACTGAAACGGCTAACTTACAAAGCAGTTATGTTTCACCCGTCTGGGTAATTTGTTGATCTAGAGTCTGTATAAAGTACGAAGCCCAGTCTCGGCTGATATAAAATTGGTGTGGATAGGTTTTGCAACCTATCCACGATAGTATGCTCCTGCCATCCAGGCTTGACTAGAACACATAAGACAAAGACAAACCAAACGATACCCAAATATTATGTTTGCCTTTCAATGCAATATATCCATTCCCCTTTCAGAACTAACAATGCAACGGGATTCCAAAATGGACCAGAGAATCGGAGAAAATCAAACATAAAACCAACACCGGAGACAGACAGAGGCAATTCAGGGGTATCTAGCCAAGTGCCCACAAGGAGTCAAAACAAACACAATATAGTAAAATGCCGAAATGCATATCCACGTCAACTCTTCAAACGATCGAAAAACCACTCAAAATTAAATCAGACCAGCACTTGGGGGCCGCCCAGGATTGGCGGCTTGCCAATCTCGAACCAGCTCCTCACGGACGGTCCTGCACCAGGCCAAAAGTGCAGCGTCAAATTGCCTCCAAGCTGCATCACTACTGCCCTGCACCACACCCATCACATCCACTTGGAACCGTAGCTCCCATCGCAATTCTGCAGCTTTGATCCAGTACCGCAGGTTATCGGCTTGTCGATATGGCTTCGCGATGTCCTCATGGAAAGCCTTAATCTCGCCAAAGGGGCGCTTAGACTTTTTGACCGCGATGTTGTGTAACTGGACCAGGATGCGACCGTCCCTGAAACGGTCAAGAAACGGTGTGGGGGAGGTCTTCAATGCTGGCATCATCCTCAATCGGAGTCCACTCCGGCAGTGTATGACCACCCGGCATCAAACTTCGGAGGAAAGATTCCTCGCGGGCCCGCTCTCGTCCGGTCCAGTCGCCTTGAGCCCAGTCCCAGTTTTCTCGTTCTTGGGCCTCAAGGTCTTCCAGAGCTTTCTCTCTGACCAGCATGGTTCGGACCCCGGAAATCCATCCTTGGATTATTTCACGTTCCTCAGGCCGCAATCCACAGGCAAAGTGTCGGGCTGCCCATCGCTTTAGAACGTCTAGGACGTGGAAGAGGTCCTTTCGGATCTCGCGCTCACTTTTGAGGGATGCGAGGCGTTCTGGGTGCGGGTGAGCGGTGTAGTAGATCTTGGCGGCACGGATTGCCAGTGTCACATTATCCAGGATGCACATGCCTTGTGCTTCTTCTTTCGTCTGTGGGGTCGGCATTCCCCGCGCCGGATCCTCCTCCAATGCCTCTGGAACATCATCGGGAGAAAGGCTAGACCGAAATGGTTCGCGGGGGTCGATTCCCTCTTCAGCCGCCTCGATATTGTTGTCTGCTTTTTCTAGCGCAACTTGTAGATCCCGACGTAGCGATATCAGGTCTGGCGGGGGCGGGATATGGTGTGTTTTAATGCTGTAGGTACTGACAGTAGGAGGCAACATGACCTCCCCCTCCTCGTCATTATTAGGATCAAACTCTGGCGACTCAGCCATATCAGATGGGCTTGCGACTAAGTCATCGATATGTCCTTCATTCGGAGTGATCAACAGTCGGGGCACATTCTCGCCATTTTTTTTCTTGAACTCCTTGCCTCGGCCCGTCTTCCCGTCTAAGAGACCCGTGCGAGCGAAATAGTATTGTAAATGGGCGATGCTGCCCAGACTCATGACACTGTCTCGGTGTCGAGCGGACTCAGCAAACTCAGCACCGAGCGCACGAGTGTATCCATGGCGGCGGGAAGAAGTTGAAACTGTGGACCGAGCGTCGGCAGAGGTCGCGGAGGAGGCAGAGTGGGAGGAGACGGAGGAGAAAGTTCGGTCTGGCGAGGAGTATGAAGAAATGGCCGGGGTGGCAGGGATAGAGGGTGAAGGCGATGAAGACCGAATAGTCGGCGATGTGACTTCAGGGTCCCTGGACTGTGGCTCCTCCATTCTTGTGACGGAATTGGGTTTCTGAAACTCTTGTCGCACCACTTGTACACAATGTGACCGGGGGATCGGCGGGGGGTCGTGTTTGATCGGGGTAGAGGAATGTCGGAGTATGGCTAGACGAAGAATCACGACCCAAGATTATGACCATAAGAGGACATTGAATCGCAATAGACACGTCTCCAGACTGAAATGAGGGACCGCAATGGAGATTTAATGAAACATAAACGATCGCCGGCCGGAATCTTCTTTTGGGTTAAAAGGGGTGTGGTTCCCGCCCTTAACTAATAAGACTAAACGGGCACTAAGGGGCAATATTATTGATGAAAGAATTGATTAATCCGTAACCAAGATTTACATATAGATAAAAAGAAAAGAAAAGGCTTTTGATTGCTTTCAATTCATATCCACTACTCATCGGTATTTTTCTGTCGGATCTGTTTTGCACATGTCCAAATTACCACGTTGGGTTTAGGTTTACCTTAATTATTAAGCCCCGCGTCCCAAGGAATTCCGTTTAACGGTCCGCGTCCTTGATTCTAATTGGAACGTAAAGTACTGTACAAAGAGAGGAGAGATTTGCCACGCCATGCAGTATTATCAAAATTGCCCAGATCGCTTTTTCATGCTGAAGTTCAGAAGATATCTTTGCGCTCCCACCCTGTTCCCCTCAAGTTCTCAATCCCCTTGCTCGGATGCTCCCGGGTCGGATCTCGGTACTTGGCTTGGTAAGGATTGGGATCAATCGCTTGTTGCAAATTGCCTAGCGTGTGATTGACCTCGCGGTGCTTGGCCTCATCCGCCCGAATGTACATCAACAGATCCTTCATGGTACGGTTACCCTCTGGCATCTTCCAGTACTGCACCGCGATTTGGGGCGCTTCGAGAGCCTCCCACTCCGGCAATTTGCCCGCTTCGAGTTCTTCGATGGCACGGGTGTATGTGATGACTGCCTCTTCTTCCAGGTATCCCACGAATCGGTGGCAGATGCGAGGCGAAATGAGGTAAGATAGGAAAAAACCATTGAAAAAGACGCCTTGTGCGCCGAGAACCATGAGGCGCATGAACCACCCGGGCTCGGCGATTTTGAGGAATGTAAGGAGGTGCATGCGTTCATTAAAGGCCTCTTCCAGGAGAGTCTCGATCCTAGATCCATTGTGCGGTTAGTATGCCATCTTCATCATCATGGCTTGGGATGTTATGCCTACCATCCATTATCTCTCTTCATACGTCGGAGACTGCGCAGGTGGCGGAGCATACCGCCAACCATGCCGGGGACACCAGCGACGGTTTCCAGGAAGATGAACCGATGCATCCATTTTTTCTCCGTCATTTTGTATCTGGCCGCTAGTTCCTCGCCGGGCTCTGCGTGCTTGTACACCGTTACAAGGTCCATGCCCCATCGAAACATGCGGACTGTGCCCAGAGCAACCCAGTCGGCCCAATCTGTGGCTTCTCGGTGTGCAATCGCGACATTCTTCATTTGGGATTCAGTATATCTGGAGACGCATTAGACCCCTGCCAGGAAGTTGTGAACATATGCGTTGAGTAGCTTACACAGGGTGTGCCCATGCTGATTCCACTTCCTTCACGCCTGATGTTTGCGGAGGCGGGAAGAACTCTTTGATTTGATTCTGTGGTGTAGAAGATATAAGACGCTTGGGTGTGTAGGTAAATGGTGAGTTATGGGCGTGGATGAACTGTGAGCTACCAAGTTTGGCGACTGTCAATCCTGAATAGCTTCGCGCCACCAGATGGATGTAGGCGGCTGGTCGTGTGGCTGTCCGAAAGGACGAAGTTGATAATACAGAAATCGAACTCATTGCGAGATAGTATAGAGTAGTGGGTTTGGGCTGATCAGTTTGAATTGAGTAGTTCGAAGGAAGATGATGTTGATCAATGATGAACTCAAGCAAGAGTTGACCTGAAACACCTTTATATACAAATCAGCGTCCCGAATTCCAACGATGCCCGAACCAATCCCGACCCAAAGGATAGAACAAGGCACAGAGTCAACGTCAGGAACGCGCCTGCGCCTGGTTCCCACAGTTGGACATAGGGATCTATTGCTGATAAGTCTCGATGCTGATTGGCTCCACGTAAGATCCCGTCGATCGTCACTTTAACGATACTGTGCAGTATCGCCCCACCCATTTCCTGCGCCTGGTCTACTCCATCAACAGGGGTCACGGCCCGATATCATACAGTAGCAGGATTGGTTTGATACCCTCGAACAAGAAGTAAATTAATTACTCTTCCCATTATCCATATAGTACGTCTACAAGATCACTCGTGGCCCTTATTTGTCATACCAATACGTTTCTGCCCCAGGCAGCTGACCTCGGGAGGAGTCGGAATCTGCCCCGAATTCAGCTCGGACTCTATACATCGCGCTTTTGAGTCACCGACCCCGAGAAAATATCGGTAGCTGCACGGGTTCGGGATCTAAGTTTTCACCGGTGGCAGTTTGGGGCTGATTTCTCATTCTTAGATGTACGGTCACGCGCTCAATTATTCCCCGATTTTTGCCGACTTGGTTGCGGGAGTTTGAGAGAATTGAAAATATAGATCTACCTAGTGGGTCTATAGAATTATGTGCTCAATTTTATCATGTAGCTATCTACGATTTCAATCAAAAAAGTAATCACATTGTTATCAGGCTCAAATGTTGTCCTTGTTGCTTGTTAAAGAGACAAATTCAGAGATCAGGCGTCCGAGTGAAAGCTAGACTCAGTAGTCCTCATCACCGAGAAGTGATCCTCCCCGTCCAGTGGTGCCATCTCACGCTTCTCCAACTTGACAACATGGGCCATGCGAGGGCCTTTGTCGATTTGTTGTAGAAACTTCTTAATTGTCTCTTCGTCGCCCTGGACTTCACCTTCGACCTGTGCTCAAGTAGTCAGAAACTATAGTCAATATTGCTGGGCGCAAGGATACATACCCGTCCACAGGTGGTGTTACGGGCCCAACCCATAAGCCCGTAGCCCGTAGCGCATTTCTGCGTGAAGTCACTGAAACATGTCAGATTTGGTCTCAAGTGGTGGTGATATGATGTCATCGATCCTTGCTGATGAGAGATCGGAGCCTTACCGGAAACCGACACCTGGAGATGAATGTTAGTAAGGGATCTAGCTATCTTAGTTGAACTGGGGCTATCCTAGTGGCATGGGGAGTATTTATAGCGGTAGGCTGGGGTCCCATGAGCGGGGCGTACCTTGTACGGTGCCATGAACTTTGAACGCAACCTGGTGTAGAGGGTCAGCCATGTCACATTATGTTGCCAGCGAAGCAGCCGGCAATCAGAACTATCATATTCTAGGACCACGTACCCGTTTAGAAGACATGTTGAGTGTGATGTGGTTTGTTTGAGGAAGCGGAGACCGATGTCATAGTGGGTTGCTGATCTAATCTTGATCTATAACTAACTAACTAGTTAGTCTAGTCACTCATTGTAGAGCCGCTTCCAGTGACTAGTAAATTCCTTATTTAAACATTTATGTGCAATATTTACTTACTTTTCATCTCTGTGATATAGTACAATCCTGGAAAGCCAATTTTTGACAATTATATAGAGATCACTTGAAAAAGGTTTTCCGACTGCCCCTCATCGTCGCGTTATTATTGCCACATGCTGTGCTCTCCGAAAGAGTCCTAATGGCGTATATCTTCCAGCAGCTTGGAGATCGCACGGCCAAATTCCGGACCCCTGTCACGGCTGAGCAGGTTGAGGCTAAATAGTACATGACTGGTCTGTACTTTCGAGATCGACATCCATCGGTCAAATCGCCGTACATAATAGAGAGCATGAAGACAGATGTCAGCCTATAGCAAACTTTCACCAGGCCACCAAAGCATGATATGATGATCAATTCGGGATATACCTTTCTCCGTGGCCTTGATACGCCTGCCAATCACCCGAGAGACAAGACTAGTATCGAATCGATGGGGGACCTAAGAAATCACTGGCGAGTTCCAAGGTTCCGGAAGATTTTGTGTGAGGCAAATACCTATCCAACCAAACAAATTCCGAGCCACCATAGGATGCCCAAAATCATTTGCCATGCAACCCGATCTAGCTGATGATGGTGCGCATTTATTCTGGGATCCGACCGCGAATGGGTGCTATTATGCAAAGGCGAGCAAGCAGCATGATGCCGAGTTGGACCCACGAGCCAACTTGATAATACTACCTAAGGATTTTTACCAATTTTTATATCCTCTAGGCCGGGATATTTTGGAAAATCAGCCAACTGACGTGCGCAAAGCATATCCTATGCGCAGAAAAATAATTTTGATAGTGCCAATACCTACCTGTAGGCTGTAGTCAATGAAGACATTCATATCACGTTAGGTGAGGTGTTAGGAATGTATCTACAAAGCTACTTATGGCTAAATTACTACTAATCGAGAAAATCAGATGTTCACCATGCACCATATGCTTGCATAATTGGGGTGTTTTCATGAGTTAGTGGCCAGTGCATATAATGGCTGTATATATCAAGGTGATAATTGACGAGCGCTGATTGGGCGCGTGATCACCCAGTTCAGGGTGGAACATCGGCCTCGGCCCCTGAGTAAACACTGAACACTTCAGCGCTGCACCTGCGCCATGCCACTGCGATAAAAATGACTTCCCTTTTCTCCTGGCTGCGGCGGATCTACTCGCTCGACACCCTTGACACTCGCTTTACCTCTACCGCCATCAATCCAGCCGACACGCGACCTGCTTCCGCGAAAGATGCTCGCGCTCATGCCACTGCCCAAAATGCTCGCGCTCCGCTCTGGCGTACACCGGAATTCTTTATCTACTATCTATTCTTCATTGTTCTCGTTCCTTTAATGTTCAAAACTGTGGTTGATGCCTCCAAGGGTGAGTAGCCCCCGCAGACACTGGAGCGGCGTCGAGATGCTAATGGGGGATCGTCATCATAGAAAGTCACCCGATTTACCCTACCTACTCAGATCTCCTATCGCCAGGATGGATCCCTGGCCGCTTAGTTGTGAGTGATTCCCCTCGGGGACTTGTGCTCCCTGACCTCAAAAATGAATTACGGCTGACCTTGCCCGAATGACACAGGACAACTCCGATGCACAATACGCCAGCTTCCGCGACAACATTCCCTACCTCGTGTTGCTTCTTATTGCCCACCCATTGGTCCGTCGAATCTATAGCTCGTGTGTGAGCCGCGCGAGTACTACAATCAAACCCTCCAGCTCGTCCACAGTGGCTGCAGGAGATGTCCAGCTCGAACAGCGGATGCGCTTTGACTTCGTGTTTGGTCTTATCTTTATTACGGCCCTTCATGGAGTTTCTGCGCTCAAGGTGCTCCTCATTTTGCTCATCAACTACCGCATTAGCAAGCACCTTCCTCGGTCCTACATTCCGGCTGTGACATGGACGTTCAACATCTGCATCCTCTTCGCCAATGAATTATGTGGAGGATACCCGTTGGAGAAGGTCGTCATGCTCTTGACTCCGGGATCTAGCACGCCAGGAGACAAAGGGTCCTTGTTGGTCCAGTGGGCTCAGACCCTGGATAACTTCGGAGGAATCATGCCTCGATGGGAGGTCCTTTTCAAAGTCACTGTGTTGCGGCTGATTAGTTTCAATATGGACTACTACTGGAGCGTGGATTATGTCTCAGCGAGCCCGATTGAAGTATGTTCTCCTGTGTCCAATCCCGGACTGCCCATCTCTCGATTGGACGTAGTACTGACCGATTTCCACAAGAAGAAACAACTTGATCCCGCAGCTCTATCTGACAGAGACCGTGTCAAAATCCCCGCTGAACCGGCTGCCTTCAGTGGGCGCAACTATATTGCTTATGTGCTTTACTCACCGTTGTATCTGGCTGGTCCTATCTTGACCTTCAATGACTATGTCTCCCAGCAACGATACACACCTCTCTCACGGACACGAACACGCACCATCCTCTACGGAATTCGTTTTTTCTTCACCGTGATGTGCATGGAGCTGATTCTTCATTACATATACGCAGTGGCCATTTCCAAGGCCTCGCCAGACTGGTCTCTCTTTACTCCAGGCCAACTCAGCATGCTTGCTTTCTTCAACCTCCATATAATCTGGCTGAAGCTACTCATTCCATGGCGATTCTTCCGCCTCTGGGCTCTTATTGATGGGATTGATCCTCCAGAGAACATGGTTCGCTGCATGTCAAACAACTACTCTGCCTTCGCCTTCTGGCGTGGCTGGCACCGTTCTTACAACCGCTGGATTGTGCGGTATATCTACATCCCATTGGGCGGAGGCGGTAGTGGCCGTGGCCCGGCTGGTGCAAAGCAGACATCCACACAATCTGGCATCTGGTCCAAGTTCTTGCAAATTCGCAACTTTTTGATGGTCTTTACATTCGTGGCCTTGTGGCACGACATTAACCTCCGTCTCCTGATGTGGGGCTGGCTTATCACGCTCTTCGTTCTCCCTGAAGTCCTGGGTGGTATGCTTTTCCCTGCTCGGCGTTGGCGCTCGCATCCCACCGCGTACCGGTGGCTTACTGGCATTGGGTCTGTGGGCAACGTCCTCATGATGATGATTGCAAACCTCGTTGGCTTTGCGCTCGGCCTGGACGGGCTGAAGGACTTACTGGCTAGTCTAACAGGGTCATATTCCGGCGTGGCATACATGATTTCCTGCTGCGCGGTCTTATTCGTCGGAATTCAGGTCATGTTTGAGATTCGCGAAGATGAACTGCGAATGGGCATCAACCTGAAGTGTTGATTACGTTTCAATATACGTCTACGACATTCTTAGCATTTTTCATAAAGAATTAGAAGATTAATTTCAATGGTTGGATATTAGCTATTGTACAGGTTTCCATTATTTTCATATAGTCGTTAAAAGGGAAATAGGGTGACAGATCTCCCTCCCTAATAGTATACAGCCCGGCACACCCATTGGCGGTTCTAGAAGAATGCACCACACCTCGAATCCTCGTGTACACGGTAACAATCCAGCCCACAAGTGCGCAAGTGACAGCTCTTGCAGCGGATCTTCCCCCAATATCCACACATACAGCAGAAATGCCGCGGCGATTGAGACGACATTGGCGCGCCTACCCGCGACGCATTATATGATAAAGGCGGCTCAGCGAGTAAACGCTGAATGATACGATCAGAAGGCATAGTCGGTGCATAAGACCGCAAAAGAGGATCATTATCATGCTCCGTCTTCAAAAGCTTATGCTTCCCCTCCGAATCATCTTCACCCTCCACATCCGTAGCAACTGTAGCAGGAGTCTCAGGGACAGAAGGCGCAGGCGTAGGCGTGGAAGCAGCTGTCCCAATAGCCAAAGCCCGTTTCCTCTTTGCAGCCGCAGATCCAGCTCCAGCAGACCCGGCAACAACAGGCGTCGAGCTCCGTCTCGCTGCCGCCGCCGCAACAGCAGCTTTACTCCCTTTAGCCATCGCGGCCGCTGCGACCATATTCTGCCCAGCCCCGGCCCCCGCTCCACCAGCAGCACTGCTATTATGAATCGCAGCTTCCTCATCATCAAGGTGGTTCCGGAATGTCTTTTGCGATTGTAGGATTCGGCGCACATTTGATGTTGTCTTTGCGCGTGTGCCGCGCGCTCCGGCTTCTTTTGCTTGTTTCACTGGTACGGGGATCGACACGTCGCGCTGGTTTTCGCGGTCTAGCTCAGCGATGTGGCGGATAATCGCATTCGCTCGTCGTGAGGACATGTCACCTCCTTTACCGGCGTCGCGGATTCCGCGTTTGCGGCTTAGTGTTGGGGCCATGGCGGCTTGGGCTGGGTTGAAGGCTCGGTCGGCGACGTAGCTCCAGCCTGGGGCTGGAGCCGCACCTTTGTGTTGGAGGAGTTCGACACGGAACATGATTCCTGCCCTTGTCTTCTTTTTTTTCACTTTTTGACTTGGGGTGAGGGTGTTGTGAGAAGGTCGGGGATGGACATCGGAGACGTGAAAGTTGATGGCCGTTTAAGTGTTTGATTTGTTTGCACCCGTCTCTATCAAAATATGAGCTTGGGCATCCACTGTTGTTAATGGTCAGTCTGCTCTGGCTATTTGAGATTGATTTTTCTCTGATTCAGATCTTGTAATGCACCTTGAAATAAACAGATCAATTCATGGGAGATATGTTTGGTCAAATTACATTTGGCAAGTCAAATGCAGAAAAGACACCTTAACACCAGCGTAAATAGAAAGTACGTGGACCAAGCTTCTGGAAACACTAAATAATACGCGATTACTTCTTCTGAAGCTTGTTGACCTTGGACTCCAGCTCATTAATGTATGACTGGAGCTTGAGAGTAGCTGCCTGGAGTGCCTGTATCGTAGATAAGAGCTCTCCCCGTTCCGGGGAGAGCACATTGCAGTCAGTCTCAAAGTAAAGCATTTGAATTCAATGCCAAGGTCGACTTTGAACATACCGAAATGTCATCAGTCAACATCTCATTTGCGACTCGGTAATCCCCTAGGATGTAGTAGTATACCGACGCGCCGGCAACAACAGCGCCTGACAGGAACCCGAAGACTCTGCACAAAGTTAGGCAAGCTAGGAACAGAATAACAACTGAGGGTAGAGATTTGAATCCAGTCGTGAGTTGTCTTCAACACTTACCCTCCACGGAAAGCGCCAACGGGCTTGCTTGTGGGCAATGGCGCAGCCTCCCAGCGGGGACGGGACACGGAGAAAGATCGGGCAACGACGCGACCGCGTAGCGGCATGAACATTTTTGAGCGTACGTTCATGGTGACGCAGAATCTGCTTAATCAGTAAATGATTCAACGTGAAACCTTAAGAATGGTCTTACAAGTAAAGATAGTGGCGAGGGGAGTGAAAGAGACCAGGTGACGTTGACAACCGGTGGCCCGGGCGGCATCGGAACTTGACGGTTAACGCTGAATACATATACGAAGCGAATCCGGAGTAAATTAAATCAAGAGGATTACCATGAAGCAAAAATGAGTTGAGTATATTACGGGAGATATACTCTAGCTTGGAATACACAAAACCTTCCCTTGAGGATTATCGCTATGGGGTAACTCCAGCTATACAAAATGGAGTAGACAAACTATCTATGCAGCTTAATTTGCCATGGTGCTCTCGTTAAACAAATCCGCCAACAGATCATCCCGGCATACACCTAGATCTGCACCTTCCATGCTATACGTACTCTCAAATACGTAGATACTCAGTCGGTCAAAGAACGGTCGCAAGACCCGCTCGACGATCTCGTCTTTGGCCGTCTCTCGAATGTGTTCTGAGATAAGCCACGGCCGCTTCAGACCACCGCGTGTTGTGGACTCCGTGTGCTCATGCGAAACAGATGGCGTAAGAGCATTCCGCGCTCCAAAGCTTTGGGATACCTCATCAGCAAGGGCAACCGGCTCCCAGCGATTGGGCGGGTATACTGCATCAATGGTGTCGGTCACAAAGAGCCACTCCAGAAGCTGGAAGTCATCGGGGGCGACGACCAGGAGAATATCCAGGAGCTTGCATGCCTGTAGTAGCGAGTAAGGGTTGTACGAATCTGATTGCAAGCCCTGTGGAACAGCAGAAATAGCTTCCTGCAGCTCTGCATTGATCATCGGCCAGAAGGGCGCCATAGTCTGAGCAGACGTTTTGAGCACGAGGGCACGGAGGACCATGAAGATCTCTGCGCGTGTTGCGGATGATGGGGAAGAAGAGCTGGTGGCTGCTAGAAGATCCTCAAGCTTCTGAAGAAGGCCTGGCAATTCGCCCACGAAGTAATCGGTACTGGCAGACAGCAGGAGCACTGCAATACGACGCAGATTGAGTTGCGCTCTACGATCAGCTTCTAGTCTTGCTGCAGATGCCCCCACACCGAACATAATTCCAGCAGCACTGGGCGGTGGTAGACGACCCAACAGCTCTCCCAATCGGTCTTTGTCTGCAATAGCCCACTGTCGCAATAGGCCCATCCAATTGTTTTTGATTAGGTCCACTTGCAATCCAAAGAAGCGTGGATCATTGAATGCATCGGCAATATCCTTCTTCCATACCTTTGCGGCTGCCGGCACTTTGGCCATTTGCTGCAATAGAACCATCACGTTGCGGTTGAGGTTGTTGGGAAATAGTCGAGAGCGGATGAGTGGACCAACCACATTGGTTGACACACCGTTGATGGCGGTATTGATACGGTCCGAGTCACCTAGAGTTGTGATGAAAGATGGCATGGAGACAGCAAGAATGCTTAGCATGTCATCCGGCCCAGTATGGGACACCGCTGTCCGGTCATAATCGAGAGAAGATCTCGCTAAGAGGCCGGCGTCCTGGTTGAGACCTAATGGTTTACTAGTGAAGACAGCCGTAAGAAGACGGAGAAGAACATCCTGTAGAAGATGAAGTTAGTATACGAAAAGTGATATTGGGATTGATGGTGGATGACGAACTCCAAGCTCCTTGCGCATACGACGGTCTTCACCGAATGTTGTGTTCTCCAACTTCGCACCTAGGATAGCCGCGAATTCAATGAGACGTGGAAGGATCTGTCGATGAGGGAAAGGATTGCTGAGCACATCACGGAGGAAAATTGTACAGTCAGCCCAAATTTCGTCAAGAACATCGTCATCTAAAGAGCGAGCATAGGCGACCAAGAAACTGGCTAGTTCGGACTCAGACAAGCTGGTGGTTAAAGATGACTTGCGATGGTTGTCCAATGCGCTAGGGTTCGTCCGTGTGTAAATTGCATTGAACACGGCAGGAATAGCGATCTTCGGGCTCGAACCATCAAGGGTATGCAAGAGGTTGAAGATAAGCGCTGCAGTATCTGTGTCGGATTTTGTCCACATTTCAATCAGCGTTTCAAGACATTCAAGCGCTTCTGCCGTGAAAAGATGTTCGAGAATCCGCCTCGATCTATTTCTCATTCGCAACGAAGTGTACTGGAAGGATGCAATTGATTCGGAATCTGGAGAGCATGTTCGATCTCCTGCGCCCCAGGCCCAGATAGAGAAACAAAGGCGAGCGGCGTCTTGGAAGCAGAGCAGGACTGTCAGTCGATCATTAGCGGTGTTGGATCGGCCTTGGTTGCCTTCCGAATTGAACACCCCAGACACCATGTTTCCGAAAAAGCCCTGGGGCTGATCTGGGCTCTTGGCGGCCGGAATGTTCGATTCCTCTACGAGGAGACGCTCATGGGCGTTGGCAATACATGTTTCAAGACCAGTGAGTAAAGCAATAGTGACTTGTTCAGATCGGTCATGGGGCCAATTCTCTGTTTGTTGAAACGCGAGCTGAAGCCTTCCAAAGGAGGCTTTGATCTCTCTGCAGAAGCATTCCACCAACATGAGGAGAATTTGGAAAAGCGAGCCAGAAAAAAGTGGAAGCACCTCGCAAAGAAGTCCAATCCACTTATCCACAATTTCATGAGATTTTGTTGAGCTAATGCCTTTGAGCAGACAATCCAAAAGTCGCTCAGGAGGGCGAGGAAATTGAGGCAATGACTGGCCTTTATCTGCCTTTTCACTTGTGAAAGACAATATCGAAGGACTAGTCAAACGTTCACGAGAGGTGGCTCGTTGATGCTTTGGCCTGGGAGGTGGTACGGGTGCGTATGCCTGAGCAAAACGAACCTTTAGAGCCGCAAGAAGTGCATCAATGATTGCACCCTGTACTGCAATACTATCGCCCTCATCTGAGGCAACCAGAAGGCGATCCACCAAAAAATCATCAATTCCGGATTCTGCGAGGTCCTCTGACCCAGGTCCCAGAAGGAGTTGTCGCATGAGATGAAGGGCATCCCTTTGCAATCGCTCTCCTTCCAAGTTGCCCTGTGTTGACGTCAAAACCTTGTCGCTGATGATTCCGCGGCAAGCTTCAAATATTGTCGCATGGAAACTCTTCACATTCCCACCATCTGTTAAAAAGAAATAAGTTAAAGGTACCTTCTAGTCGGCTATACATATGACTTACTCTCAGACTTGGGCGCTTCCGGACGCTTCTCGGTCTGGCCCAACGTGTGGGTGAGAAGCGTGATCCATCCGCCATGAGAAAGTGACGAGATGATGTTTGAGGCTGTCCGCAGCAAATAATTGCACTCTTTGTAATCGTCCGGAGGAATTGAATAGTCTTCTTCGGCGACTGCGCCAGACATATCATGCTTAAACAACTCCTCAAGTTTCAAAATGACGACATGGAAGATTCTAGAATCAGGTTATTAGTGGCAAGTCTGAATGTTTTGTAGATTTGTCGCACCTATGAATGGAGTGAAGGTCTTGAAGCCATTGCTGGACACTCTGAGACACATCTCCAGGTTCTTGAGAAAGAAGATCAAGTACAATGAACAAGGGACGCTCGAGCATCGAACATTGATAAGAGAACAATGTTCCCCCAACCTCAGAGACCTGCTTTGGGAGTTGCTCATGCATGCCATGGTGGCTATGGTTCCAAAGTACATAGAACTTCTCGGCTTGCTCCTCTGATGAGAGATGGTAGGAGCTTGTGGTTGATGAATTTACCATTAAAGAGGTTATCGATGCCTCAACAAGATGATCAACCCAAGAGATTGAGTGAAGCGACCATAGACACCTGACCGCTTCAACATGAAATTTCGGGCTCAATGGCGACAAGTATTGCCAGAGCTGTTCGACCAGATTGGGAATCAGACCGCAGGCATCCTCATAGCTGATGTAGAAACCAAGGCTATGGACGAAAAAAAGGTTGGTCAATGCGGAGGCAATGGTAGAGATGACTGCAAAAGCAGCAGTGCTCGGATTGTTATCCTTCTTGTCTAATCTTCGAGACAATGCCCCGTAAAGCCGCCTGTCACGAAGCACACGCGACCTTGGTAGCTTCATTAGCAATTTTACAAGGACATCAACTTTGTCGTGGAGGCATAAGGTGTTATCATCACTTTCGAGGGCTTCCACTGATAGATCATGAGCTTCGCGAATTATCATCTCGCTAATTTGCTTGGGGCCAAATGGAAGAGGAGGGAGATCGAGGCTATTTTTGCTGTTTTCATAGAAACTATGAATTTTTTTCAAAATATCATGGTTTCGAGACTTGGTATCAGCAGCGGCTTTCTCATGGCTTGTTTTCTTTGAAAAAACTCTCTCTGTAAGCAGAGGAATCAATGACTTCAGCACGCCATTCAATGCAACAGACACAACTTCTTTGTCAATACTAGCTCCTGGTGAGGCCGTGTGCAAAGATATTTCACGCATTCTGACGAGCACAGATAGCGTTAACAAAGGAACATGAATCTGGAGCATGTCTTCTTCTCGCACATTGAAATTATCAATGATGAACCTGGCAAGATCAAGGTTTCGCAAGACTTGGTCAGGGTCACGCTCCACGTCGTTCGAGCGGAAATCAACCAAGCCCAAGAGCTCGGAGAAAATGACACTGCTCTCTACACCGTCAAAAAAGGCACTAGCACTGCGGAAGACTTCCTCAAAATGATTCCTAGGAGCCTCCTTTTCGAACGCTTGAACACTGCGTATTGTAGGAAGGAATACTGCCGGAACGATATAACCACCAATTTCCCAGCGGTCCATCAAGGAGAGAGCAATGCGGAAGGGCTTTGTTCTCTCAGAAGGTATTTGAGAACCCTGCTTGATCATCTTGAGAAGACCATTTACCAAGGGCTGCAAACCCACGCGGCTGAAATATTGAGACTGCGAAAGCTCCTTGGCATCGGCAGAAACGTGGCTAGTTTCCGTCGGAATCTTCTGATCATACACAGATGAGCGCTCACGATCACTTGTAGGCTCGGGGCCAAGGAACCATGCCCAGAGTCGGCGGTTCAGGCCCATGTCCCGTCGAGTGACCACACCCACCGCAGCAACAATCAAAGTTTCGAGATCACGGTCCGTGATTCGCTTTTGTAGAATTGGAGAATTCAATGGCAAATGAGTAACAAGAAGATCGAGGAAATTTCGCTGTACCAGAAGTTGTTCGTCGGATAGACCTGACGCAAAACACCTAATCAACAAGCCCGGCTCTGGGAGTATGACGGAGTCAGCTGCTGCAAGCATCTCAGATGGGATGTCTTTGGCGTCGCTAGTATCAGTCGCACTCTGGCGACGATTGGGAATGCCCAATTTAGGTAGGTAACGGTTCAAGTAGGCTAGGACACCAAGTCGTCGACTGGGGTTTGTAATCGATGCGAGGAACAGACATTGCCAAAAATACTGCCCAGAAGCCCCTGATTCAGATGTTTTTTGAGTCTCAAGCCGCCCGCCTACTTCGCGAAGCTTATTGACGATCCTTAGCGTCGGCTCAAAGTCGTCGCTTGTCTCCTCTTCCAAGCCAGGGAGCAAGGCCAAGAGAATGGCTTTCAGGGCTGGTCGAATGGCCCATGGTTCTAAATCGACAATGTAGCCCTCCACCAATGACAGGAAAAGCGGGCGAACAGTGAGTGAAGCGAAGGTCAAGGTTGGCGCAAGCCCGGGCAGGTACAAAGGCAGGTCGTGCGACAATCCGTCGAGCTTAAATAGACGGGCAGACAGTCAATCAACAAAGTCCTCCGGATCCATATATTCGTTTTGCATACCTTGATCAGCCCAAATATGTAAGTATATACTTCGAGCGCCTTTTGGTGGACCCCGGATGGTAATGACGGGTTCAAGCATTGTGCCAGTCGCTTCGAGACTAGCACCTTATGGGGTACGATTGGCTGGTCTGGCGGGTGGGTTTGAAGTGCCTATCCCCTTGTCAATGATCAAATCCATCATAGTGGTGTATTGAATTGGGTCTCACTTTTAAAAGGCGACTCAGGAAGGAGATGTAGTCGGCCCATTCTTGGAGGGCGTTGTCGAACAGTGACAGCGCTCGTTCGACACTTGACGCATAGCGACGGTAGCTTTTGTCCTTCTTGAGTGACCCTAGAGTTACATCAAAGTGTTAGAAAAGTCCCGCGCGATATCTCAGTCTTGTGGTATGAGATACAGACCTTCCTTTCCTTGTAAGCGCGTGCGCGTTAAGGAGCTCTCGGAGCTTGCGGGGGAGTTCGACCTCGGAAAGGCACTTGGATCAAGGCTCATGGTGCCAATGTCGGACGTCAAATTGATACAAAAGCTGCAGGCTGCACCTCATCATATTCAGGACATCAAGAATGACCCAAGGGGGGAGGGCAAGTTGGACGTTGAAGGTGGTTAGTAAGGGCCACGCAGGCGGACACATTTAGTGTTTTGTCCGCCTTGGGAGCTCCGACTCCCCGACCGGCGCCAACATCAATGTCAACGTCAACGTCAACGTTTTTGTAGCACCTACGCAGAAGGTGGCAATTAAGTTCATTCCAGCGATTATATGTCTCACAAATTGGTGTTTGGTATCCAGCAGTATGGATATGCATTACACCATTGACATCCAGGCCCAGCCGTTCCTGTCTACAACCATACGATTCCTCTGATCGTGTCCATCCGTGTAAAGTCGCGGGTAGTGATTATTAACTGTGTTGACTATATTTGGTCGACTTCCCTATAAGTTTTGTGTGGTTCGGAATGGATAGACAAGATATGGAGACAAGGTGACTTATGTGGACGCTGACGGAATAAACAATGCAAAGCAAGCTTCAATATTTCCAGTACTTTTGCTATAGGTCTATCACCGACGCCGACCAGCTCCTCCAGCATTTTCGGCCCGATCAGCAATGCTAACCACCTCTCCGATACCGGCTGCTTCTTGTTCATCCTCGAGAGCCATAATCTCTTCGCGGCTGTCCCACCATTTCTCCTCTGCCATATTGAATGCAGCCTTGCGCAATTCTTTGATACTCTTCTCGTCGTTTTGATTTTTCAGTGCCATGGCTTCGATGAGCAGCTTCTGCCATTCTTCAGAAGTACGACTAAAGAATTCACGGAGACTCTCGAAAGGCCGAGGTAAGGGCCGGCTGTCGTCCGGCTGGGCGTCGATTTCTTGTTCCTCGACTTCGAGTTGCTGCATATCCTGAGTGACCGACGGCACGGTCACCTCAGTTGGGGCAGGGGATGAGGCATCAACAGACATAGAATCGCCTTCCTCGTCGTCCATCTCCTCATCCTCATCCTCATCGTCCATATCTTCATCACTATCCTCGTCCTCATCCATGAGGTTCCAGTTCATAGGCTCCCTGTAGAAGCATTCCTTAACGCCATCCAACTTGACGAGGTCAATGGAGTACATGTCATCGAAAGTGAACTCCCGATCGCCCTTCTCAAAGGTTCCGCCATAGATAAATAGTGTGTCATCTTGGACCGCAAGCTGTGCGTTGAAGCGCCTATGGGGCATCTCAAAGCGGACTATCGCGGGGTTAGAAGGCTCGACAGGTTCCTCTTTAGGTGTGCTCAATTGCATGAGCTCTTCATCGTCATCATCATCCTCACGGAAACCTCCCTTGGCTTCTAGTGCTTTGAGATTCCTCAAAAGCTCTTCCTCGTCAGCCTTGCCTCTATCTCGCGATTTGACCTGGTTCGCCTGCTGTTTCTTGCCAGGTGCGCGTGGTCGTCGCAGACTTAGCGGGAAGAATCGATTGCGGTCTGTGTTCCATGCAAATAACAAATCGAAGAACTCGCTATCAATACCCTCCTCAGTCAGTTCGACGTCATGGACTCCTCCAAACATGATACCACGACCTTTATGGTACGCCATAGTTGTTCCTGCACGGGCCGGGTTTGGCGTGTTGGCGGGCTTCTTTCTCCGCTCCCAACGAATTGCGGGGACAGCAGCTGCCGGGGCATCGGATGCTGGGGGAGTAATTCTGAGGAACCAGGTATCTTGATGAACCATAGGGCGCATCACCATTTTCTGAGCGCCACCCTTGACTTGCTTGCCGCCACCGCCACCTGCGGTCGCCTTCACTCGAGAGTAACCGCCATAAATAACGGCACCAGTTTCATGCGGAAGCAGGGAGAATGAAGATCGTGGGTCAGGCTTCTGCGAGGCCGTTGTCAACGTTGGGCTGAACCAGGTGTATTTCTGGCAATCATAGATCCACAGATCCTGCAGGTACTTGGTCTGCTGGGAAGTGTCTTGGAATCCGCCAAACAAGATGATATAATTCTACCAATTGTTAGCTTGGCTTTCCCCCAATAAAGATATATGAGCTTTCACAGTACCTTGAAGTAAGTCATTCGATGACCACTTCGAGCCGGAGGGCCCTTACCCTTGGTCTCAAGGCGGGTCCATTCTCTAGTAGCGGTATCCAAGTGCCAAAAGTCATTGTAGTGGTAGAAAGTGCCCTGCTTGGGCGACGAGAACTCGCCTATGTACATTTATCAGCCAAAGCACAGAAAAAACCTAGATGTAACACTTTGGATCATCTTACCTCCAAAAAGATATACACCTCCGGTGTTACCTCCACGGCACCATGCATGTCCACTCCGAGGCAGAGGACTGTTGGGACTGGTCACCTCCCTCCATTCACCCCGATCGATCAAGTAGACGAAGAGGTTATTGAAGAATGTTGCATGTGTTCCATCGAAATACTCGCCGCCAAAGAGCAACAACTCGTTCCGATTAGATGGCGACGCAAGAACCGTGGCTGATGAGCGTGGGGCAGGAGGCTCTGACACGATCTCTGTCACCTTCAAAAATCTGGCTTGCTCTTCGGCGTACTGGGCCAGGATGGCATCCAGATCGGCATCCTCGGCGTCGCTGTCTACATCCTTGCCTTTGACTTTGGACTTCTTTTCCTTTTGAGCAGTCTTCTTGGACTGCTTAGCCGCCACTCGAGCTTTATGCTCAGCGGACTTTTTGTCCTTCTTACCCATGCTTGAATTGAGGGTTTTGCACCGGTTTATGGCAAGTTCTGGCGGGGCATAGAAAAAAAAAAAGGTTTTCCCCACATACAGATCCGCCAGGCCTGTTAGTAGGGGTGCTGATCACTATAAATCTATACAACACACAACATTTTGAATCAAACTCTGTAACCTTTAGTCTTAAAAGTTTATTGGAGCTATAATCACTCGACTAGGGTACTAAATTTCCCAGAGAACCATGTCAATATAATGTATAGCGTTTTGATCGTGACTGTAAGTGCCAAATTCACGGGCCTGACCGCTCACGTGCAAAACGCGTCCCTCGAAATGTTTCGCGACGATCAACTGTTCAGTCGAAAACCGATAACCCGCCATAACACCATGAAATTATTACGCCCCCATGACGAAAAATAATCTTGCTGTACATCTGAAATGGCTACTCAACCAAGGCCCCTCCTTACACCTGTCGTTGTCCACCGAATCTCCTTCCATACAACGCGAGCGCGTCTCCCCACAGCCTTCTTTACCGGCCGACGAAAGCGAGCTCTTGGATGCGATTATTGAAGACGCCGAAAACACCGACGATGTGCTAAACGAGGACATGGCAAAATTTCAAACTTCATTGTCAGCACGGAAACCTCGTTTATTTAGCTGCCCAGAAACATGGAAAGACGAGCCGCCTTCAACGTCAAAGAAGGCGTCTTCCACGGACACCTTGGTTCCAGGTAAGCGTGAATAAAAGAACGCAGAGCCCGCATTAATATTCTGACCGGAATTCATCGAAACAGAGTCTCATCTTGAACCACCGCGATCCTCTTTCGTGTCTCGACTCAAAACCCCACTTCGATCGGACCGAAAGCTCGAAACACCGTCTTTTGATGATGTGGAAGCCATTGACCTCACGGGAGATCCTGAACGATTTATCCCATCTTCGGCAACCGATTTAGGAGAACCCCGTCGACTATGGTCTGGGGATACGGTAACACGCGAACAACCCGCCGAGAAGCGTGGGAAGAAGCGGAAGAGCGATGAATACACATCGGACCTTCTATCGCCCTCGAAATATGCGTCCAAAGTACGAAGCAACGCGCAGGCACCGACCTCTGAACTTCCTTCAGGTGCAAACCGGGTGAAGCCATCGAATAGTGCCAAACAACTGAGAACCGACTCCCCGTCTCCTAAAAAGAGCCACCGAAAGCAAGTCATTGCCGATTCCGACGAGGAAGATCCGTTCGACGATTGGACAGTAGATGCAGATGACATGATTCTGGATAATGATCCAGTGCTGTATCCCAAACTACCTAGAATCAAACCCGAAAATCATGAGAAGAACTATCGCGCTGAAGCCCCACGCCTTGAGCGCTTGCCAAGTGGGACTATCTCAGAAACGACTCGGACAGAAACTCGGATGGAAAGAAAGAAACCAATTCAAACCTCAACAGCTTCGCCTGGGCTCAGAATCCCCAGTTCTCAGCCCAAAGACGAGTCTGTTCTTAAGTTTGTAGCTCTTTCAGCAACCTCCATCGGCCATTCTATCCGCCAGCTGAGGCAGAAACTGCAGAAAAACTCTGAGGTTGTATACCAACAGGCAATGGAAGGCCAGCCGGCTCCGGATCTGATTGCAGAGAACAAAAGCCTTGTGTCACGTATTCAAGCCATTGAGGCATTACAATCCCAGCAAGCATCTTATAACACCTGCCTTTCTCGAAAGAAGAAATTGAAGCAGAACCTCATGAAAGTGATATCCCAGGGTCTTGATCCAACAACCATGCCGGATGAGCTGTCAAAAAGCCGAGCTGTTGAGTCAGAGCTGGAGCAAATTGAGGCAAGGATCAGCGAGCTTCTTCCTCAAGCTGAGATATTTGATTTGATCAAGTGCCCAGAAATGGATCGTGCTACTCCAGCGTCGAGTGACTTTCATCCAGACCGCCATTCTTCCAAAAACCAGTTTGAAGACTTTGGGTTTACCAAGGAGTCCCCACCTCGAAGACAGCACACCTCTTTCGCCAGCCCTAAGTTGACAAATTATAATATCACGTCCCGGGCTGGGCAGAGCATTCCCGCCCGTGGTGGCGAAGAAGGCCATGTTTCTCGACACATGGGCTCACCAGCAATAGACTTGGACGAATTCGATTGGGACGAGAGCGATGACGCGATGTTGGATGTTGCTGGAAGCTCGAATAAGGACTTGCCGATGTCTTTCGGTGACAAAAACGTTGAGAATCGACCAGTCTTTGCCGAGACCTCTGGAAACACCTCTCGAATGCCCCCGCCAAAGAAGTCACCCGGGCGTAGCAACTTTTGGGCCAACAATGCTTGGTCTCATGAGGTGAGAACTGTCCTCAAGGAAAAGTTCCACCTTCGTGGCTTCCGCCCAAACCAACTCGAGGCTATTGATGCAACCCTCGCTGGTAAGGACACCTTTATCTTGATGCCAACTGGCGGAGGGAAGTCACTGTGTTATCAGCTTCCCGCAGTTGTCATGAGTGGTCGTACCAGTGGCGTGACAATTGTGGTTTCCCCTTTATTGAGTTTGATGCAAGATCAGGTTTTCCATCTGCAGAAGCTGAATATCAACGCCCTTTTGGTGAATGGTGAGACTGACAAGGCCGAGCGATCGCAAATTCTTCATCAATTGTCAAATGGTGGCGGAGAAGGTATGGAGCTCTTGTACATCACACCGGAAATGCTTAGCAAGAATCAGACCCTTGTCAAAGCCCTCGAGAAGCTTCATCGCCGGAACAAGCTTGCACGCTTGGTTATTGATGAGGCGCACTGCGTAAGTCAATGGGGGCATGACTTTCGTCCTGACTACAAGGAACTTGGTGAAATCAGAGCTAAATTTCCGGGGGTACCAGTCATGGCCTTGACTGCTACTGCCACTGAAAACGTGAAAGTTGATGTCATGCATAACCTGAAGATGAATGGATGTGAGGTTTTCCTACAAAGCTTCAATCGCCCTAACTTGACCTACGAGGTGCGGCCGAAAAAGAAGAATGATGAATTGTTGGCTAGCATTGCCGAGACAATCACTGCCTCATATCGAAACCAGTGCGGTATCATTTACTGCCTATCGCGCAGGACATGTGAAAGTGTGGCAGAGGAGCTCGTGAAGAAGTACAAAATCAAAGCACATCACTATCATGCTCACCTGCAACCTAAACAGAAAGCTGAGGTGCAGAGCGCATGGCAAAATGGTAGATATCATGTCATCGTCGCCACAATCGCCTTTGGAATGGGAATTGATAAGCCTGATGTGCGTTTTGTGATCCACCACAGTATTCCCAAAAGCCTTGAAGGTTACTACCAGGAGACTGGCCGTGCTGGCCGAGACGGAAAACGCTCTGGATGCTATCTTTATTATGGCTACAAAGACACCACGTTGCTGAAGCGGATGATCGATCAAGGCGAAGGGAGTTATGAACAAAAGGCTCGACAAAAGCATATGCTTCGGAACGTTGTCCAATTCTGTGAGAATCGCAGTGACTGCAGGCGTGTACAAGTGCTCGCTTACTTTAACGAACAATTTCGCCGAGAGGACTGTGGGAACACGTGTGATAACTGCAAGTCTGATCTTATCTTCGAAGAGCATGACTTTTCTGAATATGCATCATGGGCCATAAAGATTGTGCGAAGTTTAACTCTCCAGAAGGAAGACAAGGTCACTGTACTCTACTGTGTTGATATTCTTCGAGGCGATTTGAAAAGACCCAAGTCACCTTCTCATCGACAAAATCCAGGATATGGAAAGGGGTCTGACCTTGATAGAGCGGAAGCAGAGCGATTATTTTATCGTTTGTTGGGCGAAGATGCGCTGGCGGAAGAAAATGTCATCAATGGCAAAGATTTCGCGGTTCAATATCTCAAACTCGGCCGCCGTGCTACTGAATTCGAAAGTGGCCAGCGCAAAATGAAGCTACAAGTGCGAGTCTCTCCAGGTAAAGCTCGAGTGCCGCGGCCGGCCATGAAAGCAAAATCTGGGAGTCAAGCGCACCCTACATCCACAATGGTTTCATCACCTATTCAATCCGCCAATGACCGTCGACAAGCCCGCCATAAGCAACGTGGGGTCCGGTTTGACTTTTCAGAGGGCGAAGAGAGTGATGGGTTCGAACCAATCCGAGTTTCCGGAAAGCAGCAACGCCAGATTGCGCGTGAATTAGGCCCACCCATTACAATTGACCAGAAGATGGATCGACTTGATCACCTTCATCGTGCTGTCGTAGAGGATTTCGAGGTCACCGCCAAGAGGTACCTCCAAGATGTAAGTTTCCTCCTGCCTTCTTGTGGAAACCGGTTGCTCACTACTTTTGGAAAGGTCGTTGTTGAAAAAGGTCTCCGCGCCCAGCCATTCCCGGACCATATTTTGCGTGACATGGCCATCTCATTCCCCAAAGGTGAGATTTGATCTAAGGAAAAACCAGTGATAATACTAACTCCAATGATACTAGATCCCTCGGAGCTTGCTGCCCTCCCAGGCATCGACCAAGACAAGGTCAAACGATATGGCCGTCAGATCTTAAGACTAATAGACAATGCAAAACGGCGCTACCAGGAATTGACGCAAGATGCCGAATCCAATGGCGTCGTTCCCGACCCCAACCATCACAATGTCATCAATCTCAGCAGTAGTGACGAATACAGTGACGGCGACGATCTTTTCGCAGACCAAGCGTCTACGTTCGATGTTGACCAAACCCAGGAAGACGAAGATCTCACCAGCAGATATTTCCCTCCTCCCCTTTCTCCAGGCTTTCACCCTGGCGAGGATTTTGGTGAACAAGCGGATTCTGGCTCCAAAGGCCGCAAACGTCCGTACACCAGAAAGCCTCGCCGGAAGAATGGAGGCTCTACAAGCAGTTGGAAAGCCAAGGGCTCCAGGTCCAAGACCACTACGGGCGGCAGCAGTCGCGCTCCAAGCCGATCCTCTGCTGCCCCTCGAAAACCCGCTACGAAAGCCAAGACCCCGAAATCTACGATTGGAATGATGCCCATTTGAACTTGTCTTTTCTGCGGAGTTGATCATGATTTGGTGTTACGTGCATGGAGCATCTAAAGGCGTTTCTTTCTTTTCAACGGTGTTGCTTTGTCTCAGGCAGAGTACTTCATGGCTCCTGGGTTCTTGGCATGAGGTCGAGGCATAAGGCGCGTTCCAATTACTTTGCACCCCTACTCTGAATTAGGTTTCAAATAGACATAATACCATCTTCTGTCCCTAAGCCAAGAAAATACACGTTTCTCTTTCCCGCATTATCCAGTCAGCGAGCGACCGAAGTCTATCAACCGCAGGCGTCGGGCATCGCGAGGATGAAATTGAGCCACTTTCGCTCTCACAAGGAACCGTGGGATAGCTGAGTCCCGTTCTAAAGTCACATAAGACGTCCCAGCCTCCAGCAAAGAATCTAGAAGCTCATGCATTTCGGTTGCGGCCGCTTCTCGTTTATTTGCCAGGTTTGAACCATCATTTGTGCGCCGAACGAATTTGTCGATCATCTGCTGACCTCCACCATTATCTGCTAACTCTTTCTCTTTCTGCTTCTTTGGTTTCCCATGAGCTGTGTACCCCGCGTTCAGTGTTGTATCGGAAACCTCCAGGGCATCTCCCACCGTGGGGCCGCCAAGATTCTCTGCAGCAAGCATCGGAGCCAAGGTTTCGTCGATAAAAGTGTTCAAGGAGCTCCTGAGACTCTCAAATTCCCGTTCTAGTACTTTGCTTCTCGTTTTTTGTTGACTTAACACCTCCTGGGCTACTTGTGAGGGTGTCTGTTCTTGCTTCCGGGCGTTGGCATTGCGAATTCGTTGGAGTCGTTCTCCAAGTCCATTTGCAATCGCACGTGAATCTCGCAAGTTGGCCTCTTCGACACGAAGCTGCTCACGATCTGCAGATAATCTCTCCGCCGTCACTGATACGAATCCTTTGCTTTCTTTAATGAGTCGGGAAGTCTCTTCAATCGCTATGAGCGAAGGCAGAACGGAGTCTGTAACTGGAAGATCTTCTTCAGCCTGGAGCAATGAGTCATAGGCTCTTTTAGCTCGTCGTGCTTCCGAAACACGTGCCCATTGGTCTTTTTCGCTCTCTAAGAGGCCATGAGAGCGAATCTCCCGAAGCTAGAGAGAGATGTTAGCTAAAGATGACCGAAATCTGGATGCTACATATCCATACCTTCCTTAGCTCATCTTCCTGGCGTCGGACTTGCTCCTGGAGCTCCCGTAGGGTTCCATCTAACCGTCGCGCATAGGCATGCAGGGCGGTTGCACTAAGAGGTTGGCTGGTGGACTCTTTCTCCGCTGCAGCACGATTCGCAGCAAAATTCTGGATGTTCTGCAAGTTCTGTTCTGGAATATCCATTTTTATGTATCTTGCAGACTCAGAAAGGAATTAATCTGAGAAGGTCATTCAAGGTCTCAGGGTAGGGGAAGTACAGAACCGCGTCGCGTTGATACCACGTGACGTAGCTGGTTTGGGTTTAGCCCGAGTAACAGGTAACGAGTAAGCTCAATCACTCCGCTTCATCTCTCTCCATCACCCCCTTCTCGTCCCAATCCCCGAGCTTCTCTGGTTTCTTTTTCTTATTTCGTGTCTTCTTATTCTCTGCGAGGCGACACTGGTTTGGAGTGGCACGGCTCTTTCTTGCCTGGTTTTTTCCTAGTTTCGCCCTATCCTTGCACACCCCCGTCGCATCCACGACCTTCTACACCTCCCTTAACCTTTTTCCGCTTTCAATCCCCTCGACTCTTTTCCCCATCCCCCGGCAATTCCCCTAGTCACTGGAAGGGAATTCAAAGCAAAAAAAGAAGATTAACAAGCTTCCCTTGCATTTTGGAAGACCCCACCATCACCATTGATCTGCGCTTTGTCGTCGACTCCACACCACATCTCTTCCTCCACTTCAGCCTCTCACCCGATCCCCTTCCCCGATCGCCAGCACCAGCACCAGCACGTTTTCCGTGGGAACTTCTGGTGTAAATAGACGATCCATAAAAGAAGAAAACAGATTTCATTCTTGACACACTCGACCTCTTTCACGTAAGTGAAGACAAATACAATACAGCACATTGTACCTATCATCATGTCGGCCTCTCCCTCCAACCTTCAATCGACTAAGCGTCCCCTCGAGGATCCTTCCTCTCCTTCGGCTCCCAACGACCAGCCTGAGGCCAAGCGACCCGCCCTGGACAAAGTAGTGCGCAGCGACGCCGAAGCCGAGACGGACGTGTCGAGCAACCAAATCCCGACTGTTGAGGGCTCGAAGGACACCCAAGGTGATACCGTGGTCCCCGATGCACCCAATGGCAAGGACCACACCGAGACTCAGCCTATCCAATCGACCGCATCTCACGGTGAACGAGCTGGCTCCCAGTCGGACCAGCACACGCCACAGGACGAGTCAAACTGGATTCACATTCGCGCGGTCATCTCCAGCCAGGAGGCAGCCACGGTGATCGGAAAGGCAGGTGAGAATGTTTCCCAGATTCGACGTCTGTCTGGCGCCAAGTGCACTGTCAGCGATTATTCTCGGGGTGCCGTAGAGCGGATCTTGACCGTCAGCGGCCTCCAGGACGCGGTAGCCAAGGTAGGTTTTGGTTCTATTCTTGCTTGAAAGACTTGGTGCTAATTATACCAGGCATTCGGACTAATCATTCGTACCCTGAACAATGAACCTCTCGAGGCCCCTTCTACTGCCCAGTCCAAGACGTACCCGCTGCGTTTGCTAATCCCTCACATTCTCATCGGCTCTATCATCGGCAAAGGTGGTAGCCGTATCCGCGAGATCCAGGACGCATCTGGTGCACGACTCAACGCATCGGATGGCTGCCTGCCGCTGTCGACCGAGCGCTCCCTCGTCATCCTGGGTGTCGCGGATGCCGTGCACATTGCGACTTACTACGTTGCCGTTACGCTCGTGGAACAACTGAAGGAACGATTCAATGGCCCTGCTGCTTCGGCATACGCTACTCGTAGCGGCGGCCCCGCCGGCGCTGTTCCTGGTGGCATGCAGGTTGCTCCCTATGTTCCTCAGCCCGCCGGCGGCCAGTACGGCCACCCCGACACCTTCAAGCGCCACAATCCTCACCCCAACCGCGCCCAAGCAGGTAACTACGGTGTTCCGTACCTGCACGGCCAACCTACCCCGGCTCCTGTTGGCCAGCCTGCCATGCCCTACGGTGCCGCGCCTGCTCCCTATGCTGGTGGTCCTCCTCATCAGCCGGCTCCTTATGTCGGCGGTCCGCAGCCGACTCCTGGTCGTGCAGGCCCGCCTGCACCGGCTCCGGTGGGAGGTGCTATGCCCGGTCAGCCAATGACTCAACAAATCTTCATTCCCAACGATATGGTTGGAGCCATTATTGGAAAGGGTGGAGCCAAGATTAACGAAATACGCCATCTTAGTGGCAGTGTGATTAAGATCAACGAGCCGCAAGAGAGCAGCAACGAGCGTCTGGTGACCATTACTGGTACTCAAGAGTGCAACCAGATGGCTTTGTACATGCTCTATTCTCGACTTGGTTCGTTACCCCTGTCTCTTCCTTCCATCTAAGATGCATTTTTATCTAACAATCAATTTAGAAAGCGAGAAGCACCGTGTCTAAGTCCAAATACTTTCCTCTTCTACCCTGGGAGCTTGGCAAATGTCGAGCCCAAAAAGTCCACGGTGGTTTACGACGATTCTATTTTTCTCTTTTTGCTATTTCCTTTCATCTTCAAACTCACACGGGTGTTGACGTTTTTCTATCCCCTTTCTTTCTCGCTGTATCTTATTCGAGGCATGTGATTGAAACATTGCCTCCTAATAACCAATCCCACGAATTTGTCCCCGTCACCCTACCCTCTATACCCGTAGCCCTGGACGTGCGTTCATCATTCCCAATCCTCTCCCAGTTGACCATCGGACACATTGAATCGTCAAGAAAGCCAAAAAGAACACCATTTCCATTCCTAAATCCAATACCTTGATTTATTAATTCACATGCCCCTCTCCATCGCTTGAAGCATCCAGCAAACCAACCCGTCACCTTTAACTAAGTCTTTTGAAAACTGACATGTTTCAACTCCAGCCCAGGAATAGCCCCCAACGACTTCTCACGAATGGGCGAGATGCTGGAAACAAACTGCTCTGTCTCTCTCGATTTATTATGCACGTCAATAGATTCCCATCCAACAACTAGCAGGTAAAGCACCGCTTGTCCACTCGGACTCTTCGCATGTTGCACTGAACCCGGCCGGTCCACATGCCCCATCGACCATGATATTGGCCTCGACCCCTCCGGGAGCTGTTTAACCAAGGCTGTCCGAAAGTCGATTAAGTTACCATTAAGCTGTCTTTTCTCTGGAACAGAGAGCGAGTCTGCAAATGATAATGTGCATAGCTCTGTTACTGGGTTGTCGATTAGTGCGTCGGCGCTGCAGAGGGGTGGACTGAGGGTTGCGTAGATTGCTTTTGGAGGTGGAGCATCTGGGTCAAGATATGGAGTGAGATGTTCGATGCTTGCGGAGGCTCGAGCGTCGGTCCAGTCTGTTCACTCAGTTAGCCATCTCTTAGTGTACTCACGTTTATGGTCGTAGACAGATGTTTGATAACATCACAGTCATTGACATCTACTCTATGCTCATAATTCTGGCTAACTCACTAATTGCCCATACTACTGTATTGTTATCCTCTGCTGAACGGCCCCATGCAGAGCTCTGATGCCCGCTTTCGTGTTGGGTGTTGCGGAATATAGACAACAAGCGTTCGCCTTCCTCGTTGGTCGGGTCTTCAGGCCGTACGGAAGGCTTCAATCTGAAGAAGATGAACTCGCTGGTTGGTTGAGACATGGGCATGCTGCAGGGAAGAATGGAATAGAGAGGGCGTGATGTCGAATATCTTGAGTGTAAATGTAAATGTAGAATGTAGGTAGTTACTCGAATTTAACGCTGATCTACATGTGATGTCACCGCGATATGATGTCAGGATTTCCGGTCTTCATTAAGCATCATGCCGGTAAACATATCAAAGTATCAAAGACTGCAAAAGGAGAAAAATAGCGGAAATACTATGTACACTCCATGAGGGGGTTCAAGAGATCGTTTCGTTCCCGTACCCATTAAACCACAAACCACGCTAGCACATGAAAAGGAGCAGCAGATGCCCAAATACCAATTCCTCTCCTCGTTCAAATAACCCAAAGATTCCCCTCTAAAATTCATCCACACCTCGAACCTTGATCTCTTTCTTTTCAATGGCCGCTTTCAGATTGCCAACGAGATGTTGACGTCGTTGCGTCTTCGCCTTCCAGCGGGCACTTTCTTCTTGGGCAACTACAGGCGCAAAGCTTTCAACACTGCGAAGGCGGCTATGTTTCGCAGAGCCATTGATACTGGCCCGGAAGCTGACGCCGCGAGAAGCAGACTCAGGGGTGTGGTAGGCACTGTTGTCGATCGAGCCACGCGAGCCAGGCGTGGTAGGGAAACGACCGACGTTCTTGCGGGGAGTAGTGTAGGGGGATCCCTCACGGCTGCTGGGGACAGTGCTCGTCATGTCGATACCGAGCTTCCGCATCTGAGCCTCCAGAACATCGATGTCACTACTCTTGTTCTCGGCCATGCTCATCATAGTGGCAATGGTCTTCGTGACAGCTTCTACTGTTGGTCGCTTCGACTGCCGCGAATCGCTATCAGCGCGAGGAACATCAGCAATCTTTGCTCTCAACAAGGAGACGCCCTGCTCCAAATCCGCCATCTTGCTCTGAATATCCGTAAAGGATGTTCGAAGATCGTGCTGCAGAGTCGCATGTTCGGCAGAAAGAGGCGCAGCGAGGATGGCTCCGGTGTCTGTGTGTGCATCTAGCGTCTTGCGAATGCTAGCGCATTGGCCACGAAGAGTCACAATGTCCTTGGTCAGCAGCTCGCGACATTGGTCGAGCTTCTCCTCCACTCCTTGCACTCGCTGCTCACTGAGAGAACAAACAAGAGCGGCAACGACCTCATCAAGCTTGCTGATGTCTTGCAACAACAGCTTTTCGTCGAGGACATCGGCAGGTTGCTCACTTTGCAGAACATTTACTAACTTCTCAACGCCGGAGGTCTGAGAACTTTGCTGATACAGGAGATACGATTCCATTGAACGAGAGTTGATACCTAGTGTATCAACCATGGAATTGATGTCGCGGTACAGTCGTTCGATCATGCCTGGAATGCCTGGCTTGGCCGTCTCACCCATGTAGTTCTGGTGAGGTAGGAATGGGTCAAGTGTAGACGCGGGCTCGATTGGTCGAGAAAGGTCTGCACGCAGTCTCTCATCCTCATCATCTTCAGAAAGAGACAAAGCTTCTTCCTCTTCCTGGCGTTGCTGCACGGCTTGTTGAGCGCGAAGCTGTTCTTCTTGAGCAGTAATACTTGCCTTCCTCAGCTGATCACCACGTTGTTGGGCGAATTGGGTCAGAGAAGCTTTGCGGGCATGTAAGGCGCTTCCAGCTGGTTTCTCATTTCGGTTTTTGAAGAGAGTACTCTTCTGTGGCATCTTGGTACGGGTAGGGCTTGGTGACCTGAAAGGCTCACGGGAACTTTGAGCTGCACGCCCAGGAGGCGGAAGGTGAGGTTGCTTGGAAATCTCACCAAACAACGTGCTTGGGGCTTGTCCTTGCTTTGGTTTCGAGAATCCTCCAAAGAGGCCTCCAGAGGAGCTCTTGTCAGAAAACCCTGCAAAAGAACTCTGTGCTGAGGGCTTGGGGCTTGGTATTTCCGTCTCGTCATGCGTAATCTCCTCGCCACTGTCAGAAAATTCGGATTCATCTGCATCCTCCTCGGCGTCTTCCTCTGAATCAGCGTCCGACTCATCAGGAACAGCCACAGCCTCTTCCGAAAGAGTAGATTTAGACTTTGATGTCACGAAATCTGGGGGTAAGGGCGCGTCTTCGGGAACAGATGGCTTATCCTCGGCCTTTTTAGGCTTACCCAAGAAATTCGGAGGAAGTGGAGCGTCCTCAGCCTTGATGAGGGACTTATTCTGCGACAAGGTATCTAGTGAAAGTGGGGCTTCCTCGGCCTTTTTAGGCTTGCTCAGGAAACTCGGAGGCAGTGGAGCGTCTTCAGCCTTGATGAGGGATTTATTCTGGGACAGGAAGTCTGGCGGAAGTGGTGCGTCATTCTTGTCATCCACTTTGCGGGAGGATTTCTTTTGAGCAAGCAAATCTGGTGGAAGTGGTGCATCTTCATCTTTCGGGGCAGATTTCTTTGGACCAGTAAAGTCAGGTGGGAGCGGAGCATCCTCAAGAGAGCTTTTAGACACATTAGAAGATGCTGATGTATCGCCAGGTGCGTAGCTATCCCTGCTAGTAGCATCGGGGGGCAATGGTGTATCGAAGGAGGAGAAAGTAGGTGTTGAAGCAGACTGCTCTCTCTTCGGTGTCGCAGTCTTGTCTGAAGGCGCCGAAAGAGGGCTTGTAATTTGATCTTGAGCTGGGGACTGGTTGGTGTTTTGAGTAGCCGTATTGTTTCCAAACATGGAAATACTTGACTTTGTCCTCTCGATGGAGCTAGGGTCCTTCGGTTCGGCCTCGGACGCAGGCTTCCCAAACATGGATGTGGTGGTTATCGGCTTTCCGAATGCTGATGTTGTAGTAGCAGGTTTTCCAAATGGATTCGTAGTGGCAGACGATGGCTTTCCAAATTCCGAGGTGGTAGCAGGCGATGGCTTTCCGAATGCCGATGTTGGAATAGGTGTTGGTTTTCCAAATGCCGATTCTGTAGCAGGCTTCGGCTGTTCGAACGGCGATGAAGTGGCAGTCGAATTCCCAAACATAGATGTAGCTTGAGTAGTCGGCTTACCGAACATAGAAGTTGGTTCAGTCTTCACTGGCGGTGCTGCGGAATCAGCGGTAGAATCCTCCACATCATCCATGGACTCAGGTTGGGGGCTTGTCTTGCCAGATGAGACCATATCATCGAAAGATCCACCAAAAGAGAAGGCCCCCGAAGACTTATTGTCAGACTTCGGGAGATCGCTAGCAGCTGTGCCATCGGGTTTGAAGGAAGAACCAAGTGTGAAGCCAGAGGTGCCGCCGCCAAAGGGATTCTTCACCTCATTAGACGGAGGAGGGAATGCTGTGTCCGTTTGTGGCTTAGCTCCAAACGGCGAAGAAGCTGGCGCTGCGGCAAAAGCGCTTTGTCCCGCAGGCTTACCAAAAGGCGATTCAGCGGGCTTGGATGCTGCAAGGCTACCAAACCCACCTCCACCTCCCCCACCAGAGAAAGCACCGAAACCGCTCCCTGTAGAGCCAGATCCGGTCCCGAGGAGTGACTTTCCAGGAGTACTGGGCTGTCCGAAAGGAGACGCTGTGACACCTGCAGCACCGAATCCAGACTTGCCAAACTGTGCTTGACCCAGTGTACTTGTTGAGCCAAACCCAACACCGGGCTGAGAAGGAGTTCCGAAGGAAGGTTTGCCAAAAGCTGGAGTTGAGCCTCCATTCACTTGAGAAGGGCTACCAAACGATGGCTTCCCAAATGCTGTTGCTCCCATGGTAGACGACCCCATGGCAGATGGGCTTCCAAAAGAGGCACTACCAGATGGCTTACCGAAGGCAGATGAGCCCATAGCAGATGGGGTGCCAAAGGAAGATTGTCCAAAAGCAGGTTGCTGGGGCGCTGGGGCGGGAGTTGGAGGTTGAATTTGGGAGGTTGTCATTGATGCCTGGGGAGCTGAGACCAGACCAGAATATGGAACTTTCTGACGAATGGCATCAGAGTAAAGGAACCACCAGTGTGAGAGGATACCGTCATTGTTTAGTAGAAAAAGGCCAGGCAGAGGAGTTGAGCTCTCTGATATGTCCTCACCTGCAATGGGTGCAATGACAGTTTCACTGCAAGAAAGGTCCGCAGCCAGACCGATCACGGAGGTTTCATCAACGGAATCTTTCAATGGAACGGATGCTCTCTTAGCATCATCATTAACTTCTGTGGTCGTGAATTGATTAACAAGGGCTTTGGAAGCATCGTCACTGGCAAGTGGCTTATCAGATCGGGTGATAAGACCAACGTCAGTTGAGGCAGTGGATGAGACAATCAAGACGTCCTTCAAAGCAGGCTTATAGTCTCGCAGTCGTACGGTGAAGTTATATGCCGGCGAGCGGTTCATCGCAAAGCCCATGGTGGAGCAAATTTCGGGCAGTTTCTGAATGAGAAAAGGAGCCTGCTTTCGTCTCGTGATGATGTAGTAAGAAGAAGGCGGGTTTTGTCCAGTGCCATCGTCAGTGGCATTCGGGGTGTAGACCATGAAAAACACATCGTTCTCAAGCCAACAGACAGAGGAAACTATAACATTTTTGTTTAGCAATTTCACTGCACAATGAAATCAACATGTGAGAGCTTACCATGGCAATCACCCTCCAGATCAGATGGACGAGGAACAACGTCCTTCTTTGTCCCATCTGGGGTCATCTGGTCTGCTGTTCCATCTACCAATCCAGCCACCAGCTGTTTTCCCTTGTTGCTCCACGCCACGCTGCTAACTCCATTCCTGAGGATTGGACCATTGGCACCTGAAACCATATTTCCAGCCTTCAAGTCGACAACCAGAAGCTCACCATTGGCAGTGACAAGGGCAACGAAAGTAGAGTTTGGGTCTGGGTTGGGCGCAAGTGCCCGAATCGATGCGCCGTTGGTAGGGATGGAAATGGACGGCTGCGAATTCCCTTGGGTAATGTCGGTAGTCTTAAAAACAGATATGTGGGAGCCATTTTCCGTGGCTAGGATCAAAGCATCGTCGTTTGCAGTAAATGCCACATGTGTAGGTCGCGCGGGGAGAGGGATAACAGCCTGCGGCTGGAACGGTTTTGTTTTTACTTTATCCTCTCCTGATGGTGCCTCGATAGCCTTTCTGATAGACTCGGTGCTTGCGATCACAAGCGCGTCTGGGCCGGCACCAACAACCACTCCTTTGCTCTGGGCGACAGCTAGGAGAGAAGAGGTCGGGGAAGGAAGGGAATCTTCGGGCCAAGGAGTAGGTAGTAAACGAATATTCGCATCGCCGGAGAGACCTTTAAATCCAACTTCCTAGACGCGGTGTTAGCCCAGGACCCTTCACGAGTATCATTCAAGCTTATTTGGAGTACATACATCTGTGAAGACATCGGATAGCTCTGGTCCTAGCTCGGCTCCGGCGTGCGATTGCACCAGGTTGAAAGCCATTTTGAGTCGATGATGGTCTGCGGAAACCGTACGAGGAGAGTCGCCTAAAGGTGAATTTGTTCTCGAAGCATTGAGCGATGGTGAGCTCGGCGGCGTAGAAGAGAAAGAGCGTCGGGGGAGTGCTTGCGGACTCCGGTTAAAAAGCTGCAGAGTACGCGCAAAAATCGTGACGCAGTCTCTTCCCAGAAGAAGAGAGGGATGTAAGGATCCTGGTAGGTCCGCGATGGGATGAGTGAAACGGCCAGGTCTCGACGGGGAAGGTGTTTGAACGCCCGAAAATGTTGAAGGCGAAAACACGCGGTGGTTATCTGTTTGCCTTGCGGGTCAGGCACCAACACAGTGAGCTTCAACAGCTAAGACGACGATGAGATCTTCAAGACACTGAGATAAATCGTATTTTCGTTTAAAGTACGGGATGGGACAGATTTATGGCTTTAAGTACTTCTAGATAAAATAATTTTATTCATCTTTCACATCTCTCTTTACACCTGATGCATGCTTGAGCTGGTTAACTATGCAGTTTGGGCCCACTCACCGCCTTCCATCCACTTAGGTAAACTAGGCTGCGGGAGCTTCGTCACTTCAAACAGCTCCCGACTTCCTCCAGCTTGCTCTCATCTACTCTCTCCTCGAGCATTCCTCTTCTACGCCTGTCATCGACTTCGCTAGACAGCAGAAGACATCCCTTTGCCGCCCGTCAACTAGCCGTATCTTTCCCAATCGAACCACCCCTGCATTGTCACGATGCCAGGCTTCGACTTCTCCAACTACAACCGCAACGCGGCTCTTCACGCCAGAGGCGTTCCCCTTCCCAAAGCTACCAGCACCGGTACAACAATCGTGGGGTGCATTTACGATAATGGTGTTGTGGTAGGTCACCCAGAATCCAACAAAGACAACCATGATGGGCCGGAAGCTGACATGATATCCGGGGAAACTACAGATTGCAGCAGATACCAGAGCCACCAGCGGGCCCATAGTAGCAGACAAGGTATGAGCACAAACTTCAAATAGCACGAAAAAGCGTGACCAATTCTAGACCGCTGACCGACGATCCTACTCGGGAATATAGAACTGTGAGAAGCTCCACTACATCGCCCCAAAGATCTGGTGTGCCGGTGCCGGTACCGCCGCGGACACTGAATTCACCACTGCGCTGATCAGCTCAAACGTCGAACTGCACTCCCTATCGACAGGCCGCGACCCTCGTGTGATCACCTGCATGACTATGCTGAAGCAGCACCTCTTCCGGTACCAAGGCCACATCGGCGCGTACCTGGTCGTTGCGGGTGTTGACCCTACCGGAGTTGGTTTGTACACTGTGCACGCGCACGGTTCCACAGATAAGTTGCCGTACGTGACCATGGGATCCGGATCCTTGGCCGCTATGTCAGTGTTTGAATCGATGTGGAAGCCGGATCTTGACAAGGCCGGGGCCGTGGAATTGTGTGCAGAGGCTATCAAGGCTGGTATTTTCAATGATCTGGGATCTGGTAGCAACGTTGACGTCTGTGTCATTGAGAATGACAAGCCTACTCAGTTGATGCGCAATTATGAGAAACCCAATGAACGTGGACACAAGGAGCGGAACTACCGCTTCCCTCGTGGTACCACTGCTGTGTTGAATCAGAAGATTATCACAAAGGAGGATATGAAGAAATATGTCACTATTGAGACACTTTCTGGGGACTCTAACCTCGCGGGAGATATGGAGGTTGACAGTTAGAGGGAGGCTTAGGGTCCAGGCGATGTGCAGGCTAGTGGTCTTACTTTCCGGAGGCGATTTAATATACACTGGGCTTGTGTCTCATTACCGACTTTGTATTCATGAAAGACGATTAGCTCGATCTTGGTTGAGTTCTACAACTGAAGTTTTCGAGCCTATCAATGAAATCAATCATTCTCCTTTACATTCACGCACGTCACTTGGAATCAAAGACACATATAATTAGCACGTTGGGAAGGATGAACAGGGTATTATGCATTTGGTCATCTCGAAGGACGACGTTTTGGTATCTCTAATTTACATATTTAATATACGTGCAGAGGGTGGTAGTCAGTCCCCGTAAAACCTAGTCATGGTACGAGCTGTGACTCGACCGGCCAATTTGCGGTGCTTCATGAAGCTCTCTAACAACGTCCTGCCCTTCAAACTTGCCAATAATCCACATAATATACTCATACTGAGTACGCGAGATACGGCGTCCTTCACGGCGATACCGCACTACACCAGCATGGTACATGGCCCGCACCAAGGATGGGTAAACAGGCCCACCATGCTTGCGAAGGTAGTCGTAAAGCCAGTGAATGAGGTGGAATGAGCGGGAGGGAGTCAAGTGCTGACAGCAGGATAACGAAACAGCCAATTGGTGAATGAATTCGACTGCGGCGTAGGGATCAGGGCACATGCTATCCCGTGGTCCGGGATGGTAGCGCACGAGAACTTTCTCATCTGGGTGTGGGATTGGTACCCAAGCCTTGTGAAGACACAACTTGAAAGGCGTATGATTTCCCAAGAGTCTGGTGATCGACCATACGCTCTTTGAATCGCCTACTCTTGCAAGACGAAGGCATTCACCGATAGTCTCGGCACTCAGAAGATCCAGCCGATTGAACATTTGTTCAAAGGAGCCATGAAAAAGGACTCGGACTCCATTGTAGGTAGCTGGGTCTGCCCAGAGATTGGTCAAGGATTTTTGGGAGGTTTCAAGTTGTTCGAGGGTTTGGCGGGTGGTTTTTGTGACCAGTTTCCTCAGTTTGAGGTCAACTGCAAGTAGAAGTAGGCCGTTGTATGGCAAATTCAGGCCGTGAATGCCATTCAACAAGTCTGCAAGGAAAGTTCCTCTTGTTTGCGACGCAGTGGTTTCGTAAAGGCTGAGCAATAAATAGATGGATTGATCAGTTGCTTTAGCATGCGAATGATACATGGGTCCCATGGCTCGACTCAGCGAGCGCAATATCCATAGGCGAAGCAGAATCTGATGTTGGATAGGTAGGGTGGAATTCGTAGGTAAGGTAGCCAATGTTTCGCTTTGGTTTTGAATATAGGCCAGCGCTAGATCTGACCATGTTTGGGAACGTGCAATAGCCGAAGCATCAGTCATTTTCAGTAGGTAATCTCGCCACTGCTCAAGCCGTTGGTTCCGATTCTGCTTCTGCTCAATAGAGGCCAGGCGTTCGGTGACATAAATCAAACAATTCGCAGCACAGTCAGGGTCCATTCGGTTTAACAAAGACACCGGGAATTGAACGGATGTTGTCGGAATATCTTGGCTGAATTTGTCCAGCCACGTTAAGATAAAGGTCGAAGGCCAATAGACGTCATGGCTGGCACCGTGGGTTGCGATGATAATCTCGTCAGCGAAACGAAAGTCACCAATGTTCATAAGCTCCCCAAGCCAGGCATCTACAATCTTTTTATCCAATTCACCGTAGCCTAGGATGCTGCAGCGTCCGATGGCCTGCCACATAGCACGGTAGTGCTTCAGCAATGCTTTTTTGTCCCATGCGGCCAAGGTCTTGTTTCGCTCAACAATGATATCTGGGAGAGCTTTTATGATCATGCAGATTTCATCTGAGGCAATTAATCCCAGCTCGAGAGCACGAGAAATTGCATTCAGCACGGCAATTCGGCTGGATCGCTTGATTTTTGTCCGCCTAAACAGATCCACCGCAGCAAGGTAGTTGCCGGCTCCCCAAACATTCAAAAATGGGTCATCCAGAAACTGGATCACTTGTGTCAAGTCTGTCGTTGAGCGCATAAGCAATCTGTCGAATATTTGACGGCTGTATTCCGGCTCTCGGTGCAGGTCGATGCTCAACCGACGGGCGAAATCTTGAGCATCCTCAATCCCCCAGTCTTTCCCTTCTAGGAATTGTTGAAAGATCTGCGCCTTGGTTGGCTCGTTTTCTTCCCGAGAGATAGAAACTTGTTCTTCAGGGATGCGCCGGTTAATAGGTTCAGGATTATGGTCGTAAAACGGAAGTGAAGTCTCGACAGTTGCGAAAGCGTAGCTACTCAAGTCTTCCGAATAATTAGTTTGCTGAGTCCAATTTTACTGAATTCGTTCACTCAGGTCCCACTCACCTTGCATATTAACACGCGGTCTCTGCCACGAGTGATCCGTCCACTTCATATGTTCTCGCCCATTGCGCCCAAAAAGACACGCGATGTCTTCTGCTTGAGATGCTCCGAAGCCAGCCAGTGCTGTATTCCGGCGCCGGGCAAGTCTTCTTCGCGCCTCCAGTGGTCCGGGGACACAACTGCCATGTCGTCGTTGACCGCTGGCAAAGCGACGAAAGGTTGCCGCGAGCAAATCGTCACTGATCCATGGATGATCGAGGGTCGGACCTGAGGGGGGTTTTAGAGCATGCCTGTAGGCATGCCTACTAAAAGACATGGATTATGGTTGGCATATGCGAGCCAATTGAAGTGTTTGGGGGGCCCTGTATCTCCGAACATTGACATTTGGATGCAGCTTTGAGTGATTTCTTGGCGCTTCTGACTAAGCCTCCAGACCAATGAGAACTCATCAATTTACTAGCAGTTGAAGTACGTATCCATCGCGATAACTTTTGGAACTTATGAAATTTTATAGTTGAATTTGTGAATTATAGTTTGATCATGCATAAGAGACGTAGTACCTTTATTGCTCGTCCATAGATTATTTTGCAATCATGTCTGGAGATTCAATGCAGTTCGATCGATGCAACATAGGTAAGCATGAAAATGATTCGTGAATGGGAATAAGAGAAGCGGAGTGTAAAATGAATAAGGTAGAAGAGAATAAACAAATAACAAAGTAGTCAAAACAAAGCCTGACGCCAATGCAATGCATGCAACATGCTGTTCGCCTACCAATGGTATATTATGCCAATTGTCTGAGCGAAGACATTATCGAACGGTGTTTAGGACATATCATCATCATGAGAAGGAAGATGCGAATCTTCTCCCAGTAGTTTCGTCAAGGCGTCGTGGAAATTGGCTTTCGGCCTGTTACCACATAGTAATCCATGTAGGCATGAACACTCCGATCCTGTATACTCTTCCTGACATCAACAAGAAAGACTTCAATCTCAGGCTTCGACCAGCCCAGAGCAAGAAAGGGCTTGTATGACCAGCCTGACAAGGCTTCAAGCCAATTATTCTCATTCCAGTCCCCGATGACCTTCAAATGCTCATCGGCAGGCCAGTTGTTTGTCGGGATTTTGAATTTCCGTTGTTCAACGTCCACAAAGCCCACATCCTTCATCCACTTCTCAATGCGATGAGCAAATCGGAACTGTCGACATGGCTCAATCTCCTGGCTAGATCGCATGTTCAAATCAAACCAGTCGTGCAGAGCATACGCACTGAACCCGTCTGGGTTCTCTGGTGGCATGGTGCCGTCATCACATCTTGGTTTCGGATCTGTTTCCTGGCATTCGATGTATCCACCTGGTTTGAGATGCTTGAAGGATTGTCGTAATACTTGTTTGAAAGATGCAATGGCACCTGACATGTGACTGATGTGAACATAGTCGAAATGATCTGCATCCCAGAGCCATTCTTCTTCTGTAGCGTCATCTACCAGGAAGTGAACGTTCTCTGGGACCTCTGTGGGCTGCACTGGGGAAAGGTCTGTTCCTGTGATGGTGGTATTCGGGAAAAATGTTGCTGATTTGAAGAAGCATTAGAGATCGGGAATGGTACACAAATCGACGTAGTCCAGGAACGGAGATGCGTACCCATTTCTATTGGCCATATGCCAGAGCCAGTGCCAACATCGAGGATTTGTTGCGGCTGTTCAAGAGGAACATGATATAATTTATTTTTCATCACCAATTTGTACATATGATGTGCCATGTCCAGACGATCAAGCTCCTGCTCATCATTGGGATATAGATATGCTGAGATTATTGTTAGAAACACTCCAAAATCCGTGCACATGCGTATCTGAAGGACAAACCTCCTTCATGGTATTTGTGATAACGTCTCCCATTCTCGACGGGATAGTCTGTTACACTGTCTGTCAAAGACTGCGTGTCGCTATCATTATCTCATTAGTCAATCTTCAGGAATGGGCAGAGACAAATGCCAGTCAGACAAGATGGTCATACCATTCACTTTTTGGTTCCTGCATATATCATGTTAGCATTGAGCATTTCTAAGCAAGGGTGAAGATGATGGAATTGGCAACCAATAAGCGAGTACTAAGCAGCACTTCTCCTGGACTACCATGGAATCATTAGATGAAAGCTTACAGAAGACTTTGGGCTCGTCATGGCTGCCTCAGGTCTGTGTCCAGTGGGATAAACCAAGGCAGATGAGAGGTTGCAGGCCAACCCTAAAGAGGGTGGAATAGGAACGGCACAGATTGGCTCCAAACCGGCAGCAACGCTTAACTCAAATTGAAGAAAAGCCGCAAAGGAAAGCGAAACAGAAACACTACCCCAGGAGGAATTTTGAAAAATGAGCGCTTAATTCTCGGTCCCACCAGCGGGATTGGCGCGAGTTCTATAGTCACTGATGGCGGGGGAGCACCGGAAGGAATTGAGCCAGAGGGAAGCAGGGGAATTTAACGACACTCCATTTGCGGTCCCACACTAGATCGACATTTTTGGGTACTATCCAGAGGTCGTGGGAGGGGCGTTCGGAGTAAAAGAATAAAAAGTAAAAAACAAAATAAAATAAATAAAAATTGGGGCAGGGTGGAATGTATTTGGGGGAAAGGTTGTCAGTTCATCGAGCCCGACAGCTCGGGTTAAGTTATAATTTGGCAGGACGGGAAGACGATCCGGGCAACTATAAATCAAATGCTGGCAAGCTGCCGGGGTGGGATCGACATTAGAAATGTCGCAACAACCAAGGCCCGCAAGGGTGGGGAGTGGAGTACAAGGGCGTGCATGGATGGGGTACAAAGTTGAGCCAGACTATACCAGGTGGGCATGGACGTCAGAGTGTCGGGCTGAGAGTTTTTTTAGCGGGGAGGCGCTTCGGGCGGACAACCATGTAATAATTTCCAAAATTTCCAGGACACGAGGGGTTGTTTAGGGTTAGAATCGAAGTATGGTTTCTTTATGAGGGTTTTCCCCCGTCTTGTGTTGGAGGGAAGAATGAGGAAGAAGAGTAGAGGAGGTGATCATTTCAAGTAATGAATTGAGTCTTAAGTTTTTATGAACGAAACAGAAGATAGAAAAATAAATTAAAGAAAAAAGCGAGAAATCATATTGGGGAGCGGAGACTGGAAATACGTTGTACACGATACGCATATAAAACGCCCAAATCCTTTCCTTGTTTTGGTGGTTCGAGCGCAGCCGATCCCAGCGACGTTCGGATTGGAATCGGCCCCTGCCCTCTATACATGCAATGATTTTCTTTTTTTTTTTAACCAAAAAAAAAAGCCCGGACACCAGGCCCGGTATTACAGAATACTGGGAAAAATCACGGATTATAAGTTTTACGTGAATATTTCTTCCGTTAAGATTTGAGCTCGTAGATCCTTAAGGACCGGGCATTTTTCAGAAAAAAATTTTAACTGGTGAGAACACTATTCAGATTTTATTTTATTAATTTCCGTGAAGGAAATCAAGTTCCCAAGGAGTCTTGAGCTCGGAGAACCAGATTAGCCAATAATCAGCGGTTCCAGTGGTTTGGGAATTGGCGACTGAACTAACCAAGGGCCGCTTTTACCCTTTATCCTGGGAATCTCCGCCGGGAATCTGGGAGGGAAAAAGGAAAACACGCTTCTCCTCAAACAGGTGTGCATGAACGCTGCATGGTTGATCCTGGACGCCATTCGTTTCCGACAGTTTGGTTCCTCCGTGAAAGAAAAGAAAAATAGAAAAAAAAAAAAATTTCTCGTTTTCGTGTGCTGGATCGAGCGGGTATGACCCAAGATGATAACAAATTCCTCTGATCGACCACTGGGAACCTTCCCAGCCCCGCAGTAGCAATGGTGGACAGAAAGCCCCAGTGGAGCTGTCAGGGATCCCGATTTCCATACTCCATCCAAAAGGGGATGCTATTTAGCGAATGCTACAATGTCTGAAAAAGATAGCCTCGCTACTATGTCTAAGCCTGACAGCTTCTTTCTTTCTTTGTTCCTCTGTCTCGGGTCTTAGAAGGGGGTATACATGCTCCCATGTGGCGGTATGGAAGAAGGCAACAGGACTAACATGGAACTAGCTTAGTTGGAATTGTTGCAGGAGAATTGCCCCTCCGCCTTCGGAATACTAGCAAGTGCTCCGCTTGATTTAGTGTCTTTCGTTCTAGCGGTGGACAAGTTGATCTGTCAGAATTAGCGTCTCGTGCGGACTCAAATCTAGACACTTGACCCCCTCGGTCGCTCAATCTGGCAATTTATGCTGTAGTCAACGTATGAGATCGCTTATTTTCTATTATGATCGATTATTCATCGACGATTGGGTGTATCCAAGAAAAAAGGAAAAAGCAAGGAAAAAAACGCAGGTAACTTTATAGGTAATAAAGACACAGAGAAAACTCACGGACCACACGTAGGGCGGGGGTTTTCAGCGGGATCTGGAACCTGCACCGGACGGAACAGCGAAATGCTCCGACGATTCGGGATTTGGGAGTGTACCCCTGTCTTTTGGGCCCCCAAAAAACTCCTGGCCTCGTCATTGAAAATGGGTATCAACGGTAACAGTATGTGTAGGATTTCTCGGAGTAGGGCGAGACTTAGGGATTTTCTACCTTGGTAAACCCAGTTTCGTGGAAGTGCTACGAAATGTCACAGAGCCAGGCCATGGTCCAAGAACAGTTTGATATGATTAGCATAATCTGCGAACCGCCAGACTCCATAGGTCACCCGTGGACAATTTGGATGGTTGGCATCTTATACTGTCGACGTGCATGAAGACTCTCGTGTCTTCGGGTTACCCCGAACTGACTAAAATAAACAATGCACTATACAGGGTAAATCCTAGGTGAACAAAATCAAATCTAGAAAGATCAGCAAGAAGACAAAAAATTTAGGGAAAAAAAGACATTTAGTATCAGAACCCTGTAATAGTTCCAGAAATAACCAGGATTATTCCCATGGCGCTGGGATTCCATTCAAAGGGAACCCCAGGGGCTTTGTTAGCAATCGGACGAGTCAAAACCATTCTGGCCGACCCGACTGCTGGGAAAGTGTTCGGGTTCCAATGTGTCGGTACCGCCAGCGCAAGAGCCATTTCCCCAAGAGCGGGTTCCTAGAAATCCAGGTATTTCTGAAGAAATGCGTTCAGTTCAATTTACATTGTTTGAGGTCGGATTGAGCAATATTACAAATTTCTGGTTAATAAGTTATCTGCAAATTTGGTCCAGGGTCTCTCCGCAATGGAGACAGTCATTCGGTTGGGAGTAATTATGTCTTGAATAATCCCAACAGGGTTCCTAGATTGACTCCTAATTGAGAACCTGGTTTAGCCATTCTTTCATGCCTAAGTGGAACCAGCGATCGGTTCGGTTCTTCTTCGGCTGGACGAACGATGGAAATGAAAGGGATCCTGGGTCTAATTCGTTCCCTGTCTAGCTCATAATTACTCCACAAATGGGAATCTCTCTCCAGCCGAGATAAAAATTCCAGGTTACACCAGGTGGCCGGCTCCGGGCCCTTGCGACCATTCAGAGTCCCCTGCAAAATCAAGAGGCTGAGAAAAAAAGCGGATGCGATCATGTACAGAATTGATATTGAGATATTCCCTTGCCATGCAGGAATTTACGGAGCACTTAGCCCTACAAAGTGTCCAATGATAAACGTCCGGGTATTCGGTTAACGTGTGACTATCCATCCTCAAAGCACTTTAGTGAATGCGATAATATATAGCATTACCAAAAGATATAGTACATTGTCATTTGGCTATTTGAATTAAACATTCTCCGTATATGGATTCTTGAATTATTAGCCTGTAGGAATAGATCAGAGCTTGTCGGTGTTGTACACCCATGAAGATGATATATATAAAATATCTAATTATAGGAGGCATTCACGAAATTTTTGGCTGTTGAAACATCACGTAATTTATGGCATTCAAGATGTCTCCCGCTTACCGAACATTTGGGCACTTTACGTCGGTGTGCTTAGGCTCGCATTTAGACCGAGATCAACCACTTCCAAGGTTGTTTGTTTACCTTTTTGAGCCTACTGAAACATTGATTGATCTCGGAATCCTAGTCCTTCGGCCGAACGATGCAAGCCCCAAACCTCTCCTCCACTAAAAACACCCAATTCAAAGGGCTACGTGGCCCACAAAATTAAAAAAAGGTTATAAATTCTGGTGGTAGGTTGTCGACCGCTTTGCAGTGACAAATACCACAAAGTTCTCCACAACCCGGCCCCTCATTGGACCAAAGCGGCTACGTCCATCATATTTTTTTTTGACGACGACTTCCACAGAACGAAGACACTAGTCTACAATGGCAGGTCATAACCATGGTTCTGGCTGTTCTTGGGGACGCGAAACCCATTCTGCTGCGGGGGTTTGTTGACGATCAGCTGTAGAGGCCACACGCGCGGAACATATTTAGTTAGCCATCTCGGCTAAGAGCACGTTCCAGCTGGGCCTATGGGGAGGGCGCACGAACTAAACTAGACTTCGGAGGTGGAGGGGCCTCATCATCTCGCTAGACGTACTGTAAGCATGGAACTTGAAACAAGAAAGAACGAGCGAAATGCGAATATATACAATACAGTAGAAAAAAAAATTAGGAATCAAAATAAATGAAGAAAAAGATAAAAAAAGCTCACAATTTGGAATTTGGAATTCAGTGTGCCGTAACTCTATCATCAGTATACAGGTACGATTACTTTGAGTGGAGCCAAGGGCCAATCGGCATGCTGGGACAGCGAGGTCATGCATGAATGACACGGGCACTTGCTGTCAAGTGCGTAACTAAAAATTGGCTGTAGATCAGGCGCGGCTACTGTAGGACGGGCATACAGATTCTAATTGCTAACCAATGAGACTGGTGATTTGCAACTTTCGAGATCTGCGAAGAGATCCGCGGAACAAGACCCGCCGAATAGGAGAGGTTTCAGGCGGCTCTATGAACCAAGGAGAGCCAATGATAGGTAGTGAGAGGCGAAAATAATTTGTCATTGTCTAGGTGGATAATATATTTTCAAATCGCTCGGACCATTGTGCCCAATGACGAGGATATTGAGATGGGAACAAGAAGGGATGCCAACAGCAAAAAATAAGATACATGTATAAAGGAAAAAAAAAAAAAAAAAAAAAAAAAAAAAAAAAAAGCCCCTTTCTCCAAAGAAAACATCCCAACATTTCAACATTCTCCTTGCGCCTCTTAATTTGACTAGAGTCAGTGGCGATCTTCCAAGCTACTGACACGTCGATCTCCAAGGTTTTAACTTTTGGCCTGCTACTTTATCCCGTTCATAGAAACTTGAGCTTCGGAGTCACCGATCGGGGTCGGAATAGCATTACCTGTATACATGGTTTTAATTAAAATATCTGTTTGGGCATATCCCTTGCTGATGTATGAGTGCGGCCCAACCTCATCAGCTCGGCCACATCAAGAACTCAGTCCGAAAATTGTCTCCAGAGCTCCAGTGACCTTCTCAGGCATCAGCGAAGACAAGGCCCACAACGCCTCCTAGGAGAATGTACTCCATGATGACATTCACTGGAAACAACTCAAAATTGAGTCGTTACTTGGATTTCTCCAAATCTTGTTCCATCACAAGTCACAATTTCCCTGCCGGTAGTTGAAAAGAGAAATGATACTTCCAACTGGAACGAAATGCATGCTTAAAAATTGACTTGGACGCGAATTATGTATTGTATGCCCCAAAAGTCTATAAGAGAGGTGTTCTGAGTCAGGCTACCGAAGCTCGCAGAACTATCTTGGTAAACTTCCAACCTTGGGATATAGAGTGGAGTCGTATACATATGGACTGAAGAGTAAGACAACATTGGAAGTTGAACATTTGAATATGATATAAGGACGACATAGAGAAACCCTAAAAGTCTCGCTCGTAATATACAACATTTGGTGTTCGGTGCTCGGAGAAAAGTGTATAATATTCGAGGTCCACCACTATGATTGAGCCAAGGCTATACTGTAGTTATCAACCTCTGGCCAGGTGCTAGGCGGAGAACCTCGAGAAAGGCTCACTTTTATACTTACTAAATTCCTCCGTCGAAGTATAAGTTTTTAAAGGCCCAAGCTCATAGAATTCGATATTTAGCACATTCTAAATATTAGAGTACAGGTATATCAAGATACGGTGCCCTAAATGACTAAACCAGCTATCCAAATGATATACCCAAGTAGTGCAGGCACTGGTTAGAAAATAAATCATCAGGCAGTAACTAAAGGTGTCTCTCGCCTGCTCTCACCTGCTCTCTCCCCATTCCTATTGTTTACTTATCTTCCACCTCGCTCGCGTTTCCTTCAATTCCAGAAGAAAATCCTTGAAACTACGTTTATCAATTAGGTGCCTCTTTATATGTAGCAGAACAAGCAGATACCCGGAACCAGATACTATGCTGCGCATTAGCCACTCGCTTACATGAGATGAATTTATGAACATGCCTCTATGGAAAATTCACTAAAGGAAACATGAAAGGAAACGTAGCAGTATCATTTAGTAACAATGTCAATGGGTTCCTTCAGTGGGTCGTTTGGATCTGAGCGGTCGGATAAACACGGGCGCCGCAATGACGCATCACGGCCCCACCAATCAACAGAGCAATTAAACCCTTTTGATCTGAGGCTTCATTGCTATCTATTTTGTTATATGTGCTTTCATGCTCGATGCTCCTGCGGTCCATCCGAAAGACACGTCATATCTGACCCAGGGACGCGCAGAGCCCCACTACAAACTAGGAACTCGGGCTTGGCTCCTTGATGCGCCTCCACGCATCAGCTAGGCATGGCACGCCAAACCCCAGCCCGCTCCACTCGAAGCAGGACAACGCATAGCCATCAGCACAATAATAATACTTCGCCTCAAGACCAGGTTCCAAAAATCTATCAAGAAATGCTAGATGAGGCTGAAGCGCGAGACCCCGAGCAATTCCATTTGGATAGACCAACCAAGAGACGCAGAGTTGGAGATACCAAAGCAATTCCTATCAACACTCCAGCGTTAAAACAGACCGGCAGTGTGGACTATGCAACTCCAGACAAAAAAGACACTCAACAAGTACAAACCGTTTACGACTCAAGTACAGAAGACGAGTCGGATATTGAGTGGGAGGATGTGGATATCCAGCAACCGGTCCAGGAGCCTCCCAGTACAAGTGCTGTATCACAGGGAGGAGACGAGACCCTTCAAATCATCTTCGATAAAGAGCCTAAACCCCAAAAACAGACTGCACCCAGAAGAAAGCCCGTCACTGCAGCAGAGAAAAAGTTGCGCCTAGAAATCCACAAAACTCACCTGCTTTGTCTTTTGGCTCATGTGAGCCTACGGAACCGGTGGTGCAATGATCATGAGACACAGGTATGTACCGAGAGAATCCATTACGGAAAAATTCCTAACATCTTTTCAGACCTTCCTGAAAAGAATGCTTCCAAAGAGGATAGTCTCATTATTGCACCCAGACGAGAAACAGCAGCAATATACCCGGTCAACAACTTTCGTGGATGGCCTCAATCAAGTAGCTGATATCTTCAGCCGAAAATTTCGAGTCACCAAACCTGGCTTGAAGCGAGCACACTGGGCCGAAGATCAAACTCGACTCAAAGAGAGAGTGGTACTGACCCGTAGCGCTGTATCCGTGACATTGAATATGTTCTAACACACCCATAGGAGTCGATTATGACGGATGCCGAGGTATTCTTATCTCAGGCAGATTTTCGGTCTCAGGCAAAATTGTTGCAAGGCTCACGAGACTTTGGCGCCCAGCTATTCTGTGCTCTACTACGTTCGGTCTCTGTAGAAGCGAGGCTGGTGTGTTCTCTTCAGCCACTACCATTCTCAGGAACTCTGAAGGATATGACGCCATCTAAAGCAGCATCAAAGTACATTGTCATATCTTCTGATGACCATGACTCATCAATGGATGAACGGCAGCAATCTGGAAGTTCTTCAACTCCAACGAGGGCACGACGTATTGGACGTCCTGAATTTATCTCACGACCAGCGAAACCCTCTACGCGCCCAGGTTGGTGGATTGATCACCCATTAAAAAGTGTGAACTAACATCCTCAAAGAGCCCCGTCCCATGTCTCAAGAGTCTGCGCACCCGGTGTTTTGGGTTGAGGTATTCAACGAAGCAGTCCAAAAATGGTTTGCAGTTGATCCAATCGTGACCAAGTCTTTGGCAAAACCATCTAAGTTTGAACCTCCTGCAAATGACCCATACAATAACATGAGCTATGTAATTGCCTTTGAAGACGATGCCTCCGTGCGAGATGTGACAAGGCGATACACAAAGGCATTCAACGCAAAAACACGCAAATTTCGAGTCGAGTCTACCCGGAATGGAGAAAAATGGTGGAACAAGGCAATGATGGCATATGAAAAGCCATTTCTCGAGGATCGAGACGAGGCAGAGATTAGTGAACTGACCTCTAAGTCGGCCGCTGAACCTATGCCCCGAAATATCCAGGACTTCAAAGATCACCCCATTTATGCAATTAATAGGCATTTGCGCCGGAATGAGGTGATTTTCCCTGAACGTGTCATTGGTCACGTTGGCTTAAGCAAAACGACATCCAAAAGCGATAATTTGGAACCTGTTTATCGTCGGTCTGACGTGCACGTGGTGCGTAGCGCAGACAAATGGTACCGTTTAGGAAGGGATGTCAAGCTTGGGGAACAACCTCTCAAACGTGTTCCTGCTACACGCCCGAAAAGCGGATTCGCGAGTGACGAAGGAGAGGAATCCGAGCACACTCCTCTCTATGCTGAATTCCAAACCGAGGTTTACAAGCCGCCACCAGTAGTTGGGGGTCGAATTCCCAAGAACGCCTATGGAAACCTGGATGTTTATGTCCCAAGTATGGTGCCACCTGGAGCAGTTCATATCAAACGCACAGAGGCTTCTCGAGCTGCTCGAATCATGGGGGTAGACTTTGCAGATGCTGTTACTGGATTTGATTTCAAAGGGCGCCGTGGAACTGCTGTCTTCGGGGGCATAATCATTGCCAAAGAATACCAGGAAGCTTTGGACGAGGTCCTGACGAGTATGGAGGATGAAAGACAACATGCTGCATTTGAAGCCAGGGGTGCAGAAGCTCTGGCAATGTGGCGACTATTTCTACTCAAGCTCAGAATTGCAGAAAGGGTTCAAGGCTATGCGTCCGAGAATGAGAGAACAGGCGATTCAAATCCGAGAGAGACAAGTGTGGACCCGGCTGAAGCAGGCGGAGGGTTCTTTCCAGAGCCAGATCAACCGACCAGAAGCCCATCCCAAGGAATTTGGAATGAAGGGCAGGGAATGGGCATGGATGCTGAAGGAGACACTAATACCAATATCCTTAATTCTTTGGATCTCTCTGAACACGAAGAAGACCAGTTTGGTGGTGGATTCATCCCAGAGGAACCTGAGAAAGAGAACCTGACTCCTGAACCAAGCATATCGCATCCTCAACCAACTTCACAAAGAAAAAACAGAACGAAAATGTCTAGTGCATCTCGCTATGAGTTAGTTGTGGTTCCTCACACGTCGAATCCTACCTCCGAGGAGCTACAGTTGGCTTTTGGGAGTCGAGCTTCCAAAGAGCCCGAGGGATCTTCTGAGAAAGTTCCCATTAGTGTGGACTCTCCAGCGATTGTTGATTCGAAATCTATCAGCCTAGAAATTGTCCCAAAGCCAAAATCGCCTCCACAAGCTCCAGATCGATCGCTGTTCTCGCCAGACTCCGAAAGCGAGATTGAGAAAGGATCGTTATTATCCGAAGACCCTGAAGATGAGGATGCAATTCCCGACTGGTTGGTTTGATAGAAACCTTATATAAACCGACAATGAACACACAGGACAGGAACAATAATAGATTGATCCTATAATAATTAAGAAAATGGATAGACAAGGTCAAGATCAATATAAGACACGTGATCGCGTACATGAGTGAGACGCCTGGCGCGTTCAAAGACGCGGTAGCTCCACTTTCCAGAACGTCATGGGTCACCATCAATCTTCCAACCTTCCTACGCTGTTCATGAGATATTTATGTCTTCTCCATCAGAGCTGCGATGAAAGGCTATCAGGGACCTGATAAACCGCCGGAAACGCCTCAAGCCCAATTTAAAAGTCCGAGTCGACCAGCGACGAGGGTCTCGAAGAGCACCGCATCGAAAAGGGCTGCGCCCCCTCACATATCAGGATCAACAAACCCTCATAAAAGGAAATCGTTACCTAGCTCACGGGCACAATCCACTCTCACACAGATCGACTTTGTGACACAAACCACTCAACCGGACAATGACCAACTCGATTACCTTGAAAACTCTGGGACGCCTGCAAATACACTCGACCAGCCTGGACTCATAAACGAAGAATCAGATGACGATCCGGAATACAGATCAACACTGCAAACCCGACCAGCTCAAACAATATTCGAGCCGGGCAATGACCATCCCAAAAGGCGTCGAAAAAGTGCGGGGATGAATGTCAGAGAATTCGAACGAGGCCAGAGCGGACGCAAGAGCCAGACACCTAGAACCAGCGTTGGACCCAAGGGCAAAAGAAAGCCTACAGAGAAGCTGGCTACGAAAAGCGACAAGACCCTTACACAAATGGATTTCGTGCGACGCTACATCCCGATTGATGACGACGATGACATGAATCTGGGATACATACAACCAACATTTCAGAGGAAGGCATCAAGGAATATTAAGAAGGAAGCCAAACTTGAGGGTATAGATACATCGAATCGACCAACTCCCACTTCTGCTAAACGCAACCGCCGAATTTTAGAAGCAGAGCTGGATCTTTCAACAGGGGAGCCCATATCCGATCCATGCACCAGTCAAGCAGCAGAGAATGGTAACAATCTCGACAATGGGACAGTCTGTGGTGGCCCAATCACGCCACACAAGCGAAGACTCGAGATTCCATCTTCTCAATCACCCGAAAGCCCAGGGCTTGCCATTATCACATCATCTCAATTTTTGAGTGCAACGCGTTCGCCCTTGAGACAAAAATCTCAAAATTTCGCACACGAACCAAGAAGCCACATAAAGGAAGAGTCGCCCAAGTCTCAGCAACTAGTTGAGGACTCGCAGGGCCAGGGACATGGATCATCCGAGAAAACACCCACAGCTTGTTCGCCCAAAGTGTTAATAGCCTCAAGCCAACGGCCTACATTCGCAGAGAGACTAGCTTCATGTGCGCCGTCCAACGAGTCGATCAACACTCCCAGACCGCCATCAAATTATCACGAACCGAAACGAACCCAAGGAGAGAGAATGGTGGTGTATGAAACCGATGCCGAAAGTGACCAAAGCGATGCGGAGGATAACATTAATGATGACCCTACAACTCCATCTCGTTTACAAGAATCCCAAGCCGAAGATGCAAATATAAGCAGTGCCCCATGGTCGCCTCTCGCCCCTTCGCAAGAACTCCCTTCACCCAATGTTCAACCCTCTGACAATCAGGATTGTGACCCGTCTTCTGAAGCGCCAATGTCGGATGGTTCAGTGTATTACCATAGAATGCAAAAGGCCACCCAATACCCGCATGAACCAATCCCAGCACTCAACACCCAAAGGCTCTTTGAACTATTTCCCAACGAGGGGCCAACACAACATGCCAAACCTGGGCCTCCACCTGCATCTACGCCATCGGCTCAAACGTTCGCCGGTCCTTTCTTGCAAACCCAGACGCAATCTCAAGACGGCGAAGAGCCTGACATTGTGCTAGAATCCTCTCCTATCCGAGGACAGGAGAACAACACGGAGGAAAGCCAGGTGGTATTTCAGCGACCTCATCTTCCAGAGTCAGTTCAAGTTGAATCCTCACAACCCATCGACCAGGCCAACATCAGGGCAGGCAAGGCTTTGTCACGTAGTCAACTTCTGACTTCAAGCGTTATGGAGAGCGTCCCCCTGCCCAATTTCTGGATGAGTAGTCAGGACAGTGTGGGAGAACCGTATACCTTACCTGATCAGTGAGCTGTGGATTTTTAATGAATTATGATTAATGTGTGTCCTGAACATTTATTCCACTCGTATTTGGTAGTCTGTATATGCATTTCCGGGTTATATGATTGGGCCGATGCTTAGCCCCAGGCTTGGACACCGCTGCAGAATAAATGACGGCGGATTGCTGGCCGATCAGTGTCGGTCTTATCGCACAATCCTAGCAAGGTGGTGTACATTTGAATAATTGAAAAAGAAAAGAAAATATCTTGATATCGACACGAGAAATATAGAATCCAGGGGCTGGACGGCTGCAAGGGACATGTCAAGTTGATCTATGAGTGGCTGTTGATCAGTAGTTTTTGATCTGCAGAAGCGGGGCGGTCGGCCCATGGACGAACGCGGAGGTGCAACCTCAAATGTGTTTGTTTCGGAAATACTTCAACTTGACTTCCTCAACCCCTCACCATGGATATCGCCTACGACCACATCCAGGAGGAGATCCTCACTTCCAACAAGGAGGAGGGAGGTGCCTCTAACACCACAAACCCCAACACCAACCTGAACACCGAGTTCCAAGAGACCTTCCGCGCCTTCTCCGCCAGTCCGTGGGGTACTAAAATCGGAGGCCTTTGGGATAATGTTCGCAAGCAGGGCGAGAGTTACTACGAAGGCGCCCGACAAGAATATGTGGCAGCCAGCGAGGAGGCAGTTAAGGGCTTTTCTGGCCTGAGGGACACCATCGCCGATCGAACAAAGGGGCTGTCTCTCAGCACCGCAACATTGACCGGTGGCAATGAAGGCTCAAAGGACGAGGCTGCCACACCGACCGCCTCGTCGGAAGAGGAGTTCAAGGGACAGAAGGAGGCCGGTGAATCTAGTGGCGAGGGGTTTATTTCTCGTTTCAAGGCTGAAGCCGCTCGTCGACTAAAGGAAATTGAAAAGGCCGAGGAAGCTGCTGACGAAGCGATCTTGCGGTTCGGACTGAGCATCAGCCAGAAGCTCCGCGAGGCTGTCAGCATTGTGCCTCCCGAGACAGATGAGTCGGGCAAGCTTCTCTTTGAGAGCAAGGATGCAGATGGTAAACGGGTTATTCATGCGACTCGATTCGATGCTCAGCTGCACGTTATCCACTCGAACCTGGACAGCTTTACCAAGGATCCCGCCAGTGACAAATTCCCGGAATTCAAGAAGAATTTCAGTGTTGATGCCAAGACAGACGAGATCGCTTCTCACCTGGAGAAGTATCCCGAGCTGCGATCTGCCATGGAGAAAGTTGTTCCGGAGACGGTGGAATATGTGGACTTCTGGACTCGCTACTACTTCCTGCGCCTTGTCATTGAGACCGAGGAGCAGAAGCGCAAGGAACTTCTGAGAGGTATGTTCTTCATCCTTCTATACTTTCGATACACTTGACTCACAGCTATGATTTGCAGGTGCCTCGGCAGACGATGAGGAGGTCGGTTGGGATGATGATTCTGACTCTGAATCCGTATCTCCTGCCACTCCCCAAGTTAGTGCTGGAGCTCAAAGCCTTGCTCCGGAAGCCCAGAAGGCCGAGCCTCGCCGATCGAACGACCAGCACTCCCAGGCTGACAGCGAATCAAGCTACGATGTCGTCAGCGGAGCTGCGAGCCGGACTCCTGGTTCACCGAAGGAGAAGAGCTCAACTACGGATTCCAAGGCAGAGGACAGTGACGATGACTGGGAGTAGTGCAATTGTCTCATTTCGAAGCCAAGAGCAGACTAATTCAGTCTCGCTCCTTTTTAGCGACCAGCGGGAGTTCGCTCTGTCTGTGAGATTTGCGTCTCTTTCCTTCCTGGAGTCCGGTCGTGATTGTTGCTTTATAGGCGTTTTGGGGACTTTCATATCCTTCTTATTCCCGGTTTTGTTCTTGTAACTTGGCTTCAGCGATTGATGTCTAGTGATATTTTCCTGTTCATTTTAAACCTGCACATTGCTTGCTCTCCTTGCATATCATCTGGAATTGAGTTTACTCGGCGTGTATCACCTCTTACCACTTCCGGAGCTCTTACATACAATCCCTATTTTGCGTAAATTTCTCAGGCTTTCTGACAATCGACTCATCAATCTCAACCATTTGAAGACAGATAAAATTTTTTCAAATCGTCATTTCAAAGTTTTGCCGTTATGAGAACATATCTTCTGATTGACATATCGTAAAACCCAAACTAGGCTATACTGGTACACTCCTCTGCTTGATGCAATATCACTATTCTATCACCCTATTCCTAACACTCTCATTCGACGCCCCACTAGTCTTCCTAGCCAGCGGAGAGCGTGTCGTAGAGCCGCTCTCACTTGCATATGCCGGAGTCATTCCTCGTAACCCACTAGGCCGTGTTCGATCGTAGCGAGTTGAAGGCGAACCTCGTCTCTGCGGAGGAGTTTCCGGCGTACTCTCTCGAGAACGAAGCTGGAATCTTTCTGGAGTTCCCCCAGGAGAGTATCTCTCGTCTCCCTCGCGGTGATACGCAGAGGGACTACCATACTGGTAATCTTCACCGCGGTGTTTAACGGGGCTTTCATCGTAAGGATCCCAGCCAACACGGCGACGGGCTTCAGAGCGGAGACGCTGGCGGTGCTGCTCGTCACCTCCGGCACCAGTGGTTGAGGATTCCTCAAGAAAGAAGTTCAGCAGTTCGTCGCTGATGGATAGGTGGGATTGTTGCTGGAATTGCTGGAGGGAGGTTAAGCGGAGAAGAGTCTCGAGAAGGGATAGGGACGTGCGAATGTTTTCGAACTGGGGGTGTGAGACTGTCACTGTAGGTTGAGTACCATCATTGTACTGAGATGGAGGAGGCGATGGTGAGGAGGACTTGTCATTGAGAGATAGCTTTGCCATCATGGTTGGGTCGATTGAAGGCTCAGTAGTCGGGGTGTGAGGAGTGTTATCTGCTTCAGACTCTGTATCCGAGCCTTCGTCTTCGTTGTAGACTTCAAATGCGATCCATTCCGGATCAAGGCCAGAAGGCAGACGCCATTCTTCGGGAATGGAGTCTTCGTGGAGGGAGTCAAAACTTTGATGGGCCGAGGCACCTGTTCCGTGTAATTGGGAGTCAAGTTGTGCTTGAGCCTCATCTAACGAGTCCTCGGACTTGTCAGAGGCATACCCGTCTTCAACATCTTCACTTTCCATCATCCGACGTGGAGGAAGAGCATTCATATCTCTTTTCAACAATAGGACGGGGTTATTGGTCTCTCCTTCAGAATTGATGTTGAGAATTCGACCTGTGTCTGCGTAAAAAATCTTGGAGATCTGATGAATGGGAAGAATCTCTCTGACACCGGCATTGACAACGCCTTCATAACTATGCGGTTGGGGTTCATCGTCTTCAAATGTATGGACTCGCCCATCATCCAAGTCCTCAATAATCATCACTTGGTAGGCGTATTCATCGGTTCCTGCCGGCGCTGAAATCTGCGGTGCTCTGGTCTGATCACCCGAATAGTACAAGCTCATTGGCACGCGTCGCAGTTTCAAGCGGGCCTTGTGCATGACTTCTTTCCAGGTTGCCGCCCGGACTGATTCTTCATCATGTGGGCGTACATGGCTAGAAAAAAGCATGTACATTGAAAGTGTAAATGTGGGTCCAGTTTGAATCGCCTGAGATTGGGACATGGAATATTGTGTATCGCAAGCGGTTAGGAATGTACTGGCTTGAAGAAGGCGAGACGGTGATACTGTTGAAGGAAGATTGGTAGATAGTTTAGCTCCCGAGGTGGTGATGGCCAAGTTCATAAGGGGCACCGCATCTTCAATCCGATTCAGCAGATTCTTGATATCTTTAATGATGTACTTGATTTCGACATCAATGTTTACCCGACTTTTTGGGGATCTCGAGCTCTTTCTGGAAAATTCTTCAGATGAAGCTGCTTTTGCCAGTCGCTGTCCAAGTGCCTGGATGTCCCATCTCAGAGATTTTGTCAGAGCAACAGCAGACTCAAGAGACGTGTTTCCTCGAGCGGCGCTGAACAGTTGATTAGATTCTGGCGAAATTGCTTCAAGTTCCAACCTTGGTCACTTACATCAATTCAATCATGTCAATTGACGGAGATATGACCTGTATTTTGCTTTGTAGTCTTTGCTGCAATGAAAGTAGCTCCGCACGATCTTCGCCATCTACATTCTGGTGCCACAATATATCAATCAGCGCAATTCATGACTTCAACGGTTGATCAAAAGTACCTTGAGCAGTCGCGATGACTGGCGCATCGCATAGGTAGCTGTTATAGCTATCCCAGAGCTATGAAAACCGTCAGTCTTCTATGATGTGATCTTTCTGGAGTCGCTTGAACTTACCGAATCGCATAGTTCATCGCCTGCTGCGTGAGCTGTCATGTCTGATTAGCTTGCGACACCCATGACGTCACCACGATGGATCGAAAGAACATACTCGAGTCAAGAAAACATCCATCTTGAGGTAATGACCAGTTGGGCCGTGTCAGGCACGCTGTATGGACTGGGGCGGCTACAGAGCCCGTGAGCAATCAAGCGTGGAGGGGTGCTGCTTATCGATAGTCTTGGGTTGTGCCCAACAATCAAAGAAGACGTAAAGATGTAAAAAGGGTCGCCCAACCACAATCGCATAATCGCATTGACCATCCAGAATTCTGGAAAATTCTTCGCGCATCGGGCATCAGTGAGATCAATTAATTTATATTAAAAATCCACCGCAGAATCAGAACAGCATTGTTTTCTTTTCTGCATATCTTTCCACGTGACAACTCTAATCAATTGCTGAGTCATCGTCAGCGGGTTGCAAAATCAAATACGGCAAGCCCCTCATTGTCGTTCCTCCACCCTTGACTTTCGTGTCGTTTCCACCGTGTCCTTGACTGCGACCCGGACCTGCTCTCACGATGTCGAACCAGACTCCTGAATCTTGGGAGGATGACCTCGCCCGCCAGGCTGAGGGTGTTAACCTGAATGGACAGGGCCGCCCTCAACCTCGGGCGCCTACCTTCCAGCCTGGAGCTGCTTCTTTCACCCCCGGAGCCGCCTCTTTCACCCCGGGTCAACCATTCCAGCAGTACGGCGCTGGTAATCCTTACGCCCAGTACGGCCAGCAAGCCTACGGATATCCCCAGCAACAACAGCAGCAGGCCTACAACCAGTACGGCGCATACAACCAGCAGCCTGGTGGCTACAACCAATACTACAACCAGCAGCCTGGTGGCTTTGCCCAGCAGCCCCGCCAGAATGCTTCAGCTGCCTATCAGCAGGCTCCCGCCGCCGCTCCTGCTCAGCCCGCGCCCAAGCCCGCCGCACCTGCCTCTGCCGCCCCACCCAAGGCTAAGGTCCTTTCAATTGGCGCTACCTCCTCGGCCAATGCCCCCAAGACCAAGGTTCTCTCGATCGGCACTCCAACCCCGGCTCCCGCTGCCGCCAAGTCGGAACCCGCGAAGGGTGATTCGAAGGGCTCTGCGGCCGCCGAGGCTGGCGCTAAGGTGACCGCCAGCAAGGCCATTGACAAGACGGAGAAGAAGACAGAGAGGGCGAGCGGCACTACCTCCCCTACACCCTCTTCTGGGCGCTCTAGCCCCGCTCGTGGTGCCGAGGCTGCCAAACAGGCGCGTGCCGCAGATGCTGTTGCTAAGGCACAGCAAGCCGATGTCGATGACGCTACTCTGAAGGAAATTTACGGTGAGCGTCGTGAGCACGTCAACGTCGTCTTCATTGGTCACGTTGATGCTGGAAAGTCCACTCTGGGTGGTTCTCTTCTGTACTGCACTGGCATGGTGGATGACCGAACAATGGAGAAATACAAGCGCGAAGCGAAGGAAGCTGGCCGAGAGACCTGGTACCTGTCATGGGCCCTGGATCTGACTGCCGAGGAGCGTTCCAAGGGTAAGACCGTCGAGGTCGGCCGCGCATTCTTCAAAGTCGAAGTTCCTTCGCCGGATGGCCCCATTGAGCGACAGTTCTCCATCCTGGATGCCCCCGGTCACAAGTCCTACGTCCCCCACATGATTGGTGGAGCCTCCCAGGCCGACTTGGGCTGTCTTGTTATTTCCGCCCGAAAGGGTGAGTACGAAACTGGGTTCGAAAAGGGTGGTCAGACCCGTGAGCATGCGCTACTTGCACGTAACACTGGTGTCCAGCAGCTCGTCCTGGTTGTGAATAAGATGGACGACCCTACTGTCGAGTGGAGCAAGGCCCGCTACGATGAATGTACTATCAAGGTTATCAAGTTCCTCGAAGCCCTTGGCTACAAGAAGAATGATATCTTCTGCATGCCCATCTCCGCGCAGCGTACTCTCAATATTAAGGACCGCCTTTCTAAGGACATTTGCCCTTGGTATGACGGACCATCTCTGCTTGAGTTCTTGACAGACTTCAAGCTACCAGAGCGTAAGGTTAACGCTCCTTTCATGATGCCTATCACCGCCAAGTACCGTGACATGGGTACCATGGCCGAGGGTCGCATTGAATCCGGAATTATCAAGAAGAACGGCACTTATCTCATGATGCCCAACAAAACCGAGGTCTCAGTTGCTGCCCTTTATGGTGAAACCGAAGATGAACTTGCTACCGCCAAGGTCGGTGACCAGGTTCGCCTTCGTTTGCGTGGTGTGGAAGAAGATGAATTCTTCCCTGGCTTTGTTCTTTGCTCTCCAAAGCGACCTGTCCACTGCGTGTCTGCTTTCGAGGCCAAGATTCGCATTTTGGACCTGAAGAACATTCTCACTGCCGGATTCAACTGTGTGCTTCATGTGCACTCTGCTGTTGAGGAGGTCACCTTCGCCGCTCTTCTCCACAAGCTTGAGCCTGGTACCGGTCGTAAGAGCAAGCGTCCTCCTGCTTTCGTAAACAAGGGTCAGACTATCATTGCTCGTCTGGAGGTTACGTCAACTGCAGGTGCCGTCTGTGTCGAGAAATATGATGAGTACCAGCAGCTAGGACGGTTCACCCTTCGTGACCAGGTATGTTTTTTACTCCATTTCTGTTGCGAAAGACTTTTGCTAATCTTCAAATCTGTTAGGGTCAAACCATCGCTATCGGTATGGTTACCAAGCTCATTCACTCCGAGGCTGACGAGTAAATGATTGGGAAAGTCTATTGAGAATTTTGCTTTCCCTGCGATGGGAAGAAGATCTAAAAAAGGATCGGCATAGTGCTACGGTTATTTCCTTCACCTCTCAGAGAAAGTATGCTGGGACTGAAGTCTAAACCAGCAGGCATGAGGGTGTAGAGTTCAAGCCAAGATACATATATACTACACAGCCAGTCCACTTCAAGTGACGATGATGAAAAATTTACCCCCTTACGTTATAGATTCCACCTTAGCTGTCTTTTGAATCATGAAAAGACTACGTTGTTGCATTCAACCTTGGGAACCTATCTTCAACTCTTGTAACACCGCTTTAGAACAAACATGTTTTTTAAGTAGCACTTCAAAATTGCGGTGCATCTATCGTGGGTAATGCAATAGAGCCATGGATATATTCGTCCCCTGAACAGCCTCTCCTAAAAACATCAGATGCAAAACTTATTTACCGCTTCTTTCCAACAACCTTGGTGAATCCATCTTCATCAATCTCAGGCTCTGCTTTCTCCCTTGGCGCCCGCACCAAAGCCGGCGCATCACCCATATCCACATCATCATCACTGGCTTCATCATCAGTCTCCTGGTCCTCATCCCTAGACTCAACCTGCTTGAACATGCTCGCAGCCGCAGACTTCTGTTCGCTCTTCCGCTGCCAGGTCTCCCACATCTCCCGAATAGCGCCGAACTGCCCAGCATCTGTCTGCTCCTTGAACTCCATAATCTGAACGGCCACATTGCCAGCGCTCTCATCATCGATCACAACGTCAAACTCGTCGTTCATCACCTGAATCAGCACGTCCTCCACATCCTCGGCGTCGGTTTCCGGTCGATCGGTCAGCATCTCGGAGATAGCTCCGCAGAGCCAGGCGCGCTTGTCATCGGAGGTTGGGCCGCCCCAGTTTGATTGCACAGCGAGTGTGAGTGAGGGCCAGTTGTTCAGGGCGAGTGTGATGCCAAGGTCGAGGTAGGAGGCGGCATCGGTAGCCGGAGGAGCGGTTGCTTGTGCGTCCATGGTAGATGTTCAAGATTTTGTCTTTGAAATTCGTCAATATTGCAATTGTGGTGAGTCTCTGAAATCGCTCACAATAATCTTATTGATACCCCGCAGATCGAGTGGGGGTCGAAAGTAAAGATTTTTTGAGGGACAAAGGCGGCCGGTGCGCAGGAAATCCGGGATTGGGGCTGAGGAAGATTTTCTGAGAGTTTCTAGCAGGAGTCTTTTTACTCAATTGAGAACACCAGTTGTGAAGATTTGTGATTCTTCCAAGGTCCGCATCTTGATTTTTTTTTTTTTTTTTGAGTTGCGATTAGATAGCCACGATAAGGTCAGGTGATGATGGATTATGCCCAATTTAGATTTTGAGCCAAGTAGTATTAATTGATTGATTTCAACAGAAAACATACAGTGAAAAAGAGGTAAGTAGGTAGATATCAATTGAAGATGCAAAAGCACAAAAAGAAACTCCGATAGGGGGAATCGAACCCCCGGCTGTCGTGTGAGAGACGACGATGTTAGCCACTACACCATATCGGATGTATATTAAATTTCAACCAAAATTACACTATATACTAGATAAGTCTTAGCATCTTTATATCTTTTACGACTCCCCTCTTCATGCGTGGTGGTATGTAGCCCCCTATTTCCTAATTTGTCACTCCTTCTTTTCTGGGTTTCTCTCCTCCTTGTGAGAAATTCTTGTTATTGATCCGGAGCACTGAGCTCCTGAGCTCCGCCATTATCAGTCACCAGCACCATGTACAACCATGGTCTTTCCACTGCCCCCTGGACGATTTGAATTCTCAAAGAATTCTCAAATTAGATTTGGGTTTTAGCACCACTTGTCTTTGTGCGTACCTCTACGTGAATTATACACTTCCACCCCCCTCCTCCAAAACACACCAAAATATATTCATGGTTTTTCACATCCCATTTTCCTATTCCTCATTCCCCTTCCCTCCTAACCCCTGTGCGTTATCGTTGAGGTACTTTCCCGATTGATCTGGGATCACTGAGCTCCTATGCTTTGCTTGCCACCCCCTCTTTCTAGCTAGTTTCCCCTCCAGGCTTTTACTTCTACACCATCCACCGCTTCCCTAGTAATTATTCATTTTATTAAAAAAAAATACATATACACCGCAAAATAGTGAGTTAGCGAATCAAATTAACATTAGTGATCAGCTGTAAAGGATTGAAAAAAAAGATGGCTGCTAGCCAGGTTTGAACGCGTGATCTTCTCATTGAAGATTAAGAGGAAAAAAGATGGGTTGGCGGATGATTTGTTTTTAGTAAACCTGTCACTCATCCAAGTGAGCCAACTGGCCGTAGCCACTCGATGTAGTGACTCGATGTAGTGGTGATTGTATATATATTGACACAGACATTCTTGTAGACGTCATTTCATATCGCAGGTTTTTGACTGTGGCTTGGTTAATTTCGCTGGGTTTCACCATTTCTATTAGCGCTCTTATACGCTCACTTAGCTTATCTTCTTCGGTGTTGGCATGGTGCATTTATGCGCGAGATTGGTATTCTTCTGGTACTTAGAGCCTTTGGGATTGTGATATCGTCCTGACTTGGCTTGGAAAGCGTTATTGGCGATGTCAGTTTTAGCATCAGGACGTTCTTAGCACGGTGGTAAGTACGGAGGTTAGTACCCGCCAGTGGCTCAACGAGGACCATACTACATGATCTAGCTAGTGATGACCAAGCCGCAAAAGTAAGATTATATATACTGTCCAGACATCAACGTAGAAAAATTATTTTACAACATTATCCCAATGGGTAATAATTTCTTGGCTTATGTTTTATATGGCGCTGGGTTCGATTTTGTTTGGCTTGCCAGCACACTGGAATTCTCGTTCCATCCAGCGGACCACCTCCAATACAAGTTCGCTGGCAGCTTCCTTCTCACTTGGCAGTATGATTCGTGATCAATGTAGGCACAAAAACTTACTTAGGTTGAGGCTCATCGCCCTTTACGGCGACAAGGAGAAATCTCATGAACCTCAGCACCATAAGAGGCTACTGTGACATGACGGACCAAATCGGTGTTTTTCTCGGAGACAGTACATGAATCCGTTGGACTTGCTACGTTTGATATTTGTTCATTTGAACAGATATGGGGTCATTTGGATGTGGAGCGAATTGCTCTTCCAAGGCGGCGGCTTTTTCGCGGAGTGAGTGCTTATAGCTTCGGTCTCGCGTTCCATAGGCCCCTTATAATGCAGAGCATCGGATATGGTACCTAGACGAATACATGGCTGCTTTTTCTATAGCACTTTCTGGCTTCATATGGCACTTGAGTGAATTGGGCTATTTCTTCCAGTAAGCCAAAGTTAAATAATTAATGCAGTTATAGGTATGGAGAACTAGATATCAAGAACTAATTAGAAGGGAAGATTAATGTGAATTACTTACCGCCAATCTACATGGCCAGTGTCAATGGCTCTCCTTATCATTCAATCCAAAGTAAAACGGCCTGATCCATCTACTTATGCATCTTCTTGGGATGGCGGTAGGACAATTTGAATCGAAAGTGGCCGCGCCTTCCTGTTTCGATATACCCTGCGCTCCTTCCCATAACGGCATTCGTCAGAAAAAGAAGCCACCTCCTCTTTCCGTTCAGTCATCAAAACTTTTCTCTTCCTACATCCTCATTTATTCATCTCAATTCTTGATATCCAGGCCGCTCGCCTGTTTCATTATCCAGTGGACTTCATACTTCCCCTGCTTTCTTGCCAACTTCTGCAGAGCGTATCTGCTGACAGTCATCATGAATGCTGGAAAGCAATGTGGGTACACCTTTCCAATGACCGTTGATGCACCTGTCATCCTTCTGAGGGCGGCTGGGGAGCCCAGTGACGAAAAAGCCAATCTACTGAGCGAGGATCGGCAGCTTTCATGCGAAGCCCACTTATTCAAAATCGGCTTCTCAAAATTTGCACTTCGACATAATTAGTGGGCAAGAGGTAAGGGGTTCTAAAAACGCTCAGTTACAACCCTAGAGGCACAATTTGCACTCTGTCTGGCATTGCTCGGTCATTTATTGTATTTTCAGAGTGCCTAGAAAGAGAACAAGGCATGACCACACGAGAAACAAAGATTAGAAAGGCTGATACTGAATGGTCCATGTTTACAATGACAACAGATCCATCCAAAATTTTCACAATCAAGATTAATATCTATTAGCTCACAAGTTGTGCACAAGAATGTAGCATACCATGGTATTGTCGAAGCAAGTCTTTGTGCTCGGCGAATGAGTTGAATTGTCCCTGACTGGAAAATTCCATTTTGCGATGGTGTTGGATCAACCTTAGGAAGTTTCAGTAGACTTTCCAAGCTGAGCTCGCCCAAGCTGCCCCTTTGCAAGCTAATGTCGAATTAGTTAATCAAATCAATTGGTGTTGTAAAAATTGTTCACTCACTCGGTGTACGCTTTTGGGCTCGTCTGTATCTGTACCACAGGGATGACCGATAACAGCTCCTTTGCATAGGCGGCTGCTGCCACTGCTGCATAGGGTTGCCAGATTTTGTTCTTATGCGAGTCCGCATAGTCGCAAATTCCTCGTATCACTAAGCATTTGAAGTCATTCATAAGTCCTGCCGCCTCCATTTCAAAGCATAGAATATCACCACCAAGATCGCCCGCGATATCGTCTCTCATCACGCCGTGTTTAATTACTTGATTCCCTGAGGCGATCAAGCCATAGTGGATTTGGGGATTGCTTGACGGGCGCGGTGGACGAGGAACTATGTGTCCATAGCTGCAATTATTGCATATCGCATTTGGATCTCCCACATGTTGATACTGCGGTTGAAAAAGAATATCGTACTCGCAGCCGGGGTAAGAAGGACTGGTACGTTTGGGGAATCGCGCCATGATATTTGCCAGATGAAAAGGAATTTGAGAGTTGCCGATCATATGGTCTGCCTGTAAATGCGAGCTTGCTGCTAGTAGAATGGCCGGTGGTTTGTTCAAAGCGCCGGTACGCTGGAGGCGATTGCTACCGATGGACTTTCCAAGGTCATACTGCACAACTCCACCAAAAGTACCTGTTGGCTTGCTGACCACTACATCACCAAGCCTAATATCATTTCTGTCTCTCGGTACGCCGCCCCCGATGCCTACTAAAAGAGTGAACCGGAGCGCTGGGAACGTGTGAAGCATGTGGGTTGCAACAAGACTCGCAGAATAGATACCATAGATACTAGGCGGTAGACAGGCAATCACTATGTTGTGACCATATAGTTCTCCCAAGGTATACACATTATGATCGTCTGGGGATTGAGGCAATCGTGGATGTAATTGGTCAAGAGTCGCTTTGGATGCTGCCATCTCGAGCGGCAGTGCGCATATCCATCCGATAGTATAATCCTCGTGAGATCTTTCATTTAGAGCCATATTTGGTTTGACGATATTCCATTCTGTGGCCGGGCGACCGCAGAGATTGAAAGTTGGACTGGTGCCTAGAGGATGGATCTCTACCCCCAGGAGAAATCGTGGTTGGACTCCATTCAATCGAAGAGCGGGGTTGGGCTCGGTTCATCTCGGACCTCCTAGCTGTACTATTTGTATTTTCCTATCACCCTAGTATACTCTACTGAATTACTAGGGCAACATCTATCTCTATGATAATAAGTCAATAGCCACTAGACCCCCAGAGAAATACAATCGCCATTACAAACCAATGCATCACGTTGGCCGAATCTTCCAGGGGCAGTAACCTTAACTAGTAACTCGCCTGAGGGACCTAGGCAGCTTGTTAATATAGGCTTCAACATGATATTACTTACACTTAGTGTGTATAAAGCCATTCAATTTCAGGGGAAATAGGTAAAGCCCAGAGTAGATACCTATTTGACTGAATCCCTAAGGGTGTCCATGTTTCCCACCCATCATTGATGGCATCATTGACACCTAAAAACATAAGGGGCTCAGTCAAGATATCCCAGACTCCAAGATCGATTTTAAATGGCCAATTGCTTGAAGTTCTGGTCAACAAAGTTACTACTGATTTTTTCACAAATTACTGCATCATATTGGTTTTCGCACACCCAGCCCTGAACTTCGTTTACGCATGAAATCGATTTTTAGACCTTGTTCGAAGACGTGACAATGGAACAATTCTTAAAGATCATACCAAAGACTGCTTAATAACACGCAATTTAGCAATTTAGGTCGTTATAAGCCCGATAATCATTACAAAAATATGTGAACTTACCTGCGAAAAAAACCCGATTGACTTTCGAAGGTTGAACCAGTAGAATCTCACATCTAATTGAACCTTGAGTTAATGATTGGTTTCCAAGGCACCCAAAGGTTTGTGTGCCTTGGAAACCAGCAGTCGGGAGATCAGCCGCAGGTGGTCAGTAATGCAAAGCTTGTTCCTTATCCTCTGCTTCACTATGGCCCTGAACTCTTGTATATCTAGCAAATGTGCTTGACTCGATCTGCTACTCATAGTTTTATCATGACTTGTAGCATTCGAAATATTCATTGCTTTTTAGTCTGTGGTTGATAGAAACCCTGGAAACAGGTCGTGTTGAGACACGAGAAATGGGGCGGGGCGGCCTAGGGTCTCCACTGCGCTTCCTAGTGCAAACAAATTCTAGACTTATGACGAGTATACCGATCCTGAAGTATAATTTAAATAAACACCCGCAAGATCTATCACGTCATCCTCATTAGTTTGAATCGTATTGTTTTGATTTATATTGGCTGCTTAGCGCTCACACAGAGTCGACACGGAGTTTAATTGATAACCCTTTATACTGCTGACTCCTCATCACTGTCTAAATTGCTTATCTCCAGCCATGATAAATATATCGATCATTATTTGGGCTCTCTACGGTCTCCTAGACGTTATTCTAGCCAGTGTATCTGATCGGGATTGCTATATTGGATCACCTCCTCAGTGTAACAACTCACTCGCCTCAGATCCCAGCTGTCGTGGTATCGAAGTGACAACTATCAATGGTTGGAAGCGTATGGACTGTGATTATGCCATCTACGACATTCCAGTAACGGCCCGTAACACAAAGAAATGGCTCGTAATACACGCCGGTGGCTGCGATACTTACACTGAAGATCTTGGTGACTTTTTTGCTCCCGACATGCAGCTTAATATTTTCGGATTGCGCCCTTGTGGAGGATATCAAGATAGCCTTTGTGCCTCTCGTCACGGCTATGATATGTGTACTGCATTCCATATGCATTGGTATTTCCCTGCATTGCATCCAACCACCACACCGTGAGTTTGATTACCTTGGCAGGACTACAGAGAATAAAATTGACTCATCGTAAAAGATACGGGTTCGGTTTCAACCCTCCTGCACTGGTGGACATCTATCACACCCCGGGAGCCAACTTGCTGTTTCTTCATGAGCACGGCGACACCAACTCAAGTTATGATTGGTTCTCTGCAGACGGCTGCAACGCCTCAACCAAGCCTGTCTATATTTGTGTGGCCGGCCTCGACCCCAACTACGCAAGTAAATTCTCAGCGATAAAAAAAGTACTCGAGGGTGGATTCAGTAATGCCCTGGGGTTTCCCTGCAAACTCCAAGTAATTGATACGATGCCGTACGCAGAGAGCCAGAATCCAGCAATTCCTTGTACGGGAATTCTCCGAGAATACAACGATCCTGCAGCGGTGGGTGGAGACACATCAGGTGCGCCTAATTGGGCTTGGGGAATGCCGGCGTTCATGACGCGAGCGATTCAGCTGGCGACGCAAACGGATCCGAATGGGGCAGTGGTTAATGCCTTTCGCATCGCAATCAATATCGCCTTGTGTAAGCAATTTGATACTAATGGCACGAGGTGCCGTGATGATGATATGATCGCTTGAAATGCTTGAAAAACTCGCACTTCTAAATGTTCTTATAGTATGTTACAGAGCTGGGAAAATTGAATATGACTATGATACATGACTGTAATGGGAATTGCGCTAAGGAAGATCCCGCTCGGGGGTGGAGACCATTGAAATGTTATTCCTACCCGTCCTTTTTTTCTTCTCCGATTTTGTTACTCAGCTATATCTTCACTTTTTACCGACAGTGATCAATTCACTGAGTCATTTTCGGTCTTGTTGTCCCCCTGCTACTCTCGCCCGTGACATCATAGGGCATGAAATACGGCGTAGATCGCCTGGAATTTGAGGCAGGAAACACCAAGGTCGATCCAGCTGTGTCGAGGGGTAAGCTACAGGCTCCCCACAAGCCTCGCAGATCATCTTTGTATTGACTTCCTCCACAGAACTACCTGAAGGATGTAAGATCATTTCTACCGCGAAGCACGGCGTAAGCTTCTGGGCGCAGACGGGCCGTATCGATGTTTTGCTTCGCGATGGCACACCACAGTCCTTCTTCATCAAGGTTCTTTCGAAAGATTTGGGCATGAATATTACTAAAGGGGAATTCGAGTCGATGAGAGCGATCTATACCGTTCTGCCATCTTTCGTTCCAAGGCCCATCGCTTGCGGGACCTATGGCACGATACCTGACAACCACTTCATCCTCTGCGAATTTCGAGAAATGACTCATGGTATGCCTGACCCTGACGAATTTGCCGCTCAACTTTCAACACTGCATGGGAAAAGTGTATCACCCAACGGCAAATTCGGTTTCCATATCACCACCTACGCAGGAATGCTACCGCAATTCGTTGGATGGGAAGATAGTTGGGAGACTTTCTTTGCAAAGAGCATGAGGCAGGCACTCAACTTAGAGATTGAAAGGAAGGGGCCTAGTGAAGATCTCGCTGTCCTGTCCAAAGCTCTATTTGAAAGGGTCATCCCTAGGCTGCTGAGCCCCCTCGAGTGTGATGGCAGAACGGTGAAACCTTCACTTGTCCACGGAGACCTTTGGCACGCGAATGCAGGGATAGATGTCAACAATGGAAAGCCTCTTATCTTTGATGCATGCAGCTTTTTTGCGCACAATGAATGTAAGTTCTTCTATGGCTCACCATTGTTTACTCAGCTTAATGAAGGTGAATTTGAAGACGAGTTTGGCCAGTGGAGACCAGCTTGCAACAGGTTTGGTGACGAGTATGTTGCCGCCTACAAGAGGTTCATCGAGGTTTCGCCACCGGAAGAAGACTTTGAAGGCCGTTTGGACCTCTATAGGCTGTGAGAAACCCCGGTATTCACATCTATTTGCTATTACATATCATTAACAGCAAGCTAGGAGGTTCGATACCCATGTATCAGCACTTTTTGTCGATGACCAGGCGCTCCGAACACAGTAAGATTGTTAGCAGCATAAGGCCTAGTGGCAACTAACCTTTTGAACAGGGTCCTTGATGTCATGAGGGATTTGGTGCAGAGATATGGTTAGCGGGTAGTGTATAGAATCTGGTTAGGTGGCCGAACCCCCTGTCATTTCCAACTACTGGGCAATTAGCCTGTTGCTTTAACTGCTTCTCGGTGACGCCACAGCTATGAATTTGCGAGCAGAGGCATTTGTCCATGCTCAAAGTCACCACCAGCCGACAAGAAGCTCTGTGGGTAGCTGTACCTGTCGATGCCTCGACCGGGAATGTAATTTCGACAGGATATTCTTAGAATAACCGCGAGATTTAAAGGGAGATCCAGGCCCGACTCACGCAGAACAATGTTGTTTTCATCGAAATTGTCGACGAACACAACCTCCACAAGGAACGCATCCACGAAATTCTCCCGGCCAACACAGTGCTATAACCACAACGAAGCTTTGTGACGAGAGACTTGGCGGCAGCACGACCTGCGTGGCTAGGATTTTGAGACTGAGCAGCGCGATCAAAAATGTCTACGTCGGAATCAAAGAGCTAGTCAAATTCAAGCAGGAGAGGCTGGAGGCAAATAGTGCTAAGGTTATTTCCCTGTTGAAAGTTGGAACGGCAAGATCACTGATGTCTCACTTAATGGGCGCTGAAGAATTAGACTAAGTCAGGGAAGTACCTCGGCTCGTCCGGCCAGGAAGATCTACCTGTTGATTGAGTTCGTTGATCTCATTCAAAGAACAAAAATAGCGTAATTTGAGAGGCTCAATTCAGTATGTATTCACAAAGAAAATTAATTATTATGGTTCTTGAGCGTCAGGCATCCTCTTCTGTGCATGCCGCCAGGCGAAGTAAGCCTGGGCCTCGACTCTCTCGTTGTAAAGCCGCTGCTTCTTATTCACATCGAAGCCATTGAACCGTGGGACTTTTCTCGAGGATATGGCCCTCAAACCACCAAGTTCCAACGTACCAACTGGTTCGTGCTTCTCTGAATTATCACCGATCCATCCCGGAATCCCATCAAGCGCCTTTACTTTGTCTTCCTCCCGACTAACGAGCAACGAGGCATCTTGAGTGAGAGAAGCCCCAATTCTCATCATAGCCCACGAGTCCATGTATCTTGTCCATCGAGGAGACCACCACGCATAAGTTGCGAGCGCCAAAATAATGAAAACGTCGATACCAAGAAGGGTGGAGATAAGAATTACCCCGGCCCTGGAGATTACGGGGATCTTGGTGTCGACCCCCATATCGAAACTAACTGTCAAAGACATCACAGCTCTCTCGATATTGTTATTAATCCAGGCTTGATTAGCTAAAAATGCAGCGACGTTGAACACAGAGCTCATAGTGTCCGGGTCGTTGAAATTGTTGATCCATTTGGCGACCACTTCATCGAGTGCGGATGCGTTGGTCCCCCCGGCATCGGTGACGATACAGTCCATGTCTCCGCTAATGAGGAGATCGAGAGGTGCCAAGTCCTTGCAGGTATATATGTAATCGGGATAAGAGCCTGATTCAGTTGCCTCGATTTCTGGGGAGGCGAAGGTTTGCGGGTATGCTTGACGGGTTTGGATGAACGATCCATCGCCAAACAGGGCCAGCGCTATAGTCAGAAGTGGTCCTTTATTCGTCACAGTCTCCAGTGAAACGGAGTTATCCTCAGAAATCGTCAGTCCTCGCCGTTTACGTTTGGGGTCGTCATCATGATCACTGGTTTGGTGAGTTAGCATGTGGATTACAAAATCAAAAGGATTACTTGGAGAGGAGCACGCGTACTAAATGTTGTCGCTGAAGCCTTGGATCTCGCAATCATTCCCGCAGAGGGTATTCGGGTCTTTGTCCAACAAGGAACCGGCAGATCCGCCGTTCATGTAATTCGGTAGCTCGAAATAGCCACCCGTTGTATTGACAGTGACTTTGTAAAAGGTGCTATTGACCTGAAAGTCACCGCTTCCGTATTGCATATACTCGTAATTGATTAATGTGATATTCAGATAGAGCTCCTCTGTGAAATCTTGGCGGTCTCGTGTGGATTTCCAAGGTGAACTGGTGAGATTAGCAGGCATACACGCCTGCACACCCCACGTTTCTGAGAAATATTTATCAGTCGTGTTGGTATATTGAACGAAAAAAGCCCCATCTTTTTGATCACAATTCTTTGGAAAGTTCTCCGCCGAGATGTTCTCATAGTGTGCACTTGAATTGATACGAGGGGCAAATTGCCGAATAAGACCAGTATTGTAACCACTGGGCAATTGCGCCAGAAAGGGGTCCGACAACTCTTCCAGATTTTGAAATGTTGCACCGCCATTGTTACAGGATGTGGGTAGCTTCGTGACCCCGTCAGTAAAGGCACAGGATACCTTGCCACCCTGCCAGAGCTGGGCCTGTTGTTGTGAAACGGTGGCGGAGGTTAGGGCGCTGCGAGTCATGACCACAACAAAATTGTAATCGAATCCATTGTCTACCTCGGATTGAAACTGGTCTGGGATGTCAAGGAGATAGAGTACCTCCGAGGGCCAAGTAGGAGTCTTGGTTATTGTGGACGACAAGAAGATCGCCTGAAGAGGGGATATTACTGCGCCCAGGACATTCACAAACATAGCCAGAAGAAGAAAAGCGCTACCATAGTGTTTCCAGCCATCCATGGGTAGGTATGGGATGGTTCTGCCGTATGTTCTCAGATCATTCCAGCCCTTATCTGCGAGTGTCATCATCTGCAGAAGGCTGAGCCCCCGTCGCTGTTGAATGTAAATGACGGCAGCACTGGAGCAGACAGCAGAAGTCAACGGGATAGTGAAGACGGTGACAATAGATTGAATAATTTGAGCGGCACGATACCATCGCTCATTCCGCACATACAGAGAGTGGAAATAGTCGGAGCTGGTCCATCCGTAGCCATTATTTTGAGCATTCCATATCCAAACGCCGTAGTGATTGGCAGTGATAGGACGGACTGATAGAATGCAAGTGACGACCCAGGAAAAGAGGGCCAAGCCAATGTATCCAAGCGCAAGGTACAGTATGTACCAAGATCGGTCTAACAGCCGTGCCTGTGGAGGTAGTGGTGCGTTGACTTTTCTCGCAGGATCCTGGTTCTGTCCTGTTTGGTGCGCGGTACTTTCTGCGGGCGGATCATTCTCGTTGGATGGGTCGTCGAGAAGCGTATGATCATCTTGACTGAATGCTTCGCGACGAGGTGTCTTCATACCGGTGTGAAGCAATATCGACTCCGGTGATTCCTCCATGTTCGACTCGCTAGAGCATGAACGAAGAGCGCTCCACTGCCCCCTTTTTTTTGTGCCTGACAATGCTGCCAATATGTACACTTTACCCAAATTGCTCGGATTAAACTCCGGAGGCTGAAAATGGGGCTGTGCGGGTATAATGTCGATGGGTTTGAGCCAATGGAATCATCCTCTGGATTGTGATAGGTTATTCCCTTTAAGGGGGTCAGCTGGTGGGTCTAGTCGCCCCGTCCAAGCTAGTATGATTCTTCTTTAAGCACAAAGCAAGCAAGCCAAGACCTCGCTTAGATTAGCTTATTAGTGCCAGCCCAACTCATTATCTTGAAATAGGATATTCCCCGGTCTATTCCGGAGAGGGCTCATCGGGCACCACGAGCCTAACTTTCAAGACTAGGCTCCACGAAAGGACCTAAACATTCGCATTTATAGCTTGGTCGCAGCAATGACACTTGAGCACAGCTGCTATCCAGGATCGAGAAAATAGATCTACCCGCAGAACATCTGCGCAGTGGTACCGTACGGCAAGGCAAGAATTCCGTGCCTAGGAGACCTTAGGTAATGGGTTTACGATAAATATAAGTACCATGTCATAGGGCCAAAGGACTATTGTTGGCAGTTTATGATTTGTTCCTTGGGAGATGGTTCACAGAATCACTACAACCATGAATGCATAATTGACTTAGTGTGAGGGAAACAAGGACAGGGCTCGCTAAATCTTAGCAAATTCTGCACCGATTTGATCGAGCATGGCCCCATGATCCTTGCTGTATGTGTCGCCACTTTTGGTGATAACTTCGCGCACCCAAGGCCCACGAGGGTTAAAAGAAGCCTTGAAAGGTAAAGCCCGCATAACCAGGCCATAGGTGCATGCAACTGGATCAACCACGGTGGAATCGCCCGTCTCAGACAAGCCAGCCTTGATGTCAAATGACCATAGAAGCTGAGCGATAACAATCCAGATGACGTTGCGGGCAAAATGCCGCCCAGGGCAGGCCCGCCTTCCATAGCCAAAGGCCGCGGGAGGAAAGGCTTGCAATTTACCATCCTCACCCAGCCAACGATCTGGGATAAAGTCATCAGGCTTTGGTCCGAATACGGCCTCCTCCCGGGAGATAGTCCAAACATTGGGTATAACAATAGAGCCCTTGGGAATGGTATATCCATTGTAGGTGACTTCCTCTCTATTCAGATGAGGAACACCCTCAGGTCCGGCGGGCCGCCAACGGAATACTTCTTCAACAATAGCCGTGATGTATGGTAGGTTAGGCTTGTCATCTGGGACTGGAAGTCGGTCGCGTCCGACATGAGCATCAAGCTCTGCACATGCCTTGGCAATGAAGCCGTTATCTTGTGTAATACAAGCTACCACAAACCAGATTAGGCTGTCAGTAGTACCATCTAGCGCGGCATCGATCATAGTCCCAAGCTCAAATGCTAGCTCATCCAAGGGCATACCAAGGCTATCATTTTCAGCGGTTTTCTTGAGATATTTCGAAATATTCCAAGAATCGGACTCTATACCCCGACGGAAGTTCTCAACACGTAGATTATGTTTAGTTGTGTAGTGGTTCTCGGCTTTTGCCTGCCACGGTGCTAAGAAACCAGGCAGGTTATTGAGTATTGGGAACTGATCCACAATGTGCGCTCCAATCTGGATAAACTCGGAGAACTCATCGTTCAATTTGACCACAGCACGAAGGACGGGGTCGTTGGGGTCCTTGATACGGAAGCCATAAAGTAATGTATGGATAATACTAGCGGTTGTACGTTGAAAGGTTCCTTGAATTTTATCAGAACCAGCACCACCTGCATTGTCCAGGAGATCGCGTAGTAGTTGTTGGGATTCCAGAGCCTGAAAGGGGAGATATGCGGCTGCCGGTGTCGCATTCAACACAGAGACTTGTAACCTCTGATGGTGTTTGAATTGCTCCGTATAATTCATCATGAGAATGTTAAGTCCCTTCAAGGCTAGCTCGGTTGCTAACTGTAAACAAGTAAGCTTATTTTGTGTTTGCATATTCACAGGGAGGTTTGTAATCTTACGAAAAGCTGAGGTCGGTCCGAGAAAATGGCTCCACGCTTTGCTAAAAGGTCGTGTGCTACTTCGGATGTTGACAAAATGATGACGGGCTGTCCAAGCATATTGACATGAACGATCGGGCCATACTCCTCGCTCCATTCGCGGTACGTCCGCCAGCCATGTGATTTGGGAGCTTGGTGGACATTGCCAATGAGTGGTAGTGGCTTGGGTCCTGGCGGCAGGGGCAAGGACGGAGTTGAAGTTGACTTGCGCTGTTTGGCAAGATAAAAACCTATTAGTAGGCCGAAAATGACCATGCATGATGCTGCATGCATTTTTGGAAAACCTGAGTTAGAGAGAAGGATAAACCAGCGGTTTTGAATTTTTTAATCCTTGAACGAGTAGTGTCACTATCTGGACTTCGCTAAAGGGATCAGGGGATCAAAAGGGTCTGCCCTGATTGATTGTTTTGGCCCCCAAGGCACATGAGGGAAGTCGATCCTAGTCAGTGGATCCTTATGCTAAGATGGCACAATCAGAAGTAAGTCTCCCAAAGTTTCGGTCCCCAGGTTGAAAATCCCACTAATATTATTGGGCTGCAAAAAAGGGACCCCACCTGGTAGTACGTCGCCCCCTCGTCATCTCACAAGTTCTCTGTAATTATTTAGTGTGAGCTTCGTTCTAGGGCCATAATGGTTTCGCCAATGCGGTAGCTCCAAGGCAACTGGCGCAATACCATGAGCTCAGTAACAGAGTGTGTCAAATTTGTTGAAACCCCGAGATTCGACATATAATCGCACGATAACCGCATTATGTCTACCGTATCGGCGATAACTACTTCACCTATCATATGCCACGCGGTCAGTGATAGCTATATCTGTAAGGCTAGACTGCAACTCGTGCGTCACTCTAGGGCTTTTGAATGAGACCAGGCTACACATCATAAACTTCTCCGTGCTATTGAGCTTTCTCAAGGGAATTAGTAGGTATGAGCAGAATTTCATACCGCAGAAACCAGAGGCGTCGGTTTGAGTTTCCAACGTGGGTAATTATCGCTCGTCTTATCAGAACTTCTTAGCTCCATGTTAGCTGACTAGGTAATATTTCAACATACTGTTGAAAACTAAGTAAATGTCTAAGAGATATCTTCTAGATGCAGTGTTATATTTTACTAGTAACCGGAATCTCCCTATAACTCGATTCAAAAGAGACAACCAGAATGGTAAGAAGGAAATTGAAGATAATTCTCAGATAAACAAAAGAGACAAAATATCCAAATAGTGAATATTGACTCGGAGCTTTTTTGCCTTCTACTTAGCCACCCATTTCACCGGCAATAGTGCTACTTATATAAGAAGAAGACAAAGAAGGCACACGGATACATCCATCATTTATCTCATGATCGAAAAGCCAGTATGTAAAGAGGCAGATGTTCACAGATATCTCGGGAGTAGTCAATCATTCTCAGAATTCCGGGCTTGTCAAAGCACAACAGAGACATCTTCAGACATTCATAATCGTTTTCTAAGGCTGCTGTATCTGGTCGGCAGGCTGCGCCGTGAACGTAATGGGTACTGGAATTCGATGAGCCGACGCATGCCCCACTGATGCCGATCTCACCCTGCATTGCGCTTAAGATACGTAGATCAAGATCCAACAAGCTAGTAGATGCACGTGAAATCTCTTTCAGTGAATCATTAAGTGTCTCCACCTTCGCCATCATTCCTAGATGAAGCACACTGAACCCATATTACTACCGAATCTTCATACAGTGTTGGTTTCACTGATGTGTTCCTCGGCAGAAATTTCCATGACTAGGTATATGTTACCATGGCGTGCATGAGGAGAAACAAGAAAAACGACCACTGGCCTTCGAAAGGGAGTAGCTGAACCAGAAATTGAACAGAATTGCCGAGTCCTTACTGTGATCCGTCGAGATTAACGTCCAGCCCCACTACTATTCACCCGATAACTGGAAGGAACTCAATACGAGCCTAAGCAGCATGCCCCTCTACCTATTCACACCGCCCATAGGTGATGTACGCTTTCTGAATTTCTTCAGCTGTGGTGATTTTAAGTTTCGATTAGCACGTAAGCAAGGAGTCTACCGTGTGACGTGTCTATCTAGAGAAGGATTATTTGCCGGTATTCCAACTTACTTTCATGTTAATATCCCAATTAGCGATACAAAATCGAATGTGATATCGTATATTCGGGGCGGGCTGTGCAGTACATGCGTTGCTGTCCACCTAATCAAGTGAAATGTCTTTTGATGCAGCAGACCGCTACCCGAAAAGCAGCTGACGAGGATACGAAGGGATGAAGCGAGTCTTGTGGCAAATGGAGCTTGTGAAATGAAGCATGGGATATGCCTTTGAAGATAAGAAAAAACCAAGGTCTAATATAAATTCAATCCCACATCATAATGAGGAATTTGCCCAGCTGAACTTTGCTTTTAACATTGTCTAATATAAGAGTTCGCAGGCTATGGCTACCTATCACACAACCTTCCGAGAGTCCCTTGGAGGTCAGAAAGTGACTATTCCGAATGTATACGAGATACTTCCTGAATGGAAGCCCAGGACCCACAAAGAGTATAAAAGGGCAAAAGAGGACGTTCTTGACCCATGGATCGAAAAGTATGCTGCATATAACCAAGGCTGCCCCGCTTTTGAGAAGTTAGGTCATGATATGAAGATAACTAATGTTGAATGAAGATGGGTGGACGACAAGCGCACCGCTCAGAAACTCAAGGCTGCCGACTTTGGCTTATTTGCTGCCGTTTGGACTACAGATGCATCATTCGATGTGCTTTGTACGGCTGCTAAGTATTTTGCCTGGGTTTGTTTAACCTACCAATGGCCTCGAAAGATTCCATGGCTGATACGATTATATCAAAATTAAAGTATTTCGTGTATGATGACAGTAAGTTTCCCTAACAAAACATGCTGAAAATTACAGAGACGCTAACAGTGGCACGAAACTTGAGTTTTCGATTGTGGCTCGTTGAAGTATGACACCGGTATCGTTGGGGCCTACAGAGAGGCCAGCTTGCAGTATTTCAAGTATTCGCTCAATGGAGATGGAGAAGCACCAGACCTTTCTATGTTCGACATGGAACTACAGAAGGGTCTTCAGTGCTGGGACGAAATCGGCCTGCATATCCATCGGGTTTGTTCAAAAGGTATGTGAAATTCTGAATTTATGTGTTAGAAGTACATTGCGGGATATGATGTTAAAGGAATTCTAGAGACTCGTGAGATTCTGTGTGATGAAATGCTGCGATATGTGGGAAGCCTGAACAATGTCGACAGCATCTTCGAGGACTCCCACATCCCGTCCATCCAGTGAGATGTGGATCCCTTCTTACGTGTTGCCCGCCGCTTGCTAACCACATGTTAGACATTATTGGAACCGCCGTGAGGCCACAGCTGCAGTATATTGTGTGATTGCAACGATTCCGTATGATCTACCCGATATATTACCATAAGAGAGAAGGATATCTGACCATTCTAGATTCATTTATGGACTCGATATTACTAGGGACGATGTCAACGACCGACCTATGAAAGATCTGTGGAGACATGCCTCATATATCGTTCATATGTGAGTTCTTGGCGTCCACTGATAAATGGATTAGCAAGGAATATACTCATAGGCGCGATAGAACGAATGACATGTTTTCAATGCGGAAGGAAATTGTAAGATGACCAGAAATCCCCCAATAGGTCTCGTGCTGAAACCTCTAGGGTGATAATCAAATCGAGAACCTTGTTCCGGTGTTGATGCTGAATCGCTCAATTGACTGCAACACGGCAATGAGCCAGAGCTACGAGTTTGCCGTCAATGAAGCAATGGGTTTACGTGACGCTGAAAAACGTCTCCTTACGAAATGCGAGAATGAATCGAAGGCGATTATTACCCAGGCGTTTATCCAAGGTTGCCAGGATGTTGCAATGGGCCTTGTTCATTGGAGGTACAGTCGTATTCCTTGGCAATTTGAGAGCCGTACTAACTTTTACTGGCAGTTATTGCGGGCATAGATATATGATGCCCTGGGAGCGCGATTTAAACGGTGCCATAACATTCACAATCCAACCGCCGGAGTCTGAGCCTCAAGCCGCTAGCATGACCCAACAGTCTACCGCTTCGAGGGGCTACCTACAGAAAATACAGTCTCAGCTGCAGAACGCGAGTCACGCTTTTGCTCCCTTCAGTCCATTGATCATAATGGTGACTATCTCGACTATATCCGCCTTTGCATTTGTATCTAGGATTACGATTTCAATTTTTCCGGGCTGGTTAGCCAGATGGAAGCAGCTTATTTGATGTTTTGAGCTGATCCTTCAACAATTCGATATTCCTTTGCAATACTCATGGTCTTTGTATCTCTACTAGCTAGGGGATGTCAGAATGGATTGATCGATGCATTGCAAACTTTCTTTGTCACTCTCAATAGTTTATTGAATCATGTTCTATTTGGCAGCCTATAGGTATCCGAAATTGTGAAGATGTCCATATTGACTGGAATAAAAACAGGTTTATACATATTTCATGTTGAGATCCTTGGGAACGCGGTTGTGACCCACTGTAGCTGCCAGTGAACATCTGGGCTTGATCATGAATCCCGACGTCAGAGATTTTCCCGTCGCACTTTCACTTGCACATTATTCATGCCTTGAGCGGTCTGTCCGCTAAAATTATCTTGCACCATCTCAACATTTTCCCTTGTTGTGTTATACAAAACAAGGTCGAATCGTCGAAAAATCGTGCCAATAACCAAGTATAACCATGCCCATGCCATACTGATGATCGTCAGTAGTGAGATTGCAGATAAAGATGTTGAGCTTACTTGGGACCTAAGCATCCCAGTCCACCTTTGGAAAATGGAACCAGGTATTTTTCCAGCTTTCGAAGTTCTTCCGGTCCAATCAGCCACCGCTCTGGATTGAATTTCGTCGGTTCTGGAAAGATGCGCGGATCTCTCAGGATATGATAAATTGTCATGCTAACCGGTGTCTGAAAGGAATCAGTCCACATTTCAAGTCAGTTTAATTGGTTTTGCAACATCCAACATACTCCAGGTGGAATCTTCCAATTGTGGAATTGCAGGACCTCATCTGGCGCCACCCGGGGCTGCCGGGGAACAACAATGTTCGACAGCCGTAAACCTTCTCTTAGGACTGCAGTCTGTTCAAGTTTGCTCAGTGCTTGACTTCCGAGTATGTGATCCGGAATTTCTTACTAGATAAGGGAGACGCTCTAATTCATCTAGACTTGGAATGCTTGTGACTTCCGGGAATGCTGAGAATAGCTCATCCTTTAACCTTCGAAGCACTTTCGGATTGTCAAGAATGTGAAAGCTGGTGATTGCAAGAGCTTCCGAGGGGGCATCTGAGGCTGCAAGCATGAAGAAGGTCGCGTCTTCTTGAAGGCGTTTGGCCTGTTTTTCACTCGGTGGTACCTTGTCGTTAGCCAGCATTGCAGGGTAAATTGCCCTTTTTTTCTGCTCGTCATCCAGTTTACCGTCTTGTTGATCCTGAATGGCACGCTTGACCATTCTTTTGATAGTCTAGCTTGTTATCAGTGACATTTAGCTTCGACATAGTAGGCCAAGATTCACTCACAGTTTCTACATAATATGTTCGCCTAAATGATGGGTACACCAAGCATGATAGAAAAGGTATCAAGTGCCCCAAGGGATACAAAAATGGAAATTGTCTGACCAATCTTGCACTAGCGAACATTGCATTCACTCCGTTCTTCCAAGTCGACGTCAATTCCGGCTCATCGAGAAATCGGAATCCACGTTGCTCTCCAAAGGCGTACTGCGACATAGCATCACCTGCAAATGATATGAAGGCAGCGTGAAGCTCCAATGTTGCATCGCAATTTATTGACTGGGAGAAATGACGACACAGTGATTGGAGCTTTTCTTGAAGAACAGGCTGGAACTCTCGAACTGCCTTTCGTGTAAAGAATGGACTGATCAAACTTCTCCGCGCCCGATGCGATCTGTGGTCTGCGGTAGAGAATAAGGAACTGGTAAGGCCAGTGTAGTAGAACCAGCGCTCCTTTTCGCGGTTATGCGTCGGTCCTGAATAGAGTGTCGTGTAGTTGTCGGGGTCGTGGACATGCACTTCATTAGGCTTGATGCGAACCACTGGCCCATATTTTTGATGAAGATATTCGATTTGCCATGTAAACCTTCCTTGCTTTACCAACTGGAAATATGCTTCATACCATCCTGACGCAGCGGCTAGAGTTGGGCCCGGAAATTTCGCCAGGGGGCTTAAGAAGATTCGATATGAGATAAGGCAAACAAAGTATGTAAGTGTGATCAGGATAACGCCATAGAGGTAACTGCATACTTTGTAATCCATAATCTTTCTTCAGAAGAAGGGTCTCGGTACGCTCAAATGATATTCACTCGAGATATGAGGTTTGAGGCTTCAACAAAGTCTCAAGCTCAGTCATAGCGTTTTCGAGACTCTTTATACATGTTTGCTCGGACACCTAGGGAATGTTACCCAAAAAAAGCAAAAAGCGAGAAATGAGGCAATAATACGCTGATCTATCACAAGGATACTTCATGATGATGAAGTTCAAGAACAAAATGTTGAAGGTAGCACAGTGGAATTTGGATTGACTATATTCCTTTTTCTGGGAGAAAGCAACTCATCAATAGTCGATTTAACCAAGTTGAAGCGTCTCAACACAGTGCCAGCCCGGAGGTGTGAGTATTGATGACAGAAAAAGCAAAATTTATCGAGATCATGTGTCCACTGGTACAATCCGAACAGGCGGCACGGACTCTTCAAGCTCACAATGGCGTTTAAATATGTGAATCAATCTAGATGAGAAAACATCATACGCCATCAACACTCGGGGTCTCTCGATATCAGGGCAGAGCTTGAATGCGATCGAACGGCATGATCTACATCAACCATGCTTCTCGCCCAAACAGGACCGGCAGAAAACCTGGAACATGACGGCAATCTACTGCAAGGGTGTATTTAACCGTGATCTCTGACCGAAAATGTTTCTAGATGCACATGAATGTTGGAGGGAGTTTCATATGAAATCACTGACATCTAGCCTCGGCAAGTTTGAACATCGAATTTGCGCGCCAGCGCCGTGATTTTTGCTTTTTTAGATCAAGTCCCATGAGAGTTCACAAAAATAGCTTTAGTGCTAGGAATATCACAGATAATGCAGCTGAAATAGTAATCGACACAGTAAGGATCAATAGGCCTACCACTTCACCTGAGTCACACCCGACTCAAATCGCGCGTGGACCTTGACTTCTCGAGTGATCGTCAGTCACTGGACTACTTGTCACACAATTTATATATTCTGTGACCTTCTATTGGAGATGGTGGTTGAGGTACCTGTCTCAAAGTGTACGAGCACGCGATTGTGCCGTTACCTTTCCAGGGCTATACCCTATCCATCCCACTCGTGGAGCCTTGCATCCGTACCTTAAGACGAGGACCCCGAAAGATAGCAAGCGCTTATTATCTCGCAATGATCTTATTTGGATCATCACACATTAAGTAGGTGAGATCGCATTGCCCAGGAGCGTTCATTTGGGTAAAGTTGAAATATCTATCTTATCAAGCTGTCCACGAGTTTCGAGCGCTAGTCTTATTAGTGTGCACATGATACCTATATAAAGCACAAAGCTTGGGTGCTAACTCCGAACTAGATATAGACTTACTAACAAGCTTTACCATACCTACGGCCAATACGCTCGCCAAAAGGAAGCGAAGCTTGACCCTTCAAGTATATCACCATTCTGGTGTGATACTTTATATGCAAGGGGTCTGCCGACACCGATTGAAGATCACAGTGCTGATGTTATCGGACGGACTTTGCCTAGTAGTGCAGATATGAAAAACATTCCTTTGTGTCGCTCAGATCATTTCAAACCTTAAAGAGCCCCCAAACAGAGAAATGCTGAGACGCTATTAATTTAATTGACGGCTCTTGATCTAATTTCCCTGATACATCTTTAGGTGAAGGTATTTACCGGATAATATCTTAAGCGTGCCAAAACCCGTAAAGATATTGTGTAGCCCTTTACATTCATCTGTTCCCATTTTTAGGGTCTACTAACATGGGCTGATTCCTTTCATAGTGACATGAATCAATGCTTGCTCGTAGAACGTATTACGAGGGGATAATAAGAGGCAAATGAATATGTGCTTCGCATGCTTTCGCGCAAGGATTTATGTCCAGCCACTGGCTATCACATTATATCCAGCTCTTTGCAACTGACTATGGCCTTTGTGCTACTTCGGAAAAAGAAGAATTCGCTACGTAGGGCACAGTAGAATGCAGTCTACCGCACCGGAAGTTGCGGATGGTAGGTTTGTAGTGTGAGGTCAGTCTGAAGTTCGGATAAGATGTTAATATCAGCTGTTGTAGTGGTGTTTGATATTGCCTTATCGTATCAGGGGTACATCAGTGAATTATGAGTGACAAAGTGCAAGTCGAAATCCTTCGTGGAAAAAATACAGGTTTGTGAGTTTTCTTTTTGGCCATAGAGTGAGGCAGCTCGGTGAAACGTCACTGCTGATGGGCTCAGACCTCCTGCGAATCTCCACTGGAGTCGCAATGTTTTGGAAGTGGATTTCATCTATCAGTCCAGCTTTTGCTCCGTTTTAGTGGAACTTTGTTTGATTTGGCTAGGCTACCAGGTATGAGGTATTCACCCAAACATCATGACCACTAGTGAGGGGAGGAATATGCAATCAGTAAACCAGATGGTCTCTTTAAATCATCTCATGAGCCACGACATGCTAATAAATTGGATTTCTATATTTGAGATTGATCTAGTATCGGAACATGAATCTCTTACTTGGTTGGACTTTCCTATATTGGGTTGTGCATGCCTCTTCACAGACCTTGTTTTAGCAAGATAATTAGGCTCATCGATAGCTCAAGGACATGAAGTAAAGAGCTGGTGGCATCAAATTCACATTTACATACATCATAAAAGCATGGTAGAGATCAATAACATTCCCGGTAGTGCTACTTATTAGGATCAACCTTTTCAGTAGGTGTTCTACGCCGCTTTGTGAAATTCGCGAAATCTACATTCTACTTGAATTCGGTGGAAAAAGCTTCAGAAACGAAGAAGAGTCGGTAAATCATCATTTATCCCTCTTGTGGAAATCGTTTCTTACTTTTTCTAACGCTCTGCCCCCGCGCTGCCGTTAGCTTTGTACACGGTTACTTCTTGCGTGCTCCAAGCCACGACGTTTGTACATCGAGGCTGGGATAGTGTCTTCAGATGTTTCAGGTGCTCATTTATAGAACAGGCTTCAATCGTATACACAGGTCCTTGTGTGCATGTATTGCCAATTGTTTAACCGTTTCATGTATGATGAGTAACTAATGGGGCACAGATTGAGGCATTTTTCAGAAGGGAATCGATTTCTAAGTGGCATACTCATTATCATGACCAAAATTCCAAAATTTGCGAAGCTTGGACCCTGCGTCTAGGGATTTTAATCCATGGCAACAAATAATATAGGCAGATAAACACAGACTTGAATGAGATATCAATCTTGCGTGTCTTGACGAGTGTAACATAATAATCCTTGGCAAAGCCCCGCGGCGTTCCATACTAGTCCTATGAAAGGCTCCCAGCAGTGCCGGATCGGATCCTACCGGATCCAATAGGAACTTATCACCAAGCAGAGCCACCTTGTTATGTGAGATTAAGAGACTAGAGATATCAGACGGGGCAAATTCTAAATACAATTAGCCTGCCTGGCCCACGACTATGGATGATAGCCTCTGAATCTCCATACTGCTCGCCCTCCGCTCAGTGCTATCTCCATTGTCCTTAAATGTGGTTCCTCAGAATATGCTGTTTGACTGCCTTGTGAAATGGTCCTGTGTAACTGAACCATATTTATTTGTCTAGGATAGTGAGATCCCAATAGATAGTACCACCAAGCTTGAAGAGAGATTAGGTTCTGTGCAACTAAAAATATATAAATAGCTAGGGATAACATTGCGTGGACTCTGTTTGGTTGCCGTACTTCCCTGATATCCAGATTGCACCATCTATCTTATTACGTCCAAATGTAATAATACTAGCTCGACCGACCAGATAGAAAGTTAGACTTTTTCTCCATTGCCACAATGGGGCGTTTAGGCCAATATGTCATCCTGCTACAGGTGCTTAACCCAACAGCTTGGGCCACAAACAAGGCAGTGTTCGCTCATTTTATGGTATGAAACCCGTCTGTCTCCATACTTCTCAAACTAACCACATGGGGAATGCTTGTTTAGATGGCGAACACCGTAGCATACGAAATTTCCGACTGGGAGCAAGATATCTCCTTAGCTCAAAAGGCCCACATCAACGCCTTTGCCCTCAACATGGCCTACGGCACACCAGGAATGGAAAGGTCAACCGCAGATGCCTTTAAAACAGCAGAAGATCTCGGATTCATGCTTTTCTTCTCATTTGATTATGCCGGAAACGGGTCCTGGCCCCAAGATCAGATCGTCGATTACCTACAGAAATATGCCCCCAGTTCCGCTTATTACACATACCAAGGGAAGACTTTCGTGTCTACATTTGAAGGGACCGAAAGTGCCGATGACTGGGTCAACATAAAGAACAAGACCGATTGTTTCTTTGTTCCCGACTGGTCATCTGTCGACCCTTCATCTGCCCTCAAGCTTGGCGGAGGTGTCGTGGATGGGTTATTCTCGTGGGCGGCTTGGCCAACAAACTCTGAACAAATGACCACCCTTGTGGACGCTTCATATCTAAATGCCCTCAAAAAGTCCGGGAAGCCATACATGATGCCGGCGTCTCCCTGGTTCTACACAAACATGCCGGGGTACAACAAGAATTGGGCGGTGCAGGGGGACGACCTGTGGTATAACCGATGGGTGGAAATTAGCTATTTAGACCCCCAGTGGGTTGAAATCATTTCTTGGAATGACTATGGAGAATCACACTATATCGGACCCCTTAATAGCAAGGGTTACGGCGTGTTCACCTCGGGTAAGGCACCATACAATTACGCACGAGACATGCCACACGATGGCTGGAGGCTCCAACTCCCCTTTGTCGTTGATCTGTATCGAACAGGAACAGCGTCCATGACACAGGAAAGCTTGGTTGCTTGGTACCGCACCGAGACTGGACATTCTTGCTCCGGTGGGAATACCACAGGCTTTTCAGTTTCTGGACTTCATGTCGACATCGATAACGGCAATTTGCTTGAAGATAAAATCTTCTTCTCAGCACTCCTGGCGTCAAATGCTTCGGTCTCAATCAACATTGGTGGTCAAGAGTTCGATGGTCAATGGGAACATGAGCCTTACGGTGGCATCGGCGTCTATCACGGCAACTTCGGCCTTAACGCTAGTCATATTGGAAATATCACGATTGAAGTCTCACGCGACGATGATAAAACTGTGAGCCTTGATGGTCGCTCTATTACGGCGACCTGCACCAAAGGCTACGCGAATCTCAATGCATGGGTTGGAAGTGCCACCTCGGGAAGCACTCTGCCCGCAACTTCGCCACAGATGACCCTATCTGAGCAAGTCTGTATCAAAGGCTCTGGTTCAGCAAACTTCACAGAGCTCTGTGAATTTTCCTGCCGATATGGGTACTGTCCTATGGATACGTGCTATTGCAGTGCAATGGGTGCCGCCAGGGAGAAACCAAAAGCCACCGAGGATCAGGGACATCCTAAAGATGGAATCCAAAGCTACACTGGATTATGTTCCTTTGCGTGCTACTATGGATACTGCCCTCAGAAAACCTGTTATTCAACCAAGGGCGGGTCATGTAATGGCTCGGGCTGTAAGCATGCCAATTCAGGGTCAAGGGCTTCTGTTGTTCTTTCCTTAATATTTCCTTTCATTTTCTTTCTTTCATATAATTTCCTTGCTAAATGATAAGTTGTTGACTGAATACACCTTTTTGGGGTGGATACAATGGACTCTTAGGTAGTATTCCTTACCGTCTTGCTTATTCCGTGGAAATGCTACGAGAGTGTAGAGATAGGATGCACGTTAGAACTGCAGCTGGGATCTACAATTTTAATTCCAATCTAACAAAGTTGCCTGTAGAGTAGTGTATATTATAGATGCCGAAATTGAACAGCAGACTCGTAAGTTGTTAAATATTAATTTCAATTTATGAATCAATAAGTGGAAAGAACATTGCCTCGTTCAGAGGTACCAACTGTGTTCCTTGCAATCTGCGTATGTAGCCTCATACCCCCTACTCTACATTTTTCAGAAAATTTATCCATTGGTAGGCTTATGTTCATGTTTACAAAATATGACCTCTTGAATTTGTAGTCAGACTTGGCTTAAAGCGTCTACATCCTCACCTATCAATTCCGGCGACAAGCATAACAACGGTGCCTGATGCATTACGTATGTCTTGTACTCTGGAAGTCTATTATGACCAATTTGAGACAATCAATTAAGATGATGCACGTATCATCTCTCTCTATTTCTCGTTTCAAATCCTTTCTGGTTTAAACTCTAAGATCGGGTGGGCCATTGGATTCACCCGCAATATTTAAGCTGAGCCTTGATGACGCCGTTAGCTCTTCGTACATGCAACTTCCCGTGAGCAATAGTCCTCCTTTGTTATCTTTAGGATCCAGGGCCTTACCATTGACTACGTAGGCGTGTCTATCATGGTCTTATACAGTCTCATCTCACAAGGCTAACCTGGGAGTAAGATCATTAAATCCAATAGTATCAAGAATATCCATCGCGCTTTGTCATTCCTTGAGCTGACCTATCAATTTCTAAGGTGCACTGGGTTAATACTACGCGCTGGGCTTTCTAATTTGGAACCTGGTCAAATGCCAAGACAAGTGCTGCTATATGCTCAGACATCCAATAGGGCTTCTTGAAAATGGGGGGACGCTTAAGCGCCCGGTGAGGTGTGCTACCTTGGGAAGCTTCGTGTGGGCAAACTTCGGGCTTCAAGATTTAAATTTCCCACCTGCGCGCCTCGCATTCTATCCCCGGATACCATACGAGTCTCAAATCATTCTTTCATTTAAACGATGAGAGATATTTAGAGAAGATTGAATAAAAGCAACTTCATTCGGTTTTAGAAAGATTCAGGCATTTGTGCCAGAATGAAAAAAAGGGGTATGTGCAACATTGTAAGAGACTAGCTCGATAGTCATGAACGGTATCAACAAACAATCCGGTTATCATATGCAGAACAGCCGGCTATCCTGCAGTCAGTCATAAAAAAGGTGGAGGCTCTGCATGACGAGAGTCCACTAGTAATACACCAGATCAAAATTGGTCCGTGTGTGCTCGATTAAAGGAATAACCTGCAGGGGGACCATTGCGATTCATCGTGGAAGGCGACGCTGTGTTGGCTCGGGTGAACGGTTGGTAGCCTGCAGGTGGTGGCACGCGGGGCATGCGAGGCTGGGGTGTTGAAGAACTACCCGACGGGTTTAATGCAGTGTACCCAGTGCTTTGTGAGGCAGAACCCTCAGGACTCATAGGAGTGAATGATCGCGGGGGAGGCCGCATTGACTGATCCGCTTGCTGTGGCGCAGGTGTTGCTCGGCTTGCTGGAGTCATGGACCGCAATGGTGGGGCAGTTACTTGTGGATAAGGCGTTGTCGCAGCGTTCGCTGGGGTGAATGATCGAGCCTGGTATCCATCTTGGTGATAAATTGTTGTACCGGTAGTTGCCGGGGTATATGATCGATATTCATTCTGGGGGTGGGGTGTTGTCGTGCTTGCAGGGGTGTAGGATCTGTTCTGGTATCCGTCTTGAGAAAACTCCGCCGCCGCACCGTTGGTCGGACTGTACGACTGGTATGCATCTTGGGACTGGGCCGTGGCTGTGCCTGCTGGAGTATAAGACCTAGCCTGATATGGATCCTCGGGGCGGTACGTTCCACCTGTGCTTGCAGGCGTGTATGATCGAGCCTGGTAGGGATCTTGGGAACGGGGATTTCCGCCAGCAGACGCAGGGGTATATGATCTTGCTTGATATCCCTCTTGGGAGTGGTACCCATGCTGCGCATTGTTGTCACTATGATGCATAGATGTCTGATAGTTGTCAAACTCATCCTCCTCGTAGACATCCCCGGAAGGTCCATATCGGTCGTAATAATCGTGAGTAGTATCCAGGCGAGGGGCGAATGTAGCATAAGGATCAGCGGCAGGTGTGTATGTGCGAGTCGGCTGCTCTCTAGAGTCCGTCAAGTTACGATATTGGGATGGTGGGTAGCTAGATTCGGTCTCGTTTGTGTATTGGGGTCCAGGAGTGGGATGAGCATGGGCTGAGCCCATCCTGGAGGGCACATTGTGAGGTACAGGCGGAACCGGAGGCAAAGGTGAGGCATGACGGTCAAGAGGACTGTATCCCATCGGAGCTGCATTGGCGGTCAATGGGGCCGAGTCTGCTGATATAGCTGACGATTTGGTGGTGGTCCGACTCAAAGGTGGTTTGCTGTCGAGTTCGAGATTCGGCAGAGTCGGCATTCGTTCCGTCCGAGTTGAGTTCGAGCGGGTATATGGAGGCAAAGTTGTTTCAGTGGTGCTGCGTGATAACGTGGTCACAACAGGGGTCTTATCCATATCGATAGAAGGTAGGGTTGGTTTCGAGTCCGCGGTTGCCAGACCCGGTCGGGTCGGCACACGATCCTGTAACTGTAGACCTTTTGCAAGAGCTTTGTCAACCTTGCGGCGAACGATTCGTTTAAGTCGAGTACTAATCTTGCGCCGGCAATACGCCTTGAGGGATCCGTCTTCTGCTGGGATATGGTGGAAAAGGAAGATTAAGTAAAGAATGACCGCTGAGGCGAGCTTCAAAACAGATAGAACCCAGATAACCAAGGTAAACAGCATACCAAACAAGACGACAGCTTGAAGGTTGTTTTCCTCAGCGAGAACTTTAACATTGTTAAAGAACTGTATGATTCCCGAGGCATTGCCATCGCTTGTCGTGTTCTCCCCTCCTGGAAGAAGGTCCATTTTCATGACGGAGTAGAGAGTGATGGCATTGATAACTTGACGCGGCCCATCGGCAAAGATGGTGTTCATCCAGAATTGAAAGGCAAAGTATGTATACAGCGCGACATACTCGGCTCCTTTCTTACTCTTTGTCAGCTCAGCAAAGACCAGGAACTTCTTCCACCCACGACCCTTTCTTTCGATGACACGAAAACTTTGAATGCGCACGGCAAGAGGGTCCAGATAGCTCCGAGTGATACTGCCTGAGCGCATAGCGCGGATTGCGAAGATCCATCGGTATACCAGTAGAGTGAGCGATACGATAATGCACACGGCGAAGATCCAACGCGAGATTTTGAATGGAATGGCGGGTTCAACTCGACCAGACCAACGCGAAAATGCGAGTAGATTGACGGCAGTAAAGATGTCTACACCATAGACTGATACCGACACAATGAGCATTATCCATAGGAAGATGTACGAGAAGGGTGTCCAGCATGAATCGGATTTGAAGTCGTCAAGATTCTAGAATCTCAGTCAGTACGGATAGTCCTCATGGGAGACCTGTAAGGCGACCTACAACGTAGTCCCATTTTTCCTCCAGTTGCGCCTCTCCTTTTTCGCGATCTCCAGAGCAACCCATTTTGCTGGAGGACCTGGACCGGCCAGGAAGCAATTAAAGGGTGAAGGGTATTGAAACGAGTGTGCAGAATGACTGATTGGGAGGATAGACTTCGTCGGTCCAGCCGTGCGAAGCCACGATCTAGATGTCGGATCCGAAGTCGAGTAAACGAGAGACAAGGACACAGGTGTAAGAAAAGAGCGACCAGGAGTGTCTTAACCGCGTGAATGGCGCATGTCTGAAAGAGGCTAGGGGGGTTGGCGAAAGGCTGCAATTGCCACGAGCTGGGAAACGATAACACCAATGTGTTTCAGAACGGCATTCACTCCAGCCCTAGAAGCAATGAGGACGGGGCATTGATCGCCAAGTAGGAGTGTCGAATCGCTTTGTGATCGCGCCAAGAAAGGGGGTGGATTAGGATCAGCAGTCGATCGGATTGCGGAGAAAGAGTGCGCGCGTAGTTTGCGGCTGGAATGAATGAGCGAGCAGACTCGAACAAAGCAAGTCAAAGGAATGAGCGAAGTGAATGAAAAGCGCAGGAAGCCAGAGATTGAAAGGGGGGAAGATGAAAAGATGAAACAGATGCTAAAGGGTTCGGTGAGTGGAGCAGCGGGAACCTCTCTAGGGCTGATAAAGGAATCGCAAACAAACACTCGATCTTTTCATTTCTCCCTTGGCTTTTCTATAATTATCGCGACCATGTTGGTCTTTCTTGAAACTCGATCTGCAGCTTCCTGCTGTCAGCTATGTAGTCCTGCCATTGGCTCTGTCCAGCTGTTTCTGTTCCCTCCCCGCGGGCCCACTTTGTATGAGACAAATAATATGGGGCCAAACGCTCGGCGCACTCTGTTAACCTGTCAACGTCCCTCGCTCTAGCCGCCGAACTCGGCCGAACATGCATTTTAGCCGCCCAAGTTGATCACTGTCGCAACCATCTTGTTTTGCCTTGATCCACATGTTCGTTTGCAGAATATGAATGGAGTACACCTGACGAAACTGGGCCAAGAGTGAGGTCTCAGAATACGAATACATTTCTGCCGCAAATAAAGGCTCGCTTCTGCGAGTGCATCTTGTAGCTGATCTGGGCGCGATATTAGCCGGTGATATCTAAAATGTTGCTAAATAGTCCCTTTCCAACGGGAACGGAATCCATGTGGGGGGAGGGGGGCGTCCATTAGTGAACGAGATTTCAACGCTGCCTATGCTGGTTGTATATATCCGGGGATACCTGGAAGCCTGATAGACTTGGATTACAAGTAGGCCGACAGGTCGTGGGTATCGAGAACTGAGTAAGTATATGCCCGGGTGGTGAACAAACTCTATGCAAAGTCATCATCTTGGCATTGGGAGTCTCGACCTCGGATATCTGTCATATCTCTACCCAATGGTCCTACAGCGTTTATCTACGTATCCTGGTCTATGGTTGCGCGACCGTGATCAAAGGGCAAGGTAGAGGAGGAAACACAAGAAAACCTTCACAGAGAACACCAAAGCCTCATCCATGATCCGAGATCCCGAACCAAATCCCGCCTCTCAATGGCTTCTCAAATGGTGACGTCGATAAGGTTATCCGGTATGCAGGGTGAGCTCCGAATTTATAAGCTGGTGGGGCATTGGCCTCATCGGAACATGACAACTACATAACGCCATTGTATTTTCAGCCTGTGTTCAAAAGTAATCCTTTGGCATAAATACCTTGGAAATTTCCTCTTTCTCCTCGCCCAACTTATTCAATATCTCAGAATGGCGCAATCCACTCGCGATATCGTAAACAAGCCCGCCGAGGGCATCTCATACTTTACCCCTGCGCAAATCCCGCCCGCGGGATCCGCAGCGATTCCCCAGTCTGATGGAGCTCAGCCACCAAAGCTCTTCCAGCCTTTCAAAGTGCGGGGTGTAACCTTCCACAATCGAATTGGGGTACGCTAATCGTCTATCACTGGTTTCTGTTGATGATCGACTAGAATGCAATCTAATCGTTAAATCTACAATAGCTCTCGCCTCTATGCCAATACAGTGCCGATGATGGCCACATGACGGACTGGCACATGGCCCACCTGGGCGGAATCGCTCAGCGTGGACCCGGTCTTCTCATGGTCGAAGCGACAGCAGTGCAGGCCGTGGGTCGAATCACCCCACAAGACCATGGTCTCTGGAAGGACTCTCAGATTGAGCCACTCCGCCGCGTGGTGGAATTTGTGCACAGCCAGAACCAGATCATCGGTATCCAGCTCGGCCATGCTGGACGCAAAGCAAGCACTGTAGCACCATGGTTGAGCGCCGCAGATACAGCCACGGAGGCAACGGGTGGATGGCCCAACGACGTCATCGGCCCATCTGATATACCCTTCAGGGACGAGTTCCCGAAACCCAAGGCGATGACGAAAGCCGATATTGAACAATTGAAGAAAGACTGGGTAGCTGCCATCAAGCGAGCTCTCAAAGCAGGCGTGGATTTTATTGAGATCCATAATGCCCACGGCTACCTTCTTATGAGCTTTTTGTCACCGGCCGTTAATCAACGTACCGATGAATACGGTGGTAGCTTTGAGAACCGGATCCGGCTGACAATGGAAATCGCAAAATTGACTCGCGAGAATGTTCCTGATGACATGCCTGTTTTCCTACGTGTCTCGGCTACTGACTGGTTGGAAGAGTCTATGCCCAACGAGCCGAGCTGGCGCGTGGAAGATACTGTTCGTCTGGCTAAGGCCTTAGCAGAGAGTGGCAATATTGATGTGATGGATATCAGCAGTGGCGGAAATCATAATTTGCAGCATATTCATGCTAAGCCGGCTTTCCAGGCGCCTTTTGCTATCAAGGTAAAGGAGGCAGTTGGAGATAAGCTGATGGTCGGCTCGGTCGGCATGATCAGCTCCGCCCACATGGCCAATGGTCTTTTGGAGAACGATGGCTTGGATTTCGTCCTTATTGGACGAGGATTCCAAAAGAACCCAGGTTTGGTATGGACCTGGGCGGAAGAGCTGGATGTTGAGATCGCCATGGCTAACCAAATCCGCTGGGGCTTCGCCAGTCGTGGCGGTGGGGCCTATCTGAAAAAGAAAGGGGTCCAGGTGTAAAGCTATATTCGTAATCAGACACTTGGCTAGCTCTAACGATAGGTCTCGGTAGAGAGTGATTGGAATGACATTGGTATTCTTACTCCACGCTTTCATTGTATATTTTCTCTTGGGGTTTGGCTGCTCATCCGGTGTAATGGCCTTGCCCGAGTAACGTTTCAACTTTGCCTCCATACGTTTGCTTTCACTGACAACTTATATTCCTGGAGCAGGCCAATGAGTGGCTGTAGAGGAATCATACTTTCGAGCTCGTGGTGTCTTTTATTGGCCGATTGCAGTGGACGGCTGTTTGAAATGCCTTGCTGATCACTTTGGCGCAGACGTCGTCCTGTCATCTCAAAAAAAATCGACATTGTGATATTCAAGGCTTACACAATGGCTAGCTTTCAACTGATGGACAGATATCTAAGAAGTAAGCCTACTACTTGCTCTGCACACAATATTCACGCTTAAAAGTGTGGGGTGAATCCACTCGCTGACTAAGGATCTGCATGATGACATAGCTGCGGGGAGATGATCCAAGGTTGACTTTGTTTTGCTTTCAATTATCTAAGCTCAATGTCAACGTTACGTTGACCTACCCGATACCATATTGGCAGTCAAGATGTCAGATCGATCAGGAGACAGACCTGATCCGGAGGACGTTGAAGCTACGCCCTATTCACCGTACGAGAATGAGCTGATAGCAGAGTCAGGCCGAGTCCAGGGTATGCCTAGCCCAGACCGACGAATACATTAAAATTGAGATATTGACTATCAACCTAGGCGATGGTCGCGTTAAGATCAATCTCGACTCAACAGTCGCAAGAGCGATTGCTGAAAGCATCAATTACCAGCAAGAACTTCGCCGGGAGTCCAGCGATTATGGCCAGAGAGTTGCCCAGGCACGATCATTTAATTTAAAACTAAACATAGTGATCCAAATTGTGGGAAGCCGTGGAGATGTGCAGCCGTTCGTCGCATTAGGAAATGCCTTACAAAGACATGGTCACCGTGTCCGTATCGCAACCCATGGCGTTTTTGCCGATTTCATTCACAGTTCCGGACTGGAATTTTTTCCTATCGGTGGGAATCCAGCAGACTTGATGGCATACATGGTCAAGAACCCTGGCCTTCTTCCTCAGATGGAAACTCTACGAGAAGGAGAAATCTGCAAGAAGAAGATCATGATTGGAGAGATGCTGGAAGGGTGTTGGAGGTCCTGTGTTGAACATGATCCATATACCCAGGAACCATTTGTGGCAGATGCTATTATCGCTAATCCGCCAAGTTTTGCACATATTCATTGTGCTCAGGCGTTGAGCATTCCTACTCACTTGATGTTTACGATGCCCTGGAGCAGTACCAAGTCTTTTCCGCATCCTTTGTCTAGTTTGACTGCAGACCCGGAGTATAAGGGCCTTGATTGTTGGGCCTCTTATGGTGTAGTGGAATGGCTTACATGGCAAGGGTAAGCTCTCATCTGTGCGTCCTCGTGTGGGGGAGATATGTTGCTCATCTCTTTTGGTTTCAAAGGCTAGCAGATGTGGTGAACAAATGGCGCGCTTCGATAGACCTTGGCCCGATACCGACAACCGAGGGACCAAGCCTACACGAGGGATTGAAGATTCCTTTTACTTACTGTTGGTCGCCTGCTTTGGTACCGAAGCCACAAGACTGGCCAGCTTATGTTGGTATGTATAAACCTGCTACGGTCTCAACGAGGATACTAAGTGTATCATAGACGTCTGCGGATTCTTTTTCCGAGACCCTCCAGAATACGATCCTTCGCCCGAGCTTCAGGAATTCTTGTTACTAGGCACGCCTCCAATATACGTTGGCTTTGGGAGTATCGTCGTGGACGAGCCCGAGAGATTGATAAACACTGTTCTAGAAGCGGTCAAGGCAAGTGGGGCGCGGGCAGTCATCTCCAAAGGCTGGAGTAACATGAACGGAGCTGAAGACGAAAACATCTTTTACATTGGAGACTGTCCACATGAATGGCTTTTCCAGCATGTGGCTGCTGTGGTCCATCATGGAGGAGCCGGAACCACCGCATGTGGATTAGTGAACGGAAAGCCAACTGCTATTGTACCGTTCTTTGGAGAGTATGGCCACACAATTTGCCCCAATTTTGTATCAAGGTTCCTTGCTGATTTGATATACTAGTCAGCCGTTTTGGGGTGAGATGGTCGCCAATGCCGGCGCGGGACCAAGACCTATTCCTCATAAGGCTCTCACTATTCAAAACCTTACAGAGGCGATCAAATTTTGTCTTACACCAGAAGCTACAGTCGCCGCACAAGAACTTGCCCGCAAGATGCAAACTGAATGTGGTGTTGATGAGGCTGTCAAATCATTTCACCGCAATCTTCCGTTGGAACGAATGCGCTGCATGATCATACCAGATCAGGTTGCAGTGTGGAATTATAAGAAGAATAAGAGGAGCCTGAATCTGTCAAAAATGGCAGTACAGACATTGATTGAGTACTCGAGAATAGACACCGAAAATCTCCAATGGTATGTGTACTTGTCCGATTCCTATTACCAAACATATCTAACAGGTCGAAGCCATGACATAAATCCAATTACGATCGAGAACCGTCGGTGGGATCCCTTGACCGGCGTCATTTCCGCTGGTATATCCACAGGTACTCGAATGTTAAAAACAAGCACCGGCATGCTCTACGAGCCCTTCAAAGAGCTTAGGCGAGCCAAATCATCCCCGGCATCCGAGCGAAACCAACCCATCTTCGGATCAAGTGAGAATGTATCATCACTACGTTCTACATCCACAACCAGCCAAACTGGTAGCGAACGCGCCACCAGTCCCAGGAGCCCTTTAACAACAGCTGGAGACATGGCTGGAGCATCACTAAACAGCTTTGGAAAATTCACAACGGGATACTTTAAGGGCGTTCTCGTTGATATCCCGACCGCAGCAGCCGATGGATTCCGACATGTATCCCAGGTATATGGAGACAAGCCCAAGGAATATGGCACTGTGACGGATTGGAAATCCGGTGCCAAAGTCGGTAGCAAAAACTTCGTCGGTGGCATGAAAGAAGGCATCACGGGTCTAGTCAAGCATCCTTGGAAAGGTTATCAAGAGGACGGTCGACAAGGTGCCTTAAGGGGGTTAGCGAAAGGTGCAATTGGGGTCGCCACAAAAGCATCATCAGGTAAGACTTTGAACCTGGTCAGATTTCCAGGTAGAGAAACGTCATCGCTAACAATCATGCAGCTGGAATCGGGATATGGGCTTATCCCTCGCAGGGCATTGCGAGGAGTATTGAAGCAAAGTTCCGAGGAAAGACTCGCAAGGCAGTTGTCGTTGCACGGCTTATGGATGGCTATGCTCAGACTATTGAGATGCAGCTTTCGGAGGAAATGAAGCAGGAAATTGTCCGGGAGTTTGATCGGCTTATGGGACTGGATTAGTGAAAGTGACTTATGGGGATTTGATCTGTGGCTCTGATCTTTCGATCTAAGTGAGGAATATAAAATAAATTCCGATGAAATCCTACAGGTCTGATCACGAGGCTGAGCTCTGAGAATGCCAAGGAGTGGCTAGTTTGATGACAGGTGTTCGCCACGATCGGATGCGATCCGGGTGGGGCTGCTGATGTGGTTACTGAGTTGGTCGGTGGGGTTTGAACTGCACCGTTTCTGAACAACTTGAATCCGTGGTCTACTGTAGTCTAGTATGACAGTATCTCGTAGTGGGTGAGGTTATAGCATGAGGCTGAGTCGATGAACGTGCAACACCTGGTCACTTAGCCATGTGACAGGTTCCAGCTTGTTTATTTTGTTTATTTCCTGGCTCCTTGCAGCCCGTGTGAATTATCAACATTTAACATAATTCAAATGTTGAATTTCATTCAATTTCACGGCCAATGGGAAAAGGCCTGAACCGGTGCAAGCGCAACCCGCGTATTTGCAAATCACGGTGATGATTCGCGGGGGGTAAGATCATAGCCCAAAGAGGCAGCAGATTCGGCGGTTGATCTCGAGTGGATCCCACCACTGGTAACCCAACTTGGTATCGATTGCGAGTACTCTCGGCATTCTTGCAATCCCGCTCCGACCGAATACTAAAATGCCGGTGCCTTCGCAGAACTGACACTTCGTTTACTTTATAAACTCCAATGTCCGCTGAAATCTGATCAATATATTGAGAACAAACAGCACAACGCCAGCAAGTTCCGTGATTTCGTGCATTTTTGACCGCCTCCTTTTCCATCCAATCATATCACACATATTGGGTACTATTAGTCTGAGGGGCTAGATACTGGATACCGTTTCGCTTTTTGCCCTTAGTCCAAATTCGTGGTGACATCAGCTTGAAAAGCCTCCAGGGATTCACGACTTCGCCTCTGTGCGACCTGAAGATCCCAAGTCACGCTACGGTCCCAACAACCGCCAACCCCCAGAATGGGCCGCTTAAACGACGGCTTCAACATCTTATATCTGGGCGTAGCAGCCGCAGTATACTTCAAGCCTGATTATGCCATCAAAAACTCCAGGACCATCACTATTGCCCTCTTCTTCACTATCATCACCGTCTCAAAGCTGCTTTATCAATTATTGCTTTACCCTCGATTCTTCACCCCTTTGAAACAAATACCTACGCCTAATGTGAGTTTTTCGTGATTTCGCGACAGTTGGTTCTGCCTCTCACCTTTCTTAGGCCCGGCACTGGTTGAAAGGCAATACCGCTTCGGGCTTGATTGACACTCCCCATGAGTTGATCAAAGAGTGGGCTAGCACCATTCCTAATGATGGACTGCTGCGCTATTATATTGTCGGTCAACTCGAGCGACTGGTTTTGACGACTCCTAAAGCCTTGAGCGAAGTGTTAAATTCCAAGGTCTATGATTTCGCTAAACCCACCATCGCGCAGCAGAACTTGCGCCGTGTCGTTGGAGATGGTGTTTTACTTGCTGAAGGCGACGAGCACAGGGTAAGTAACAGGACAGTGGCTCCGATATGACTAAAACTTACCTTCGCGTAGTTCCAAAGAAAGAATCTGATGCCTGCATTTTCTTACCGCCACATCAAGGACCTCTACCCCATCTTCTGGAACAAGAGCACCGAAATGGCTAAGTTGATCCGCCGTGAAGTTGAGTCCAAGGGACCAAACGAGGACAAAACCATAACGGTGCGAACATACGCTAGCCGCGCCACCCTCGACATCATCGGGTTAGCTGGAATGGGTCACGACTTCGACTCTCTTCAAAACCCAAACAACCGCCTTTACAAGTCCTACCAGAAGATATTTACAAGTCCCGGTACTCTCACTCGCGTCCTATTCATGGTTGGCGTGATGCTCGGAGATATGACAGTCCTGCACAAGCTGCCCACCACGCGCAACAAAAACTTTGCCGAAGGTCGTTATGTCATCCGTGAGACTGCTCGCCAGATGCTGCGGGAAAAGCAAGTCGAGGAGAATGAGAAGAAAGATACTGGCATCGATATTATCTCCGTCGCGATGCGAAGTGGGAATTTCGAAGAAGAGAATCTTCTAGATCAATTGATGACGTTCCTGGCTGCGGGGCACGAGACCACAGCAGGCGCGCTTCAATGGGCGATTTATGCTCTTTGCAAAAACCCTGAAGTTCAGGAGCGTTTGCGTGAAGAGGTTCGGACGAACCTTCCTCCTATCAATGTTGAGAGCCCCGAGTCTATTGACGCTGCCGCTATCGATAATCTCCACTACCTGAATGCTGTTTGCAATGAGGTACTTCGGTTTCACCCGTCTGTTCCTAACACTGTTCGTGTGGCGGTGAAAGATACCTCGTTGGTCGGTCAGCCAATCCCCAAGGGCACGTTCTTGGTTATATCAGCCGAGCTACTTAACCATATGTCTGAGCTCTGGGGACCTGATGCGGATAAATTCAACCCCGATCGATGGATGGGTCCAGGCAAGGCAAACACCGGTGGGGCTACGAGTAACTATGCCTTCTTGAGTTTTCTTCATGGTCCACGTGCTTGCATTGGTCAGGGATTCTCTAAAGCTGAGCTGGCTTGCCTGCTCGCTGTTCTCGTCGGCAGCTTCAAGTTTGAGCTGAAGTACCCCAACGCTAAGCTAGAGCTTAAAATGGGTGCGACCTGTGCACCGAAGGATGGCGTCCAAGCTATTTTTACTCCGTTAGATGGATGGTAATCTGGCCGGGGGTCTCACCTTTTATTTTTCCGATGCACTTGTACATAGCTTTACTCTGTTTGGCATTCTGGCAGTTGGATTCCACCTCATTAAGCACGAGTCACGCATATAAATCTTCAAGGTCACCTGCAATATTATATACCACTTACTTCTGTATGGTCCATACTTTGCCTGAACTCTACAATTGATTGACTTGGCAAATCCACATTCCGGATTAGGAAATGCTTGAGAGGTCGGGCAAAGATCACCCGCTCGCCTATATGGATGCGGTTCAACAAACACCCGACGGCGCAATATAGCAGTCCGTCCTATCTTTGATTGAGAGAAGTTTATAAATCATCAGTTACGGTCTTGGTAGTGTATTGTTCAATTAATTGTGACAGAATGCCAGATCTCAACTTCAATACGGAGAGCGACATCTCAGACCTCTCGGGGAAGACAATCTTCATAACGGGAGGTAAGAACCTGATCCTCCCACAAAATCAGAAAAACGTCAGAACATTCCCTCGGACATCCTCATCTGATATCGTTACCAGGAACAAGTGGCCTTGGTGCACAATCAGCAATTCGTCTATCTAAACATAACCCATCCCACATCTACATCAGCGGCCGAAATGCCCAAAGCGCCGAGAGAGTTATCACGCAAATCCACAACAGCGGGTCAAAAACAGAAGTCACATTCATCCCATGCAATCTCGCTTCCCTGGACTCCGTAAAACAAGCAATATCGAAGTTCACGTCCGAAACAACTCACCTCGATATCCTGATGTGCAACGCAGGGGTCATGGCTCAAGGCCCTGGTCTAACGAAAGACGGCTACGAAATCCAATTTGGCACAAACCATCTTGGCCACGCCCTTCTAATCCGAAGACTACTCCCGCTGCTCGAAACTACAGCTAGCGAGGGTGGTGATGCTCGTATTATCATTCTTACGTCCCAAGGCTTCCTCCTCCACCCAAGTGCGGGCATCGTTTTTGATGATTTGAGGACTACGCAGGAATGTCTGTTCCCGGGTCCTTGGCGACGATATGGACAAAGTAAACTTGCAAATCTGCTGTATGCCCGTGAGCTCGCCAAAAGGTATCCTGGTATACTGTCTGTAGCTGTGCATCCGGGTGTGGCCGCGACTGATCTGGTGGGGAGCCAGGGTTTCCTTAATAAGGCCTTTATTTATACCACTAATTTTGGGAAGCTATTGAGGCCGGAGGAGGGTGCTCACAATCAGTGCTGGGCTGCGACCATTGCTCGCGATAGGATCGAGAGTGGAATGTATTATGAACCTGTTGGAAAACAGGAGAGAGAGAGGTTGGATAAGACTGCCAAGGATGATGTATTGGCTGGGAAGTTGTGGGATTGGACTGAGAAGGTACTTGATGGGTTTTGAAGTTGGGTATGGATCCATTGAGTAAAACTATGGCTAGATAAAAAGGAAATTTCACATGTAATTTATAAAAACAAAACAAAATCATTAGGTGTTGAAGAGCAGGTAAACCATCTAATCCACGTACATCCACGCACTAGTCGTCCTCATTCGAAACATAATATAAGGTGCCGGGAATTTATCGTCCTTCTTTCCACAAAGCCTTCACGCTCTTCTTCACAGGCTTGAAGATGCCCTTCACCTCTGCCTTGAGTGCTTTTCGCTCTTCCTTAGTCCATTCCCCATTCTGCTTCAGCTCCCTGATGCCCCGGACATGGGTGGTGAGAACAGTTGAGGCGTTCTCCACTGCACACTTGGTGCATTTCTCCTGGTCGTTGATATCATTCAACGCCTTTGTCAATGCAAGGATCATCGCCTGTGCCTGTGGCTTTTGCAGCTCGCGATCGAAACGCTCGGACTGGCTTGGGCCGTGCGTTGGGCATGGTGCCTTGGTGCTGATGCTAACTGAAGTTGGTATTTGCTGAATATAATTGATGGACGAGAATATGGTGGGGATTGATTCCCTAAACTTACTTCTCATACTCGTTCTTCTCGGGCTTACCCGGCTCGCTAGACTGGATAGAGACGGAGTAGGTAGGAGTCTTGGAGTCGTAGCTCTTGGTTTGAGTCATTGTGGTAATTCACACGATTGAACCGTTGGTGATTAGTCGAGGATATTGCTTCAGATGCTTTGAAATGTGATTTTCTTGATTGCTGATGCTCAAGATTAATTTGGCGGGCTTGCTCGTTTTATATCTATTGCGCCTCATCATGGCAGATCATAGTTGTCCAAAAAGGTAATTCCGGTATCTCCGAAATATTACCATATTGGGCCGACCGAACACGACGTCCGATCGGGCTCGGGGCTTCCCTTCGTATAGACTCTCAGTGGCGATGAAATATGTCGACGCCTTGAGGGCTACACCGCTTGTGATACCTATGATCCTGCTTTGGGTTTGTTGACTCACCTGAGACCATCTGCTGAACAATAAGATTCGAAAACGTTTTCCCATCAGGAACGTCACGGAATGTTTTTGATACCCGACCATTAGTCCTTCTATATATAGCTATTCTATTGTTCGGTCAACATCGATATCAGATATAGCTTGGCCAGCGGCTAATCATCTCCTCCGATCAACTTCAATAGGTCGATTCCTCCTAGAATTACATGCATCATCGATTTTTGTTCATCAGTGATTGCGAAGTTTCCCTCCAAACCATCGGACAGGTGTGTACATTATTAATGAGAATCATGCCTGGTTTGAATATTTTTAATGGCATCAAAATTGTCTTAGATCTTTTACATTCCAAACTGTGAATCATCTGGCGCGAATGTATACATGTCCAATGACATACAAACTCCCGAGCCCTGCCCACGATTTAGTCAAATCTACAGCTTTTCCATGTGATGGCAACAGAATTCGCGGCTACAACCTTTAATGAAATGCATCAACGTCCATGAACAGTGCACTGGTCGAACCCTTGAAAGCAACTAGATGGACATGCGGATTCAGTCATGTGACTTATGCCTGAGGTGTAAACAACGGCTGCAAGGCACGATGCCAGATAATAAACTCCGGTATCTTTCAGCTCGCATGTCACCGGTCGCGAGCTGCAAGATCTTCAGTTTGTATTTGACAATGTGAACTGGGTGTGACTATCGGGTCCACCATTCAGAAACAGTTTACTTTTTCCCCTTCTAGCGTTTTGACCGCCATTTCTTCCAAATCCCTAGCCATTAGTCCGATTGCGCCCTAGCCCGTTCCGTACGCCAGCTTTCGAGAATGCATACCTAGCTCGCCTGGAATGAATCAAGATACGACACGAAAGAAACAACATAATTTACAGTTGACACGGGCATCCAGTATTGAACACAATGAGTCCGGCAGTGGAGAACAGCGGACCCGCTTCAAGCCAAGCTGGGGTCAATGGGAAACACAAGCCGACTGAGAACGGGTCGCGTTCAGGGGCAGAGAATGGCACAGAGATACATGATGCTCACGGATTGGCATCTGGCTCACCAGAGCAAGGTCTTGGGATTCTAGTCGAACACTCGCAGGATGATACGAATGGAAATGGCCGAATGTCTGTTATGAACGTGTTTGAAGGTCCGAAAATCAAAGCTGTTCTCGCAGAGCTCGCCGAAGATGCGTCCCAACGTCCGACCGAACATAAGGTGCTGAAACTGTCGCCAGAGAAGATCCAAGATCTCACATCATCACCGGAGTCGATTCCGTATCGCGCTGAGTTACCGGACGCAGGCAGTGGCAGGAGGATAATGTCGGATAACCTTCGCTCGTTGCAGGGTCTAGGTGATCGGTCATCAGAGATCCCAGATGTGACTCTGCAACCTCTCAGCGAGGTTCCCTCTTCTCCGAATGGCCTTGCTAAGACCAGAAGGTCCAGCAAAGATCCAAGTTCTGACGAGTTGCACGACTCGATTCACCCACGGCAATTGAACAATGGTACCATTCGCAGTCGACCACAACCATCCCGAACCTTTTCTACTCCTGTGTCTCGGCGCACAACGCTTTCAACACCCAACAACGAGCGACTTTCACAGACATGGGCATCGCGTTCAAAGCAAGATCGGGATCTAAAAACCCAGCTCGCTGCGTCGCCTCACATTACCGAAACACCCTTGACCTCTCCAATTCCATCCATCCCTCTACCGCCCGCCTCAATACCAACTTATCTTCAACTTGAGCTGGCCTCTGGTCGTCCATCGCCACTTTATATTCATGGAAACGAAAATGAGTTCCCTTATGAATCGTCAAGCGCAAAAATAGAAAGACTGATGAATTTCTTGCTCCTTCCACCGGTGTTAGAGCAAACGATTGGCTTCGGAAGCCTAGCATGCCTGGATGCATGGCTTTACTCATTCACGATTCTACCTCTGCGTTTCATTAAAGCCTTGTATATTCTATGTGAATCTTGGGTGCTTAACCTAGCAGCGGAAGCTCGGTTCTTGTGGAAATTTGTCATCAATGGGGCTGGCCGTGTATGGCGAAGGAGAAAATACCTGCCGGATAGGCTCCGTGATAGACGAGAAAGCGAATCAGATGCCACTCGCTTGCCTAATGGCGCGAACTCACAAGAGTCACGACACCAAGATCCATCAAAAAGAAGACATCGGACCTCAGAATCTCGCAGGCATCATCGAAGAAAGAAGTCCATACCTTCGGCTCTACTTCCTGATGACAAAGCCGATATTCTCACTGGGCTGCTTATGATTACAACATGCTGCGCATTGATGTACTTTGATGCTAGTCGGATGTATCACTGGATTCGTGGTCAGGCAGCGATCAAATTATACGTCATCTATAATGTTTTGGAAGTGCTCGATAAACTTCTGGCTGCACTCGGGCAGGATGTTCTTGAGTGCTTATTTTCGAGAGAAGCCCTTGAACGCCGGCCTAATGGGCGAAGCAAAATCTTCCGTCCATTCTGGCTCTTCTTATTGGCGTTGGTTTACACGGTTGCGCATTCGATATCGCTTTTTTACCAGGTCGGTCAATTAGAAAAACCAAATCTTGAGCCAATCTCTAACCTTCTTGCAGGTGATGACCCTTAATGTCGCGGTCAACTCTTACTCGAACGCCCTCATTACGCTACTGCTATCAAACCAGTTTGTGGAGATCAAGTCCACTGTCTTTCGCAAATTCGAGAAGGAGAATCTGTTTCAGCTGACTTGCTCTGATGTCGTCGAGCGATTTCAGCTTTGGCTGATGCTTACTATCATTGCATCGCGTAACATTGTCGAAACGGGCGCGTTCAACTTTATCGGCCTCGGTTTAGCTCCCAGCTTTTCCGGGAAATCCACGAGCACCAACAGCACCCCATTATCCACTCCTCCTCGTACTTCATCCTCGATCCTACCCCAGTCGTTCACGTTCTTTCCATCATCGATTCTATCTCTTAGTCATGTGAACTCTTTCATCCCGACCTTGGCGCAAGTCTTGGGCCCCTTCCTCATTGTCTTGGGATCAGAGATGTTTGTCGACTGGTTGAAACACGCCTACATCAGCAAGTTTAACAACTACCGCCCTGCACTCTATGGTAAATTTCTCGATGTGCTCGCGAAGGATTACTATACGAACGCATTTGCAGGCGGTGACCACAATATCACTCGCCGCCTCGGTTTGCCTGTCATCCCTCTATCCTGCATTTTCTTCCGCGTATCCGTGCAGACATATCAGATGTTCTTGGCCTCCCTGCTCCCCCACAATCCATCGTCCACCGCGGCGATCTCGAGTTTATCCACCATCCAGAATCGTCATATACCTGCACCCCTTCCATCCACCCCACCATTGAGCTTCGCAACGATTTTGCCCAATGTCAACATCCTCTTCCGCAAAGTCCTGGAGAACGCGATACCCTCTCCTGCCCAGTCCGTTCAGATCTTCACAGTGGTCCTCCTCTTGACAGCATTCATCGTGCTCTTGATTCTGAAGCTTATCTTGGGAATGGGTTTGCTCGCTTTCGCACGCTCTCGTTATAGGAAAATGAAGGGCCTAGAATCCGAGCAACGCAAAACATCCCGCGCTTCTGCAAACCCGCAATCCCAGCAGGATAGTTCTAGTGATGCTACTTTCGCACTTCGGAAAGATGGCTTTACTGTTGAGGGAGGCCGCCGATCTGGGCTTTGGGGAATGGTCGAGGTTGGCGACGAGAAACGAAAATTAATATATGGTGATGATCCCGAGGGACTTCGCCGGGTGAAGGAGAAGGAGGATCAAGATAAGAACAAGGATAAGGACTTGAAGATAGACCATGTTCAAAGATACGAGATGGTTGCTAAGAAGATATGGTGATATTGAGGATCTATGCCGTGCATACTTTGAAGACAGGAGCATCCTGGTGCATGAGGTCTCAAGTATCAATATATCCGACATCTGTGATGTCATTGTAATATATAATCATTGTTATCGCATTGCAGGACTTTTTTGAATTGGTAACCAGTCCGAGATGGCACTCATAGCAAATTAATGAATGTTCATCCATGTTTGCATATTGAGCAGACCAAAACCTCTTCATAATCTCCCGAATGATCCATTCAGCCAAAACACCTCAATGGTGGACGCTGCGAGACATGCTGTACTTCTTAATAGGGACATATTCGATCTCCTCAAACCCCATCGACCCAGGTTTCCCCAGTTCCATGCCTCTCATAGTGTCTGACCAGCGTGGTGAGCAGAAATAGCAATTATAGATACCTTCAACCCATACTTATACTGAGGAGTGCCAAGGCCAGCAACAGTCTTACATTATACATCCTCACCTCCTAACTGTTGGTTCTGATCATCATTTATAGGGCTTGTTGATTCTGCTTCGAATATCTCTTAATATCTTCCATAAATTTCATATCTAGAAGACTTTGTTGATATGATAGATGCCAAAGTGAAGTCCTGATCTCATCTATGGACTATAGGTAGCCGAAACAAGAGGTTCAGGTTAAAACAATGAATAATATGGCGTTGAGTGAGCACCCAATGATTGCGAATGAGGGATTAAGTCAAATGAAAACAAAAGGTCCGAGCCAATGACATGGTTTACTTTCTAGCATTGCTCCACGTAGCAATTATCGCCAGTCCCTATGTTACTTAAATCAATGTGTAGACGACCAATGTATAATATAATTCCATATTTATTTCATTATCTAAGGGCTATCCCTACCTTTGCGTCGAGCCGAAAAAGGCTTGGTTCAAAAAGGCTGAAACCAAATGATACCTAGAGGTGAAATAGTACCATTCACGTACGAGACAGGCAAATATTGCGAATATAGAAGAACACGGGAGGGGACGGAATGAAAAGAACAAAAAGTGTATTAAGGGTCTAGGTGTGTCTTATCAGTTTGGCACATCAGTAAGAGCTATACAAACAAAAAGAATGCTAAATTTAATAAGAGGCAGGCCTAACATAGATAGAATACCACACCAAGTCGGAGAGCTAGTCTGCCCAGTCCAAATTGATGCTGATATCGCTTACATCAACACACTCGGTCATTCCTCTTGCCTTGAACTCTAAACTGAGTGCTTCATGAACCTTGTTGAGATAGTTCCTCTCCCCAGGAACATCAATGCCCAAAGCCACACCTGTATGGATTATCTCATCAAAGCTCTATCTCGCTAATTGCGAGATCTCTTCGGTTCCACAAGAGGTGAGCTCTTTCAAACGAAATCTCGAAAAGATCCATCGAGACATACTAAAACCGGGGTTTCTTATATTTGCTTTGACTGCCAGGCTTCCAGGTTCGGTTCGAGCCTCGTGATCAAATGTCATAGAGGCAGACGGAGAAGGGTTGTAATTCTCTGCTGCCATAGTAAGAAGATTGAAATTTGCATTCGCTAAGCACGCAAAACAAGCGGGAAGTAATTCGGCAATTGTAGATTTCGAGGTTGAACCGTCACACTGAGTCATAACGTCATCTTTATTTGTATTATCTCTCAGCGGTATCTCTTCCTCAAGCGTCTTTTTCAGTAGCCATAGAGCAACGAAACTCAACTCATTTTGAAATAACCCAGCTGTGTAGAGCATGGCGGTGAATGCAGCCAGGCTTATGCGCTCACAGGAAGTGTACTGTTGCCATTTGGTGATCCATTCGTTATATAGGTCCAGTGCAAGAAACGGAAGATTGTTGTTTTTCGCTTGGTCACCGTGGGAAAAAGTAATATCCTGGCCTCCCCCTTCTCTACTCTCTTTTCGATGACTGAAAATTCGGAGCGCTCCAAAGGTAAGTACTATGATAACGCGTTTATCCTGTTGTGGACTTGTGGCGGGGGTGGCTTTTGAGGTTTGTACGAGCATGTCCCACGCGTCATGCAAGCCAGCTTCCAGCTGTGCGGTATTCCAGTGCCTTTGGTGATACATTTCGCTTATACTTAGAACGGAGTTTCGAAAATCGTCAAATTTTTCCCTCGGACACGCAGGCTTTAGTGCGAACGAAACTCGATGCTCTGTGTCATGCAGCGAAGGTCGCCTGATACGACATCCCAGACCTGCCTCGCTTTAAGGTAGGAGAACATGAGACAGTTTCAGGTCGCGTAGTTGTCGCTTCCGGTCAGAGGCTCGATGGCCGTCACGGCTCGTTCAGGAGAGTCATGGACTAGAGCAAACATGGTAACGGTTGCGAGAGCGGGGTAGATATCTTGGGATTAATTCGATGGTTCGGCTTGGTTCCTGATCTGCATCAGCTTCATATCACAACATGATCCTGTATGACTTCAGCATGACAGCCACAGGGTGTTTCGTTTCGACATCAGTTCAATCAGCATCTTCACACGAATCGCTAGCCTGAATCTTACCTGCCTTTGCAAAGTCGAATCTCATCGAAACCCTAGATCAAGTATACGGATAGTATGATGTATGATCTACGCCCTGTAAACACTTACTTCATATCAATTTTATTTTTCACATAGTAAGTTATGAATTTGTCGTCAGTCATTTTGAGAATCTGTTTAACCAATGCTTGCTATGGGAATCTTTCAGGGTCACACAGCCAAGGCGTTGGCGCAGATCAAGCCCCAAACACAGTATGATGCAGATTACCGCGTGAGGTATGTGGTAATGGGGCCGAATACATAGCCAACTTGTGATGAGCCTTGGGAGATGTGCTGATTAGGACCACCATCTGAATGCTGGCTACAACCTTGTTCCACTCTCCCACGTTGCTCCCCCAATCAGGCGCTGTCCCTGCTGGACCCTGCATGATCCTTCAAGTGTGTCTACTTCCAGCCTTGTGCCCAGAGTCCTTGGCCAGTTCATCCAGCGCTTCATGCAACCGAATACGGCATCAGGCCTCCCAAAATATTCAGCAGGCGGTCTGACTGCCCAGCCTTGCCAAGATGATCTTCATTCTCTACATAAAGAGCAGTTCAAGAATCCGACATCAACACTGAATCCAGGTGCAGCACTTCATGGTATAAATATGGCTTGATATTCTCCCCAGAAGCTCAATTCCTCATGAATAATCACCTTCTACAAACATCTTTCACTACAATAATTTGACTTCAACCTTCTGGTATATAATATACTTCCTCTTTAAAACACTCTCACTAACTCGCCCAGCCCAGCAAAATGAAGTATATCTTCTTGATCGCTACTTTCCTCGGCCTGGCCATGGCCACTGGTAACTGTCCCGACTTCCCTAAATGTCATTGTCCGGGGGACCTCTGCAGAATCGGTAGTGGAACCCACGGCGATGGCGTTTGCTGCGAAGGCAAGAAATGCACCAAGAAATCCGGAAGCGAGAACTGGGTATGTCTTTAATTACCGGCAATTATGTTAAACTATAACGCTGACGTTCTTAACATCAGTACTGCAAGTAGTGGCTCTGTCGAGTCACGAGAGGGTGTCATATATTGATGAGGAATTAGGTAGACGCTTTGCTCATGTGCACTTTTGGATTTCGAGACTTCCAGTCGTTTCAATGGCAGATTCAACACTCTTCCTCCTTAATCTTTTATGACGTGTGTAGTTGCGATAGATTGAAAAATAGCCAATAGCCTCCAAAAACCTTGTAATGATTCAACTTCATCATATATAATAAACATCCTTACCTGTTATGAACTGCGAGACCTGGTTAGTGTTGCTATTAGTCTGAGCACTTCCATTTCTCTGGGTAGTAGAAAGATCGGCAAGCAAAGTTGACACACTACTGCGACCTGATCCTGATGCGCCCGGCAGTGATCCACTTCATGATGGTACTTACGACGTGCTAGCTTTTATCACGGCTAGAAGCATCAAATCTCATATACCAGCTACAGTCAACTTCCAGCTTTGTCACACGCATGTGTGGCGCAATTTCGGGTTTGGCACCCTAATTGCTTGGATGGACCCATTTTCACCGCCTGTCACTCCTGCCTTCTCTAATATTTGCTTAGTCATTCCGGTCCTGGAGCGTAACTAACTTATCTCCCTTGGGAGTCGAGTCCACTAGGCTTGACAAAGAATAAAGTATTAATTTATTCTATTCGTCCGTTGATGCTAGTGCGTACGAAATTCAACCTATTCTCTGTCTAGATCCTATTTCTTTAGTGTACCTCTGTTGTCGTTGCCTTATGACACTCTAGGGGCTACGTCCAGAGAATGCACGGCTTGGACCAAGCTGACCCGGCCGCGTGGGAGACTGTATGCAGAAGTTGGTATGTATACAGATTGGAAAAGAATAAACCTGAATTTGCCGGAAGAGTGTTTATGAAGTCTCCGGCTCACCCAAAGGCGCCAGATATACAGTAACTGATAGAATCACTATATTAATTCAAGTTTTGGAGTATGTACTGTGTTTCGAAAATCGTCTTGCAGTTCTAAAGTAAATCCAATCTTATCGTTTGAATTTTAAGCCAGCTGCCATGGTTCTGTATCTCTTAGGCATCAAATTTCCCTGCTTCGATCGTTTGCTATCCATCTTATATTGCATACATAACTTACCCAGCATATTTCACCAAAAACAGAATAACATCCTCATGCAGCAAAGGATGGAAGAGCAACAGAACGCAAACACTCAACACAAAGGCCATAGTGACTTCCATAGCCAGGACACTAGCGAGCGATTTAAAAAATTTGACTCGAGCCAAAGGAGGAAAACTCCGCCATGCTTCAAAGATACCTCTGTACCTCTCTGACTTTTCCCTTGAAGCCTTTTGCACAGGTAGCGCGGAGGCCGCAACTCGGATAAAAACGGCATAAGACGGCACGACGGCGGCAAAGTACAGAGTTGCGATTAACCCAACAACAGCTCCCCCTTTCAAGCCCACATGTGTGTCGTATTCCCCAAGCTCAAGAAAGAACAGACGACCGGCATGGATAGGGAGGTAAAAGCAAACACTCGAGCATACGCTATATAGAAGGGTAGCCGGAAAGGTCCTCCACCATAAAGATAAGCTGAAAACACAGCGAAGAATCGTAGGTCGTTCTTCCTTAGCTCTCAAGTGCTGAGAAATGATAAAGTGCACGTTAGCTACCTTCAGTGTTGAAAGTAGCATGTCCGTCACCACATTCAAGAGAAAACATATCTTGAGATTGGTACCAGTGAATGGAAACGAGGAGAGAAGCGCAAGTTTCCCCACGCGATGAAGAAGAAATATGGAAAGGCCGTGGAGGTTTTGCCATGATCGAAGGGTAGTTGCTCCCATGTCATGCTCTATGGCGATAAGTGTTGGAATGATATTGCCATCGATATTCATAAACTGGAATTGATTAGACTCGGTGGATCTCTTAAGCCGTTTGTCTAAATCGGTGTGACCTACGAAGAGACTAGCCATAAACATGCTGGTCAGAATCAAAAATAATGGCTTGTCCAGTTGGACCTGCTCCAAAGCCACATCTTCATATGGCAACGTGCTGATATGAGGATCTAGTGACATCGCAAAGGTAGTTGGGAAAAAGTAGGAGCTGAGTGTTTTGCGAGGTAGGCTCACTAGGGGGTAATGACTTGGATGAAAATATTAATGTCGGGTAAAGACAACAACTTCACTAAGTACCAAAACTATGGCTGCCTGAATGGCTTATATTAGCGGCTACCCTAGCAAGCGAGAAGCACCGAGTCAATTGATGTGGAGTGCGGTGAGGAGCTTATCTGGATGCTTGATAGGTTAAGCCCAGAAGAGTGGAGTCAGAGTAGGACAAATTTGCGAGTTCAAGCATTTGACGCGCGTCCAGTTTAACGGGCCTCATATGTCCAGGTGTTGTCTGATATTCGCTACTCATAGATTAGGGCCGACTCGGTGCTCGATGGACTGACTAGTATTCGACATTTCCTGAGAAACTGTTTGATCGTTAAGAGATCCTCAGAGGAACACAATGCTCAATCCACGGGCTCATCAGAATACTGGGGGTCATGATTAATTTAGATTCCATAAAGCGTCGGAACAAGCTAGTAATGAGGACGCGAATAGTAGCGTGAACTAGCTCGACATGAACGAGATTGAACTTACAGCTCGCACTCTTTTCCTCAATGAGAAAAAATCTCTTAGCTCAGAAACAGAGGTCTATCTCAAATCTCGGATATAAAAGGAAGCTATGAGTATCCCATGAAATCTATTCATCACCTCAGTCAAGGAACAATCAGGCCCTCAACAATGAAGTTCTCCAGTTCGCTCGCTTTTGCGGCGACCATTCTTTCACTAATATCGCCCATCCTTGCCAATTACAATGAGATTGCCATTAAAAACATCACCGTCCTCACGCATCGGAGTGCGGCTGATGTTGCCCCCGATGTACAAGCTTTGTTCGATACGATGAACGGAACATTTGCATTGCCGGATTACTTCGGCCCCGACGCTTATGTCTCTGAAATCTACCTGACCAACTCCACCGATGATCTGCCCGACGGTGACTTCCTGAACTTTGGGAACTCATTCACCTCGACCGGAACCGGACTCGGAAAGCGCTACACAGAGAAAGTCAAAAGTCACTCCTGTACCAATCCCCCTCAATTCGCGGACCGCCTCATCTCGTACGAGACCCAGGTGAAAATTGCCGGCAAGTACTGTGATTGGCTTGCCGATGTTTCGCCGTATGTATATAGTCTTGTGGCCATGAAAATCACGAAGATGCGCTGTGGAGTGGACGGTAGCTTCGTGTGTACCGGCTTTTGGGGCGTTGCCCATACTGCGGCTGGCTCTTATATCGGACCTGGTATCAAAGCTATGTGCAAACCTGCATATGAATCACTTATGAAGGCTTGTGATGAGAAGGGCGGTTTCGAGAAGGTCGAGATCACTCAGACAGGGAAGAGTTTCGAGGTCTATAGTTTTGCCAATTCCGAGGAGACAGAGACGTGCAGCACGGCTGGGAAAGTCATTTGCAAGGTTTACAATTGTGATGATTCCGTTGGATGCTCTGCTTAATTAGATACACTGTATGTACGGGGAGAAGTAGGTTGTGGGCGAAATATATATTGTGGGATTTGACTGAATTTGTGGGATTAATGGGATTACTTGATTACCTATACGGGTAATTCTGCCCTTGTGTTGTTCTGCGGGAGTTTGGAGTACGGACATATTCTTGCTTCGTCGGAAGGAGCGCCTACATTACCACGGCGATGACTAGCTAGGTAGCATTAGGTTAATAGAATATCATCGTCATCATCATCATCATCAGGTTCAAAACAATGAAGACTGGTTGGAGCCTGTGTCTGGAACAAAGATACACCCTAAGGAAAAGCCTTGCTAATTGTACCTCAATTTTGCTAAATGTACCTCGATTATGCTGAACGTACCTCGACTTTGCTAATTGTACCTCGATTTTGCTAATTGTACCCCCTCACAAAATGGCCATCCAGTTTCTGACCATGGCCATCCACGAAACCAACATTTGCGCGCTTTCTTGTGTAGCAGCGCAAGCCAATTACGATAATCCCAAGAATTGGAAATATTATACTGATGGCAATGCATGCCGCGGGGCTTGTATATGTCATGATAGCTGTGTCAAAGAAAGAAACGCGGACAGAGCAGACGAAGAATGAAAAAAACACTGGACAAGACATTGTCTTTCGGGTCCTTAGAGGGATGCATGTGATTATTGATGTTTGCCCAGGTGGTCTTCGAAGTCGTACTAGCTCGCCTCAAATTCAATGACGATGGGAATGGGGATGGGGAGCAACTGCACTGGTGACCTGCAGAAACCCTGCTGCATTCAAAGTTGCATTAGTGCTTAGTTCCATCCATAGATCCCTGCAATACCCTTCAGGGCTGGGGTTTTGTTTGCGTCAGCTCCCTTGGCCCCCACCCTTCGAAATATCCCAGGTGGAATCTAATTGATGCCTTTTCACCTATCGCTCATCTTCAAAATCCTTTAAGCCACAGTATTTATGGCATTTCTTCAGGTCCTCACGACTGGTGTTGTCGTGGCTCTTCTTTGGGTCGTGACCGAGTCAATCCGCCGCCTTTTCTTTCACCCTCTATCCCACATTCCAGGCCCCCGCCTTGCCGCCCTGACCTGGTGGTACGAATTCTACTACGATGTCGTTCTTCCTGGCAAGTATGTTTTCAGGATCCAAGAATTGCATCGTGAATATGGTACAATGAGCTTTTCTGGCTTTGAGCTAGCAGGTGCTAGAATACGAAACTGACGATCATATAGGGCCCATTCTCCGCATTACCCCAGAGGAAATTCATATCAACGACGTTGGCTTCTTGGACACGGTATATAGTGGTTTGAGAGACAAATACGAGTATCCATTACGGGCCCTGCGAGTGCCTGGAGGAGTAGGCACCACAGCAGATGCTAAGCTCCACAAGTTGCGCCGCGAAGCTCTCGTGCCCTTCTTCAGCAAACGTAACGTTCTATCCCTAGAGCATCTGGTGACAGAAAAGGTCGAACAGCTATCTGAGATCATCGCGAAGCACGCCAGAGAAGCGTCGCAAGCCAATCTATCTGACCTCTTTTTGCGTTCTCCAACGAGTGAGTAGCGCTCTCTGTCCTATTACGAGAGTCGGGCTAATCGGAGCAAGTGTCGTGACCAACTTTTTGTTTGCCCACAAAATGAATGCCTTGGCAGATGAGAGGCAGGCAGGGATATCTCGGAATAATAGCAGGCAACTTCTCCTGGGCGTCCATGTTAATAAGCATTTTCCTTGGATCCCAGACTTCCTTGAAGCACTTCCGACCTCTATCAGCAGGCCCTTGATGCCCCTGGGTCTCATTGATATGTTCAACCTGTTTGATGTAAGCTTCCCTACGTCAATTCAAATCTATCTATCATTTTCTGACCCCCGGCAGAGAGTTCGCGGCGAAATTTCTGGTATCATGAGAGCGCAGTCATCTGGGGCTGATAGGAAGAGCGGGCCAAGTCCGACCGGCAAAGAAGCCGTCTACGAGTCTGTCCTGGTCAATGAGTCCCTTCCACCCCAAGAAAGAACTTTGGCCCGATTGGAGCAAGAAGGCGCCCTCCTCGCCCTGGCTGGAACCGAATCCCCAGCCCTATCCCTCAGCATAATTTTCTATCACCTGCTTGCCAACCCTGACATTCTGAACAGACTTCGCGCTGAGCTCGAAACAGTCCCAGTCGACGCCTCGTGGTCCCAACTAGAAAAGCTTCCTTACCTCATGGCCGTAATTGAAGAAGGTAACCGTCTTTCATTTGGTGTGACAGCGCGCATTGGTCGTCGTGCATATGAAGAGCTAATTTTCACTCCGTCGTCTTATGCCACCACTCCTGGTACCGGAAAATCCTACAAAATCCCTGCGCGCACGCCAATGAGCATCTCCACGCTCAGTGCACACACCGCACAATCCGTCTTTCCGGATCCATTTACCTTCGACCCTGAACGCTGGCTAGGTGAGGCTGGTCAGGAGCGCAAGCGGTTTCAAATGGCGTTTACCAAAGGAAGCCGTAAATGCCTAGGAATCGAGCTTGCCAATGCCGAGCTCTGCTTGGTTATTCGGTCTTTAATTCGCCCATTCGAAATGACCCTTTATGAGACCGATGCCACAGATGTCTCCTTCGAGCACGACTATCAAATCGCGATGCCGAAGATGGGATCCGAAGGAGTCAGGGCAACTGTCAAGTTCAGAGTCCAGCATACCTGTTAGAACGTTTTCCCAATTTTCTTTCATTAATCTGCGTTCAACACAGACATAGGCTGTAAGCCTTTATCTAATCCAATTTTAAGCCTGTCATATGGCGTCTTTGTAACCTCGGCAATCTATCTCATCTTGAGTTGCACGCAAAACTATGGAAAAAGCGGATAATTTTGCTGAGGTTTTCTCTACTGATAGAAATGCAGTCTACCTTGGGAGGCACGTGGGCTTAAAAAAATCAAAGGTATAGCTAAATCTATATACATGATCACTATACCAAGAATACTGTTACTTACTATAAAAATGGTCTTAACTTGATGAAATTCAAACAAAAGCTTATGTTAATATAAAATGTTCCTAAATAACATTCTAATATAGAAAGCGCATTCCAATTACCTAGTAACAGATTCTATGACCTTGTATATTACACTGATATGGAGGAGTTCTGGCTGCCTTATGGTCTCTAGGGTTGCGCGGCCGAAGCAAGCTTCAATAAATACCCATTCACTTGCGCTTCGAAATGGTCAACCACACATCTTTCCAATACCCAACACCACCCTTGACCACAAACTGGGCCTTGGGCTTCCCCTCAACAGGCTCTGGCTTATAAGAACGGAAGAACTATTAAGATTAGCCAAGAACCCCAAAATTTTCAATCTCAGAAATCTCTCACTCACCTGCAAAGGACCCTTAAACAACTCCATCATCGCAATATCTTTCCCCAGACAAACTCGCGACCCATACCCAAAGGCCATGTTGTACTTATTATACAATTTTGCCCGCTCGGCATCCAGCCAGCGCTCAGGCCGGAACTCCTCCGCATCATCGCCATATAGCGCCGGATCCCGATGCACCAGGTACGGGTTGCACGAGATCTCTGTACCAGCCGGTGCGAACTTACCGAACAGCTCCAGCCCAGGTTCGGGGACATATCGCGGGAAGATATTCGGTGCAGAGGGACACAAACGCATCGTCTCTTTAACACAGCCCACATAGAATGGGAGATGCGTAAGAACCTCGTCATACTGCGGCATCTCAGAAAGGACACCCGCTTTTGACGCAGCGTCAATCTCCTCCATCATTCGTTTATAAGCAGCGGGATTCTCAAGCAAGAAATGGATCATAGCCTGGAATGCAGTGCCGGTTGTATCCGCGCCTGCGAGGAGTACGAGAAGAACTTCCGCGCGAATATATTCCAGGTCAAGGGGCTTATCCTCGTCTGTTCGGGCATCGAGGAGCATTTGGAGCAAGTCGACGCGCTTGGCTTGTTTCTCGGACTTATTGTCTTCGATGCGTTGGCTGATTAGCTTGTCACGGAAGCGCATGAGGACACCGATTCCTGAGTCGTCTGTAGGTGTGGCGACGAGGTATTTCTTCAGGAAGGTTGTTTTGAGCCAGGATGTGAAGGGGTGGAGGCGGGCGAGAAGACCGAATGCTGGGAGGCCGTCGTGGAAGCCTTGGATTAGGCCGCCGATGTCTTCACCTTTTTCGATGAAGCCAAAGGGAGCGCCGAAGCCTATTTCACTGATGATGTCGTAGGCCATGTAGCTATTCCAAAGTTTGATTAGTACCATATCTGGGTATTGTATGCAGGGTGGGTGAACTAACACTGCCCACCAGGCAAAATCAAAGGATTCGCCGGTTTTGACGAACGTGTCGTCGAGCTTGGAGCTCCATTCTTGGATCCGGGCATCGATCAATGGTTCCATGCGCTTGATGCTGGTGAAGCTGTACTGTATATTGTTAGTGGAAGAACCCTGTACTTCATATTGTGTTCTGTAGCTTACAGGTCCGGCAATGTGCTTTCTGAACACGGAGTGCGTTTTGTGCGATCTCATGTTAAATAAACTCTCAGTCTCTCCGAAACTGCCAGTGATGTAGTGACCGGTCTTATCGGCATTGCGGTGGTAGACCTCTGGGAGCTTGGAGTGGTCGCTGACCAGCAGCAACGTGGGGGTAATTCGAACAACCGGTCCTATTTGAATTAGAATCGCTCAATGCAAATGAAGTAGAGTTGCATTACCATATCTCTTCGATAGCTCATGGCAGGTCAAGTATTCTGTCTCCTGCAGATTCTGCTTCGCGATCCAAAGTCGTGTCACAGACGCCCAGAAGGGACCAGGGAAGGCCGAAAGAGGATGGAAAAAGCGATAGTAGACAATCTGGTACACAACCTTAAGCACAATGTATGCCACAAGAGCCAAGAGGAGATTCGTCAGCGTCAACAGTGACGATACATTTGCGAGACGCATGGTTAGAGAACAAATGCCATCGGGAGAAAGAAAGTCTAGTGGGATGGTGGCCTCCAAAATACCCCGAGCAAAGCTACCTTGTGTAGTAAGAAGTCAGAAGTCATTGGCTCACGAACTATGCGTGTCCACCTGCTCGACTTGTTAGTAGTTTAGACGGACTTGATTAATTGGGTCTAATCTAACGGTTTTCAGGATCGACTGCTCGTCTACTGCGCCTCTTTCTTCTAGCCCATGCGCCATGGCACTTGAACCTGTGGAGATGTCATTTCGGAGGCTTAGAACGACATCAAAAACTTGGCATAACGGCTTGTGGAAGTAAGACACGCCGCCTAGAACGCCGGGATCGACCAGGCTACGGAGTATGAAAGGGGCAATGCGGAGCCAAATCTCGCCAAGTTGGCAGGAGATCGGCGGTACTGTGGGTCATCGGTAAAGTTCCTGTCATTGGGGAGAAGAGGAGTTCCACTCCAGGCAAATTCGCGGGTTGATGCTTGGTTCAAATATTTCCAGTCATTTCGGACTCCCATGAAGCTCCGGGGTTATGTGGGTATAATTAGCTACGAGTTCGAAGGACTTAATATACTTAATATACTAAATCTGGGGAATATAACGGTCGTACATGAGCACCAAAAGCACGTGGTCTATTACGTGTTCAAGAGACACTAATCACCACCCTTGACTTAGCTCAGAACGATGTTCTCCACTGTGCTGCCTCAAGGGTACAATGCTCAATGTCTTGACCTCGTACGGAGTACGAAGTACAGACGGTGCTTCATCTCCTGGGCTAGGCCCCCGCTTTTCACGAGTCAGGCTGGTTAAGAAAAGCATGATTCGTGGGTTGAATTAACGAGCGCAGATCTCAACGGGGATCGATTTGCATTTCGTACGCTGGGCCAAAAGGAGGCAATGATGTGGCGGGTATCCGGCACCGTTATGTGATCCGTCCTCAAGCCGGTCCACTGAGGAGAACGATCGGTCGAAGTCTGTACAGGGCAGAGGGCATGAAGATGTGTGAAGGGTATGGTCAGGAATTCCCTGCAAATTCCCTGCAGAATAAACAACTGAACTGGAAGCATTCCGAGCTGTCATGTTGAACCCAAAACTCCTTTGCCTTTGCCGGTCTCGTAGACTCGGGGACTATGCGCAACCAATCTCGCTTAAACATAGCTTGTTGGCCACAATTGAATAATGCAATGGTTCAGGATTTTTCTCTCGCCCCACTGTGGACGGGTCGGAAGTGGGAAGATGGGTCGATGGGTCAACATGCAGATCGAAGCGCGTTAGCTTCTCGAATGGTTTTGTTGGTGTGGGACTTCGGGCGGACGGCACAGTGCGAGTCTCTGAAACGACGGCGGAAGGCAATTCACTCAACCCCTCATTTGAATCCTTGTTTGGATGTTAAGGTTGACGCATAATCGACAAAAGGGTTATGCGCCACATGAACGCATAAACTACTAGATTTAAACTCGGGCGGCGTGCCGTCAGGTAAACTTTGGTGGTGCACTAGCTGACTAACCAGCTGCAGAAACATAAGTACGGATCTGCTGATTATGATCATCCGGCTGGGACTCGATTTTAAAAACAGAAACTGATTTCCTATTTGGTCCAATAATCCGAAAGCACTGTCCCGGTTCTATATCTGATCTCGTCCCGAGGTCACAGGCGATGCGATGAGATGGTATCGAGATCGATGAAAACTTCCCTTGAAACCTACTACTGAAGCTTTCGTTTCGTATTTTGCCCCCTTTTTCGTTATACCTGGAGCCGAAAAAGTCTGATCAACAGGATATGAGACGTTAAGCATCCCTGCATGCTCCACCTGAACCAACCTTTCTACTCGTGCTAACAATGCTGCTGCTAGGTATGTGGATCCCACGCTTGTACCGGCACGGGCTCGATCACTCCCTGAACGAATCATGACTCCACAGGTTCTCCAAAACTGGGGCCGATACTTGGAGGCTGTCCTTGCCGAGGCCCAGATTTTTTGGGACTTTGGTGACTTTTCTCTATTTCCGGTAGTGCCTTGTCAATCCCTCCCCTATGGCCCTGCAGCAATGATGCACCATGAACCGACGAAATTGGGTGGACTTTTCCTCGTTTTTTGGTTCTCAGGGACGTGCATATGCAGGCCTTGTAATAAGTGGACAGGTCCACGGTCTACATGTGTTATTTCGTTTTTCCTTCTTTGATGCTATCTACAACTTCTTCTTTTTTGTCCTGGTGATAATCTACAAGTTCTTGCGCATAGCATATTCATGCCTTAATCTGGCTATTTAATCTATCTTGACTGGTTTCCTGACACATTCACTCGTTTTCTTTTTACCATGGCAGGCGACCATGGTTCCCAAGCCCCTGTGGTGATGGGCATTTGCCTTGCATTTGCGATCTTGACATTTTTGGTTTTAGCTCTGAGACTCTTTGCTCGGATATATGTGCTCGGCAAAATGGGTATCGATGACTGTGAGTGCACATGACGGATACTATGAGAAAACATGCTAATGCTTCCAAGATCTCATCATCGGAGCTGCTGTAAGGAAGCAAAATAATCCACAGTCTCGGCAGCAACTAACAAAGATGCATAGCTTCTTGCTTGGGCATTTATTGGAGCCACAATTTCGGGTAAGGAAACCAATTCCATCAAGGTCTTCATCCAGTCTAACGAGCATGTATAGCTGTCAAGAATGGCCTGGGTTCACATATCAAATATGTCGACCAGAGTCTGCTCCTCAACTACTCCTTTGTAAGGATTTTCGACCTGAATTTATACATCATGGATTATTTACTAACTCACTCAGGCGGTCTGGCTGAGTTCCATGTTCTATCTGGCTTGTCTCGGGTTCATCAAGACATCAGTTTTATTGTTTTATACTCGACTTGGAGACCGCTTTCTCACTCGCCTCTCCTGGGTCATGATAGGCGTCATCATCTGCCAGGCCGGCTCTTTTGTCTTAGTCGCTGCCTTCCAATGTTCACCAGTCAGCAAGGCCTGGACGGGCACTGGCGATGGAAAATGCGTCAACATCAACATTTTCTATCTCTGCAACGCGGCTCTGAACATCCTGACCGATCTTTTGACCTACACCTTGCCCGTGCGCGTCATCTTCAAGCTCCAGGTGCCCCAAAAGCAGAAGATTGCGCTCGGTTTTATCCTCTGCTTAGGTCTCTTGTGCGTGAACCAGTCTCTTCCACTACCTTCGCTTCTAACATTCTCCAGTGCTTGCGTCTCCTCTATCATTCGAATCACCTATATCCCCGCCATGCTCAACTCCGCCGACTACACCTACGCTATCAGCGGTGCCATGTACTGGTCCGTCATTGAAACCAACGTCGGAATCCTCGCCGCCTCAATCCCATCCTTCAAGGCCATCGCGTCCCGCTTCCTGCCCCGCTTCATCGGCGAGTACAGCAGTGGGCGCAAGTACGGTCCCTGGTCGGGTAACACCGATGCCCGGAAATACGGATCTGGGTTCACCAAGGTGACGGATCCGAACCAGATTACCATGGGCACGATGAACCAGGATGATATCGCGATGGGTACGCAGATTGGGGCTGCGGACCGGGATAATTCGAGCGAGGACCGCATTATCATTCCTGATGGGAAGATTTTCACACAAACGGAGATTGAGACGACTGTTGAGACTTCCGATGACTTCGAATCGGCCTGTGAGCGGGCTCACCGGTCGAAGCGAGGTTATTCATAAAATTTCTCTCCTTTTCTTTTCTTTTTTATATCCAAGTCTGGGTTATCGCCCAGCAATCAATGACCGTGTTCTCTGCAGGCCATTTACCTACGAATTAATAGCAAAAACCAAGTTTGGCAAATGCAACGGACAACATCTGAACGGTCGAACTTGATCTGTGTATGATACAATAAGTATACGTAAGACGGTCTACCAGAGTACGAATCATCGAATACATAGAGCCCATTTATTAACTTCTCACGCTTACACTTGGTAGCCGTGATATTATCATTGGCGCGCTCAATAACTGTATCGTCGGCCTTGGAACCACGATTCTGATCTCTTCGGTTCTACTTTTACAACTGATGCCAATATGAAAATAGAAGGCATACCATGCGGCGTAGATAGGTCTAAAGTCATAGTGAGCGGGTGTCCTCAACGGTGAGACTAGTGGATGGGGAGAATATCGGCCAGGGAAAAGTGGATTGCTGGCATGCGGAGCAAACATAAGTGCCCTTCCCGAATTGGGATTGAACGTTTCCTCAAAGCCTCGGAAGTGGACACGAAATGGATTTTCTACGTGTTTCTTCATAAACATTGGCCAGTTGTAAGTCAAACCCATATACAACGTTAGTCGGCAGTTCATTACACTTATGTTCATATATATATATATGTTTCATGCATGTCTTATATATCCCGAAATTTATGTGCCATATGCTATCATCAAAAATATGCAGCCCAAGGTTTCCCTGGGTATTCGGCCTATTGGAAGTAGTCGGGGAACAGCCAGGTCAGCTTCTTCCGGGCCTCGGGGCTCCAGTTCGACTGAGGGGTGCTGAAGCCAAACTTCACGGAGCCAGCGAGGTGCTTGGCGTGAACCAAGTCAGAGTGCTCGTCGCTAGCCAGAGCGTCGAGGACAGCGGTGACGAAGCGGCGGGCGTTGTCGGCGTTAGCCTTCATGTGGCCCATGACCATCTCAACGGTCACATCGGCGGTAGACTCGTGCCAGCAGTCGTAGTCGGTAGACATGCAGATCATCTGGTAAGCAATCTCAGCCTCGCGGGCGAGCTTAGCCTCCGGGAGAACGGACATGTTGATGACGCTGCCGCCCCATGAGCGGTACATCTTGCTCTCGGCGCGGGTGGAGAACTGGGGGCCCTCTATACAAAAGGTATTATGATTAGTGAATGTTTGTTGAGCAATTTTCGGTATCCATACCCATGCAGATAATGGTGCCACGGTCGTGCAGGACGACACCGTCACCCTCCAGGCTGTGTCCGCACTCGCGCACGACCTTGGCAATGCCCTCATCGAAGGGGTCACCGAAGGGAACGTGTGCAACCGCACCACCTTCGAAGTAAGTCCATGGCCGCACACCCTTGGTACGGTCAATAATCTGGTCGGGGATAACAAAGTCACGGGGCTTGATTTCCTCCTGCAGACTGCCGACGGCGGAGAAAGCAATGATGCTGCGAACACCGATGGAGCGCAGAGCGGCGATGTTGGCACGGGCAGGAACCTCATGGGGAGCAATCTGGTGGTGGGCGCCGTGGCGGCTCAGGAAAGCAATCGCGACAACCTTGTCATTGTGCTTGCAGTGGTGGTGCAGGATGGTGATGGGAGAGGAGGGTTCGCCCCAGGGAGTGGAGATGGACAGGGAAGCAACCTGAGTGAATCCAGGGAGCTCACGCAGACCAGTGCCACCGATGACGGCAATTGGGACGGAGCCTAAAGGAATCTCGATCGTCAGCTATTGTAACAAAGTGGGGTGAGGGGCGGGCGCTTGAGGGAAATGCTAGTGAGGGGCTTAGCTGGAAGATACACACCCTCGTAAGTGGTGGGAAGAGCAGCCATTCTTCTTGCGTATTGTTTCGGGGACTCAATGCGACGAAGAGGTTTTGAGATTGAAGAGAGTTGACGAAGTCCCGAGAGGCAGCGCATACTGTATTAAATTTCAACGCGACTGCCCCGCTCTTATTGGACCCCGCCCCACGTGCGTTCCTGAGGCCACAGCTTTACCGCCCAGAGAATCGGTTGTCCATGGATTCAACCTAAACGATACTACGAATGCTAACAGTCTTCTCCATTCACTGGTTGGTTGAAATATCGGGTTCCTATTTGGTCCAGCTCATATACAATTCTCTTTTCAAATAACAGGAAGCTACACATGAACAAGTGTTTCCAATCTATATATTTCCCTGAACAGGGTACATACCTTCATTGACATTAAGCCACCTTCCACTCGTAGTGGTGAAGACCCTTGTGGGTAGGGCCCGGATCTTCGCCGGCAACACCTGGCTTGTTATAACTGTGAGCACCAAAGTAATCCATCTGCGCCTCCATAAACTTGGTCGGCAGCGCCAGTCCACCCGCATACTTCAGATAGTCCAGCGTCGCAGAAATCGCCGGCAGATACTGATCAGTCTTGGTGCCCTCAATAACAATATCCTTCAAGGCATCAAAGCTATTGTGCAGCTCCGTCGAAACTGCATCAATGGATTTCATATTGGACATGCTGGTCTTACCTGATAGCGGAGGCTGCAACAGATCCGCAATGTAGTCGGACTGGATGATACAGCCTGCCCGCCAGATCTGAATGCAGTTTCCCAGATCAATATTCCAGCCTTCATCCTCAGAGGCTCTGGAAATCAGCTCCAGTCCCTGACAGAAAGACGATAGGAAAGAACAGTAAACCGCCTTGCGCAATTTCTCGAGCATGGCCTCTTTCGAGATCCGGGTATTTTGAATGGGACGAGGCGACGGCATTTGGAGCTTCTTAGAAATTTGCACTCGCTCTTGGCGATTTCCGCTTGCAATACGCATATAATGGGCAGCTGCTAAAGTGGGACAGGAGACGTGTCGTGAGGCAGATTCCATGAGCGACCAGAGGGGTGTTCCCTCAGAACCATCGTCGTCCTGGACCACCTTATCGAGAACATCATCAAGAACGAATCCACTGCTGCCGGTTCCTTCTCCCTTTCCATCACCGTTGGGTGTTCGCTTCGTTCTGAGGATATCGGCCCCGATGTTGATCAAGAAGTTGCCCCGGAGTTCACCGCGAGAGTCCCATTGCGCGAATATATCTCCGATTTCCTCGTAGCCCATACCCAGACCATAATGCATGAAAGACCATGCTTCAGCAAGTGTAGAGAGCATTCCACCTTCAATACCATTGTGGACCATCTTGACAAAATGTCCGGATCCGCCAGGGCCAATACGAGTAACACATGGGGTGCCACTCTTGGGATCCTTGGCTGCGTACCTCTGCAGCAGAGGCATGATCAGCTCCAACGCCTGGGCATCTCCACTGGGAGAAAGACTAGGTCCACGACGAGCAGACTGGTAGCCACCGGAGACACCCATGCCAATCCAGGACACGCCGATCTCAGCACATTCTTTCTGACGGCGTTCGGTCCGGCGATAATTCTCGTTTCCGCCATCTAGAACAATGTCGCCTTTCTTCAGGTCATGCTTGATCATGCCAAGAACCGAATCTGCAGGGTGGCCATGTGTAATGGAGAACATGAATATTTTGCGCTCTCCGCCCTCGAGACTTTTCGTGAATTCGTCGACGTTGTAGAATCCAGTAATCTTTCCTCTGACATCGTTGGCGCTCTTAGCCCAGTTTGTAACTTTATCGACGTTCTTTTTATCCACGTCGAAGACTGATACATCGAGGCCCATCTCGGAGAAAGCAAAGGTCATCATCGATCCCATGCTGCCCGCGCCGACCACGCCGATGCGCTTGAATTTCTTGATCGGGTCTATATTCGCCATGATGGTTGCCCAGTATATTGAACAGATTGTTTGGTCTATTCAATAAGGCAAAGGCTTAATAAATTTCTTTGAATGTTAAATTGGAATGAGAAATAATTTGAAGAAAATGAAGCCTTGATTCGCGTTCTTGAACGACGATTTGTGGCAACCGAAACGGAGTCCCGGGGAACACACACCTTGTCAATATGTGGTCAGCGGCGATTACGAAGGCAATTAATTTCTGACCTAATTTCAGATGGAGACGAAAACCTGGCCACATCTTGTGACATAAGGCAATCATTATACATGCTGAAGCTTATGATGTACAAGTGACGAATCTGGCATTACAATCTTGCGTCATAATTTACACGTCAATTCCAACGTCCAACACGACTGACATACTCCTCAACACCACAAAATTTCAATGATCAGAAAAGCTCTCAACGTTTATCAAAAAGTAGTAGCCGGCAATATGAAACCAATAAGCCGCCAATCACTAAAAAAAATCCCCCTTTCCTACGCCTCCTGCTCAATTGGCTGTGGACCAAACGACACACTCGGGCGCAAACTAGAGGCCATCAGCAATGCAGGATTCGTCTCAATTGAGCTTTCTTACCCTGATATTGTGGCATTCGGCTCTCAGGTACTCGGATACCCCGTTCAACCTGATAATTACTCCGTGCTCTTAGGTGTCGCCCGAGATATCCGCCGACTATGCGACGCGAATTCATTGACAGTAATGATGCTGCAGCCATTTGCGAATTTCGAAGGATGGCCGCAAGGATCAGCCGAGCGCGAGGAAGCATTTTCGAGAGCGAAGGGCTGGATTGAGATGATGAAGGTTGTTGGGACTGATCTTCTGCAGGTAAATTCAACATTAAACCCAGGGTACAGAAGGTCATGACCAAGCTAAATGTATATTAGGTTGGCGCGACAGATACACCCAAAGAGAAGATATCAACTTCCCGGGATACCATCGTCTCCGATCTCCGTGAGCTAGGCGGTATGCTAGCCAAGCATAACTTCCGACTCGCCTACGAAAACTGGTGCTGGTCTACCCATGCACCAGGCTGGAAAGATGTATGGGAGATCGTGCACGATGTGGATCTCCCAAATGTCGGTCTCTGTCTTGATACATTCCAATCATGCGGGAGCGAATGGGGCGATCCGACGACCTCGTCAGGATTGATCGAAACCGAATCGCGTGAGCAGCTGCAGGCCAACTGGCATTCAAGCATGCAGCAGCTGGCAGCTACTGTCCCCGGCGACAAGATCTTCCTATTGCAGATCTCCGATGCGTATAAAGTCTCGCCTCCGCTTGAAGACAAGGTCAGTGGAGGCTTACGTCCGCGTGGTCGCTGGAGCCATGATTTCAGGCCTATGCCATATGATGGAGGATATTTGCCAATTGAAGATTTTGCCAAAGCGGTTTTGCAAACTGGTTTTAGAGGGTGGTTCTCTCTGGAGATCTTTGATGGGGGACCTGAGGGTAAGGGGAGGTCATATGAAATGAATGAGTTTGCGAAGAAGGCTATGGTCAATACGCAGAAGCTTTTGGATAATTGTGCTACAGAGCCTTGATAGAAGTGAGATTCAATGGAAGTATTCAAATTCGAATATTGTGTACAGTAGGCGAATTTGCCTCGCATAGTAATTTTAACAGCCCAAAGGTCCTTGGCGGACTTGCTCAAAGTAAAGGAAACGCCGGGTGAGAAATGCAGGGTAGACGCCGTGATGTCATAAGGCATGCAGTGCTAGTTGGAATGCGCGAAAAGCACATCCACCTCATTTTAGTTGGAGTTGCTGGGGTAGGCAACGGTGTAGGTGGGGACGAACTCCTCCTTGACGGAACGCAAGCTCACGAAGCGAGACAGCAAGTTGGCGCTACCAGCCTTGTCGTTGGTACCACTGGCACGGGCACCACCAAATGGCTGCTGGCCAACAACAGCACCGGTGCTCTTGCAGTTGATGTAGAAGTTACCAGCGGCGTTCCGGAGAGCATCATCAGCCACGCGAATAGCCTCACGGTCCTGAGCAAAGATGGATCCAGTCAGGCCGTAGGTTCCAGTGGTGTCGATCTTCTCGCAAATCTTGACAAAGTCGGCTTCGGTAGCGTCATTGTAAGAGTGGATGACAATGATGGGGCCAAAGAGCTCCTTGGACAGGAGGGGGTGGTCAGGGTTGGAGGTACGGTACACGGTGGGGGAAATGTACCAGCCCTTGGAGGAGTCGTAGGTACCACCGGCAAGCAACTCAAGCTCGGGATCGTTCTTTGCCTCATCAATAACACCAGCCAGCTTGTTGAAAGAACCCTCATGGATGACCGGGCCGCAGAAGTTGGTAAAGTCAGACGGCTCACCAATCTTCAGCTGCTGCACTTCAGCAGCGAGCTGCTTCGCAAACTCGTCGGCAATAGAAGATGCAACATAGGCACGAGAAGTGGCGCTGCACTTCTGGCCCTGGAATTCAAAGGCACCACGCACGGTCTGGACCACGGCGTTGCGCACATCGGCCGACTTGTGAATCAGGTGGAAATTCTTGCCACCGGTCTCACCCACAATACGAGGGTAGCTGCGGTATTTGCCATCCGCCACTCCCTCTGAGATCTTGCCATAGAGCATACGGAAAACGTCTGTGCTGCCGGTAAAGTGGAGAGCGGCAAATTCGGGGTGGTTGAGGACGGAGCTGGTGACCTCCTCGGCCTCACCGGGCACAAACTGGATTACATCCTTGGGCAGACCTGCCTCGAGAAGAATCTGGTGAACAAGCCAGTTGGAGGCGATGGCAGAGGGAGAAGGCTTCCAAATCACAACGTTGCCCATCAGGGCGGGTGCGCCAGCCAAGTTACCACCAATAGCGGTGAAGTTGAAGGGGCTGATGGCGTAGACAAAACCTTCGAGAGGGCGGTACTCCAGGCGGCTAGAAATTATCAATATCAATACTTTCAGAATATCCAAATTCACAGGGATGGCTTACTTCCAAACACCAGGAGCGTGGTGAACGGGCTGCTGTGCGTAAACCTCCTCGGCATACTTGACGCCAAAGCGGAAGAAGTCAATCAGCTCAGCAGCTGAGTCAATCTCCGCCTGCCATGCATTTTTTCCTTGTCCTTGCATAGTCAAGGCCATAATGTCATAACGGTACTTGGTAGAAATCAAGTCGGCGGCCTTGAGGAAAATGCTGGCGCGCTCGGCAAAAGGAGTCGCAGCCCAGGATTTGCGAGCTGCAAGAGCCGATGCGATGGCAGCATCAACATCGGCCTTGGAAGCATTGGAGTAGGTTGCTAGAGGAGCGTGGGTGGCTGGGTTGCTCTGGGTAAAAGTCTGGGAGTTTTTGATCTGTTCAATATTAGCATAACTCTTCGCTTGGCGACCAAATTTGCCATACCTCTTTTCCAGCAATAACGAGAGGAACGTTGAAGGGAGACTTCTGGTTGACCGAAGCCAAAGCATCTTCGAGACCCTTGCGGTCTGCGGAGCCGGGAGTGTAATGTTTCTGAATATCATTGTCAGCGAGTATCCCTGGCTGTGCGGCTTCAAAAGCCTCGACTCACGTTTGACTCGTTGTTGATCTGGGGAATCTTGAATGTCGCGTAAGTGCCCAGCGAACGCGAGCTTGAGCTAGGGACGCGGCATGCAAGTGACTGCCAGCGAGACAATGGCTGCGCTCTAGCGCGCAAGAGGATTGACTGCATTGTGGTGTTCGGAAATCTATGAAGGAAAGATAAAATCCAAGCTGCTTGGATCCGAAATGTAAAGAGTTAAGATCGAATTGAAGAAAAAAGAACGCGGGGTACACATATGATGAAATGACCGGCTATCACCGGCGGTAGCTATCGCTCAAAAGTGAGCTGCCAGTACCCTGTACCAGGTGCAGGAGCCGGCAGCGAATGATAGGCGGCCGGCAGCAGTCCCGGGTGGGGCAACCGGGCCGGAGCTCAGCAGAGGAACAGCGCTTATTGGACAATCCATCATGATCTTCAAAGTGGGGAACACCCATGTTCTGTACCCGGTACAGAGTACAATCGACAGAGCTCTGACACTCCAGATAACAAAAACCCAGTCGAGTCTCGGAGATCAAAATAACAGTCCCGCAAGGAAGATAAGCATTTGAATTATCCTACTGCTGATAACGGTATCTAGGGTGGACCAAGGTGGGTCGAGGCGATTGTCAATTCAAATGCTTGATTCCATTGGTTTAATCAAAACTGCCACGCATGTACACGTTATAACATCTAATACACCGTAGAAAACATAGATAGATCTAATTTATGCAATCCACCACCAGACACGTTCTAACCAATTGCGGGGCTGCTTCTCGACATCCAGTTCACACATCCGATCAATCTCCTCTTTGCCAGAGAAGATATCGACATCTGCAGCCGGAACCATCCATGGCGTGCGATACCAAATTTTATGACCAAAGTACAAAGCAAAGAATATGGCGAACACAATGTAAGACACCAGGAAGCCGGAGGCTGTAAAGGAGCCCGGGAAGAAAATGGTGTACCCGTTGGTGATTGCCAACAACGAGACAACCACCAAAGCATAGTATGTGCCCCAGGGTTGGAATGGTGTCTTGAATGGCCGTGACTCGAGCATGCCATGAAAATCAAGAGCTCGGCGGAAGCGCTATGTGGGAAAATGTTAGCAGTCGGTCTGAAAAATGGAATACGATCACCAACCAGATAAGCTACGCCAACAAGAATCCAGGAGAGGAAACCTCCGACCGTAGTGATGTTGGTGAACCAGTAAAACACATCAGACCCTGAACTCGATAGGTTCAAGAAAGCAAGCAGTCCAATCGACCAGGTGACCAGCACCGCGGCGTAAGGTACACCATTCTTACTGCACCGAGTGAAAATCTTGGGTGCTTGACCTTCACAGGCAAGCGAGTAGAGAGTTCGTGAGCCTGCATAGACCCACGAATTTCCAGAAGACCAAGCAGAAATCAGGATGGCCGCGTTGATAACATGGTTGAGGCCACTGATTCCCGCATTCTGGATGCCAATCACAAAGGGACTGGCGCCAGCACCCGATGAGCCACTGGCGACGCCCTGAAGAAGATTCTTGTCATTGTATGCAACAGTCACTCCGATCACTAGACTTCCGAGAACGTAGAACGCAAATAGACGGTAGATGAAGCGGTTGGTAGCTTTGGGGATGTTGCGGCGTGGTGCGACAGCCTCACCAGCGGCAGTGGTGATCAGTTCGGGAGAGAAAATGAAGGAAAATCCAGATTTGATGAGAGCTGTCCAAAATGCCAGGAATCGACCAGTGTTCACGTTCGGTACCAAGTATGGCTCCTTGAATGCGCCTGGGTGCTCCCAGTATCGGAAACCAAGTCGGTCGTGGCTCGGTCCACCACCGAAGAAAAGAACGACGCCAAGGATAATGAGACCAATGATGGCGATGATCTTCAAAGATGCAAACCAGAACTCGGCCTCACCATACCAAGAGACGGCGACAATGTTGAGAACGAGGATAACTGTGAAGTGAGAATCACGATTAGCCTACCTCCTTGACTAGGAAAGAGTGATTCCGGAATTATCGATTGGGAATTGACTCACCCAGAAGAATAATTGCGATCCATACTCCAACACTAACATTGATAGGCCAATATTGTATGACTAGTCCCGCTGCTGTGACTTCTGACGCTGTCAGCATCGAGAATGAATACCTGCCAGGGTTTGTTAGCTTCGTCGACATAGTTTTTCCAGCATGCTCAAATTACCAATAGTTATACCCTAGACGTAATTTGTCAGTACTTTTCATGGAAAAGAGGCAACTCAGAACATACCAACAGCGAACCCCAGGCTTGGCTCAGTGAACCGATTGATCAAATACGGCACGGAAACACCGCGCACGGGCAGGTAAGTTGTCATTTCACCCAACATGTTCATGACAAAGTAGACAACAGTTGACATAACAATATATCCCATGAGAAGGGGAGCTAGTAACTTCACGTTAGACTGTGCTTTGCTGGGATTCGTTACTCGAACCCATCACAAATTTACCTGGTCCAACTGTCGACAAGGTCGATCCACTTCCAACGAATAATCCCGTGCCAATACAACCACCCAAAGCAAGGAATTGAATATGACGCGAGCTCAGTCCGCGATGTGTTTCACCACTGTCTATTCCCTCCACCTCGCCTTGCAGAGTTTTTGGTTCCTCATAGAAGTCCAGTGGGACCTTGCCCTCTTCCATCCCCTTGGGTGATGGATCCATGGTGGTTCGGCAGGTCAAAGAGATAACTTAGGTAGAAAAAAAAAGTAACAAAAGAAGAGGAAAAAAGAGCATGCGGGAAACAGCCTTCGAGGAAGGATATGAGCGTTTTACTACATTTAAGTCTCAAGTACATACGGACAGATAATCTAGGCTTATATTTCATGGGAAATAGGGTTCAGGATTAAAGCCACGAGGCGTCTACACATGGAGGGAGATAAGACAACCGAGCAAATAAACAAGGTTTTAACTTTTTTTTTTTTTTTGACTCGCGGGGTAAATTGGAAATCTCTACCGATTAAAAAACAGCCTCAAAGAACTCAATTGGCTAGGTGCCATGGTAAGAATCACACATTTGGATAGAGGATGACACAAGGTTTCAAAAGACCGGGCGATGTGGAGTCGCGTGGTTCTTATCGGCCCTGTAAGTCTGTATGCCTAATCTCGGTCTCGGAGGACCTCCTATCGGTCCGGTATGGAGGAATCGATGAGGTTATCTCATGTGAAATAGGAACGATTCCTGCGGCTAACTCTAATTCGGTACCTGGGTACCTTATCATCTATAAGGCCAGGTGACAGTATTCAATGTTTCTAGGTAAGGTTCTCGGCCCCATCTAGAGCTTAGCTTAAAGGCTGCGGGTGTCGATTGCCATCTGGGGATTCTTGTGGATCTATCTGGGGATACGGGGTAGCATCGTGAAAGATGGGGATGCAGGCATTTATTATGAAGTAATAGAAACTCGATCAGGAATCTCTTGGTGATCTAAATTTTGACCTTAAAGATCGGGCTGCCAAGGAGAAACAGACGCGCGACCGTTCGTAGCCGGGGGCACGTGATGCTTCTGCAGGCGATTGACCGGCCCGGTCAATCTATGTGTGGCCCGTGCAGCAGCATCAACCGGCCCGTATCGGGTTACTCCAACAATTGAACAGTGGTAGCCATCTCTACAGGGATCTGGAGACCACATGATGTGTTCATGCAGGTTAGAGTTCAGGCAAAGCTTTAATACCGGTGGCAATATCGAAGTACCAAACTTACCCCAATCAAAGGCAAGCCGAATCTCAATAATATCGGGATTCCGGTGGGGTTATTTAGACCGGGATGGCCTGCAGTATTCGCGATTCCATGAATCATGGAAATTGTTCGTTGGTCACGAGCCTGTATTTCCCACACCGAGAAATGAACGGCTGCAAACTGCCGGTTGGCCATGTTATTGGGCACCGTACCGGTCGGCGCTTGCCACCGGCTCTTGCCAATGTACATAATTTATTAGTACGCCTAGTGATCTTTATCTTCAGACCTGTCTGCTTTAAACCTTGGATCCAATATTCACTTTATCCAAACAAAGCTGAATTCGCATTCTTCAATCCAGTTCTGCTTTGCTCCTTTCTTCCTCTCCGTCGCCTATCCTTTCAATAGTCTTAATACATCGCTATCATCGTCTTATCAATGAAAGCTGCTCGGGCTGTGCGCGTGCCCCGCGGGCAGGCCACTATCAGCCGTGCCAACACTCGACTAGTGAGCGGTACTGGCAACGTCAAGTCATCTGTTGCCGCAACTGCAAGCAACGTCTGGCAGCCACTATCGCCGCCAACTCCACGCAAGGCGTTGAACGCGCCACTTGCCAAGTTGCCTTTGTCATCCGTCCTGCGCTCGCTGTTGGTGCTATCAGTCTCATCCTCTCCACTTTTGCTCAAACCTTGCATCTACACTCTATCATTGTTGGCAAATCCTCGTTCCGCACTGTGGGATGTTTCCAAGAACCCACTGCTGAACTTCTTGGTGAAGCACACAATTTACAAGCAATTCAACGCTGGAGAAAGTAAGGTCGAGGTCCAGAAATCTATCGAAAACATCAAGGGTCTAGGATGCCGAGGTGTGTTGCTTGGTTATGCTCGGGAGGTCTTGGTTGGCGAGAACGAAGACGCCGCCTACGACGAGAAAGCTGCTCTCGCCGAGATCCAAATGTGGTTTGATGGTACCATGCGCACAGTCGATATGGCTCAGCAGGGAGACTTTGTTGCTCTGAAGTAGGTTTTTCGCTTGATCTTTTTGTCAGCTTTATTCTAACACGCTTCATAGATTCACCGGCATGGGTACCGATGCCCTTCGCCTCCTCCAGAAGGAAGCCGCACCATCTGAATTCATGGATGCCTCTATCCTGAAGGTGTGCGATTTGGCAATCTCCCGAGGTGTTCGTTTGCTCGTTGATGCCGAGGAGCAGGCTGTCCAGCCTGGTATTGAGGCATGGATCATGAAGTACCAGAAGTACTGCAACTCGCAGACTCCGGGGCGCGCTATCTTCTACGGCACCTACCAGGGCTACCTCCGATCAACACCTTCTACTCTGGCACGTCACCTTGAGACCGCTCGCAGCGAGGGATACACACTGGGTGTCAAGCTGGTTCGCGGTGCTTACATGAAGACTGAACCTCGCCACCTGATCTGGGCCACGAAAGAAGAGACTGACCAGTGCTACGATGAGATTGTTGAGGCTCTCCTGACCCGCAAGTACAACTCCATGTTGCAGTCTCCCTCGAAGGACCCATCCGTCCAGCTGCCACCTGTCAACGTGATCATCGCCACCCACAACCGTGAATCTGTTCGCAAGGCCCACGCCATCCGTGTTCAGCAGGCTGCCCATGGAGAAGACTATGGTGTTGATCTGAGCTACGCCCAGCTTCAGGGCATGGCTGATGAAGTGAGCCTTGAGCTTCTTCAGGGCTTCGAGAGTGCTGAGGCCAGTGTGGGTGCGACACCCATGGCGGCACCCAACGTCTTCAAGCTCTTGACTTGGGGTTCCGTCAAGGAGTGCATGGGTTTCCTCTTGCGCCGTGCCATTGAGAACACCGAGGCTGTTGGACGTACCAAGGACTCCCAGGTGGCGATGTTCGCTGAGTTGAAGCGCCGGATGATTGGAGGCAGCAAATAGAGATACCCCTTTGCTTCAGTCTTGCATGGTTCCATATTCATAGCTTCTTGATTAGCGGGCCATCTGCTTAGCTTTTCCTTTCTTTTTTCATGTCCTTTGGCCCCAGGATTTGTTCACTGCCCTTGCGCAGGCTGGGATGCATTTATGATGGGCGTTAGCGTTTGATGAGTCATGTTTCTTGTTCATAAAGGTGGTTGCTAAAATAGACAACTCTTATCCTGATAATCAAAATCGCGAAGTATCCGGAATGTCCTTCCAATTGTGGAGAAGCATAAATTAGGCGCTATCGGGGATACCCCTCACCAGATCTAATGAGCTTTTCTTTTTACCCCAAATCAAATCATCCCAAACATCTACATCAATTCCACGAGAGCTTATCACTCATAATGCAAATCCTCTCAGAACCAAATGTATCGCATATTTTCCGCAGTTTAACAAAGACGCAATGCCACGATTTCATCAGGGTCCTTGGCTCCGCACTTGTGGGGTACAGTGCTGAATCCAAGCCAACAGTCCCTGAATCAGAGAAATTGATCCATCAGCCATTGCGCACCGTCTTCACAACAAAAGCAAACAACTCATGCATTTTCATGCCAGTCTCAGATACCGCTACCTCAGCCGTGAAAGTTGTCACGGTCGGCAACAGCGGTATCCAAGGGACCATCAACATCTTTTCACCCGAAGGACGACTACAGGGTCTTCTTGCTGCCGCAGAGGTAACCGCATTCCGCACAGCCCTTGCATCCATGAGCCTGTTCGTGCGGTGCAGTAAGCTTCACAAAGAGAATATTCTTGTGATGGGATCGGGTCGTCAAGCCGAATGGCATGCCCGACTTGCACTACTGCTTTACCCGGATTTGATCCGACGGGTAACTTTTATTAATCGGGGCCGTCAACGACTTGATGATATGGAGCGCGATGTTCTAGGTGAATTGCGAAAGCGCTATCCTAATGTTTCTATTAGCACATTTGCCAAGGAGGGTGCGGCGGACTATGACGGGAGGCTTTTGAGTGAGCTGCAGGCTGCTGATGCCATCTTCAGCTGCACACCGTCGACAGAGCCAAACTTCAAGTTTGAGGCGCTGCAGTCTGCTCCTAAACAGCGCTTTATTTCTCTCATTGGCTCGTACAAGCCGCATATGCGTGAAATCGATACTGAGACTTTGCTCTCTGGTGGAGGCAAGGTCTACGTTGATTCCAAATCGGCTTGTTTGGAGGAGTCGGGTGAATTGATTACGGCTCAGATAACGGAAAGCCAATTAGTAGAGATGGGGGACATGCTGGGAGAACAAGGCTTGTCAGGGAATATTGAGATTCCGAATGGATGCAATGTTATCTTCAAGTGTGTGGGAATGGGGTTGATGGATCTCGTGGTTGGGAAGAAGCTGCTTGAGATTGGAAGCGAGCAAGGACTAGGAACAAGTGTCGATGGATTTTAAGTCATTCTTTACTATACAAGACATCTTGCGTGGTTGGTTTTCGACTAGTCTAGAGATTTAGAATAGGCCACTTTCAGGCTAGTTATGCATGCACTATCCGATCTTGGTTCGTCGTACATGTGGATCTCATGCGATGCTAAGAAATTTAGCCCGACGTTACATAAACTGTGGTCAATTGTGATCAGTAGCGTAGCTTCATGAGCAATTAGTGTATATGTGCTGGTTTTTGCAGGGTGTATGGCTTGTAATCTCCAATAGTTGACGTTAAGCAGACCGGCTCTCAGCCGGGATCAGTGACCAAAGGACAAAGTCTGCCAGGATGCGGGGCCGCGGACCGTGGGAATTGTTATCAGGACCGATAAGTGCCACCCAATTCCTTTCCGACTTTCCTCTTCCTCTCTTTCCCCAGAACTTTATTTCTCGAATTGATTCACTTCCCCATAACCACTCAGGTGGCTCAAGGTTTCCGGACGTGATCCGTGATCCGTCTCCGCTTTCTCCGCTACCTTCTCCGCAGACGATGCCCGGCCGACGTCGACCTAGTTGACACTGCCTGTCATGAACGACTCGACCTCGACTCCTGCGCCGCAGCAGAAGCGCCAGCGGGTCGCTGAAGAGAATCGCAAGCGAGCAGTCAGAGCGTATGCAGATCCCTTTATTGCGATTCAGAGCGGACCGAGGACCCCAATCCGCTAACGTAACCGGGCTTTTGCAGGTGTGATGGCTGTCGCAGAGTGAAAGAGAAATGCGAAGGAGGCGTGCCATGTCGTCGATGCCTTCGCTATCGCCGACAGTGCAATTTTACTCACATTGACCCGGTTGAAAAGAGCCGGTCAACTTCTGTTTCGTACGTTGTGGCGGTGTGGCAATGTGCTCCTGGAAAAGGCCATGTGCTAACATTGGAATGCGGGGATAGGTTACTTGACCGTGCCGCTTCAGTCAGTCACCATGAAATCGTCGAGGCAGAGCGTGTCCGCTATATGGAGCGCATCCTATCATACTATGCGCCGAATCTCACATTCGATATCCAATCGCTCCGTCAAGCTGCCGAGGACCTGAAAAGCAAACACCGGGAGTCGGAGTCGGATGCGCTTTCCACAAAGGTGGATGCCAATGAGCTGGAGGATTTGGCCATTGATGAAGAGGATTTCACAATCAAGGCACTTCCTAATAATACAGCTCGTAAGTATCCTTTTTCGCGGTCATGGATTTCTCTTACTTACCCCGATGGCAGAATACTCCGGTGAATTTTCATATCTGAATTTCTCTATGAAAATCCGCAAGAAAATCGACGAATGGATGAAGACGGCAGCACCAGATGTAAGCTTAAATCTGCGCAGCCAATGTTCAATGTTCAAAGGAAGCCACTAACTGGTACAGGCTTCATCTGAAGTGGAACCATTTGAAGATCGATGGCGGGCCACCCAGCTTCAGTCAGGGTCATCCTTGGTATCATCTTCCATCACTTGTCTTCCTCCCCGCTATGTGGCTGAGTTCTTGGTTCAAATATTTTTCAAATATGCACAAACCAATAACTTCTATGTCGAGGAGGATTGGCTTTGCCAAAAGCTGAATATTTGCTATACCAATCCTTCCAGTTTGTCATCCGACGATGCCGGTGCTGTTTGTGCAATCCTTATGGTACTTGCAGTTGGCACGCAATTTGCACACATGGAGTCGCCCACTCCAGTCAATTGCTTGCCCGTAGATTCTGCAGCTAATCAAGATCATCACTTCTCAGAAGATGAGGTTGGTCTAACATTCTATCAGTTTGCGTCAAAGTTGCTACCAGACATTATTGCTACTGCATCCGTGCGGAGTGTGCAAGCTTGCCTCTTAATTGGAACATATCTGTTGCCACTGGATACTTCTGGGCTGTGTTACACATATTTTGGTTTAGCTCTGAAGTTGGCCATTCAGAACGGAATGCATCGAAGGTACCATGGAGAAGGGCTCTCGTCCCGGATGATTGAAACCCGCAATCGGGTTTTCTGGACAGCTTACACTATTGAAAAGTCAGTCACATTCATTTACCCACTAGGTTCTTACTCTAACAAGCATACAGACGCATTAGCATCCTGCATGGTAGACCTGCATCTTTGGCAGATGCAGATGTCGATGCCCCGTTCCCTGTTGATTTTCCCGGGTTGATGCCAGCGACACAGCAGTCAAACCACACCAACATGGTCACGTTGATTACATTGACTCTGAAACTTGGACAAGTCTCAAATGAGATTTCCTCTCTGAGAACATGCCCAAAGGGCCAACAACAAGATTGCTTAGAGCGACTGCTCAACATTCGCAAACACCTTATTGAATGGTGGTCCACATTACCTGAGGAAACAAGCTGTCGAGACCTTAATCCTGCGGGTCCACTGTTCAGGTCCAATGTACACTTGAAGCTCGATTACTGTCTGACTCGAATATTTATCGGGCGGCCATTCCTCTTCAGTAACTTCAAGGCTCTGCAAACACCTAACTCTCAAGCTTTCAAGGGCCCATCTGGAATTTCCAAAATTCGAACTACCCTTGTCACGGATTGTGTAGAGGCAGCCTTGGAGATCATCGACTTGTGCCGTCTGCTTCGAGATGAAACTGGTCTTGCTCGTGCGTCGTTCACCGAATTCAGCTCGTGCCGTGCGGCACTATTGGTTATACTAGCTCAAGGGCTTACGAAGCGCACTGAACGCCTGGGTGCAGCTTTGGAGCAAGGTGTATCCCTTATTAAGATTATGTCAATGGGTGTTGGCTCTGCCCGCTCCGCCGTCAGCGTCATCGAAGCACTCGAACGTGCGATTCGTCGCCTTGAAATGTGGAGCGAGTCCCAGCAAGCGCAAAACAATGGCGGCAGTCTTGAATCCGCCTATGATCGTTTCAAGAATTGGGAAATGCTGTGGAAGACAGGACCTGTCTCACCTTCTACGGCATCATCCTGGGAGCAAAAGAATCTTCATACCGGTGATGGTCTCGGTCTCCCGCAGCAAGGCATGCCCTCTCACACACCTGCTCCCCTTGGCATTGATGCCGTCATCTCTGGCATGCCCATCACACCCGCCACCGCTACCTTGTCAAATAGCAACAACGGTTCTGATCAGGTGATTGGCGGGCCAGGTCAAGAAATCCTGAATGCTGATATCCCTAATACCGGTGTTCCTCCGGAGGACTTCCCCTTATCCCATCAACCGCTCTCTCAGATGGCACATTTCGGTTTCGATCATTTTGTTTCGAATTTCCCGCAAGAGCTTGGGGAGTTTACTGCACTTCCTTGTTTTGAACCGGAAGCCCAAGGTAATTCTTCCGGCATGGTTGGCACGGAAATGAAAACTCCTACGGGCAGTACGGATTCGCATTGGTTACAGTTTATGAATGAGTAATGGGCTACTCCATTGCTTGTTGGCCTCCCTATTTTACCGGCGAGTTTCTTCTACATCAGGCTTTGTTTTCCATCAATATACCATATGCTGCAAGGCAGTGATTACTCTGGTTCTTTGCGTTTAGGCGGGTTTCTTGTGATCAGGCTATGATCGATGCCTTTGAAGTTTTATATACCTATCATCCTACAAGATCATATTTCTACACACTTGTCATACAATTCTCGTAAAGGTCTCCACGAAATTTCTGTCGAAACGGCACCAAATGTCTTGATAATAGGCCACGAAATATGAATACTGCTAATCGAATGTAAGCTTCTTTCCTGAGAAGACAGCAGCAGCCTGTTCCTTTTGCTTTTTCTTTGCTTCCCAAGAAGGATGCAGAGGTCCCGTATCATCAGCGGTCTTAGCCTTGTGGCTAGAGAAATCGCCAGCAGCACGGCGTTCTGCGCGATTAAGTGGTCGTGCTGGATCACTCCCGTGTCCACCGCGTCCACCACGTCCACCCCGGGCATCTCTAGCACCGCCCGCAGCACCAGTTGCTCCCCTCTTAGTATCCCATCCGCTATCCCTATTGCGTTTTTGATTTTTCTGTTCTGCCAGCACATGGTTCGCCTTTTCGCCGAACTTCTTCTCCCACAACGCACGTCGCGCTTGTTGACCCATGCGGTTTTTCCGTTTCGGGGGAGCAGCAGCCGCGGCAGCTTCGTCATCTGTTGCTTCTTCTTCGGAGCCAGACCAGTAGCCGCCGTTCATGAGAGATGGAAGGAATGTTGTGGTCTGTGCTGGGGCCTTGCTGGCCTTGGTCTTCTTAGGCGGTGGTGAGGAATCTGATTCTTCTGCCGAGAAGTCGGGAGATGGCGAACGAGAGTAAACAGAGTCAGAGATGTCACCTGCAAGGCGGTCGTCGTTTTCATCATCCTCATCCTCATCTGACTCCTCGCCTTCGGAGCCAGAGCCTGGGGCTAACCGGGCATCGAATTCAGAAAAATCTTCCACAGATGCATCGTCACCCGAAATGGCCATATCTTCAGCGCGAGAAACTCCCTTTCCTTCATCTCCAGACTCAGAGCCCGATATGGACCCCTGTTTCTGCTTGCGCGCAGTCTTCTCGGACTTCTCTTTCGAAGTCTCATCCTTCTTGGCCTTAGTCTTGTCTTGCTTTCCAGCAGGAACATCCTCGATGCCCAGCAATTTCCGAATCTCGGTCAAAATGGGTGTCACTACATTCTTCACTGGGTTGGATTTAAACAGTCGCGCAATGATGTTGGCTTCCGCGGTACTCTTAGGTCCTTGCGTAGAGACACTCTTTGCCTCTTCGAATTCCTTGAAGATCGGGTTCTCTGCAATGCGCTTTGTCTTGGAAAGCTGTTTATAGAGGTATCGCTCGGCAGTAGTCTGGTAATCGAGTTTCTGGTGCGCAGAATTGTCATTATTCCAAATTCGCAAGTTGCAAAGCCGCTGGTAAATACCTTTAATGCTTCCACTTCCTCTGCCAACCGCGCCAAGGTCACTGAATCGTACGGTGCTCTGGCAGTCTTCTCTCGGCGACTGAGCTTTTGTCTCTCGAATCCTCGTGCGGTCTTCAGGCCTTTGATTATGATTTGTACGCTTTGGTCGAATTTGTTCGTCATTCGCGCGGCTCTCATTGAAAGCTTGCGAGTGTCCGACGATGCGGGACCGTTGAAATCGGAATGCTTGCGCTTTGGCATGTTGGGCGACTGTGGTACCAGAACGGCAGTGCAAAAATATGAGAAGTCGAAAAGTATCTCTCAGCGTTTTTGAATCTCGGCGGTGGTCCGGACTTTTTTTTTCTGGCGCGGATCATTTGCCAAGTCTTTCCGCCTCTGTCATCTCGGGCAACCATTTCCTTGGGTCTTAGCTTATAGGTTATTCAAGTTCTTCGCATTGCGAAAGAGGAGCTTAAATGGAAAGTTTCGATTGAAAATGGGATGTAAATCTTCGATTGTGATCAATAGCGCTCACTCTCTTGTGATGGTCACTGTGGTTAATACTATGAGTACACAAAGTCGATGGCTCTTGCTTATCTACCAGGGCATGCACTCGAATAGTGGAGCGACCGAGCTATATATATTTCCGTGGCACTACAAAGACCAGCAGCGCGCAATGTATTGGCGAGGCAAAAAAAACCATCGATTATTGATATGTACATACAGACATGACAAAGAAAACTAATACGCGTACAGATCCTTTCTATTTCTTTTCTTCCTCCTTCGGCGGCTCAGGCTTGGGGGTAGGGAGCTTGAACTATAGGCAGATATTTAGCAATTGCTCTAAACTTGCAGAGAAAGGTTTCACTTACGGATTCGGGTGTGCGGTTCTGACCAGCACCAACGGGCTCCCAGGCAGTAGATCCGCTCTCGAAGTTACGGAAAGCCTGAGTAAGCTCAAGAGGTTCAATGACAATACGTTTCTTTTCCTCATCGTAGCGCAGCTCAGTGTAACCGGTCAAGGGGAAGTCTTTGCGGAGAGGGTGGCCATCGAAACCGTAGTCAGTCATGATACGGCGCAGATCAGGGTGGCCACTGAAGAAAACACCAAACATGTCGTAAACCTCACGCTCGTACCACAGGGCGCCCTCGAAAAGACCAGTCACACTGGGAACTGGGGTAGCCTCATCGGCGTAGGTCTTGACACGAATGCGAGAGTTAAAGCGAACGCTAAGCAGGTTGTAAACGACCTCGAAACGCTGGTCGCGGGTGGGGAAGTCGACACCAGTGATATCGGAGATCTGAGTGAACTCGGCGGAGGTGTGGTTCTTGAGGAAGCTCATGACGGGGATGACACCGGCGGGAGGAGTGTACACAGTCAACTCATCCTTCCAGACGGTGAATTGTTGGACGTATTTGGGAAGGCAGGACATGATGTACTGTCCGTAGGTGTGCAGACTGTCGGCCTTGTCCTGCCACTTATCGGCCGGGTTGACGACCGGGGCACGGAGAGGGCCCTGAGCTGAAATGATGAAACAAGAATGTTAGTTCCATTGAATTTGTCCCAATTGACCAGAGACAATCACGTACGAGGCCGTTGCGCCTGGCGCATGTTTTCTGGCTCCGGCGCCCCCGGTTGTGTCGAGGCCTTAGCAGCATACTGCAGCGAAGAGGAGGAGAAAGCGCGAGGAGCCATAGCCCTCGAGGCCGAGGCCATCGATCGGCCAGTTCCCAGGCGCATCAAAGAGCGTGCGGATGCCATTGTGGTGAAGGAGCAATGGCTGCGGGCAGGAGGGGGGACGAAAGGCACGTAAGGCGGATTGTGAGGATCGAGGTTGGTCGAACCTGCCAGTCATGTGACATTTACATAAGCAACGCAGGAGCTAGGCCCGATATGGTAATGCCAGCAAAATGAAGCCGCGCTTCAATTTCCTTCCCTTCCTTCACCCCGTCCATCTCCCCACGATCCACCCTCCACCTCCCTTCCCCTCCTATTTTCTTTTTATTAATTCTCCGTCCTTTTTCATTTGTTCTGGATCTGGAGTAGTGTCTTCTCGTCTCTTTTGTCTTTGTGTACCTGATTTGATTGGGTGCCGGCGTTGAGATTCCCGTGTCGTCTTTCCCCGTTCGCACAGTTTTTCACCGCGACCATGTCTAGTCGCCAACAAATTGACTCCGTCATCGACGATGATGATGAGTTTTGGTATGCCACAATCCCATCTTTTGCCAGAATCCGCGAGGAGTGGACCTAACCCACTTTATAGCCCCCTTTGCATCGAAGAGTTCGACCTTTCCGACAAGAACTTCAAGCCATGTCCTTGTGGATACCAGGTACGCCGCCTCCCTAAACCATACTCGGATGACAATCTTCATCGCCCTCTTTTCATACGTACTTATCATGACCTTTTACTTGCAGATCTGCCAATTCTGCTATAACAATATCAAAACGCACAGCGAAGAGGGTCGATGCCCGAACTGCCGCCGTCCTTATGATGATAGCACGATCCAATACAAGATCCCTGATGCGGAGGAGTGAGTTATCCCACACTGTCATTTACTCACATATTTCCAGGTGCACTGACCCCTCTTTTCGCAACTTAGGTTCAAAGCCGATTTGGCCTTGAAGTCCCGCAAGGCTGCTGCAGCCAAGAAGAAGGAAGCCGAAAGGCGTGAGATAGAGGCTTCCAGCAGGAAGAATTTGGCAGGTGTTCGTGTTGTGCAAAAGAACCTGGTTTACGTCATAGGCCTCAATCCCACAATCCGTGACGAGAACCAGTTGTTGCAAACGCTTCGAGGCAAGGAATATTTTGGACAATATGGTGAGATTGAGAAGATTGTGGTCAGCAAAGCCAAGCCAGGGGGCAATCCACACCAGGGAATCGGCGTTTATGTCACATTTTCCCGCAAGTCTGATGCTGCGAGTTGCATCACGGCCGTGGATGGCTCCTCTAACGGCGATCGTGTTCTGAGGGCTCAGTATGGAACGACTAAGTATTGCTCGTCTTTCCTTCGAAATGAACCGTGTAACAATCGCAACTGCACGTTCTTGCATGAAACAGGCGAGGATAGCGAGAGTTACAGCCGCTCCGATCTTTCATCCATGAATACCTTGTCCAGTCAGCGCCAACATCCGCCGAATATTACTCAACCTCGCCCTATCCAGCCGATGACCCACACCATGCGCCGGCAACCGAGCAAGGACGACTCTCTCAGTGGGCGCTCAGTTGTCCCTGACGGGCCCGCGCTTCCTTCATCTGCCAGCTGGGCAAATAAAGATCCCACAATGAGAGCTAGACGGGCCAGTTTAACCGGTAGCCAGGCGTCTCAGAGCCCCCGCCCTGCGAGCGTTTCCGTTGCCATCGCCGCTGAGGAGCCCAAGCGAGTCGAGAGACCTTCCCCAGTTGTCCAGGCAGTACAGCGAACATCATCACAGTCTGATACACGGTCACCAATTTCCCAACCCGAGCCTCCCAACAAGCCTGTCATCGAAACACCGAGCGCATTCGACACCTTAATCCGGGATATGATGTCTCCGGAATTCCGATTTGTATTTTCGGCCTCTGACCTCCCGGTGGATGAACTCAAGCATATCCAGAATTATCCCTCTTTTATTGACCCTTACGGCGGTGTCAAGCGCCGTGCTATGCGTGAGAAAGCAGACAAGGAGCGTGCTAGTCGTGAGAGTGAGCTTGCACAAACTGCCCAAACTGCAGCAGCAGAAGAGGATAGTAGGGAGGCTGGCAGCCTACAGCTTGGCGGAGAGCCAGAAGATGCTAACCCTCCTCGGGGTCGTCAAACCCGTGAGTCTCATGGCGCTATTCAACCTCCATCTCAACAAGGCACAGCCGATAACTCTACTGTTGGGTCTCCTGTTTCAGCCACAAGCCATCAGTTCCATGGACTTAATCTGGCTGGACGAAGCTTGACTCCACTCCAGCAGCAGCAGTTGATGCTCCTCAAATCAGCAGGTAACCAGCAGGCTGGTCTGTCAGATCCTCTGGGCACTGCTGCTCTGGACCAAGCTGCACAGGTTCGCCAGGGTGTTCTGCAGAACCAAATGGCAGCCCAATATGCGCTTCAAGCTCAAGGCAGGCAGTCGTCTCGCTTTGCCTTTACGAGCGACGTCAACACAAAGAACATTAGCAATGCTCGAATGTTGAACCAGATGCAACAGCCTGGTACCCCGAATCCGCTCTCAGCGCCAAGCCCTCAGCACGGTCTTGCTGGTGGTTTTTACGCGAGTGGTGTTCAGGGCCCCCCTCCTGGTTTGAAGACAGCAGGAACTCCTCCCATTAGTGGCGGTGGAATGTTCGCTCAGGGCCACGGGTTTACTTCAAATACCAACGTCGGGTTGGGATCAAATGTTGGAAAGCACGAAGCGACGCCAGAGGCGATGCGTGAATTATTACGGGGGCGAAATGGTACGAATATTGGTGGTGTGCAAGCCCAGGAGGCCGCAAAGCGTGAGTTCATGTTCCCTTTCCTTCAACAGCACCAAACCCCACCTCCCCTGACTCCCGTCAATGGCCTTCTCAGCTCTTTCTATGGGTCCCGGACGGGTACACCACCTGACTCTGGTGGCTCACAGAAGCAGAAGAAGAAGGGAAAGAAGCACAGACACGCTAACACTTCCTCCGGTGGAGGTGGTGTAGTAGATCTTGCAGACCCGAGCATTTTACAGGCGAGAATGCACCAGGTTGGTGCCAATGCTACTGCTGGACAAGCGTTGTATGGGAGTCAGGGCCAAGGTGGGTACAACCCCTCGATGATGTACGGCGGTGGGTTGAGCCGTTGGTGATTCCCGATTTCCATTTCCTTATATTTCACCCTACACCTTCCATGACTTCCAAGTGCATTTTTGTATCTTCCCCTTCCATGTGTTTTTCTCGCCTTGCTTTTAACGGGCCTGTATCTTCTGATGACATGATTTGAATTCCCCTTTACTGTTCTCCCTGTCAAGTGCCGGGACTGCATCATGCTCTTTTTTTGTTCTTTGCAGCCAAACAGGTGGCACTGGATCAGTACGATTGGCGGGCGTGCCAGTGACGTATTGTGATTGCCTTGATTTCTCTTCAATCATTTCCATATGCATGCATGTTCTTTATCCCGGCTTTTTGTCTTAACCCGGTTCATGGTGTTCTGTTTCTCTTGCATTTTGTGGACATACCTCATGTCTGGGGGGGAGGTTTTTTTTTCTGTTGGCGGCTGGTGTTTCCCTTTCATGTTTTTCTTGCATCCGGATCTTCGCATGCAGCCATCCTTGGTACCGTGAACACCGTAGGTGTTTTGTGCATGGATTAGTGTACGTTAAGACCTCCCTGCCCTGATATCACCAGCTGGAACAGGGTCTTATTCGAAACCAGTTGTCTCACTGTTGCCGTCTACATAGACCCTTTTGCCCTACACTGTATCTGACCCCTATGTGTCAGTGCCCGTCGTGTAATTATCTGTTGGCACTCTTGGACCTCGCATAATTGCCCGGATAATCGTTTCGCATAGTCGTTGCCCTTCGCTTGACCCCTCATGACCCTGCCTGCTCATTACTATTACCTGCACCTCTCACACGTTGCTTTGCTGCGGGACTGGATGCTAACTAGCAACCAATAGTGGATGATGACTTCCCTCCTCTCAGCAGCCAATTGAAAGATAGCCAGCCTATCGATACATTTGGTTTCCTGAAATCTCAACTTCCCGGTGATTCTACTGGCCGTGCAGGCACACCCACCCTTCCGCCAGGTCTTCCTTTGCCCCACGCTCACCCGGCATCTGCTATATTCCAAGAACAGAGCGGCTCGTCTAAACCATCGTCTCCGGCCCCCATCGTGCCTCCTGGACTGGGGGGCACTCCATCTCACTCTCGTCCAATTAGTCCTGAGTTTGGCATTCGCACAGGGAACTCATCGGTGCGCACTAAGGATGCATCTCAAATCTCTCTGGGATCACCCGTCGCGAAACCAATTCGTAAGCCTCGAATTCAGAACAAAATAGACGTTCCTGCTTCTAGCGATGATAGAGAGACCGGTGGATTAGATAGTCCTGTGGGTGCAAAGGCCAGCCCTGCTAGCGTGAGCGTGCCGTTGTCATCGCAAGAGACCTCTTCTGTGCATTCAGAGCGAGCCCTATCTGGAACGTTTACATCTGCCCTATCTGGGACGTTTGCTTCTGCATTTACGGCGCGACCTGGCTCAGTTTCTGCTGTCTCTGCTATTGGTTCACGACCAAACACTCCTCTTACAACAACCTCTCGTGTTTCTGATTCTTCTGCCCCTCGCCAGACACGCATCCTCCGTGTCGTTGACACCCCCAAATCTGAAGCATCTCGCCACGTTGGAACCGCCTCAGCTGCTGGCACCGGCAAGTTAGGGTCTCCAAGACATAGTGTTTCTTCCATCAGCAGACCAGATACTCCTGGTGAATTCGGCTCTGAGGCAGAGCTTTATCCCTCCGGCTCTGTATCTCGCTCAAACTCCCCTCCTGCTTCGGGTCGCATTGGCTCTGCTCCGGTGCGTGCGGTCACTAAGAGTCAGGCCAAGAAAGAGCGGAGACAGAAAGCGAAAGAGGCAGAAGCCAAAAAGGTCGAAGTCTCTTCCGTAGCCGAAGAACCCGTTCAAGCTCCAATCATGGGCCGAAAGCGCAAGACCAAGAAGGCACCGGCCACTGCCCTTGAGACAGCGGATGCCGCTCCGCTCTCTGCTGAGACCTCAACCCCCGCCAAAAACCGTGCTGAATCGCCCAAAAAGGCGGAGCCCTCACGCGTGGAACCCAAAGCTGAATCTATCAAGAAGGTGAAGGTCAAGGAGCCAATGGTGGAAGAGAACAAGGCACCCTCCGAGGCACCCTCTGTGGGCGACGAGCCCGCTGAGCCCAAGACCCCCCCTGAGGCTTGGTACTCTCACAACACTATGGGGCAGCTACTCAAAGATGCCGAGGAAAGTGGCCGTTCGATCAAAGACTTGTTCATGGAACGCACCAAGCCCCTACATGCCCTGCTTGCCGAGATGCACCGAGAGGGAAAAATTGATCTGAACAAAAGCTCCTTGTTCAACCCTGCCAACCTCAGCCAACGCGGTGACATGAAGTGCACTGCCGATGACTATGAGGACTTGAAGCAACCTACTGAACTTAACGAAGAACATCGCAAGGCCCTCCTGCGTGGTGAGCCCGTCCGAGTGGGTACTCAGGCCCTCAAGACCCGTTGTCTTATCACTCCTCGGGGTTGCGTGCTTCGACATCTCGAACCCGAAGAAGAAGAGCGATACCTCGAACTGGAGAAGAGTCGGAATGGAATCATTGATGTCTTCCCGGTCGGCGACGATTCGAGCAACATCAACGGTGGCCTTGATGCCCTTTTCGTGAACCCTGAGAAATACAACATTTTCTGGGTGGACGACGCTATGGCCCAGATGGGATCCTCCTCTCCCGTCCTGGAGCCCACCGATGCCATTATTCCGCCCAACGTTCTTTCCGCCATGGAGGCAGATAGCACCCGCAGTCACGACTGGGCCGTCGCCCACTCTGCCGAGCTTCTCCAGACCACCACGGCCGCCGTACGCTCCTTCGCCGCTGCTACCGCCAAACAGCTGCTCGGCTCCGCTGCCATCCCTGGCAGCAACCCTACCCTCGAAGATGTAGCGGCGATGACGGACGAGGAGCTGAAGAGTCTTTCCAGCAAGACACAGAAGGACCTAGAGACTACGCGCAAGGAAATGGACTTGCTAGATAAGAAGTTCGCCGGCCTGCTGCGCCGCAACAAGAAGCTTCAACAGCAGGCTCTGGCTCTCACTGAGTCCGCGAAGCCGAAGCAGAGTGCATGAACTAGGGCTTCTCCGCGGACAGGGTAGGATAAGATATTATCCCTCATGGTTCTCGCCCCTCGCCGCCTGTGGTAGCAGCCTTGATCCATTTTTGCGATGTATGTTTAACCAAGAAAGAATTTATTAAAATTTTTACAAGTCTGTCTCTTTGTAATCCCGTTGATTGCCCGTAATCTCCGAGTTTTAGCCCCAATGTCAATGAGTACATCACCCCGTGGACCTTGGAGAGCAAAGCTTGGCCCATACACGTCGACAGATGCTCCTTGACCTTGGAAGTAATCAGGGCTATCAGGATCAGGATCAGGAATTGATAGATGAGGAAAAAAGGTCAGATGTGGAATGTGCAATGTGAAACGAGATAAATTAAAGCGGGGGCTACTTTTACGTGGCGTGCATTTTGTTTGTGATCCGCCCGAACCTGCACCAACTTGGTGGCGCTTAGCACCCAAAATGCGGTCAATCAATTCCCCTGAACCCTATGACCTGTCAAATGTCAAAAGAAATGTCCGAGAACCCTCTCTGACGACATTCTACTGCAGAGCCAAGAAGAATCGGAAACGTCTCAGCACGCGCCGGTGGCATTTATGCCAGATTTCTGAGTGAGATTCATTAGGCGAATCTCCCCTAGCGTCGGTTCCACATCGTCCGCAATGGTTCGTTGGATCGATCGAATCATTAGCTCGACAAAACGGATGCTCGGCCTTGTGCTCGGCCATTTCCGCCCTGATTTACCTCTAATCTTGACTGGATCCTGAAACAAGTGGCTGGCCATTTCATTCGATACCATGTGTTCTGGCAGATTAATTGGTGATTCCTGTTACGCCATTCGCTCCTGGTGGCTGCTAACGCCGTTTCTCTTTGTATGATGTGGATTTGACTGTGGGTTTTTCCACAATGGACTGTTGAGGGTCTGGAATGGATCTTCGGATCTGGGTCCTCCCAGGGCTTTAAGTATAAACATGCTCTCCGTCCCCGATCTTGAGATTGGCATCAGCCTTTCCACGCTATCGTCGCTCCTTATTTTTCCAGATCATACAGCCCTGGTGGTTAGTTGATCATTACGCTCCTTTTTTTACATTCTTACCCTCCTTTTTTTCATCTTCAAGATGCGTTTTTCTTTCGTTGTGGGCAGTGCCCTGACTATGGCCTCCGTTGCCTTATCCGCTGCTTGTGCCGCACCGGTGTCGTTGTCGGCGGTGTCGGCGGTATCAGATGACTCTTCTGACGATTTGCCAATTGCGCACTCTCATGGGCATTCTCATGGACATGGACACTCTCATAAGCCCTCTCCGGTGGCCTCTCAAGATGTCTCTCCCGAGGCTGCCTGGACGACCTACGCCACAGTGTTCGAGACTTCTGTCGCCACGGTTTATGAGACATACATCATTACGGTGACTCCGACCATCACACCAGTGGCCGAATCTACCTTTTCACCAGCGGCCGAATCTACCATCTCATCGGCGGCCGAATCTACTTTCTCACCAGTGGCTGAATCCACCTTCTATACAGTGGCTTCCTTCACTTCTGAATCTTCTGCTATCTTCACCGCGGCACCTTCTTCTACTTTCTCGACGGTGTATTTCTCTACGACCTCTACCTCTGCATGGTCTTTCACCTCCGAGGTTGCTTCCTCTTTCTCCACGGCAACTTCTACAATCGCCTCTTCCTCTACTGCATCTTCATCTACCGCATCTTCTGCGGCTTCTTCTGCGACCGCTTCATCCACGGCTTCCCCATCCACTTCTATCCTACTGCCGCTTTATATCTGGCCCACTGATAACACCACCTGGGCCCCCGTCTACGAAGCCGCAGCTGGACACCCCGATATCGAGTTCAAGGTCATTGTCAACCCCGACAGCGGCCCAGGCGATACTAGTAAGAAAGCACTGAAAACCATTTGCCCTACTATATTTGCTAACATGAATCACTCCAGCCTACCCAGAAGCGGCATACATTGCGGGTATTGCGCAGTTGAACAGCTATGACAATGTCGTGGTCCTCGGATACATCCCAACAGAATATGGTACCCGTTCTGCCTCGGATGTTGAGAGTGACATCTCCACTTACAGCGGCTGGTCTGCATACACGGCGAAGAACATCACCGTCTCCGGCATTTTCTTCGACGAAGCACCGAGAACCGACGATACCTCCTTGATTTCATACATGACCGAGGTCGCAGACAATGCCAGATCCTCTAACCTAGACTTTATCGTCTTCAACCCTGGTACCAAGCTAGAGGAGGGCGCGGTAAACGGATACTTTGATGCTGCAGACTTGATCGTTGAATTTGAAAACTCCTATGATGCTTGGATCGATGCTGTGCCGGCGGACGAGTTTTCTTCTACGGAGGACTATTCCAAGGATGCGGTTCTCTTGTACAGTGCGCCCACTGATGCAAACTACGAGACTGTTATCAAGGAAGCGAAGGATATGGGTCTTGGTGCTGCGTATTTGACCAACACTGTTGACTATAAGTCTGCTGATACCGTTCTGAAGGTGACAGCCGCTATGGTTTCGGCTTCCGACTAGGTTTAGACTGGGCCAACTCTCTGAGTGGTTTCATTGTGACCTCGTATGTTCATTTTGGACTTTTTGACTGAGATTTGAAGAATTTATAAATTGAATAGATATCTGTTTCGGTCCATACGATTATATATTCCAATAAAAGAAAGGATTTATCATTTGCTCATTTACATTGGTTCGATTCAAACCTTCCATGAGAGTACTCTACCCCAGCGTTGCCCCCCACTCTTGACCTCGTATCTTGAACTTAGCTGTCGTGCACCCCATCTCCGACGGTGTTGCCCATCAACTCCGCCGGAGATCAATCGAGGGTATCCTAGCTACGAAGAGCAGAAGGTTACTTAAATCGTTGATGTTCAGGTAAATCCCAAAATCAAAGATCTCTGCTATCATTCACCTTCGATACGTAAAATGGGCGTTCTAAAACTTTTCATCTCCCCATGGATAGCCTGTACAGTACCGATATGGTTCATCCTATACTACACAATCCCATACTTCACAAGCTACAAAAGCCTTTCCCGGGTTCCGGGCCCATTCCTGGCCAAATTCAGCAATCTATGGGTTGGATACAGTGCTCGACGAGGAAAGAAGTTCGCAGCCGTTGACAGCGCGCACCGAAAATACGGCAAGGTTGTACGAATCGGATTCAATCATGTTTCCATCGCAGATGAACGGGCCCTCAATGTGGTATATGGGCATGGAAATGGGTTTCTGAAAGAGTGAGAAATGAATCTGATAGTAACCTATACTGGATTAAGACCTTATTAACGAGGTGCATCAAGCCACTACTATGAAGCTTTCATCGCCCGTACTCCCGGTATGTTCAATGTTCGCGACCGGGCAGAACATACACGCAAACGCAAAATCATCTCGCATGCATTCTCACCGAAATCCGTGGCTGCTTTCGAGCCTCACATGGCTGCCAATCTACAGCGATGGGTTATACAGCTAGACCGCATTGCAGGTATGGGACCGAAATCAACGTCCCTTGACGGTAGCCCAGGTACCTTCGCCAGATTCAACGCTATGCCCTGGTTCAGCTACCTCGCCTTCGACATTATTGGGGACCTGGCATTTGGATCTCCATTCGGGATGGTGAATAAAGGCAAGGATGAGACAGAGGTGCAGCTTGTACCCGGGGGCCCCATGTCCACCGCTCCAGCCGTCGAAGTCCTGAATAGACGTGGAGAGGTCTCGTCTACTCTTGGCCTTCTCCCGGCTTTGCGTCCTTGGGCAAAGTATCTACCGGATCCCTTCTTCACGAAGGGTATTGCGGCCGTTGAGAACCTGACTGGAATTGCGGTTGCGGCCGTTGCTTCGCGGTTAGATGCAGCGGAGAAGGGGCAAATCGATACACGAAATGACATCCTGTCTCGATTATTGCAGGCCAAGGATGCTAACGGGAACCCGATGGGCCGGGAGGAACTTACGTCTGAAGCACTTACACAGCTAATTGCTGGTTCCGACACGATCTCCAATACCTCTTGTGCGGTGTTTTATTGGATTCTTCATGGCGAGCGTTGTGCCCCCGGGACTATTGTTCCCCGACTACGAGAAGAGCTTGATCAAGCCATTGGTGACCAGCCGGAAATTGCCTCATACAGCCAAGTGAGAGATCTACCATTCTTACGTCGCTGTATTGATGAAGGGATGCGGTTACACTCTACTTCTGCTATTGGCCTTCCTCGTCTTGTCACTGATAATGGGTCTGGCGTGGAATTTGATGGATATTTTTTCCCGCCTGGAACTGTGCTTTCTGTTCCTTCTTATACTATACATCATATGGCGGAAATTTGGGGAGATGATGTGGAGGAATTCAGGCCTGATCGTTGGTTGAATCTGACACCGAGACAGAAGATCGGGTTTAATCCTTTCTCTTATGGTCCGCGTGCTTGTGTTGGGCAGAATGTCGCGATCATGGAGTTGCAGTTAATTATTGGGACATTGTTCCACCGGTATGAGTTTACCTTGTACCAGTCGACGATAGAGTCTCATGAGGGATTTTCGAAGAAGCCCAAGGAATGTCTCTCTGGGATTAGATTGAGGAGCAGGGTTTAGGGCAGCGTGTTTATAAGATAGCATGATACAAGGTAAACGGCATATCATTAGGAAATTTAGCAAACGAATTATATATATCAAGCCGCATTGCCAAAGAACATATCTTCAAGAGATGGAAACTCCTGCTCGAGATTCATACTCCAGTCACTTTCCATCCACGATCTTGGATTCTCTGCTGTGGGTGGAGCGAAAGTCTCGGTACTATCAGCTCCATCTATGAAAGAGTCCAACTCACTCCCATTGACATGCTGCTTGATGACATTCAAAGACCACCGACTCACAGGCTCAGCCTTCCCTCCGCGCTGGATGTGAGATATAGCCCGCTCCATGAGCCCAATAGTCTCGCCGATATTGACCACATGGCTAACAAACTCGGCCAAAGTGACCATCGCAAATGAGCAGAGGAGATTCTCGTATGCTGGATGGATGCAGGTTGTGAGATCAGACATGGAGAGAAAAAGGACCAAAATCTGGTTTGAGTGATGAATCGCAAATCTGATAAATGCAAGAGCATTATCTGCTTCCGGCCTGATTCGTGTGCTGCTGGAGTTTCCTGGTTGAGATTCGTGGATGTGCTGCAGTGTGCGGCGAGCGAGGATCAGGTAAGTGCAGGAATAGGCAAAACGCAAAGGCTCGGATGAGTCAAGATCTAGATGCCAGAGCTCCGATTTAGTTTGAATGTGTTTTGAAAGAGCCTTGAGGACATACTGTAGATATGTTCTTGCGACTTGCATAGTTGTTCGATCTCAGGCCAGGCTGGAACCTCCTTCTGAATCACGTTCGAACTAACCAATTCCCATAGTTTTCGATAAAGATACACGCCAGCCAGCACTAGCTCATCTCGGGAGTTATAAGATGGGAATTCGAGAATCTTTGCACATTGATCAAAGTATTGTCCAGAAATAACAGGTGGTCGACCAGAGCCAACGGAGAATCTGGGCCATATTAGCTTCTTCAAAACAGACCTCACTATCTTGCTGACATACTGTAGCTGACACAAGCAAATCAAGTTCCAGGTACGCAAGATCTCCCGCGCGCGTGCCTGTTCCTGAATATTTCTCGTCTGCAGTAGCTGCCCAAAAGAAGTCGTGATCATAACCTGCATCGCCGCTGTACCGCTCAAAAGCCATGAATTGCCATGGTCATGATCTCTGGTCGGCCTTAAGTCCCACATAGAGCAAACCAGCATTGCTTGAATCGTATCCAGGGAAACAGCAGATGCACATTGGGACCGGCCTAACAGTCCATGAACGTGGCGGTATAACGCGTGATGTGTTGGCGAACCGTGCAATGATGGGGTTATATGGAGACCGGCAAGGATACAAGTACCAAATAGAAGGGGGGATTTGGTTCGTAGATCTGTTAAGTCGGTGTTCAAAAATAGCCAGCGACTCGATAGCTTTGAAAATCTAGAAGACGGTGAGCTTTGTTTGTATGGTACTTCTAGTACAGATGCCCTACCCTTTTAGGAGTGAAAAGGCTGTGTTCTCCGAAACGATCCCATTTACGATGACATCCTCTAAGAGATCTTGGATCTGCCGTGGCTGTCGATGTAAGGTGATATTCTCTCGGATTTCTTGGATAAGGCTCATGGGAGCATCGCGGGCAGTTCTCTCCGCGCTAGACTGCGCTGTCTGATAATAGATTAACAAAATTGGCTCCATGTTTAGTGTCATTCAGTGGTCCGATATTCTCACCTCCGGTATACTGAGGTTTAGGCCGACAGGCTGTGCAGATAATGAAGCTTGAATATCTGCCAAAGAAGTCTCAACGGCACGAAGTCTTTTTTCCAATGTTTTACTTTCTTTCTTAGTAAAGAAGAGTTGTTTGTAACGCGAAAGGATCAGAACACACCTATTGTGATAGTCATGCCGAAGCTCAATTTCAGTTTCACTCCCCGTTGGTATATGCGCACCAGTGTTCTGAACCACTACGGGAAACGAGCATTTTATCCTAAAACGACATCAGCACCTGCATACGACTATCTTTTACGAGGCTGAATACCCAAGTATCTCACAACGATGGCATCCATCTAAAGTGCTAGAATTGATCTCGCACCGTGTTTTTAACCGGCGACAAGCCTCGCATGAGCGCGCTTTACTGGGCTTTACCGGCTCGGATGATCGCGATGGTCGTCTTCGCTTGGTAACTCGGTCCGTTGAGGTCATATTGTGCTGAGATGGAACTCATGTTTCGGAAATCGTAGCCGCGATAAGCAACTTAAACTGTTTCCCCACTCTTGGAAGCAGTGATGGTCATGCCGACATAATTCCCTGAGGATTGTTTAACATTATTTAAGGCCCTGAGTAATAAGCAGCGGTGCATCGGCCTATTGAAGTCGAGACCGAGAAATCCGCAGAAGATGATTGGCCTGAAAACCGCCTACCCCCACTTTTGGAAGGGATGGAGTATGCAGCTGTGATGGTACAGATGTATTGCTACATTGCCCAAATACGAAGCCAACAACCAACATTGGATAGATTACATGCACATGTGGGCGAAAAGCAGGTTCGATGTCAATGACAATAGAATAGATCACCACTTGCTGCATTCCAGATACTGGAGTATTATCGCAATGGGATGATATTGATTGCCATTGATTAAATATCATAGTGAACCATCACAGTCTCCTTGTAACTTACAGCGAGCTCCTTAGAGCATAACATCTTTTAAACAATAAAAACCGTAAAGCATATTAGTCGCAGCCCAGGGTTAGCTCTTGGTAATTCTAGAAATTCAAGAATTATGCAATGGTAGATAAGATATAGAAAACAAGATCTCTTAGGATAGTAAGTAACTATTCAATTAAAAAAAGGCATTAAAATGCCGAATGTGGTCATGAATGGGAAGAAGCAAATGCGGACTTCAACGAACGGGAAAACAGCTAAAATATTCATCAATGCACTGTGTAGTCTAGTAATCATCCTACGTACGTCGGTGGCGACTTTCCCTCAACGACCCCTAAATCTGAAAATTGCCACCCTTTGTCTTCAAAATTCCACCGTCAAGGACGCCCCACCTGGCACCTGAGCGTCATTAGATAAACTTGAGCGCCTACCAAATCAGGGTCCCCACATCTGTGATCCAGACCCACCAGCGATGACATCGCTTCCCGTTCCTGGCGACCTCATTGGACTTCTGCTCTATTTTCCACCCCCACATTCTGAACCTTTCCCTGCTGGGCAAAACGGCATGGATACTATGACATAGCCTCCAGTGCTTGATTTCTATTGGAATCCCATGGATTTTCCAAAGACCTCGGGACACGTCTCAAAGTCCATAAAACGGATCCTTTGACCCTACAACCTCTACTTCTCTCACTCTCCGCGACATCCAATATTACCCCGCCATGATCGACGCCGAAAATGTCATTGACATATTAAATACCGATATTCGAACCGCCATCCCGGAATCAATCGTCGCGAAGATTATCTCTTTGCCTCCTTTTGTGATCCTGCCCGGCGTGTCCAATTTCCGGGATTTAAGCCATGATAACGAACTGCGCCCCGGATATGTCTACCGCTCTGGCAATATGTCAGACATTGAAGCGAAGGGGAAGTCAATCCTGGCGGAGGACCTAGGCATCACCACCATATTCGACCTTCGGAACCAAGGAGAACGGGAGCGGGCTCCCAGCCCAGAGATTACCGGAATCGAGACCATATGGATGCCCTACGGCAACAGACCAGCCTCACTGAACCTTCTGGATTTCTCACAAGATGAGAGTGCGAAAGGATTTGTGAAGATGTATATGGGAATTTTGAATGCGGCGACGCCTATATTCACCGAAGTCTTTAGTCATATCAGAGATGAACCTAACGATCCTTTTATTTTCCATTGTTCAGGTGAGTACTCACACCGCCAAGTGGCGAATCCATGAGAACCGGGGAGGGGATTATCGAAATGAATTGATTGATCTGGCTAACCTTCTTTGCGCGTCATCAGCTGGAAAAGACCGAACCGGAGTTCTTTCTGCTCTCATCTTACTCCTTCTCGAACGGCCTCATGAAGAAATTATCATAGACTACCTCTATACACGTGTGGGACTGGAGAGTGTGCGCGAGAATTTGACTCAAGCACTCGCTCTTCATGCCGGCACCGATCATTTAAGTCCCGAGGCGAACGGTATGCTTGAGCTTAGTGGCGTTCGGGCGTCGGCTATGGACGCGTTCCTCAAGACGTTCGAGGCCACCTACGACGGCGGCGTCGAAGTATACTTGAACACCCAGCTTGGCTTCTCTTTTGAGGATATTGCGTTGATGCGCAAGAACCTGATGCAATATTAAACATGGACAGATAAACAGAGCAACTAGAATTAGAGACTAAACAGTATTTGCAGCTTTTCGGTACATGGGAATGGCTGGGTAGATGGCCAGTGCATTTAAATCAAGGGATTCATTCCCACTTGCATTTTTCAAATGATTCGCATTCGCATTCGAGATATATTGTATTTAAAATTGAAAGTCATGATGTCTGGGAATTTCCATCTTTTTCCTCGGCAATTTATCAACCCCTTCCCAACGCACTTTTGCATTAAGTAGTACTGCACTTCTACCCCTCTCGAGCTCCACACCGCAGATCATCGCTATTAACCGCCATTCAAATCCAGAGCCGGAGATTCTCTTGTATAATTTCCCCGGGATCAACCCCGTTCGCTACGCAACATTGCTACCGTTGCTTTTTCCCCGCCCGTGAGGGGCTTCCCAGGTGCATTGCGAGGCAATCTTCGTAACAACAATGGCACGATCCATGCCCAGCTTGGCAGTTCAATAAAGAAACCTGCCACAACTTCGAGTCTCCACTTATCCTCCCATCGGTGTTTACCCGAGGTGACAGGGCAAACTTGCAGGATAAATCAAGGCACTCGCCCGGGTCATATCTGGGTGTTGCTTAGCTTTGTCACTCCTCAACACCCTGTGTTCAATCAGTGCCACCATGCGTCTTTGGATGAAGTTGGTACTGGCTGCTCTCCCAGTGACGGTTCAATCTGTGCTAGGACAGCGTGTAGTTGACCTCACTGGAGATGGCTGGACGGTCAGCAGCAAGGCTCTGAACATCTCGGTTCCGGGCCATTTACCCTCGCAAGCGCATCTGGATCTTTATGCTGCCAACGTTATTGGTGAGTGCGGTAATTGATTTACAGAAATAGACCTAGACTGACCATTGCAATAGACGACCCGTTAGTATTACTCCCAACTCTGGCAGTCGCATACTCAACGACTATGCACAAATAGGTACTACGGTCTAAATGATTTTAACTTGCGGTGGATTCCGGAAAATAATTGGACATACACAAGTCACCCATTGGGCGGACTGTAAGTGCATGGAAACTGAGACGAGTGTTTGAATACATGATTGATCATATAAGCAGATCTACTAACTCCAAAGCATCATGGCTTGTATTCAATGGCCTGGATACCTTCGCTACAATTGAGCTGTGCGGAGAGTTTGTCGGTACTACTGACAATCAATTCCGTCAGTACACGTTCGACGTCACCAAGATTGTCAATAACTGCAAGAGCCATCCCTCTTTATCGCTCAACTTTGGCAGCGCACCGAAAATTGCCGACGAGATTGCTAAGAATCCCAACTCCGAAAGTAGGTAATGGTCAAATGTCCTCGTCGACTATTTTTAACTGTTTTTAAAGAGTGGCCCTATGGTCCTCAGCAGATATATGAGTTCCCAAACCGCTGGTACATCCGTAAAGAACAATCAGACTTCGGTTGGGACTGGGGGCCAGCCTTTGCTCCCGCCGGCCCATGGAGAGATGCCTACCTCGTGCAGTTTGATCGTGAAGAGAGTATATATGTCCTCAACACCGATCTCGACATCTTCCGTCAGGGACAGATAAACCATCTTGCTCCGGATCAGAGCAACCCCTGGGTGGTGAATGCCAGCATTGATTTCCTTGGGTCACTTCCAAGCCACCCTTCAATGCACATTGAGATCAAGGATGTCGAATCGGGCAAGGTCATCAAGTCAGGCGCCCTCGAGAATGTCCATACATCCGGCCAAAGCATCACAGGAAGTATCACAGTCGCTGCTGATGCGCCCAATCTCTGGTGGCCAACCGGCATGGGCAAGCAAAACCTCTACTATGCTATCATCACAGTGAATGGCGCACAAGAAACTCTCGCCAGTGTCACCAAGCGAACCGGATTCCGCACAATTTTCCTCAACCGCTTGAACATCACAGATGAGCAATTGGCCCAAGGAATTGCACCGGGTGCAAACTGGCACTTTGAAATAAATGGCCAAGAGTTCTATGCGAAGGGCTCAAACTTTATCCCACCAGATGCGTTCTGGCCTAGAGTTACCGAAGAAAAAATGCAACGTCTGTTTGATGCAGTTGTTGCGGGAAACCAAAACATGCTTCGAGTATGGGCATCTGGTGCCTACTCACCAGATTTTATCTACGACATAGCCGACGAGCGCGGTGTCCTCCTCTGGAGCGAGTTCCAATTCAGTGACGCTATGTACCCCATCGATGAATCTTTCCTAGAAGATGTTGCAGCCGAAGTCTCCTACAACGTAAGACGAGTGAACCATCATCCCTCACTCGCCCTATGGGCCGGCGGAAACGAGATTGAAAGTCTCGAGCTACCTCTAATCCAGGAGGCAGATCCCAATCACTACTCCTACTGGGTCGGACAATACGAGCAGCTCTTCATCAGCTTGATTCTCCCGCTGGTCTACGAGAACTCGCGGTCGATTTCTTACATGCCCAGTAGCACAAACAACGGTTACCTGTATGTTAATCTCTCGGCAACCGTGCCAATGGCTGAACGCTATGATAATACCACCGCTGGAGCCTATTATTCAGATACAGACCATTACAACTACGACAGTAGCGTTGCGTTTGATCTCAGCAGCTACCCCGTCGGCCGCTTCGCGAATGAATTCGGTTATCATAGCATGCCAAGTCTGCAAACCTGGCGTCAGGCCGTTGATGAAAAGGACCTGCACTTTAATAGTAGCACGGTCATGCTTCGGAACCACCACTACCCGCCTGGTGGTACTGAGACACACAACTACAAGAACACGTCTATGGGAATGGCTGAGATGACCATGGCTGTGGAACAATACTATCCTATCCCACAAAAGGAAAACTCCGTTGCTAATTTTAGTGCCTGGTGTCATGCGACCCAGCTCTTCCAGGCGGACATGTATAAGAGTGAAATTCAATTTTACCGTCGCGGTAGCGGAATGCCGGAACGTCAGCTCGGTTCTTTATACTGGCAGCTTGAGGATATTTGGCAAGCTCCCACTTGGGCGGGTATCGAGTATGATGGCCGGTGGAAGGTTCTTCACTATGTTGCAAGGGATATTTACAAGCCTGTCATCGTTGCGCCATACTGGAATTATACGACGGGCGATCTTTCCATATACGTCACCTCTGATCTGTGGGACACTGCGCGTGGAACTGTAAACTTGACCTGGGTCGACCTATCTGGAAAGAGCATTCCGGGTAATGCTCATACTCCGATGTCGACGAATTTCACCGTAGGTGGTCTGAACACTACCAAGATCTTTGAGGCGAGTGTCTCGGATTTGGATCTTCCGGATAAGACCGATGCTGTCCTGGTGATGTCTGTGACCGCGCAGGGTCGTCTCCCGAATACGCAGGGTGTGACTGTCTTCAAGCATCACAACCAGTTCACTCCTGTATTTCCGAACGAGATTGCACTGGTGGATCCTCAGGTTGAGGTTTCCCATGATGCAAAGACGGGCCTGTTTACTGTCGAGGCTAAGAATGGGGTGTCCCTTTACACTTGGTTGGATTATCCAGCTGGTGTTGTTGGGTACTTCGATGACAACGCGTTTACACTTCTTCCCGGTGAGAAGAGACAAATCGGTTTCACCGTACAGAAAGATGAAACGGGTGGGAAGTGGATTGAGGGAGTGACGGTCAAGAGTATCTGGGATCAGTCGACAAAATAGACCCCGTTAAGGCCGTTTTGATGATCGGCTGCACGGTTAATCATTTAGTGTAGATCAAATCTAGTCTTTTTTACTCTTGCATATGCTTGCTATGGGCAAAGGTATACCTATGTACTGGATTTCCGTTGACGATCCTTGGTCTAAGTGCTAACCCCCTCGCCGCTTTGACTAAGTAGATCCAAGCACCGCCTTAGGCGTAGTTACTGGTGATTTGCCGCTGTTGCCCAATAAGCACTCACCGATTATACTCGAGGCATCTATTAAGCACAAGCGAGAACGCCTATGACAATAACTATTGAAGTCTTGTTTCACGACAAAGCCGGTTGCTGGCGGGGTGAAACTGCTTTCTTTCTTGATACGCTCTAATCGTATCGAGGACTAAAAGCCGAAAATCTTAGATGTATCCATCTTCCCACCAACGAACTTCTCTAATAAAGGTAATTCTGGCAAGCTTCCACCCTTTTCTAGGACCTTACGACGATACCGACGGCCTTCCCCTCCATCCAACGGGTTTCGCTGGAACCGAGTATTGAACATGATCCGCGAATATGCCCCGCCACACCCCTATATGTCAGATTCCTGGCTTGGTAAAAAGAGTTCTTTGGAGTAAGCCCATAGAAAATAGATGTAGTACCCCGCGGTAGAGTTCCTAAAGAAGTGCGAGAACCTCGCTTGCCTAGATCCCTAGTGGTTATCTTCTCTATAACTGTCTGGCCTAATAAGCGAGGTGCACTCCCTACGCATTCGGTTATATAAGATAGAGAGATCCTCTACTGGGGTTATGCCGTGAATTGTGAGATTATACAAGGCGTAATAGAGTTGGTTTAGTATCAGATATGCTTTGTTAATAGCCTTAGCGGTAATGAGACGTTTAAATAAGTTAATTAGTGGTTTCTCCGCTGGAAGGTGAGTATATAATTTTAGATAGGCCTCTTTCTCTTAAATAGAAGTATATATGTAATACCGTGATAATAAATATAGGATTGACGGTGTCTAGCACTAATACTCTAGGATCTCGCTAGGAATCTTGATAAAATCGTGTTATATACTAGTGCTATATATACTCGCGAAGTGTGTTTAGCTAACTAGATAGTGGATAGTGTGGGTACTGGGCGTGTTCCGAAGCCAACCGAACTTGGTACGCTATCTAACCGCAGATCTTGGGCGAGGCGCCCATGTATATCCATTTTATTTTTCCTGGAATTTCTATTTAGAGCATCTCTTTTAAGATCTCTCTTTAGGAGATTTACATGTATCTAGCAAAGAGTATGGTTTTTTGTTAACACCTGTTCACGCCGCGATGCCAGTCGAACCTCGAGAATAATAACATCATCCAAGTCTCTTTGACAAGCCTACCGAAGGCTCTTTGCCTTCACGCTCTTCCCCCCTTGGTGGTGTAATAAACTTGTCTTCCACTTTTCAAGATAAATAGAAGAGAAGCTACCCGTATGCCTAGACACATATTATTCTCCTAGTAGTAATATGTTACATAGGAACTATTAACAATAACATAAATAGCAACGCCTTCTCTCGGTATGCTCCCTGCATTGCCCCGACATAGGTCCCTTATGCTCTTAGAATTCCTGGCCCCTTGCTAGCTAACTTCTATTATATAAAGAACATTACTCATCCTCCGTCCTTGAGTCTTCTTTTAAATCAAAAGTCTTAGTAAAGTGTTAAGACTACTTAATAGCCATAATGAAGCTCTCCCTGGCCCTTACGTCTCTTAGTCTCTATATCGCGCCAGCGTTCGCAGAGCCAATCGGATGGGTATGGTATGTTTCCCCAATAAGAGGAAAAAAAACTAACAGAATTAGATGATATTGACATCAGACGAGGAAACTTGGGTAGAGACTCCCGAGTCGCAGAAATGTATTGAAAACTGGACGCAGTACGTCTCCCTTCATGCAGGTCCTCTGGATATCCCTACTAATTCCTAAAAGGCAAACTGCTTTGAACGAGATTTACATCAAAGGAAATGTCACTGGTGCAACTATGGAGTGCTTCTTTTATAAGTATATTCTACCCATAACGAGTGATCCTCTTATGCTTAACTAGCAAACTAACTTATCCTAGTGATAGCGAGAAAAACTGCACGGGTCCATCAACCGCCTTAGAAGAGGGGCTACATACGTTTCTAGGAAACTTTTATACCAGTAGCTTCCAGTGCTTAAACTCATGATTAGCTTGAGTCTATTCCTTTATGTATATAAGAGGGCCTTATCATAAAGTATCTAAGTGAGGTAGTATTCTTGTATTTCTTCTCTATGGTATGCGGTTTATGTCTATTTCTAGCATAGGGGGTTTCTCTATAGTTTTCCGTGTACTATACTGCGAATATAAGAACTAAAGATACTACTTGTTTTAAGATAGAGTATTTACTATATTCAGTATCCTAGATCTTCTGATTTTACCTAGCGAGGTAGAGCATGCCACTTTGCGGTTTCTCTATGCACATTCCGGGCAGTTGCATCAATATCTTCCCTAGCCAGAAATAGAATAGATCTACCATAGTTCCACCCAAATGCCGCGACGACTAGAAGTGTAGCTTGATTTGAGCGTGAAATCAAAATTTTATATCTTAGGAGGGCCTGCAGTAAATTGATTGTTGTACTTCGCTACATAGTGGAGAGGTGTACAGTTTCTTGGTCGATCGATGGTTCAAAGACAGAAAGCGAGTATTCCTTCTCTGTGATATCCTCCAGCCCCGCACGAATCTGTCGTGGCTGGGCGGATCGAAAGGTACTTGCTCCTGCGTGAGTTTACGATACCGATCTACCGGAGTATGCGTGAGTTGCATTACCTGCTCAGGCAAATGGTTCAATACGAATGGAGGCTGGGGTGGTTGCTTGTATCCGAGCATGGTGTCTGCTGTTGTGCTTTTGTAAAGACTTTCTAGGTAAGATGATCCGTTCCTTTTTGTGCTCTGTGTTTGACCACTGAGTTCAATGGCAGAAAAGTCAGAAACCAATATCAGAAGAGGAGAAGAGGGAGAGAAATGTACTAGAAAGCGCTAGAGAAGAGATACTTTACATAAGAAAGGAAATTATCCCAGGCTTGCCATGGCTCTTATCACTCCTTTAGGCCTTCCGTCGGTGCTCTTTAACCCTTGTCTAGTCACTTCCCCACCTACTAATCGGGTTAGCCTAGTGAAGTGACGATTAAGGATTTTTTTTTACATGGTATTTATGACTAAATGGAGTTTTTGGATGTCTGTGGTACCTAAATAATTTCCGAAGTTTGCATACTGTACTGCTCACCAACCAGTATAGATTTTGTTGAAGATGAGATATTAAATCTCAAGCCACCGAACGCTATGCCATGAATGATCTGCAACTGGCTCAAATTTGATTAAGAATTCTTAAATGACAACACGAAGCAGTTTCAAGCCTTTTTTGTGGGAAAACAATTAATTTTACAGTCCCACCCAGAAATTCGCGGATCTGTGTAGAGAGAGTTTCATGCATTTAGCCTGAGTGAATGGATATAAAAGCTGGAACTTGAGTCCCGTCTATATTTTCTAATCATCATTGGGTGTCACTTATAGTCATTTAAACATGCCTCGCAGGTCGAGGACGGGAGAAGTTAGAAGTAACCGGCCGGAAAGGCCACACCAAGCGGAATATCTAAGATATCTAGGATGCTGCTTCGGGGATGGCCTGGGAATGGACTAGCTGCTCAGTCAATGGCTCTAAGTAATCAGCAGGATGGGCTGTCAGTGACCAGCCAATCATGATCACCGAGTGCTCACTGAGCCTGAGTCTGAGCTCCCTCGTAAAGCGGCGGCAACCAGAATAGGAAAACCCCACCCATCAAAGAATATCCAAGTATATACAGCTACATATGTACCGAAAATCGTCTCTTTCCTCCTTAAAAACTCCTGCTCTCTTCCAGAAGGGCCTTGTAAAATGGACGACCTTATTGACAAAAGATTAGCAATCTTATCCCATCCCAATGTTTGCATACTCACCTTTACTAAGACGAAGTAATCGTTTCTCATACGGTCCTAAGGGCTCCTCCATCAGGATGGTCTGCAACGGTGCATCCTCTGCAGGTCCAGCATATATCCACCCCCACCGATCATCCTCGAATTTCTCAATAAGCTCCCCCATATCCCCATCCGGATCCTGAACCTTCCGGCTAACCATGGTCCTCACCCTCTCAAGATCCCAAGGCCCTTTCTTCAATAACGCCTTACATTTATACAAACCAACGTCATCATACCCCAAACCACCGAGATCAAGCCTGATCCGCACACTCCGATGAATCCTCTCGTTTGTATTGACCAAGAACCTCGAAGTCATCTTCCCCGTCTCAGGGTCAATCCGCCGATACTGTCCAGGCGTCCGAGTCGTCTTCCCAGCGAGATGATAAAATCCTGTATCAGGCTGGACAATCTCACCCAGACCCCAGGGCCTAACGGGCTTGTGTTCATCGTAAACAGACCTGTCGGCCCACTGTCTCCATTGTTCAGAGTTAGAAGATCCATCGACGTCAGAGCCGTGCGGGTGGTCAAAGAAATAGCGCACGCTCCGCTCAAAAATCTTATCAATTGTGTCGTCGTAGAATGCTACGCCGATGGATGTCAGTTGATCCATCATCCAAGCTAGAGCGATGTTGGCGAGTTCTTGATCTGGGAGACCGCCGCCGACGTTGGAGTGTGCGCCGCAGAACCATACTTGGCGGAGATCGGTATGGACACCGTCTGGTCGTTCCCAGACTGCCGGGGCAAAAGAAGTGCGGTCTTCATCTAGAGCCAGGGCTTGGAAGGCGTATTCGGTTGTGTTTGATAGACGGGTGTCGTAAAATTGGCATGTAGAGTTTGGTCAGTATCGTGGATGAGATTGAGAAGAGTAGGGCACTTATTCTTTTGTGGAGCGGGGGATATGCATTTTCTTTCCAAAATTTGTATTGGGAATGCCTGGGAGTGTCAGATGGAGCTGTGGTAAGGAGGGTTGGGGGAAATACCTAGACTTCCTACGGTCTCCCAAACCGCAATGCAGCGTATCTTGATTAGGTGTCCATCAGGGTTATAGACTCTTGTCAATCCAGCCTATGATTATAGTCAGCATTCTCCTCTTTTAGTATTAGATTTTGTCCTAATACATCTTCTAGGCGACGCTTATACTCCTTCCCACTGTTGGGACGACGAGGCTTGTTTGGAAATGGGATTGTAGGGAATTTATCCTTGTAATCTGAATTCTCCATATTCTCCGCATCTTTGAAGATAGGGTAAATCATCTCCATCCCATCGGAATTAAGCAGGCCCACCGCATCGATGAGCGACTAAAAATAACCATTAGACCAAAACAGCTCGAAAGCCTCATAAGATCTCTCACATACAGCTACACCTCTCGCAGTAAACGCACCACGCGAAAACCCCAATAAGATAATCTCATCGCCAGGCTCATAATTCGTAGCGACAAAACTATATGCTTCCCTGATATTCTAATAATCGTCAGCCTGCAGTTGATGGGGGTGAGTGACCTCGGACGCACCTCGGCAACTCCGGTGCCAAATACCCCACCACTAATCGAGTCCGAGACGCCGCCTGTACTTCCCACGCCGGGATGGTAGTACATGACTTGGCTCTCCCCGTCGAACCCCCGTTTCCGCAGTGAACGGTACACACGAGTCACATTTGTCGGGATGGCTGATGTTTCGTTCGGGTCTTGTGCGGTCGGTCGGTTGTATCCCTTATCACTGTTGACCCAAGTGCCGTCTAGGCACAATATGATGCGCTTGCCATCAAGAGGCATTTTGGACGCGTAACTGGGTAGCGATGGAAGAGGACGTGAGAAATCAGCCAAAGTCCGTCCATATGATCACTTGGGCTCTTTTTAAGCCACAACTAGAGGTATACGAGCCCGTACCTGCGAACCGTGGTGAGGGGAACCGAACGGTGGGGACACGCTTATGTGGACCAATCCAACGTCAGCACCGCGACGAGGTAATGTTTGGAAGGTACAGATGAGCAATAATTGTAGTAAAATGAATTAAATTAATATTAGGTACTTATACGCCATCTATCTACTTCTAATTTCCAACTCTCATTCTTTTATTCTATCCCTCGTCAGCATATTAACAGTCATTCCCCACTCTCAATCACGGCTCAGTTTCACCCTGAGCTGCGCGCCAAAGAAGGAGAAAACATATGGAATGAAAACCATCCCAATTCCAATGAAAGCCAAGAGCCATGACGCCCATTGCAATCCCAGACGATCATACATCTGGGTGATAAACAAAGGGAAAGCGGCACCACCACCAGATCGCAAGAAAACCTTCGCCGCCAACGCCGAAGCAGCATATCTCTGATACGAGTCGATAATATAGGCATTGACACCATAGTAGCACAGAACCATTCCAAAGCCAAAAGCCAGACCAGACGACGCAGGTCCAACCCAGATGATATGCTTATATGAAGTACCACCAAGGATGAAAAAGGCAATTGGAATAAAAGGAGCTCCCCACATAGCAGCCTTCAACCGATCCTCGGGAGTGGGAAGGCGTTGCGCACAGATGCGCTTGAAATCCTTTTCAAAGATCGGAGTAACGAGCAGAGCAAATCCGGCACCAATCAAGATCGGAATGAACATCAATCCGATCTGACCATCGTTGTAGGCATAAAGCTTGCCGAAAATTACCGGGTACGCGAAGAAAAACGCGTAGAGCATGGAGTAGATCAGGACGACGTAAAAGCACATGAGATCGAGAACCGGCTCCGTCATGATCATGGTAATGGGACGGATCAAGTTTGTCCGGATGATATCGTTGAGAGAGGGCTTAGTCTGCTCCTGCTCGGTGATGATGTTTGGGTTTCCAGTTTCCTTGCGAAGCTTCGCGGCGCGCTGTTTGAGAATCACGGGAGCGTATGTCTCGGGGACCAGGCTGATTAGGATCATGAGAACACCTGCGAAGGCCATGTTTGTCCAAAAGAATAGATCTAGTCGACCGGTGCCGACATTAATCCAACCGGCTACGATGGGTCCCAGGACAGGACCACAGTAGGGAGCAGCGGCGAAATAAGCGATGGCCATGCCGCGCTCTTCAAGATTCCAGACATCTGCGATGGTTCCGCCAGCGAGGGACAGTCCGGAACTAGAAAAGACACCGCACAGGAATCGCGATGCCAGTAGGCCACCTATATTTGGCGAGAGCGCACATGGGATCTGGAAGATTGTGTAGAGTGCGAAAGAGACGATATATACGGGTCGGCGACCAATGATCTCTGAGAGGGGAGACCAGAGTAGAGGTCCCACAGCGAAGCCGCAAACCATGATTGAGCAAGTTAAGATGGCAACCTCCAATGATACATTATATTTGTCCTCGATGAGACCCAGGCCACCAGTGACGACTGCTGAACCGTAGGCCACGCATACCACGACAGCTGAGGCGACAAGGGTGATATACCAACGGTATGGACGGGACCAGTTGTGTGGATTCTCGGGATCATCAACTGTAAACGTCACGTAATCGACAGGGTCCTTTGGTCCTTTTTCAACGTCGATGCCTTGACCATTATTCGATGTCTGTGTTGCTGATGAAGTATGGGATCGTAATTGATGTAAGGCCGCTTGTGGAACCAGACCGGTTCTCGTTTCGACGACATATTCGTCGGGGAATTCAGGGTTATTTTGGGGTTCAACATTGGCATAGTTGTAGTCCACTGGTGGAGGAATTTCTGAAATACCGGCATCGTGAAGGGTTTCGCGAGTCTCGACCCTTGACAGATTGAGATGGCCTGAGTCAGGGCTATTTTGGGAGTGAGAGGGTATTGAATCAGCCATGATGTAGATTGTGTAACGGCTCCTGGAATTGAGTGACTTTGAGCTGTCGTACAGATCGATGGGAGATGACGGGTACCAAGATACTTATATACTTCGAGTTCCCTATAGCTTCCATCCTTCAAGTAGAATACAATCACAAATACTCTCAGGCCGACCGATCTCCGAGATATTTCCCAAGATGTCAGGTTCTGGGCCAAGTGGCATCTAATATGATTGGATCGTATTTAGATTCCCGCCCTACAGCGATAAGGTCCGTTACTGTTCGCGTTTAGTTCGGCGAATGGGCGCGGGGGCGAAAATCGGCAGAAGCTCGGTGCCGAGACATTGCCGAGATGTCATTGGCCGTGCTCGGTATGCCGGCACTGATCATAGCTCAAAGCAAGGGGATTTGACGCAGGATTTTACCATTAGGATTGATTCAGGGATGTGGAATTTTGAAAGAAACTAATTAATTCTAGATCGTTCCGCAAACTTTTTCATGCGTGATTTATCTCGTCCTGCGTGTTTCTGTTCTGGTTCAACTGCATGAAATTGACCACATTCGTAAGGTTGTGTAATGCACCAACATTTTCAGCCACTTTTCGACAAATACTATTCTTATCTTCATTTCTTTTGACAATCTTCTTCATCGGGTGTCACCACCTCGGGTCGTGATCGGCTTCCCGATGGATGAGCTGAGCCGTAGTGGACTGATACCACGGATCTGAAAGATGACAGTTCCGTCTGACGAATCGCTATCTACGGACGAGCTTCCTTCCAGGTTTTCTATCAACGTCGCCAAGGCTCGTCCATTGATCTGGTCATCGTAATCTAACTTAAATGATCAGTATCGCAACACGTGTTTTATACATCTCGTCAATCCTGGGAAAGAATCGTAGTGGGGCATATGATGAAGTAGGAAATACCCACCAACGTCTCTTTCTATGACCCACTGACATGGGTCCATGTTCAAAGAAGTTAGTGTATGCTAATTTCGACGAGTGTGGTGCTTTAATAACAGTTGGAAGTTGCAAGCACGCGCGTTCAGTCATATAGCCGGATGGTAAATTGGGCTTGCTATAGACAGGTTGACTGGCTTCCATGAGGGTAAAGAATAATCTTCCATCTGAAAAAGAAAACAGAGTCATCACCCCCCGGCATCGCATGCGGGGCCATTGGAGGCTCAGGGAAATGAAGTTCCTTCGGGCTTTACTCGGTTGATCACGGGAGCTGATGGTTGTTGACGAGGTATCCATGGATGCACCTCCTTGCTCGGGACGACGCTATTAATATGCCACCTTTGACCGCGACAGGGCATCGATTGCCTGCTCCACTGTAATGACATTTAGTGGCATCTTTGGAAGAATTCCCTGTAAGATTGCATCATAGATCATTGCAGCGTCACTTCCCATCTCAATTGTGTTGTTTGCAATGACGTATCTAATCTTCATTAGCGGTGTCTAAGCGTCCAACATCGCCAGATTAAAACACTCACACATTGAAGTCAAGATCAAAAAGGCGTTGGGCTGTGGTGAGCACGACACCAGACGTTCGAAGGCCCGACTATTCAGGTTCATCTGTTAGAATCAATGGATGGGTTGACCCTAGCTGTTGCAATGGATGTAGAAAGGAATGCGGGCGTACCAAGACAACCGTGTTAATTTTGTGATTGCGCAGGATTTGAACTAATGTGTTTTCTGCCCCCGCATAGTACCGTGTTTTTTGCAAAACAACGTCGTAATCAGATAATGGCTTAAAGGCTTGGTAGAGATGTGATTCCACGTCAGACTCTGTTATGTTCCCAAGATCTGAAATGGTGCTACGAAAAGGTGAACATGTAGAGATCTCGGGCATGAGAGAATTAGAGGTATATAGGCGGCTGAAAATGCTGATTGGAGGTGGGGATTGTTTGTGAACGCTATGCGTATGGCTGTCAGTCATGGGCGAATATTGAAGAGCAGGTTTTGGCCGGTGCGACACAACTCACGCGTCAATCCATTTCGCAGTGTTCTTGATGAATGCTTGTCCCTGTGAGGTTGCGTTGATACTTCCCACGAAAGCATTGATCAGATCCAGATTCAGTACGGCGTAGTGAGGTCCAAAACTTAGTGAAGAACTCGTGACCGTTGAAGGTGTTGAATTCGAATATCCGATGGCGGTAGAATCAACAAAGCAGGGCGCAAGGGCAAGAAATGCCCACGCAAGAAACTCCATTGTGACTGGTCATTTCTGACGTTTTGCTGGATTTAAAATGCTATTTATCGGGGGATGTAATCCAGGGCAATGGTTGTAATTATATCCGCTGAGCACCTCTTCATGCAACAATTACGTAGAGATCGGCAATGATCGGCACCCAGTGGATATTGATAGAACCGAGATTTGGAATAGCTCGCTCAACTCTCGAAAAAGCTACGTGTAGTTAGTGTCGAAATCGATTTGTTCTGAACAAAATCGTCGAGCGATAATGCTACTATCAGCATGCCCCAGCATTGGAGAGTGGCACCCAGGTCAGTCGTGTAGGACGGGATGTATAGACTGGCAAACGTCGCTCAGAGCAAAACCCCGTCTAAAAGCAGTCATATAAAAAAGACGAAAGGGACCTTCTAGATTGAACGCTTTGATTTAACTTATTAAACATTGACCAAGACGAGCTCGAAGACTCGTTCAATCTATCTAAGCCGTATATACATTGCCAAACTGTGAAATAGTGGTCGCTGATTTCGAGGTGAAGCAAATGCAGCAATTCACAATGTTACTTCTATGTGCTCGATGATCTTAGGCCAGCTGCTACGACCCCTTCATCAACCTAGCTTGCCTCTATGAAGTCGAAATTCTTCAGATCTGATTGTTGTTATTCGTTGACAAAACAGTCAGAGCGAAAAGGCCTAGCAAAAAGCTTCACTCCTTGAAAGTTGGAGTGCATACTGTACCCTTAGTATTTAATTTTCCATTTCATTTCTCCACTGTGCATAGAGAGGATCATTTTATCGCCACTTATTGTTGAAAACTTTCCCATCCACATAGTTCACCAACTCTTTCACAGGCGGAAGATAATCTCGGTCACCCCCGAAAAGCATACCGTGACGCAACACCTTGCGATAATTCTTTCCGGGTGATACCTTACCCAGAACATAAGGTTCACGAGTCTCAACCCGGGTTGGAACAGGAATGGAGCGACCGACCACCGCCTCCATACCTTGCCAGGCAAAGGTAATAGCTTCTTTCGTACCGCCTGGAATCCCCGCCTCATCTAACATCATAATCCGGGTATGAGGATAACGCTGTTGAATGAAGGCAGCGATGTTCGGATTATAAGCACCACCGCCACACATGAAGATCTCAGCAATCTCAAGGTCCTGAGGCGCATATCGATGGTAGTGATCCACGATGGCCTGCGCTGTGACACGAGTTATAGTAGCAACAACATCATCCGGCTTGAGTCCCTTGGCCTCTGCCTTTTGGATCAACACGTGGGCAAGCGTATCACGAAATACTTCGCGGCCGGTTGTCTTTGGTGGTTTTAAGGAAAAATACGGGTGACTTAAGAAATCATCCACTAGTTCCTGGTCGACAATGCCACGGGTACCCATCTCACCGTCCTTATCATATTCACGCTCTCCATTTGTATAGTGCCTCACGACAGCGTCAATAAACACATTTCCGGGGCCAGTGTCAAAGTCATAGCAAGCATCTACACCACCATGTGTATCGGGAGGAATAAAGCAAACGTTGGCTATGCCGCCAATATTTTGACAAGCACGTAGCTTGGTCGGATGGTGCAGCACCAGTGCATCAAAGAAGGCAATTAATGGCGCGCCTTGACGCCCCGCTGCCTGATCACTAACACGAAAGTCGGTCACGGAGGTGATGCCTGTACGAGAGGCCAGAAAGGTTCCTTCTGCCATCGTCAGGGCACTTCGGGTTTCACCAGGCTCTGGCATGGAAAGAAGCCAAATGGTTTGACCATGAGACCCCAGGACATCGATCGTGTTAATATCGATATGGTAGTCCTTACAAAATTGGTGTACGGCAGATGCGAAGGTCTCCCCCAAAATCACATTGACCTCCGAGAGCTCTGAAGGCGATGTTTTGTTGTGCAGGATCATGTTCATCACGCGTTTCTTGATCACCGGTTCTAAAGGAACTTCGCCATACTAAACCAGGAGTTGGTCGATGATCCTCACGGGAAGCTCGCAGATGGTGCTTACCTGTAATAACTCGAAATGCATCGCCGAGTCCGGTGTCTCCTGGCGAAAACGACAAAGGGCGCAGTCTATACCATCCTATATGGTTCATTGTGAGCGTCAAACCCCTTGGGTACGCAGAATTCAATCAACCAAGAATTTACCATGGATGTCCCACTATTCAGTCCGAGGACTGTCATGTCTAGCGCATATTCAATTCCGGAGGATCCCATGGTGGGCAGGGAGAGTATATGGAACAGAAATGGGAGGATTTAGACTAAGTCCAGGAGAAGAGAAAGCTTTAAAAGAAGCCAGTCGAGTCATTAAACTGCGTTTCATGATGCAACATAGGAACCAGTGGATCCAGATCCCTGAACAGCTCCAAGTATGAATCTAAATTTTGATCTGATTACCGTGAATGGTCAATGGTCATGGACCCGCTTCAAGGGGTAATCGGTAAAACGCCTAATCGGCCTGATTGGCCAAATCAACGGAAGAGCCAAATGGCGGAAATCCAGGTAAAATGGCTACGCGCTTCAAGGTGGTTCCTCCCCGCGCTTCTCCAGTCTCGGTCGGACTCGCCCCCTTGGCACCATCCCATTCCCGACGCGACACTACTCCGTACTGGGGCTGGGACCCATATAAAGGACTAGGCTGTTACATCGCGCTGCTTTTTATTGGGCGCACTGACACTGTACAATCACGCTATGGGGTACACTACCGCATGGAAGCGGCTTTCCCCGCGGCAGCTAAACCTAGCTATCCACATCTTTTCGCTGATCTCGATCTTCTTCGAGGGATATGACCAGGGTGTCATGGGCGGGGTCAATGCCTCGCCAAGCTACATCTTGACGGTGGGGATCGGGAAGCTTGATGGGACGATCACAAACACCACTCATGAAGGTGGTATTGTCAGTGTCTACTACCTAGGCGCCATCTTTGGTTGCTTCGCCGGTGGATGGCTTGCCGATCGTATCGGTCGTATCAATGGCCTGTTGGCTGGGTCTCTGTTTGCTCTTGTGGGTGGCGCACTGCAAGCTGCAGCTCAGAACTCCAATTTTATGATCTGTGCCCGAGTGGTGACAGGGATTGGCACTGGTGGTATGCGATCCTGCTAGTGTGCATTAGTGAGACCCATTTGGAGATCTAGTGCTAACTCGTCATAGCCTTGACCGGTATCACCCCTGTCTTAGTTTCGGAGACCTCGTCTGCCGATCACAGGGGCGGTTTCCTCGGTTATGTGTTTATTGCAAATTGTATGATGCCGCATTGCGATTGCGACTGGATGCCCATTTGGCTAACCCATGCCCCTCTTAGATCTTGGAATATCTCTCGCATACTGGATCTCGTTTGGACTTGCCTTCGTGAATAATGGGTATTCGGATGTGCGATGGCGGTTCCTGCTCGCCTTCCAATGTCTGCCCGCTCTCATTCTAGCCTTGTTCATCAAAATGCTGCCTGATAGTCCCCGCTATTTAGCCTCGGTGGGTCGGTCGGAAGAAGCACGCGAGCTTCTGGTTCGTATTCGCAAAGGCACAGCCACCCCTGAACTAATTGAACGCGAGTACTTGGAGATTGTCACCACAGCTCGGCATAGTCAACCCAGCTCCCCCGTTCAGTTTGCAAAAATTCTTTTCGGGAAAGGTGGAAGGCCAGGTACAAATCTAGGCCGACGGGCATGGCTATGTGTCTGGCTTCAAATTATGGCCTCGTGGACCGGTATTACTGTAAGATGCACAGACACTTTTAATTATTCCAGCGCTAAGCTACTTTACCTCAGGCGGTCACTGCGTATTCTCCCGTTCTGCTGAAGCAGGCTGGCTATAGTGATGTCAAACAAGATGGCCTTGCCGGAGGTATAAATACAATCGGCATCGTCGGTACTATCATCAGCGCTCAAATTATCGACCGGCTGGGCCGGCGAGCTTGTTTGATGGGCGGGGCTCTGGTGCTGTTTGCCGTGAATTTAGTTGTATGTTTCCCTGATACGTATCGTCGATACGGCAGGATTTTTAGATACTAATCTGTTAGGCCGGTGCTGTTTTCGAGGGTTCCCGTCACCATCCTGATCAAGCGACCCAGTATGCCCCGGGCGCAGTGACAATGCTATTTTTATTCAATCTGGGGTAAGTCGCCGCTACACTTGCTCTACTATGGCTGACCAATCTTTGTTAGTTATGCTGCTACCTGGGGTACAGTGGCCTTCTTGATCCCCACCGAGATTTTCCCTAGTGAGCTACGAGCTCAGGGCAATGGCTTTGGAATCACAGGTTGGGCCATTGGCGTGGGCATGACCACCCTGGTCAACCCAATCATGTTTGGCACTTTGACTGTAGGTCTGCCCACATTTATCCTCTCCTTACAATGATACTGACGATTTTTTTCAGAGCCGAACTTATTTCCTTTTTGCGGGGTTGAATTTACTTTGGGTTCCTATTGTGTACCTTTGTACGTCTTTCTCCATGGCTCTTAATCCGGTTTAACTAACGTACTAAAGTCTACCCCGAAACTCGCAATCGCTCGCTGGAATCCATCGAAGCTCTTTTCTCCACTTCCAGCCCGTTCTATTGGAAGATGGAACAGGCCTATAAACTCCGCGGCGACGTCCTTGCGGAGCATGGGGTCGCCAGGAGCGAAACCTACGATACAGACAGGACCGAAGTGACCTCTGATAAAACACTAGATTGGCCTGCTGCTCAAGGCAGTTAGGTATTGTTCGATGCTCGTGCTATATAAAGGTTGTCTAATCTTGGGATTATTTACCTAGGCCCCACCTGGATCTCTACACCTAGCATTTTTCTTCGGCGCTCGTCTCTGCAGAGCACTTCTTATGAATACCTATCATTACATACTATAATATGCATTTAGATCTGGATATAATACACAAGCTGTCTTACTTGCGAACTGCCGTTCAATTAGGTTCGTAAGGCCTCGTCATCGTAATACAGATAATGTAAACCCGCCAACGATGATTCGTCGACGCCGAAAAGTCGATGACATCCTGATGAGTCAGCATACCCCATGCAGAGTTGGGGGCTCGACTTCTTTTCCAATGATTCGAGGATTCAAATAGAAATTAGAGACGGCTAAACTCCTGCTAATTAAAACCTTTTTCCCTTTCACCATCTCAGCCTTGTCTTCATCCGACACACGCGACCCACAATCCACACTCTAAACTCTACCGGAGACCCGTTCGGAGGCCCGGTATCGAATTCCCGGCTCAGGGAACACAACTGACGGTTCAAGAAAGATTCCGGATGAATGTCGCAAAAACCGCGAAAACTTCAGCGCGTCTCCAAGGCCTGTAGGTACCCCCACGCTCCCATGCACGTTCCCCACATCAGTTGGTGGGACCCGAGTTTTGAAGTATCGGAAAAACTGACGCATGCGCAGGCGACTTCTGCAATAGGCGCAGTATCAAATGTGGCAGCAGTGAAGATCCGCTGGGTCGGTGCCAGAATTGTGTAGATTTCGATGTCCCGTGCACCTTCGATCGCCCGGCTAAACGCCGGGGCGTCAAGGCCGGTACCCGAGTGAATGCTCGCGATACCCCAATCGCAAAGCCGGTCATCGACCAACCAGTTGCAATTGGTCGCGGGAACCCTCCGGAGAGGATGTCTGGCTCATCAGCCTCAAGAAGCTCATTTTACGCTGACTCTGTGTCACGCCCGTCATTGACAGGGGACCCCTGGTCTTCTTTCAATACTGGATGGTCGACGGTTGAAGGATACGATGATGATGGCGCACTGCGCAATTCTTGGAAGGCGTTTGCCATTTCTTGCGACCAACAGATTCGCAATCTCGTGCAGGTGTACTTTGAGATTGTTTATCCAATGTAGGCCTGGACTTTTCAACCCCTTCCACCTTGGTTTTTGACTAATCACCTTGGCGTCAGATTTCCATTGTTTCATAAACCATCATTTATAGAAAGAATTAACAACCAAGAGCATCTTCAGAGTCAGAGCCTGTTTGCTTCAACAATGGCGGTCTGCTCATTGGTATCTGGTCGCGCCCGCGATGGAGCATTGTACACCAATCGGTGGCATCGGGAGGAGCTGTCAGAGCCGCCTTCGGAGGCCTTCTATGCAGCAGCCAAAGACTCACTTCCTCGGGACCTTGCAGCCGCAAAGGGCTTCAATTATATGCGTGCTTGTGCAATACTTGCGATCGCCAGCATTCAGAACGGCCAAATTAAAAATATGCAGAAATACTCTGGCATGTATCATACATTAACAACCATGGAGGGGTTTCATGATGAGAAGCTCTGGCCGAAAGATATCAGTCCTATCGAGACTGAAGAAAGAAGAAGATTGGTATGTATTGGGGTACCTTAGAATCGCTGGTGGCTTTTCACTAATAGAAATAGTTCTGGTCCATTTATACCCTGGACATCTACTCCACGATTGTATGGGGAGGTGTGATCCGATACCGGGAAGCCCATTCTCTCGTTCGATACCCCAGTGAGGTAGATGACGAATTCATCACTCACCACGGATACGGCATACATCCCGTATCCCCAGAAGCCGCCCTCAGGCAGGGCCAGGTCCCTGTTGTCTCACGACAACCCGTTTCGTGGATGCATGGATGGAACTTCACCACCGATCTCTATCGAATTCTCGAACACGTTGTTGACGGCACTCGACGCAAGTCTTCCTCCGCTAATGGCACCCAGGAGGTGTGGTCTCTGTTCAGCCCAGCATCCATGTCGGAGCCGATAGTCATGGAACGAGTGCTTTCCATGTATGCTGCACTACCCCCGCAATTTCGAGAGACGCCGCCAACCACCGGCGATGGGACCCACGACCTGTTCGGTTTTCAATCTGCAAACATCCAGGCGACTTTGCAGCTTCTCCGGATGGTTCTTTTGTCGTCAGAAGAGGTCGGGGTGGACAGGAAGTGCGACGTAGCCGGTGAGCTGCTGAGTGTGTTTTCCAAAGTGCCGGTGGAGTATTTGAGAGCCATCAGCTCCCCTCTGGTATGTTCAAGCTCTCTATTGCATCTCAGTCTGAAACTAATATCTTCTCAGCTTCATCACTTGGGAGGAATTGGATACATTCTCGGCTCGGTCATGGAAGGCAGTTTATCAGATGTATCATACCAACGCGTCCGTACCTTACTGTGAGTCTTCAGCCCTTTTAGCATACACTGTGCGACTAATTCCCCTTGAAGCCTTGACATGGCCAGTCTTCTCCACCGTCTGGAAGTTGGTCTCCACCGAGCAGCCGGTGCTAGCGAACGTCTCCGCTCTCAGGTGGACCGAATAGATGGCTACATGCGAACTTCACGATTGGTCAATCCCTCGGTCATTCCCCCTCAAATGAATGCGGCGAACGGTACTCCTACCCCAGTCGACGTAAAGCCTGTGCCTTCCCCAGTGTATACAGCTGCAACACAACCGATTGGACCGACAGGATCAATGGATAAACAGATGATGCAGTTCCAATTGCCGCCGGAACTGCTGGCAGGCTGGCCGTGGCCACTAGATAATTCTCATTCCGAGGGCTTCTTGCCACTGGCCTTTGAATGATGCTTGCATTGAACAATTATGTAAAAACTAATGTATCTAATATGTCATTTAATAATCTGAAATTATGCCAAACATCCATGGATGTGTCGATGATCAGCCTGGCCTCTGAAAAGGCATATATTCCAATTCGTTCAAGGGAGCCCGAAACCCTTTTCAAACATAACCTAGAGGTGGTGGTCAAACCAAGCAACAGCCTGATTGAAAGCCTGCTCCTTAGCAAATTTCTGATGAGGCTTAGAAAGATCGCAGCGAACAGCGAAGCCATGCTCCACCTCCGAAAACAGATTGATCTGATGAGGAACCTCCAACTTATCCAAGATCTCCTCACTTTCATGGCGCTTGGCTGTAACGAAGACAAAATCCCGAACTATACGGAATCATCAGCACCAGTTTTCTTTCAGGGGAAAATTTTTATTTATAAGGATAACGCACCAGCAGCCGCAATACTTAACGGTCCTTCAACACCTCTCAACTCCTCCGCCTCCAGCATAGTCGGATGCGCAATATATCCAACATCCAACTGCCCAGGCCTAAGATACCGACAAACATACTTCCCACCAAAACAGTATCCAACACCTCCAATCCGCTGGCATCCCAGGCTCTCACGCATTTCCTTGAGCACCATATCAATAATGGGCTCTGTTTGGATGGGCGAGTGGTTTTTCACCCAATCCATAATATTGAATCCCTCTGGCCGATTGAGGGGTACCGAGTCGCCGTTGAACATGTCGGGCATGACGACAAAGTAGCCATTTGCCGCGAATTCGTCAGCGAGGAGCTGAGCGTTGATGAATTTATGGCCGATCACGTCTGTGATTATGAGGATGGCGTTTTTGGTGGATTTATCTGGGGGGTAGGCGATGTAGGTTGAGACTGCTTCTCGGTTAGCTTGGCTATGATTTCGCTGCTTGTTGTAAAAAGCCCTCTCGTACTTGCTTGCGGAGGGTTGACCTACTATTGCCGATGGCTTTGAGTTCGCCTTTGGCTTCACCATCGTGTAGAGAGCCTGTGATGCAGCAGTGGGAAAGCTGGTTTGGCGCCATTTCAACTTTGGAACGTGCAGGTCCAGCCCTTGAGAGGATGTTTGATTTATGAGGGACCAAATGAATCAAATGAGAATCCAGTAGTGATAAACTGCTGAAAATGTACAACCAGATTATAGACATATTGTGTCTCATTTATATATCCATTGTTTCGGCCATAAGCTCCCCCGCCTGGAGATAGGAAGGCCTTGTTCCTAACTCCAGTCCAGCAAATTCGTATTAGCAAAAAAACAAAGCCTCGAGATCCTGATAAGTGTAGACCTAGTCATCCAATGCTCGACTGGGCGGCTCGCAAACTACGCGATCTGATTGGCTGCGGCGATCACGGTTAGGGGGAATTCGAGTGGGTCTCGATTTTCTCTCGCGGAAAAGTTGGCGGGAACATCTCCATCATCTCCATCCTTGCTATCCCAATTCCCTCCAAGCCTCCCAATCATGTCGACCATGTCGACCCGCTCCGCCTGGCGCGCTCTGCACTATAGCGCAAAGCGCCGTGCTTTCCAACCCGCAACCTCGTACCGCTGCTTCTCCTGTACCCGCGCCGCCCAGGATCAAAGCAAGCAGGACCAGGAACGCATGACACACTTCGGCTTCACCAATGTGCCCGAGTCATCCAAGGAGTCGCGAGGTAAGCTTTCTTTAAACCAAATCGAACGAGGACAACACATTCGCTCGTCCATCGGCAACATGATAGAAGCTCACCAATTCCCGGAACAGTCGGCGCAGTCTTCAGCTCCGTCGCCGCCTCGTACGACACAATGAACGACCTGATGTCCCTGGGAATTCACCGCCTTTGGAAAGACCACTTCGTCCGCTCTTTAAATCCCGGATCTCCTCTCAGCGCTCGCATCAACAACCCCACCCAAAAAGGCTGGAACATTCTCGACATCGCCGGCGGGACCGGCGACATCGCTTTCCGCATGCTCGACCACGCCACGAACGTCAACCATGACATTGAGACCCGCGTGACGATCAGCGATATCAACGCTGACATGCTGGCTGAAGGCCGGAAGCGGTCTATTGATACACCCTACTACAACACTCCGCGTTTGTCGTTCGTCGAGGCAAACGCCCAGTCTATGCCGCATATCCCGTCCGAGTCGATTGATCTGTACACTGTCGTCTTTGGAATCCGTAACTTTACGGATAAACAGGCTGCGCTGAATGAGGCGTTCCGTGTGCTTAAGCCTGGCGGTGTGTTTGCTTGTATGGAGTTTAGTAAGGTTGATAACCCTGTTTTTGATGCGGTTTATAAGAGGTGGAACTTCGGTGCTATCCCGCTTATTGGACAGCTTGTTGCTGGAGATCGGGATAGCTACCAGTACCTTGTTGAGAGTATTGAGCAGTTCCCTAGCCAGGAGGAGTTCAAGGGTATGATCCAGAAGGCCGGGTTCATGATTCCTGGACGTGGCTATGAGAATCTCACTGGTGGTATTGCGGCTATCCACAAGGGTATCAAGCCTATCAAGCCTTAAGCGAGGGGTATATTTGTGGACTGTATTATACATCTTGCATCGTTGTCCTTTTGTATCATTGTATTATCATGAATGGCTACAAGTTTTTTAATTGTGGAATTTGGGGAAGAGTAGAGATGCCCGCTGAGGTTTGGCGCGCGCGTTATGTATTTTCACCCGAAAACCTGCTGTCTGGGTGACCTCTCCTTAGGTATATCCAAGAAATAAGAGACAAACGCAACATCGTAAAAAATGTGCCGACGATGAGATGGGAGATCCAGTAAAAATGCTAAAAAAACATATGCAGCAAAGAAATGATAAATGAAATATGCCATATTATTCACCCCAAACATCCTCTGCTTCTACCACCCCTACACAACTGCTAGGATTGGCGATATCTTTCATCACGGCAATCACAGTTATGGGGCTTGATCCAGTTCGGGAAGTGGAGATCAAACGCCGCAGCTCAGCCAGCGGGGTTGAGTCTGGGACTAGACACCAATCCGCCCGGGCCACGGTGAGTGGCTGGTCGGGGTCTTTAGCCACGGCTTCGGCGACGCTCAGGTCCACATTAGTCTGCCGGGACAGAAGAGACCGAATCAGGCGAGGCGGAGCGACCTCAGTTGGCGAAAGAAATACCCATGATCTCGCATTAGGGTGCTGAATGGCTGCTAGAAGGATATCAAGTAATCGAATATCACCGGGGCTTTTTGCTGTGGCTGATACCACGGTGGGGATTTGATCAAGAGGAACGAGTAAATCTGAAGAAATGATGCGATGCACTGGTGGGGGCTGTAGTGTAAATGGCGGAATAGATGCACTGCTGTTGAGGTCCTCCCATTGTAAAGACATAGATGAAGATGGAGAATCGAATGTAGTGGTTGAAGCACTGGATGGGGTCATCCATGAGGTCTCCGCCATGGCTGCGGCGGCGGTTGCGGCTCCAATCGCACCCCCAGGGTGGTGGCTTCGAAACACATCTGCAGGCCCTTTGCCTGGCATAGTATGTAGTTTTCGCGCCGTCGCAATAGCCAATGCATCTCCTAGACACATTGCCACGGTTGTAGATGATGTCGGAGCGCTAACGCCCAAAGATGCCTCCTCACCCTCGTGAATTGGAGCCGGTAGAAGAATTCCCAAGCCCGAAGGCCCATGCAAAGATAGCAATGGACATGCCAGTGGGTCTGTATGTGAGGTCAAAGCGATGATAGGGAACGAGGTGGGGATATGCGGAAGCATAGACAATATCTCAGGCGAGCGACCAGAGAACGATATGAGAAGCATGGTGTCATTCTAGAGCAAACATCAAACCGGTTCATCAGTAAGAAAATCTTAATTCCCCGATAATCAATCAGACTGCATCTCGGGGAATACGATGCAGGCGATATGGCAAGGAATGGCTTACCGGCCGGACCAATCCCAGATCCCCATGTAAGGCTTCGGTCGGATGTAAAAATGCAGAGTATATACCCAGGCTGTTCATAGTTGCCTCGATCTTGCGCCCGATTTTGCCGCTTTTGCCCACCCCGCAAACCACCAACTTGCCTCCATGGCGTACACTGCGCGCAATCTGATCCACCGCACGCGCAAGTTCTTGTTGCGCTCGAGCATCTGTCTGGTACAGCCGTTCGAGGTGAGAGAGTGCAGCGCGCTCGGTGGACATGACATGGATTGCGGTTACGATTGAGGAGACATCTTTAGCGGCCGTTGGTGGGGGCTCTGACACATCGGGAGGAGTGAGTGGCCAGGGCGGCGTGGACATGGCGTGATGAGGGGCCATGGAGGGCGAGGAGGTTGCAATGGATTCATAAAGCATGAGAATGGGAGGAGAAAGAGAGAGAGATATAAGCTAGCCCTCCTCCGAGCGGGCCTGGGATAGGGCCGGGAAAATGTGGAGGGCCAAGATTAAAAAGAGTCGATAACGGAAGATAACAGAGCGGGATGGAGAGATCGATCGATCGGACGTTACCTAGCAAACTCCAAGTTTCTTGCTTTTCTTTAGTTTTATACTTCACAGGTCACACATTGCATCTCTTTGAATTAAGTTCGCTACGCATGCATGGTGACCCGTCACCTGCATAGCATACTTCCGAGATGGTGCCATCTAATGTGATAATGATGCATGAGCTGGTCGATCCCTTTCCGAATGTAGTAACTCCGACAAACCCCGGGGTTGAAATGTGCTATAATTGGTGTTATTGTGCTATGTCTTGGAGAATTTGCTTATAGAATCAATTTGATTTCTTGCGAGATCCTCATTGCTAGTACTCCATTTAGAGGTCTATAAAAGTCATATATACAAACCGGATCAGGGCAGGCAACGCTATTATGTACATTTCTGCCGACTCTGGTCCATTGGAACCAATGAAGACCAAGACTGCACTGGATTCATTTGGAGACAGATGAAGACATATATCAAAAACAAAAACAAAAACAAAAAATCCAACCGGCTGGATTAAAGCCTTTCTTAACGCCGAAAAACCATAAAATCGTCTCACTCTCGTACAGAGCCAGGGGGTACTTAGACAGACCAAGCTGATATTGGTCTGGGTAGGTTGGGCGAACCAAGACTACTAGGAAGAACCCGTACTCTGCCACGTGGATCAGATCGAATTTAAACTCCATTTCAAGGTAGAGAGAGCACAAAAGGGGGTATCGTATCAGGGTCGTAGTAATTTGTCGTCATGGCCTCGCGGCTTTGGGGGTCGCCTGAAGCCACATCAACCTGATTTGCCAGCTTCCTGTCTCTCCTTGCCTTTTTCGTTGGTGGTACCATCGTCTTCGTAGAGGTGATGTTGCTCAATGTAATGAATGACGGGCACGGGGATGAGATATCGGACGCTCATCTCACGTCTCAGGAAGAGACGGATCTTGGTGCTACTGACATCGTTTTGGATGAGCTGCTGGATGACGTAGATGTTGTCCTTCCAAGGCTGCAAGCTGGCTAGAGCCTCGTCAATGTCGGTGCCACTGCGTTCCACAATGAAAGACTTGATGAAGTATTAGTGACCCATATTTTCGATGCAGGCTTCCGGATGTGACTTACGCCATATTTGCCGAGAATATGATCCAAATCTTTTTCACTCCAGACGCCGGGAGTGGACATGGTGTGAATCAGGTCGGCACCTGCCAGCAAGGCAATGCGGACGGGCTTGCGGGTTCCATCGGCAGCCTCCACGCCGCCACGAACGGTGTTGATCTCGTGGTCAAAATGATCTAGGACGACGGCGGTCGGCTGGTACTCTTTCTGAGTTGGCTCCCACGTATCCACCATGAGCCAGTCGGAGGTTTGATCCACTGCCAGTTGACACATTGCGACACTGATTCCCCACATCATTAGCACTCTCCTGGTCGGTGAGGGGAGGCAAGCGATATTTACCGGTCTTCTGCGCTGGCGAGACCCGCCTTGCGATAAGAGTCTGACACGGGCGACAGGTAGCCACCAAGAAGTTCGAACTCGGTGCTAAATTTCACGTAATCGGCGGCCATCTCAAACATTCGCAAGTGCAGGTAAGTGATTGGGGAGAATGAGCCACAAGCGACCAGCAAGAGCGGCGTCTTCTCCGGGTCGGTCATCTTGCGCTTGAGGCGCAAATCCGGAAACATGTAGTCGTCCATCGGGGCCGGAGGGATGTGGGCTGGAACCTGGTGAACATCGTCACTCTGGCCTCCAACCATTTCGGTGGCCATCGCGGGGAAAGTGTGGTTGATATATGGAGCAAGGCGCTGATCCGAGGTAGTTGGAGGGGAAAGAGGGGGGTAATGAGGTCGGGGAAGTGGGGGAACGAAGTTTTTTAACTCCCTAAACTCTGGAAACAAACGCGGGGGGCAAACGGGAGGCGGAAAAGATTGAACTTAGAGAATCAAAAGGAGAAAATCATCCTGAACATCGTTTTCTGAATAGGTAACCACATTTGATTATTAAGGTCTCGGTGAGTCAATCTATCGGCCTGTCTCCGGTCGCGATCCGCCGGCCCGCAATAGTACGAGCTAACGGAGGAGAGGCGATTATCGGGGTTACACGTAAGCTATACTTGGATGGACACTATGCCTTTATGTATCTCCAAGGTTATTCTAAGAATTGTTCAAAGCAAGTTGACACTCGTTAAGGGCTTGATCGGAATAAAATAGACAAAAATTCAATGCTGGGTGAAAAAAGGCGGCTCAGTATCACTCTTTAACCACCGTCATCGTCCAGGGTAGTTTACGCAGTAGTGTGGCGAGTACTTACCTAGGAGTGTACTCGCTAATATTGCTATTCTGAATCTTGGATATTGCGCTTTGATACCGTGTGGTGTTCAACTGGATTTTGCGGTGTTTTGTAGCGCTCGATAGGATTTGCCTCATTATGCCTGACTTTATACAAATTACGCCTCCTTGACAAAATTCAATCTACACTCAGCTAGAGAACCTCGGAACTGGTAGACAGATATATGAAATAGATCAAAATAGTAGGTCTTCAGAGCTCCAGACGAAATAACAATGTTGCAAGGTTGGGGCTACTACAAGTTGTCTTATCTCATCACGAATGTTGCACTTCCGCCGCCTGGCGCTCTCCGAATCCAATCGTCACAAACCACAAACTTGCCTCCTCTTTTCTTCTTCTCCCCACTCCAACCCCCTTAACTTCACCCCATCTTCTTTCCATCAATATTCATCTTTCTATCGGGTATATTTCAACTCTCACTTTAATCATTTGCCGGTTCGTCCTTATAGCCCCAACGCATCTACCGCCGGTCCCCAAGTTCCCCCCCCATATCGCCTATTCACCCGCTTCTCAGCCAACTCGCAATAGGTGTGCGGATGGCGGGTTGAAACGGTGTCAACGTCTATCTACTCTAGTCCGACCCCTGACCCGGTAACTTATGGCCAGGCAAAGGCCCGCCAACCGTCAGGACCCTCTCGAGGATTATTCCGTCTCCCCCGCAGGAGCTGCCACCTCTTCTGCCCTGAGGTACTTCCCTTCCAATTCCCTTCGCCTTGACCTCTTCTTCCACCGCCCCCAATTGGTGCTCGTCGTGATTCTGCCTGAGCAATACTCAGGCACCCTTCACAGGGAAGAGAAACGAGTCCATCGTTTATCTTGATTCCTTCGCCTTCATTCCTTACATCCCAGGGTCACACCCCCAAACGTCATTCGGGCTGCGGGGAATATCCATACCTAACCACCAAGCCCTCACTCTTTCCTCCTCTATTAACTTCACACTCCTGCTACACATCCATCTTGTCTATTCAGTACCGTGCTCTTTCCCCCCTCCTCCTTTGTGTTTTCTCTTAAAACCACTATCACGTCAAACAAATAAGTTTCTCATCATGTCTTCCAGAATCACTCGCTCAGCTGCCAGGCTTGCTACAGACCCTCCTTCCACTGAAACCGGTCCACAAAATCCCACTGCTACCCCGGCTTCTCGCAAACGCAAAGTACCGACACGTCGAGATCCACAACTAGACGCCCAAAACTCGCCTACGGCCCCTTCGCCCCCACGACGATCGAAGCGACAGCGAACTGCAGCACCTCAGTCAGCTCCTGCTGTCCCTGCTGCCCCTGCTTCCCGTCGAGGTGCTCGTCGCTCAGTCATGTCACAACCTGGGTGAGTGGATTTGACAGATTACATGCCCAGAAAACTAATATCTTTTACATTTTTAGACCATCTTCTCGTCCATCAGAGGATTCAAAATCCACCACTCCGCCGCCTCCCTCTAGACGGAAATCTAGTCGAAATGGTAGGTTATCGTGCCAAGTTATCAATGAATTCCCTTGTGTTGACATGATATTTCCGTTCAGATCGACTTGCCACAACACAGTCTCCACCGCCACGGCGACAGAAGAAGCGGTCTGCAAAATCAAATCCCGATGTCGTAATGCGAGACGCCGAGGAGGATGTGGAAGAGCAAGATAACAAGGAAGAGCAGGAAGGTTCACCAACAGGCGATAGCAATGACGGAACCAACCCTTCGGCGTTTGACGATGAGGATTTGGATTCATTTCATAGCAGCCTTTTCGGAGGCCGAGGTGCCATGGGCCTACAAAGTACACTTCGTGCTCTTACCGGCATGATGTCCGGAATGTCCTCGCGACTTCGAGACATGCTCTGTAATCTGAGACAGAAGGATAACCCTTCGGTCCAATTGATCGCCCTCCAAGAGCTGTCAGACCTCTTGCTTGTCTCCAACGAAGACAATCTTTCCGGCCAATTTTCTCCTGATCCATATGTGAAGGAACTGGTCACTCTAATGCAGCCAAACCAGTTTGGTGAAGAGAACGCGGAGATTATGCTGCTTGCTTGCCGCTGCCTTGCCAACCTGATGGAGGCCCTTCGAGGATCTGTAGCCAACGTGGTCTATGGAGGTGCTGTCCCAATCTTGTGCCAAAAGCTCTTGGACATTCAGTTTATTGATCTCGCTGAACAAGCGCTCAGCGTATGTTGTTCCTTTTCGTTTATATCTAGTGCATTTCTAGCTCTATATTGTGGATTCGATACTGACGAATCTTTAACTAGACATTGGCGAAAATTTCGGTAGATTTCCCGGCTTCGATCGTGCGAGAGGGGGGTTTGACGGCATGTCTGACATACTTGGACTTCTTCCCCACAAGTACTCAGCGCACCGCCGTTACAACTGCCGCAAATTGTTGCCGCAACCTCCCCCATGACTCTTTCCCTGTAGTGAGGGATGTGATGCCGACTTTGTTGAATGTCCTATCCAGCAATGATCCCAAGGTGGTTGAGCAAGGATGTCTCTGTGTCTCGCGCATCGTAGAAAGTTTCAAGTATCGCCCTCAAAATTTGGAGGAGTTGATTGAGCCTGCCATGCTCAAGGCGGTTCTTCGTCTTTTGCTGCCAGGTACTACCAACCTGATCGGTTCTCACATTCATACTCAATTTCTACGTGTGCTGGCAATTGTCTGCAAGGCCAGCCCTCGTCTGTCCATTGAGCTCCTGAAGATGGACGTTGTCGATACTCTTTACCAGATTTTGACCGGTGTATCACCCCCTGAGGATGTTGACAGCACGGCTGTCAAGATGGACAGCGTTCTTGTTATGCAAGCATTGATCCATCGACCTCGTGAGCAAGTGTTTGAGGCACTCAATGTCATTTGCGAACTACTCCCAGGTGCTCCCAGTCGCGAGGCATCTCGGGCTGATAATTTGCTTAGCTCCTACTTCGACAGCAGTATGTCTATCGGCTTGAAACCAACAAAGGTAAAAGAGAATCCCGCCGAGAGACGGGAATTGCTGGAAGACTGCAAACCAGAACTCAAGCGATTTGCAACCATCCTGTTTCCCACCCTAACCGACGCGTACTCGAGTACAGTCAATCTCCATGTTCGCCAGAAAGTTCTCATTGCGCACTTGAAAATGCTTCATATCCTCGAGCCAAGTTTGATTGAAGATGCTCTGCGTACAGTCCCATATGCTTCATTCCTGGCCTCCATTCTCTCACAAAAGGATCACCCGTCTCTGGTCTCCTTGGCACTTCGATGCGCTGAGCTGTTGTTCCAGCGCCTAGAACATGTCTATCAGCATCAATTCCACCGCGAGGGTGTTATCTCTGAAATTACCAAGCTATCCACGGGAAACCTCTCTACCGATGAAGATGCTCACCAGACCATCAGTGGAAACAAAGGGCCGACCGAAGCATCCTCTGATGTCGATATGGACGCCGATAATGCACCAAACAATAATAATAAGAACGAGGATTCGGACGAGGACCCAGAGAATGAGGATGAAGATGATGCTGATGAAGATAACGATGACCTTTCTGAATCAGAGACATCATCTATCTCTGGTCATCAATCTTTGGCAAAGCTGGACAACGCTCTAAATGACCTTGTCATTCGAGATGCTCAGGCTTTTCTTCAAATCTACGAAGCGGGACATGGAGACTCAGTGCGAAAGGAAGCCCAGAAGATCCTTGATGACCTTCAATCCCTGGCGACTAAGATTCGCGAGTGTTATTCCCCCCATGGGGACAAGAAGGGACTTCCTCTCTTCAAAACTCTGGCTTCTTACTTTGACGGAGATGCGTTGGAGAGCATCACTAGTTCTGAACTTTTGAACTCGGGAATTATCGAGGTTCTTCTTGAAGTCCTGACTGACTTTAAGGCACCGTGTATTAAGTATGCACGATCTGCTTTCTTGCAGGCCTTCATGGGTTCAACAATCTCGGAGAAGGCTCAGAGCCAAAGCACCGCAACCACGCCATTTAGTGTGCTTATTCGGAAGCTTCAAGATCTGCTTAGCCGGACCGAGCATTTTGAGGTACTTACCGTGAGCCATAATTCTCTAGAGAACACTCGCACCAATGCTACATATATGCTTGGAAAACAGCTTAGATTGAAGCTTGTTGCCGAGGATGGAACTGACGTTCCTCGTCCTTACAAAAACCTTATGGTGTCGATTCACGCTATTGCCACATTCAAGGCGCTGGATGATTTCCTCCAGCCGCGAATTGCGGTGTCGGATCGACCGCGACAGTCTCGTACTAGGGATTCGATCCTCTCCCAGATTGCGCAAGCAGCACGCATGCGTGACCAACTCGCCTCAGAAGCCTCACCAAGACATCCATCGGCTGCAAACCGACCTGCTCGCAACGCAGGAGCTACTGGAAATCTGAACGAAGACCATGAAAGCAATGATACTCAGGCGGCTCCAGCCACCCGAAGTCACCAGCACATGCCATTCCAGCAAGAAGACGAAGAGCAAGATGACGAACCCCTGGAGTGTGCCGATGAGAGACAGATCACCGATGATGAAGAGGAAGACGCAGAGGACGCGGAAGAGGATGAGGAGCTCAATGCAATTGTCGATGATCTTGATGATGATCTTGAAGACGATAACGTGCATGATCCGACCGCCGTAAATATGGAGGTCGCCTCCTCCGGCAAGGTCACGGCACGAAAGGAGGACGGTACTCGAGTAGGCACCCCGTCGCACTCAACCCCGTCATCCAAGCCTTCTGCTTCGGCCCCAGGACCTGCACCCACTGCGCAAAGCTCACTGGCCACTGCCGGGCGTCCATTCTCATCCTACGCGGCAGCTATGGCTTCAATCCCTCAGGATTGGCACATTGAATTCTGTGTCGATGGCAAACCAATTCCCAGCGACACTACTGTTTACCGTGCTGTGCACCACAATCGGGAGCACATCAACGAGGCCAAGGTCAAAAATGTCTGGTCTGCTGTTCATACTGTGACGTACAGACGTGTGCCTGGTCCACCGCCGCCAGAGCCGTCTAGTCTTACTGGTTCCGGACAAGAAGCTTTGTCCAGTGCTGATGGCCTTGAAATGCCTTCATCTCTGAGCAAAGACGCCACAACGGCATCGATCCTGCGTCTGCTTCGTGTTTTGCATGAGATGAATGCAACAATCGATGACATATTGATGGATGCTCGGGAACATGCCAACATCACTCCAGAGCCGTTAGCCCAGTTTATCAATACAAAGCTTACTGCCAAAGTGAACCGCCAGTTGGAGGAACCATTGATTGTGGCAAGCAGCTGCCTTCCAAGCTGGAGTGAAGACCTAGCTCGATTATTCTCGTTCCTGTTCCCATTCGAGACCAGGCATCTCTTCTTGCAGTCAACAGCATTCGGCTACTCTCGTGCTATGACCAGGTGGCAAAACTCACAAAGTGCTGAGGATAGTCGGCGTGATATGCGACGTGATGATCGGCCGTTCCTTGGTCGACTGCAGCGTCAAAAGGTGCGTATCTCTCGAGCTCGCATCCTGGAGTCTGCCATGAAGGTCATGGAGCTTTACGGGTCCTCCCCAAGTGTCCTTGAAGTGGAGTATTTTGAAGAAGTTGGAACTGGGCTGGGTCCCACTCTCGAGTTTTACTCCACTGTCTCGAAGGAGTTCTCGAAGAAAAAGCTCAAAATCTGGCGTGAAACCGACGGCACCTCTTCTCCTGATTACGCATTCGGGAAACGCGGTCTTTTCCCGGCTCCAATGAGCGAAGAACAAGCGTCATCGGATGCCGGCAAGAAACAATTGAATATTTTCAAGGTTCTTGGAAAGTTTGTCGCTCGTTCCATGCTTGACTCGAGAATTATCGATGTCTCCTTCAACCCAGCATTCTTCCGCATTGCTGACACACTTTCCTCCGTCGCGCCATCTCTGGGAACAATCAAGGCTGTGGATGAAGGCTTAGCCAAGTCTCTGGGCATGCTCAAGCAGTTTGTCAAAGCCAAGGTCGCAATCCAAGAGGACAGGACCCTTTCCCAGCAAGACAAATCTAAAGCAATTCAGAACATAGTGGTGGATGGTGTCCGGGTCGAGGACTTAAGTCTGGATTTCACCTTGCCCGGTTACCCGTTGATCGACCTAGTCCCAGGTGGTTCCGATATTTCTTTGACTATTGAGAACGTTGACCAATATATCGAACGTGTCATTGATATGACCCTAGGGAGCGGTGTTCGCCATCAAGTCGAGGCTTTCCGTGCTGGGTTCTCTCAAGTCTTCCCATTTACTGCTCTCCGTGCTTTCACCCCCAGTGAACTTGTTATGCTTTTCGGACAAGCCGATGAGGACTGGTCAATTGAGACCCTGATGGACTCCATCAAGGCGGACCATGGATTCAACATGGACAGCAGGAGTGTTCGAAACCTGCTTCAGACCATGAGCGAAATGGATAATCAGCAGCGCCGCGATTTCCTTCAGTTTGTTACTGGTAGCCCCAAACTCCCCATCGGTGGTAAGTGTCTTCTCAGCCCCAGAGTTTGTTGAACAATGCTAATCCATTCTTTACAGGCTTCAAAAGTCTCACCCCCATCTTTACGGTAGTGTGCCGTCCGAGCGAACCCCCATACACACCCGATGATTACTTGCCTAGTGTCATGACCTGCGTGAACTATCTCAAACTCCCGGACTATAGCAGTCTGAAGGACCTGAAGAGCCGACTATCTGTTGCTATCAAGGAAGGCCAAGGCGCCTTCCACTTGTCTTAGATGGTTTCATTTTCTTCATACACCAGCCTTTCTCTCGTGATTCCTGTTCTCTCTGCATTCTATTGACCGGCAGCGCCGGGCAATGCCGGCGCAACCTGCCCCGTCTTTCCCACCAGGAACGGGATTCTTTTAATGATTCGATGACGTCCAACTTGCTGATTTGTCCTTGATCCCCAATTCTCAATCTTTTTTTTTTTTCGGCTGGGCTGATCCTGTCTTTATCTTTTTCATGCCTTTTGAGTTGAGGGGCGTCAAGGTGGATTCCCCTTTCTTACGATACTGATATTAGATAACAATGGATACCGTTTTCTATTTATTTGTCCTCTTCTAGTCTCCAATTCTTCAATAATGGGTTGGAAAATGTCGGTGCGCCTTCGCGAAATTAATTCTATTGGTTAGTCTAGTCTATGTCTATGTCTATGTCTATGTCTATTATGTCTATCAAACGAAACCGCATTATCATGAAGAGAAAAAGAGAACCTCGGGTGAAGACAGTCAGGTGCGGTACACAGACACCATAGACTATGGACTGGTTAGTATTTCAAAGCAACAAATCATGGCAATAAACTCACGTCTGCAAACTTGGGCTCTACAAACAAAGCCTTCGACTCAGCCACCATAACCGCTCCCTCACTATCTTCGCTCAACAAGCTCGTATCAGAGATGAGACCAGGTGCACCATGAGTTAAAGGCAAAGCCAACGGAAGACAGAACATCCGGCCCTCAACCCAAGCCTTCCGTCCCTCAACCTTAGTAGTCTCAGCCCGCAACACATACATGCGATCCGGGATCGCAGGCTTCCTGAAGTCAACATTCAAGTTCGCAGTCATTCCAAGCCCACTAGGAAACGCAGCAGAGACACATCTAGCAAACACCTCATCAAAAAGCACGGATAGCAATCCACCGTGCACAAAGCCAGGATGTCCACACAGATCCCGGCCAATGTGGAATACCGAAACAGCTTTCGTCTGGATCTTCGATTTGCCGCTGCTGGCCGTCTGCGAGGAAGTCCACATATAGGGCATGAGCGCCAGCTTGCCCTGGCCCACTAGACTACCACCCACGAGATGGTGTTGCCGAATCGCAGGCGGGATGGCGAGATGCGGGCGTGACTCCTTGTAGTTCTGTTGGGATTGGCGGAGGGACTGGACGAGAGGCATTTGGGAGATAAGGGCATCAAGGCTTGCGACCTCATTATGTTGCGGGGGAGTGGATTGCGGGACTTGTGTTTGGCTTTGAGGAAGTGCCTGCTCGTGGACCACGGCCGATCGTGAAGGGCCCTGTTGGTGAAGACAGGCGATCCGGCCAGCGGAGATGAACGTTGTTCTGGCGACTGAGAGCGCTGATGGGCGCAAAGCCCATCGTGTAGCGAGCGGGATTGCAGACATTGTGTGATGGTATATAGTGTCTATATGCCTATAGAGAAAAGCCGTTAGATGATGACATAGTCTGTAGTCTGGGCCTTGGACTTACCTCGAATGGCAGTGACGGTTGAGCTAACGCAAAGTATCTGCGGCTAAGTGGAAACCCGGGACTATCTTAATATCGCTTTTATATTAAGACGTTCGTGGTGTTTAGATTCGTGTATATGCAGGTTGTTGAATAGGGTATTTATGAGCAAGGATTAGAGGACAATTAATCAAAAAGGATTGAAGAAATCTTCAAGGTCCAAGTTATCCAATCTAGTTATTTCCTTGGAATGGATCCATTGCCTTCTCTCGCTCTAAATTTTTTTTTTTTCTTTTTTTTTTCCCCAGTTGGACTTACAGTGGGGCCAAAGTACCGATTATCGGAGGGGCCCGAGAGATTGCCCATCGGCATGCCGATTTGCCTTCCATCGGTCCATTTGCATTGTAAATCTATCTTCCACTTGCAGTTGGTCCCAAATGTAAGAAATACTGCCTGTGATCTTAAATATCACTTCAATTTGGAAATGAGAATACTCGGCTGCGCAAGGCTGCTCCATAAGGGGATCGTGATCAATGGGTGTATTTTATATTGAATTGATTTCAAAGGTAGCACTTTTGTACATAATGAATTGTTCTAAAGATATACTCCATTCCTGAGATTGCAATAATAGTATGGATGACAATAGTAAGAGAATTTTGCGTCGCTATGTAACGGGGAGTACACTGTACAGACCGACACCCTCATTGGTATCGAATAGGTCCGCTTGGCATTTAACGTAATGGAAATCAATAACAGCTTAGAAACCCAAAGGATCAAGGTGACCGAGGAAGGATTTGTTGCCTTCACCACGGAGCAGGGCTTCAATATCAACACGACCGGCCGTGAGATAACGCTCGCTAACGCCGATATTGATGCGCTGCGAAAGTAGGCTCTTCAACTCAGCTCGGAGGCCAGCCATTTCACCCTTGGTGATACCACTAGCCTGCTTCTCACGGCGCTCTCGGCCACCACCGCGACCACGACCCCTGCCTTTGGAGTCATCAAAGTCATCGCTGTCATATTCAACGCCGAGATCCTCAGCCGCAGAACGCATCCAGTTGTCCTCTGCAGAAACCTTCTCCTTGGCAAGATTGGACTCAGTAATCTTCTTGGCTAAAGTGACACGTGGTCGTACACGAGCGACGACGCGGCGGTCGATCTCGAGGGACTCCAGAGGTAATTTCTTGGCAGTAGCATTGGGGTTTCGAGCGTGGACCTTGGCAGCGAGGCGAGCCACGCTGACAACCTCATCAGGAGAGCAAATAATGACACTCTTGCCAATGGCACCAGCACGGGCAGTACGGCCAGATCGGTGAACATAGGCATCAGCTGCACGGGGTGCGTGGTAATGCACGACGCAATCAATGCCCTTGATATCGAGACCACGGGCAGCAACATCCGTAGCGACAAGAATAGAGCTTGGGTCTGCGGTTGGCGAGGAGAAGCGCTCGACAGACCGAAGTCGAGCTTTCTGTGCCATGCTAGAATGGAGGGCAAGAGCGGGGAGACCCAATGCTTGCAGCAATTGGGTGACACGACGGACGGCGGAGATCGAGTTGGTAAAGACAAGTGTCCGATGTTTGGGGTAGTAGAGCAAAAGTGCGTAAAGGTAGAGATCCTGTTCTATTGTATCAGTACCGTCTTCGAAAATGAAGGATTTGCATGTTGATTTCTTACCTTCTCCATGGCAGGACATTCAACAATTCCCTCCTTGAGTCCCTCTGCCATCTGCTGAACGGGGTTCACATCAATGAACTTGGGCTTTTCTTCCCGGAAATTGAGCTTCTTAAGCAAATATTCCATTGACTCTTTGTTGTCCATGAGATCTCCTCCAGTCCAACGACTCTTTCCGGCAAGCTTTTGCTGGAGATCACGGTGGAATGTGGCCGAGAAAACAAGAGTCTGACGGGCCTTGAGTTTCTCATCTGTTTCTTCATCCTCTTCTTCGTTTTCTGGGAAGTCATTGTGTTCCTGACGGTCCAGGGCGCCAATGATTTCTTCCACTTCCTTGAAATTTCCTTGACTGAGCAACCGATCCGCTTCATCCACAACAAGGAACCGAATCTTTTGCATCTTGCTGATCAAGCCCGACCCAGTGCTCAGAATCTCCCATATACGGCCTGGTGTACCAACGACAATATCAGCAGTGGCAAGCTGTCTTTGTTGCTTTTGAATAGACAGACCACCCGTCAAAAGGGCAACTCGTGCATTTGTATCTGGTGCATTCTCAATCAAGTTTCCGATGTGCTTGCCTAGTTGAACAGCCAGTTCTCGAGTTGGTGAAAGGATAAGAGCCATGGGGGATGACGGTGGTGTTTTATCGGATTCGATCTTCCTTCCTCTCTTTTCCAAATAATGTTCGAGGATCGGGATACCGAAAGCGAGTGTTTTACCGGAACCAGTTGATGCTTTTCCAATGACGTCGTGGCCATCTATAATACCTGGAATACAAGCCTTTTGGATGGCGCTCGGGGTGCCAAACTTCAACTTGGAGAGACTAGTAAGAATCTCTGGCGACAGGCCAAGATCGTCCCAGCCTGATACATCCACTTCATCATCGCTTTCAACGTCATCGAGGGCTTCAAAGGAAAGAGCGGCTTTGAAGTTGGAATCATGCGCAGGTTTGGCCTGCTTGTTCTTGCCATCTTTTTGTTTGGTGTCTTTCTTTTTAGGTTCTTTGGTCTCCTTGCCCTTAGCCTCCTTGGGCTCCTCAGTTTCCTTGGCTTTGTTGGTATTGTCTGCGTTCTTGGAATCCTTGGCCCCCTTAGTCTCCTTGTTTTTCTTAGACTTCTTATTATCTTCCTTCGGTTCTGAAACTTCGTTGACTTTGGTGGTTGCCTTTTCAGCCGACTCTTCATCGCTGAAACCTGACCACTCTTCGAAAGCAGTCTCTTCGGCAGTCGGTGTTCTCAAGATAGACTTAGCAGTCTTGCCTGGCTTTGCCTGTCGCCGGATTCGATTAGTACGCAGGTAAAAGGCTAGTCAATACCTAGTGGACATTTCATACCTTGAATTGAACAACGCCATTTTCAGATGCACGAATGACATCCACACCATCGATCTCCTCTAGCCCGAAGAAGCCTTCCGCATCTTCCATTCGATCGGGCATAGCTACCTCTTTCCAGTTGAGATCATCAACGCCAATCGCACCATCCCAAGAATCATCTTCGGCTGTTGCGACCTTGGCGCCCTTCTTGCGCTTTTTGGCCTCAACAGCCTGTGGCTTGGAATCGCGTCCTCGTTTCTGACCCATAGTGATAGGTGAACCTGCTCAAAAACACACAGGTTTGCGAGCTCGAACAAGGTTCGCAGAATGGCCGATGTAAAGGCTTGCGCAGCGAAAAAAAAGCGGCAGAAAGAGTCCGCCTTGAAATCTTATCGCTTGGCTCCCCACGTTGGAATTTCCGCCGCGACAAAAACCTCAATTTCAAGACAATCGCTGCCTATCTTCAAGATGGGTAAGTCGTCCAAGGACAAGCGCGATGCGTACTACCGTCTTGCTAAGGAGCAGAATTGGCGCGCCCGGTCCGCCTTCAAATTGATCCAAATCGACGAACAATTCGACCTTTTCGAGCACGAGAACCCGGAGAAAGTGACAAGAGTGGTGGACCTTTGTGCTGCGCCAGGAAGTTGGAGTCAAGTCCTCAGTCGAGTCTTAATCAAAGGCGAGAGTTTCGGCCGGAGGGCATGGCTTGAAAAGAAGCGGAAGGAGCAGCAGGCCTTGGAGAGGGGCTCTGGTCAGCCTGCAACCGACAAGGATGCCGACGATTACTATGAAATTGGAGAGGCCGATCCTAGCGCGGAATTGAAGCCCCGAAAGAACGTGAAAATCGTGTCGATCGACTTGCAACCTATGGCCCCGCTCGAGGGCATTACCACTCTCAAAGCTGATATTACACACCCCTCCACCATCCCTCTGCTTCTGCGCGCATTGGACCCCGAAGCTTATGAGTCCTCGTCAACCACCTCCGATTCACCATCAAATACCCCTGCGCCTATGCGGCAACCACACCCAGTCGATCTAGTCATTTCCGACGGTGCGCCAGATGTCACCGGTCTTCACGATCTCGACATTTACATTCAATCCCAACTTCTTTATGCAGCTCTCAACCTTGCTATGGGTGTCCTTCGTCCAGGCGGTAAATTCGTCGCCAAGATCTTCCGTGCTCGTGACGTTGACCTTCTCTACGCCCAGCTGCGCACCGTCTTTGAGCGTGTCAGCGTTGCCAAGCCTCGGAGTAGTCGTGCTAGCAGTTTAGAAGCATTTGTTGTCTGCGAGGGTTTCATCCCGCCTGCCAATAGTGACGGAGTCATTGGAATGGCGGCATTGAAGAACCCTCTTTTCGGCGGTGCTGCGGCACCAAGACCCGTTTCAGAGGACGGCGACCTTGCTGTTGAGGTGCCCGACGAAGACGAGAACGTTCAGTCCCATACAGCCCTGGGGAAAGCCTCATCGGATGACGACAAGATGTCTGCTCCAAATCATGCAACACAAACCAACTTCCTGCACCCCAATTCCACGCCGATGGATCCCCCATCAACACAGAAGCCGCCCTCTAAGTTCGCTGAGGAAAACCGGTGGATTCCTTCGTTCATTGCTTGTGGTGATCTCTCTGCTTGGGATTCCGATGCATCCTATGCTCTTCCCCCGGACTACGTCCATCTGGACCCTGTTCAACCCCCGACTGCGCCACCGTACCGCAAGGCTTTGGAGTTGAGGAAGAAACTCGGTGGTGCTTATGGCAAGACTAAATATTTCAAGCTAAACAAGGCAGCCCAAGCATGATCTGTCTCACAGATGTGCTTAAAGATATGATCAATGGACTTAACGGATAGATGACCGATTATGATGTACAGGTAGATGGTACGATGTTAAATAGACAGGGTCGAATGTGTGAAACTTCGGGAGGCCTAGTTGTTAGAGTCGATACCCATATACAGGCGGTCTTTAGACGACCAAAATACCAAAAGAATATACTACCTACAATCAGTACGTTAATGGTCATAAACTGATAGATGCATTTTTGAAATCTATATGCAAATAGCGCTAGGCCAAATTAAGGCGGTCTAAAGTGGGGGAATAGACAAAAAAAAAAAAAAAAGAAATGCCAGTCGTGAGATCGTGCCAAGCCACCGCTCAACCCTAGTACACCTCCAAAACATAGCGCTCCTCATCCTTAAGCTTCTCAATCTCCTTGCGAGTCTCAACCTTCTTGCCATTAGCCTTGGCCTCAGCTCCAATGGCCTCCTCAAGGACAGCAGTCACGTCAGGCACGGGCCAAGTGGGACCACACAGGTAGAAAGCACCCTCCTCCTGAATGTAAGCCTTACGGATCTCAGCCAGGCTCTCGCGCATGCGGTCCTGAATGTAGATCTTCTGGGGCTGGTCACGGGAGAAGGCAGCGCCAAGAAGGGTGATGACACCGGCTTCCTGGTAGGCCTCCCACTCCTCACCATAGCAGTACTCCTCGCGCTGGTGACGGGATCCCATGTACAGAAGAACGGCACCAATCTCCTTGCCCTGGGCCTTCTCAAGAGCGCGGTGCTGGACGAAAGCACGGAAAGGTGCGAGACCAGTACCCAGACCAGCCATGATGAGGGGCTGGGTGGACTTAGGGGGCAGCTTCATCACACTGGACTTGACGCTGACGGTGATGGGCGAACCGACCTTTAGGCTGCTCAGGTAGCGGGTTGCAAGACCGAAGCGATCCTTGCCGTTGGGGCCAACCCAGTTGACGGCGACGATCATCAGAGCGACGGTGTCGGGGGTCACCTTCTGGCACGAGGCAATGGAGTACTCGCGACGCTTGAGGGGACCGACAATGCGGACAATCTCGTGGAAGTCAGGGTGAGCAGATGGGTACTCAAGGAGGATATCGGCGAAGGTGACGGTGTCAACCTCGGCACGACGCTTGAACTCGGTGGCACCGTCGGGGCCGCCCAGGGTCTTCAGGTCGGTCTTCTCCTTCTCGTCGGAGGCGAACTCAGCCAGAGCCTCGTAGAAGCGCTTAGGTGGGCGACCGAAGATATCAACGTTTTGAACAAGGGCCTGGTACACAGTGCGGTTCTCGAATACGTTCGGGTCCTCGCGGCTGGGTACCTCAACGATGGAATCGGGGTCCAATCCATAGAAGGAAATGAAGTCGGTGACATCCTTGGGGTCGTTCTCAGCGTGGACACCGAGGGCCTCACCGATGTCGTAAGTGAGACCAGTGTTGCCAAGATCGAACTCAATGTGGAAAATATTACGATCATAGGTGACGGGAGTCAGACGGCGGTTCTCCTTAACGTGAACAGTGAAAGTCTTGGTGGCCAAGTCAGGACGGAGAGCATTTCTGGTGCCAAAGGCCTCCTTAAATGCCAGACCCTTGGCAGCGGTCTGCCAGTTCCGAAGGAGAACGGGAGCCTCAGCTTCCTCCTTGTCGAAGGAAACGAAGCTGTTGGCAGAGATGTCCTTGGGAAGCTCAATCGCCTCTGTGACGCCTTCGGGCTCCTTCCAGGCCTCAGGGATCTCAATCTGGCGAAGGGCCTTGTCAAGATCCTTGCTGACGGTATCCAGGGCCTCGGCAGTTCCGATGATAGAAGCCAGCTTCTTGGTGGCCAGGCCTTCCTGGGAAGGAAGAGCGACCCGGAGGAAGGCAGCCTGGAGAATAAGAGCATCGAGAGAGTCACCCTCAATGGCCGAGGAATCGATGACGAAGAGCGAGATGCCGCGCTGAACGATAGCCTGCTTGAAGGCAGCAGGCAGCTTCTTTTCGAGATCCTCATCCTTGACGCCGGGGGCGCTCACGATGACCTTAGCATTGTCCTTGACAGATGCAAGAACATCGACGTCGTTAAGCAGTGCAACGTTTCCAACGTATGAAACATCGGCAGCGATGACGGAGTAGGGCGCATCAACAATCTTGGCACTCTTGCGGATATCAACGCGGATGGCACCGCCCTGGACCAGGTTGTCGTGAGTCTTGCTGGTGGTGACGTTGCTTGCGGAATCGGCAGCGAGGGCCTGACTCAAGGTGGCGGTGGCCGACTCAGCAACAGAGTTGTCGACATCCCAGAAGGTGTACTCCTGAACTGTGGAGTCCAGCAACTGCAGCGGAGCGGCCTCATCGGTCACGCTGTCAACAAAGAGAATTGGGGTGTCGAAGATGCGCTGGAACGCAGCAGCAGTGGTGATCTGGTTCCAGGTCTGAGAGCGAGGGTACTTCAGCTCAACGCAAGCAGGAGAGTGCTCACGGCCAGTGGCAAAGGTCAAAGAGGCCAGCACGTCCTCATACAGGGCAGAGTGGACACTCTCCTCCTGAACAGCCTGCTCATCAGCAACCTGTCCAAGGACGCCAACAGTCTTGACAGACTGAGGCAGGACACGCAGGAACTCTTCCTCGATGAAGGGACGGTAGACGCGGACGTTAACCACACCAATCTTGACACCACTCTTGGCGAGGGAGCGAGCAACCTGTGCCGCAAGAGCTGCCTCAACAGTTCCAAATACGACCAAAACAGAGGTGGGCTCCGAGTGTCCATGGTACTCAAAGGCACTGTAGTCGGTTCCGAGCTCGCCGTTCAAGGTCTTGAGCAGATCCAAAACCTTACCCTGGGCATCAAGGTGACGGTTGCGAGAATCATCAAGAGTTTTGCGAACGGTCTCATAGGTGCGGGCCAGGCCATCCTTGTCAAGGACATCAATGACGCGAGTGGTCTCGCGGCCAACGCGGACACCGTCATAGATGTGGATAGAGGGCAGAACAGAGGCCAGCAGAGTGGTGAACAAAGCCATGTGCTGGGATTCGTGGGCAGAGGCGCTGGACACAAGACCAAGACCGAGGTCCTCAGCCAGAGAAAGGGCAGAGGCATAGTCAGAGACAAGTCCGTCCTCTCCAGCATAGTCGGCAGCTGCGACGTGGGCCGCCACCGGGCTCGCCACAGAGTACAGCAGAGACAGCTGCTCAAGAGCAGAGCGCATGTAAGGAAGGGTAGCAGAAGAAGCGACAATCCCCTGAGGAACATGGCGCTTCTTCAGATCAAAGTCCTGGGAGAAGAGGTAACCAAGGGCCATGTTTCCGGCACCCTGGCGGGTCTCCAGGGACTTGACCACAGGAGACTCTCCGTTGGCATTGGTCTCTTGTGCCGCAGACCATTGCTGAAGAGCAGTATCGAGGTCGAAGGTCTCGGGGGAGTATGAGAAGATCTTGTCACTGAGCAGGTATGCAACCTGCTGAATCAGGGTCTGAGCAGTGACATATGTCGGGCCCGCGAGGGCAGAAAGGGCAGGGTTTGTAGCACCCATTGTGATTTTGACTCTTGTCTAGATACCGGGATATACACGCCGATATCACAAATGAATGACAAGAAAGAAATCACCCCAAATAAGTGAAATGTGGAGAGAAGGAGGGGGACATTCTCGACCGAATGCCCGCTGGTATAGAAAAGCCCAGGGCAACCTGCCTTATCAGGAATAGTGTCAATCACGCAATCACGCAATTTTCTTATCGATAAGCAACTCGGGCGGCCTCCGATGGCAAAAACACAAAAAAGTCAGCAGTAAGTTCCGCTTTAAGCGGCTGATTCAGCAATTTGGCCACCTCCGCTCTAGATGCCTGAGGCGGTAGTCCTCTGCCCAGAGAACAACCGACTAACCATTAGGAACTTCGGCGCCTTCAAATTTGCCCACTTGCTAGACATTCAGGTAGCTAGTTATGAAATAATATAATTATTAGGAGGTATTTCATAAGGAAGTCATGACTTGTTCATTACAATCTTTAAAAACATAATCATCCAAATTGTCATCAACGCTTTCAAGGGTGGCAATCTAGGTATATCATCGACATAAACTTTTGACTTTTTCAGCACTTCCAAACTTTCTCCCATCTTTTCCTTGGGTTCTTTCTCTATCCACGAGTACGGAAACCCGCTTATGGAACTCTTTGAAGGGATTTGAATCCTCTTCAGCTCGTTGGTAAATATATTCACGCCGCAATATCATCCTCTGTCGGTTGACGTCCCGACATGAAGAAGTAATAGGTCAACAAGCCAATAATCAAGCAAAGTGTACCTAAAGTGGAAACATATGAGTCAAGGCGTTTGAAAACAATGCAGTCCATTGACTTACCTAAAGTTATACTCATAGCACCGAAATCAACATTCTCTGTTATGAATCCTGCCAATAGCGGCCCTAGCATCAGCCCAAGGTTGAATGAAATCTCAGTCATTGCAAAAACCCTCGAACGTCCACCATGAGCACCAAATATACCAGGTCGCTTTGCCTGAAACTCATCCAAGACCACTAGTTTCCCAAATATCGTTAGTGTTTCAGCGGAGAGGGTGGCGGGGGGGGGGGGTTATCATTTACTCAGCGCATGCAACATCCCCGAGCCCTGGATCAAGGGCAGCATCATTCCAATTCCAATCACCGTGAAAACAAAAATAGGTTTACCCTTGTCTTCCCCACTAGCCCAAGACAGGCCATTGCCAGGAACACCCATGATCATAAACAAAGGGCCTAGGAGAACCCAGCCGATCGTAGTAGGGTAACGCAGACCGACAACGTCTCGGAGCCAGCCCGACAAAGGACCGAGGACAATAGCGGGAATACGAAGTAATAGAAACATTGTCCCCACATCTAAGGGCCCCCATCCAAAGATCTGGCGAAGGTGGACCGGCAAGGTGGTGTTCAACCCAGCGATGAGCACAGAGCTGATGAAGACGTTTGCGAAACTGACTAAAACGCGAGGATCTGAGGCCATTGTATAGTAGAAATTGGCTGGCGGGAGTGTCGGCTGGATATCACCGTCCTTCGAGTCAGTCTGCACAATCGGCGAAAGAAGTGGAGAGACCTCGGAGTTATTGATCTCTTCTGCAATGGTAGTATCAGCATTGGCAGACAGTCTCGATTCCTCGGACGAATCGGCAGACTGCTCTGAGGGTTCAATCAAAATCAACCAAAACAAAATATTGAAGGCCAGAACCCCTATCGGCAGGTACCAAGCAGGCCAGTACCCAGCCAACTCTAGTAAGGTCCCTGAAAGCACTGGCCCTCCAACGGTGCCAGTCATGACGACGGACATGCTTACTCCCATCATCTTCCCGACATTTCCCTCGCCGGCATTTTCGGTCAAAATGGCTAGACACACGATCCATGCTGCCGCTCCCGCGACACCTTGGATAACTCGGCCTAGGGTAAGAGCCCAGTCTAAAATACAATGATTAGAGATGATGTTGTCAAGGAAAGAGAGACAGGGCAGGAACATACAACTCGGTGTAGCAGCAACAAGAATAGTTCCAGCAAAGGCGACCGTGAGAGAAACCAGGAGTGGAGATCTTCGGTTGGATGTTTTATCGATGAAGTGTGCAAGAATCGGAGCACATAGTACTGTCGCGAAGCCGTGAATTCCAAGCAACCAAGCAGTTAATTGCTGCGTCTGGGCAGGGTCTTGTCCCAAACGAACTTCGAGCATATAAGGCAAGATCGGGACCACAAAGCCATAGAGTAACACCTCTGGATCAGGAAGTTAGGATCCACGTAATTCACTTGCACGGGAAAGGGAAGTTAAATACCGGTCAGCAAAGCCAAACACGCTGTCCCTATTATCAACGACCGGGACGAGCGCCATCGATAGCCAAGGACAGGGCTCTCAGGAGTCGCCATCTTGGTACTCAAAGGAAGAAGAAGAAAAAGACACGTAAAAAAGGAAAATAAGCGCAGTGAGTCATCTAGGGCGAAGAATCAAATTTGTTATCAAAGTAGCATCGCCCCTCACGAGGCTAATGCGGAGCACAGCCTTTGGGCTTGTTCATTTCACATGATTGGACCTCCGGATCCACCCAATTTATCTATGTCGATAAAGAGATGAAAAACGTAACTTGATGGGAAGAAGCATTTCGGTAGGAAGTTCCACCCACAAAAGCGAAAAGGGAGAAAGAAATAAAAGAAAAACCTTCAGAGCTCAAGTTGTGCTAGTGCAGTACATGCCAGCGATGAGCGTTCCACTTACATGACCAACCCATAGTGTTACGAGCTTAAATGTCAGATCAAAGATCTCCTAGCTTCGGTCTCCAGGTAAAATAAAGTCTAAATGTACAGGGAGCTAACTGAATGCGTATACTAAGCTCGCACAGGTTTCATAACTAACTCAACTAGTTCTGCATGACTCAGCACCCATGTGATGTCACTCGGTTGTGCAGCACCGAGCCTCGGTCGGAACCATGAATTGCGGAGAAGCGGAGTCTACCCCAGACCTATGTAAACAACCTTGTATCGCATTGTTCTCCGGCGTTTGCCTGAAATCAAATACTCGAAAATTACATATTAGAATCTCAAAATATGGCAACAAACTCTGTTAACCCTATCCCTTTCTCGGAGCCGCCCTACTTGCGCGGCCTGCCCTCCCCTTACATTACTGATGCCCACCGTCGCTTTCAGCAAGCATGTCGCAAATTCGCTTGGGAGCATCTACTTCAGCATGCGATGGAATGGGAGAGGGAAGGCACTGTGCCAGAGCACGTCTTCCACACATTTTGCAAGCATAACATGCTGTTGCCAAACATGCCCGCTCCCCTTCCCGTGGACTGGCTGAAGCGCCTTGGCATAAACGATATTCTCGGTGTCAAGGTCGAGGATTGGGACTATATTTACACTGGAATTTATGCTGATGAGGTGAGTAACGAGAGCCCACAGAAAACACCATACCAATGAATTATCCATAGCTGGCTCGATCAGGTCTGAGTGGCCCCGGAGGCTCTCTGAACGCTGGCTTTGCCTTTGGAATCCCACCTATTGTCAAATTCGGCAGCAAAGAACTGCAAGAGCGATTTCTCCCCGACCTTCTCACCGGAAAAAAGCGTGCTTGTATCGCTATCACGGAGCCCGAGGCTGGTAGCGATGTTGCGAACATAGTTACCACTGCCGTCAAGAGTGATGACGGCAAACACTATATTGTGAATGGAACCAAGAAATGGTAATTACTCTATCCCTACTCTGCCTTTCATGAAGATTTCTAACTTGCCAATCGCCAGGATCACCAACGGCATCTGGTCAGACTATGCAACCATGGCTGTCCGCACTGGTGGATCCGGTCCTACCGGACTGTCAGTCATGATTGTGCCCCTGAAGAACCATCCAGGTGTCACAATGCGCCGCCTGAAGGTCTCTGGCCAGAAAGCCGGTGGAACCACATACATCGAGCTCGACGATGTCAAGGTTCCAGTCTCCAACCTAATTGGCAAGGAAGGCGAGGGCATGCGCATCATCATGACCAACTTCAACCACGAGCGCTTGATCATTTCCGTCGGTGTCACTCGCCAGGCGCGTGTGGCTTTGTCTGCAGCATTTTCTTACTGCCTCAAACGGGAAGCCTTTGGAAAGACTCTTATGGATCAGCCTGTCGTCAGACATCGACTCGCCAAGGCCGGCGCTGAGCTCGAGACAATGTGGGCTTGGGTCGAGCAGATCCTTTATCAGCTGTGTCATCTTAGCAAGGAAGAGGGTGATCGCCAATTGGGCGGACTCACGGCTTTGGCTAAGGCCAAGTCTGCAATGGTGCTTAATGAGTGTGCACAGGTTGCCGTATTACTGTTTGGTGGAAACGGGTTTACTCAAACTGGCCAGGGAGAACTTGCAGAGGGTAAGCTTGGATTTTCGTATGGACTATTTTCTTTTCGTTTGAGACTAACTTTGTTTCTCTAATAGCTATTTACCGTGATGTTCCCGGTGCTCGTATTCCTGGTGGTTCGGAGGATGTTCTCCTTGACTTGTCTGTCCGTCAATTGGTCAAGATCTATCAAGCCCAGGAGAAGAAGCTTTCCCAAAGCTCAAAAATCTAGATGTACAAATTGTGGCTGTTTGGTTTAGCCAGCCAGCAGATTTCTCGGTAGCCATTATCCACACCCCCCTTTTTACTGGCTTTCTGTTGAATTGCATTGCTGTAGTCAAAAAAGGCCGCTGCACCCCACCTGGCCTTCCTGAACCTTCTCCTCGAGATCCCTCTCGAGGGTTGGCAAGCAGACATGATACAATGAGGAAATGCGGGTCGCATTGGGCAAAAAAGTATCATAGCACTCACCTGTAGCCATCGACCACCTATTAAACGCACACTCGTGGATATGTATCTCTTAACTCCCACCTCTCTCTCTCCCCTCAAGTCCTGTACTGCTAGAGCGATTGTCTCTTAACAAAATCCGAGAGGGAATGGTAGGCTTAAGAAAAGATACTGTAAGGGCAGCGTTGAAGATGAAGAGGGGCTAATATCAGGTTCGTGGAAAACAAGAAGTACAATATGGACTCAGAAAGCACCCGAGGGTGTGCGTTGTGATCATGATTTTCCGCCTCGTTCCTCTCGAAACGGTGGTACATTTGGCACAACAGCGCATTCATCACTGTCCAAAAAAGAGCTAATCACTCGGAGTGCAAAGAACATGATGGGGAGAAGAGAAAGGAGAGACTTGGTCAGAGTGTAATAAGTTAGTAACATGTGCATCCCGTTTAGGTCTAGTCCCTGCACGCTAGGGGAGATCAGTCATCTACCTTCAGTCGTCCCCATAACTTATAGATTAGTACATTAGTACAGTAGACTGCGAAGTAAGTAAATATATTCATGGATCCTATCTCTGCCCCTAGGTAACTGCCTACCTAGTCTTCTGTGAAATCAATCCTTGGGAGGTAGCTTAACTCTTAATCTTCTTTGGTTCAGCTCTAGACCCCGGAGATCTAGGAGCCGAACTTCCAAGCTTGCATCTTTCGACACACGATATATACCACAACGGCGACTTCTAGATTCTAAGTATATCGACGAGCACTCGTTCCGAGGATGATTTTCTTTTCTCTAGAATCGCACAAGAGCCACCGGCTGTCATACCCCCGAACAACACAAATATGCTTGCTGGGTAGGCACATTACCCGATCGGGATTAGCTCCATAATGACGAAATGGCAAAGTGCCACGAGCTGTGCTTCAAGTCATACAAACCCCCAGACCTGAACTATAAAGCAAGCATGGCGAACGCAGCATTAATCGGATGTACGGGCATGGTGGTAAGTTCTTTATCCCGCCCCCAGAAATCACAGGGATCCTCGAAGTCGCACGTAAACCCCACTCACCACCCTCCTTGTGCAGGGCTCCCACATCCTCACCAGCCTTATCTCCAGCCCCGCCGTCAGCCGTATCGACACGATCTCCCGTCGCACCCCAGCAGCAGCCTCCAACGCGCCCGCAAAGCTCACCACATTCGTCTCCGACGATAGCTCAAAGTGGTCCGCCCAACTCTCAAACCTCACCCCGACACCCGACATCTTCCTCTCGGCCTTTGGCACTACCAAAGCGGCAGCAGGCGGCTTCGAGAATCAGTACAAAATCGAGCACGGACTTAACGTTGAGTTGGCGCGCGCAGCCCACGATGCCGGCGTTAAGGTTTTTGTGCTGATTTCCAGCGTTGGCGCGAGCAAGACCTCTTCGTTCCCGTATTCGCGGATGAAGGCTGATATTGAGGAAGATATTAAGGCTCTTGGGTTTGAGCGTATGGTTATTTTGCGACCTGGGTTGATTGCTGGGACGAGAGAGGAGAGTCGGCCTGCTGAAGCTGCTATTCGGTTTGTCGCTGGGTGGGCTGGAAAACTTCATTCGAGTTTGAAGGATTCTTGGGCTCAGGAGGCGGATGTTATTGGCCAGGCTGCTGTTAAGGCTGGATTAAAGGCCCTGAAGGGGGATGTTCCTGCTGGTTCTGAGAAGGTTTGGTTGATTGAGGGCAAGTCCATTATTGACATTGCTAAGGAGTGATTGACTGCTCTGTGGATGATCATTGTTTGATACGGCTTTTATTTTCCTCTTTTTTTGGTTTGTATGCACGATCGGCATGCCTTATGTCTATTCCCCCGATATTTTACTTGGTTTCTACTTACAGGGGAGCTGTGTTGAAAACCACAGTGACCATTTAGTACCTATGCACGTCTTATGTAGAATCAATATATCTTCTCTCAATAATTCAACATATCAAAGAACTTCAGTACACGTTCGACAATAGTGCTACTCAGTTATTCTCTGACAGTCCGACCATTTCCAATGAGTCTTTCCAGATTCTAGCCTCATTCTCGGGATTGTAGGTGCAGCTCGAAGTCATCCCTAGTGCATAATTACCATCATCCTCACCACGCTTAGCAACCGCACAATCACTAAGGTACAGACCACCCTTGCCTTCCAGTTCCATAGAAACCGCAGCCCACACAGTAGTAGCAGCTCCCTGTTCCACACTTTTCTGCATCTTGAGTATAAACTCATTCTGTAGCATCGCATCGAGCTCTTGCTTGGGCAAATGCTGCGCCAAGCCCGTGGCAATAAGACCAGGATGCAGACTGGTGGCATGCAGACCACTCGAACCAAATCGACGCTCGATCTCATTGGCCATGTAGATATTTGCTAGCTTTGACTGGCCATAAGCTCCCCAGGGGCTATAACCACCCTTCTGGAAATGATAGTTGTCCGACTCGTTAAGAGTGGCGACTCGATGCGCAGCAGCAGATACCACAACGACTCTAGACTGGAAACCTGCCGATGAACCAGCTAGAAGGGCGGGTTTGAGTAGATTGAAGAAAAGAAAATGGGACAGATGATTGGTTGTGAACTGCAGCTCATAGCTATCCTCTGTCAGCTGGCGGTCCTGGACGGCCATGATGGCAGCGTTGGCGACAAGAATCGTAATTTGATCTGTCTTGGAGAGAATTGCGGCGGCAGCAGCTCGGACACTCTCGAAGGATGTCTGGTCCATGTGGATGAGCTCCATCTTTGTGGCATCGAAGATGCCTCCCAGGGCTGTTTTTGCTTTGACTAGGTCCCGGGCTGTCAGGAATAGTCGTGCTCCTGTGGTTGCGAGGGTGCGCACGGTTTCGATGCCGATGCCAGAGGAGACTCCGGTGATGACAATGACCTTGTCGGCCAATTTTCCTTCCATTCCCTCGTCATTGACGATTTGCATTGCTGTGGGTCTGGCATCACCCTGGCCTTGGGGATTGGCATGAGCTGCGGCGTAGCGAGACATTGTATATAGACGAATATTTAGAATTGTGTTTGAATGTGAGAGTGCAATGAATTGCTTGGATACTGCTTTTCAACGTGAAAAGGCATCCTTTTATATCTTCCTCTCGCTATACTTCTCCAGTACGGCTGACGCTTTTGTCCATTTTGGGTTAGTTCAGTGGAGAACCCCGTGGCTGACCTTTTTTCCCTATTACGGACTAGAGCCACCTACTTCTGCTTATGCTGCTGCTTCTCCTAGAAATCATTCAACCTACTTCTATTATTACCGCAAATCATATGTTTCTCGGCATGCAGAGCACAGTGGATCAGAGTCATGCTCAAGCAGAAGAGAGAAAGCTACGGAAGAAACTCCAGAACAGATTGAACCAAAGAGCGCGCAGTGGGTCCTATAGAACCCTTCCGTTTAGATAAAGCAATAACAATACTGCAGGAAATCGTCTTCAAGAGGAAAATCACCAACATGGGTCTCTCCAGAAGCATGACTACCAAGTCCGCCGCTGGAGGATTGACTCCGACGAGCCGTACCAGACTCATAGAAAAGAAGGAACCGATGAAGCCCATTGCTCCTATCTCATCCCATCCGTCCAAGAAGAGCAAAACAACTCCACCTCGGATCCATACTCAGATTTTGGTCCAGACTTCCCGTCAGCACCGGTCTCGGCCCCTATAATCCTCCCGTCGGTATCGGTCCAATTCTTCGGACCCAACATCTCTCCATTCGCCGATCAAGTCCTACACCTAATACACTATAACGCTTTCCGCGGCTTCTACAGAAACAAAATTCTCCTAGGCCGTACAGCTATGTCATTAAGTCCAGGTCGCAAACCGGTGTCGTTTGATGAAGCGTTCCCTTCATTCTCGGTCGTGGTGCCCAGAGCTCTAGATATCGTTGTTCCAGGAAATCTTACGCCAACGCAATCGCAGATGAGTCTTATTCATTCCACATGGATTAATAGCCTCCCATTCCCTGCGATGCGAGACAATCTTATAAAATGGGAAGGGTCGTTTAATCATGCGGAGTTTGCAAAGGATGTTATGGGTAATGTCATAGATTCAATTTTGTTTCCGCAGCCCGAGGGTTCGTCTGTGACTGGTTTGATGGTTGATAATCAGGGTATTGAGGAACTTGAGGATGATGATGAAGTCACTGCAAATCAAAGTGGTCTTATTGTTTGGGGGGAGCCGGATAGGATGGATAGTTGGGAGGTTACGCCGGGGTTTTTGAGGAAATATGCGTGGGCTATGACGGGTTGTGATGGGTTGATAGAGTCAAGTAATAAGTGGAGGAGGATTAGAGGGGAGGAAGAGTTGCACTTTTCTGTACCTTGGAAGTTATAGAGTGCACCTTTGTTTCATTTCTATGGGATTTCTTCTACTTGGATTTCCTTTGTTTTATGCATTCCGCTGCTGCAGTGCCAATGTACATCATGCTCAATCAAGTTTTCCAATGCTTAAATAATTGAATAAATCCATTCTTTACATGATGGATTGGTTGTGGGAAATACTCCCTAGTGGAGAAAAGGATTGTCCTTCATGGGGACCTGAGTAGTAGACGAATAGAGTTGGATGCTCCCTATTCTATAAATGAATAGGCTGTAGACCACCAGGGCTCACCATCAAGCTTCAGTAAACCTGGCAATACTTCAGTCTTTATAAGAGACGTGAGTGCCATCCTCCTTCACATGTATCGACCGGTTCTTCTTCGATGATCCTCGCCCGCTTATATTCGGTTTTTCGACATTCCGATCAGGTCCCCCCTCTTTCGAATCTCGCCACGCACTGACATCGGAATTGGCAGCGCTCATGTTCAAAGGGTTGCGATCCTGGCCCTCCTCATGCTTTTCCTTCCCTGCAGCCTCCATCTCGCTTTCCGGCGCAGTATTGTGCGGATCATACGCCGTCGGATGTTGGGCTACCTCACTATCGGTCCCGGACTTGGTGCCCTCTGTTCGCTCGGGGTTCAGCGTCTCACGGTCTTTGAGATTTGAATTGTCGGCATCTTTCTGAGGTCGCGATGAGGTGCTAAATGGGAGTTTCATTGCTGGACCTAGGGGCGGTGTCCAGAGGCTGGGCGGTTGGTGGCAAATGCGCCTAGTGGCCTGCTGGCCGCTGGTGATGAGGCTCTTCCACATTGAATAGATGGATGTAGGATATGTTGAGTTTCGGGCTTGTGGGTTGCAACTTGCGAGGCAAATTCGGAGATGTGGAAGAGTGAAATGGAGTAAAATCAAAAAGATGCAATTATTCACCAAAGCAAGATTATGTACTCCGGAACTGCCCTGCCAATCTTCGTGGTGCCCTGTTCGGATGCCAAAGAATCATGTTGACGTCACCACTAGCCACTAACCAGATTTGGTAATGAGCTTTGCAATATATACTGTACAACTAAGTATTGATCTAAGTATTAATTTCAAAGTGCAGATTCAATCAAAAATGTGACCTGTTCAATATGCATGTTAGATTATGTTAAATTTCGATCCGGGGACTGGGTCAGAGCGAGTCACTGCCACGTCAACAAGCGGAACACGAGGATCGACATCTGATCTCAATAATGGTTTACAAAAGCATTATCTTGATTGTGTCCCAGTGTAGGGATAATTAACTTCAAACTATAGCACGCCAGGAATCGCCATGGGTGGTGAACTCAATTGCACGGGATGGATGCCGAGAACTTGGATGAGTATGCCTGACCGGTCTCTTGCCGGTGATATATGGGTGCCTAATTAAGCCTGGGCACGAGAAGATGACCTAAAGATCGGCATGCTTCAGCCGAAATTGGCAGAAGTACTGAATATGCAGATCCTGTGCCAAGTTAGACATGTGCCAAAATGGTATGCGGGATCCAGTCTGCCGGGGTGGAGAGGATGGCACCCGGGGGAATGCAGATGTGAGGGACCGCGGCGAGAAGGATCCTAATCGGCCAATGGGCCGTCAGGGCTTACCCAGACTCGGCGTAAGAATCCATGATATGCACCATTCGCAATGGGTACATCAAGGTGGGGAATTATTTGTTAGCTGCAGATGACCGGCATCCTAGATAGGGCCTGTCATTGGCCGCCAGGTTCGGCTGCAAGTGAGAAAGCCATGTCCGGTCGTCCAATCTGATTGCGCTGACCTGCTTTCAAGGCAGTTGCCTTTTTGCTCTGGAATCCCGAAGCTTCTACGGCCGGCCACCATTTGTCACCTGGCAGTAGAAGCATGCGCGTAGGTGGTGCGGGAGCCTCCGTTCACTTTAAGATCACGGGATCAGAGGAGCCCAGCAGTGTGGGAGCATGTATGCGGGTCCGAGAATCCAATTTCAACGTTGTAGCATGGATGGCCGAAGACAATGGCGCATAAAATCAGTCAACGATAGTGCTAATCCGATCTTGATTTCTCTGGAAATTCCTCCGGTAACTTCGCTTGTTGGGCAGAAATCATTTTTACGCTTTTTCCACTAGTTTTGGCTCTGATCCTTGCCAGAGGCAGGTCCCGGACCGCGCAAGACAATCCCAAGAAAAACCATTTCGGTAGTGATACGGGGCGTAGGGGAAAAGCAGGGGGGGGCTTGAGAAGCTGATTCGAGTATTTTCGGGCTGATGCAACCAATTCATTGCAGAAATTGAATCAGTGCTTCCCAAGGCTGTGCCCGCGGAGGCTGTTCGCCGCAGGTCAGGGATTGCCGGGTGCCAACTCAACATCTTGCCATGGATTACCATCCTGGATGCAGGCATGGGACGTAATGTGAGCGGCCGTCTCCGATGATCGTGCATCGCATCGCTGGAAATTCCCCTCGAGTGGATCAGTGCGTCGACAGGCAATGCAGCCACTTCTATCTTTGACCGATAAAAGCAACCCTCGTGCATCATCTCGTTGAACGACAGGGATGGAAGCCCCGTCTCGTGTGGAGCCTCCACGGTCTCCAAAGATGTTGCAATGTTCGACCCACGGTCTTCCAGCCAGCCCTCATTACCAGAAATTGGCGCACCGAGCCAAAAGTGATGTGCCACGTCAGAGTCTCCGGGCTTTGGTGCAGCTGCATGTGGTTCAGTAATATGTGGGAGGTGTCACGGTTCGTGTCTGCGACGGGCGCCGCACGGCATCCAGGTCCTATCATTTTCGCCCGAAGAAGCAATTGTATGACGATGAACCATACACATGAGCGGGGCCAAATGCAGGATCCCTCCTCTGCAGGCGTGAGAGATCAGCTGAACGAATATGGATCCAGTTCCGTCCAAACCCCGACTGGGCAATGCATCAAGCGAGAGAGAGAAAACCCAATTCTGTGGCCCGTGTCCCTGGGTGCAGGAGGTACCAATAATAGAGCCTCAGTGACGCGACTGTTGCCACCCGGGTGAAGGACCATTGGCTGACAGGCACGGAGTGCGGCAGGTGTGGAACGAAGACAAAGTCTCGGTTCTGATATCCTTGCAACAAGAGCTCGGCCAACTGATGATAGAGAGCAAGCACTAGGTTGGGTCGCAATCCCAAGCTGAAACCATAGACTATCCTTCATGGTTTTAGCCCAATGCACGAATTCAAGAAACGTAAAAGCAGTCAAGGGTTAGGAGTGAATGGGGAGGGGGAAGACAATGATGTGAATGTGCATACGCATGCAATCACACAGACGGCAACGCCGAATGACAATTTCTATGGACATAGAAAGCTTTCGGACGGACGGCCGAGTCAAAGCTCACGATAAATGGTATGTTGAGCCAATCAAGGGTGGCAACATCGGGCATGAATGGTGGAGGGTAGAGAATTTCATCCCGGTGGAGTCACAGGGGACGTGCAGTCCTGTCACATTCGAAAAAGACAAGAATTTTTTCTCCTGTGTAGAACAAGGTTATCCCTGAACGTATGTGTCTGATCATTGCATCGAGGTGACAGCTGGTGGCGGCCGAGAGCACTTCAATCATGCAGGATCGTCTATGCGGAACGTAGCAACATCACAGGAGCCTGATTCCATGCGAACGATATCCACCTGAAGGGCGGGGGAAGGCAATCTGGCGACGGCATAGTTGCAGTAGTCGAGACTGGAAAATGGATGGCCGCAGCCATGAAATTGAGGGATTTTCCATCCTCGTACATCATGATAGGAACAAAAATCGCCACGGCCAGAAAAAGAAAAAGAGGTGCATGCATGCTTGAAGCAACGGTTCGTCTTTGGTGTGGCTCCATCCGAGAAAAACTTGGGCATCTTACAGTCTCCACTACCCAAAGAACTGCTGACAGCCAACCGGATCCATCAAAACCTGGTTGCAAAGTGGAATCTGATGAATGAGAGACACGGACGATAAGCCGTCCCGCACCGGTCAGCGTCGATCAGGTAGAGAACCACGACTTTGGAGGGGGGCACGGTTTCTGGTAGACCCAGCCGGTGACATGTAAATATCGACCGAAACATAAATAGAGCATTCGGATCCTCTAGATGCTCGTGGAGTTCAAAATCATCCCCCGGGTTTCAAAATCAAAGTCTCAGATCAGCAAGGCAGGTCCATAGATATTCCTCAGAAAAGCTTTTTTCTCTCCCTTTTAAACCACTGTGTTTCAAACCCCTTTGATTCTTTCAAAAAGGGCTGTCAATCAAAAAAGGTCAGAAGTTAGCCTATCAAGCCTGTCAAGACAACTTGGGCAATCTTGCAAAGACCAATCATATACCTGGATTCATCCTGAAACGAGAGCTTGGGTTCCGACAGCAAGTAAGTTTGATCGAACCTGAGGATCGAACAACACTAACGCGATTTGGCAGACATGTGCTTTTACAACCAGAAACGATTCTCCTGTGGTGACTGGAGCTGGACTAGCTTCGCCCATCGATGCAATTACGAGTACCGCACTGGCGAAACATGCGGAATGAAACTCGTCAACTTGACCGAGAACGAGCCCACCAAGTGTCGTATTTGCGAGAAAATCGAGACCAAGTTTCGACGGCGAAGCGCCGAGGTCGACCGGCTCGAAAGGTGGAAACGTGAGGGGGCCACTTTGGTTGCCTCAATGGATCGGTCCAAAACTCTCATCAAGGAACTGGACAAGGAGATTTGCAGCTTGCAAATGGAACGGGATGACCGACGCAGAACTCTTCTGAGGTAGGACTTGGCGGCGATCCAGGACCATCGGTGGTCCTCATGAGCGAACAGCAAGTGTATTGATTGGACCTTTCGATTTCATATTTCGTGCTTGCTTGTCTTTTGTCTTTTTGCTTTTTTGGAGTCTTCTTTCATCCCATCGGCTGGTGGGCTTTATTCCTTGGGGCGTTTCATGTTTCACCACGTACAGCACATCTTCTGTGACATTAAGTCTGAATCGAGTTTCTGCAATGTGATGAGCAGTATGACACCAGAGGGTGTGAAAATTTTTATACAAAATTTTCTTATTGGTTCATCCGTATTATTTCTCTGTGCTCATAGGCTGTCGATGTCCAATGGATATATCGATGGAGCCTAGTCATCTCATAAGCGCCGTGTTTTCCTTGGGTGAGCGGTTCGCTGAGACGGACCCAGTCTCATGGTGAGGAAAGAGGGGCTTCCGCTGCAGATTCCCGAATAAAAGATGACCAGAGTCTGATTTAGAGACGCAAGTACTTAGCCATTCCATCTTGACGAAGATTAAAATCCCCAAGAAGCAATTCAATGCGGTCAAAAAGAAGGATAGTTAGCCCCGCGAACTGTGAAACCCCCCTCATTTGGGCGGGTCACGTGGGTAGTATAAATATTAAGTAAGCCGTTTCAGGTGAAGGCACATGTGCATATGCACTCCATTGGGCAACAATCCGCATCGTTTTCCATGCCCTATTAGGCTAGACCAACTGGTAGCATCTGGCCTGAATGGCATTGTTTGAAAGTATTGTCTGGGGACTCGGCCGATTCATATTCGCCTCCAATTGTAGTATATGCATCAGATGATTAGCAAAGATGTCTTCGATGAGAGGCCACGCAAGTGCGTGATCGCAAGGGGCCTACCTGTCCCGGTATGGTTGAATATATATATGTATATATGAATCGGGATCTTACCGCGGGTATCCTCAGGATATACATTGATCTCTGATCCAGATCCATGTTTCAAAAGCTGTTCAGGCAGAACTCAACTGAACAGTATAGGTAAACCATCCGAAGTCATATGCTCCAATCCTGGTGGATTATATTCAGGAAATGGGATGGCGGACTCGAGGGCTTATATAGCACACGGCCCTGGTGCATGATCGGAGAATTTATCTTGTTGACACTGACACTTCATCCGGATCTAACTACGTGTACCAGTGTTTGATCCAACAAACATTCTCCGGAAAATGCAACAGATTGGGTGTCAAGACCCGGCTGCTGTATGTATGCCACGTCACGACCAGCACCCACTGCAGCCATCAGCAGCAGCACGACCATATCAGGCTAGAATACGGCCAGCCTTGGAGTGAAGGAAGCATGAAATATAAGGATCTGAGAAAAGAAGTGCCGTTCTTGATTTCCAAGTTATCTGAAAACACAAGTCAAGGTATTATTCTATTTTATGTCACCAGCCTCAGGCTCATCATCCACCTTGGCCAGCCCTTGGTCCCGTAGAAGCGCATCAATCTCATCGGCAGTCCATAGGTGGTGGTAAATCTTTCCATCTTGGGTCTTACCTACCGTTGCGAACTCGACTGGCAAGGGGAAATTACGGGTTAGCCTCACGTCACGTCAATGTGAAAAAAGAGCGGGGCAGGTAATCATGCAGGGTGTATGTGAGACTCACTTTTCTCACTGCTCAGCTTTGTAGAATCCATCGTCTTGCTCAGAACCTTGACGGCCATGGCGCAGGCCTCCTGCAATGTCTGATCCTCCTTGTAGTCTTGCTTAAGCAGACTCTGTGCGCTGGCATTGTTGGCACCAACGCTTGTGGCCTTCCAGCCACCATAATTCCCGCTGGGGTTGCTCTGGTACAGCTGGAACTGGCGGAGGTGATCCCAACCGGCATAGATGAATGACACACCGAACGGGCGGAGACCACCGTGCTGGGTATAACCTTGCTTCAAATCACAAAGTCGACGCACAAGCTGTTCACAAGGGATGTCTTCGTTGTAGGTGATGAGGTAGCGTTGGGCGTTTTGCCGGGCGTAGTTGATCAAGATGTTGGCATCAGCGTTCATACCAGCGACGGCGCAGATCATGTTACTAGAAGTGATTTCAGCTCATGTCACAGACATCGAAATATTGAGAAAGTACAAGTCCAAAGGTTGATGTTGACTTACTCGTTGATTGTGTAAAGCTTCTCGGCGGAGGTATCCTGTTCCAGCAGCTTGCTAGTCACCTTCCTTTCCGCAGCCAAGACAATTCCATCCTTGGCTAAAATACCAAGGGCAGTACCGGCGTGAGAAATAGCCTCGAGGGCATATTCGACCTGGTAGAGTCGACCCTCTGGGGAGAAGATGGTGGTCTAACCCATCAGCGTCATAGGTTAGCGGGAGCTGCAGTGGTAGACCCAACTCAACTCACCCGTGAATCATATCGCCGAGACATGGTGCATGTAAGTAAGAACGCAAAGAGGTCTGAAGATGAGGGAATCGAGAAGATCGTGGAGGAGGGGAGTGGGTTGAAGGTCAGTCGGAGGTGCAGATGGAGCTCCAGGAAGTTCCAGGCAACTCGCCCTGGCGCGTCCTCTGTCATCCATTCGCCAAGCTCGGACCACCTCACCACACCAAAGCTTCGTCGCAGCTTTTGCTCCAAGATTGACCCCTCAAACAACAGGGAATTTTGCTCATTCTCTCCCAATTCAAGATAAATTTTGGTCGCTGAAAGATGCTCAAATCCACATACACTCCTCCACCTCCCCTGCCTCCAGGCTGGACGGAGCATCGAGCACCTACTGGTACGTCAGCATCTAAAGCTATCTCGAACGATGTCTCTGAGTGTGTTTGCAGGTCATTTGTACTTTTATAATACCGTTACAAAACAGTCGACGTATACCAGACCAGTTGCGCAAACTCCTCAAACCGCACCGACCGGCAACGAAGTATCACCAGCAGCTCCGGCCTATTCGCCCGAAACACTACCACCTTTCTCCTCAACGCCATATGCCCCTGCGGGCTACCAACCCGGGACAGCACAGTATGGTCAACTTTACTCACAAAACAACCATGGACGAGGTGGTTTCCGTGGTGGGAAAGGATATCAAGATCGAGGTCGGCGGGAGCCTCAAGATCGTCCGAAGTCTAAGCATGCTATTCCTGATTGTGGGCCGTGGGTTCTCGTGAAGACCAAGTTAGGTCGGCGGTTTGTGCATAATCCCGAGACCAACGAAAGCTTCTGGAAATTTCCACAGGAAGTGCTCAAGGCCGTCACTGAATTTGACCGGGTAGAACGCGAGAAGAAGGCGAGAATTGAGCGCGGTGAAGAGCCGGAAGAACAGCGCAAGGCAGAGACACCTAAGGCGAGACCAAGTCCTAGTACCGATGATAAACCCGCATCAGAAAACCGTGCATCACTAGAAACTCCAGAAGGCGCTGAAGACAGCGAAGAATACGAGGAGGTGGAGGTGACGGATAGTGAAGACGAGGAGAACCAGCCGTCAAAGCGTGCGCGAACCGACAGCGAAGGAGCGCAAAACCAGCCCGTCGAGTTTACCGAGGAAGACATGGAATATCAACTCGCAGCCATGGGTGAAGAGTACGGACTGGATCCTGGCGAATATGGCGAACTTGGAGAGGAGGACTGGGAAACACAGGGCCTTCCACTGACCGAAGCTGACGCCGAAGCCTTGTTCCGTGATTTGCTGGATGACTACAACATCAATCCATTTACGACATGGGAAAAAATTATTGAGGAAGGTCGTATCATCGAGGACTCCAGATACACTGCGCCCTCGAACATGAAAACTAGACGGGAAATATTCTCGAGCTGGAGCAAAGACCGCGCGAAAGACGTCCAAGAGCGAAAGAAAAACCAAGAGAAGCAAGATCCGCGTATCAAGTACCTGGCTTTCCTTCAGGAACATGCAACACCCAAGCTATACTGGCCCGAGTTCAAACGCAAATTCCGAAAAGAGCCAGAGATGAAGGACTCGCAGCTTCACGATAAGGATCGAGAGAAATTCTACCGTGACTATATCTCACGACTTAAGGCTTCTGAGAGCACCCGGAAATCAGATCTTTCTGCCCTCCTCAAATCCGCACCAGTACATGCTCTCAATCAGTCGTCCACCCTCGAGACTCTCCCTACAGTTATTATAACTGACGTTCGATACATTGCGCTCCCGCCCAGAGTCCGCGATCCCTTGATCGAGGCATACATATCTACGTTGCCTCCGGCACCAGAAGTACAGTTGACTGCAGAAGAACAAGAAGAACTTGAACGGAAACGAAGAGAACGCGAGAAGCGCGAGAAAGCACTGGCGGAGCGCGAGAAACGGGTTGAAGAAGACAAGCGCAGACAACGTTTTGAACTCGTGCGCGGCAAGCATCTTCTCAGAGAAGGTGAGGCCGAGATTGCCGAAGCCATGAGAATTAAAAAGGACGGACTGCGCACCCACATGGAATTGGATGAAGCTCCAGCGAGCGAGCAAGACAAAGCCAGTCAATAATATATGAAATGAATCCAAAGGATGCATAAACATCTTTCGTACATTTTGATTCGAATCTATAATATTTCACTCAACCACAGACACTATCTAAAAGATATACACATAACTATAAGAGAACTGTGATCTGGGTATTGTCTAATGTTGTATGTAGTCACAGGAATGCTTCATTTTCGAGGGTATCATTGTAGATTAACAGAAGACCAATCTCCCTTCATACAGAAAGGGTCATTCTCATCCCACATAATTCATTTGAATCTCCAATCATCCCAATCTTCGTCTTCGTCATCATCATCACTGTCGCTCTCCTCTGCGTGCGGGTCCTCCGAAACCATAGGACGGTCCTGGGCCTCATCACGAGCACGTTTCTCTCGCAACTCTTCACGCATATGTTTCAGTCTCCGGACCCGTTCCTCTAGTTGATCCATCTCATCAAACTCTTCCTCCATAAATCGTGCCGCATCCTCACGGTCACCCTCCAACTCTGCTTCGCGGGTTCGTGATGTGGTTGCATTGTCATTGTGCTGTTGCGCTGCGAGTTCATCTGCAGACACTGGCGCAGCGGATATTGTGGCTTCCGCGGAAAGGGCAGCTGATGCCTGTGGCATTCGGCTTGGTTCGGCTACCTCTCGTTCAAATGCAGCCCACTCATCTTCGTCCACAGCCCCAGGGACCTCTTGTGTTGGCGCCGATTTTATTGCTGCTGATGCCGATGTTTTTACGACGAGTGCAGGATCTTCAACTTCATCCACGGGAAGATCTGGTCCAGCGACACCATCCTCTTCCACAGGCTCCAATATTTCGCTGGTCGCAGGGTCCTCAGCACTCCTTGGTGATGGGTCCGCTGGCGCGTCTGACGGAGTGACAGATTCTAAGCTTGTTGATCGCAGTTTCTTCCGCATCACGCCATCACTATTGTCGACTTTGCGCTTCTTGGTGACGCGATTTCCTGTCGTGTTTGGCGACGTGCCCTTGCGCGAAGCTAGTTCGTTTCGGAGGAGTGATCGTACATCCGCCATGATTTTGAAAGGGCAGGAGATCGGGTATATTTCCGTTCAGGTGATGAATAGGCAAAGGAGAAAAGAAAGGCTAGAATTATGATGAGTTTCAGTTGATTTGCAAAGTGGATTTTGCCTTTTGCGCAGAGTGGGGAACCTGGAGAAGCTTCGGACTGAAGCAATCACTTTAATTGTGTTGCGGTTCCCAGTCATGTGACCGCTGACCTCAGCAACAAAAGCCACCGATTTCATTCTCTCCTTGGTTCTCTTGTGTTCCGTTTACATTCCATCCTTCTCATTACCCCCCAACACCTTACCATCGCCTTCGTGTTGCGTGTTAAGGCGCATGTCGCTGATTCAACTGTCACGTCCGTGCTCTTTACTAAGTCGCTACTGAAAGCGCTATCACTTCAAATATCGCACGCGACCCCGCTCAAGCTTAGGTGTCGCGACTGACGCGCAGCAAGGGATCGCAGACTACGTCAAAATACATCACAACACGTCCCGGCGCATTGCTCCTTGCCACCATACTGCGCAGTTGTCCTCAAACAGAGTTGGAGGATCGCCTTGGTGACCAAGTAATACCGTTCACCACTGTGGGCTACGTCTTTCCTCTTTGTGTATTACTTTAGCCCCCTTTGAAGCCCGTAGAGACTTTTTCGTGATTGCTGGGGCAGGCGTGCGCATCTGTTGAAGAAACAGCGATTATTCTTGCTCTTTTTTTTTATTTTGATCGCGCCGTGTAGTACATTCGGGTGACCTAGCCCACTTTTGTGTCATGGCCGGTAAGCAATCGTACACCAACCTTCTCTCAGGCGCTACTTCATACAAAACTCGCCATTGGGAGAGGACCGGCAGCCGAGACCGACAGCATCTGAATAACTTGCTAATAACCATGCCAGACGAACCACGACGATCGGGTCGAGCGACCAAAGGCCAGCACAAGAACCTCGAATTGCCAGACGCCCCGTCGAAGAAAGGCAAAGGCAAGAGCCCCAAAGAAAAGTCCGGCAGCAAAGCCTCCGCCGAACCTACCCCGGGACCTAGCGAAGATGGAGAAGAAGAAGAAATCATTCGATGCATTTGCGGCGAGTACGAAGAGGAGGAGGATGTGGAGCGTGACATGATCTGCTGTGACCAATGCTCAGCTTGGCAACACAACGACTGCATGGGCCTTGTATTCGCCAAGGGCGCCGAGCCGGACCAATACTATTGCGAACAATGTCGACCCGAAAACCACAAAGTGCTGCTGGAGAAGATCGCCAGGGGGGAAAGGCCTTGGGAAGAGGTTGCCGAGCGGCGACGACAGGAGGCTGAGGATAAGAAATCTAAGCGCAAGAAGGGCAAGAAGGGTACTCGAAAGAGCCGACCAAGCGAAAGCAAAACGGAGGCTAGCACCCCTGCTCGCACTGGAACATCAGCAACGCCTGGCCCTACTCATTCCCCCACCACAGCAGCATCGGCATCGGCAGAGCCAGAGAAGCATGGACATGCCGCAGATTCGCGACGCTCTAGTACCAACAAGCGCAAATTGGAGGAGAGTGTGGAGTCCGAGACAACTTCGGTAAGATCTTTTTCTTCTCTTCCTAAGCGTACAAGCAGTTGGCTAACTCATTTGATGAAGGGACCCCAGGTGAAGCAGCCACGGATCTCCCCGCCGTCTTCTACGGTAGCAGCTACAAAGGTCAAGGTCGAGTCGCCTGCAGTCGCTACTGTGGAAGAGCTTGTAATGCCGGCCCGCAAGAGTGCTGCCAACGCTCTAATCAAGTTCTTTGTAGATCAGATTACTGCAGCCCAGAAGAAGGATTCTTTTTCCTTGCCCGATGGGCAGTCGGCAGAAGATACTGCGCGGCAACTCGGTCTCTCCGTCGAAGGTGCAATGTATCAGAACATCTGCGACGGGGTAGGGGAGCCTACTGAACCATATAAATCGCAATTACGAGCGATTCTGTTCAACGTAAAGAAGAACCATTCTCTACGCGATCGCTTACTTGTAGGTAGTGTCTCATCTGATACGCTCTCTATGATGAAGTCCGAAGAGATGGCCAGCGAGGAGTTGCAGCGAAAAGATGCAGAGATTAAGCGGGAAGCAGAGCGACAACATATCATTATTCAGGAGCAAGGTCCGCGCATCCGTCGGACACATAAAGGAGAGGAACTTATTGAGGATGAAACCCACACTGTGGCAGCAGAATCTGTCTTCTCTGCCATTCCGCGCCGAGCAACCGATGCCGATGGCAGCCCTGGAAACCAGAGCCCAGTCACTCCGAAGGTATCTCAATCGAAAGGCGACGGACAATCTCGAGGTCACTCCCCGGACGGTGGGCACGGTGACCATGTCTTCCCAGAGGTTGCCCCCAATATCCGTGAGCCAGTGCCTCGTGGTACAATCCAGGCGGATGCTGAGATTGATCGAATGCTACAAGAGGATGAAACAGAGTCTCCGCCATATTCACCGCAAGATTTCTCCGACGAGGGCGTTGTCTGGCGCGGTAAAGTTACTATGAAGCCTGTGGCTGAATTCATGTCCACCGCGAAACACGCTTGCGGTGCAGAGCTAAGCGGTCGGATTCCCTGGAGTCAGTTGGCACCTCACGAGTTGCTAGTGGATGGCCGAATTGACATTGCACGAGCAAACAATTACCTTTGTGGTTTGCGGTGGAGTTCCTCAACGGACGTGTCTGTCATCGCAATCAGTAGCCCTAGTGGGGAGCAAGATCGTGAAGGCTTCAATAAACTCTTCGACTACTTTTACAACCGTCAACGCTACGGCGTGATTGGCAAGCACCCCCTCCCGGCCGTTAAGGACACTTATGTCGTTCCTCTCGAGAAGGACACAACCAAACTGCCCGACTTCATCAACCTGCTTGAAAACACGAATCTCGGCGACGGTATCATTGAAGAACGTCTCCTTCTCATTGTCTTCGTCGTCAAGACCGGTGACTCGAACCCTCCTTCAGTTCAGCCCCCTCTCACCAGCCCAGCATGGAGCCCCCAGCCTCTGCAAGCCCTCTCACAGCAGCAGGCAACACACCTCAAACTGCCTTCACTCCAGCTCCCCGGCAGTTCCCTGTCTTCACCCCTTCTTCCACCAACCCCACTCCCAACCAAATCCCTCCCGACCAGATGCCGCCACAGCACCCTCTCCCGCCTTATCAACCATCTCTTATCGGCATGCCCGCAGCCTTGCAGGTGCTTGGTGCACAAGCAGTGAGTTCGCCCGCCATCCAGAAACTTCTCCAGACCGCGCCCAACGTGGACACGGCCCAGTTGAACGTCGTGCGCGACATTCTCATCCGCCAACCCGCGGCTGCCGCGAACTATGAAACGCTGATGCAGGCGCTCTTCGACACTCAGGCAAACGGCCACGCCTGATCTACTTCTACGACGTCATGTCAATACCTTTGTACTGTACAGTTCTGTGTTTTCGATACTGATTGCGGTGGGCCAACGGACTGTTAATCAATATCCGGTGTTCGGGGCATTAGGTCCTTGAGGGGTTTTATGGATATGGGATACCAATATAGGATAGCCATGACTGTGAGCTTGTCCTTAAAATGAGATTTCTGGTTTGTGCCAATTCAGATCCTCGTAGTTCTATTGTAAACCTGAGCCAACAATGTGCTTCTTTTAAAGGTGTTGACTATTGCCGTCCAGTTTCTACGGCCCTCGGCGTCCGAACCTTGTAGACATCATCCATGATTTCACTTAGACCCAGATACCAATTTCCTACGCACTAAAGCTCTAGCAAAGCTCCTATCCTACTCGTGCACAATACTGATCATACGATACATAACATTGGAGAACATATCTTTTCATAAACATGAAGGTAATTTATGAGACAAGACAGGGATATATTGAGCACATGGCAAATAACTCCCATTGCCGAGCATCTTCCACGGAAAAACGCCAGCGCTATGCAAAAACACCAGATTAAAAGTACCACGAGACGCGAAACAACCTCGCACAATCCCTCACCACCGTCCACCACGACGTCTGTATCCACCACCACCTCCGCCTCCACCATACCGCGGACCACGGCCAGCATTCGCCCGACCCCCTGCACTGTACGGATCTTCCTCCTCATGGTGACGCACAGGAGGCGCGCGACCCTTAAGCTCGGCGCTAAGCTTCTTCCAGGTCTTGCGCATATCCGAGTATCCCATGTGCATCTTTCCGAAGAAGTGATCAGCCAGTCGACGGTCATTGTCGAGTCGACTCAGGTAGGCGCCGCAGACGTCGCAAACTTGTAGCTTCTGGTGTCCGGAGGGACCAGATGTATCCTGCAAGTTCTTGAGGTCGCGCTCAGCAGCCTCCTTTTGGTATTTAGTTGTTCGGACCTTGTGCATTTCGTTCATGGCCATTGCGACGGAGCCAGTTTCGCCAAGGACGGAGACCTCCAGAAGGCCCGTGTTGATTGTGTTGTTGAGGTCGGCGATTTGCTTAAGCTGTAGCGGAAAACACTCAAATTAGAACCCGCATTACCCATACATATAAAAAAAGAATTGCACAAATTGAAACATACCAGGTTATTAGTTTGTCGGATCTCATCCGGGGTTTTCTCCAGACGGCGCTGGGCTGTGTCGATCCTCCGGTCACAATCATCAATGTACTTTTGCATATCGCGCATGTAGTCAAACTCGAAGCCCCATTTTGCCTTATCTGCTGACGAAGCTGTCTCGTACTCCGTTTTCAATCCCTCGCTATGTACTTTCGGGCATGGGCCAAGATCTTGCTTGGTGTTGGTGAAGAGGTCGTGAGGGCAGGTGCCAACGAGGTAGGAGCGGCAGACCTTCGGGTCTGTGATGGAAAGCTGAGCATTGCGACCCTGGGCACCGGTACCAATGAGTTGGTCCGCTGGAAGATAGGTTGTTGTTAGCTTGTTTCGGAGAAATTGGTGGGTTCATTTGGAGCTGAAATGATAAGTGTCCGGAAGGGGAGGAGTGACATACCACCCATGAGCTGCTCGAGCAATTTTCTCTGTTCTGCCGCCATATTGAATGCGTCGCACGGAAAGGCAATTCAAGGTATCAAGATCTCTTTGATGGACTGGGTAAGTACAAAGTTGGAGGTTTTTTGATGCTGGCGCCAAGGAAGGCGGTGAGGCGTGACCCTCTCCAAGTCTGTACCAGCTCACAGCTGTCAGGGCTTTTCGGACAAATCATGGGATCTAGAAAGCAGGTCGAAAGTGGGGGACTTTTGACTAGTTCTAGATGGTTCTATGCTCATTATTGAATCGCCTGTGGAAAAATGTGGTTCAGGTCCAATCATGGTGGAATACGGGTGCAGCAGAAGGCCAATTTTGTAGGCAGCGACAAGCAACCAAGTAATTATTTAGACGGTTGTTCCACCAGAGTTGATTATTGCGTAGTTCATTGCTATTATACATCATCTCATTCATGATAGCCACCACCTTAACTCCAAATATATCCCATATACTTCACAGAGAACGGGACATGCCAGGATTGAACCAATATCTATCATGGCCAAGTACTCGGAGGCTAGCAGCGTAGCTCAAGGTAGCTGTAAGGGGCAAGCTTTAAGCTCCAAGCACCCAATTTAGCTCTAAACACCCTTACTATATGCCAACGGAGTTAGCAAGACAATCAAGCGAATTCAAGGCAAACACTCACGCCCCAAGCACATTCTTCACAGTTTCCCATCCAGGTAAAGCGTCCGAACCACCCGGCTTTTTGCCCATGAAACTATGATCCTCAGTGGCGCACGTCGGTTCCCCATGCTCAGTCATCGGCTTCACATCTCCAGCATCATCGACACGCTGCATGAAATTGAATTTGGCCTGATCCTTCTGCTCTCGCAGACCAAGTGCTTCTCCCATTGTCTCTCGTGCATTGGCGGGCTATATATGAAAAGATAGGAGGTTAGAATCGTTTAACTGAACGGGTAAGGTATACATACAGCGACGTGTCCAAATCCCTGACGAGGCCCCTCGGTGTCATGAGAACCGCCTTTCTGGAAGCCGCTATCTCCCCAGCCGGCGCCTCCGCCTACGTTGTTGGCTGGTGTTGGGGTGGCGCTGGTGCCGCCGGCGACGGAGGTAGCGTGGTTACTCGTGGGTGACTCGGGCATTTTCAATTTATATCATTGACTGTCTTTATTGAAGGATGTATTCAATGCTGATCCAAGATTAATTGGGGTTTTCCAGTTGTATATGTGAAAGTGGAAGGATGAAGTTATGAATAATATTCAGCTTTAGAAGGCCGGTTTTGATGGCAAATTTCCCCTCGATTTGTATTGGTTACATCCCTGAGACGTTGATATCATGGGGTGCAATCTTGAATTGAGCCACCCAAATGAAGTGAGGTCATCATGAGCTTCATGTCTGCCCCGGTGCTTTGTCATTGGTCAAGACTCCGGCGCAGTCAGCATAGACACCTAAGGCCATAATCCTTTGGGAGCGCATCATTTCATGGCCGAGCGACATTTTAAGTTTTAATATACTTGATACTCATCGTAGTGATTTTGTGGTGTTTGGTATGAATGATCTCAGCGGCCCGTTACGGTGGAGACAGCCCCGCCTGCATTGACAATGCCAGCAGGTGGATCTGGGAATAAGCCATGACTTCCAAGGTTGAATCCACATCTGAATGTAGAGTCATATGCGAGTTAATGCGTCACCCCATACGAAGACTTCAATTTTGTTTAATGTGTGTAAATCAGTGGTTCGAGTAGGGATGCCCATAGTCTCCAGATTGATTAAAGAAGCTAAATTACAACGTCGCTAAATAGTCACCTCAAAATATATATAACTTGAGCCAGGCTTTGGACGAGAAATCTTTCAACGAGGATTGTCTCGATCGAATCTGATCACCTTTAATGCCGGCCAACATTGCAGCAACATGGCCCCCACCATCATACATCCCGCAAAGACCTGAGCTCGTAGAAAATAAACCGTATCAAGGCTGATTAAAGCTCCCGCAATCGGTGCCCCAGCCAGCGCACCAAACGACGATATTCCCCACATCATACCCAGGCGAGTACCCATATAACTCGGATTAGGACAAAAGACAGGATGCGCAACAATAGAAGTCGGGGCTGTCACAAGAACACCACTTAGAATACCCCAATAGCAAGCCCAAACAATAAACCCGGGAATGTTAGTGGCTGCAATCCAAGTGAACATCGCAATAGCCGAGGCCGTAACACAGAACATCAAAATGATGACTGGTTTCACATACGCAACAAGTAAATTGGGAACAATGCGCCCGAAGACGGACGATCCGTTAACAATCGCGACCATGTAGAATGCCAGACTGGTGGTTGTTTGCACAGCTGTTTCAGCGTAGGAGGCGACGTAGAAGATGGGGACGTAGTATGCCAGCATCACGCATGTAAGTGAGACTGAGAAAAGCATAAATGGTAGCTCGCGGAAGGCGGTCCAGTCGATGAGACTGCGTGCTTGAGACTGATGACCTGGACGACGACAGAGGATTGAACAGGCAATGATAGCCATCAGCAGGCTTACGAAGCCGATGCAGCGCACTGCCCACGGGAATCCGATTTTGGGCTGGAGTTGACGGAACATCACAGGGAAGATAACGGCCCCGATGCTTGATCCAATTGATGCACAGCCGATCGCGATGGGGCGTTTGGTGGTGAAGCTCGTGGACACCACTGCCAGAGCTGGGATATAGGAGATGCCGCCACCCAATCCGATACAGAAGCCTTGTGCGAGGAGGATCTAGAAGGTTGTCAGTAAAGCTTCACTAGTTCGGGTTCAAAAAGAATATTACTTGGTAATACTCTGTCGCAAGACTGGTCATCATCAGCCCAAAGACAGTCAAGAAGCTCCCGACCACCATCAACGGACGCAGATATCCCAAGTCAACCAATGGTCCAGAGACTACACCAACCATTGGTATTAGCGTTGCCTGAATACTTCCTACCCAGGAAATCGCCGAAGGTGACTGGTCAGACAACAAGACAGTTGTATAATATTCCTGGAAGGCGCCATAGGTTGTAAGAATTCCCCTGTGAACATATCAGCACAATACATATAATTTCAACTGGGTGAAAACCGACCATGAATTGATAAAAACACAGAATAAAGCTACAACTGCCAACCAAGCCTGCAAACCTCCATTGATCTTCGGTTTGGCGATTTCATTATGGTGGGTGCAAACTTTTGGCTCTTGCGCAGTATGTTGTTGCTGGGTGCTGATCTCACCCCCCAAAGATTCCTTCTCTGCCATATCCGCGATCATACCCTCTACGAACCAGCTTGATGTGCATTTTGAACAGCTGGACCCTTTTAAAGACGTGATTTACCCCGGTCCTCCACAGTGGGGGCCCGTACTCCATGGGGTTTCCATTAGTCACGCGAATGAGGTGCCCGTCTTCGGTTGGCACGGCATTCATTAGCCGAGCTCTACCGATGGGGCCTGAACGGTGATCTCCGGGCTTGATCTATTACGCTAAGACATAGATAGACGAGCTTTTGTATAATATTGATGGATTTAAGGCCAGCGGCATGGGGATCATACAATTGTTCAATCTAGAATCTGAAGCACTGGTTAATTACCTCGCGAGTGGAGTTCAGAGCCCATAAACGATCAGTTATTTAATTGCACACTTCTAATATACCATAAGTCTCCAACATAGCAGTGCTAGGCAGGCCTTGAAGAATGCTTGGTCAGTGAATTAACTCAGTTTGACGCTCTTTCACTTCAATTGTCATATCTCTCCTTACTGCAGACAAACCTATCAACACGTCTCAAGTGGCTTTACCAACTTACAGTCTTCATTACATTCTTCTACTTCACAACCTTTACTATTCCTTCACCTTCCTCCTTCCAACCCTCAACGTGCTTTCCCACCTCACCATCCTTCCAACACGCTACCACTCTTCTCTTCGAAGAACAGTCCCGCTCAAACAACGTTTATTCGAAGCAAGATGCCTGATACCGGTACTGCCTTCCGCGCTTCGCAACATGAATACCCTTTTTCGTGGCACCCAGAGAAGGAACCACGTGCGTTATGATCTTGACATCCGTACAAGATGAACATATACTGACATCATCATAGGGTATCACAGACATGTTTTAGACCAGACAATGGACTCTTGGCACGTGGAAGAAAGCATAAGCAAAGCCGACCTTGAATACTCCCGCAAGGAACTGAAGCGTATTAGTGAAAGGATGCGGGCCAGCAAAAGTGACAACTTGATGTGCCAATTGGATGAAGATGCCAACCAAATCAGTCTAGCCACCTGCGACCTGGACAAATATGCCGAATCGATCGAATTGACCATCTTCCAATTGAGAGCCAAAGCGCATGAAATGGAAAATGCTACAGTGAAGACGAGGGTAGACGCGGCAGATCTAGAGGTGTCTGTGGCAAGTCTCAATGAAGCCGCGGCCAAACTCATCAAGGTCGCCGCCAAGATCTGCGCTCGGGTTGCAGAGATGAATGTGAATATGACCCTAATCAGTGCGGAAGTCAATGATGCACATGCGAAAAAAGCCGATGAAGGCAGGAAATGTTCTCGAGAGACCGGCCAGGAGGAATGGCGACGCAGAAATATATTTGACCCTTGGGGAGGTATGGGCCCATGGCGCACAGACATGGCAAAGAGTGTACCGGACTTTTGGCCAGAGCAGCATCGGGGTATGAACATGGGAATGAATATTGCATCGGTTGATCCTAGCGTATGGCGTCCGAGTTTCGGAAACCATCGTGGATCAGCTGATAGCTACGAACGGCGCCGGCGCCAGAATAAGGGAATGCATGATGCATCGGTGGATAGCTATGCGTGGGGCAGTGAGATCAAGGAAAAGAGTACCGAGAATGATAGCTGGGCCTAGGACTCAATTGAAATCAAGACAGGGAAGGTGATGGTGCTTGGGAGCTTGCAAAAGCCTCGCATACACCTAAATGAACCGACTAACCTTGATAATTTCTTGAACGGTGCCCAAGTGATGTATGCGTTCAGATGATATGGGCCAATTGATAGCAATGATATCCCCATACCAAGTTCCTCTCGCTGTAAATTGAAATGAGGGGCGATTGACTATCTTTGTCATCTCCAGAATGACACCCAGGTGGTTAGCCCCTTCAGGATGGTCGTCCACGACGGCCCCGGGTTATTCCTAGAAAGAGAAGTATAGCGCCGACGAGGTTAGCCCGAGTCCATCGATAGATTTGCTACATATTTTAGACGCTAGAGCCAGGATCCGACCAGCGTGCAATTTCGATCCAACAGTCGCAAGCCGATGGAAGCGTTTTCGTGCAGCAAACCTCGCTGGGTGAGACACGCCGATCTTCAATAATTACGGAAGGCAATTTCCATTCTGAAATCAACAATAATTGCCAAGCATGTCTCGGAGAACATTCAGAAGGCAGATACATATTGGGTGAGGCTTGGAAGGTCGAAGAAAGTGGGTTGGTCTGGTTGGGTCGGGGCTAGCGTGTGCTAATAATACATTCGCCCCCGTGCACATCAACCCCTTTCATGCTTCTTATTATAGTCCGCACAGGAGATTTGATCCGCCCGGACTTTCACATTCGTGAATTGAGTTCGGAGTTTCGAGGGTCACCGGAACAGACCGGCCAAAGAAATAATTTGGCTGGATCGCAGCGGGGAGTACGTTAGACTGGAAAGACTGGGTGGGGTTAATCTTCTAGTCTAGCACTATTGCAAGTAGGGGGGTTCTTGAACAGCATGGATATACTGTATTCTTGTAGAATGGAGCCTAGCACGTTAGCCTTGACGGCACTGGACTCCTCTAAGAAACCTCTGACGCATGATGTTGCCAGGCTCCTGGGAGAGCTATTGGCTTGTCGTTACTGGTGTAGATCATTCCATATTGACTGATTCCAGTGAATAGAGAAGATAATCTAACCACAGGAAACCCCCACAGAACTTAAGATAGGTGCCAGCAGAAGGCAACGTGGAGTAAGTAGAGTAGTGAGGGTAGTTACCTGGGGAGAATTATGAAGTATAGCTATTAGAGTAAGCAAACTGCTTAACAAAAGTGATTTCTCATTGGCCCCTGAGATATCTGGGAGAATACAAGTACTCTTGTCATACATGACCGCCTCCATTTCAGGGGGAACAACGTCAGGGCACATACGAGTACGTAGAACTGGTGGTCATGTCCCGCGCGCCCAAATCTGAGTCCTACGAACTGATCCACCCAATATACAGAGTATACGTGGCTATGGCATAGGCAACAATGACCTCCCCCTTCGGGCCGAACGTTGGCCTTCACCGTTCCTTCTCCGTCAGGCATCAACCTAGGTACCTTAAATGTAGACAATAGATGCCCACGTCAATAATGCGTTGGCAGTTTGCCAGCACTTCTTCACCGACTGAACCATTTCTCTGCGTTTCCCAAGTTGACGCCTTATGATTGACTTCACCCGGTGACAGGAATTGCGGGTGGATCGAATGGACTGACTTCCCGCTCGTGACGTGGCCAGGGCTATATACGAGTCGATAGTTTGCAAGCGCAGACCATTACGACGGCAGCAGTTCTCAGATAAGCTCAACTGGCTCTTCGATAGGGGAGTGTATGGCGACTTGTAAGCCAAGCTGCTGTCAAAGTCTTGGCATGACATTCAGGGGAGAATAATCCCCTTTCTATTAGTAATGGGGTATGACTCAATGCAAGATGAGGGATTTTGATTGATTTTTGCTGTCCGAATCTTCATCTGTACATCTTGTAAATGTAGCCCTAACCGAATAGAAACTGCATGAATCATTGGACAGGGTAAAGATACAGTCAAAAAAGGGAATGAAAAATTGAAAACTCTCAGATCGGTCCATGGTAGCCTGTGCGTTCAGGAACCAATGTCACCTGATTGGCCGGGGATCTCAGTGGCGACCCACTAATACGTTGCCACCGCACAACCTTACCCATCGATTCGTGGACCTGATTAACCCATTCCATGGATACTGGACACGCAGGTTTACGGGTGTGCCTGACCCTTACAGCGTGCATGGAACACATGGCGACTGTACCGGGGATCCGACTCGTCTGGTTGACACATGGAATTGGCGCATTCCTGGCTCGTATACTTCGTCTACTGTATGCGCATCGGTGTACCGACGTAAGAAGCGAAACGTTGGGAGTCAGAAACCCCTGGGCCATGGAGGGTGGCTTCGACATCCGATAAGCCGAGGGCAAATCGTCGCACAAGTCCGTTCCCCACATCACACTATGACGAGTCATCTCTTCTGATTTCAAGCCATGAGTGACTCCACTCGAAAACAAACCGCGCTCTCACCGGGGTTCTGATTGGTGCCGGACCGACTCGACAGCCCCAACCCGGTGGAGGTCCGATCTCCATCATCTCCATTGAGTTGGGTTCCTAGCGCCCCTCTGGCGAATGACCAAAGAGAAGACCGTTGGAACAAGGCCCCTCTGAAAGTCCGGGCCAACCATAATTCACTAGCGATCGCGGGAAGTCAGGAACCAGAAGGGGCGTGGAAAGGCTTATGGCGTCTAGATTCCGATGGACAGCCCCATTAGTGGAGGAGAAGCGTCGGGCTGGAGCCTTTCTGTAATTTTGTAATTTTCTTTTCTTATTTTTCTGTGTGTTTCAGGTTTTCTTTCACTTTCAGGTTCGGGGGCCTCTTCTCCACCCTGAACATAAAGAGCTGACGACTTCCCTCTCCAATCTTTTCTCCTCCTCTTCTTCACCTGCTGTCCATCTTTCGATCCAACCCGGTCCCCCTCATTCTTTTACCCATTGAAATCGAGGCTGAGCCTTATTTCAATATCCAATCCTTATTTCGTCTGTAGAACAGATACAACCAGACCGGTCTTTTCGATCCAATCTTTCGATACCCCAAGTTCGCAAACAAACTGCCCCTGTTGATCTTTTCTCTATAAGATCCCAAATCAAAAGACACAACTCAATCCACAATGCGCGTCATCGCTGCTCTCGGCCTCGCCGCCCTGACCGGTATGGTCTCGGCTCAACCCCACGGTCATGCCCACCACCACGACAAGCGTGCCGTTGTTGTCGACGTCGTCACTGAGATCGAATGGGTCACTGTTCACCCCGAGGCCGCCGTCGCTGAGGCCACCTCCACCGAGGCTGCCGTCGTCCCCACCTCGACCAGCGAGCCCGCCATCCAGGTCGCCGTCCAGGTCCCCACCAGCTCAGCCTCCACCAGCTCAGCCTCCACCAGCTCTATCGTTCAGCCCACCCCCATTGTCACCCCCACCTGGACCACCTCGTCTTCCGTCGTCGCCAGCTCCACCTCCGACGTTATCGAGACCGCCACTGCCACCGGCGGCTCCGGTGTCAAGATCGTCAACAACCTCGGCTCGACCGTCTACCTCTGGACCACCTCCAATGTCGCCGGTGATATGGTCACCATCGAAGAGAGCGGCGGCCACTACTACGAGGACTGGCAGATCAACTCTGACGGTGGCGGTATCTCCATCAAGATGTCCACCTCCACCTCCGAGTCCTCTGTTCTGCAGTTCGAGTACACCAAGGAGGACGAGACTATCTGGTGGGACATGTCTTCCATCAACCTGGAGAAGACCTCTGAATTTGTCGAGAATGGTTTCTCCGTCACCTCCAACGATGCCTCTTGCTCCACCGTCACCTGTGACGCTGGCGATGAGGACTGCTCTGAGTCCTACCAGCACCCCGACGATGTTGACACTCGCAGCTGCTCTTCCAGCGCTGCCTTCATTCTTACCCTCGGTGTTTGAATGATTCAACATGGATGATGTTCCACTTTACATCTACATTGTTCCCTTTTATTCTTTGTGATTTACATTTTTGAAGAACATGTTTTTTCTCATGAATACGGGTTCCCAAAAGTAAAAGTGCTTTTATGGAGTTTACACGAATAGACATGACTTACGCATCAATGGAATGATCTCACCAATTGGAATCATTACTGGTTTTACGAAATTTGTCTTGTAGTCCGTATCTGTAGAGTAAGTGGTGCTTCGATGAAATCTAGTCATCTCTGATGCCATTGTTATTGCGGCATGGCTGCTGTCAACCAATGCCAATTACCCATTTAATTGTTTGCCGTCAAGTCTCATTCATTGTGACGGCATCTACTCCAATACTTGATCGAAGAACAACCGGGGAAAAATAGAAATTTTTGCTTTATTCACTTCTACAATTTTTTCAAACATGATGTGCACTGAAATGGAAAGTGGTCGCCCACATTCTCTACTTAGCGAAGCGAGGGCTCTGAACACAAACCAACCATTTAAACTTTCCTAATATCTTCTTAGTGAGTTTTCACCAAATACGTTGGGGTTTTGTACTGCAGGCCAAGACGTTCTAGAATACCCTCAGGCCTGACAAGGCTGACATTCCGCTTTATCCCTTGGATCCACTTTCTATGTGGAAGGGCTGGACCTTTTCCAAATTCCTACATTACACTACGGGTACAAATTAGGGCTTCGAAAAACGATGCTCAAGAAATAAAGAGTATATTGGTCGTGATATTACACTTCAATCTAAACAAGAATATATCCATAATGAAGGAGACTCGACTCATTAAGCAGTCTCTACTACATAGCCAGATACTCAGAAAAAGAAAGCCACTGGCACTCCGGTATCCACCGCTTAGTAGACAGGAACCTTGAAAGCGGGGAACTCATAAGTCCAGCTATCATAAGAAGCCTTGTCAAAGACACAGTCGAAGGTAGAGTTGTTCTTCCACAGAGGACGAGACGGGAACTGGCACAGCATCTGGGTCTCACCCTCGTAGTCACCGGAAGAAACAGTCGAGTTAAGACGCGAAGGCTTGACTCCGTTCTCGACCCAGTTAATCATAATCTCCATGTTATCCTCGGGGTAAGGACCAGGCTGGAGGCTGTTGGTGCCACAGTGAGCGGCACCGGGAACAAGGTAAAGCTGGTACCAGTCCTGCAGCTTGGCGAGGCTCTTAGAGCTCGACAAACCGGGGTACATGATATCGCGGACAGACTGCCAGTAGTGCACGGAGGAAGCGGTGGGGACAGAGTTGTCCTGCTCTCCGTGGTAGTGGATGAGCTTACCACCGGACTCCTGGAAGGTAGTGAGATCGGGCAGGGTGGTCTGGAGGGTATCCATGTAGCGGACCATGGCGGTGTTCATCCAGTCGACAAGGGTGTCGTAGGTAACGCCCTCGAAGGAGGAAAGGTTATCGATGTCAACGAGCTGAACGAACTTGGTGACAAACTCTCCGCCGAGGGAGGTGATGTCCAATTCCCAGGCCTTGGTGTTGTTGTTCCACTCGGTCTCTGCATCTTCGAAGGAGGAACCGATTTGCCATGAGAGGTAGGCGCGTTCGCCCTTGCTGTTGTGGAGACCGTTGACGATGCCCTGAGCGACGGCGACGTCCTCGGCAGTCACAGTGCCGTTCTGGGCGGGCTCGTAGGCTGTTGTGCTGCCTTCGGCGCGCTTGCTAAAGCCGAAGCCCTGGGATGTAGCGGTTTCGGCGGCGCAGTAGTACTTCGTGCCGATGATGGAAGACATGTTGAAGTTCAGCATGCAGAGATCACTGCGGGCGATGACGCCGTCGGTACGGCCGTCGAGAGGGTCGCATGCCTTGATGGTCTCGTTGACGATCTTTGCCAGAGCGCAGGGGGGAGGGTAGTAGTCGAGGGTGTGTTCAACGGCGTTGGGGAGCAGGTGGTTAACCTGCTGCTGGCCGTAGCGGAAGGCGGGGGCACCGGTAATGGCGCCGTCGTACTCGTCTCCGTAGCGTTGGATCTGGCTCATACCCTCGCGACCACCGTCGGAGCAGCCCTCGTAGTAGGTGTAGAGCTTGGAGCTGGCAGACTGGCCGTAGAAGCCCTTAGTGAAGTATTTGCCGAGCTTGGTCATCTCACCGAGCGCCTGGTAGCCGAACATGTGAGTGGCATCCCAGTTAATAGAGCCATTGGCATAAAGGACGACCTCATCGTAGCTAGTGCCATCCAGAGCACCGTAACCAGCGGAGGTAGCACCTCCGACAGCGCCGTACTCAAGACCACCGGTGGAAGTGGCCGAAAGAGAGTACCCACCACCTCCAGCGACGTAGAAACGCTTCTTGTAGTCGGAGGGCTCAGGGAGAGCGTACTGGACGACAACAGTGTCGCCCTTGCCGGGGTGAGTGTAGGTCACAGTGACGTTGCAGTAACTGTAGGATTGGCTAGTGGCGGTGTTGGCAGTAGACAATGAAGGAAGCACATAAACACCCAGGATGGTACCATTGGAAGGCAAAGCAGACTTCACATTGGAAAGAGTGCACACATCACTAAGGGAGGAGGCACTAGCAGCGGCGGCGAAAGCCACAGCCGAGGCACCCGTCTGAAGACGCATGATGGGCCGAGAAGAAGGAATGAAAGTGATTTCCAAAAGAGTGAATTGAAGATAAAGAATCATAAAGGGCAGATCAGACCCGCCTTATAACGCATTGCGGTGTCCATGAGCTCCTCAATTCCAAACAACTGGATGAAAGCCAAGAAACGGCCAAAATTCCTGTTTAGGGGGGCGTGGTTTGCGATTCAATGCTGATCTCCCGGCTGATAGACTGATCCCAAAGCATAAAAATGGAGCTACTAGTTGCTACGGGGCGTCAAGGCCCTGCGAGACCTCCTGGCGTCGTCATCTCCTTCCAGGAACCACCCCGGTTGTCACCCATATGTTTGGAATAGAACAGGGAATTGCCAGGCATTTGCGCGTTCAGGATACACAACGGCTCCGGCAGTGAAGGTATTGTTTTCGTCAGGCGAAATAAAGTGCTTTATTATGAGGTAAGTGGTTGAATGAGTGGAAACGTTGGTCCAATAATGGGCTCTAGCAGGCGGTAGTGGAGTCAATTCCTGAGCAATCAGACTATATATGGTTCGAAATTATTGCAACGGTTAAAAACAAGGCCGGCTTGGCTTGTGATCTGCAGAGGCTAAGTGCTGAAAAGGTTATCAAAACTGGGGAGACCGCGTCACGTTGTTCAATTTGTTGTGGAAGGTGGACCTTGCGGCCCCTTGACAACCGCGGTTCCAGGCTCAGGCCACGTTCAGCAGGTCGTAGGCTTGCTTCGGATCGGCTTTTTTCCACAAACCCTCGCGCAAACGATCGGAAATTTGAGTCTTTGCGACAGATCGTATCCACTTTGATGTTTAAAAATGCCAAGTAAATGCTTGCCTGTTTTAAACTGCTGGATCACCGAACACTCAACCTGAACGGATTGACCCTAGAATGTTGACGCAGTGCGCCTCTTGATGGTAAATGTAGATGTGACCGCGTGGCACACAGCCCTACATATAGCTCCCAGACACAGACCAAGGGGGCTTGATCCCCATTCAGGGCCTTGATTTGGGCTTTGATTGATGAGGTAAAGTGGAGACATGTTGCGGTCTCCGGCGGAGGAGAACGGAGGGCCCGTCAGCACGTGACATTATAGAGTCCAAAATATATGACTTTAGTCTTTTGCTGAAACTGGATCTAAAATGAAAGTCCTTTGAACCGAAATTTGATGTTGCATCCGCGTTAGACATCTGTATCAGCCACTGCATGGAGGTCAAAAAAAGGGTGATATTTCTATGGATGTCATTCCAAGGTTGGGTTGTAACCCAAGGTTATGAAAATGGAACAATGTGCCCTGCGTATTGTACCTGTAGGCCCTCGAATATTCAGGAGGTCCACAAAAACAAAAACAAAGATAAGCTCAGCTACAACCTTAGAAAATAAGCATATAGTATTCCCTGCGGGTATATTTCAGATGCAGAATTATTAACAGCATGTGGGTCCATATGGACAATGCACGAGGGTATATCAAATTGCAAACGGGGTGTAGGCAAAAGGGGGTTTTTTCATGTCGTGAGCATTGTAAAACAAAGGAAAGTCATCAAGGGGCTGAGCAAGTCCATAAGAATATGTAATCCGTTTGTCCAGAGTTATCATTCATCAAATTGATCAGCCCAGCTCCCAGTCACGGGTGACATGGTGGACTCGAGTGTTTCCATTGATGGGGGTGGTTTGGCCGGTGCTGGTGCATCTGAGGCTTTATCCGACTTGGCCGGTGCCTTGCCCGCAGGGAGTGACGGGAAGTCGGCCTCATCGTTGAGGGCCGGTGTCTTGGACTCTTTGCGATCGGATTGATCCTTGGAAGATGAACGCTCCTGTGGTCCACGTGAAGGGCCACGACCACGGCCTCCACGGCCGCCTCGTCCACGCCCCCGGCTGGGGGTGACGGGGCCGGTGTCCTCCGATGCTCCGTCAAAATCTCGGCGCACATGCCCGGACACACCACCATGCATACCCCGGCGATATTGGCTTCCGCCTCCACGGGGATTGTAGTCATCCTCCCGTTTCTCGGAGTCCCATTCGCGTCCGGTCTGAGCCTTGAGCTTACGTTGACGGTTCTGCTCACGCTCTTTATCCATAATCTTCCGGCTCGCCAGCTCTTCTCGCCGTTTCTTGGCTGCAATTTGCTCGCGCTCCATGAATGAAGCCTGGTCGGCTTCCGCGCGGGCATGTGCAGCGGCTTTTTTGGCGGCATTTTCTTTGGCGGCGGCCATGCGCTTGGACAACTCTGCCTCGGTAAGTTTTGCCTAATAAAGTCAGAAAAGTCCTTTTCCTACAGTCAACACAGCTCTGGCGACTTCTGCACTAACTTTTCTTAATCCTCCCGTGGCGCTTCGATCTCCACGGACAGCTGGTACTCGCTGTGCATCGGAGCCATTGGTTGCGTCCTTTTTGCTCTCCTCTTCCGGGGTGGATTGCGGCTTCTCTGCCTCTGGCTGTTTTTCCACCAGCTCAGCGGGCACAGCAGCAGGAGTGGCTTTTGGTTCCGCCACATTCATAGGTGTCTTCTTCCTCGGGGCACTCTCTGCGGGCTTCGGGTCCGCCCATCTGGAGTCTTGGAGACTGCGTCCTTGTTTCGCCCGGCCACCGCGCCCACGGCTCCGCTGTGAATTGTCAACCCGCTGTGAAGGCTCTCCGCGCGGAGAGGGCTGCTTCTCGGGTGGCGTGATCTCCTGAGGCGGTATGGGCTCTGGCTCTGAAATCACCACTACCTCTGTCTGCACGTTCTGTTCCTCCGCCGACACCGGGATGATTTCGTCGTCGAAAAGGTCGTCTGCGCCACGGGTTTGGGCGAATTCGTCCATGTCTGCCATATCGAGTTTATAGGAATGGGATTCACGCGTAGAGAATGATGCAATGCGCAAGAGAGTCGGTCCTGTAGGAAGCACAATCAAAGGCTTTCCAGCTGCCTCTGAGGGGTAGCTTTGTTTGGGGGCTGGAGAAGAGTGATCCGTGCGGAGAACTAGCTTTAGGCTGGGTACTGGTGGGTCATGGATAAAGGTAGAGGAACAACAAAATATAATCGATAATCGAGATATCAAGGTAAGAGATGGATAATCCTGTAGGAACACTGAAAGTGTGTCAAAGGTAAGAAAGAAACTGCTCAGCTCCCAGGCAATTGGGAAGAAGGAGTACTTTCCCAGCTTAACCCGATCGATCCAGGGCGGTGAGATCGAACTGGAGCTTATTTTGCCGATCGATCGATAACAAATAGACTTTAGTTGACTCTGCTGTATTGTTTCGAGGTCAGTCGTAACGGTCAAAATCATCTCAAGTGCTTCATGGGTAAGCCGCGTTGAGATGTGAGACTCGATAAGCTATAGTCATTTGTAGACAAGAACGAGTGCGGTGGTTCACTTGATCTGATAAGATCTAAAGCAGCACCTAAAACAGTAATCATACTAAACTTTCTATTGACAGTACACTTGACATTCTCCATAGCCTCTTGATACCTAGAAGCCTCAAACGTAGGATCATGATTCAGCACAATATCAATTACCGCCCAGTATACCGCAATCTCTGGAATCAGATGCATAATCACATTGGCCTTCATTTCCAAGGTTGGCCGAAATTCAATATGTTTACAATATTTGAGTTCTAAGGTGTCTCCAGTGCAATCGCTCCCTAAACTAAAGCGCTTGGACCACGCTCCAAGAACCCGTGGACCCAGAGGTCAGTCCACATTTAATATAGTGGCTGACCATTGAATGTCATAACGTATTTTATTGGGTACATCTTCAAACGTTCAAAATGTTCCTGGCATAACCACACCCAGAAGAACCTAAATACATTCCCAGGAGTTCTCATCCGTGTAGTTTCCAGGGCCCTTGAACACATTGCGCCGAGGCCAGCGGCAATGCTTGCGCCAGTACTCCACAGGGGTACCAGCTCCATCCTTGAACTTGGCTCCACGAACTGTCTCGGGTGCAACCCCTTCCTCAACCCACTTGACCATAGCCATAAGTACATTGCTACCTGGCTCACTGCTGGCATATGTTTCAATGCCCTGACCAATGCCATAAGCGCCATTTCCACCACCACAGTGACCCATACCACTGATAGTGAAGAAGCGATAGAACTCATCCAGCTCGGCAGGGGGAAGGTTCATGGTCTCAGAAACATGCGAGTAGTACCACTTGGAGTCCTCAGAGCTGATGAGCTGATCCATCATACCGTGGTAATGGAGGACCTTGCCACCGCTCTTCTGGAAGGGAGAAATATCACCATCCCAGGTTTGAATGTTGTACGGGTTCTGAGCCAACGCGGCCTCAGCGTCTTTCACGGTGAAGTTACCACTCCAAGATGGATCATTGTAGACGACGTATCGGAACCAGTCTAGGCTGTACTCGAAAGGTTCCCCACTGTACATGATGGATGCGGCTAGATTCTCGGATCCGGGTTGCATTCGTCGGTACAGGAGCTCGCCGTGCTCTCCGTACAGGGGGGACAGGACTTTCTCAGCTGCGTGAACTTGGGCACCGCTAAGACATTTGGTAGTGTTTTTCGCATTGGAGGGGCAGATTAGAGTCGCGAGGATTGGCTGACAGAGGTCCGGGTCCTCGATAATGTCATCTTTGGCGCCATCGATCGTGTCACACTGGCGAAGAATCTCGTCGTGAACAAGTGCCCATTCCGCTGTGGTCAGGAATGTATCTGAAGTCGAAGAGCCTAGGATGGAATAGAAGTGGGCACTCCAGGAAATCAGATTGGCAAAGTTGATGGCCGGTGCACCTGCGACAACACCGTCGAAGTCGTTGGGATACTTCTGGATCGATTTCCATCCCTCTCTACCACCAGTCGAGCAACCCAGATAATAACTCTTGTTGAAGCCTTCATCGTAGAAAAGGTCGGTCAGTTCCTTGCCGATTACAACTCCAGTATGGAGAGATCGATAGGCAAAGTCCTTCAACACTTCGGGGTGGTGATAAAATGGTTTTCCAGAGGTGCCGTTGTGTCCGTTGTTCGCTCCGACCGTGGCGAAGCCCATCTGGGCAGTATAAGCCAGATCATAGTATTGGATGCCTAAAATAGCGTTAGTAAAAAGTCCAACCTAGTTCTCAATCCAACACATACAGCCTGAAAGACCACCATTTCCAGTACTGAGGAAGCGGCCCGTGTATTCACGAGGGAACCAGGCTTCGAGCGTGATTTGGCTACTGCTGGACGTATTTACAGCCATTGCAACTCGACAAAGATCCACAGAGACTGCCTGGTACGATGCACCACAGCTGGGCGCATTGTCGGGCAGAGACACATTGGTTCCTCCCTGGATATATTCGGCGAAATTGACTTGGACATGGGGTAGATTGATCTTATTAGAGAATTGAGCACACTTGGTCTGGAAGTTATCCTGGCTGGCAAAGGCCGTAGAGCCCAAAGCCAGGAGGGAGAATGCAGAAAAGCGAGCCATGATTCCCAAAATCCACAGTTGAGCCTAGGCAGAGAAGCTGCGGGAGTGACCGAGCTATATAGCTCCTCCCGTCCACCCCATCTGACCTCATCGGCTCGGTGAGCTATGGAGAATACATTGACGATCGGCAAGTGAAGGCCAAGAATTTCCCGGGTATTACCATGGAAAGAAACAGAAAATAGTGGATAGGGGTCATAGCGAAAACCCGAAGATATCCCAAGGGATGGTGGGGGGAATGGCAGATCTAAGAGATCGGATTGGACAGACGAGCCAAGGGTGGATAGAAATGAGGCAAGGGCTGAAGCAGAATGTATTGAAGAATACAAAAAGTGGAGAAATCATTCAGGGAAATTAACAGGGCGAAACAGAGGGGAACCTTGTTCGTTGCAGATAATCCGGGGTCTCCACAAATGCGGGGTGCGGTTGAGCAATGGCTGTTGAATTCGGCATTTCAACGCCAGACGAACCTCTTGCCTAGGTAGATCGGAGTTAATGATAATCAACCGGATCTGTGATGATCCCCAACTTACATCAGGCTACCGCTACCAGGAATGTGTCATGTTCCTGCGGCAACCAAAGGTAGTTGGGAGAGTTGTGGCCTTTCCCGAGGCCGTGTTCGACTTTGGGGTTGGAACGGTTCTAGTTCGATGATCTAATGATCCTGATAGGAGCAATGGCGTGAAGATGGCAAAGTGAAGCCATGGCCTCTAGGGACACCTCATAGAAGGCACGAATTGGTAATTAGGTATAGCCAAGCGCGTGATACCTTTGCGAAAGGATCTTCTGTCGGTGTCCGTTAAGCTCAAACTGAGTTTCAGATTTGCGGACATAGAATCTCTTCCAATGCCTCCAAGGGTTTCAAGCGATGGGCTAAAGACTACAAAAAGTCCTCTTCGTTTTGCGTTTGGTGAGGTTCGTCTTGTGTGAAGATGACATCAAAGCCCATCTGGCGGAGTACTATGTCTGCAAGAACTACCGCGGTCAAAATCTCCAGAGCCCATAGGGTCATCCTAGTAAGAGAAGGCGGGGCCATCGAGACGATGTTCGATGAATGAATTGATGAGAATGTCAAGAAAGGTAGATACACCGGAAGAAATTATTTTATTCCTCAGGCATGTACCCATGCAGTGTTCATGTTAGGTACCTAGCAGATAGAAGACCTGGAGGTGACGGTACAATGATATAGTCAAGATGATGCAATATATTGATATTGATTTTGGCCCCCAAGCCAACTGCATGCCCCTCCCCTCCAAGGTCGCAAAGCCTGCGCCGGTTTCCCTTCCCAAACAACCAAGGTAACACCTCCACAGTTGATATTTTTGTCCATTTCGTTGTAACCACTCCAGAACAATCATGAACCCCCCATTGCCATCATTGACCTCTGTTTGGCACAACGCACCATACGCAGCCATATCTCCGGAACGGCCCGAGCTGAGCGCCTTGGGCAAAACAGTGATTATCACTGGCGCGGTATGCGGCTTCTTCGATGACAATAGGACGCTCGGTCCTTCTGCGAGCGCCTATCTCAGCAATCTGAAAATCACCACTAAAAGTTCTTGAACAGGGAAGTGGAATTGGCCAGGCGACCGCATTGGCCTTTGCTCGTGCTGGTGCCGCTAAGATCGTTTTGATTGGGCGCAACGAAGAGAAACTCCAATCCACACAAAAGCAACTCGATTGCCCGAGTTCTATCCACGCAGCGAATGTCACAAATGAAGCAGCAATTACTCAGGTTGCGACTTCTATAGGCACATGGGATATCATGATCTTGGCTGCAGGCCATATCTCTCCTAGGGTTCACATGCGGGAAGCGTCGGTGACCGAGTGGTGGCAGAATTTTGAGGTTCGTTTCCTTGAGTTGGTGCTGTTGATCACACGATTGCATACTGTTCTAATAACGATAATTGTGGATAGACTAATGTCAAGGGAACCATGATTGCTGCCAATGCATTCCTTCCTACTGCCAACCAGACCCATTCGGCTATTGTTGCATTTAGTGCCGGTGTCTTTTTCCCACCCGGAAGGTTGGCTGGTCTCTCGGGATATATTAGCTCCAAGTTTACTTTGATCAAGGTTATGGAATTTTTGGCTGCTGAGAACCCCAATGTCTTTGCTGCTGCGTTGCATCCGGGAATGATAGAGACCGATAACTTCCGGGCTTCCGGGGCAGACCCTAGCAAGCTTCCTATGGATTCAGGTATTTCTGTCACAAGAGAATATACTGTATGAGAATGATGGCTGAGCTGACATTAATTTTGTCTTAGTCAATCTTCCGGCTGAATTCTTGGTGTGGCTCACGAGTCCCGAAGCCGCATTTCTGAATGGACGTTTTGCAATGGCGAACTGGGATGTGGAAGAACTCAAGACCAAAGCTGATCAGATCCAGTCTGGACAACTACTGACCTCGGGTGTTAACGGATGGCCCTTTTCCCCTATCTAGTTCATTAATATGTAACTTTGGAAGGGCCCAAGCCAAGTCCTTTGGTTTAACATCTACTTAAAGAAGGTACGGGTGCAATTGGTGAAATACCATAGCATCTACAATGCTGAAAATAAGTCACACGAATGTACAATTTTAGGCTAGCCAGTACTGCATTGTATTCGGTTTTCTAAGAAACACTTCTTCAGATTTCAGAGATTTATGAAGCTAGTAGCATGAAGAAAGTTAGACTAATCATGACTGTTCAACACAAAATCAAAATTGGGGCGTGTATTGTTGTGGACTAAATATGAAGTGATAAAGGTAAATAAAGGGATAATTAACTGACTAGTTAACTTTCTCTAGCTGACGTCAGCCTAAGAGGCTCAACGATCCCCAATTCTACCTGACTATCTTCTCCAAGGACCCATTCATCCCTTGAAGAGACGAGCGACTGTTCAAAAACCTGCGGAAATAACTTCCTGATCATGGTGCGTTTCATTACCGATTTGCGCACCCCACCAACAGGGCAAGCCCCGCTCAGAGTGATAGGAGCTGGTCTGCCTCGGACCGCAACATCATCCCTCCAAGCCGCTTTCGAAGAGCTTGGTTTCAACCCCTGTCTACATATGGCACAAATAATTCCTCACCCCGATCGGATGCAACTTTTACTGGATACAGCCCGAGACGAAGATACCCCCCGACGACAGAAATCCATTCACCAGCTCATTGACGGTTACTCTGCCGTGTGCGATATGCCCTCGATTTTCTTTCTAGAGGATTTAATGGATATGTACCCTGACGCCAAAGTTGTTCTGGGGTGTCGGTCATACCCCGAGGCCTGGGCGAAGAGCTGCCACGAGAGCTTGGGCTTCTTCTTTACTCGCAAGTTTTACTTGACAGGGTTCCTTTGGAAGTCGGATCGCTTGTGGTATCATCTCAATATGTATATCGTGGAATGGTGTCGAAAGAAGTTTGGGCAGGATGATATCTTCCAGCCGGATATGTATGAACTATATAATGAGTCAGTTAGACAGGCGGCAAAGGAGCGTGGACGTGACATTTTGGAGTTCAAGGCTGAGGATGGTTGGAAGCCATTGTGTGAATTCCTTGGAAAGGAAATGCCAAGCTCAGAATTCCCACGCGTGAATGAGAAGAAGACTTTTGCCTTGATCAAGGCTATTATGGTCACTAAAGGGCTGCTTACATGGGCGGCACTTGGTGGAGCAGTGTGGCTTGGGTGGAGATATTTCCCCGCGAAATTATGGCACTAAGAGTTTAAATAAGCTTTATCAGGGAGTCAAATGAATATTGGGCATTTAGCTAAGATTAAAACCATGAATACTGTCTGTATTGCTTCTGCGCATGGCCAGTGGGGCTTGCAAAATTACTCATAGAGCCATGTCGCGACACGTCGGGGATCTTGAGTCACCTTAGCAGCTCCTCGAACTAGTTTACTGGGACCGCGCTTCAAATATTGCCCATCTCTCGGCTTGCCTTGAATCTCACCATCGGCCCATATGACTTTACCACGGAGAATGGTATACCGAGGCCAGTTAGTGAACTCCATTCCTTCGTAGGGAGTATCTTATGACGAAAATGAAAAACATTAGAATGAATCACTTTTCTTAGGCATGCCTTCAACTTACAGTCAGCGTTATGGTGAAGCATAGAATTCGTCAAATTGAAACCCATGAAGGAGTTCTCTGGATGCCACTGGTTCCCATCGATTAGCGCAGAGCATGTTTTGAGGCAAACGAAAAGCTTACAATGACCAAATCGGCATCAGAACCAGGCATAATCGCACCCTTTCTAGGGTAAAGTCCATACTTCGATGAATCAGCTTTGAGCCTTGTCGGATAAATAATGTCAGTCTTACCAATTTCGCGGGGTTTGTAGATGTCAACTCCACAAATTTCTGTGGAGTGATTCGACCCGTAGATAATGCTCCTGTATACAAAAGTGGTAATCGAGTTTCGACACCGGGAATTCCATTAGGAATCAGCCGGAATGAGCCTTGTTTGCGCTTAAGAAGACTTTGCAACTCATCACCCGTACAGTGATGCTCGCCTTCCATGCTTGCAGCATCTTCGAGCACGCCTGACGGTTTGCCTCTAGGATCGTCGTATCGAAAAGGGCAGTGATCCGATGAGTAAATGGTAAAAGTTCCATTTTCAAGGCCACTATAGCTTTCAGCAAATATGTCTTCAATCGGATGAGCAGAAGGGGGCGTACACGAATAATTCCTCTTGATCCGATGTATCTGGAGGTGGTGGAGGTGAGCAGATCATCTTACTGTTTTCGAAACAAGTGGGAGAATGGAAGCGTTTCTATCCACTATCAATGACCGACTTTCAACATGAGTATTCGAAGTCTTACCAGATCCTCCCAAGTCAAATGGAAGTATTGAGGGCATGTCTCTGCATACACAGGAAGACCCATAGTTTGCGCCTTACGAATATTTCTGGCACCAAGCTGTGCATTCATGTCAGTGTTTGGTTTCGGTTAAGGCTGTTTATGAGCTTACTGCTGATCCAACGTGAACAAAGAGAATTGGGTTCTGAATCAGCTGTGCTAGCGCAATTGCTCTGTTTGTTGCCTCGCTTTCGACCAGGGGAGGGCGCGACAGAGCATGGTAGTACGGAGCTAAAGTTGAGATTAGGGACGCAATTCGAAAATCTGGACAGGAAAACTAACCAACCATCCCCTTCTTTTCGAGCTTATCTGGTTCTGTATTAGTTAAAAGTTATATTAATCAGATGTTTACCGTCTCTCACCTGTGAGCCATTGTATCATATCACCGTTCTCGGCGTGAATCATCTGCGATATGAGTGAGAATTCTATTGGAACGCAAAAGACAGAAAGGTTTACCGTAGTCATCGAATTCTTCTTAGCTGCAAACATGACATCCAGCAACTGAGAATCTGTCATGCGCTGTGTCTCGTAAGTCAAGAATAGCTTGCAACTGCTAACGCCCCACTCATTCATCAAAACAGGCATCTCTTGTTCCAACACATCGGTGTCATTGCGGACAATGATTATGTGAAAGCCATAGTCAACATAGCTACCTGTAGCCTCAGCACGCTCGTTATAAGCTTTGATAACATGTATGAGACTTCTGTCTTCTTCCGCTCGGGTCTGAGTTGCAAAAGTAATTATTGTAGTGGTTCCACCCGCTGCAGCGCTTTTGGATCCAGTCTCAAAGTTGTCTGCGCATTCGCCACCTAGGCCATGAGGTCCTGTGTTTAAATCTTGAGACAGGTGCACATGGGCATCAATGCCGCCTGGCATTACATAGGCGCCTCTGCTCGTGAGTTAGATTGTTGATCCGAACTAGTGCTAATGGATACGTACTCGGCGTCTATGACTTGGGCCCCATCTAGTTCACCAGTCGTGAAGCTTTCTGCTAGTGCTCGTATCTTGCCATCTTTGATTCCAATACAGCAAGTGCTATTGAATTTATGTGAGCCTTGTGGTGTACGAGTAGTGGGAAGATGTCAATTTACCTAACGTCAGCGGCGGTGACCACGTTACCATTGGTGACGACCAAATCAAACTTTGACATGTTTGATCAATTGTATACAGAATCCCTGTACTTGTGTATTCAATGAAATTGTGGCTCATGCCTTCATCTTATCTAATTGCTTATCATGTACATCCTCGAGATGAGATAAGGATGCGGCAATATCGCCGATCGAGCCGAGATAACAATAGCCGACAGACTTATCCTATCTCTGTATCTCGTAAAAGCACTGTAGGCCTTTGTCGGAGCAAAGTCCTTATGCGTATCTCGACATCGATTTTCTCATGGATCCACAAACCTTGTTCCTGGAGACCCTGCGCTACTATGGGCCCGATTCTATCACGACAGCCCGCCGGGCATTCTCACTATTGATTTGGATTTGAGAGGTCTGGATAAATTATGGAGATATTATATTGATTGATTATTGCTGAACTCGGGGGCCTCAGCATCGGGGTCCGAGAATGTCTGGTTCCAATGTTGTTGCATATCCTCACAAAGCTCAGAACTCTTTTTCCATGAATCAAAGGCATGCTCCAATGTACACGTTACTGTAATGGCCTCCTCCCAGTATGATTTCTCAAAATCATATCCAAAGCGCCGGAGAGCATCCTCCGGTCGAGTATAAAGCCGTCCTTTCCGGGACTTCTTCACAAGCTCAAGTGCAGCGTTGAACTTGGGATTTGAGGCGTGGAGAAAGAAAATCCGTGGAGCATTTGCGGCGGTGGCATTTGTAACACGCCATATGTCTTGACTAGTAAGACTATAGTCTTCCATGGGATCCGCCTGCGCCATTCCAGTAAATGTCCATGCTCCGTTGTCATAATCGCGCTCCACGGCAACCACAGGCTCACTGACGGTATGGAAACTCGCGTCTAGCGCACCGGCTGCCTGTATGAAGGTGTCCTTATCGCCTTGTCCATATGCACCTTGGCCCAACAAAGGCCAGTAATATTCTGGGCCATAGTAGTTGTAATATACAGCCAGAAGAAGGGTTGTGAATTGTGTCTTTTTGGAGATGAGCATCACCCCAGACTCAGTGGCTGCTCGAGCCGTCATAGCAGGCTCCGGTTGTCGTGAAATGTTGAAATATAGAGAAGATGCGGTGTTAGCCCAAAAATCTGGCCATGTAACAAGTCCCGTAGAGGTAAAAGGGTCAGAGTCTAATAGGACAGTTGGGTCGTGGAGGGGGACGCAGTCGGCATCAAGCCAGACAAAGCTTTCGAATGATGACAGCAACATCGCAAATGGTTTGATCTGAAAGTGTTCTACCTTGATGGGCTTGGAGGGTTTGCCTTTCCCGTCACGAACCACATCCAAGATATCTTCGAGTACCTTGCATTGGGCATTGAGCTGTGGTAGCACCACTTCACAGATATAAGGCTCATATTCGACCCAGTCAATGAGGAAGACCTCCACAGGCAACTGGCATCCGGTCCGCCGGATCATGCGTAGCGACGCCACAAAAGTAGGCAGGTATTCGCCGCCGGCAGACGAAACGATGCCCTTGGTGCCTTTGTTATAAGGCCTAGCTTTCTGCTGATTGATTGCTGCAACGAAGCCATCGTGTGCCTCTTGCATTGGCCCTTGTATGTCATCAGAATTGACGACATGGTCCGGTCTTGGCATCAAGTTCAGTGGATCAAATGTGACCCCGTCAACGCGCCCGTCCACATTTGGCGGAGAACATTGAGGTTTCTGCTCGTGAAGTTGCAAAGAAAGATCCCGCAACAGTGTTTCCTGCCTCGCTGCCAGAGGCAATGGAGCTGCAGGGCGAATCCCAGACTTTAGGCTCGTGACGAGATTCCTTAAGCCAGAACCGGAGTCTGGGATGTCGACTTGCGAATCTATAGGTCCAATCCAGAGGGTAGCATCGAAGCGGTCTCTTCCGAATATGTACACGTTGATCAGGAGGACAGCGACCAGAATGCCCACAATTGCTCGCCGACCAGGGCGCTTATTCGTGAACATCACCATAGCTGTAACCTCGACCTCGATGAAACGCGACTTCTCAAGAGAAGTGAATCATGAATGCTGTCGCAAATTTCAAGCGCCCAGCTACTGTTGCCTGTTGTACGTGTGCGATCGATCCACTGGGACAGGGCCATTCGGGGAAACAGAGCCACATCAGAGTGGATCTGGCCCCCAACTAGCCTTGTTTGTCAGGGGTATACGTACGCGCAACGTACGTACGTGGTTGTGCCATGCCAAGGCCTTACTACGGCGCTGCTGGTAGTGAACTGTGTAAGAGTCGATCGTAGCTCCGTCGTTCGTAAATATAAGCCGGCATATGGTTACAAAGATTTTTAGGTGTCCAACTCCAAGTGCCAGAGACGCTAAACCATTCCCACATTGTCTGTGAAAAGTTGAATTTAAATCCATGCATGGGTTACTCGAACATGCTCATATCTGCCATAAGCTGTTTGATACTATATTTGTCTTCGAACAGCGGATCCAGCCCTATATGATCTATGATCGCCCTGTACAATAACTGCCCTGACCCACATTGCGGATCCGAGGACTGCCGAAAGGAAGAAAAGGGGAACAGAGAAATAAGAAAAAGACAAAAGACATATTTGAGATGAAAACAGCGACTTTACTAATGGCGCCTCATGTTGGACTTGTGAGACAAGAGCCGACTTGCCGGAGCGGCCATTTCTCCGCACGCATTTTCTCCGCATAAGCTTGGTCTCGGATTGGGCCTCCACCCAGTGCTTTTCCTTCCGACCTCTTACTGAGCACGTCATTCCCACTCAATTTCAACGGGCGGACGGCCACAATTGTCCAAATCGCCATGTCCATCGACGAGAACGAGATTGCGAGAGCTCCGGCGACGGAGCAAACGCCTCTCCTGCGCGATGCCGACCCCGCCAATTCCGGCCCGGCAGACGGAGAGTCACCAGCGACCGAGGAGGTCAGCATCAAGGAATTGATCATCATCCTGGGCAGTATCTGGGTGGGAGTTTTTCTCGCGGCACTTGGTATGTGTTTCTAAGTTGCTGCAAGACAATGACGCGTTAATGTGCATACGAGACTAATTGATGGCTTCCCCGCTACAGATACAACGATTGTCGCGACACTTTCTGCCCCGATTTCATCCTCGTTCAACTCTTTCTCCTTGCTTTCGTGGCTGGCCACTTCATACCTGATTTCAAATGCTGCTTGTCAACCTCTCAGTGGTCGATTGACTGACATCTATTCGCGTCGCTGGGGGTTGGTCTTCTCGAATATCTTCTTCGCACTGGGCAACCTGATCTGTGGTTTGGCAAAGACCGAGAGTACAATCATTCTTGGCCGTGTCGTTGCGGGTATTGGAGGAGGTGGCCTTACAGCCATCTCGACCTTTGTGACATCGGACCTAGTCCCCCTTCGGAAACGAGGCATCTGGCAAGGCGTCGGCAACATCTGTTATGGGGCTGGAAGTGGCCTTGGAGGTGTGTTCGGTGGCTGGATCAACGACACGCTGGGATGGCGCTGGGCATTCTTGCTTCAGATTCCTTTCCTAATGATATCGTGCATCTTGGTCGCATTCAAGGTCAAGATTCCAGTGAAGGATTCGGACAAAGCCCGGATCAAGCGTGTTGATTTCCTCGGTGCCATCACCCTTGTACTGACGCTCGTTACACTGCTGTTGGGTTTGAACACTGGCGGAAACCAAGTACCATGGACTCACCCCATTGTCCTCACCTCGTTACCCCTGTCTGCGGTGTTCCTGGTATTGTTTATCTACGTGGAAGCTAAAATTGCATCGGAGCCCGTCATCCCGGTGAAACTCCTTTTGGATCGCACGGTCGCAGCAGCTTGCCTGACAAACTGGTTCACCACGATGACGGTGTTTGGCCTGCTTTTCTATCTTCCTCTGTACTTCCAGGTGCAGGGATTGTCAGCCACTGCTGCCGGAGTTCGTTTGATTCCGCAAGCAATAGGCACATCTATTGGCTCCTTGGGCTGCGGGCTTATCATGCGATCCACTGGCCGCTATAAGCTATTGAACTCTGCTGTCATGGCCCTGCAGGTAGTGGCGGTCGCGCTGGTCTGTACCTTGAATTTCTCCACCCCGTCATGGCTGCCGTTCCTATACTTCTTCCTCCTCGGAGCCTCGTATGGCAGCATGCTCACCATCACGCTCGTTGCTCTTATCTCTGCAGTGGACCATGAGCACCATGCGGTGGTTACATCCGCATCTTATGCCTTCCGTAGCACAGGTAGTACAGTTGGAATCACGATTGCATCGACCGTATTCCAGAATACTTTCAAGATTGGGCTGTGGTCTCGCTTCGGTGATCGCAAGCATGCGGCTGAGCTTATCTCCAAGCTGCGAGATAGTATCGATGAGATCCGCAAACTTCCTCAAGAATGGTTTCCGGGTGTGCTGGATGCATATATGAATTCTCTGCGGGCGGTTTTCTTGACTTTGTTGGGATTGACTGTGTTGGGAGCCTTGGCTAGTCTTGCTATGCGCGAGCACAAGTTGCACAATAATCTCTCTCGCCGTTGAGTACTGAGCCAATAGTGAACATAACATAGATTCTAGATGTTTGACAAGTCCATAAGTACGACTTGAAATACAAGTTATAGAGTGAAAAAATAAGCGCAAGATCGACTCCGTATACTTAAAATTGCGGCAACTCTAATTATCTTAGTCATAGTCGATGGGTTGACCGCCTCTACGTCACAGTGCCCAATCATTGTCATGCGATGCTGCACGGCTGCCCGCCTCTAACCGCCAACTACTCTAGTCTCTGGAAATCCCTCTTTGTGCTGCTTGTGATTGGTGGGAGTCCTGCAGGAAAAAGGAGTCTTCGACCTGATTATTCTGCTGGTTAGCATCCACAGTTGAAGCCAAAGCTGAAGCTAGCCAGCACGTCCAGGTGGCAAGACGTGGCGACTGGGGATTGAGTCGAAAGATTCATTAGATCGAAGAATATCATCCACAGCTACTCCGTACACCGCTTCATATTAAAGCAGACAGACAAGCCAAGCGTGCAGGTCACACCAAGATTCCCGTGCATCGCATATGAAGGCCCAGTCACCGCTTCGATTGCCTGATCTCCACCCCGAACCACAAAGTCTGCCGGATAAGCGTTTTTAGACCATTCGATCTGGCTTTTCGTCGGAACCGCCCTGGGCGATTCTACTTTTGAAATCTCTTTGAAACGCCGACTTAAATCTTGCCGCATCCATACTCGATCACCGAATCCATTCTCCGCATCTCGAGTGTCGACCCTCATTCTCTCCACTTTTATCGAACCGCCCAGGCATATGGCTGTTGGCTTTTGACCAGACCAGACAATATACAGTACCTGCATGACCAGCGTTACAAAGAGGTGGTGGACTAGTGAAATGGAAGTGGATGGAGAGGAGACGGTATTCGGCAACGAAGATGGCGATCGCGATAGCTGCGATCCGCTCGCGTACGATGTGAGGGTAGCCGCCTCACCACGACGTCGCCGGCTACTCCTATCGACCGATAGCGCCTTCGCCGATACCGTGCTTCCTTCGTTGGTTCAGAACCCATACATCGAACTGCGTTTGATTACCGACGAACCTTCGGCTCTTCTGACTGGCACGAACAAGATTCCGCATTACATGGATACGGTAGATGGACAAACGTTTGATAAAAAGACTGGGGCACGAAAATGGCTGAAAGCAAAGACGGCTGAGCTCTGCGAGTGGGCTGATATGCTGCTTGTCGCGCCCATTGATGCTGGGGCCCTTGGATCTATGCTGGCGGGGTTGACCAACACCTTGACTTTGGCACTTTTGCGTGGCTGGGTCTCAAGCAAGCCTGTTATTCTCATTCCAGGGATGACTGTTTCGGAATGGGACAACCCGTTGACTCGCCGGCAGCTTGACGAGCTCCATCGGTACTGGACATGGGTATACATCGTGAAACCTGTACTTTGGAAGTCTAACGGGCCCGAGGATTTGACAACCTTACCCTGGGACGGGTTGAAAGACCTGCATACTACACTTCAACTCACATTGAACATACCTTCGGTGGCTGCATCCATGGCTGCTGCATCTTCAACAAAGGGCAAATCTGCCGCGTCTCAGTCATCTTCAACCGGGGCCCAATCATCGGAACCCGGTAGTAAAATTGGATCAGCCTTGCGAAATCAGCAGACTCATTGGCCGACCTCTGAAACTAAAACGCAGTCTCTTCCATTCGAAATTTGGCTGAATATTTTTGAGGAACAGTTGGGAGACTGGGAAACTGCCAAAGCCGTTGGAATTCCAACCCATCTTCCTGTTCCCCAAGAATGGCAAAGCCATCTATTGAAAATGTCTACTCCTGCTTCCCTTGAATATACAATTCTCCGAGGCTCCTTTGCCGCCATAAAGAAGCGCATTGATGCACTACCTCGATGGAAACCCTTGTCAGACCTTGCCTGTCATCTTATCGTGAAATTCTCGCGAACGGATATCTTGTCCTACCTTACCGAAAACCACCTCGATCTGTTGTGGACGACATCCCGTCTCACCAACATACCCTATCGTGCATCTGCAATTTACGGAAACCCGACGGTTTTGACCTGGTGGCGTGATGCTCCTGCGCTTCCCAACAAAGAGTACATGGCCGATGCCATGGATGGTGCGTCCAGAGCTGGCTTCATCCATGTGCTAGACTGGTGGCTCCATTCCGGGCTTCCGCTCCGATACAGCGAGCGAGCCCTCGAGTCCGCCAGTGCCGAGGGTCGAGTTGCCGTTCTTGACTGGTGGAAAGCAGCATCAACTAACGCTCCACGCAACAAGCCCATTCCGATGAAAGTTGGCAAATCAGTCCTTCTCGCCGCCCAGTCCGGTCGCACGGCATCATTAGCATGGTGGGATGCATCAGGGATTCCATACAGTAATGCCGAAAATGTTGCTCGGATTGCTAGTACACATGGCCATGTTCACGTGCTTGATTTCTGGTTCCGTCTGAAGGGCCCGAAGATGATATTCGACAATCAGGTACTTGTCGGCCCAACCAAAAATGGCCACGACCATGTTTTACAATGGTGGAAAGACTGCGGTCTTCGCGTCGAGTTCAAAACTTGCGACATAGAAGAAGCTCTGGAAGACGCAGTCTCCGGTGCTGATGTCCGTGTCCGCGCGTGGTGGGAACGCAACGGCCTCAATCTAGGTCTTGGAACAAGGGAATGGATGAAGCCAAAGGTGCTTTAACTTGCATTATAGGTATACGCTCCGGGGTTTGGGTATTGGATTATGCATTGCTGGCGATGGAATGCTTCTTTTTCTCTTTGTCCTTCTGTTCTTTTCTTGTCCCTTTTTTAATCGGTCGACTGCCGATCTTGCTTTCTACTTATGACACCAGACGATGAGATGACCCATAAATACCCATTTGAATATTTTCATCCATGTCATTTTATTCGCTTGGTCGTCCATACCAAGGACACGAACATACATATCTATCTATCTATAACTTTCCAAGAATGAATCATGAGTCACTCCCACTTCTCCACTCGCACATGTTTAATCTCAGCACCCTTGAGTACTTTCTTGATTACCCCAAACTTCTTGAACGCCTCTGACTCGGCGAATCCAAAATGATCCTCTACCTTATTCCCTCCGCTGAACAGCACGAACTCCTCATCTTCCCCTTCTTTGTCAATCCTCCACCCACCAGCGTATGAGTAGGGGGCCGTATAAGCCCCGAGGTCAGGCACCGCGTTCTTGAACAGGGCATCAAATTCATCCTTATTGCTAGCCGTAACAAAATACCTGCTGATAGCAATGACTGGTGCGTCCAAGGGGATAGGAGAGGTAGCAGGCTAAACATCAAAGTCAGGTCCATATACCATATAACACCTCGACTTTTTCTCTTCTAACCCACATCCATATCTAAATGAAACATCCACTCAACATCAACATCATCCTTTAACTGTCCCAAATACTTCTGGTTCGTCTCTGACGTGATCCAGTCTCCGGCATGAACGGCAATAGATTCCCACCCTCCAGTGATATAAAACCGCTGGGGGTCCTCGACCTGCCGAAAGAAGCGCGCTGGGTACTTTGAGAACTCAGTTTGCGCCTGCTGGGCTTGGATGAGATTCGTCTTTGATACGGACGAAGGTTCCTCGGCCCTCAGGCGGAGGAGGGCAATTTCAGTCACTGGCATTTTAATGAAATGATGATAATATGGAAGTAGGATTGATGATGTTCTGAATATAATTTGAAGGGGCTTTTCAGGGTCCGTTGCATATCTTTTATACTTTTCTTACGCCGGGTTTAAGGGTTGCTCGGGGGCCGAAGGATGTACTTGTGGAGCTCGAGGCAGCCATCTCTTGCGCGTCTCTCCGTTTCAAATTTCATGTTGGAGGCATTTTCTGAAATGGGTTCGAATGGGGTTGGATGAACTTATTTGAAGGATTTGTTATCCTGGTTGACGTAGTCTTCTGGCAGCCTGACGACTCTAGCATAGAATTGTTTGGTTCCAGTCCAAGTACAATATAGGATGCTAGAACTGAGTCTATGGACATTATAACCTATGCATTGATTCTTCTGCTAAAATACAGCCGAGACAACTTTCTCCGAGGCTCTCAAGCTAGTTCGTGCTGCCACCCATCATTTAACTCGACCCCATACTCCTATACTTCTTTGCTGTGGAGGTGTTAGCAACTTTCCAGAAATAGGTAGAGTGGGGAACATACTAGGTGTAGCCCATCCTCTCAGCCGCAGGAGACGTCTTGATCGCATTACGATCTCCGAAAGGATTATCCTCGTCATCTTCTTCTGATTCCTCACTTTCACTCTCGAGATCCTCTAACGCAGACAAAGCAGTCGGACGAGGTGGCTTAGGCGGGCCAACGCTCAACCCGCTGAAGCTCTGATTCATCTCATCATCCATTTCAGCCCTCGACCGCCAGTTTCCGCCCAGAATGTCATCGTCACTGTCGCTGTCATAGTCGACACTCTTGTCTAACACCTCGAACGCCATCAAGGCCGTAACAAGCTCTTCGTTGGCATGAATCAAACCCCCCAAGAACTCCTCGCTCTCGATGTGCTGAATATACCGCAAAATGCTGTGTCGAAGCTTCTTACACTTCTCAAATCGATTGATGCACTCCGCATCCTCACTAACTCGTGTCGTCTCACGGTTTACAAGCTTCAGCGCATTTAACAGATCCGTACTCGCCACAGAAGCCGATGCAAGTGTCTGTAGGATCTCCGGTCGCTCCCGTTCCAGACTGAAGCTCCTGCCGGCACTAATCGAAAGTTTCTTCTCCTTCTTGTCCTTCTTCGATTTGCTCTTGTGCTTCGGACTACTGAGCGTCGTAGAAGGCCCATTTCCGGCCGAGACGGAGACCGTATGGCCCATAGCGGGTTCATTTGGGTTCGATGACCCTTCCCGTAGTACCTTCGCCTTGGCCTGCGTGGCAGGCTGCTTCCGCTTCGGAAGCTGCCTGTATAGGGCAGTGATCTTGTCCATGCCAGGCGTATCCTTGTATGTTACAGCCCATTGTCCAAAGAGAACTTTGCATTTTTGCTTCACGAGTGGATCGGAAACTGGATCTGTCCCTGCGATGCGCAGTCGTTCGAGGAGGGGCTCGTCGGCGAATCCGCGCAGGAATCGTTCGCCTGCATTTTGGATAAGAAAGTCGAGGATGACGAGGGCACGGAGCTGTCGGTGAAGGTTTCCGTATTTTCTATTATATCAAGTCAGCGCAATATCGTGATGCGGAGAGCTCTCCGCCGACGTACAGCTTCTTGCGCAGTGCGCGACTCGCTTCCGTTGGCCCGCTAGCCTGGATGCGGATAACCTCGATTAAATCGACGATACCGCTAGAGTCCTCCACTTCATATGTTTCGCTCGTAAGGACTTCGATTTGCACGGTCACGGCCGAATATGGTTTCTGTAGTATCATAGGCCGATATGAGTTCTGTGGTCACACGATACACTTATCGTGCGATTTGGCAGGGTCTTACCGAAGACTGAAACATGATGGGCAGTAATCCGGGATGTCTGTTAACTTCAAACCGTCAGTATATTGGTACATCTCCAGGGGATGCCTTCATTTTTAGGAAGTTCACTGACTTGAAATTGGTCCCCTTCACAACCCCGCCGGTATCAACAGTTCGGTATAACCCCGCACGGGTCGAAATGCACACGGGATGCCGTTGTCGAGGAGATCAAGTCGGCGGAATCTGATGTCGCAGAAAAGCGATAGCTATGCCGGCAGAGGCCTGGGCGTAGTTTCTTGATCTCAAAATGAAGCAGAAATCTGGAGATTGGGGTGATAAGGAGAAGACGGTGACGTCGGGGGCAGGGCAGTCTTGGCGCTAGTCGGGAGGATCAACGTCTCGGTGGTGGATGTGGTGGGTTTCAGGGGGACCAGCCAAAAGAACATGTCGGTTGGAAGATCGCTGCCCAATTTTGAAAAGCACACACTTGTCGGTTTCATATTTTCAAATTTTTGTGATTTTGTTCTCTTTATTATGTATGATCTTCACGTATTGTTCGATATTGTGCCTCAATTAGGACTAGGGCGGGGTTGTCTAAGCTGTCCAGGGATAAGAGAATACGAGATTTCAGCAGTACGAACTGATAAACGATATACTGTACACTAAATTAAACCTCCAATTCCCGATTGCCACAACTTATGATTCCAGGAACGTCGTCCCAATCTTATTTGGCGCGCGTCCTGTCCCGCTTTCTGATCTGCTCCACCCTCATTCTGGCTCTCAGCGTGGCCCTCAAGACCCGCTCCCGCCTCTCCCTCCTCTTCCCCTCCTTTGCTTCTCCTTCCTCCCAACACACCGCAACCATGTCTTACACACAAGAACGCTACATCGCCGAGCTGGCCGTCCAGCGTGCCTCCCTCCTCACCCAGAAGGTCTTCTTCGAGAAGGCCAAGGGCACCGTCTCCAAGGATGACAAGTCCCCCGTCACCATCGGCGACTTCGGCGCCCAAGCCCTGATCATTCAGGCCATCCGCAAGAACTTCCCCAACGATGAGATCGTCGCCGAGGAGGAGTCCCGGGAGCTGTACGAAGATAAGGCTCTCAGCGCCGAGATCTGGCGTCTGGTTAAGGACATTAAGCTCGATGACGCTGAGAGCGACAGCATCCTTGGCGGTCCCCTTGCTAGCGAGGAGGAGATGCTCAAGATCATCGACCAGGGTAACAGCGCTGGTGGTGCTTCCGGTCGTATCTGGGCTCTTGACCCCATTGACGGTACTAAGGGTTTCCTCCGTGGTGGCCAGTACGCCGTCTGCCTCGGTTTGATGGTTGACGGCGACGTCAAGGTCGGTGCCATTGGCACCCCCAACCTGCCCATTGACGATGCTGCCACCATCGATGCTAGCACTGGTGCCCAGCAGGCCAATTCTTCGGCTAATGGTGTTCTTTTCTCCGCTGTTGTGGGCGAGGGTGCTACCAGCCGTCCCCTCGGCAGCGGTGCTCTTGCTGCCAGCAAGTCCATCTCCATGCGTCCCGTCCCCGATATCGCCCAGGCCGTTTTCTGCGAGGGTGTTGAGGCTGCTCACTCTGCTCAGGGTGATAACGCTGCTGTTGCTGGTCTTCTGGGTATCACCGCCCCTAGCGTGCGCCTGGACTCGCAGGCCAAGTACTGCTCCATTGCCCGTGGTGCTGGTGACATCTACCTCCGTCTTCCCGTGAAGAAGGACTACCAGGAGAAGATCTGGGATCACGCTGCTGGTGACATCATTGTCCGTGAGGCCGGTGGTCAGGTCTCTGACATCTATGGCAACCGCTTGGACTTCAGCAAGGGCCGGACCCTGGCTGCGAACAAGGGTGTTGTCGCTGCCCCCAAGGCCATTCACGGCCAGGTCATTGATGCCGTCAAGTCGGTGCTGAAGCTGTAATATTGTTGGAGTGAACAAAATGATCGAGCTTCGTTGCTAGGATCATTCATCTATGATACCACTTACGAATTTTGTGGAACGGAATGTCTTTGGATCCAAAAAAGTACATATTGAAAATATAAGAACAGAGGATAGAGTAGTATAAGAATACAGGGGAACCAAAAATGCCATGTTCCAAAGAAACAAACCCACAATGCCGCGTGCGCCCACAGATTATTTGATCTTCTTAGCCTTAAGCTTAATCGTCTCGCCGTTGACAAAGATACCCTTGCCCTTGTACGGCTCCGGTCGTCTCCACTCCCGGATCTCCGCCGCAAACTGCGTCACCTTGCGCTTGTCGACACTCTCGAGCAGAATTCGGGTGGGTTGCGGTGTGCTAGCCTGGACACCCTCGGGGATACCCAGCTCAATGGGGTGAGAAAATCCAACCTTGAGAGAAACGAACTTCTGGCCGGGGTAGGTCGCGGAGACGGTGGTTGCGGTGTTTTCAATGGTGGCACGGTAACCAACACCGACCATAGAAAGAATACAGATGTGGCCTTCTGAGACACCGGTGATGTGATTTTGGAGCAGAGCGCGAGCAGTACCTATTAACAGAGGCAAACGTTAGATGGACGGACTGATTGAAATGAAGGTCAAGACCTAAGACCCAATGATAAAGAAAACATACCCCACATAGCACGCTGCTGAGGGACCTCAGGATCAATGACAGAAAGCGTAGCCTTCTGAGTAGTTGTATCATGGTTCACAGTCAAGAAAGAAGGCAGGTCAAGGGTCATCTCGCCTACAACCAAAACACAATTAGCAAACGTCCCTTTTCAGCGGCCATTGAAGCGGTAACATACCCTTAGGCCCCTTGATTTGCGCAGCAAACTTAGGAACATCCTTTCCACGGCCCTGATTCAGGGACTTGGGCAAATCAACAAGAGTCAATGACACCTCGGGAGGAATGGAGATGGCAGAACCTCCGATACGGGATTGCGCCGGGGAGGTGGTGGAGAATTGGGCGCGCGAGGAGAATGCTGGGGTGAGGAAGAGAGGTAATGAGCCGCGCTGGAAGGGCTCACGGAGGAGCTGCCGGGCGCAGCGTTGAGGTAGACACGACATGATAATTTGGTTGTTGATCTCGGAGTTGCGGACGACGATTTTGTCAGTAAAATGGTGGTCTGGATTGGGTTAGCGTGCACGTGACCTATATGGAGTATAGCTTCAGTTCAATTGTTCTATCATCTATCTGATTGCGTATCGTCGAGGGATTACTAGTTCCATAGTTTAGCCTTAGATCTAGGTTTTGTTTCACGTTTAAGTCCCCGGTGCGAATTGTCATGGATCTAACTGATAACATGTCAGCGTATCACTTTGAAGCTTTGCGTTCCCCCAGCACAAATTACAATATATGAGATAATCGTACGGTCGTACCAGTTAAACTGCATTGGGCAGGTGCTTCAAGCTTAATATCCAGTCAACGGTACTCAAGCACACATATAGCTAGATGACAACAGGGGGTATGCAAAAATAAGGTCAAGAACGTGATTCGAATTTCTTCAACCCAAAATCTATCTCTCACTTTTCACCTCAAATACCAACCACTCGGTACCAGAGGCGAAGAACCTAGAGCTCAATTGAGAATTTCTGTCACCTGCACCCTTCTTGAGGTCGTATACCATAGTCAATATACCGCGGTAACGCCCACGTCTATACTGTCGAGTCCCGACTTTCACCACGTGGACACAGTCTCGATAAATTCTTCCCCCGAAAGTTCTTCGAGACCAGGGAAACGAAGATGACACTCGCCATATCTAGACTGTTCTTCTTGCTTGCCGTTCAAAGCATCGTTGGTGCCAGTTTGCTTGATGCATCTGATGCGGGTAAATTACCTTTGACACGTTCATTGATTTTCATTACTGATAGGGGAAGGCTCAACCGCTTTCGCCTCGATTCAGAGAGGGAACGAAGACTCTCGTCTAGATATCAAAACCAATACTTCACAGCAAGATGAAATATTCACCCATGCTATTCAAATCTTAGACTCGATGAAGTCATCACCATCTTGTCACCGCATTGCAGCTACAAAGCTAGTCACCTCATGTCAAGAGATGGGAGGTCAAGACGCCAAATCACGTGAAGAATATGAAGCTCTAGATCAGACACGATCAGTATACGCTGCACGTCTCGCTATTTGTGAGCTCGAAGGCGCAGGCTCTTCAACCCCGCCTCAATGTCATCCTTTGACTGTTCCACCAGTGGAGCCAAAGTTTCGATTCAACTTCATGGCTAGATCTAAGCAGTCGGATTCTGGTGTGACTGAGTATCCCAAGAAAGTGCTCGAACTATGTCTCAAAACTCTCGAGGCAAGGCCTCAGTGGTGGATATCATACAGCAACAACCGACAAAATGCTATGGTGATTTGCCAAGCTGCGAGAACGGAAACTGAGAAGGACGAGCTACTCAATCTTCATCGTTCTATTGTGGATAGCAATATCAAGCTTAACGAAGGACTTCAGTTTGCACTGAATAAAGCCGCCATTAATTCCGCCAATAATGAAGCATTCTGCCAAGCTGTGCAAGCACTGCAGGACAAACTTTTGGTCGATCTGGAACGACAAGGATCGACCTTCCAACGTATCTTCGGCAAGCTGCTGCATGAGGTTGATATCGGCATTAATACGGTAGTGAATACAGTCACTTCTGCTCTGGGGAGAGTACAGAATAAGACCGTGAGCCTTGAAAGGGTTTGTAGAATTTGCTTTAAGGAGTTTTTATACTATTCAATGCTAAATTCAATTTAGGAGATCAGGAGCGTGTCTGGTCAGGTCATTGCCCTCCAAGAGGCCCTTGAAACAGCGCACGAGGACTCTATCTTGCAAAATGCCCATTCACTTCGCGTGTTTGAGAAAAATGCTGTTGCATACCAAGGTCTTGCCTCGGATTTGCATTTATCCTTAGAGTCTCTCGTGGGTGCAGACCTGCAAAGAGTTTCTCAAAGAATGACTGACCTTGACGCATCTCTGGTAAGTCAGACTGAGCCGAGTTTAAACAATTTCACAGTTGACGCTACCAGGAATGGCTTACAAGTCGACTGATCCGTATTCTCGAGCACGAAAACGAACTCGCCGAGGTAACATTCTCTTCTAACAATCTTACTTGAAGCCCCTAACTCTTATTAGAGACTGAAAACCATGGGAGACCTGGTTGAACAGTCAACAAACAAAGCGAACGAGCTACAGATAGCTCAGATTCAACAAGCCGAAGCACTTGCGGCCCAGTCCCGCGCGCATCGAGAATTGCAATTCACCGCACAATTATCGCAGGCTTTGCTAGACAAAGCCTTTATAACTGCAGCAAATTTGCAAGCAGCTGTTCAGCAAGCATCTACCAAAGCGCAGCAAATTCCACAGCTGGGCCGCTTCTCACTCTGGTCATTCGCTTTAACCTTGCTTCTTGCCATCGGAGCGCAACATTCGAAGGTTGCAGCTAGTTTACTATTTCTGATTTTTGGTACGTTCATTACCTGAGCATGAGGGTGAGGAGGAAAAAATCATGCGCTGACACTGATTTCCAGGGCATAAAATTGCCATTTTTATTCTTCAATATCTCTGAGTTTCCGGTTCTTATATTCGCTCTTTTCTCACGGCCTGCAATGACCTTTACGCTGAGTTAATCTCGCATCTTTATACCCATAGAATATTTCGCTCATTTCTCATATATTTTTATTTTCGTGTTTTCGAATTTCAACTATGGAAAGGACAGATTAAATAAGATGGCTTTCTCATCTGAATTTCAGAGTGCAGCCTTCGTTCCGTTTAAGGTGAAGGCTGTCAATAGAGATGTCTTTCCCTCCATGTGGACTCCGGGACTAAGCTGGCTGCTTTGGCTTATTTTTAATGCAAAGGTGCAGATCTAGTTCAAAACTACAGGCGAATTTGTTTATTCAAATACACCCATAGAGCCGTAATAACAGTGCCTGATATTCAGAGTCTTACATATCTAAGATCCAGTTAGGCCTATTGTAAAAAACCGTGTTCGATTGACAGTTGAATGAACTAGGAATCCATAACTGATGCTGCTCCGTCCGCTGTGGAATATATCACACCGGCATGTCCTATTCCCGACTCCATCCGCGATATGGAAATGTTCAAGTGTGCGGAAAATAACACCGCCGGGAAAATAATAAGTACCGTAATATCAACCTTAAAAACGCCCGCTGCCTCTGGCCCGATGAGTGAAGATGATAATAAAGAATTGGGAGGATGCAATGTGTCTGTGCAGATCCAGTTTCGAATCGAGACGGATCAAGAGCGCCGGGGCAAAGAGACATCAATCAGACGTCGTCCATTGCCCCGGCTGGTTCTTCCTCTCCGTCAGACTCATAGCTCCCGGCGGAGCTGAGCTCATCTTCAGACTCGGTATCTTCTCCTGCCTCGTCAACAGCTTCTTTGCTGGCATACTTTGAGACATATTCTATGAAGTGTTAATTATCTGGGCGCATTGAGTGCTCATGGATACGCACCCTTGACTTTGGCCTCGTAGGCTTTGGGCTCTCGCATCATCAAAGCTGCCGCCTCACCATTGAGCGGGTCAGATGGATTGGGGTATCGTAGAAGCTGAGGGAGGAAGACTTCGAAGATGTTGAGCATGTCATACATGGGAGACCATGTTTGGTTGATGACGTCCAGACAAACCGATCCAGACCTACATTAGAACATAATCAATACCCAAGCATTGAGAATAATCTAAGTGGTTTAGGAGACTCACAACTCATCAATGTTGGGGTGGAAGATGCGGTTAACGAATCCAATGCTGGGGCTCTTGTAGGGATACTGGTCCGGCAGTTCGACATGAATCTTCCAGTGACCTCCGGTGAACGGTGCTGAGGAATGTTAACAAGAGGACATATAAAAATTTCATATACCTGGACATACTCTCTTCTGGTCCCTTGAAGCGAACATAAAACTCTTGCCTGGAGCAAAATAGGGTCGTTAGATGGTTCAAAGCGCTGGTCCAGGGTTGGTTGCGCCGGCTAGGTCACGTACACTAGACTTCTGTCAGTATGTTTGACTGAAATCACTTCAAGTATGGCAGAACATACTGTTGTCATTCACCAAAGTCACCTCGTAGTCACTCATCAACCTATTAAACTTGTCAGACTCAATTTTGTAGCCCGATGTCTCGAACTGAGACCCAGGGTATCCTCCGCTGAGATCGGACGGGAATTAATTCGGAGAAGGGGAGATCGGTTCGCATACATCCTAAGCCATAGTCAGTATGTGTCTCGGGGCTTCATATGATCGCATATTTCATACTTCATGACCTGTTGCAATGAAAAATCGCTCATTAGCAATTGCGGGGACCTCGGAAGCTTCTCCATATGTCGTGAGGGGTACTCACATCGGTCTCGATTCTTCTTTTCGGGCTGCTCATGGTGGCGGGTTGAAACGGCTTCGTGAATATCTCACTTAAATCTCACCAGGTAATTTGTATGGAGTTGGTCTGAGAGGACTTGATTCAGAGCCGCTGATGAGGTCACCGAGCAGTTACCCCCCGTTCGGAGCGGGGAAGTAGATAGCGGGGAAGGATCTGAGAACAGAGGGTTCGCGTAGAGATAGGGTGTCGTACGACCGATATCCAGCAGTTCCAATTTATAAGTTCACAGGAAAGCAAGAACAGTCTGAAGCAGGGCATGGGAAAGAGAAAGGAGGGGAACTGAACAATGATGGCCCGATGACTCAGCCGTTATCGCAATCCGGAGATCGGAACCATGGAACCCGGATGTCACGACTGCCCTGCATTTCTGCCCAAGTGGACACTGAATACCATGGACACAGAGTTAGTGTTATTAGCAGGTGATACAGTCCGATGGATCTGTCCATTGCCGGGAAAGTCCCCGACTAATTGTACATCGCCCAAACAAAGCATGAATGATTTGTATCATGGCATAATCACCAGCATCAGGGGTTACATACATCATACATGTGAACCTTGACTAAATATTGAGTTCTATTACTATTTTATTTTTAAATTTCAGATTTCGTGTGACTGGGACCAACTTCATCTCGTCTCTCCCGGCAACTCATTCACAACTTTATTAGTCGGTGCCTCGGCATTAAACACATTTCCGGGAAGCTCAGTAGTTTTGCAGTGTCCCTCGAGCTGGAAGGGCTCATCCTTCTGAGGACCCAGGAGCTGTTTTTGGGGTTGAGATCGTCGCCGCCGGATGATGAACCAAATCACCAGGATAAGGGCAATGCTTGCCACACAGCTCACTACTATTCCAGCAATTGAGCCTGGGCTAAGACTGTCGCTTGAAGAAGCATCCTCCATTTTTTGGGCTGATGTGACTTCCGAAGTTGATGTTAACGTTGAAGTTGGTATCGTTGCCATCCTAGTGGAGCTGACAGGAAGAGTGGTTGTCGCTGCCTATTAACATGGGTGAATAGATGGCGCAAGACAAGTGGGTGAAGTACAAGCGTACAGGAAGGGGAGAGAAGACTTGCAACATAGTCTCATTGGTGATTTTCCCCGCGGAGTTGTTGATATCAATCGACCATTGCGCTCCTGTCGTGTCTGTGTTCATCACCGGTATTGTGTGATTCAAAGCGCTCATGTCCACCCCGAGCATATTGTCCGTTGCCAGCAACATGTTGTACATAATCCAACCATCTTCTCCCATTGTCAAGTTCCACTGCATCCCAAGGTCTGGCCCAGTGGCGAGGAGTTGCGGCGTGATGCGCTCATCGGCCGTGAGGCCTAGTTGGTATGTTGCTCCATAATTCCAGTTGCGAATGAAATAGATGCCCTGGTCATAGAATATTTGCCAATTCTCCGAAGAGAAGCTGCGAATGAGATTCAGTACTGGAGCATTAGGGGGGTCGTTTGTTTCACCGACTGCCAGTGTCATGTTGACTCCAAGGGCAGTATTGGAGAAGCGGTAGTAGTACGTCGAGTCAAATGCACTGCCAGTCATTTTGATGGAATGGGCCCAGTCGAGAGCCTGAAGTCCAGCAATAGCTACGAGATGAATGGGATGGGTTCATGGTCCCATTTAATATGGTTTTCAGGCCGGGCATGTCCCTGAAAATAACAGTTCTTGGCCCCTTAACTCCAAAGTAGACACGCTTCAAGTATTATACTTGTAATCTATACCATTTTCAATGATTTGAGACTGAGGACTACGAAAGGCAATTGGCCAGGGAGATCATTTCGTTCTAATGAAACCAATTTTGGGGCGAACGCTAGTGATGCAGGCCATGGCAAGTGCTTATGTAGCTAGCATTCACTCAAGGAAAGTGGGATTGCTTCGCTTGATCTCCACAACTCGTTTAGCTAGCGTGTGCTTACTGTAGCCCCTGGTGTCATCAGACTGAACCGCCCGCAGCCACAATAAGCTGTGCCCAATAGAATGTCAACATCTGGATACGCGGGGCTATCATTGCTACTTTTAGAGCCTTCAAGGTTTATATGCGGCTGAAGAGTGGGGCAAATGGCTTGGAAAGAAGTATCTATAGTGGATCGTCAACATCCGTGAGTTTCAAGCTAATTCCACATAACGTGATGCAGCGAAAAGTGAAGACTCGCCTAGTTAAAGGGATGTATGGAGGCAGAGCTCTGGGCACTTGATAACTCAAATCCTTGAGGATGGATATCCACTTTCAACTCGTATTGGTACTAAGACGAAAAGTCAATTCGAAAGGGCTGTTCGTGGAAAAAGACGAAAGATCTTCCCTTGAACGCACCTGTAAATCTTACGCTATTAAAATTTCAAAAGGAGATGATAATTTGAAAAGCTAGAAAGCTCTTTCTCTGTGTGAGCACCACAATCATCAAAGCAAGATTCGTCAAGTTGTGACTTGGGCAGGTATCCTTACATTCTGTGGGCATAATCAACTTGTGGCTTCCTAGTAAGATACAATCTCATGGACCCGACAACAACAATAGCTACCGAACGGGTTTCTCTTGGCATACGCACCAGAGAAGAATTTGTCAAGCGCCAGATTTGCATTATACTAAAAAAGACATTCAAGGGGCGATTCTTGCTCTAACCTTATTCGTGAGGTATAGTCGCCCCAACTACGGTGATTATATAAGGCTCATGAACCATTAGGCTCTAGCGGCAAAAATCCCCAAAGACCGCGGAGTAAACACCAACGTCGCAAGAAACCAAATACTCACCATCCTACCTGTGCATACACATTGAAACTCAATATCACCAATGTCTCTATCAAACTTCCCACCCGACGACGCAGGACCCCGTCAAATCCGCCAATATCTGACAAACCACCTAATGACCAAACACGACACAACTACAGAATTCGCCGAGCAAATCGCCAGTCTATGGCAAATAGGTCGCGGGGTCGACTTTCGTCAGACATCCATCAATATTCACAGTTTCAGCAAAATATTCGGAGAAACAGTGAGTCCTGCTCTCCAGCGGAGCGTGCATGACGAATGCTGGAATCAATGGCGTGCTTCGCAGCTTGGCACCCTGAGTTTGTGGTTGATGATAATTTCCCTGATAACGGCTGCTTTGGTGTTTGTTCGCACTGCTCGCCAACCTTCTATGCAATGGGATGATGTTCTTCGTCGCACTTGCTGGCCGCTTGGACCGCCAGTGTTGCTGTGTGGGGCTTTGGAGTATGGGTACTCTCTTTTGTATCCAGTTTATTGTTTTACTATGGGCTCTATTGCGACTTTGTGTGGGTTGACTTTATGGGCTTTCAGATTTTATGATGAAAAGGAGCGGAAGGAATCGAAGGATAAAAAGTAGGATGGTTGCTTGGACGTGTATATAGTCATAGCGTATACCAGGGGCGCGTGGTATACCAAGCCCCATCAGGGGCATGCAAAGGGAGGTAAGCCCACGTTTATGCAAGGGATATCTACAGGTTCCTTGCAGACAGGACACTAATCTGATATCATGCTCGGTCTTATTGACTCTACCTCTACGGAAGTTGCGAACGTCTATAGTAGCAGATCGCCCGCAAGTACTAAATCAGACGACCTTCCAAAAATCAACAGAGGATAGTGGATGTAGACCAACGTAATGTTAATTTCATTCAGTAATTCAACAGTACTGCAAGGCTATAAATCAAGCGGCTATGCCACCTAAGCGAAGTACGAGCCCATCGAAAAGGGGCTCTTTCGATGAAAGCAACACAGTAACAACAAAAAGTAGATGAACGAACAATTAGGCCCGTAGGCTTCTCTTGAGAGATGTGATCACGTAAAGACGATGCAAGATGCAAGATGCAATGCCTCGCAATGCAATAAGATGAGCCTCCCATGCTCGGCTAGTTATACTGGTTATACCAGCTGTATACAACAAACCACCATCACTCGCAGTCCCCAAGAAAGGTAATGAGAAAAGAATATAAAAAAAAAGGGAAAAGCAGAATCATTCAAGGCATGAGGGGGCACGCTCCACTGGCTGTCGAACTCGAAAGGAAATGGGTCGTTGAGAAATTGCCCTTGCCTGTTGACACATGGCACGTAATCGGGGGTTTCGGTGAAATGGTGCTGATACAAATGTGAGATACAAATACAATGAAGCCAGAATGAAAAGATATCGTAACGAGCGGACGACCTCGATCAATGAAGGTCAAGCAGGCTGCAAGCTCGATCTAGTGCCGTCAATTGCTGCACTGCCAATGCGACGGAAAGAAAAAAAACTCCACATTATGCAAATGTGTCGATGCTGGGTATTGGTAGTGCTAGCGGGCCAAGGTGCATCGATCCCAATGGCGAGAGATGATTATTGAGGAAGCGAGAGGGTGGAACAGGATACTATGAAGGCGAGGATAGGAGTGAAATAAAATGCGGAAGGTCGAAACAAATAAAGACCGCGACTAAAGGAGTCATGTGGTCAACCGTTTTTCCGAATCACCTATCATATCCATGCTCCTCTTTGAGAGGACGTTGAATCTCAAAAAGTAGGGCATCAAGATCTGCCCAATTGGCGGCGTTTTGGGCGAACCGACGGTGCTTTCGTGTCAGAGTATGCTCCTCGAAGTCGTCGAACTTATCCCGACAGTTTTCGCAGTAACCTGGCTTAGGATCTCTGCGCCGTTCTGGTTTCTTCGGTTCGTTTTCGCGGCTGTCGGCGCGGCGGCGTTTCATGCCAGCACCTTCTGCTGAATTAGAGTCCTCCTCTGGAGTCTGGCGTGCTTCTGGTGCCGCTGGTTTGATAGTCTGGTTGTGTTGAGATTTGAGATGCATCGCCAATCCATTTGGACGTTCAGGAGCAGCCATAGACCCGTTCGCAATGCTGCCTGTGCCCCTCTCAAGAACCTTTCTCTTCAAGCCATGAACTTCTTTGCTCAGGCCTGCTTTTGCGCCTGGGGCGGCAGCAGTGGATGAGATCATCTGAGATCGAATAGCAGATGTGACGTTAGATGGCTGTACACCAGATGCTGCAGGTTCGCGACCAGTGTAAAAAGGGCCAGACCGGGGGAAGTGCGGTGGAATGAAGCTTTCTGAGCTTTTGCGTTCATGGGTCTCATCAAGCAAAGGCTTTGACGGGATTTCCGCTTTCTTTGAAGAATCTCTATCCTCTTCACGCTTCACATTGGGTTCTGCGTCGGCCTTCGTATCGGGCTTCTGTTCCATGGCGGTCTGCGAAATTTTCGGACGGGGCTGAGCCGCAGTTGCGGACGCTTTCTTGTCCTTCTGTGCCTGGCGCATGCGTTGTCTGTCGTATTCCTTTCTGCTTGGAGGTTCATCAACGAAGGGGCATTTGCCTAGTGGGGCGCTTCTGAACTGCGGCCAAGCTCCGTCCTGGCGTTTCGTAACTCGAGGGTATTCCCGAACCATGACAGGCTTCGTCTTTTCATTCATGTCGTGGATGTAGAGAAAAGGTCCCTTGAAGACAATCATCTCCATCGAGGAGAACAGATCACGATCCGATGGTCCGTTCAACCGCTCCTGCATAAGGGCGCGATCAAGAGGAGTTAGCCCGGCCCAACCTCTGGATTTAGTTGAATCTGCATTCTTGCTTTTGACAGCATCATTATTCTGGCCACCGATATCGTCATCGTTGATCGTGGTGATCATGCGTTGCAGCTTCTCCAAGGCCCAAATTTTCATATTCATCTGTCGAGCTCGCTGGAGGACATCCATGCTTCCTTGGTCGTGACGGGCATCATGTTTTGAAAGGTGGTGTGAATTGGTGTTCTTCTCAAGCAACGAAGGGTTGACGGTCTGCACATGAGTATCACCGTTAACGCCATTGGCGGCCTCCAGTTCGGTTGGGCTTGTGGCAGCGACTCCAGCGGGAATAGGACGTGATGTGACGACGTGGGTTACTAGACGAGAGAAGAACTTTTCCTCGCGCTATAATGCACATGTTAGCATAGCTCGGCGAAATTTCGAGGTCATGGCAATTAACACAAGTTGTTAAGGATGCGGGAGTAGAAATGAAACAAGAATCAGAAGTGGAACTTACAGCTCCGAGAGCAATGACCTGTCGAGAAAATTTGCGGCGAACATCGTCAGGAATACTGTCGAAGTAGAAAACAAACTGCGGGAAAGCCTTTCGGTAGTGGCGTTGCCATTGACGAATAGTATCCAAGGTGTCAGCAGATTGCTTCTCGCCCTTCACGCTTTTAACTTGTGGCTGGCGTTCCTTATCACGAGCAGCAACCAGCTTCTTCTCAAAGGCACTTGGGTTGGCATTGTTCGGCCGTCTGGCAAAGAGCTTCGAGTCGGTTCCCTGAACCACCGACGATCGATTTTGTGTCGGTGATCGAGCACCGTTTTCCGCCGCTTCCATCACCTGCTTCTTTGGAGGTGGCTGGCCGTAGGATGTCTCGAGTTGATTGGACCGAACTCGTTTGGCCGGTACGAGTCCGGTCCTGTGAGGGGAATTGGTTGCATTCGGCACGTTGGCGAGTGGACGACGGGTCGACATGTTCATTGAGGTCTGGGGCGACGGGGGGACGAATACAGCAGCCATGTGGCCACACGTGTGCTGGAGTTGAACGCGTCAATAGCTTGTGTTATGGTGGAATAACCGGTCGTCGAGGAGGGGTATTCGAGGTCAAGCACGCGACGTGCTACACGTCTTTGCAGGGCTCGAATGAGGTCAGAGCAAGAGCATGGTAACACAAAGGAACAGTCAGGTCAAGTTAAAGAAAAAAGAAAGCAGTCCAAACTCCCGAGGATGATGGGGGTGGTTGGTGGCAAGAAAGCTTGGGGTAAAAGGAAAGGGACAACAGGATTGAAGGGCAAAGTCGTGTGGTGTGGAGCCTCTTCCGTTTGTTTTGAGCGTGCGCCGGACAACCAACGGCGTCGCGCGAAGCATGAACATCAACAACTACATTCCTTTAAACGCGACGTGCCAGATATGCTTAATGCTAATCTTTTTTTCTTCTCCGATCACTCCTTTCCATGAAATCCTAAATTCAATCCTTTTTATTCCCCTTATCAGCTCTAAATTCTTGTAAATTTACGCCTTTGCCAGCCACCCCCGACCAGCCACCACAAACTTTACAAGGTTTCGCGGGTAATATTCGGTAATTTGTGATGAAGATGTATTATACATGAATTTGGAGGGTATCTGTCAACTAGTATACATTTGGTGATCGATTCAACTACGGAGAGCCTCGATATCATCAACCTATAGACTAAGTCAAAATCTTGGTGTGCTGACAATACGGGTATAGAACTTACCTCCTTGACGGCTTCAGGCGACAAAACGATTGGGTGTTCATCACCCACGCAGACACTGTCTTCGATGCGAATACCAATGCCTCGGAAATGAGCGGGCCATCGCTCGTCATCAGGAACGTAGATACCACTGTTGTCAAGTCAGCCAATGCCAAGGAATGGAGACATAGTGGGGTGACGCACGGTTCAATGGTGATACATTGGCCAGCCTTCAAGTTGTACCCTCTTGAGTACCCAGGACAATCGTGAACATCCAGGCCGATGTAGTGGCCAAGGTGGTGAGGGAACAACACGTTCATTGCCTAGTGGAGGTCAGCAAAACGTCTGCAATCGAAACGGGATCCTCGGCACATACGCTTCCAGAAAGATCAAAGCCAAGTTGCTTGAGTTGATCCTTCAATCCATTCTCGGCAATACTGTGCAACTTATCGAGTGACAGGTTGGCATCCTCGCGACAAAGGGCCAGGCAAGTTCGATGCACATTCAGCACGGCGTTATACAGATCCCGCTGGGGGTCGGAGAACTTGCCATTAACTGGCCAAGTCCTTGTAATATCAGAGATATACCCTCCGAGCTCCTGCTTCTGTATGAGCATCTAAAGATGAGCATATGGATATAGAAAATAGACTTACACCGCCGCCATCTACAAGAACCAAGTCTCCGTCTCTGTTGCACCCCATTAGTTTGCAATTCACATAATTAAAGGAGGTTCGACATACCTTAGGACATCGTCGTTTCTAGTGTAATGAATGCTCAGTGCGTTCTATGCTTGTCAGCCCAGGTTTTGAATACTGGCAGGTGGAATATCTTACCTGGCCACCCGCAACAACGGGAACAAAAGCACTACCATCACAGCCATTCACTTTGAATTGATACTCCAAGAATGAGGTCAAGTCTTTCTCCTTGGTAAATGTTTGGCGCATGGCGTCGGTAAAGGCCCTCCCTGAAGCTTGGCCTAACCGGCGCAGATGCATAACTTCCGCCTCGGTCTTGAATACTCTCATTTCGTTGAGAAGGGGCTTCAACGGTTTAACTTTGCGATGGTCGACAAATTTCTTCAACTTCTCTGACGCAACAGTGGGGCCATATAGGTATCGGTGCAATGTTGATCTGGATCCGTCGAAGGCGGGGATATCGGAGTAGACCTCTGTGGCCTTGGCAATGATCTTGGGCAGGATGTTCCCAATATCTTCAATGTTACCTGTCTACAAAACATGGTATTAGTCTGGAGTTCCATGTATCATGCTTAGGCAGTGTTGACGTACTTCATCGGCGTTAAAAACGTCCATAGCGGCCTGAGTGCCAGACCGCGCACCATCCCACAATTCTGCCTTGGGGTCCTTTTCCCGGACATAAAGATGGAAAATATGATTGTCGCCAGATCCATCGTTCCAGATGACTGCCAGTGCATTCGGTTCGTTGAAACCTGTCATGGTTCAAAATCGTATGATCAGCGAGGAATTCCGTGGCAAGCCAACTGTCCGTCAACCTACCTGTCAAATAGAAGAAATTGGACTCCTGGCGATATTCATGAAAGATACCAGGCGCGCGGTACTTCACTTCAGAGGCCGCGAGTATAGCAACTGCTCCCTCGGGGAGCTTGTTGGCGAGTCGCGATCGGCGCAGGGCATATTCAAGGGCCGTGACTCCGGGTGTCACTATGCAACCATCAGTCTCCAGAAAATTATATAAATACCAGAAAGGCACTCGAATGTCACGTACGCTCTCCCGGCTCCAGAATATGAGGGTGTGTTTCGTGCAACGGCTGTCCAAATTTGAGCTCCGCGGCGCCGACGGAGGTAACGTAAGTTCTGCGGCGAGGGACTTGGATGCGACCAAAAGTCTGGCAAGAGGAACGGCTAAATCGAGGAGCGCGACATAACTGACGAGCGCATTGTCGGACGAGTGACCTGCAGGCGGCCATGCTCAGAATATGAGGATTTACAAGCTGTTGATTACCTCGGAGCGTCGATGCTCCCTTGATGGAGAAGTTGCGGGCGGTGTGGACCAATCACCACTAACGGGTTTCCAAGGTTGGCATCGATTCTGTCTATAGTTCAACGGTTTTCAAATACTAGCTAGACAAGCACCGCTTTTATCTAGAAACTGAACAATTATCATAAAAAATGACAAAAGGGATAATAATTTCCCTTCGCAGGTTCTGATCCTATATACGAGAGCTCAATAAATCATATTTCCAAATTCCAAGGCTAACCTAGGGTCCCAGAGGTTCCGTGACCAATATATAAGTGCAGGAGTCACAGTCTTTATCGGTCATGACAAGGCGTACGTGGACAATGCAAAACTTGTCGTGGCCTCGGCCGCAGCTCTGACAATAAAATTTCGACCAAGAGACAATATCGAAGTTGAGGCAGCTAGAGACAAAGGGATCCCAGTGATACACAGAGCTGAGATGCTAGCAGAGTTAATGCGACACAAGAAGGCTATTGCCGTTGGCGGCAGCCATGGCAAAAGTACAACGACTAGCATGATAGCTGGGGTACTAGAGTCTGGAGGGCTCATGCCGAGTGTTGTGACGGGGGCTGTGATGAATCTATATAGGAGCAACTCGCATCTGGGTGCAGGGGACTGGGTAGTGGCCGAAGCGGACGAGAGTGACGGTTCCTTCCTAATGTTGCCTCATCTCGTGACTGTTGTCACGAACATCGACAGCGATCATATCATTCACTGGAAAGACGAAACCAAGACCCGTGAAGCCTTCGTTCAATTTGTTCGAAACGGACCGTTCCATGGATTGGGAATTCTCTGCATTGATGATCCTGGAGTCCGCCAAATCATGCTTCTCCTTTGAGATAGAAACATTGTCACATATGGTGTTTCTGAAGATGCAGACTTTCGTGCAGTGAATATCACTTATTCTTCGAATGGGTGTAGCTTCAACGTCTCCATTCACGATCAGGAAAATGATTTTCAGTATACAATTGGCCCAATTCATGTTAACGCTCTGGGACTGGCGAGTGTCCAAAATTCACTGGCAGCTATTACCATCTCTTCAGAGCTTGGGAACCTTTCCGGGGCTGCATCATCGGTTCCATCGCGTCGGTACGGTGAATGGTGTCACAATAGTCGACGATCACAGTGCCCACCCAGCCGAGACCAAAGCCACACTCAAAATGGCCAGGCAGGCTGGTGCACGGAAAATAATCGCTGTAAATCAGCCAAGTGGTCGGCCTGGGATTATCCGAGGATGGCTGGATGAGTATCCGGCCTCGTTTGACGATGCCGACCACATCATTATTGGTCAGGCTGAAGGAGGTGATCAGACTGCGGCTGCTGAAGCCCAAGCTATACTTGTCAATTGTTTGCGTAATCATGGACGCGATGTGATTTCGATGCCTGATTCGGCTCGATTATTCGAGCTTATCTCCATGGCGGCAGATGGTAATTTTGTGATGTGTATGGGATATCGAGGCTCGGATGTCTGGGCAGAGGAATTAGTAGACCAGTTAGCCTCCTGCAAGTATTGACTGGAATGCGCGTAAGAAGTTAGCGTGATTGGCATGTACTGAGTCGTCGATGTAGACCTGGCCAGGGACCTCAATAGACAGCCTCGCATGCCCAGGTGTGTAACGAAAATGACGTTGACCAGTAAATACAGGCCATAGCCGAAAGTAACGCAAATGAACGCTTGAATATATTTCGTCTATGTTATTCAGCATTGAAGTTGTGGGCCAATCGTAAGCGCTAGAAGGCAGCCAAACGCCTTAAATACCTTTGAATGGGCGGTATGTTCCATCTCCACATCCCCTCATCACTTACTCCAACTTACGAAACAAAGAACCCACTTGCATTTAAGAACCTGTCAAAACCCTTCAACTGACACTCGATTCATTATCTTATCTTAAAAATTTGCAATAGACATGGCCTCAGCAGTGGAACAGGCGGCTCTGTCTAGAATTTCTGTCGCCGATATTCAGTCATTCACTGAACACCTGCAAAAAAGCAAGCGAATTCTAGCTTTACTTGGGGCTGGGCTCTCTGCATCCTCGGGACTACCTACCTTCCGAGGTGCTGGTGGGCTCTGGCGATCATTTGATGCCACGGCGCTGGCCTCCCCAGAAGCTTTCGAAAATAACCCGGGACTAGTGTGGCAATTTTACAGCTATCGCCGACATATGGCTCTTGGCGTAGAGCCAAACAAGGCACACTACGCACTTGCTGAACTATCTCGAAAGAAGAAGAACTTTATCACGCTATCCCAAAATGTCGATGGTAAGTATCCTTATTTGAGTCAAATCTTTAAATGATTATATCACTCTAGAATCCAAACTAAAATTCAGTTTCTCAAGGGTTGTCGCCGAGAGCGCAGCACCCACCTGATCAGCTACATTTACTGCATGGATCTCTCTTTGATATCAAATGTAATGAATTCTATTGCAATTACGCGCGTGAAAACGATTTTACAGATCCGATCGTTCCTGCCCTTGAAATTCCCAAAAAAGGGTTGAACTTACCTGCCTCAAGGGAGAACGAGGTCGATATTGCAGATGCAGCAAATCCAGTTCCCGAATTGGCGGTTGCTGACCTCCCCAGGTGTCCTAAGTGTGGCGGGCTCCTCCGACCAGGTGTGGTTTGGTTTGGAGAGCCACTTCCTGGTGATACTATCAAAACTGTCGATGACTGGATTGATGAAGGCCCAATTGACCTGATGCTGGTCATTGGAACAAGCTCTAAGGTCTATCCTGCCGCAGAATATACGGACACTGCTCGCAAAGCTGGCGCCCGAATAGCGGTGATTAACATGGATCCGAATGATAAGCCGCGTAAGGGTCTGAAGAATCACGACTGGTTTTTCCAGGGCGATGCTGCGGTCATCGTGCCAGAGCTGCTGAAGGGCGTTATTGGAGAAGTTTGATTGGGAGGTCGTGGTATCTGAAATTGGATTACGGGGGCGTTCTTAGCTTGGAAAGGGGGAACCGAGTGCTTTTGAACGGAGGTTCTGAATATTTTTGTTTGAACTACCTGGGCAGGCAACCCAGGTATTGGACGCAGTATTAGAGATTCCAAAATTGTTCGGTAAAGTTTCGGACTTTTCCAGGGCAATGAAAGGTTGTCTCTTGTAGCTGCACCTGCAACTAGGCATATAAGTCAATAGACGGTTGGATAGTCAGCAGGCAGTGTTGAAAGTTAATATCCAGCAGTAGATGTCATCAGCATCTCCATGTCACCATCTTGCGCAAACTTCCGAGGACCATAGCGAGAAAAGCCGAAGTGTGACGTTTGATGTTTTAACATATTAAAGTATAGTATAACGAAATTAGATAGACTCAGGATAGCTTCTTACTCAAAAGTTTCCCTCATAGAAAATTGAGAAGGCTTTATAAACTTGAAGAAATGAAAACACAAAATGTACATAGAAAGCGTGTCGAGTACAAGGCGCAGAGGGGAGCAGTCCAGAAAGTTAACGAATGCTCCCTCAATTTACTTAAATCTGAAAAATGAGCGTTGCTAGTCTAGTGGTTTATCCCTCGGCTATTCAAGCCCAGGTCCGCCTGATACTTGAATGTTTGCTGGGACGGTTCCGGTCCTGGTTGGCGGCTCATGGTACAGGAGGGTGGGTGGGATCCGGCATTTGGGCGGATGTCAAGACCGAGAGGTCTTCTTTTTTTTGCTCATGAAAATTTTTTTTGAAATATCTTTATGGATTTTTGTCATTTCATTTGATGGTATAAAATGGTACCATCGTGAGTGTAGAGGAGTTGAAGAAATGATGCGGCTGCGAAAGAGGTATGTATCTTTTGGCACTTTCCCATATATCTCACTCACAAGGTGCATAACGACATCCGAAGACTCAAGCTGGGCGTTCAAGACCTGGCTGGCCCTCCTCTTTCTTCTGTGCGCTTTTTTTCTCGAACCACTCTTCTTGATGCTTCCTTGTCAAGTGATTCGTGTTTTGCCTTTCGGTGCCTGAGGCACTACTCGTTGCTAGGGAATCCACCCAAAACAAATCCCATATCGATAACGTCGTCGATCCCACTTGCATTTCTCAACTCCACCCCACATTCGCTTTTGAAAAGGGCCTGGACGTGAGCCTTAAGAGGTGAGTCGGTACTAAAAACCTTTGATTCTATCCATAATCGGTGGGATTCCCTATTCATAATCCCAAACAACACTATTAGAACCCCGCGCGGACAGATCCAAAAGTCGATCTCATCAACAAAGACTGCTCAAAGCTTACAATTGCGCATTTTTCAAGGTCCCACTACGCCACTTCATCTACTCAGCGGAAGGAAAGCAAGATCAAGCCTAAAAGCCGAGTCGCAATCCTCTCAAACGCGCCATAGTAGACAGAACAGCGAACCCTCGGACTCGTGTTCGCGAACATCTTCACCCCACCATGGCCAGAGAAAGTGACGCTCCTCGGGAACCCCAAACCCCGGGGCGCCCAAAAGAATCGGCAAAACAATCGATTGCTCAGGAGCCAGAGTTTGGTAAACCTTCGCCTCTTGGTAAACCTGCACACAGATCCAATTCCAACCACCTCTTCAACATCCCCAAGCAAAACAGGGCGCGACCAGAGCACCACCGTCCTCATCAAGCTGTTGCTGAACACCAACAGCAGTTGTCAAACCTTGAAAAGAATCGTAATCGAATCCAACAAGGCGCCCCTCAAGGCTCCGGGCCACCAGTCGCACCCAGCGGTGCTTCAGCGGCGCCCTCCGCAAACCGACGTGGGCCATTTGACCCTTTCCAGCCCGTTAGACCATCGGCGTACAACGACTATCGATCAGGGATTCCCTCGGGTGCAACCCCAATTAAACGCCCCGAGCAGGTGTCGTATGCTACCCCACGGGCCCCTCGGGCACTTTTCACATCCAAGCCATCCGCACCAAAGCAGTCCTTTGCCTCAAAAAACCTTCAAGCTTTCATCGATCTAACAGCGGATGAGCCTGGTTCGAGGACCGGCCAAATTGCTCAGCAGTTCGGCCAGGCATCTACCTTTGGTTCCACGGATGTCTACGGCTATGTCGATTCAGCTAAAGCGAATGAAAATATAAAGGCTCTCCTTGAGGGCGCATTTGAAGAGGAAGAAGAAGCCAAGTCAAAGTTCAAGGACAAGAAGAAAAAGAGCAAAAAGAAGGATCCGAAGAAAGCTCAAAAGAAGGAAGCTATTCCGCCTGCGAAGAACGACACCAGTGAACTCGATGACTTGGCTGCTCAACTTCAGGGCGTTACCGTCAATGACATCAAAGAAGGCGAAGAAGAGTCTGCCGATGAGCTTGATAACAAGGCAAGAAAGCTTAAAGAAGACACCGAACATCCCGACAACAAGGAAAAAGTCACAAATGAGAAGGACGAGGAGGCTGAAGCAGATGTTGGTGACGAGGAAGAAGCAGAAGAAGAGGAGGAGGATGAATCCGATGACGAAGATGAGCTGATTGTCGAGGGCTTGAAAGTCACTTTGTTGCCCCACCAAGTCGAAGGTGTTAGGTGGATGTGTGACAAAGAGTCTGGTCGACACTCTGCTAAAGGAATTGTGCCCAAGGGTGGAATTCTTGCAGACGATATGGGTCTGGGTAAAACCGTCCAAACCATATCCCTGTTTCTCAAAAACCGCAAGCCCGAACACGAACACAGCGACGATGACACCGCCAACAAAAAAGGAGACGATGAAGATGCACCACCTTCCTCTCAACTTAGCAAGACAACGCTTGTAGTGGCACCTCTAGCACTTATCAAACAATGGGAAGCCGAGATCGCCGACAAGATCGAGAGATCTCATAAGCTCAGCGTCTGTCTCTATCATGGGACAAACCGTGCAAAGACTGCCAAGTCATTGGGCGATTACGATGTCGTCATTACAACCTACGGAACTCTTACCTCGGAGTCAAGTACAGCAGCCGCGGACAAGGCCAAGAAGTCTGGAATTTTCTCTCTTTACTGGTACCGAGTTGTCCTGGACGAGGCCCACACCATCAAGAACCGGAATGCCAAGGCAACACAAGCTGCTTGTGCTTTAGATGCTAGGTATCGATGGTGCTTGACTGGAACCCCCATGCAGAACAACCTTGACGAGTTGCAGAGTTTGATCAAATTCCTCCGAATCAAACCTTACAATGACCTTGCCGCGTGGCGTGATCAGATCAGTCGACCGCTAGCAAATGGCCGTGGTGGCCTTGCTATCCAACGACTCCAGGTCTACTTGAAAGCTTTCATGAAACGACGCACCAAGGATGTTCTCAGAGACAACGAAAACGATAAATCTGAAGGAGCTGATGGGAAACCGAAAAAATCCAATGGTTTCAAAATCGTGAAGCGTGAGGTTATCAAGGTGGAGGCACAGTTCATGGAAGGAGAGATGAACTTCTACAAGCGATTGGAACAACGCACCGAAAACCGCCTTGAAGAGATGATGGGCGGTGCCAAGGTTGACTATGCCGGCGCATTGGTCTTGCTTTTGCGACTTCGTCAAGCGTGTAACCACCCCGAGCTGGTCAAGAGTGATCTAGCCGTGGACAAAGATGTTCTGTTGCAGAGTGGCAACCCTGGAAGCCAGTCGTCCGAAGCGAAGAAAGATGATCTAGATGATATGGCTGATCTTTTTGGAGGCTTGAGTGTCATGACAAAGAAATGCGACGTTTGTCAAGCGGAACTTAGCCAAGCCGAGTCAAAGAGCGGGGGCAGTCACTGCACTGAGTGTGAAACTGACTTGAATACCAACTTCATGACTAAGGATAGCAAGCATAAGGCAAAGAAAGCACACAAACATCACGAGGTCACTACAATTGAAAGCCCCATTGCCAAGGCTCGCTCTCGAAAGAACCGCCGCGTCGTTCTTGATAGCGACGATGAAGATGAGGACGAGGCCGAATGGATTGTCCCCGAGGGCCAACGTAAAATGCCCAACCTTGGCAAGGCCGGTGGATCAGAAGACGAAGATGCTGAAGGGGGTGGAGAGTGGATCGGCTCTGGTGACTCCGACCTGGACTCACCTTCGGGGAAGAAGAGTCAACCTATCATGCTGAGCAGCTCTGACGACGAATCCGACTCTGATGATGACATCTCTTACGAAGGCGAAAATGGCGAGTTGCCGTCAACCAAGATCCGTTACTTGATGAAACTACTGAACAAAGAATCCGCGGACTACAAGTTCATTGTCTTCTCTGTTTTCACCTCGATGCTTGATAAGATCGAGCCATTTTTGAACAGTGCGAATATTGGATTCGCACGTTACGATGGTGGTATGCGGAATGACCATCGCGAAGCCAGTCTCAACAAGTTGAGGAACAACAGTGGCACTCGCGTACTGCTTTGCAGTTTGCGTGCCGGTGCACTGGGCCTTAACTTGACAGCTGCCAGCCGCGTTGTGATCCTGGAACCATTCTGGAATCCTGTAAGTCACTTCTTTGCACAAATATTTGTATTTGACATCATGCTAACGCAGTGAAAATCAGTTCGTCGAAGAACAAGCTATTGACCGTGTCCATCGTCTCAATCAAACCGTTGATGTCAAAATCTACCGAATGATCATCAAGGGTAGCGTGGAAGAGAGAATCGTTGCTTTGCAAGATCGCAAACGCGAACTGGCCAACATGACCATCGAGGGCAAGTCTGCAGCCGGAAAATTGACCATGAATGACATGATGGCCCTGTTTGGTCGTGACGCCGAATCCAAGTATACCCCGACCGATACTCAGGGCAAGCTAGACTTCAAGCAGCCAACTAGGCTACTGAACTCTACGGGCGATAATGATCCTCCCATGCCCCCTCAATCCTCTGCGCGGGCTGATTCCCATAATCGAGAACGCCGGCAGCAATCTAGGAAGTCGACACCTGAAGATTCTGTGTATGGACGACGCTGGTAGATGACGTGATATGATGATGAACTTGCATGCACAGGTGATTGGTTGTGGGATAGACTTTATCTTAGGCGTTTTTTGAGCATACAATGGGATTGGGGCTGTTATTGTGGGACGGTGGAATTGAAAAAGAGTATTTCTTGTCTATTTCTTCTGCTACTTTTTATGAACATTTAATTGAATCTTGTCGCTTGACGATTTACATAATACCGTTTCCCTTGTTTCATATTGTCTCTTAGAGCTTGAGCACTGGGTGTGTCATAAATCCAAGGTTCAGCCTCAGGTGGTTCTTGGGCCCCGGAAAATCTGCCCACGAGTGATGTTATAGGAGGCAAGTTGAAAACCATACAGTGGCCGGGATTGAGCCCCGGACAAGAAAGCACTACCTACCGCTCAAGGTATTGACCGAAATCTCGACCTTCGAACCGGGTAGCTTTGTCAAAAACAGAAAATGGCTTTACGTGTCAATCTTTACTACTGATCAACCAGAGCAAATGGCTGTGATACTCGAGATCTAACGGAGGTGAAGCTCTTACAGCAAGCTTCAAGGGTACCAGCTTTGACACCCGGTCACTACGCATGAGGACCATGGAAGGAATTACCCTGGAATATGACAGTCGTCTAGACCATCCAAACACAGGGTCTATCCACTCTTGTAGGTCTAGAGTGTGGTTGGTTTACTCTCAGCGGAGATTCACCCCCACAATCCAGCTATGCCTCGGACAATCCTAGAAAGGAAGAATCCGGCATTCTCGGGAAATTGGGTATCTGTTTTGACGACTAGTGTCAAACCGGTGAACATTGGAAGGCTCGAAAGAATAATCGAGTCATCGGATATTAGCTCTGTTAATGAATATTTCTATTAACCAGCCTAAGAAATGTCCTCTACGTCTCCCTTCAAAACCAACCAGCATGATAGCTCGTGCTCTCGAATGCTCTGCCTCGCCCGGGGTCTTCGGACCCTGCGGACTCTGCAAAATCGGACTAGTCTGTCCGGTGGCACCCACGGTTCACCAGCTTTGGTTCAGGATCGTAAGAGTATCGCCCGGTGGGAGTCCCTGGCGAACCGGACGAGGGAACCGACAAGACATGCTGTGTGAAATCCGTAATCATCAACCGTATGTGTTTCTCATAGGTCTATCTGCCAGGAGAAAGCATGAGAAGAATTGAGGATTGTTTGGTACGAGGCGAAATCTCAGATCCAGCTTCTGCCAAACTCTGGGGTATCTTCAATCCTATCCTTTTCAACCTCTCTCGTTCCCCTTCCAACGTTATATTATGACATTCGTTCTCCATCTTTTCCTGCGTTAAGCTACTCATGCGAGAGTTTTGAGGCTTTCACATCGAAGACTCCTAGTATGGGAAACTAAGGCTGTCGAACACACCTCGATCCTCATATAACGTAGACTGCGCTGTTGCTACCTCAGATCCAAATGTGTTGATCTCCACAAAACAAAATGAACTCGCCTATTTTTCCTACCAATGAGGACGAATGGAAGGTCAACTACGATGGAAAAGACCAGAAACAGGTGTCAGACGGAAGGAGAATACTAGCTCGGACTCTCTCACTACCAAAGACGATGTGCATTCTATCCGACAAAAAGGCTGAGATCTCGACAGTTACCGAGCTGGCATCTCCGAAAATAAAGCTTCCACGGCTCGGAAATGATATCGTGGAAAGGGTGTTTCCAGTTCGGTCTGTCGTTTCCTTTGATCCCACTCTTTCTCCTCTCCAAACGCCATCTTTGGATAAAGCGGATAGTCCATTTCCTCAGATACCACTCGAAGATACCCCACAAATGAGTGAAACGGTCGACGATCCATATGGACGATCTTATAAAAGTCCCACGAGAGACACAAGGGATCTAGAACCAGCACCGACAAGACCAAATTACCTAGCTCGGATGCACAGTCAATTAAGTCTTTCCAATATTTCACCATTGATATCAAGGTTGCCGGAAGAAGACGGAAATTTGGTCTCTATTGAAATGTCGCCTTCGAGTCTTAACGCCCAGTTACAAAGTGCAATTCGCGAGAGTGGAGAGGTTTTGACTACGAACGAGTTGAAACCAGGGCTTGGGTACCCCGAGGATGAAACGAGTGTGGCAGTTCAGCCATTTGGAGCATTGTTAGCTCTCTCGGAGGTGAATGATAACATGATTGTTCAAGCTGTTAGCACGAACTCGAAAGAAATTTTGGGTTATTCCCCAGATGAACTGTTTGAATGTGAATCCATCTACACCGTATTTCCCGGTTCACAGCAGAACATATTCTTTTCACACATTCAATACGTTTCGAGTGATGGGTATGATGTGGAAACATGTGGTCCGGAAGTGTTTTCGCTTTGGATACCTGTCGCTGGAGGTGTTCCCAAGCATCTTTGGTGCACCATGCATACCAGCAAGGCATCCCAGATCTACATCATTTGTGAGCTGGAATTCGACGTTGCAGATACGAAAGATCGAAAGGATATTGGCCCTCAAGGAATTCTCACTGCCTTGCGAGCTGGAAACAGTGATGTTCGAACCAATTCCTATTCTTCAAGGGAATTTGAATCCAGAGGATCAGAGCTCCTGAACACACTTCCACGTATTATACAGCCTTTATCCAGTGCTCAAACACTCGAAACACTTGTTGAGCACTCCATAGCCAGTGTGAAACAGGTGGTACGCTTCCATCGTATGACTATGTATCATTTTGACAGCGATCGCAATGGCATCGTTGTTGCAGATTCAGTCGATGCATCATTGGGCATGAGCTCATTTGAAGGGTTGGAGTTCTCGGAGTCAACTTTCCCGGCAAATTTGAAGAAACAATACCTCCGGAATAAAGTCTCTTTTGCCTATCGAAGAAATATAGACTGTGCAGAATTAGCCTACCGTGCATCGACAGTCATGACTACGCTGGACCTATCCCATTGCTATCTTCTAGCAGCTCCAGCTCCAGGTTCCTCCCCAGCTGATACAATTCCTCCAGTGCAGGCTGCTATATCGATTGGCATTCACGTTTTTGGAAAGCTATGGGGGCTAATCTCTTGCCAATCATATGACAAAGGCACTTGGCTTCACCCGCTCATTCAAAGGACATGTTGGTTAATAAGTGAAGCTTGTACTAGCAACATTGAGCGGCTCTCATATACTTTGCCTTTCCAATTGATACAAAAGAATGGCCTTATTGGCGGAGTGGACAGCAAGCAACACATTCAAACACCGTCGGGTGATCTCCTTGACACATTTGGCGCCGATTATGCTGCAACATCTATACTGGGAGAAACAAACATACTAGGAAGGCCTCCAGATTCTCAAGAAGTTTTGGCTTTGCTGGAATACCTTCGAGTCAAGGAGCTAGACACTGTCCTGTGGTCAACCGACATACTTTCTGACTTCGAAGATCTCGACTACTCTCCTGGGTTTCGCCATCTCTCCAGCCTCATATATATCCCTCTGTCCGCTGATGGACAGGATTTCATCATTCTCTTTCGTGGGCAGATCGAAGGTGGCAAGGGTCAAACAGAGTGGTCTGCATGCGAGCTTGGAAAAGCATCGATTCTATCTTTGCTATACAGAGCTTTCACCGATATTTGGCAGGAGAAAGAGGCTACGATGCAAGATAATCAGCTCATGAGACTCCTCCTCGCCAACTCCGCTCATGAGTTCCGCACACCTCTCAACGCTATAATCAACTATCTGGAAATCGCCCTGGATGGGAATATCAATCAAGAAACCCGAGACAATCTTTCCAGATCGCACTCGGCATCCAAGTCTTTGGTATACATCATCAACGATTTACTCGATCTCACCAACGCAGAGAATGGACAGAAATTGATCAAGGATGAAATCTTTAGTCTATCCGAGACTCTATGTGAGGCGACCAATATCTTCTGGGAAGAAGCACGACAGAAGCATGTCAATCTTCAAGTAGTACAACATGCAGCATTACCTGCCGTCCTCGGTGATCAGCGACGAGTGCGACAAGTGATCACAAACCTAATCAGCAATGCTGTCCAACATACTTCCACCGGCGCGGTGACCATCGAGTCATGCATCCTGAGCGAGTCATGGGATGACGGTCACATCGCCATCGAAGTGGCAATCCATGACACAGGCTCTGGCATGTCCCAAGAAGCAGTCGAAACACTATTCTGTGAGCTGGAGCAGGTCTCCAACAAAGAATACACCCAGAGTCCCAAGGCTTACGCGAAGAATGCGAACATGTCACCTTCCGAATCAGAAAGCGTCCTGGGCCTAGGCCTTGCCTTGGTCGCCAGAATAGTTCGCAATATGAACGGGCAACTAAGCCTCAAATCCCAAGAAGGAAAAGGAAGCTGTTTCAAGATCCGCCTAAAGTTCTCATTACCGTCCGAGGACAACGACGCATCTCATCACGCCACCCAATCTACTTCGAACTTAAATCACCAATCCGCCACCCAATATATCAACGCAGATCCTCAATCTAATAGACAGGGATATGACAGGCCAACACCCAACGAAGACCCGTGTGACAGAAAACAATCCGTGGAGCAGGAAACCCAAGACCAGCCACCGGAATGCGGGGTTGTTCCCTGTCACTGTGGTTCACCCTTGGTGTCAGATTCAGCCATCGGCAAAGCGGACAACCCACTCGTAGATGCTGATATCTCACTCAATGGAGAATCCCGAAATCTGACCGTTCTTGCTTCTGGCGCCAAGGTCGAAGACGTAAGCATGCATAAGACCTAAAACTGTTCGATGCTAACTCCGGATCTGTAGAAGGTACCTTTGCGCTCTAGTTCTGGCCAAGCGCCGCACTCCGTCATGGATTCCACTTCAACTTCCACTTCCCCGACCGGTCCGGGTGAGACAGAGAAAGGAACTAATTCCATGACTGGGGGCACGCTTCGGATCCTTATTGCTGAGGATGACCCAATCAATAGCTCGATCGTTAAAAAACGACTCGAGAAGTTCGGGTACTCGATCTGCATGACGGGGAATGGCAAAGAATGTGCTTCTGTGCATCGGGAAAGTCCAATATCGTTTGATGTGATTTTGATGGATCTCCAGGTATGAAATCCCAATAATAGATCGCAATGTAATACGATATGCTAATTTCGTTGTACCCTTTTCTTTTCTTTTTATTCAGATGCCTATTGTGGACGGATTATGTGCTACAAAGATGATCCGCGAATACGAGCAGCAAAGTGCGTACCATAGGACGCCTGTTTTTGCTGTTTCGGCTTCTTTGATTGAAAAGGATCGTCAGGTCTATTTGGATGCTGGGTTTGATGGATGGATTATGAAACCTATTGATTTCCAACGCGTGCATTTACTGCTTAATGGTGTTTTGTCTGCTGAACGGAGAGATGACGCGCTCTATCAACCTGGGATGTGGGAACAGGGGGGTTGGTTTGGAAGATAGTGTATACCCGTGGTTTTAGGTAGAAATTGGACTCGATATTGAGAATAGCAGTTGGCAGTCGCCAGATCTCGGACAGGTGGCTGCATTTCAAGGTTAAATCCGGAGAATCAATTCCCCCTCAGAAGTATATCGAATAGAGAGAGCTCATTGTGGCATGGCGGCGGCTCTAAATCTACATTTCAACATCTAATTCTACTCATGCAAGGATGTAGGACATTGTCAATTAATATGTAATCAATTTACACCCCAATTCCAAGGTCTGGAAAGTACTAAATGCGACGAAACACGAGATACACCTAATCCGCTGCCGATCCACAAAGGGCAGCAAGCTCCAGTCCGTTCTAGTGTAATAGTGGATGAAAGGAAAAGGAAAAGGTAACATAAAGTTAAAAGAAAAGAGAAGTCGTGTCCATAATGAAAACAGGGTATGAGAAACTCCAATGAAAACAATGAACATGACTGGAAACACAGCGGCGGAATTAAAATACCTGTCGAGATAGCCTACCACGGGTCAATTGAATGCATCATCTGTACAACTTCAAACCAAACGAAACAAGAAAAAATAGATTATCGCTGAGACAGGGGAATCTAGAAGAATGAAACTGAGGTGGTGCCACAGGCAACTCATCCTTTCTGCAATTCATTGCAGAGTAAAATGCAGAGAAATATCCATGAAGGAAGTTGGTTTGGACCTCATGTTCCCCCACGGAGAGTCATGGAAGCATAATCAACCAAGCTGGCGGTATTTGGGCCGATTCATTGGGGCATAACAGAGGAAGTATCAGAAACTAGTCTTCCTGACCACCGCTGCTGGATTAAGAGTTCCAGCTTAGATGAACACTCGGGTGTTGTGCCCAAGCAGACGACAAAACCGTCAATCGCACAATTTCAGGCGATACCAAAGGCTTCGTTCCCAAAAAGCTTGCAAAAGAGACGATTTTCGCCGATGTATTTAGAGGTAGCTTCTTCAACTGATGATCTGGCGAGCACCCTCTTTGCCCAGAACACCTGGCTCCGTGGGCTTAGGACTGCGGTCACGGCCCTTCTTGCGACTGAGGAACGAGAGCATCCCACTGTTGGAGCCCTTTCCTTTACTCGCATCACCCTCCAGACCTTCTGCAGGGAGAGTAGAACTGTGATTGGCGAGCTCGCTCCAGCTACCAGCCTCTTCCAAAACCATTTGTACGCCACCTCCTTTACTCATCTTCCGTGTCGCACCGCCTCGTCGAGGGGGTGGCGGCAAGGGACGGTGGAAGGAGGGAGGATGGGGTGGAGGAGAGGCGGATGCGCGAGTTGAGGGGGAGGGGGCCCAATTGAAGCAGTGTCGTTCGGGTCCAAATTTTCACTGGCAGGCGTAGTTACTTCACTTTGAGATATCCGGTGGACCGGCCCCTCGTTCAATGGTGAAGTGCGAACGGCCGATTCAGGCTGGGAGGGCTGTCGGACGTGTGTGGTGTTGGTCGTAGTAATTGCGTTGGTGGTCGTTGCATTGGGGAGGCAATCTTCGGGGTTTCTAGAGGGGGTGAGTAAAGATGATGCACATGGGTCCAATAGATGTACTTACATTGTTGCGGCAATGGCTTCGGCGGCACTGCCTTGGTAGTCAACGGTGGTGTAGTCAAATGGTTCAAACATGGTCTCAATGAGGCGATGAAGTTCATCCTCCCGGATTTCTTTTGCGGTGGCATCGTCACGTAGCTCTGCACGCGGCTTCTGCCGACGAGCCCGGGCTTCCAGGGGTGCCTCCTCCAACAAGAGCTCCTCCAAATCGTATGTCGCATCGAAGTTTGTCTTGTCACTGGAGGGTCGGAAAACAGGGGGAATCTCTTTGCGCTCGAGCGCGTCGAAGTCGATGTCGGCGAAGAATTCATGTGAAGTGAAGCTCTCAAATCCAATGGCACCAATGCGGCGGCTGCGATCACGCTCCATCAGAGCCATCAGAGCTCGTAGACAGGGGACCGACACCGCGGGGTTGGTGACATAGTACTTCGGTTGTGCCTTTTTGATGTTCTCGCTCAGGGTTTCCTGGCTGCGACCTTCGAAGGGACGCTAAATCTGTTGTCAGCGTAAGCCATCGCACCTGTCGAAGCATGCCGTACCTTGTTGTAAATGCATTCGTAAAACGTGACACCCAAAGACCACCAGTCAACTTCGAAGTAATATCCACCGCCTTCATACACTTCTGGGGCCAGGTAAGCCAATGTCCCCGACTTGCTTGTGAGAGGCTTTCCTGGTCGGAAATCCGATGCCACATTCTAGATCACTGTTAGTAGCTACCAAAACATAGGACAGGTCATGTCACGTACGAAATCTGCCAAGTGGACATGGCCTTCTGAGTCTAACAGCACATTATCAGGTTTGACGTCGCGATGGATGATGCCTTGGGAATGGATGTATTTCAAGGCACAGCCAAGTTCTGCGGCCCAAAAGCGCACTGCTTCCTCGGTGAAACATTTGCGGGAAATGTGAAATCGAAGATCGCCACCATTCATGAGATCGACAACGATGTAGCTGACAGATAATCAGTATACGGAGCCATCTCAAGCGATCTGCTAAAACCCACATGTATTCGATGTCCTGAAAGCTATACCGCAAATTGCATAGGAAGGGATGGTTCAAGTGTTCGAGCATTCTTCTTTCACGAATGATGTTCCGTACACTTTCCGAACGTACAACTAACATGCAAGGTTAGTTCAAATCTCCGAGCCGCGGGGGTTCTAGGATCCTTGGCATACCCTCCTCTTTTCGAATGTATTTCAGGGCGAATGTTAGGCCAGTATCCTTCCTCTCAACGATTCGAACCTTGCCAAATGCACCCTTTCCAACTACCCGAAGGAGGCGGAAGTGATTGAGGTTGACTAGACGAAAATTAGTATCCACATCTTCAGTCCGCTGAAAAGCTTAATGCCCCCCAACACAGGCCCCTGAAATCGAGATTTCTAACATACCTGCATCGTTGCAAGAAATGGGCTTTCCTTGTGTGTTTCCCATTCTGGCGGAAGTAAAGGAGGACGTAGGTTTAAGGTGACTAGGATCTGTCCGGCAACATCACTTGTCTTGAGGACCTCGTATGGTATGTGAAATCACGTCGCGCAGGTTGGGAAAGCCAACGAACGGTGAAGAAAAGATGTGAATTGGACTTTCAGAGCACGAAGTCCATGGGAGACGTTCAACGGCAGAATCGCGGAGCGGGGTGTTGCAATGGAACGCGGCGGGCGAAGACCGAGAGCCGCAACGAGGGAGGAGCGAGGGGGATGATGGAGAGGGGAAAAAGGCGGTCGACCCAAATCTACCCAGTTCACTATAAGAGGAGGATTGTAATGCTGTCAGGCCGGGTATGTATATTCACGATTGGCGGAATAGGTGAGGTCAGGGTTTCGGGGGCCAAAAGTAGCCAAAACGAGCTTGGAGCGCGCACGCGCAGACAAATCGAATAACGGGTAGCGGCAAAGCACCGAAACAGATGTCTTGCAGATTGAAGATTGACCGAATTGGACCAGGACGTTCTGGAATGTCTTGAAACTGTGCAAGACTGAAAGAAAGGGGAGAGGAGAGTGAGCGGTCAAAATGGAGGCGGCAGTAAAGTGGAGCCAATCACACTCGCGTGAAGACAACGGGGAAAGGGGGCCTCGTACTTGAGGTAACCGGTTATCATGCCTTTTCTGCTAGTAATCGTCGTGTTTCTCACCTCTGCTCATGCAGTTTAAAGTGTCTATAGATTATATTTGGCATACATATATCATCCTTCAGGAATGAACTACATACTACTCCGTACTTGATGTGATTGTCAACAGCCATAGACCCACGGGGGCGGAAAAATAGGGCGAGAAAAAGCATTGCAGTCGGACTTAGACCTATCGTCAAGGTAACCCATCGATCAATAAAGACTTCGGTCAGAAAAATTGGTTGCATCGGCTTTTTTGGTCGAGACCGCTTCGCTCCTACTGCAGAACGCATCTCGTCTGCAGAACCCCTTGTACCATTCTGACCTGTCAGATATCAAATCAACCCTACTTGGTTCAGACGATAGCAGTGCGTTCTATCCCCACTGGCGAAGATTGGGGTCCGCGACGAGTCTATTTGCTCGCTGAAATTGCTCTCAAACATTGGACAAGGGACTGTCGATAGTTTTCCGCCCCTTAATCGAGCCAACCAGAGAGCAGATCACGCACCTGCATTGCATTGGACTGGTCACCCTGTCGCCACGCGACATCCTCTCGACACGTCTGATCTCTCGTGGCAGCCACGTTATTGACCGCCCTTGTTGAGATGCAGGTCTCGGCTTCCCCGTCGCACAGGAACGGCCGTGGAACGCCTGCAGAACATTCGAACGTTCGAACATTCGGATGAGCTGAACTGTGTTTAATGGGCTTTGCAGGTCCCGACTCCGCTCGCGAACGGACGTAAGACTTCCGTTCCCACCGGGCGCGACCTGTCTTGTTTGATCGGCGCCATTTCAATTTTGAAACCACCGTGACCGACCTTCAATATGAATTGATTGTAGACGTGTTTCTTTGCATAGCTAGCGCACACGTAGTGGGTCTCATGATCAAGGCTTGTCGGCCCACACCGGAGGAGGCATAATGCTGGTCGCCGGCGTTTCAGCTGCAAAACGACAAAGATGATTGCCCGAAACTGAAACTCCTTGTTTCAAATTCGTACTTCTGACCATAGTGAAGCTTTGGCTGAGTCAGGAGTCGGGAGCTGTCATTTAATCTGATTTGAGGCCCATTTGTACCGATTGGTTGATTTGTCCCTATCTTAGGTAGATAAATGTGCCAACAGTTTGGGCTTCCATATGTTTTGAAGACCATCAAATGGACTTGATAAAGAGAAAACAACTGTATTCCATGAGGGGAAGATTGAAGTCAGGAGCAATGAGGATGGTGGACCATTGAGCTATTCAAGATATAGTAATATCTAATCATGAGCACCTGAGACGGCCTGCATCAAGGATTTCGAATGGATCCCCAAGGAGTCCGAGATAATAGATTATCTTGAACATTTTTATAGAAAAAAAAAAGAGAAAAAGAAAGAAAGAAATTGGTGGGAATCGAACCCCGGATCTATTGATTCTCTCAATACCTCAGAGGTACATTGTGAATAGCCTCATCTGCATCGCCCCGAAAGTCAGCCAAAACTTCTTTCCCATATAACCCACTACGTATTTAGAAAAAAGAGTTCGTCTCTGGATCCAACGGATTGATGTCTAGCTATTGCATTTTTCAAAAACAGCAAACATCAATCCCAGGGGGACCCCAAGATCACAGCCGTGGCTATGTCTTGGCGGTCTGCCACTGGGTGATGTTTCCCGGTCTATCCAATACGTACATCGCAGGTCCCGACGGCTAACCTGGTGTGCCCCAACTGGCAGTGGTGAGGATTTACCCAACTCGACCACACGTATTGGATTATTGATTTGGAGAGGAAGAAGTAATACTTCAGGGAACAATGCTAATACTTTTTGGCACCCCCCTCCACCTTTCCCTTTGAGAATTCAAGCCCCTTGTCTTCCTGGGAAATCTTTTTACCATACATATTGGGTTATTAATTCGGTGAGGAGGAAGTAATACTTAAAAATAATGCTAGCCTACCAGAATTCTTGGCTGCCCCCTTGATGCTCAAGTTGAATTATCAACCTTACGCAATAAGCTAAAAACACAACAAATTCACTAAATTTGACTCTCACAGAAAGAAAGACTTAAAACATCTCCAGCAATATTTCTCAGGAGCAATAATGTCATACTGAACAGCGTAGCTATCAAATAGTCAATTGACTAACAGTGTCCTTCAAGGGCAGGTATGTCCCCACTCCATGTGCTTGCCATGTGACGGAAGAAGAATGTACATTTGCTTCTCAAAACCGCATCATGAAGTGGTCTTTCGCTTTTCAGATCAATAATTTTGAGAACGCGAAACCCCGTCAGACAATTCGTGCATCGTGTGGGCACATTCGCAGTTCAGCCTTAAATTGCGCGGCCTAGCTTGGTGCAACTAAGCCTCTCAGGTGGTATTTTCGTACTTGTATAACACCCCACTGTAATTGAATACGCCGCAGCGTCAACTGAGTAACTTTTGAGGTTCGTCCAGTCCAAATGAGGGCGCTGAGAGGGGTCAATAACGGTGTAGTGGTAATGGAGTTCAAGGTCACGGGTGAGCACTTTCCTTTTTTATCTTCCAGTGAAGTTCTCTCTCTCTCTCAATCTGGTAGCCTTCCTTTCTCATCTTCTCTAAATAACACACACAAAATCCTATCTTTGATTGATTTCTTTTTGATCACGATGGCGGACAGTAGCTTGACACCGATCAATGAGTCCTCCGCTACTTTACATCACAAGAATCAATCAAACATACCATCTCATGCCCAAACTGAAACTCACTCGCCATGGTTCATGCAACGTCCAAAAAGCTCCGGCATTGATATGGCAGCATTCTCCTTTGCGAAACCGGCCAGTCATCGACAAGCCTTTGCTTTACGAAAACCGCCCAAATATCCGCCGGTCATCTCTACACCTATCGCGGACTTACTGCCTTTAAATCTTCAGAGACAACCACGAGATGAGCCCGATAAGATGAGCTTGATACCAACAAGGCTAGTGTAGATGGAATGTAACGATGAATTATTTACTGATATTTCCGTGTTCTTTGTAGCCAGGTCCCATCTCAGATCGAGTCTGAGCCTCGCTACCTCGAGGCCAGCAGTCCGGTCCATAACTTGCGCGACTCAGAAGACGCAGACTGCTCGCAAATTTTAGGACCTGGTCAGAAAGAGTTCTTTCATGTTAGGATCGAGGATGTGAGCACCCAACCAAAGGCTAGGTCGGATGGGCCCAGTCAGCAGGTCACCGCATTTGCTGTTTCAAAAGGCGGCAAAGCCCACAAAGACCATCCTAGTGATAACATGGAGCTTGTAGTACGTCGAAATGGTTGATATTTATCACACTTACTAACATTCGAAACAGGAAAATGATCTATACCAAATCTCGTTCCAGTCAGGACAGGGCCAGGAAGAAAGTGCGGATTCAGTTGCCCCGATATGTCCTTCAAATGTCAATCAAGTTCTACGAATGCACGATTACTCGAGCTCGAAAATTCCAAGTGAGATTCGAAAAGGAAAGCTCACTCGAAGACAAAGGTCAATTTCAATCAATAAAGCGGATCCACAGCAACTCAATGAAGACAATCTTTTCCAGTTGCTCATCGGAAAGATGAAACAGCGTGAAGAGAGCGAAGTCGTTGCAACCCACATGTGTCGCCAAATAGAGACCAAGAATGTCCTGTTGAAGGACGAAAATGATGACCTACGACGGAACATTCATGTTTTCCACCTGAGTCTTCAAAAAAGTGCTGAAGAATTGAATGCGCAGCGCTCTCTCCTTGGCGAATGGAAATCGAAGATACGAAATTTCAAACAAGTTGTCAACGAGTTGGGACATGGATACGATGCTCTTCGTGACCAAGCAGACCAACACCGAGAGAATGCCATGCTTTTGGACAAGGAAAGGGGTGACCTCACTAAGGCTATTGAACTGACCAAACTTCGCATTTCGCAGGCTGAAGGATTGATTGACACGCAGCAGCAGAAGATAGCCGAAAGTGACAAAACCATTGCACTTCTGGAGCAATCCTTGTCTAGCTCACGAGAAGGAGAAGAGAGCGCAAAATCCCAGCTGTCAGAACAGAAGATGAGGGTAGTGACATTGGAAACATTCATTCAGAACTACGCTCTGTCCCACACGAAAAAGCTAGACATGATGAAGGAGGGTCAGAAAGGTCTAATTGAAAGCATTACAACTGGCTTGAATGCAGTGAGTCGTGATTCCACCAATCACAAAGATGCCGTTCTTTTGGCTATCCGAGATGCATTCGAAGATTTCCGTTCCTCAATACTATCTTTGAATACGAAGCTCTCAGAGGAACAGGAAGATGCTACAAAGTTCACGCTCAAAGCTCAGGAGGTGATCTCTCGGTGATTATCCTCTCTCTGTGGATGTCTAAAGTTAGAAACTGATCGTGCAATTTAGAATTGGCGTCCTATCATCACAGTTTTCCGATAACGTCGACAGTGGAATCGAAATCCATAATGAGGTAGCTAAAACTCTGCAAAAAAAGTTTGACGAGTTTGAATGTCACCTTGGCCCTTCATCCCCGGTGATCAAGTGTCTTGCCCAGTGTGATAATACATGCGCGGCTCTTGAGTCGAAGCTTGGGACCATTAAGCCGACATTAAACGCGCTTGAGACTTCTGCCAAAGCCCTGACAGTGACGGAAAATGCTCTTGCGCAGGATCTCGCGTCTTTCGGCAAGAAGCTCGCAGATGCCCAGCTTTCAACGAGCAATCCAAGTCTCGAGGCGGACCTAGCGAGCAAGTTTGCAGAAAACACCCTGCTACAGGCTCAACTTCATGATGTAGGGTCGAAAATCGATATTCTCCAGCAAACCGTGTATGAAAAAGAGATTTTGATTATAGATACACAAGAGGCTTTGGTGGAAATCACTTCAAAGCAGGAAAGGGCGGAATGTGAAAACAAACAGCTGGAAACAGAAAAGGCCGCTTTGCGACTGCAGCTCGAAGACACGGAGCAAAGAATCCGACATGAATTGAGCAAACAGAATACCGATTTGATGGATAAGATGAGAGCTGATCATCAAGCCGAGATTGATGGGTTTCAAAAGGAAAAGGACGAGGTGGAAGAAATGTCTGGAAAGCTAACGATTCAACTTGGTGGCATTCAAAACTCCTTGGTCAGTATCGGATGTACGTAGTGGTTGTATCCGCTAACGACTTCAAGATTGATGCGAAAAGGCTCGTTGATGAACAAGGAAGAGACCGTCAAGCTTTGGTATGTGACTTCTATCCTTGGTGTGCCTTGCTAAGATCAACAGCTCCAGGAGACAGAGCAGCAGATACAAGACCTTGAGAGATCCGAAGCAGAGTCCAAGGTTCAGCTCGAAGCTCAGCGCACGGAAATAGAAAAATTCCAGCAACTGGATGCCACTTCTCGTGTGGAAAATAGTGACCTGCGTGATCGACTAGAACAAGCCCAACAAAAGATTCATGATCTTGAACACCAGCTAGCCTCCCCAACCCAAGCGGAAGAAATCAAGACTCCACGACAGCCTAACATAGTGTCTTTTGCAACAATCGAAAGTCAGCTTTTGGAGCAACATACCACTTCACAATATGGTGAATCTTGCGACTTTGCCATGCTCTTCATGTCCGATGACCAATCCCCTCCAACACCAACAAAGGAAACGACATTCCATTACCCCAAGAATCCTGACAATACCAGTGAGCTTCAAAGGCCCGCAGAGGTAAACAAAGAAATTCCCTTGATTGGCTCTGGGAAGTTGAATTCATCTCCAAACAAGAAGCGCAAGGGAGTTGTATTCGATCCTCCACAGCTCACAAACAAAGAAAAGGAATCCATGAAGGCGCAGCCAGTTGCCAGTGAACCGGAGAAGGAGCCAGTAGAACACCCAAACAAAGTATCCAAACACATTCACAAGTGGACTTATAGTCGTGTCCGCAATCTACCTATAGAGACACAACAGGAGCAGACCAGAGCACCAGCTCACGCCGCCAAGGCTGATCGACTAAGTACTCCCAAGGGCCTTGTTTCCGCAAGCAGCGCGCCAGAAGCTCCACGGCCCAAGACTCGGAATCGTGGCCGCCGCAGAGGTCGAAGTACGTTGCCAATCTCAGTCGTATTTGACAGTGCTAATGGAGATCTGCAGGTGAACAATACGATGCGCGATTCCTGGAAGACCAAGGATCTTCATCGAAGTGCAACCCGAAATGAGTACCCATTCCTTTCTTTGGAATTTTGAATGGTATTCTTCTGATGTTGACGTATTTTATATTTGAGGTCATTTGATATGTGCACTTTTAATTGTAGTTATGATTATTGCTCCGAGCGCGCAGCCTTTGTTTCCAGAGCGGGTCTGAAATGACAGCCCATAGATTATTTGTTCACATCGTACTGATCCGAAAAAAACAAAAAAAAAACACAAAAAAAAACACTATGTACTTGATTTCAAAATATACAATACGCAAAGATGCGATCCCAGAGACGTGATGAATGAAGTTTTTTATTTTCAGTTCAGTACCCAAAGCTGCAATGCTCTTGAACGCCAGACACAATGCTCCATCAAAAGGAAGTAAACGACGGAGCAGCTGACAAAAGCATAAAGCTCCATCGCTGTCAAATCAAACTTCCCAGGATATAATGTACACAAAAAAAAGTTACAAGCCCACCATCTCTGCCAATCTCTTCAACACATCGGCGTCCTGAACAATCTATTTCGAAAGTGTTCTCAAATCCAGCAGGATCCCGTATTATCCGAGTCGAGTCGAACCGAACCGATATTGCCGGTGAACGGTGGGGGCGCGGTGAAAGGAGAGGAGATCGGAAAAAGCGACAACCAATCGAATGGTGTGGAAATTCAAGGCAGGAAGGTTGAGGATGGACAAAAAGTCCCAATCGAAGCGCTCAAGCGTCGGAACGACACACATTTATTTCGACTTTCCACCCTTGGTCGCCTCAAGGAACAGCACCGTCTTCTTAACAACAGGATCGTACTTGAGCATGCTAAGCGGACGATGAGCACGAGGCCGGATCATAGTGCGGTAGTAACCCGTCATCGCCATCGAGATGAGGCGCACGGAAAGGGTGCGTGACTTTGCTGCAGGAGAATGCTTGTTAGCTGTCTTGCGGTGCGGTGGTTTCTTCGCTCGTTCGGGGAGGTCGCCCTGCGCCCCAGCGCGTGGCGCAGAGTAGGCAATCGGTGTACCCAGGGGTTTCTGGAGGGTTTTATAGCTGCGTAGACTCACCTTTCTTGGCCATTTTGTTTGACGTCCCGAGGGGTCTGGATCGATGTTCGATGTGATTGAAATTCGAGGCGGAGTCGGGCAAAACCGCAGTGTTCACGTGACTGATTAGTCATGATGCACGGTCTTTGTCGGTTGGTTGGTCCCAAGGTTGGAGTTGGCCAATGGCCATTTTGTTTATGGGTTTCTGTTGTTGACTATGATCCCAAGGTTGTATTTTGAATTTTTTTTATTGTTGCGTGATCACAAATCCTTGCATGCAATGAATTAGTCATTGTTGTCGGCTTCCCGATGCCGTATTGTTGATTGAAGGGATTCGGGTGAATTCCTCGGCGCGCCGGACCGAGATAACACGGGTAATAGAGAAAGCATAATATACTTCTTTGGGATGTTTCTTGATTTGAGATTGTTTATGTTACTCCTGCAAGAGCTCCCAATTGCTAGCGGCTCTTTCATTGTGATGGCCGGAACTAGGATATGGGCTTGCCCATAACAATCGATTCGGTTCGAAATACAACTCGGGATGGAATAATCCCAAAATGTTTGAAGAGGCAAGCAGTGAAACCAATGGTGTAAAATAATTGGTATGACCATCTATTGTGGTAAGAAAACATAATACAAAATAAATTTGCACCACCGCTGCACTGAAACGCGCTATCAAACCCCGATTCCGATGTTTATTTCAAGATGCGAGACAGGCTAGACAAACAGCTAGTAATGATTGGATTACTTTGACAGGATTGACTAGCCAGGAGGATTTCAAAACGACCCTATAATAATGCCAAAGAAGTTGCGTGAATGGAAGATTGTCTAATTGATTTTACCGATCATTAAACTGCCTAACTCTTGCAGTCAAACTGTAACAACTGATCTTAACATATTGTCGATTTACCAATGCAGAGGGATCGTGGACATGGGGTTTTCTTCATGATTTCAATCACCGATGTCAATCACCGATGTCACAAGATGGTACCGGTATCCACTGATAATGAGTAGTTTTCTCCGTGATTTTCAATCACCGAAGTCACTGTCGGCACCGGCATTAAGGGTATGACGTGGATCCGCCATTACGAGTTTAAAGAGCTTCTTTTCGTTCAAGCCTTAGTAAATGTAATGTTGTCCAAAATTTGATTGGTTCGACTCACTAAAACAGGATATCGTGGAAAGCGAGGTAGCGACCTCGTGCAATGGGTTTCTGGATCCCCAGATCTTCCCAAATATTAAATCTATCACAGAAAGCGTCAGATATTCTAACGGACAATTGGGCGGGTTTTTAAGTGTAAGACATTTGGACAATAGCAATTGGGAAGTAGACAAGGAGAAAAGAGACACCTCTTCCGGGGCCAGGTATCAAGTATCAAGACCGCGATGAATGCATTGGAGAGAGTACATACTTTGATCCAGGCCTCGCTAATTGTCCAAAATGATCAACCCCCGACTATGCTACTTCCTGCCAGCATTCTTTTTTAAACATGTTACGTAGAGGATCCTACATGTGGGAAGCGAGATAGAAAGTAAAATCTATTATTCCCTAGACACTAGGTACTTGGTATCTTGAAGCACGTTATCAAAGACCATCATGGAAAATAATCCTAAAAAATGGAATCCTTCAATCAAGAAGGTGTTCACGAAAAATGGGTCTGTTCTTAGTCGCGTCTGTCTCTTACTCGTTGTCTTGGACATCGATGACGGTGGACTTGAACTTCCGGGCCGAAATCTTACGGTTGAACAGAATATCGCTCTCACGGTAAGAGCGATGCTTGAGCTCAGGGAGGAAGAAGTAGGCCATCACCCAGCAGACACAGGCAGTACCTCCCCAGACATAACCACACTTTCCAGCAAGGTTCCATCCGGTGGTGTTGAGCATCTTTGAGGCCAGGTATATCATGGGGATCTCAGCACAATAGTAGGCGGCACGACCGACGGCTGTGCTGAGAGCACGAAGACGAACAGAGGAGGTTTCGGAAATAATGGTGTATGAGATCGGACCCATAGCACCCGCAAACACGAAAGAGATGATGACACCGAGACAGGCCTGGGCGTAGTTGGTTCCGTTGGTCTGGGGGACTGAGGCACAGATTCCGAGAATGAACAACAGGCAAACATTGACAGCAGTACCCCATAGGTAGATGGTTCTGCGACCGAACCAGGCAGTAAGGACCCAAGAGAGTCCGTTAGCGATGAACTGTAGGCACGAGTTGATCAGGTTCAGCTTGAAAGACATGTCAGTCGAGATTCCGGCCTCTAATTGGTCATTAGTGATTAGCCATTGAAAGTCGGATATGTAAGGATCACAGGTACTTACGCTCGAAGAAATATGTGGCTTGGTTGGCAATCAGATTACCAGCAAAGTTCTGGGAGGCGTACATCAAGCAAGTGATAATCGTTCGCCTCAGATCGGTACCCTTGAGGAGATCGAGCAGAGTAGGGGAACCACCAATTTGAGCCTCAATCTCAACAGTTCGCTCCATCATGGCAAGTTTCTTGGGCGCGTTCTCGGCCGTACTACCTAGACGGACAATAGATCGAAGGGCCTCCTCCTTGCGTCCACGGCGAATGAGCCACCAGGGAGATTCGGGGGCAAGAAAGACCAGAATGAGGAGAGGGGTCTAGAAGAACTTTAGCTTCAGTAGGCAGGGTATTTGACATCAGGAAGAACTTACGGGGAAGATCCACTGCAAGGCAAGAGGTGTACGCCAAGCCCATTCATCAAGACGGTTATTGTAGCCCAAAGTGGCGGCGGCTACAATGATTGAACCAATCGACCAACTCATCTGAAGGGTAGCCGTGCAGGCGCCACGAAGACTGAGCGGGACGACCTCACTGGCATAGGCAGGAGAATTGGCGATGAAGAGTCCCCAGGGAACTCCTTCAAATGCTTGACCGATAACCATGACGGCGAGGGATTTAGCCTGACAGTTCAATTAGCTGATCAGCCTAAAAGATCTTCGAAGAATTCACTCACGAAGAAGGAAATGAAAATGGTGGCATTCATCATCATCAAGGCCAAGATAGTAGTCCAGCGGTATCCAATACGATTGGTAATGGGACCGGCCAAGAAAACACCGACGAAAGCACCACATTGACCAGATTGGAAGAGAGCACTCTGCCATCGAGTGGGAATGGTCCAAGAGTCTGGTCCAGTCTTGACACCATACGTAATCTGGAACTGCTTGACCGCAACGAAGTTGGTGTTCAAGAACATGTCAAATGACTCCATGACCTACGCGGGGTATTAGCTCTTTTCATTTCAAACACGGAGCGAATTGACTCACGATGGTAAAGCACATAATGAAAGCCCAGAAGCAAGCCCAGGGGTGAGCCTTGACACCCGCCCAAACTCCCTGCTGATGCTCCAGGTTCTCACCCTCAAAGGCCTCGGTCAGGAGATCAGGGTTCTTCAAGACCTCATCGTGAAGGACATCGGCTTCATGCGCCTCCATCGCCTTCGGTTCCACCTCCATCTTCTGATCAATGCTCCCGGTCGACATGTTGTTTCAATGTCAATAAGTGCGGAGGAATTAAGAAAGGAAACCACGGGGAAGAGAAAGAAAGAGGGAGAGGTGGGGAAGGAGCGAGGGAAAGACCTTATAGAGAGCAAGGACGCGTCTCCCCTTCAATTGTCGGGCGTGACATTCCGTGTGCAATCCAAAAGCATAGATTGTGTGATCAAAGACTTTATCCCCAGACAGTCGGCCCCGTACCCGGGGAAACCTGGGGCGGCGTACCCACTCTGGAGTAATCCCACCAGTGGTACAAGCGGGTTTAGCATCCGGGGCTGAATTGCACCTTGAACCGGCGACCCTACTGGACGGGCAAAGCCGAGGTCTGGTCACATGGGCCCTTTCGTATGCATACACTTGAGCTGTTTGGGAAATTATCCGTGAGATCGCCTGAAACCCCTGGCCCGATCTGTGTGGTACGACCGGCCTGCAGTCTGGCTGATCCGAGTTTGACTAAAGACTTTCCCGGGAAACCGAGCTAACGAGTTTTTACGGTCAGCGGTTGACATCCCTCTTTTCTCCAAGGGTCTCTCTGATGTTTTCCACATGGGGTTCCACTTGAAGAACAATCTTGATAAGTTGACCCAGTTTTGATTTTCTGGGGCCCCGGAACCAAAGCTTATCTTGCGCTCAGGGGCTCTCCAGGTGTTCATCCTTTGTACTGGGGAAGTGGTAGAATCGTTCTTGAATTCATTATCTCCGGGAAAGTTCGGATTCCCAAGTTTCCAAACTTTGGGCCGTAGCTTCAAGTACCACCAACGCCACCAATGTAACTTCACAGCCGGTGACCGACTAGGGTCGGCTAAACCTTTTTGAACCGATGCTCGCTTGTTTATCTTGCATTTGTTCGCGCTCTGCTACTGGATACTGAGACCGCCTGTGGTTGGGGAGATTCGTGTTGGGCAGAAGTACCGTTGCCTTTTTTTGCTTTTTTTTGCGGTTAGAGGATAGGGGTTTACACTCTTTGGGCTGAAGTTCGCCCCTCGCTGATCCATGTCTACATTGAATCAAGGCATAGAGGCCGCGTAGCGAGCTGCCCAAAGCTTTCTCGAAATTAAAAGCATTGCCATTCTGGTACACCGGTCAGGTTCTCCGGTGGGGGATGATGAAAATATACAACAAACATCCCATCATGCGTTAGGGATCATTATTGGGGCCCATTAGCATCGGTTTATCTGGAGCTGTTGGGTCACTCAAATCGATGATCCTTCGACTCTGAGAGGCTGCAGGACGAATGCGGGGTTAGAATTAAGGTCACCCTCGGGGCTCCTGCCAAGAGGGCCATAGCATAGGCAACCCATTCAAGTCCACCGGTTCCATGCTCCAGGGGCGATAAAGTTTAATCTTATGCAGCCAGTAAATCAGGAGAGCAAGCCATGACACATGGCGAGTTATTTTGAGGGCCTGACCAATTACCAAATCAGACCTACCTACCCCCCAAGAACTCGCGGGTTCCGGGTATTTCCACTGTATTGCTCAAGGCTCATGCCCAGGTGACTAGCCATGGATTTCATTCGACTTCTCTCGCAAGGCTGCGATGACACGAATAGCTAGCACTAAAGTTTCAGTCTTTGCAGTGGGTCAATTCAGTGGCCTGAGTGCTGATCTGAGCGAAAGGTGACGAAAACACTTATCGCTGCACATAGATGTCATGGTGAGCTTAAAATAGCAGATAAGAAGTCAAGCTAACAAAAAGACGGTACGAAAATAAATAGGGGGGAGAGCGTCAGCCTCGGTTGTGGGCAGGAGCAGCAAAACCGCGCGAGACCCAAAATGTCCAATTAGATGTCGTCCCTAAAGCGGCAATAGATCAATACATCTTTCACCACGCCTGCCTTTTCCACCGCTCTTCTCCTCCTTCCTTCGAACGCGTACCCCGCCTTCTGGAGCACACGGCCACTCGGTTCATTTCCCTCAAAAACTTCCGCCTGAATTCTCAAGATGTGATCAAAGGTTTCGAATGTCCACTTGGTAAATGCGGCTACAACCCCAGTCACGATTCCCTGACCCCAAAACTCTTCCCCTAGCCAGTATCCAATCTCCATAGTCCGGTATTCGACATCGGTCCGCGGTTTGAGTCCGATGGAGCCAATCACTACGTTGTCTTCGGCCCGGCAAATCACGTAGTCAGTCGAAGTGGGGGTTTGACTACTAATCCAGCTCTGAGAAGATTCAATGGTATACGGGTGTGGGAAGGTATTTCTCATCCACATGGCGATCTTGGAGTTGTTGGCGTACTTGGCCATGGATTCCGCATCCTTTTCGCTGTGCGACCGGATGATGATCCCATCCAGGCGTATGATGGGCTCAGGAAATTTGTGCTCAGAGCACAATGATGTGGATTCTGACATGGTTGTGTCGCGGGGTATTATTGGAGCAATGAAACTGTGAGTCGTTTCAGATTTTTGAGGCTCTTCGGTCAGGTCCGTTCTCAACACGCTCAATATTGACGTCAAAGAACTGCTGGACGGTTGCGACTTTTTTTTGCTTCTAGCGTCGCTCTTGCAACCTTTTAATTGTGAGTTACCGTCGCGTGAGTCAAATGCCAACAATGTAACCTCGTAAGCATCGTCGATAAGCCAGACACTTACCCCGAATGGGAATAGTCCACCCACTCAATTCTGATTCGTTGGGATTCAGGTGGACCCGCATGCTTGTCTCAGTGAGAGATTGGACGATGGGTCGAATCGTGGAGAGAAACTAATAATCCTTATTATAATGGTGGTTATAACCAGTTGACTAGGCATAATAAAACAGCAGCCTTAGAAGGTCGACAAGAGAAACCTCCCGCCGAGAGGTGTAGGCTACAAACCATCTACGGTGATCATTTCGACTGGCATGGCCAAATTTGCCTCGGCAAGCGACAAGTTGAAGGTATCAGTAAATATCGAGTCTGTTCAAATTGTTGAACTAGCTGAAATGGTGGTACTTCACCGAAGAATTTCATTTCCATAGAGACGAATAGAAATAAAGCGGCTTCCGCGCCACAAATCAAACTCGGAATGTTGGAACGTTTACTTAGGCACTCTTTGTAGAATAGTAGAGAGGATATACATTTATAATATCTCAATGCGTGGGTAGTTAGGAGCGATAAAGCATTCTGAAGCATCTATATATTCATGGATGTCATCGAAAGAAGCCAAAAATCTTTTTCGTGCGTGACTGGGAGTTTTTCACGAAAGGTAAGGGCTGGACTTCCTTGTCTGATTTAGGTTTGACATAACGATCGTTTCCAGCTGAGCTAGAACCTGTCGAGATAGGACGCTCAGCCGAAAGTAAGCTTTTTCCAGGCTGGGAAGGCTCTTTATGGGCCAAGGTGAAAACTGAGGGATCGAGTTTCAGAGGCGTGTTGATGCTTATCTTATACAACTCTTTCTCATCCTCCTGAGCTTTTCTAGTGTAACCTGCTCAATATGTTAGCTTTGGTGAAATAATATGGCGTCTTTATATGCGCATACGTGCAGGGAAAATTCCCCTCTCCTTCGTTCGAACTTCTTCGCCCTTCCACCACTCATCTTTGTAAATTTGGTCTGTCTCAATGAGCAGGATGATTTGACCGCGCATTATGGTCAGTTCGTCGCTGCTCCGAGCCGCAAAGTCATCTATAGATTATTAATCAAGTTTCCATGAGCTCGGTGGAGGGAGGGGGCACGACAACGCAGTCCCATTTTGGGATGAAGACTTACAGAGGACAAAGAGATAATCACCCGGCTCGATATTTTGCGATTGTGCCAGCTTCCCATCGGGGGTACTGCGACGATTTATTATATTGCCAGTTCGAGCTTTTCGATCCTTTTCCTCAAAAGCTTCGATGATCCGTGGCTTCGACCCACCTGAACCTTTATCTGAATGCTCTGACTGGTTCAAGTTCTCGGCGCCAATAGACCAAGCACTCTGGACGTCACCAAAAGCACGCAAGAACTCATCGGTCTCGTCTGTCAATGTATTCTTGTCGACAATAACATGGGTGCGCTCTTTGGGAGCCTGAGATGTCTCAATCTTATCGCGGCTGATAACCGTAGCCTGAAGTGACTCAACAGTGTCCCATACAGCAGTGCCCTGTGACTGCGGCCGTGCTTGAACGGTAATCTCCTCAGCTGCATTGTTCATGGGGACAATTTCGCTGGACGGAGGTGTCGGACTCCTTACGTCCTGGGAGTAGGGTGCTTTTTTAAACTTTGTAATCCAAGGGTGCCCTTGAGCCTCTTCAGCTGTGAACCGATTTTCAGGATTCATATCCATAGCTTTGCGGATAAAGGAACGGCAGTCTGATCCTAGGCCGTTCCGGAACAAAGCATCATCAGGTAGAAAGATACCATATAGCTTGTAGTCAACAAGTTGCATCAATTCAGGAAATGCGGCCGTTTTGGTCAGTAAGCGGACACATATCTCGCCGAAGGACCACATATCAATCGCGAAGGTGTACGCTACTTCATCCTTTTTACCATTGTTGACGGCTCTGGAGACACCGAGACCGCGGAGCTCGGGTGCTGCGTAGTCTGGGGTGAAGACTTTCGTGTGTAGGCTAGTGACACCTTCAACAGCTCGCTTGCTGATTCCAAAATCACCTATCTTAACCCACCAATCTGGCCCTGGATACATGACCATAATATTCTATCAACAAACCGATCAGTTCAGCCGATCATTACAGATCTATCAAAGTTGAATTTTCATGACGTACTGCTGGCTTCAGATCTCGATGGGCGTACTTGTTGTCATGCATGAACCTAAGACCCTCCGCGAGTTGTGAAGCGATCAAACCAGCTTCGCTTTCGGGGAATGACCTGGTAAGATGTTTTTGAAGGTCCTGATGTCTAGCATATTCCATGGCGATGCAAACGTTTTCTTCCTGTAGATACCAGCCATAGCATTCGATGAAGCAACGGCGATACTAGGCCACGAGTCAGGATATGTTAGATCATCCAGCTTATGGGTGTGATCTTACCAATGGCTTTGAGAACTTGGCCATGGCCATCAGCTCCTTCTTATACATGTTTGTGGACTTTCCAGATTTGTCCAGCATTTTGACGGCCCGAAATGATGGCTTTTTTGATCCATTGTGAGAGATTCGTTCTTGTAGCCATACTGTCCCAAAGCCACCCTCCCCTAGATTATCTTTGGTGTGCCATATCTCCTCATCTTCTATCATGCGTTTGCCAATGTCCGGATCTGAGTGGTACGATATATGACGGATCTCGCCTGGAGCAGGAAATGTAGTGTTAAGCCGAGTATCTTCGAGGTCAAGGTCCAGATAGTCCATGAAGGCAATCCACGCGATGAGGCGGAAACCCGAAGCTACCTAGCTATGATCATTAGGGTCGTGATGTTCGGTTGGAAAGGCCGATCGCAGCTGAGATCTGGATACGGGGTTGGCGAGATGAATTTCTGTTCGATATAGCTGAAGAATCAAGATATACCGCAGGATAGGAGTTGAAGAAGACACGAGGGAAATGAGTATAGTACACGTTGATGGCCGACGTCTCAACGAAGACGACTAACTCGCTCGAGGCCAATAAGCACAAGACACTGTTGAGACCCAGGTGAGCTTGGAGAGACCAGACCAGTTGGGGGCTGTAAAATGCGATTGGCTATCAAATGAATACGAAACTTACATAATGCGCAAAAGAAAATGAGAGCGATGGGAGGGATTGGACGAAATGCAACAGCTGAGACTCGTCAGCCACCGATTTTATTCTCACAATAAATAAGTTGTGGTTTGTATAATGCGCAGCAACATGCAGTTCTGCTTATTTATGGACTCGATGGACTAAATGTCTGCTAACCACTACTGTATTAGCGCAGTAAGACACGAGGCGCAGGGTGATATGTCCAGTGGCGCAGCCCGAGAGCGGGGGTATGTGGCCACAGAGCCAACTTGGCTGCACTTTATGTTTGCATTCTAAAATCTCCCTGTGCAGACAGAAATTCAGCCTTCTAGCATATGGCAGATCCTGGTACTATCGTCTCAGCGGCCGAGGCCTGCTACAAGTACGGCAATTGATAGAATTACCCTTTTGTCGCTATATATACGCTGACATATCTTCGTAGATATGGCAAGAAGCTTGTCAAATTTTGCCAAAATTGGAAGCATGCAGACCACGAACTTTCAGAGCGCGTCAGAATTGTGGAGATATGCTGGGCTAAGACCAGCGCCCAGATCGACCTTGTTCAGCGACTGCAACCAATAATGGAGAATAGTCTTAGTCGTATTATGGACGATAACTTCACTATTCTTCAGGGAAAGCTTTGGCGCGCTGCGACCAAAGTTGAAAGTGTTCAGGATACATCTTCTCAGTCTAGACCTGGAATTTTTGGCTTCCATCGTCGAGCAAAGGGGTTCAAATATGCGCGGGAGAAGGAAGCAATAGACGAAGTGATTCGCGATATGGAGGATTGGCAAAAGCGCAGTGAGCCCTCGTGGTTCTTGATCATGCGTATTGCTAATCCTTTCATTGATGAGGAACTTCGTTGTGCCGCGGCAAATAGCTCTCCTCTGAAACTTGCATCCAAGGTTCGCGAGGCAGTGAGACCATCCGGTGGTCCACCATCAGTCGAACTCCCCAAAGCCTCATTCAAGGTATCAAACATACCTTTCAGTCACATGAAAGTAGGATTACATCTCAGTAAGAACACACAATATATCATCGATACCTTAATCGTTGGTCCGAAAAGCAATGCCAAAGCCATGGAGCATGACGTACGGGATCTTGCAGGCAGATTGACGAGAGTGGATTCTTCGGTATTTGGTTTGCTCAGTTGCAAGGGCTTCATGCCTGTCTATGAAAAGTCATCACTGGACAGTCAGAGCCCCCAGGAGAAGAAGCCAAGGATTATAGCTTTCGATCTTGTTTTTCGGGTGCCAGACAACCATGATTTAAGTCAAGCTCAAAGTCTGAGGCATCTACTCTGGAGCAACACGCGAGATAGCATTGAGGTCCTTCCCTCCCTCTCGTGGCGCATGCAACTTGCGCAAGAACTAGCAAAATCTGTGAGCTATGTCCATACATTTGGATTTGTTCACAAAAGCGTCCGTCCTGAGTCAATACTTCTATTGAAGAACATCACTTCGGGTCCCTCTCCATCACAAAATGGCCCATCCGCCTTTTTGGTGGGATTCGATAGTTTCCGAGCTGCAAACGCAGACACAGTCCTACAGGGAAGCGGGGCGTGGGAGCTTGATATTTACAATCACCCCCAGAGGCAAGGCGAACATCCAAGTGATGCTTATAAGATGCAACATGACATATATAGCCTGGGTGTGTGTCTTTTAGAGATTGGGCTTTGGCAGTCATTTGTCCAATTCCCAACTCTAGCGACTGAATGCAAGCCCCACCCAAGTAAAGTCTTTGAAGCCTTCATTGCCCGCCTGAACAGCAGCGAGGATATGTCACAGGCATTTCCGGTATTGCTCTCAGCTGCACCTGTGGACCTCAAGGATTACCTACTGGAGCTTGCTAGAATAGAGCTACCGCGGAGAGTGGGCGAGAAATATGCCGAGATTGTGGTGACCTGCCTTACATGCCTCGACCAGGAGAACGACTTTGGTGAAGAAGCAGATGTTGCAGATGATGATGGGATTTTAGTCGGTGTTCGTTTTATAGAAACAGTTCATAGCCGCCTTACTGAGATCATGATTTGATTGAGTACTGGGAATGTTGTGTGGCGGTACGCTGTACCTGTATGAAGCTCATTGACTTAGATGAGTTACTAAATTCAGTGCGTACTTTTCTCAGGCTCTACATGTTAATACGAATGTAGATACTAGTATAATAGTGTAATATTCAGTTAATTGGGTTTAATATCTTTATATTGGGATCAACGGCAGTGGAGACACATAGTATTTCCAATGTTTGTCTGCCAAAAAGCGAAATCGATTGCGATTCCATCACTAGATTGACCGTGAAGATGTACTTAGCTTTCCTGGCATTTAGTCCGCGTTGGTGGGCATTGAAGCCAGAATCTCTAAGTACAATAATAATGGGGTCTGAGGTTGACGGTTAGAGGCGTTATTACTAAATAGCTCCAAGGAAGAACACTGTGGTCATTCTCCTGGAGTCCTCGAATTTGGTAAGAAAATTGCAGATGGATATTTCAAGGTATTTACTTGCTGAGTCGACCGTTGGGCTTTTTTTCAAACAGCTTTCGAACGGTGGGAGGCCAACCATAACCCAGATGGAAGATTTGATTTAAGTGAACTGAACTTGATTTTCCGTCTTCATTGTCCTTAGTTATGGCTACTTGTGTATGGTGTAGTCCAAGATTGCAAGATACAAATTCTGTCTTGATTCCGATAAGCCGTGGTTAGTCTTGCCTTGTCGCATTCTTCAAGGTGTCCAATCTAAATCCTGCGCATTGATCATTTTGCACTTGGATATTTCTCTACGTCAATCCGCACAGGCAGATTTCCCCAGAATATTGTGCAACTCTATGTGCTTTTGCCCTGCGTCAAGGCAAATAAATCAATTGTGACAGCTTGCAATTTACAAGATTTGGAGTTGAGCTTGACAGGGTCGTGGATTTCCGAAAAGCCAATCATGATTGAATAGTCAGTTCTGCCCAGGAAACAACAATGAAGAAACAATTATGTAGGAAAGTCAGCAAAAGTGGGTAGTAGATATGACTTAGAGCTTCCCCAGCGGCGTGGTAACACATGTATGACCCTGAAAACTGCAATTGTAGACTCGGATCTTTTCGTGACGAGTCAAAACGATCGGAAGATTGAAATGTTGCCTAATGAAACATGCTTATGGTTCTACAGTCCACTGCATCCGTCTCTTTGAAAAGCCCTCATTGGTAATATTACTGACGTTGGGATCGGCATAATCTTGGAAGATCGAATCAACCAGCTTCCTGTAGACCCAGTCAGCACTACATATCCGAAACACATAAACTCAATCTCAAAGCTATATATTGCCCTTGTCCATTTAGGTATGCTCTCACAAAGGTTTCGTATCCCAAATCATTATTTCTCGCTATGGCAGGCCTTGATAAACTTATTCAGTCAGTCCTTGTCATATTTACTGTTTTTCTCATCCAGTGCTTTCAACAATGTTCAGCTTCAACTCCCATTGGTGCTTCCATAAAAACCAGCAGTGGATTGATAGTGGGTCATGCTGGTTCCCAATTCCCCGACGTCTCTGAATACCTGGGCATTCCCTATGCATCGCCTCCAACAGGCCAACTACGATTCGCAGCACCCGTACCACTAGAATCTAAAGACACTATTATAGCAAACGCCTACGTGAGCTTGATTTCTGTCATGTCTCTTAAATTTTGATTTACAGACCACTGACAAGTTACAAATTTCTTCCAGGGCCCGTATGTATGTCAATTCCCTCTAGCGAATGAGCACTCTAATAAATGAATAGCAACTGTCCTTGTGAAAATGACGCATTTCCACCATACCCTGGATCAACTCCTCAGGCACCTAAAATCATGAGCGCATTCTTACAGCAGCCCGGCCGGCAGAGTGAGGACTGTCTTTATCTGAATTTATGGACAAAGTCACATTCTTCGGAACTGAAACCGGTTCTGGTATGGATCCACGGTGGAAGTGAGTATCGTCTACAAATTAAATATATAGGTATACTGCTGACACCAGTTGACCTCGAGGATTTGTTCTCACCGGCGCTGAAAGTCCATACTACGATGGACAAGCATTGGCATCAAAGCATGATGTTTTACTAGTGACGATCAAGTGAGCGAACTCTATTCCAGTCCAATATATTTTCATGACTAATTATTGGGGCCCCTCAACCTTAAAGTTACCGATTAAATGTCTTCGGCTTCTCAGGCGCCCCGAACCTACCTCAAAACGTGGGTCTTCTCGACCAACGAATGGCAATTGAATGGGTGCATCGCAATATTAAAGAATTCGGTGGAGATCCAAACCGCATAACCATATTCGGGTCTTCGGCCGGTGGCGCCTCTGTCGATTTTTACTCCTACGCCTGGGCACATAAACCCCTAGTCCGAGGACTGATTTCCCACTCCGGAACAGCATTCAGTTACATACCCAATACAATGGAACAATCAGCGAAGGCTTTCTACAACATATCCGTATCGTTGGGATGTGGAGATCGCTCTGATGATCGAGTTCTGGAGTGCATGCGCCAGAAACCGTGGCAAGATATATTTAATATCTCGAATAGTTACCCACAGATACCCTCGGCTACCGTTCCTGAGCCGGTATTCCATCCTACAGCAGATGAAATAACGGTTTTTAGTGATTATGAAAAACGAGCAGTTGAAGGGAAGTTCGCACGTCTGGTAAGTCATATATCTATGGAAAATGTTCCTATACCTAGCATCTATACATATTCTATATTCAGGCTTTCAATACTAAGTTCTGAGTATAGCCATATCTAGTTACCTGCAACAATAACGAAGCAGGCTTCTATCGCCTCGTCGCACACGCAAGCAAAATCACAGTGAGCGATCGATCTTGGGACGAGTTCAACCTCGCAGCATTCACCTGCCCCAGCGGTGAAACTGTGCGATACCGGACAGCTCATGGTGTTCCAGCATGGCAAGCTCGATACTTTGGTGACTGGGAAAACCTGCGTCTTTACCCCGGAAGCGGAAGTTATCATGGATCTGACCTGCCGGTGTTATTCGGGAACGCAGAAATAGTCAGTGGGCTTCCCGATACCAATGATGCTGAGAAGGTGTTTTCTAGATATATGGCTTCGGCTTGGGTGGCGTTTGCCAGTGATCCGGAGCATGGGCTGGAGAAATTTGGATGGCCGAAGTATAATCCACATGGTAGGTTCTGGATGCTTGGTGCATTGAATGACTGTTGACCTTGAATAGGGAAAACGTTGGTTGGACTGGCTTATGGGAATTCGACAGTGGAGTTTCTGAGACCGCAACTTTTTGAGCGTGGATGTGCTGATCTGAAGGGGGATGTCATTCTTGGAGCGGGTGCTATATAGCTCGGATTGTATGAGAAATTGGACCCAAATACTGATTTAATGAAATGACCATCAGCTGGCTTTGCTTTTGGTTGCTGCTTAAGACATTGATTTTTGCATTCTCACCTCATAAGTCAATTCCTCATAAGTCAATTCCACAGTGGAAAATCACCTTCAGAGACGGAATTGAGCACATTGCGCGTGAGTTGGGCTTCTGGAACAGGTAGACTATAAATTGTTTCCAAGCATGGGGCACCACCTGGATGGTTAGTTGGACCCTTGAGCGGGGACATGGGTGGTACCATCACACCAGAGAATAATTGTCTCCTCAAATGGTCCATAGGTCTTTGACGACCCCGTGGGGATGACCTTTTGGCGAGGCACCCCAGACAGGTTTTTGCTGATCAGTCGACATGACCCCCAACACTTGATAAATTGCCGAGAAAGGCCGTGCATTTGCGAGCTAATAAAATGAATCCATGGGTCAGTCCGTCAATTCCCAGGCGTGTACTCCTCGCAAAACTCTCTTTCCTGTGGATCCGTGCACCATGACGAGGAGGCGCGGGAACTGAACACTAGCGCGCCCATTTCAACAGCCATTGCGTCGCATCCAAAAGTAACAGGGTTTGAGGCGTAGAAAGAAAAAGCCTCAACCGCAACAGGTGCTTATTTACGCCATAAGAAATAATAATATGGATTTATCCGGAGCGAGGCGCAAATTTTCCTCCAGTCATAGTCTCGGGCAATTAACGGAGCTGATAAAGTGTCGGGATTCGGTGGGCCGTGCTAACACAGGGTCTACCCAATTGAAAAGTGGGATCCTGCGCAATGTTAAGCGAAACTTGATTTTTTTTTTCTTTCTAGTACTATGTACTCCGTACTAATCTTCCATGTTGTATCATCCCCGCTTGAATGTAAATTGCGGAGGAAATGTCTGGGGAATGGACTCCCGGTGAACGAAAGAGGCCGTCAACCCCAAACCGTATCTCCGCATGAAATGGAACGCGGAGACATCATGGAAACAACCCGACACTTCATGAATCGATCGTAAGAGGCTTGTCAGGACCCACACAGACCGAAACCTATGCTGTAACCGACCATCCCAACGGGTGGGAAAACGCCTCAGAAAATACATATTAGAAATTATTTTTCCCTTCGTTATTTTCGGGAGGGTCACGGGAAACAACAGGCTGAACCGGACAAGGGCCGCAGGGAACCCGAAGACTCCTCCGAGTCCCACTTCTCGGCGTGCGCCGACCACTCAATGCCGTAGGATCCCGTATACACCGTCCCTTTCTGGGTAAATGCCCGTCCATTGGGGCCCCGGACTGTGCTCTCCATGGAAAATTTTGTTAGCAGACCAAGTGGAGAACCGGTTAATTTCGCCAATTAATTTATGTACGCGAGCCGTGACACTCTACATGTCGATTTCTGGGATGGTCAAACATGTCTTGTTTTTTGTCGCATTTTGTTCATGGTATGGGGCCTCTGTTGTGGCATGATGTTGGAGCAAGGAACAAGGAACGAGGGACGAATTTTCTCAGGGTCTTCGGGTAGAGACCCTCTACCTTATTATACCTAATTGTTTACCCGGTGGATTATGTCTATGTAATATTGTGTATCTGTTTACACATTCCCATGCAGGGCGTCATCCCGGCAGGATGCCGACACAATAAGCCGACCGAAGACGGCTTGTATCGCTGAATGACCACGCTTTCTTCGGTCTAGAATAGGCATCCCTCGTGGCCGATTCCCCGGATCCATTCGTGCGATCGGCCCATTCCAGCCAATAGCATACCTGCATGTGGACCCCTCTTACCATATACAACCAATCATATACGGATACCCCCGCAGTGCACGCGAACAGGGTCTTGGCGCATCTCGCCGGAAACGTTACACTGCTGTCGAGTTCTCCCCAGACATTATCCGAAATGAAAGTCTCCAGGCCAATTTCCTAGTGGAGCTGTCTATGGTTCCGGCCCCATCTTCAATCCACCAGTCCAAAAGTAAAGAAAAAAAAAAGAAAAAAGTCAAAAATCAAGGGATTTTTCTCTGTCATATGCAATGCTCCCCCAATCTATTTAAATGCCCCTTTCCTCCCGGACTTGGGTTGATCGGCTGGTTTTTTCTTGCGTTGCCATTTCCCCTCAAAATACATAGATCTGGGACCTGAGAGCCCATCATGCCTCTCGCGGGGAACATCTACTACATTGCGGCCATCGCCGTCATTGGCGGTGGTCTATTTGGTTTTGACATCTCTTCGATGTCCGCCATTTTGGAAACGCCTGCCTACAAGTGTTACTTCAATCACGGACCCAATGGCCCTCCTTTCAATGACAGTGAGGACTGTAGTGGTTTGAGCTCGTTGTCTCAGGGTGGTGTTACTGCTGCTATGCCCGCTGGTTCGTGGCTTGGTGCTTTGATTTCGGGTTTCATCTCCGATCGTCTTGGTCGTCGTTACTCTATCATGGTTGGATGTGTTATCTGGTACGTGATTGCTTCTCGGAACTTCAATATAAGCTATGACTAACGTTGGACTATTTAGGGTTATCGGTTCTGCTATTATCTGCGCTTCTCAAAACATGGGTATGCTTATTGGTGGTCGTGTTATCAACGGTTTGGCCGTTGGCATTGAGTCCGCCCAGGTTCCTGTCTACATCTCCGAGCTTGCTCCTCCCTCCAAGCGTGGTCGTCTGGTCGGATCCCAGCAGTGGGCTATCACCTGGGGAATTCTGATCATGTACTAGTATGTTACATCCCCAGAAAAGACGGAGTATGTAAACCTCAAGCTAACCGCTTTTTAACTGATAGCATCTCCTTCGGTTGCTCCTACATCGGTGGCAAGACCCCTACCACTTACAACACCGCCGTCTTCCGTATCCCCTGGGGTATCCAGATGGTCCCCGCCATCCTCCTCTTCTTGGGCATGCTCACCCTCCCCGAATCTCCCCGTTGGCTCGCTCGCAAAGACCGTTGGGAGGAGTGCAAGCAAGTTCTCACCTTGGTCCATGGCAAGGGTGACCCGAATAGTCCCTTCGTCCTGGCTGAGATGCAAGAGATTGGTGAGATGTGCGAGTTCGAGCGCCAAAACGCCGACGTCACATACCTGGAGCTCTTCAAGCCCAAGATGCTCAACCGTACCGTCATCGGTGTGTTCATGCAGATCTGGTCCCAGCTGACCGGTATGAACGTCATGATGTACTACATCACCTACGTCTTCACCATGGCTGGCTACTCCGGTAACGCTACTCTCCTCGCCTCTTCCATCCAGTACATCATCAACGTCGTGACCACCGTTCCTGCCCTGATCTGGGTTGACCGCTGGGGCCGTCGCCCTACCCTCCTGATTGGTGCTGCTTTCATGATGACCTGGATGTACGCCAACGCCGGTCTGATGGCTGCCTATGGTACCGTCGTCCCCGGAGGTATTCACGGGGTTGCGGAAGAGTCGATGAGCATGAGCGGCGCTCCTGCCAAGGCTCTCATTGCCTGCACCTACCTGTTCGTCGCCTCGTACGCTCCCACCTGGGGTCCCGTGTCCTGGGTCTACCCCCCTGAGTTGTACCCCCTCCGCGTCCGCGGAAAGGCCGTCGCTCTCGCAACCTCCGCTAACTGGGCTTTCAACACCGCACTGGGTCTCTTCGTGCCTTCTGCCTTTGCCAACATCCGCTGGCAGACTTACATTATCTTCGGTGTCTTCCTCACTGTTATGTGGATCCACGTTTTCTTCATGTTCCCTGAGACTGCTGGCAAGACTCTTGAGGAGACGGAGCAGATCTTCGAGGATCCCAATGGTATTCCTTACATTGGTACTCCTGCCTGGAAGACTCGTCACGATACCAAGCGCACTGTCGCTGCTGAGCGTGGTGATGTTGAGGTTCTGGGTGAGCGATTGGCCATGGGCGAGAAGACTGGTGCTGCCCATGCCGAGCACAGCGCTGAGGCCTCGGATTAAGTTGTTTAATGTGGGAGTTGAGAAGATAATATTTTTTCTTTGGATAGGCTTTGGACCTACATTGGATGATATCATGTAAAAAAAGATTCATGAAATTTAATTTAACGTTGAGATTGGTTTCCATTTAATTTCTTCCTAGCCCTCCAAATAAGGTTGTTAGATTGTCATTTAGACTGTACAACAAATAAACATTATGCCTACCAAAACACGAAACGCAGTACCTCTGTCGAAGATTTTCTAAAGCAGATAGATAAAACCCGGGATTTCTCTGTCAGTCCTGTCCTGATACTGATCAACGACTTCGCTGCCCTCTGGTTCGTAGCTAACCTTCGCAAGGGTATTACAGTGTTGCAAATAAAATCGAAGGCCAACGGCACTAACGAACCCAAGAGAGAGACCAGTAAGACAAACCTTGATACCAGTCTATAATTTCCGCAAATCAGCTACCAAAACCCATACGAGGGGTTGATCTTGCTTACCGGATACTTGGGCTCCTCCCTTGTCAAGAAAACCTGAGGATTGATAATGTTGCCAATGCAGTAAGAAAGAAACAGCATAGCGCTGACAGTGGTCTTTTTAGCACTCCCAGAAATGTTAGACGACACCGTCGACATGCTGATCGGCAGAATGCAGGCAAATGCTCCCATGATTGATGCGCCAAATAGCTTTGCTTGGGTGTGACTATCATCGAGAAGATACACCAAGAGAACTCCGATAATACTAAAGTACGTTAGTTCGTAATGGTATCGGGGCTAGTGGTAAGTAAGTACCTAATCAAAGACAAAATGGCGAGCATGATGCACCTGCAATTCGGAATGTAGCTACCGCAAAGCGAGGTTATAAGGACCAAACCGATCTGCACCGCAGAAGCAGGCATTTGATACAACAAAGCCTGCAAACCAGCGTAACCAAAGCCAGCAATGATGATACCCGTGAACTGTACTCAATTAGCCCCAATCTCAACCCTTCAGATTCAACTCATGCTTACCGCACTCAATCCAGAGTTAACAAGCATACAACCAAGCATATTCAAAGAGAGAAGCCAAGATTGAGGATCCTTCAACGCTTCCCAAACTTGATACATCTGAAATTCCTTCGACCCAGTAGTCTGGTATGCATCTTTAGTACGTTCAACAGCAGTGACACGTTCCATTGGCGAAAGGAACCAGGCGGTATCAGGTCCATCTGGGAGGAGCCAGAACAGAGCGATTCCGCAGGCAGATGTTGCCGAGCAGAGGATGATGAAGAGGTATTGCCATGAATATAGTTTGGCGTTGATGTGTCCAATTCCGTATGCGAGGACACCGCCGATAAGGCCGGCGAAACTGTTGCCCTGTTCCAACGTATGAGTAATCTTCAAGTGCCATTGTGCCATTTCAAATACATACCAGATACCAAATTCCATGTCTAACTTAATTGTTACTTGAATGCAGAGAGATCTGATTTGAAAGTAAACGTACCTAAGGGGTTGTTCCTCTCTCTTGTAGAACTTTCCAGTAAGGAAGCTGAATCCCGGTGCGACGGAAGACTCCATTATACCGAGGAGGAAGCGGGCAACCATGAAGCCGGCATAATTATGACATGCCGCATGACAGGCGAGCACAGCACCCCAAGCAACGCTGCGTAGTACGTCATTATAACTAGTCACGCATGTGGGTATTTGTCAAATGGCTTACACCACAAATGCAAGGTACTTTCCTAGGGGAACCCGGACAATTAAGCAAGATGTAGGAAATGACCACAGGAAATATCCAAAGTAGAAGATCGAATTGATCCATGAATATTCATCGCCAACAAGATGCTATAAATTATCAGTTGTGACCGAGGATATCATGCATCTATGCAAAGGTGGATTAATATGCGTACTGTATCGGCACGAATACCCAGCAGAGCTGTGTATCCCAACGAAGTTTTGTCAAGGAATTGCAAAAGTAGCAGAAAGCGAGAATTGGTAGGAATCTTTTCCATGTTAGCTCTGAGCATATGGCGTAGCGCAATGTTTTCCTTACCGCGTATCAATTTTTCTTAACACTCTGTGTAGTTCAATCTGTACACTTTTAATCGTGCCGGTGTCCTCATCTACATTGACGGTTGGGGCCTTGAGGGCAGTTTTCTTGGACTCTATGTCCATGATGAAGGATAGTTCAATGATTTTTTGTCGAATATAAAGTCAATTCCAAGGTTAAAGACTAATGGTTTGTAGTAATTTGTTGATTGTATCCATGTTCCTGGTACTTTGCTTTATACCACTTGAATCGAACTTGAAGGTTCGCTCCAGTGCCCAGCTAGGTATCCCGTTACGTTTCCCTATCTTCTAATAGTTTCCCATCTTATCAAAAGACTCTGGGGTGAAGATGTAAAGATAGCGGAAAACTATCCCAGAGAGTTGGTAGCTGTTATCTGTGGCGCATAGGAAGATCTTGGTCAAGGCGTTGCGAGGGTCTAGCCGCTATTTGCCTTGATAAAGTTGTGCGAATATGTGGCAATGTTGATAATTTTTATTTTTGGGTGAATATACTCGATGAAATAGGTTGATTGGTTGAAAAAGCCGATATTCTCGAGTTCGGCTACACTAACTCGGCAATAGCATGAATTGCCAGAACTTAAAGTCCACTAATAAAGCCTCATCTCTTTGACACTATAATGGTAATGTCATATGTCTGCGCTCTGGATTCAAAAGGATTTGATTGGGTTGAATGTCATTTATTTGTTCATAATCGTAATCCAATCATCTCATATAACAAAACCTGGGAATCGTTCATCCCGTATCCAGGTCAGATAATCTACAGGCTGTGTATTGAATCTCATATCCGTAAACACAGCCTTGAGTAAATCATGAGCTCGTCGCATATTCTGCCCAGCAGATTGAAGAGCGGCAAATCTTTCTAGAATCCAGGCCTGATGTATCGGGTCTTTTGTTTCAAACGCAGCCACGAACATTGGCCACGCGGCTCGCCATAGATACCCGTCCCCCTCGTACTCGTAGATACTGTGACAAATTTGCAGAACTTGGGAAACGACTGACGATAACCGGTTTTCATATAATATCTTATCATGTCGTATGACTAGGCCGAGGATCTCTGCAGCCGTTACGCATGTGTTTGAGAGTATATCGCTTCTTTCAATCCTGCGCGACAAAGCTGTGGAACATAAGTTGGATGTCCTCTGTAGCACATCAGTTATCGTCGAGAGACATCAATTTAAAATAAGACATACCTCCTGTAACTGCTTCAATTTCCGGCTGAACAAAAGTAACTTGCCTGGGTCTATGGGACCAGGTTTTCTCTCGATGTCGGACAATTCATATCGTAGCATTGTGGCATCATGTGTAAAGCCAAAGAGTATTTCAATCTGCATGTCCCATATCTCCTCCTGCGCTGGATAATCCGAGCCCCATGCATCTTGCAGCGCATTAGTAGAGCTTTTACAGATCTTCGCTATAGCTCCAGGATACTTCTCATCTAATAAGGACACTATACTAGCCCCAAGGCCAAATGTAGATGCTTTAGCGTCATGGTGGATAGTCCACAATGCCATTCGATCGATCATTTGCGGTGGGACCAGGTATCTTGGTGGATCTTCTCGATCTACATTAGCTTCCTCATGCAAGGAGCCCGGCAGGATTGCGGCTCCGTGAGTAATAATAATCTCTCGCACCCCCCGAAGATGCGTTCGCAGTACATTAGGGTCATCTCCATATGTTTGCTCATAGACGATGAACAACCATAGAGCTGGAAATGTAATCCACCCGGTCGCGTATGGGGCGGAGAGATGCTCGATGAAGAGCGACAGCGCCTTCTGGTAGTGTTCCATCGCTACGGTAAGCAGCTCATTGTCATTCTCCTTTGCCATATCTCTCACGGCGAACGCGGTGACTAGATGAGCTAATAGCTCATGTTTCGCGCACATAAACAACACGTATGAGTATGTTGACCATCTAGCCGTTTTCAAGATCATACGAGGAACAATATGAGCGGCGTAATGATCAAGTGCTCGGCGATCTGTAGTTGTGAGAGGGAGTGGCCAATCCGCAGCCTTAATTCCATAGGGCAAGTTAGCTTCTGGCTCAATGAGCGGGGATGCTGGCGAACGACTTGTTGCAGGAGCGGTCGCAATCGCCTTAGATTTGGAGTACATCGCGAGGTGGATGCTGCGGGGTCCCTGGCCGCTTCCCCGAGGGGCTCTTTTCCGGGGTTCATAATCGCATTCTCTGTTTCGCTTGGTGCATTTGTCGCACTTGGGTCGAATTTCATCGCACTTGACCTTCCGAGATCGGCATGTCCAGCATCCTGATAAGCGAGAAGTTGATCAGAGCGTGTTCGATAGCGCTAATAACCAATATCAGCTAACCTACCACTTCTACTGCGTGGCCCGTTCAGGCCAGACATGGGGCTCGCGAGTTCGGCTGTTTGTGAGGGGGAAACAAGTAAAAGGAGTCGCACGCTGACAACCGATTGGTCAAAACTTCAATTTTATGTACAAGAGAGATGATTATGCATAAAAAACAAATCAAGGCGCAAACAGAACACAAGTGCGGGCTTGTTAGTTTGGTTATATAGCCGATGTTGCACGATAAGGGACGATAACGCCACCAGATAAAGGATTGTTAACATTCATTGGCTGCTCTTAGCCGAAGCTCTGTGACATTTGGCGAAGTGACAACCAGGCTGCGATAGTCTATACGATGACTTGGGCGAAGACAGAGTATGGACTTCATGAATCCATGACTCAGTGCTTAGGGTAAAGGAAAACTTCAACTCTATAAGAATGCGGTCTATCCCATCTAACATGTCTTCTCTCATTCTCATCGATTCGCAGATAAACTCGCCAAAACGTCCAAAACATCAAAGATTACTCAACCATAAACATGGGTTCCATTGCTGACTCCTCCAACGTGAGCCCTCAAACGGGTATTGATAGGCTGAAGGCCATCCAAGAAATCGTCGAGTCTTCGGTTGGAGCCGCTTCCACCGATCTGCAAAAGGTCATTAAGCATGTGTGTGATAAACTATACAACCACTCCCATCTATATATGCTAACTTGGGCACAGATCTATGATAACCCCGAGATCGCGTTTGAGGAGTACATTGCCCATGATACTATTTGCAAGTACCTCGAAAATCAAGGATTCCAGGTCACCCGGAAAGCCTATGGCGTCGAGACTGCCTTTGAGGTTCTCTACGGCCAGGGTGGGAGAGTTGTCAGCATCAACGCAGAATACGATGCTCTCCCCGGCGTTGGTCACGGATGTGGCCACCACCTGATCGCCGCTTCAAGTATCGCCGCTTTCCTCGGCGTTACGGCCGCCATCAAGCAGAACGGTATCAAGGGTCGTGTACAGCTTCTTGGATGTCCCGCGGAGGAGAACCAGGGTGGCAAGGCTGTTCTGTGTAGTGCTGGAGCTCTTAAGGGCGTCGATGCCGCTGTCATGGCGTAAGTATCGAAATCTACCCTGCAGTAATCATCCACTAACGTGCGGCAGACACCCCGTGCCTCCCACTCAAATTGTGCCAAATGCAATTGAGGATAGTATCACCGGAATCGGAGGTGCTTCCTCCTTGGCCATGCTTCGGTGGGTCGTGGAGTTCCACGGAAAGGCTACCCACGCCTCCGCATGCCCTCACCTTGGTATTAATGCGTTCGATGCCGCCGTGGCCGCGTATAACAACATTGCTCTTTTGAGACAGCAAACTCTTCCCGAGGAGAGAATTCACGGTGTCGTTCTTGAAGGACCCACCGTGCCCAACACCATTGGACACTACACTAAGACTGTTTGGATAGCTCGCAGCCCCACCCGGGGTAAGCTCCAGGCCCTTTCAAAGCGCGTTCTTGCTTGCTTTGAGGCTGCTGCCATAGCTACTGGATGTACTGTGACTATCACTGAGTGCGTTCTCAAATTTCCCTCTGATCTTATTACAGAGCTAATATCTTCTAGGGGTAACATGTACACTGATACCCTCGTTACTGAGAGCCTTTGCAATCGCTATGCAGATATCACAAACAGCGTTGAAGGCCTGAAGACTATACCTTTCATTCACAGGATCGAGCCTGGCTCCACAGACTTTGGTAAGAAAATCATTTTTCACAGATCAAGTTTGGATTTCCTCCTAACTCGGCATAGGTAATGTCACATATGAGTGCCCGGGTATTCACGCATATTACGCTGTCCCTTGTCCCATTGGAACTTCTGTCCATCATCAAACTTTCACTGCGGCCACGGGTACCGAAGAGGCATACTACCGCGCACTCAAGCAGGGAACTATGCTGGCTCTGACTGCATGGGATCTGCTTACCGACGATGCATTCTATAAGGAAGTCAAGGCTGAGTGGGATGTGACGGTCAAGAAGCACAGCTTCGCTTGATTGGAATATTTATAATTGAAAAATATTTTTCGTTTTCACGTTGCCTCTAATACCGTATGGCGTGACATAGAGGCCCCGCGTACCTAGTGTGCACGTGTGTCGATTCATGATTTGATTCAAACCATAGATGTGGAACCAGTGCGTCGAATAGAGACAGTTTGGTACAATGCCAGCCTTGACTCATTGGCCCGAAGGTGGACTGTAGTCCTATGATCTGTGCTGTATTGAAATGAAGTTCTCTGCTATCCATCAACGGGATTGGGTTGACTAAAATATGAAAGCTCCAGAGTAGAAATGTAGAATGATATTGAGGCTGATATGACGTAAGTAGTTTTCGTATGACCACGTGACCTGTAGATATTTCGAGAATGCGGTCTCCACATTGGCCTTGAGCAAAAGGAAAGTGATTTATAATCCCAATTGAACCTCGGCAGAAGTGATGATTTCATTATTAAGCTTCTTTTTCTCGGGTGACTCCATATATCCTAGCGCGAAGATTCAACGTTATTGGTTGTTGGCGCGGCGTCTAAACCGCTTGCAGCTAGTGCCCCCTTATTCGGGCTTAGCGTCGATTGTATATGGGTGTAATGATGAAGAAACTAAACACTAAATCGTTGCTTGCTAAGTTTCCGTCGTTTTCCATTGGATTGGATTGAGTTTTTTCTCCAAGCTCACGACTATATATTTCCACAACCCCCTGGCAAACACATGTTGTTATAACCATTTCTGTCTTTCTCCTTCCGATATATATAACTTAAACAGCCATAATGACCACACAAAAAGCCGTCGTCGTCACAGCTCCCCAGGTTGCGGGCCTTGTGACCGACCGCCCACTGCCCACTCTCCGTGACGAATATATCCTCATCAAAACCGAGGCCGTCGCTCTGAACCCAACCGACTGGAAGCACGTTCTCTACGTATCCCCACCGAATGCTCTGATCGGCTGCGACTATGCTGGTGTAGTCGTTGAGGTCGGCAAGGACGTCAAGAAGCCATTTAAGAAGGGAGATCGCATCTGCGGTTTTGTCCACGGTGGAAACGTCAATCAATTGGAAGATGGTGCTTTCGCCGAGTACATTGTCGCAAAGGGAGATCTCCAGATGCACATTCCCGACAACCTGAGCTTCCAGCAAGCTGCCACCCTCGGTGTCGGCATCACCACTGTCGGCCAATCGCTTTACCAAACCTTGAAGTTGGCCCTGCCCACCGAGCCCCTTAAGACACCCGAGCCCCTCCTTATCTACGGCGGCTCGACCGCGACCGGAGCCCTGGCTATTCAGTTCGCTAAGCTGTCCGGCTACAAGGTCTACACAACCTGCTCCCCCCGCAACTTCGATCTCGTCAAGAGCCTCGGTGCCGACGAGGTCTTCGACTACAAGGATCCCAACTCCGCGGCCGCTATTCGTGCGGCCACCGACGACAAGCTCAAGCTTGTTCTCGATACCATCTCGATTGAAAGCAGTGCGCAGTACTGCGGTGAGGCGATGTCCACCACTGGTGGTGATTACACTGCCTTGCTTGCCGTTGGTGTTAAGCGGGAGAACGTGAACAACCACATGACTCTAGGATACACTGCGGTTGGCGAAGCTTTCGACAAGTTTGGCCGGTTCTGGCCCGCTCAGCCTGAGAACAAGGAGTTCGCTATTGGATGGTGGAAGATCGCCGAGCCACTCTTGGCTGCGGGTAAAATCAAGGTACACACTCCTAAGGTGAACCCTGGTGGTCTGCGGGGAGTTCTTGATGGTTTGGAGCTGCTCAAGAACGACAAGGTCAGCGGCGAGAAGCTGGTTTACAATGTCGCGGAGACAAACTAGACTTATTTTATAAATATGGTGTAACGAATTTTTAGAAATCTTTAGATATTGAATACGACATAAAAAATCATGAAGTCAAAAGCAGTAATCTAGCGGATGAGTAGATCGTCACTGAGCCGCCCGCTGGAATTGTCAACGTTTGAACACCTGGGTCTTCGGACGAAGGAGTATTCTATCGGTATATCACTTTAAACTCGGCAAGCTAAGAACGTCAGGTACCAAGGTTAAGAGGACTATGACCCATATTTGAAACCAGTTATCATTCACAAAGTCAATGTATTCAAATGTTTATGAACCGCTTCTAGCAATATCAACTATAAGAAATAAAGTTTAGGCATCATGTTCATGTTCATGTCCATGTCCACGAGCATAAATCACTTCGTTCTTCTGACAATTATGCCCCAAAGGGCCGACACCATGCATAGTAATGAGGAAAGATACATGAATCGTACCAAAAGCAAAAGGTATGTTCAAAACTTGATGTTTAAAGTACTGGATGGAATTTAAGACATCCGTAAGCATCACAGATCATTTACAGAGCAAAGAGAAAGAAACAGTCATGCAAAACAAAAAAGAGAGTCTAGCGACCCTTTTCACCTCCCCAGGATACTCGTGGACGGTGGCCTGGAGTGTGTCGAGACATGGAGCCTGAGCCAGAGCTGGAGGATTGTTCACCACTAGGGCTGGTTGGGTCAGATGCTCGGGGCTTGTTGGTGGACTGAACGTCGCCAGTTGGTGGGATCAGGCGAGGTTCACCATCGTCTTCGCTGTCGGAGTCTTCTTCAACAGCTTCGTCGTCATCTGATTCAGAGTCGGTGTCACCGCCGTGCCCAAGGGCTGCGAGACGACGGCGACGCTCAGCTGGGGTTTCACCCGTATCATCGTCCCTCTCACGAGGTGGAGCGGTCAGACCGGCAGCTTGACGCAGGGCCGATGGAGGGATACGCTCAGTACCGTCATCGTCAGAGTCACGGCGAAGACGGGCACGAGGCGGTGCAGGGCTGAGGTTGCTGCGACGTTCTTGAGCAGAGGTTCCGCGAGTCCATTTGGCCACAGAGGCGGCCACATTTGGCCGCTCGGTGTCGGTTTCCTCCTCGCTGCTGAGCTGACTGTCGGTGACAGACTCGGAATCGAGTTCTTCCTCGGTCTCGGGGATTGTGTCAGTGGCAACAGCTGCAGCGACCGCAGACAGACGACGCTCCGTCTTTTCTTCCTTCTTGGCTTCCTCCTTGGCAACTTCTTTGACGGGAGAAGGTGCGTCCGTTTGTTGGACCACGTCCCGACGACCCTTGGCATCCAAGCCCTTGATTTGCTGGAAGAATTCGTGCTTGTTCATACGGCGGCCCTTGTGGCCGATACCTTTAGAGTCGACATCCGAGCTCTGAGCCAAAGTGAATCGCAGACCATCATCAGTGGTCCAGTCATCGGTTTCGGTTCTAGGAGCAGGCTTCTGTTTCTTCTGGCCGGATGCCTCTCCTTCCTCTTCCCTGCCGAGCCAAGTACCCATGCGAGTGAGACCGCGACGAATTGGAGCCGGGTTTGCGGGGCCAGGTTGCTCTTCAGGCTTCGGCTTCTGCTTGGCAGGCTTGTCCCCAGAAGGAATAGTGTACTTCTTGATTACTTCACCATCCTCGTCCTCAACAATGATAGTATTACCAAATTGATAGGCATGGGCAGACCGATGCTTAGGTTTCGCTGGAGCGTCAGCCGTAGGCTTGGTTTCTTCTTTATCTTTGCCCCGGGCTTTTCCAAGACCGGTCCAGGAAGTCCACTTGTTGCGGGCCTTTTCGCCTGGGTGACCAATCTTGTCATCAACAGTGTGCTTGATCTCCTCGCCCTCGTCCTTCTCGTGAGGCTGACTCTGAGAATGCGCGAACTCGCCAGTCCTGTCGCTCTCGAGTCGTCGGCGTTGTTCCTCAATTAGCTCTGACTGTTGTTCAGGGGAGAGATTGCGGGTATCCTCAGTCTTGAGCACATTGCCTTCTTCGTCTTCAATGACTAGATTATGACCCTCTTGGTACACTTCAAGCTCTGGCTCACGGCCGAACCGTTCCCGCTCAGCATTAGGAGGAGAAGCACCACGTTCCACAGCATCTCGCTCTTCCATTTCCTGTTCCGCTTCGGAGGCCTCTTGTTCAGGTCGTCTCTGTGGTATGATGGCAGATTGGCTAATAGGTCCACCGACATCATTATGCTTACGGCTCTTCTTGCGGCGTCGACGAATAGGCTTTCGCGCGGCGTCGCTAGTCTGGGCATCGGTGTCGTCTTCACGCACCCGGCGAAGGAAGTTTCCAGGCATACCAATGGGTGGTAATGTTCCAGGGGGATATTCCGGCAATTTCTCCTCTTCTGAATCTTCAGCCTTCCGGAAAGACATGGAGCCCTTGGCCAGAGAAGAAACACGGGGCAGCCGGTTCATCCACGAAGGACCCTCCTCGTTGGCTTGGGTATAGGAGAGCGTGACCGTCAAGGTGTTGATACGCTTGCCGAGAGTGAAAACAGCAATCGACGAGCCATGCACCAAAATGGAGGAAATGACCATAAATGTTGTTATAGGCCAGATGAGCTGGACTACGTAATAGTTATCCGCTCCAGGTTTCGGAAGACTACTCTCTTCCAAGGGCTGCGTGTTATCTTGCTCCAATTCAGCCCGAGCCAAAATTGCTGCAAAAATGGCACCGACACCAATCGGGCCAAAGTGCCCAGCAAAAAGAGCCTCACGCCAGGTTTTCACATCGGGGATGAATGGTTTCATCAGTAACATGATGGGTATGCGACGGAAGAAGATCACCAGGAGTGCAATAACCACCAACCGCCACGGGACAATACCGAGGTCGGGAACATTGTAGTCCTCCCATGGGATAATGGCTCCAAAGTAGACAAAGTAGGCTAAATTGAGCAACAAATCGATAACGTTGGAGACATGTGCTTCTTCGGTTTTCTCCGTGAACCAACCATCATTACTAAATCCGACTCCGCAAGAGAATCCGATTAGTAGGTCGTCCATGCCCAGCAGACTTCCGGAGCCTGCACAGAACACTGCCAGAACGAAGTAAAATACGAGGAAACTCTCTCGATCAATTAGACCCTTGCGTTCAGCAAACTTGATGGCATGGCGGGCCAGATAACCGATGACAAATCCGAAAATAGCACCAAAGATGCACTCATAGAGGATGGTGATGCAGAACCAATTGAGCGACACCTCATTGGCATCGGGTCGGTATTTCCAGATGTAAAAAGATAGGTAGATGAACGGGAAAGCCATACCGTCGTTACAGCCGGACTCCGCGGACAAGATATCACGCAAATGTTTTGGGACTCGCTTGGCGAACTTGCCTTTACCGACGACGGAAGACGCCAAGACCGGATCGGTGGCCGTGACGCACGCGGCGCATACCAGGCTCTCAAGCCAGCTCAGCGGAGGGATCATCCACCAGATGAAAAGACTTGTTACCAGCCAGCCCCAGGTCATGACGGGGAGAAGTAAAAAGACAACGGATCTCCAGTGGCGTTCCATGTACGCCTTGGGCAACTCGACTCCGACGGCAAAACATTGCACGACCAGAACGATGCGCGAGCACTCAAGGGTGATTTTGTCGACATTTCCCCATGATGAGGGGTCGAATAGATTGGCAGCATGCGGTCCGAAGATAATACCGCAAAGCGTGGCGACAGTAGCTTCGCCAATGTAGAGCTTCTCCTTGACAAACAGGGAGCACAGCATGAACAGGCCTGTGAAACCACCCAAGATCATATACGCCAAATGCGGCTTATCGATATCCAGATGGTCCCACGCCATAATGTAAAACCGAGTGTCACGGATTTAGGGATAATGTCGGGTGTAGAAGTGTTTGGGGTTTTTTGAATTCTGATTTCTTTCAGTTCGTACTGTTTCCTCCTTTCCAGAGCTTCTCCCGGACCACGAGAACTCAATTACCGAATAGATTTCCGCCTCGACCGTCGCTGGTTCACGTAGCTCCTCATGCCTTGGCGAAAGATTCTGGGAATAAAGAGTGGGCGGTGGCGTTAAATGCCCTGTAGGGCTGAAAGAAGGGTCTTGCGCGCGCGTCGACTGGTAGAAACTCTCCGGTTGGGTTTGATCGGAGGTGTTACTGCAGTTCTATGCAAATCCGAGTGGAAGTCCGAGCGTAGCCGTGCGCGAGGAGCGGAGAGGTAGAATGAGGATGGCTGGGCAGATCGATTGATAGATTGCCCGTTTCCCGGAGGAAGGAAGTAAGGAAGAAGAAGAGAAAAAGAATACGAGCAAGAATACCAAGACCAAGACCAAGAACCAGGGAATATGACCGGGCGCGACAGGTCTTGGTAAGACTCTTGGCCGAGAGGAAAGATGAGATTTGCCTAGAAGTTCTTTCTTGGACAAGAGCGGGATTCGTCAGCCGAGACTTGGTGCACGCCCCACGCTTGGCAAACAGGAACCCTCCACGGGTTTTTTGAGTTTTAAAAGAATGGGAGGAGAAAGGGCTTGGGGAGATCTATATCCAAGCAATGAGAACCCTAAACAATCAAATCGCTGCAAGGTATGGAAACTATATAGCAAAACAACATCAAGCGGAAACCCTGTCGATCCATATGCGCCCGGTCTGTAATATACGGGACGCTTGCGGCCAAGATCAGAAAAAGACCAGCCCTGCGAATTGCCAAGCCCTGGCATTCCAGATCAATTGCGTGATTGGCTTGATATCGCCATTCCGTATCCACTAACCAATTCGATGTGGAGCTTCTGGAACCACGGACCCGTAACCGGACGTCATCGGGCTTGAGGTAAATGCCGATTTGCTATGGAAAAAGACGTACACATGACTCTATACAGTTACCGAGATACTTGAACAATTCAATTGAAAGACGAATATAGTTTTCACGAATAAGGGGGAATTGAGAATCGGGGAAATTGGGAATCGGGAACATGGGAATAGTATGCAACACAGAAACCCCGATAAGCCACCATCGACACGTACAGTGTCTCAGCTGAATTGCAAACCCTCCACACGGTACTGGCACCCGGGTCGAAATAAACACTTGCGGGGAAAATATGGAGATAGGGGGACAAAAAAAAAGCAAATGACCAAAGGATTCGGCTGGCGGAACCCGCGCCTAATCAACAAAGGTTCTATGTCCCGAATGCCTCAGAAAGCTTACTTTACTCTCCCGTCGGCATTCCTTCCACTTCATCGCTGAGTCGTCGCCAATTGTCCGCCTGCAGTTCGGCATACTTGACCCGCTCTTGACTCCAGTCCTGGTGCAATCGACTAATATGGTACTGACTCTGCTGGAAATGGAGAAGCTCGTCACGAAGACATTCCTTGATGAATACCCCACGTGCATGCTGCTGCACGATGCTTTCCTTGTCCTGCACGATCACCGAGGTGAGTCACACTGAAATACGGCAGAATGGGTCAATATGTAAGAGTGGGGGTGATCACGAACCTTGAAAATTGAGTCTTCCACTTTCTCGGTCTCGCCGGGCTTCACGGTGCCCGACGGTCGTGCCCGAAGGTCTTGTAGTTTACGTTCATTGGTTTCAATGCGCCGCTCCAGCTGCGGGATATTGTTACGGGCATAACGATCCCGTCGATCGAACATGTCGCGGACGCTCACCAAGCAGTCCCGTTGCCGTTTCAGATCCTCCAGCACGCCTTCACTCCATGCCCGTGCTTCGTCTTCCAGCAAACTTTGACTGGTTGACAGGTGTCGTGCGGTCGCAGTAATACCCACATTGAGCGATGGAACGTCATTCGTATCAACTGAATAGGTGTCCTTGGTGACCTCGGTCAGGGATTGCAAAGCCAAGGAGAATCGCAAATGGTCAGCGGCCAATCCATCATTCCGCTTCGCAAGTCTTTCAAGCAGCGTGCATAAGTTAATGTAGATTTCAGCCGACCGTTGCACTCCCCCGCGAACCGTGTCGAGCGTGTCGTTGAGGTCGGAAGGCAATGAATCCTCGAGATCGGGTGGAAGCACGCGGTCGGCGAATTCATCTTGAACCGAAATGGTGGCCTGTTTGCGCCAGACAGAGAGTTCCTATACCAGTATGAGCTACTTCTCTGTCTATCTCAGTTGCAGGGCTACTCACAGTAGGCACGGTCAAGAACATCACCACCAGCTGTTCCTGGCCAAGCACAGGATGGCGAACGAGGGAATTGGTAAATCTGATAAGTCCACGGCGTCGCTTCTCCAGGAAAGAATTTGAGTCCGCTGAAAGGTGAGTACCATTCACTTGATAAAGGTGAGCAAGCAGTTTGGAGCGCTTCAATCAGCGTAAGACGTACCTGAGACTCGCTTCGGCGGGAGAAGGGGCAATTGCCGGAAGGGGAAGCGTTTTTGAAGACAATCCAGAAGCCAAACAAAATCACTGTATCGACGGACAACGGTACTACCCCTTCGTGCAGATTTGACTTCATAATTGCGATGCTGGAACATGAACATGCCCTCCTTCTCGGGCAGAAGGTTGATGGAGACCGTCTCCTCGATCTGGGGGTTCGTCGTCCGAGTAACGCCAGTCGACCGGCGCCGAGGCGTGAGGTCGCTGGGATCGTCTCCAGGGGGGGCAAAGCTACTCAAAGTCGGGCGGGGAGCAGCACTAAATGGAGCCTCTTCAGAAGGTCTCCTGACAGGGCCACCCCATCCAGACCCAGAGCTGCTCGGGGGTCCTGGCTCGGTCCGGCCATTGGTGTGCTCCCGAATCGCTTCACTCTGGGCTGCATCTTCCACAGCTTTGTTCGACCAGGCGTTGGTGGTAGAGCGCAGGCTTCCGTACCCATTGTAGGGCCGCTGGTCCACTGCGGCCGGCCCGTGATCGTGACCCCGATGAAGATCCGGGCTTCCCCATGGGTCAGCATCTAGTCCACCCAATGATTCTCGTCGAGACTGCCGAGACCGTGCCGAGTTGGGTTCTTGTAGTGGGGTTTGGTGAGATGGAGGAGTCTGCGGTCGTTCGGGTTCAGCGGCAGCCGCGGAGTCGTGGTTTCGAAGCCGGTCTAGAAAGCCACTTCTCGGCTGAGGAAGCTCTACAAGTAGATTTCGTTAGATTTGTATCACGAAGAGAGCAATAAAGTATGCAATCGCACTACTCACTCTTGCGATGATCATCGACCGTATCAAATGATAAGTCCTCGCCTTCCTGCCCAAGACCCACAAGCGCAAGCAAGACATTGAACTCGGCGCGACCCAGCCCACCCGAGCTCTCATGGTCTGCAGAGACAACAAGATTCAGAATCTTGCCTTGATCCGATGCGCTCAGTCCACTGCTGGAAAGAATCTCCCGAACAGAGGTCAGCCCGACACCGGAACCGACCCTATCCCCACTGTTCAGTATCAGGTCGTATGCGTCAACATAGCTTTCGGGTACATCCGTCGCAGGCAGCAAAGTTCGAACAAGGTCGCGACGAGCACCCCGTTTCGCAGTGTTGGTCTGGTTCCAAGGCGATGAGCTATCGTCACCGTCGTCATCGGCAAACAGCGATGGGGACCCGCGAGCTGAGTCGTCCGCGAAAAGCGATGACTTGGACCTCTTGGTGGAGGCCGCCGCCGAGGGCTCCTCCGGAGACGTACCGAATAAGGACATCAGGGGCTCCGTAGGGTGGGATGTTTGCGCGGGGGTTCAGATGGGAGGTGTGGAGGTTGCTAGCGACAATGACGAATTGCCGATACGGTCAGGCGGAGCTAGCTTGGTTCGAGGTGGCTGGGTTGTACAAACTGCAGTAAGGGAGTTTTCCCTTGCAATATCTTTCCGCAATTAATTAGCGGAACCAAACAATAGAAGAAAGGCCCGCCCTTCCTCGATTGATCGGAGGAGGTGTGTAATGGGGAGGTGATGTCTGTGAGGGGAGAGATAACGGTTCCGCGTGGAACCTTCCAAGGTTGTCGCACCTGCGCACCAAGCCAACTTATCTCAACCAGGGAAGAAGCTGTGTGGGTGGACTTGTAGCAGTTAGATCACGAATCGAATGATTAAGAAATTTATGCGCTTTAGCTTTTATTCGATGCCAAATTTATGACGTTCTCCAACTTGCGTCCATCTCTCATATCTGCAAACCTGCTTCTCTAGCTGAGTCAACAAGGGTTGAAATACATAAGCTTCAACCTAGAAGGTTCTTAGCGAAATTTAATGCAGGTTCAGGCAGCTATTAATACACCGTGATATCATAAGATTGATGACAATTTTGAGGCTTCACTAAGGTTCATTATACCTGTTGTATGGATTTTACCTCTAACGCTCCCAGATTGGAGGTTGTGTATCCCAAGTGTGCTGGATATGTCATTGACAGATTTCCTAGAGAAAATTCGCAAACCCATCGTTCGAAGTCATATTTAGTTGGTTAACCCATGCACATCCATAGATGTAGCCTAACAATACCTACTAACACCCTCGAATGTCGGCACACATATAATGGCTTTCCAAGCATCTGTCACTAGGATATCGTGTCACATGGGCAATGGTCCACCAGAAAATACGAGGACGCGACTATTGTAAGTCACGCACCGCCTAGGCCTAGACAACCATAAGTATCTGGGCATATGTAGCTTCCTAGAGTTCAAATTATGATATCCTTGTAAAGCGACGCGAGTGGTCCGAAATGACCTAGTTGAAAGGCTCTAAGCTCGCTCCATTATTAGCAGCACATTCGAAAACACTTCCTCTCCCAATAATACCATGGAAGCAACCTCGAGGAATGTAGACCCAAGTTGGACGTTTGATAGTCACAACTAAATCTGATCCTTGGAAAATGACAGCAGATCGGATATAGTCCGTTCCAGACGATGTGGGGAATGCTTATCAGACGTCGGAGGAGCATCCCGACATCTACATCTGATCTGCAACCCTATCCAGTCTCGAGCTTCCCCACAGAAACAGGACAACGGGTTGGTAATGGAGGGGTGACTTCATGCAATGAGATATGCAAAGTCGGAGCACGTCTCCGATGTTCGGTGCAGCTCACGCGGGCAAGCATATTTAAAGCTTGGAGAAAGGAAGTTAGCTGGATTGCCTATATTCGGAACTTTTGAATTGCCCTTAGACTGAAGAATGCGGCCTTCTACGATTACTCGTGTTGCTGGTCTAAACCGACTATCCCTTCGTTGCAATGGGGTTCCTCGTCGCCACTTGACTATGCTACATCCACCCAAGTTTGTCAACGAAAAGCCGGTAAGCTCCAGCCTCAGCAAATCTAGATTGGAAAACTTTTGCTAAAGATTAGTGGGCAGCTTGACTATGCAAAGAACTCACCCGAAAGAGCTGCGCTCACCAAAGCCATTCAAAAGCTTAAGAGTGAATTCCCTGTCACAATTCCGATCCAGATTAATGGAGCAGAGGTACAATTGAAGCCTTCTCAAGAGACAATTCGAGTGAGACTGATGAGCGAGGAAATAATAGGTACAAACAAAACAATCACGATCCCAGCCCAATCCTTCCAAGCACAGCGAAATCGTCGCCCACTATGCTTCCGCGAGTGGAGACCAAGTCGACGCTGCCATCGATGCCGCTCTCAAAGCCAAGCCCGCATGGGAGGCCATGCCCTTCGAAGACCGCGCCGCAATCTTCCTACGTGCCTCCGAGCTAGTTACTGGAAAATATCGCGCCGAGATAGTTGCTGCCACAATGCTTGGACAAGGCAAGAACATCTGGCAGGCAGAGATCGATGCGGCAGCCGAGACAGCGGATTTCTTCCGCCACTATATTCACGAGGCATGGGCGCTATTCTCTCAGCAGCCGAAGATCCAAACAGAAGGGGTTTGGAACAAGATGGAATATCGTCCATTGGAAGGCTTTACATACGCCATTGCTCCTTTCAACTTCACTGCACTTGGAGCTACCCTTATCGGACCGGCTGCGTTGCTTGGAAATGTCGTTATTTGGAAGCCCTCTGATTCGGCTCTCCACGCTAGCTGGTTACTTCACAAGATTCTGCTTGAAGCAGGTTTACCAAAGGATGTGATCCAGTTCATTCCTGGTGATGCTGAGGAGGTCACCAATGTCATTTTAAAAAGACCGGAGTTCAGTGCTTTGACCTTCATTGGATCAACGGCTACCTTCAAGGGCATCCAGAAGAAGATCGGTGATGGTATCGGTGAAGGAATTTATAACTCATACCCTCGCGTTGTCGGCGAGACCGGCGGCAAGAATTGGGGCATTGTTCACCCCACCGCAGATGTGAGGAGCGCTGCTCTAAACACCATCCGGGCAGCCTTTGAATACCAAGGACAAAAGTGCTCTGCCAACTCCCGTGTCTACGTAGCGGAGTCTGTTTGGCCTGAATTCAAGAAAGTCTTGACCGAGCAGACTCAGGCCTTGAAGATGGGCAACGTGGAAGATTACAGTAACTTCATCAACCCAGTCATCCACGAGAGGTCCTTTGACAAGCTCCAGAAGGTCATCGAGGACGCAAAAGCTGACTCAGAGCTTGAACTGATTGTTGGTGGCAAGGCCTCCAAGGATGAAGGTTACTACGTGCAGCCCACTGTATACCGGACCTCCAACCCGCATCACGAAATTATGTCAAAGGAACTCTTTGGGCCGATTTTGTGTGCCTACGTATATCCTGATGCTGAGTGGGAGCAAACCCTCAAATTGGTGGATACCACATCCCGTTATGCTCTCACTGGAAGCATTTTTGCCAAAGATCCTTACGCAAGCCGCCAGGGACAGAAGGCTTTGAAGCACGCTGCTGGTATGTTGTATCTCAACACCAAGTGTACTGGAGCTACTGTGGCACAGCAGCCATTCGGCGGTAGCCGTGACTCAGGAACAAACGATAAGACTGGTACTATGGCGCACTTGCAGAGATTTGTGAGCACGCAGACAATAAAGGAGGAGTTTGTTCCTCTAGAGCAGGTAGAATATCCTTCCAATGAGGTTTGATATGGCTTTGAATTTTGAATATGTAGATACGTGTTTATTACCGCGAAATGAATTCAAATAGAACAACTTTCAGTATTAAACTTATATGATATCTTATGCTCTTCATGAATCTGTAGATTTTAATATTAGCCTGAAAGCGCTAATATCGACATGGTGTTTTTGAGAGTGCCAGACGCGAACTTAGAAGGGATACAGGAGAGAGAATTCACTAGGCAGCGAATAAACCGTTCAATGTATTTGGTATAGAATGGGATCCGCTGAACAAGCAATCGGGTGCTCGTAGTAGCAATAAACTATCAGTAGGACTCTTCATTTAGTGGCTTTGGTATCTCCAAGACGGGGGTTGTAGGATGGCGGATAAAAGGAATCTTCGCTTGGTATAGTAGCCCTTACGCTTCCCTTGATACAAACCGGCCCGGTTGAAATAGACTGGCGGAGCCAAATACTCCAATTTGATCCTTATTGGCAACGGAAACCCCTCCTTGGAAAGTTTCCCACATAAAGGTGTAACCCGACAACCCCTCCCACATCGGAGGGGATCCCCGACTAGAGTCGGGTGACCACTGAACAACTCATCGGTAGATTCTAGCGAATAGATAGGCTCCAGGAGAGGTAGCGGTCTGTTATCAAGGCAAGGTATATAGACCAGGATTGCAAGCAAACTTTCAAAAAAGAAGTCGAGGGAACTTGCTCTCGGGCCTACCCTGAAGTTCATACTAGGTCTCCCATACTGCCCAGCCAAAATGATCTCTCGACCTACCTCCCTCCCACGTACTTTTATACCCCGCGTCATTTCAGCGCAAGGTATAATTTGCCGACGGCATCGTTCGACAAAGCAAGGCTTTCATGATGTTGCTATTGCACCGCCAGTTCAGCCTCCCATCGAGCTGCCATCAATGGCAAGGCTGCCAACAAAGCTGCTATTGCGCTCTTTAGTCTTGACCTCTCTTATGACCTCGAAAATATTCCTGAAGCCTGCATTAGCTCTATTGAACGTTCTCAGCAACTCCAACTCCGCCCTTTTGAATGCCGATCGAAATCCAATCCTTAACAAACTTCTTCGATGGACTGTCTATAATCATTTTTGTGCCGGAACGAATCGCCAAGAGGTGTCAAAGACTGTTGCACAGATCAAGGGTATTGGATACCAGGGTGTGATTTTGGGCTATTCAAGGGAGATTGTTCTCGCTCCCAATGAGAAGTTGGCTCCCAGTGACTCTGGCACTACGACCTATAGCGATAAGTGTTATGAGACTGTGGAAGAATGGAAAAATGGCACACTCGAGACTCTGCGGATGGTTGGGCCTGGGGACTTCCTTGCTGTCAAGTAAGTTTTTTTCCATAGCTTTATCTCGTGTACAACCTTCTGATCCCTTATTTTAGACTCACAGGTGCCGGCCCAATCTCCCTCGACGCTATGGCAGCCAAAAAGCCCATGCCAGATGTGATGGTCAAAGCTATGGATGAAATCTGCACCGCGACAAAGGAACAAGGTTCGCGTCTTTGGCTAGATGCCGAGCAGCAGGTCCTGCAGAATGGATTGGATATCTGGGCAATCGACATCATGCGCAGACACAATAAATCGGATACTCCTTTAGTCTACAACACCATCCAGGGATACCTCAAGGCATCCAAGGCAAACCTCGATAACCACATTACCCTTGCTGCGCAGGAAGGATGGACCTTGGGAATCAAATTAGTTCGAGGAGCTTATATAGAGCATGAGACCCGCTCCCTAATTCACGACACCAAAGAAGAGACGGATGATTCCTACAACCTGATTGCGCATACGATGCTATGCCAAAGTATGCCAGAAGGAATTAGGGATTTGAAGTTCCCCAAGGCTGCACTCTTTCTCGCAACGCACAATGCTGCTAGTGCTGCGACGGCAATTGCTACTCACCAAAACCTACTTCTTGCAAACAAACCGACTATCTTGCTGGAATGTGGTCAGATCCAAGGGATGGCAGACGAGTTGAGTTGTGAACTAGTGCAGAACTACGAGCGCGCTTTAAAGGAGTCCTCTGCTGCCAATATGTCTGTGCCCAAAGCTTTCAAGTGTATGGCTTGGGGTTCGGTGGCAGAATGTATGCAGTATCTTCATCGCCGAGCGATTGAGAACAAGGGTGCAGTTGAGCGTACACAGCATATGGTAGATGCACTACGGCGGGAATTATGGCGAAGAATGTTTGGCTAGAGTCTTTACATGATGCAAATGAATAAATGACGACTATACTCTCAAAAAACGTGAAGCCTTCTGTTCACCCTCCCTTGCAGTGGTTCAGCTTTTGAAATTTGGCAAAACTCAGATTCTATCAATGCGATCACAACTCAAACATAAAAAGAAAACGATCGAGATAAGTGCATATCGTGTAATGCCCAGGAGGAAATCAGATTTAAGTTTGCCCAATCAATGTACAAACCTCCCCAATCGCCCCACAACGCTTATCGCCGCGCAGAGGCGGTTCATGATAAGCAAACGTCGGGTGGCAATCCCGACAGTGGCTCTTCTCTACCCCGCTAGACTACCCATACTTGATTTCGGAGACATTCCCCGGAAGCCATAGCCATCTTTTTGATACATTCTGCATTCGGTCCTGGAATCCGGTATGCCTCCCTCACCTAGTAGAGTCAAGATAAAGAAGTGCCAGAAAGCGTGAGTCCGTGCTGCACCTAGTATGCGGGTCCTTGCTAACTACTTCTAGATGTGTACGATGCCGGGGTATGAAAGTGAAGTGTTCGGGATCAGAACCATGCACAAGGTGTTCACGCAAGAAGTTACGCTGTCATTTTCCCGAGGAGGATGTGCGAATATCGGTATCGGAGAGGTTTGATCTCCATTCATGCCACCGTTGTTTTAATGCTAAATTAATCTTCTAGATACTTGAGGCAATTGGAAGAGCAAATATCAAACAATAGTAGGAGTATACATCACTCTGAATCGGCCGGAAGCCTTTCTGGTGGGGCCAGGAATGACAATGGCTTGTCGACTCCTAATCAAACTTTGCTGTTAGAGGATCAGCGATGGGGCGATATCAGTTATGGTAGGTTTTGACAGTCTTTTCTCATGGAAGCTTGCTAATTTTGTGATAATGAAGGAATTGACTCAAGTATTAGAGCAACAGAAGCTTTGCCTCCACAGAGAAATGCTGATAGTGACCCCGACTTGGAACAAGATGGTCACCGACGCTTTTCTAAAAATCCTTTGGTGGATAAGAATCCACAGTTCGCGAGAACGCCAGATGGCCGATTTTGTAAGTGACTCCATTGGAAATATAAAAAGGCGCTTTACTGAATATTTTCTCTTTTTCCTTCAGGGTATATGGGCCCGACATCATCATGGTCATTTTGTCGCCGTGTCCTAGCTTTAATTGGGAGGCGTATACCAGAATCAAACCCTCCTCCAGACCCATGGCACCTGGATGGCATGGCATTTAAGCTACAATGGCGCCCAACATCACTTGAAGAGATTCCTGATGTTTCGAATCTACCGCCTCTTGACTATGCGCTCTTTCTCTTCAACACTGTCAAGTTCTATTTCGGTTTCCTGTCGTTTATGATTGATGAAGATTTGTATCTTCGTGACCTACATGAATTTTATAAGGACCCCGCTGCAAAAGCTGTTGAGTCACGGTACTGGTATGCGCAGTATCTCCTTGTTCTTGCATTCGGGAAGGCATTCCTCACTCCCAAGAGTCCCTCTGGGCCACCCCCAGGACATCAATATGCTGCAAGAGCTATGGCGCTTCTACCAGACTTATCTGGTATGCATCAAGACACATTGACGTGCATCCAGGCCATGAGTCTAGGTGCGGTGTATCTTCAGTCCATTGATATGAGGCGAGCGGCATTTCAGCATGTGAGTTAGACGCTATTATTGGTCCATGAGTCAATTGCTAACTACTGTAGATTGGACACGCACTGCGTGGATGTATCATTGAGGGCATTCATAGACATGTACCTGAAGAGTTTGGTGGACCTGAGCTTTCTAGGAGGTGCAGGACGATATTTTGGGTGGTATATATGCTCGATCGGGAATTTGCCGCATTAATAGGGGCACCGAGCTCCATTCGAGATGAGGATATCACAGTCATGCTCCCTGCAGAGGTCGAGGGCTCTGTGGAAGACATTAACCTAACATTACACGTTCGGCTTTCCAGATTAATTGCTCAGATCTTGACGAGTAAGCCCTCATACCTTTGATGTTACTGGTGTTCTGCTACTTTGATGATTGACACTACGCAAGCTATTTATAACCCCGGTGACAAGCTTAATGGATCACTCATTCGAAATACACAGTCGATTCTGCACAGCATGGCAGAGCTCTCGCATGATATTACGGCCTTTCTGAACACGCATTTCCATGGTCTTATCAGTCGAGCATCAAAAATGGCAATCCGACTGATGTTGGCTCACCACCACGTAAGCCCCATACACTCTCCTCTTGAGACCCGGATTCTAACCCAAAGAAGTGCATCGTTCTAACGACAAGACCACTGGTCATGTGTGCGTTGCATATGCATATTGAACGCACCGACATGCAGACATCACAAACGATTTCCCTCACCCCACCAGTTTCTTCGCTTCTCCAGTGCTGTGCAGATTCCGCCCAGACTATTCTTCAAACTCTCCAAACCTTAGCTGACGATGACTTGATGGGTTCGTCTTGAGAAGTTCTCATTTGTGGAGAAACCATGCTGACTTGACATGCAGATGCATTTCTCCCATTTCAAATCGAAGACGCCTCTTCATCCGCATTCGTTCTCTATCTCATCCGTGCAATAGCTCCTTCGCTCATACCAAACAGCACATGGTGCGATAATCTCGAGTGCGTTCTGGATAAGCTCATTGCCAAAGGTAATCTTGCTGCGCCACTGCGTCGACGAGAACTTAGCCAATTAGAGCAGATCCTTGCGCCCTTGACTCCAAAGCCTCAGAATAGCCCATTGCCACCCGTGCGCTTCAACGCTGCACCGGAAGAGCAAGAAGAGGCTTATGGGATGGATCAGGTGGACGTTGGTGAGGAATTTGAGTGGGACTTGCTAGGTCTCAATCCTTCAGTCAGCCTTCCACCCGCAGAACTTCTTGATCTTGCCGATCAACTGGATATGGAACGTATTATGCAATCAGTTGGCGCGTGTGTGAATTAAGCTTATAGTTAACTATCTGCTCTCTCTAATGTGTTATGGTCAACGAAGCAATGTGTGATGTGGATAAGAAGTCCAATCAACAAGAAGTTATAACAAAAAGGATTTGAACCAAAATGACTATATAGAGTCTGCACATACACAATTCCAATTGTCGGAGCCGGTGACCGACGCTTAGAAATCAGCATGATAGTGACCGGGCCAGTGCCGGTATTGTGGAGCGCACGGCCCGGTGCTCTACTGTAAACCCGCGATTTGAGATTCATACGTGTAAATATTTCCTTGTGTACCATTGAATGCATTCTCATGTTTACCAATAGATACTAAGATGTATTTCTCGCGAGGAGCCACACGTCTCTTACACAGACAGTAAGGCACGAGGTCATGTAATCTCTTAGCACTTGCTAATGCATATCAGATCCAGACAAACATGTAGCTCTCAAACTCCAACACATTTATCCTGCATTCAAAATAGCTCATCTGCCACTGCCGCTGCACAGAAGGAGTACAAGATCATCCAAGATGTTAGCAGCTTTGCAGAAATCGAAATCAATCGACAAGACTTTGACCACGAAAAGCCCATCGAAGTCACAAAGTCCCCATTTCCAAACTGGAATTACGGGGATGGAGTTCCCGATAACGGCGCAAGCCTCATTCAGAAGCACCATGAGATTGATCCGTATGCTTCAACCCGCCCAATGATCAACAATTACCGTCTCCTCGTATCAGGGATCGCACCTCGCCCCGTCGGCTTCATCAGCACTGTGAACGAGAAAGGCCAAAAGAATCTCTCCCCATTCAGCTATTTCCAAGTCATTGACCATGACCCACCAATGTTCATTGTCGGGTTCTCCTCACGACCTGGACGTGTCAAGGATACATATCGGAATCTGAAAGAAACAGGCGAGTGTGTCATCAACACCGTATCGGAGAATATGATCGAAGCCGTAAATGCTACCTCTATCGATGCGCCTTACGGTATTTCCGAATGGGAAGTTTCGGGGCTGCATGAGGCGCCTTCCACGACTGTGAAGCCTTCACGGGTTGCTGAGTCGGTGCTTTCCGTTGAAGGGAAGGTTCTTGATATCAAGGAGTTTACTGATCATCAACGACCTGGAATGAGTATCGCTGCTACGGTTTTGATCAAGGCTACGAGATTTTGGGTTAAGGAGGGCACGGCTGATGCGGATCTCAGTCATATTGATTTGGATAAACTGCGGCCTGTTGCTCAGCTTGGTGGGGTCTCTTATGGTCGTGTCGTGTCTACGTTCGAGAGGCCGCGCAGCAAGTGGGCTGTTGAGCTTCCGAAGAGTGAGTTGTTAACAAGGCTGGATAAGAATAGGCCGGATGTTGAATAGGGCTGCTACATTATGGCGCTTCTATGGACAATACTTCAGCTACAGAATGAATTATGGTGCCACGACCATTCCCGATCATTGACCCGAGGAGATGAATAAAAAGCCAATCTCTACCATCATTTCAATATTTAAGAGTGAACAAGAATGGGCAATTCGATGTATGTATTCCATTTATAATGGGGTTTATTTCGTATAAGCTTGTCGTAATTTAGATCGATAGATCATGTTGCTGGAATCTACACCGCGACCGGGCGCTCCTCATCTCCGTCGCTAACAACCTCCACAACAGGCTGCACATGGAAATAGCCCATCTGAAACAAGGCATGCTGCCACTCTGGCTTGCCAGTAGCTTGGACATAGTAGTAATTGGTCTCATCAGGAAACCATCTTTCCTTTCGTGTAAAGGCCTTGTCACTTCCTTCGAGGGCGGCCCGACTAGCACGAGTGGTCCTCGCGCGAACTTCTCCACGTCCTTGCTCTTGTGCCCAAGCTGCGTGAAGATTATCACGGTATATCTTGAGACGGCCGTCAAATACCATGATCGCACGGATATATGGCGCAAGATCTTCGGTGATTGTGGCGAGGCCATTTTCAAACGAAGGTGCTAGGCGGCCTGTGGATGTGCTGTGTCGGGCTTTCATGATGGGATCAAAAACTTGCTGGAATCCGGATTTGGTAGATGGGAAAACCCGGCGCTTAGCTGCCAATTGGCCCCAGCCGTTGGAAATTCGAGATGTGCAAACCGATTCAATATCGTCATCAATGGGACGGAAGGTGCGGGAGATCAACGCAGCCGAGGTTATGCTTATGTTCTCGCTTAATGCGTTATATTCGGGCAGCAAATCGGATTGGAGCAGAGGATGAGCGTCGACGTAATTCGATCGGTGAGACTCAAGCATTGGAGGGGCGCTGGCATCAAGAACATCCTGGAAAGCTGTTAGCTGAAGTTGTCACATACAGAGCACACTGATAGAACTTACTTTGAACAGGTTGAAGGGACATCCCGAGCAAAGAATATCAAGAGAGCTTCTCATCTCCGAGTAGTCTGACTCAAGGCCTAGCAACTCTAGTTGCTCCAGTCTGGACTTTGAGGCGTACTGTTCAGAAGACAAAAGCTCTGCCTGGTTGAATCCACTCGCATCTTCTATATCCTGAAGGCTGAGTCGCCACCAATGTGATGTATTCCGTAGGGCTTCGGTCTCTCTCTCTAGAGGAGATTCTGTAAGGAAGAGATCCCGATTGAACCATCCCATGTACGGTTCGTAAGTATTGAGGCTAAGCACTCGAAGGCGTTCGCCGTCTTTATCAAGGTTATTTTGCGGTGGCCAGGATGGCAGTATCCAGTCAAGTCCTGCCTTATCACTGCCGACGCCAACCTGACACCAGAAATTGAGGTCCATGAGAGACCGTCGGATATCATGGCCAGCTCCGTTATAAAGCTTGCTCACAGCATTCCTCTTCAGGACATGTCCCTCGTTGGCAGCGACGAGAAGCAAGTAATCGAGCACAAGATCGGGAGGCGGTCGCTGATAGCGTAAAATGGCGTGCAACGACATGTCTTGGGTGGGGACAAGGCTCTCATTGTTGCAGGTGATGACGATTGGGCGGCGAGACTGGCTGATGAGGGTGAGAACTCCGGTCCAAAATTGCTTGTCTTCGTCAAAAAGAATATCGGCTTCCTCTAAGAGTATCAAGGATTGCTTTTGTTCCCGGGGGCGCTTGGAGTCATTCTCGGGCTCACTAGAACTTGCTCCTTTATCAATATTTTTGGCGGCTTTTGAAGATTGACCTTTGAAAAAGCCCATCAAATTGTTCTGTTTGGGTTCATCTGGGGCAGGAATTCGTGCCTTGGCAGAGGATTCGTCGGATTCATTGAGCAGATGCACGAGATGATTTTGTGTCATATCACCAACTTTCTCAAGCATGTCTCTGGCACTCCGTCGGCTACCAGGATTGATCTCGAATACCTCAAAGTCCAGCTCTTTGGCAACGGCATACACCGAGGCGGTTTTTCCAGAGCCGGATGGGCCACTCAAAAGGATGGCGTTGGCGAGTTGCCCCTTATCAAAGCCATGCTGAGAGCAAAGACCCAAGTCTCCTGATCGCACAACAGTCCGCTGGGCGGAAACAGTCACATCACCAGCAAGCTCATCATCCGAGCCAGAGAGGTTATCCATTTCCGATGCTTCCTCTTCACTAGAGACAATAAATCCATCGAGCTTTTCTGCCTTTTGGCGCTTTTTCTGCTTCTTTTCGTGTTTTGTCTTTGGCTTTTTGCTGCCGTGCGTGGACTTTCCAGTATCAACTGCGGTGATCTTGAGATGTCGAAGCCAGTCCCGTAGCATTTGTGGCTCACGCCCAACCTGCAGGACATCTTCGGCGGATTTTGGTGCATACTTTTGTGACCAAAGGTGAGATTCGTACTTCCCCAAGTCGAAGGCGGAAAATGAATTCTGTAGGTTTATCCGAAGTTTGGAGATTGAGGGAGAAGCTGCTATGGGAGGCTGATTGGGCAAAGACCAGGACATTTGACTGTCAATTGCTTTTTGCAGAACTCTTCCACTTGCATTATGTCGACCTGGAAGCCGCAAAGTCGGGCGGTGAAAGTGGCTATCGCTTAAGTGCTTCTGAGCGGCTGTTCGTGCTAATGCAGTACTCACAAGGAGAGCATTTTCTTCATCATGCACCCCAATGGTCGGTAGTTTGGCTTTCTTGTGATCATGTTGGGAGGTAACGGGTGCAACCGAAGAAATTATTGGTGGAGATATGGTATATTTGACGTGAAAAAGGTCTCGTGGGGGCCATAATGGGTGGACAAGTTCAGGGAACTTGGTCTTCGGGCGACTGAATGGTGAGGATGAGGCTGGAAAGCCCCTTGGCTCGCGCGTTGAGAGGAAGCTAGATGTAAGGGTCGCCCGGGAATCTGCAGTTGGGGTGGGTGATATAATTTCGGTATCAGCCTTTTGAGGTGGTTTTTTCGAGAAGAACGGATGGGTTGGCTTATTGCTAATGGGTTGCGAGCGGACAACAGGCTTTGGCGGAGCTGCAGATCGCCTAAATGCATGGTTCCCGCAGAGAATATCGTTGATCAATTGGCCAACATTCCTTTCTTGATTCAGGCTGTATTTGATGACAACCAGTTTGCTTTGCGTTTTCCGGTGTTTACCACGCTTGGGACCTTTCCGGGTCTGATCAACGGTTCCCGGAAGGTTTTTAGGAGGCGAGCTCAGCAGCCTTCCATTTGGGTTCAGCTTGAGAGTTTTTCGACTCGGATCAGCAATACTGTCCTGTGCTATCGGGTCCGTTGAATGTGTCCCTTGACTGAGAACTTGAGCATCGGCTAACTGAGGTCCATCCGAGACGAGCGGGCCAATTTCTCCAGGGACTGGTGTAGGAACAGGCGGTAGTGATGACGCGGGCATCTCACGCCCTAACCAACCCGATAAACCAGCCTGAAGAGAGCCGTCGTGCTCCGCATTCTTGGTCTTTTCGGTCCTTCGTCTCTTTCTCCGACTGGCATTGGGGTCCTCCTCTGAGCTCGCAGGGGTTCGGTCAGGTTGGTCTCTTAAACGCTCCAATGAGTTGGCAGAGGACGGCGGCTGTTTCTGTTGTTGCGCTTCAGGCTGCTGACTTTGGACTGAGGTGAAGGTGAGCATATTTGATGTCGTTTCGGTTGGTAGGTTCGAGGCACTGGGCACGCCACGTTTCTCTGGAACTGTAAACTCTACCACCATGTAAGGAAAGCGTCAGGTGAAGCTACTGAAGACAGCATACCTTGCTGGAAAAATGGGTGGATTCCCTGCCGCTCGCCCTGTCCCATGGCTAACGGTGGATTGGATACTGCTGTATCCATGTGAGAGGCTCAATTAAACATTGGAGGAGATGGTGAAGAGGAAGATTGATTTCATATAAATAAATGGAGTGAATGACAGCGAGACACAGCCCTTCAAGGCCAGCAATAGGGTATTTAAAAGTCGACGGTTGTTATCGGAGGTTATCAAGTCACTTTAACACGCTCGACGCGAAAGGCGCGTCGCTGGGGATTATGTCAGCCTGATTATTTGATCTTTACACTAGCCTTGATTTGGGTTAGTGTGTGGGCCCGGTCCGGAGTTAACCCGAAAATTTTTCAGATTTCCTCGTTGGGACAGTCTGATGCTCTCACTGAACAGGACCTCAAGGGACAGGAAATTAAGTCATTTGTGCAATTTCGAGGCTTCCTTCTGCCATGGACCTGCAGTCTCCGTCTGTGCTGGCACAATTGCCTCGCCCCCTCCACGCCTCATCGGGCAAGACTCGCATTGGCGACGTCTATAGCCTCGCTGATGCTAAAAAGCGCAAGCGTTATGAGGTTGCCGTTGCGATCGACGGTGAAGCCATCAACATATATAATGTATTGCTTCTGATTGCTGTTGGTGTCTTGGTATTCCTAGGCTAATATTTTCTCGTCTCCAGGTGCAAACTCCCAAGCTCGTGACCTCGTACGCTGTTCCGCCACAATCGACATTCTCTTGCCGCCCATGCTCCGTTCGTCGGAAGATCTCGAAAAAATCGGTTGTCAAAAGGCAGACATATGCTGCAGCGATCAAGCCAGAGCATCAGATCAAGTGTTTCGTGGAAGAAATTAGCAACGGATCAAGTGCGCCAGCAATCTCTTCGTCGACAGCCACCATCACGGATTCACGCAGCCCAACAACTTTTGTGGGAATTATTCCTATTAGTGCAGACGACGAGAGCGAATCCGATCCATTTGATGTCCTTGCAGTCCATGAAGATGGTCGTGTACGCAGATTGTCAGCCGATCTGAAGACCCAGCGTTGGAGTATCCAACACAGTGAAATCGCTAAGGTCTCTTCCACCCACATTGTTAACACTTGCTTTTTGATCGATTTGGAAGATGCGCGAAAGTCATTGTTTAAGAGACGTCAGGACTTGGCTGCTCTCGCTCTGGGCGACGAGGCAGTAGATGGAACAAATGAACCATCCATCTTGCTCGTTGTTTCGCATCCCAGGGACGCCGAACGGTTTGCGCTGCAGGATGTGAATGTCCAGATGTTCTCTGTGCCTGCCAAGTCAGGATCCCAAGAGGAGAGCCAACGCCTTCGTCACCTCCAAACAATCCAGGTACCCGGCCCAAGCGGAATCGACAAAGTCAACAGCCATGGCCTACAGTGGAACTTCCACGCAGGATCAGCGGGTCTACACCTCTCCTTCGACAAAGGATTTATAAACACCGACCTGTCACAATACGCTCCTTCGGTGACCTCACAGTTCATGCTTGATGACGAGAATTTCTCTTCCGTGATGCGTGTCTCTCCCCAATGCGTCATTGGTGCCAGTGATTCCTTAGTCGCACTTTACGATACTCAATACCAATCCGTTCAGCGGAGCATTGCTGCTGGTGAGGTCTTGTCTGGAACAGGTTCAAGTGCACCCATCGTCTTCATCAGTTATTTTTCGAAGCTGGGAATTGCAGTGGCCGCTAAGGGAAACACTCTGATCGGTTTTGATTTGACTTCCCTCCACAGCAACTCTGGGCCTTCCCTCAAGCGATCCCGCGATGGCCTTCTCATCGACGCTATTGGACGCGGCATTGGTGCATCTTCTGCGCAATGGGACCTGGCATCCAAGAAGTACCGGTCTGAGAACATGACTTCACTCCACCTTACTTCCCCCGAGCAGGTGGAGAAATGGAATCAGTTGACTAAATCTGTGAATGAAGCGACCACCTCCAAAAACACTAGTCTATTCGATAAAGCCGTGCAGGCCTACTTCGGCACTACCCTACCTTCACGAGGACAATACGTCAACCCCGAATCAACCCTATTCCTGCTGTCCAAGATCTTTACGGTTGAGAATTCTGTGACTGAAGGTGATGTTGTATCGGCTCCGTCATCCCAGTTACGCATTGTGCTATGGCCTCGCATCACTTGCGCCTGGTTGATTTCTTTGGGTCAACTATCTTCTGATAATGTCGAAATTGCACTTCGGCGCGCCTTGAAGCCACGCATCCTCCAGCCGTTGGCCACTGGATCCTTTATCCAGGCACTGATTGATTCCGATTCATCCCTTAAGCATGTCAACCATGTCCTTAGTGGCCCTTCTGCCCTCTCGACTGATGAATTGGCTTACGCATTGAAGTACTTTTTGATTGAGGCGCGTCAGCGATCTGGTGCACTGGAGGAGACTACCCGAGCCATTACCAATGGTGATATTGCTACACCTACCCAGGAACTTACACGCCATTTGGGAGATGAGACAGCCACTGTCAAAGCAGTTTTCAAGGGGTTGAACACTAGCATCCAGAAGATCCACACCCACCCTCTTTCTTCTGTCACAAAAGCTCTCCGCTCCAACCTGTCACGCCAAGAGCTTATCTCCATGATTCATCACCTTCGCCTTTCTCTCGCCACCGGTGGCTACATGTCTCGGTTCTCCGAGAACCCCCCTACCCCCATCACCATTGATCAGATTACTCCTTCCCTTTCACTCCAAACCATTAGTGATATGCTCACTTCCTCTGTTGACGCCGTTGGTCCCTCCGGCTGGATTACCGCTCTCCCCTCCGTGAACGACCTTGATGATGAGACCGACTCGACTATTGCCGCGGCCACCCGCGAGATGGAACTCATTTCCGATATGCGATCCGAGATCTCTGCTACCTTGGGTGGTGTGGAAGAAGCAACGTACTTGAAGGGTATCCTTCGCGAGTACCTGCGGTTTTCTGACCAAGTCAGCACCCCGAAGACCGCAAGTGGAAATGCCGTTGCGAAGGTCGAGAATGAACCCACTCCGGGCCCATCTCATCTTGTCCGTCATGAGAAGGTCAACGGCGCAGACCTCTTGATCTTTGCTCGTCCTGGTGAGGGTGAGGATGGTTATGATGGTGATGCCAGTGGAAAGATGCTGCCGCTATCGATGAAGCCTGTCTCGACCGATGTTTCTCGGACTAAGGTCAAGAAGTCAACGGGTGAAAGCAAGGCTCGTAGTAACCGTGAGATCGGTTACATGCGTCGCAAGGAAGTTGGCAAGTACTCTTTCGAGAGGCTTCTGGTTTAATGAGTGATTGACGGTGGACATACCCGTGGACTTTGCCTTTCATGTTTCATACTGTATTAACCATTACGCATCAAGTATAAAAGGAGTTTAAAATTGAGGTCAATAATTTTTGTTCAGTCTTTGGCAATCTCACAAATCTTTGACTGGCGCTCTAGAGCCAAGTCAGGTGGCAAACGCTTATAATTATAGTACAATCGTCAATGGGTATATAACAGTCAACTGCCCAGGTGATGCCGTGATACTCCAACTTTGTAGCTTCGAAAATCGGCAAATGATGTTCGCAATGTCAAAAACTGACCATTTCAAAGTAAAACACAAATAAAACTTCCAAGGTTATTGTTCTGAATTCGTTTCACCAAGAGTGTTATAATGGAAGTGTGAAAATGTGAACTTGGGGAGTGGAAGCCGGGATTCGAGATAAGACTTGATATATCCGGGGCCTGTGATGTCGTAGGCCCAAAAGGTAAATAGATTGACGATGTCCTCAACCCGAGCCGAGCGGCCGTCAGTACAGTCAGGGCATCTGAGATTCCACCATTCTCCCGTGACATTGCTATGCCCATGATGTATCATGTCGCGAGGGATACATGTCAAAATTTCAAACAACATACTGGCACGGTGTAAAAGATGGCCAATACCAAAAAGATATCCACAATAATCTCCGTCACTGACATCCGGACCTGCGACTTTGATGCTGATGCTCTTCTCTTGGACCCTCTCTTGGGAAATAGCGCATGTGTCTGCACATGGCGTCCTTGTTTGTGACGGTCCATGTAGTGTATACGTATTTGGAAGACAGGGTAACGAGCCACATCGATCCACCATCACAAATCTGGATTTCATGTTTTATGTCTTTGTATAGTAGTTGAGTGATCTCGATGTATAAAGCTCGGCTGCATCCCAGGATGCCGAGAAGTCTTCCACCATGAGACATGATAGTCAGGGTAGTGCTGTTGATATTTTGAAAAAGCTCTTCCCAGATCATCAACCGAATTTCGACTGGAAATCTGGCAAAGTCGCCAAGTTGGCTTACGTACCACCCTTCTTCGTCAATATAGTTTTGATTATTGTAATTCATTGTTAATGATGCGTATATCCGGTATAAGTTCGATGTTCAACAAGGAAATAGCGTACTCTCAGAAGATGTTGGATGCGTGGATGGAGTTATTCAGAAGGAACATATTTGTATCAGAGAATATTAGGAGTGTTACTAGACCTGCTCGGGTAGCCCGATCCTCAAAGGGTCATAGGTGTTAGAGATTGAACCCCGGAATGCAAAAGCTTATAGTATTACTGCTGTGGAAGCAGCAACGGAACTTATACTCTCCAGGGCTTCCCGGATAGGACTAGTGTCGCTAGAACTATGAATGCTTGCTTTTACGCTTACCAGGAGGACCAGCGAACTTTTTTCCCCCATGGTATTTGAGAATATTGGATGAGACAAGCTCTTTTTACAGCGGTGTGGTAGAAAGAGAAAGTAGATAGAAAATAGTGAAATCCGAAAGTAGTAGCAGTCGGAAAAGGCGATGAAAGTGCACTCTGCCTGGAAGTGTGGAGTACAAACTTACCTAGTAGAGCCATTGCCCGAACCATTCCTTTAGGTTAACCCTTTCACCCACTCCTCGTCATCTGCCCTTTTAGATGTGACTATGACGTTGGGAATTCTGAAACGCAAATGTGGTCAGTGCAAAGGGCTCAGCTCCACTTTGGCCGCTTGTTTGGGGACACGACGAGCCGTTCTTGTTGACAGATAATTCAATTGTCAAAGTATCGAACGACAAAACTATCATTTGAGGGTAAAGGACGTTGAGAGAATTTGGGATTTGCTGATGGAACACAATTTAAGCATAGTATTCTGACCTCGTGAACTTGAGGTCGAGGACGGGGCTTGCATGCCCAAGTTTTGTTGTTGAAATATATTTTCACAGCCCAACCAACCACCGTGGACCTGTTGAGTGTGCATGCATATACGCAGCCAAGACCCAATTTGATTTCGTACATAGCCGTAGCCCTAGGTAACCTTAGAATTATACATAGTGAGCTCTTCTATATGTGTGGAATCAGAGATCCCAGAAATATCGGTCAAGGAAATCGGGGCTCCAAGTGGGACCAAAACAACACATTGGGCTGCAATAAGACTCGGACCAATCAGACCACTTCTGCTTGGATCCTCGATCGGACCATTGGCTGCTAGTGGGGGGATCGGTTGGATTTAGAGTGATTTTTTGTTTAGATATCAATAACAATAAGGGGTGTACTCGAAGACAAGGATCACAAACATAAATGGGTGGCGCGTATCATGTGTCGCTAAATAAACAAGGAGCTTGGGTGGAGCTGACTGCTTGGACCAACAACCCGCAAATCCCCAAACCGTTCGTCTCGGAGCTGAAAGTTGATTTTGTTGTTGATTTACATTCAATGTCTGAGGGGAAATGATTCCTGGTTCTTCTCCTGTTTATATCGGAGCGCGAACCGCCGGAACGCGCCCTGCGTCAAATCATAACAATGAGCAACCAACCATGGCTAGACAGCCTGTCAGACGACTGGCCGTCGGTGCCTGCCACTCCTACCACTCCCGCTCCATCGAACCCGTCACAGAACCTGTTGTCCTTGCGGCGCAATAGTGTGCAGAACTCCCCTAGTCGCATTCCGGTACCTGCACGCCGATCTGTGGAACAATCCCCAGCCGACGACAAGAAAAAGGTTACCCGACCATGTCATTTCCATAGGAAAGAACCTCCCACACCGAAGACCCCGCGAACTCCCAAAACACCTACAAAACTGCGATCGCCCATCCCGCCCAAGACCAGAACAAGGACGCCCAGGAGCTCCAAAGTCACTCCAAAGTCTACGTCCAAGGCCCGCGCGAAGCCAACCCCGGGTGCGGCTGAAAAGCAAGCGCCAACCATGGATACGCGCTCCCCGCTACGGTCGGTATCCAACGTCTCCAAACAATCAGACTACGAGGCGGGCGACACGGTCCAGATCAAACCCAAAAAGGGCGACGAGGGGGAAGCTACACCCGAATGGCGGAAACGACTGGTACGTGGGGAGATTCCGGTGGGAGATCAACGCGATCTGTTTGCGCCGATTGGACTTGAGAGTGTATTCAAGCCCCCGACGCCAGGATCCGGAGCTGGCCAACCAGACTCCATCCCCTTTACCCGACAGGACGACCAGCTGTGGGACTTCACCGACAATACCTCCCACCGAGAAAGCTCTACAAGACAGGCACAGGGGGAGGAGGATTATAGTGAACGCGTCGGTGAAGGTGACTACTCGGGTACTGGCATAGAATCACCATTTGGGACGGTGAACCATCGGGCACACTGGGCCGATAAGCGACCAGGGAGCAATCATGCAGATCAGTCGGGCCTGTCACATGGATACACTGAAACTCGGACTGCTAGTGGGCTAGAGGACCTTCGCAATGAGGGAATCACACCGATTACGTTCACGCGAAACAATACACTAGAAGGGACTGCCACAACAGAGGTGATCAAGTCGGCATTGAAACAAGTGACGAGCAAGCTTGAGAGCTTGTCTATTGACAATAGTCGCCCTGACTCACCAGCTAGTGACAGTTTCCTATTTTATAACCATAGTGAACCCCGGCCGGAGGGTTCGCCAAACGAGGACAGTTTATTGGATGTAACCAGTCACTCCTTGCCTCAGGACTTGTCAATGGGAACATTGGACTTCAGTCGCCGCAAAGTTCACCGTCCTTTCCACCAATTCTCCCCCTCGCCCTTTCCTTCCCAGCACTTGTCCCCCACGACCCTCGCCAACGCCAAAACTCGCAGTTCTCCCCTCTTCAATCGCTCTTCAAACGGATCACCTACATTGCCTCGCCCCTCCTCCTCTCATGTCCGACCGTCAACATCCGATGATAACACTTCAAAACAAGACACAATGCCCTCGTCAGGAAGCCCATTGAAGCTGTTTGGCGAGCATGATACATTTACAAACAACAGGCTTCTTCGGCGGATGAGTCAATTTGAGGAAACATTTGGGGACGGTTCGGGGTCGGAGGGAGACGAGCCGCCATCACCATCAGAAGAGGCACGAAGGAAGGGAGAAAATCGAAGCTTACTCAATGTTCGACATGAGCCATTGAGTGAGATATCTCCTCGACGGAATGAGCGAGGCTCATCTCGAAACGTTGTAAACCCTCGTCTGTCTCGGTTCGGGGACGGGGAACTGGATAAATTCGACTTCTCAGACACGAGCCCGTACGAGCCTAACTTCACTTATGGCGATGTACCAGGTTTTGAGTCCCGCCCCTCCTCCCGAAGAATATCGTCGAATCGTCAACAATACCTTCAACGGGGGTCACAGGTGGGCTCTTTGCAATATGCCAGATCTGCAAGCTCCAGCTTTACCCGGAAACCATCCGCCTGGACTCGCCAAAGCTACTTTGATCATTTACGTGATGCAACCGCTTCGTCACGCGCCAATAAAGAAAACATCGCGCCGTCTGAAACCAAGAGAGTTCCCAAAGCAGCGGCCATGGACCCGATTCCAAAGCGCCGACGAACTATTTTGCGCGATGACAGCGCCGAACCGGAACGAGCCCATTCCAATGGCGATCCAGCAAAATTTGGCGAAAGCATGTCCTTGCTGCAGAGAAGCTTGATGCAACAGGGCGTGCAGCTCGAGAATGGGGATTACCTCGCTCCTCCCGGCCTCTCTCAGTCCATGCAACGACCTAGGACCCCGACTCCTAGTCAGATCCGGTCTATGCACGGATCGAAGGTGTTACCGAGCAGAGAGTACTCGGAATCAAATTTTGATAACCTTGACTACTCGGACTCGTTCTCCATTGAAGGTGACATACCACTAGTCAAGATTACTGGGGCAAGTGACACATCGCGCAAAGGGTCTATCACAACCCAAGACTACTTGAACGAAGCGACGAAAATCATGGATCTGATCCGAGCTAAAGGCCGCCCAGTACCGGGGTTAACGAGCGTTCAGGAGTCCGATGGGGATAGTGAAGATGGAGAGGTCAGCTACGATGACGAATCTACTCGGGAAGCATTTTCTCGCCCCCCAAGCCGTGATGGCACGAATACAGATTTCCGCAAAATTCGAGAGCCAAAAGAGTTGAATGCTCAAGTTCTGAACTACTTGAAACAATATCAAGAGAAAGATGATGGTGATTTTGGGACCACTGGATCGGTCATGTCATTCAATCATGAAGCAGAGCTCAAGCCCGATGGCTCCCGAAGGGTGGTTTCCGGAAGGAAACGCAAGACAAGCAGCACTTATGATGATGTCGCGGACACCATCGCACAAGACTTGATGACAATTAATACCCAAATGTCTGGCTTCAGTGTTCACTCCGTACACACAGGATCCTCGCAAAACTCCCAGGCGAAAGGAGTATTATCATCCGATCTGGTCGCTCATCTTATCCCAGAGCAAGTCAACGGTTTTACTTACGACAAGTCCAAAAATTTATGGATCAAGAACGTTGCAGAACAACCAGCTCTACAAGTGTCTCATGATGATGAAAACGAAAACAACGATCCGTTCCAGGACATCCCTGACTTAAGTGTGGATGAGTTGCAGGAAATGATGCGAGTTCACGGCCTTGATTCTCCGTCTAAGCGGTTGTCAGCGAATCAAAACCTAGACTCCCACGCTCGCGCTGGAGGTACTTCACCAAAGAAGGGCGATGTTAGACCACACACAAGAGACGGAGATCCCTCAGTGAATGCAAGCTCTGTTCAGTCCAGAGCCACTCGGTTTACATCAAGTGTTCCAAATTCCGGAACCCGAGCAACATCATGGGGCACAGACGAAAGTCAGGCGAGAAATGACTCCGCGAGCCAGAATGCCAAAAGGCCCGATGACATAGATCCCCAGGCGCAAAACAAGCAGACTCGGGTTGCAACAATCTCATTTTCTTCACCTGTCGTTTCTCAGGTCGCATACACGGACGACGACGAGGCTTCCAACCCCGACACTGAATCACATCAGTCAGCACACATTGACGAAGGGAAGCATAACGAGAACCCACGGTCTGCTCTTCCACCTCCCCGTCGTGAAACCTCCGTAGCCGGGCAGCCATTCATTCGGCGTCCCGTGTCGAGAATTGATGAACGGAATGAAGAGGGAGCTGAAGATCTCAGCCTTGTTCACAGAAACGATTCACTGGGTGTGCAACAGACTCCAAGTGGTGATGCCATTGGAAAATCCTTGGTTCCCATTCACTCAGGTGACCATGAAACAAGTTACAGCTTCCATATGAGTCCGCTGCCTGATTTCTCAGTCAATCAACCAGATCACCCCCTGAACCTAGAAATGAGCTATGTGGCAAACCGCACGCATCCGACATCACTGAGACAGGTTCATGGTCAGTTTGCCCTTGCCACAGAGCAATTGATCAAGCACATCACCGATGTGCAGCCATATGAACCATACTGGGAAGACGTACGCCGCTTGGTACTGCGTCAAAAGGGGCTGATTACCTTGCACAAGCTGAGTGATTTCTGCCCTCGACTTGAGGACCTCGATGTCTCCGACAATGATATTGGGCAGTTGAGTGGTGTTCCAACCAGTCTTCGAACTCTCAAGATTCCCAGGAACTCCCTGTCCAATCTCACACCATGGGGCCACCTGACTAATTTGCAATACCTGGATATTTCTGGAAATGATATTGAGACCCTCGATGGTTTCTCTGGTCTGATTCACCTTCGGGAATTAAAGGCGAATGACAATCAAATCCGGAACATCGATGGCATTCTTGACTTAAATGGCCTGCTGAGCCTGAAATTGAGCAATAATTCGTTGACAACCGTGGACTTCGAAAGCACAGAACTGTGAGTTACTTTACCTGCATTCTGTATGGGTGGGTGCTAACACTACCAGAACTCGACTTCGCGACCTTGATCTAAGTCACAATTGCTTGACATCTGTCCGCAACATCGAGTGGCTCCCATCACTGGCCACTCTTGATGTTAGCGCCAATCAAATCACTCAATTCGAGGCGTCAACATCCCTCATCAGCCTGCGAGCGCTGAAACTCTCCGCCAATCGTCTGAGTGCCTTGGAGCTGAAGAACTTTTCTTCTTTGAGCCTCTTATATGCTGATCATAACGGTTTGTCGACCATTACCGGGCTGGAACACTGCCATAATCTAGAAGTTCTCTCTGTGCGAGAACAGACCCAAATGGGAGATACTACGTCTGGTATTACTTTGGACCTCGACCTCGGATCCGCAAAGGACATCCGTAAAGTTTTTCTGTCGTCAAACAAGCTTGCCTCTCGATGCCTCTCTCCTTCGTCTCCTTTACTTCGACTACAGCTTCTCGACATTGCCGCGTGCACTTTGCCTGCTCTCCCAGGCGCATTCGCCTCTAGCTTCCCGAACCTCAAAGTGTTGAATATGAACTTCAACTCTTTGACCGAATTGGAACCTTTGGTGGGTATGCACTGCCTTGCGAGGTTAACCATGGTTGGAAACCGACTTTCGAGAATGCGGCGCATCTGTCAGATCCTCAGCCGACTTGGAAGAACAGGAAGGGGCAATCCGTGCTCCCTTCGCAAGCTTGATATTCGTGGCAACCCCCTGACAGTCGGATTCTACCCTCCAGCTCTGACTGGCAATGGAAGCAATGCCGAGCGCAAGAAATTGAAGGACCAAGAAAAGGCAGTCGCTCATTTGCAAGAAAACCGACGAGATCTTTCTGATGCTTTGGCTGACGTTGATCCCAATGACCAAGTCGCACAGCCCGTCACCTGGGATGACAGCGCCAAGTCTGATCGTGATAGCGAGATCAACGATCCTCTGACTCTTCCTCTGGCGGATCCTCAGGCAGACGAAAAATATCTCCAGCGCCTAGACCGTGCCACTCGATTGCGCCGGCGGGTCCTGGAACTTTTACTTTATGCCGGAACTAGCGGCTCCCTTCAAACATTGGACGGGCTGGATCTTCGTCCAGTCCTTGGGGACGACTCATCGGATATGAATCAAGCGTGGGTTAGGCTCGAGGAACTGGGTGTTCTTCGAAAAAAGGCGATTACCGACAAGGCGTGAAATTTTCGTCTTGCATATTGTTTGTGTGAAGGTGTTGATTTTGTCTGAATATTTTATAGCGTGCATGGAGTTTTGACTATTTATTAGACTCACCTGAGCTGGATCCGGTCATGGTATTGGGTGTCCAGCATTTGCATGTTCGCATTTCTGGAGTTAAAAGCCTTGGGATTATTGCGATAGCGCTTTACCATTTGAATGGAAGATATTTTACCCTCCTAATCATATTATTCATTCGAAGCTGCCATTAATTATCTGAATGCTGGGTGTTATAACGAATGTTTGAGCCTAAGATTCAGCCAAAGTTATAGTCTTTGCTGTTTTCCTATCGGTTACTGACAGCTGTGCTTGTTCACGGTCACCAGTCGACGGTCCTGAAACGCTATCATGAACAACCACCTGACCTTCAAGGGTATCGAAAAATGCCGCGCGCTTTGGCAGAAGATATCTTACATCAATGATGCGAAGTAAACATGTCATCAGAATCACAAGCACCAGCAATGCAAGAGCTGACTGCCATCCATACTTATAATACGGTGCCTGTGAGGCAGGCCAAACTAGGACCTGAGACCAAGCCGAGATAGCATAGTATCCCGCAACCGAGACGCCGACGATCAGCGTACGGGCCTCAGGATCCTGTGGAATAAGATCCGAAAGCCAGGCAAAGATAAGCGGTGCCGTCCCGAGACAAATGTAGGAAATGAAATAGGATGCGTAAGCACCCGACAGAGGAACGGCATCGGGATGGGAAGTCCAGATACTCATGATTATGCACGGGATAATCCCAATAACGCCTTGCGCAACAATCAAAGTCCAACGCGTTCGCAGGAAATCCGAAAGCAGAGCCCAGATCCAAACGAAAACCACGTTGATGGCTGACCCTCCAATCGGGATGGCGTTTACTTCAGTGACAGTCCATCTTGCGCTGCCATCTGGATTCTTGAGTGATTTCAGGAAGAGTGAGAAATACACATATCCATAGGTTCCCAGGACCGTCGCGATATAGAGCACGGCAATGAAGTAAATCACCCAACCTGAAAAGGCACGCTTGGCACCCGCCCAGCTCATTTTCTTAGGCTCGGCACGACCGTGTCGAGCTAATCGTTCCATTGATAGCTCTGCGTGAACTTTCTTGAACCAGAATGCTCGGGGGTTTGGCTTGTTGGGAAGGTCTGGGATCATGAAGAACCCGGCAAAGCCCCATATGACTGTTATTATAGAGTTTATTACAAACAGCCAGCGCCAACCGGCCAGTCCACCGTGGCCGTCTAGAGTGTCTGAAATTGCTGCCTGTAAAGCGCCTGACATCATTTGTCCAACTGCTTGGCAGGAGTGGTAGAAGCCCATGCGCTTGGCTAGCTCCGTTGGCGTATACCAGTACACTGTGATATTGTTAGCTTTATCAACGACCTCAGTGAGTAGAATGGAAGTAGATAGTAAACGCACTGAGCAAGGTCATCATGCCTGGCCAGGCACTGCTCTCGCAAAGGCCAAGGAAGACTCGAAGTACATATATCTGCTTGGCGCTTGTAGCCATGGCAATAAGACCGGTGAATAGACCCCAGAGAATTTCTAATCCGGGTAGCCAGAAGCTTGGTCGAACATAGGTCAATATGATCTGGGACGGAATGAGCATGACGCAATAAGCTGCATTGAAGTATGTCGTGAATCTTATAATCATCAGTCCTGAGTCAATAAAGTGGAACTCGATGTAGCTTACAGATTTAACTCGTTTCCATAGAGATGCAAATCTTCCATCATGCCGGAGACGTAGGCATTGTTAATATTTTGCTGATCGAGATATTTGATAACTGGACATTATTAGCTTCCCGTTTGATGAGTCGTACTGTCTTTGGTACCTTGAGATAGACACCCGAACGTCAAAAGAAACGTATCCAGGCGTCTCACGAGAGCCTTCTCCTCAGGTGAGCGCTCATTACTCCCTTCCGGGTTTTCAGACGGAACGTGACGAAAGATCCTCCAGGTTCCCATAATAACTTTGAGGAGAGGAGAGAATCAAACGTCAAGATTCGCGCACCTGGCGCGCTGTTAAGAACTGCAGAGGGAGTCAAGATAAGAGAGTTCTCCAAGCGCCACAAAGGACCTGCAGATCTGAGGGGGAGTGCGTGTGATAAGAGCTCGTGCAGTCGTATTCCACGGCGTAACCTCGGACGTCGGGAGCGATACCGGCTCAAGATGTATCAAAGCTCACATAAGACTATGGGCAGGTCGATGCGATAGGGTAGCATATGCCAAGTGTCGATCACTTGCGTTGATAAGTTTTGGGGAAATCCGCGATAAGGCGATATCTTCCCCGCACGACTATCTTGCCCGATGACTGATACCTTAACTGACACTCTGATATGTCCCTTCTCGCAGTTTCATAAAATCCAGCTCATTGGGCAGTACAATTTGCAGCGATGGCAGACGAAAATTCAAGCAATAGTTTGCCTCGACCGACCCCTTGCTTGAGTTATTGGCAACGCACCACTCGGGCCTTCCCACATTTATTCGCGAATCAAAACACCAGAGTCCCTACACGAGCGAAATACGTAATTATCGGATCAGGTCTTTCTGGCGCTCTCACAACCTTTGAGCTCCTAGAAGGAGGAGTGAAGGGCGAGGATGTCATCATTTTGGAAGCGCGCGAAGCGGCCAGCGGCGCAACCTCCAGGAATGCCGGTCATGTCCGCCCCGGTATGTTTTCCAACAAAAGCAGAAAGGACGTGGACTAATAGGTTGGTAGATGCATTTCGTGGGTTCAGTGCCTACTCAAAGGTCCATGGGCCAGAACAGGCATTGAAGATTATCGCCAACGAGCGAATTGTTCTAGAAAAAGTGGACGAGTTTGTGAAAAAGCATAACGTGCAATGTGATTTCAACTTGACATCTACTTTTGATGTTTGCATGACGCCTGAGTTTGCCAAATACGAGGCAGAAAGTCTTGAAGCCTATAAGCAAGCCGGGGGTGAGACGTCCCATATCAAGTATTTCGAAGGCGAGGAAGCCCGAGAGAAGACCAGGGTCCTTGGGGCAGTTGCAGCGTATGAGTGGCCGGCAGGATCCAGTCATCCAGCCAAATTGGTTCAGTTTATCTTACAGTCAATGATCGGAAAGGGTGTGCAGATATTCACATTTTGTCCCGCTACGGCCATAAAGGAAAGCGAATCTGAGCCGGAACAGTGGGATGTACACACCCCTCAAGGCACCATAACCACTGAAAAGATCATACACTGCACAAATGCCCATGCGGCCCTCTTGCTCCCTCAATTAGAAGCATATGTGCGACCAAACCGTGCTCAGGCCCATTCTTTGGTTCCAAACCCGGCATTTGGAGCTGAGAACGTTCTCCAGAAGACATTTTCGCTCCGCTATAGTCTCTACCATTTCTATTCTTTGATTCAACGCAGAGTAGACGGTACACTCATTCTTGGAGTCTCAAGATCAAATCCCACCTTAAGTCCTGAAACATTGGCTAGTCGTTTCAGCACTGATGATACGCATTACAATCAAGAGATTGCTGATGACGCGCTGAATAGCTTCACGAAGATATTTCCTGATTATGCATCGCAAGGTGCTGTACATGGTGAAGGGTTGGATCATTCGTGGACTGGAATTATTGCCATGACACCTGATTCCGTTCCGTTTGTTGGTGCTATTGAATCACTTCCTGGACAGTATATTTGTGCTGGGTTTAATGGCCATGGTAAGAGGACCTATTGAGCCCGCGGCAGGCGAAAGCTAATAAAACTATTATTTAGGAATGGCACGCATATTCACTAGCGCCCCTGGTGTGGCAAAACTTGCTTTAGGTCATGACTGGTCCACGACTGGGCTGCCGGAATGTTTTCAGTTTAGTCGAGAAAGACAGTCTCGACTTGCGGAGGGTGGACTGCCATCTATATGGTAGAAGAGTAATCCATCCTACGGTGTCAATATTTCTGGCACAGTACACTACATACGCTCATGATAGAGGCCCGGCTTGCTGAGCACTATGCACGTGGACAGGTAGCTCTGGAGATATCTAAATGTTATTGATCTCAAAGCCTGGGTATCAGTCAAAAGGCAGAGAGATCATAGCACCCCGAATTCGCTTTCATTGATGGGCCCAGAGTTAAGAAACTACTGTTGGGACTATGAAAGTGGTAGAAGTGGGACCAACAGGCTTGAGGTACGCACCCCGATGTCGGGGTATCGAAGTATATCGCGTGGTCGGATGCCTAGATGTATTGCGTTCATGTTCACTGTGATTTGTATTCCGAAATGTAAATATCGTGTCTATCCTTTCTCAAAAAACCATAACTGTGTCATTTCAATTCTCGGAATATCTCAGTTGGATATCTGAATTGTTCCACTTTGGATTTGCTACGAATATCCGTGCTCCCAAGACCAGATTCGAGCAGACTTCCAAACTTCACAGATTTTGGAAACACTGAATTATTCATGACAATCATTCGATCAGACTGGGATTCCTCCACAACTCACGTAGCCAATTAAAACACTCCTATCTGATATGAACCATACGCCAGTCCGCTGACATACCTGACGTGCCGCACTGGCCGCCGATATCGGTCATCAACTACAACCCGCCAGGAGCTCGACGAACACATATAAACCAGCAATACGCACTTCAATATCATAGAACAGACAAAAGAGAATCAAGGACTTCTCTCAAAAACCTCCCAATCTCCCGAAATAAAACAAATCAAATCCATAACAATGGCAGCCAAAACAGAAGCAGCCGTCTACACCCACGGCCACCACGCCTCAGTCCTCCGCTCTCACAGCACACGGACAGCCCTTAACTCCGCGAGCTTTCTACTCCCACACCTTAAGCCGGATATGAAAATTCTCGACATCGGTTGTGGGCCCGGCACAATCACAGTCGACCTAGCAGAATGTGTCCCACAAGGGCACGTAACAGGCCTCGAGCGTGTAGGCGACGTCCTCTCTGGCGCACAAGCCCTTGCCAACTCACGCGGCGTGAAGAACATTTCCTTTGTGGTCGGCGATGGCAACGGTCTGACCTATGCAGACGAAAGTTTCGATGTCGTATTCTGCCACCAGGTTCTGCAACATGTTGCTGATCCCATAGGTATGCTCAAGGAGATGAAGCGCGTGACAAAGAAAGGCGGAATTGTCGCTGCTAGAGAAGCGGATTATTCTGTCTTTATGTGGTTCCCTGAGATTAAGGGTTTGAGAGACTGGCAGGATCTTTATGATCGGGTTGCGAGGCGGAATGGGGGTGAGCCTAATGCGGGACGGTTCTTGCATTCTTGGGCTAGACAGGCTGGGTTTGAGAATATGAAACATAGTGTTTCTTCTTGGTGTTATGGGGAGAAGAGTGAGGTTGCTTGGTGGAGTGAGACTTGGCAGGAGAGGGCTTTGAAGTCTTCTTTTGCTACTACGGCGCTTGAGGGGGGCTTGGCTACTGTTGAGGATTTGGAGAGAATTTCGAAGTGTTGGAAGGCTTGGGGTGAGGATGTCGATGCTTTTATTTCTATCCCTAGTGCGGAGATTGTTTGTTTTAAGCAGTAGGATTGTTTTCAGTTAGATACATTGTTCATAATCATGGATTTACGGATTTCGAATACTTTGCGTATGTAATACATATATAGTGCCAGCTTATTCGATGATTATCGATGGGGTTTGTTTGAAAATGACCAAACATGCTTGGTCTTTGAGTTGAAAATGAAACATACTGTACAATTGGACATTCGTAGCCACTAGCGAATTTTCCCATGTGCCCAACTCCGAACAATGCAAAACTCCAGCAGAAATGTTATATCAAGCGATGACCCGAGATATGATTCCCAGGTCGAACGCGTGCCTCATTAGGAATGCCTCCTAGTTTTCCGGCACATATTCATACCGACGCCAATTCTCCGAAACCCACCACTGAGCAACATGTGCAGCTTCCTTGATCCACTCCACAGCCACTTCGCCGTGAACCCCTGCAACATCCTCCAGCAAAGGAATCAAAGAAAAAGACTGCAGAGTATGGAGCTCATGCGGATCAATATCGACATCCGTGAATCTCCACTCCACGTCTTGAACAAGAGGAATGACTAACCGGTATGGCTTCGACGCAGATCGCAGGGCAAGCCAAGTTCCACCGGTGTTCATCACGGAGAATTGCCAGTCCTGTCGCCCGTCTTTTTCCGTAACGAGATCTCGGATAATGGACTGGCCTTCATAGAGAGGGAGGAGTTCTTTGATAGCACGCGTTGCGGCTTCATCCACGGAGCCAGATTCGACTAACAGATCGAGAATAGTAGGGAGGATTTGCATTGATGTGACTCGGCCATCGACGTTAATCGGCGGTAGCTGTGGGTGCGAGAAGACGAGAGGAACATGGAAGTTGGATACATGGGGATTGTCGTAAGGAGTGGCTCCGCCGTCTTCAATAATGGATAGGCCGCTACTCAAATTAGTGAGGTACTCGATGGCAGTCTGGATTAGAGAAACTTACTGATCACCGACCATGACTATCAAGGACTCATTAATTACCTCCGTCTCTGTCAAAACTTCAAGGATCTCCCCAAGCCACCTATCTGCAACTCCAAGGGTGTTTAAGTAGCGCGCGATTCTGTCATTATGATTGAAAATGCTGGTTGGCATGAATTTTTCATACTTTTCACCCACAGGCATGTCCCAGGGATAATGGGTTTGACCTGTCAGATGAGTGAGGAAAAGTCGCTTCTGATTTGTTTCTGCATCCAGGACGGCATGCGAAAGGTAATCACGGAGTTCATGTTCTGGGTATCCCCAGAAGTTGAACTTCTGGGGAGCTGGTCCCTTCTTATTCTTCGAGTCCTCGGTGATCGTGTCGTCAATGATTTTCTTATCAAATCCAAGTGCTGGAATAAGATAATTCTGGTTGTCGTAATTATCGGTGATACTTTGCATAAACAAAGAGTGCCAGGGCCAGGTCTTGTAGTCATCTTGTTTCACATCCTTGGTAATGTTTGGCATCAGGTTCAAGGCATTTAAAATATGCGGCATACAGGGCTCATAAATGTGGTGTAGAAATTCTCGATTGAAGTCAACAACCAACGGTGCAATGCCGCAAACGCTCGCAAGGATGCTTTTGAGAGTAAAAGTATCGCCTGTGTAGGCATTGGTCGCAAAGATACCACCATAAGGCTGAAATACTTCGTTGTCGTTGTCAAACCCGGATCGGACTCTAGTAAATCTCTCTGCATTGCGCGTCAAATTGGCCAATCGCTTGACAACTTCATCTGGGATCTTTTTGTCGGATTGCGCCTCTCGAATTAAATTACCGAGATATGATTCTTTGCGCACAGGAAAAACGTCGGCACGGGTGCTTTCCAGTTTGATAAGAAGGACATGCTTGATGCTAACATTGCCGCCACTGAGAGTATCACGCAGTGACTCCAGGATGTCACGATCAAGATTGGAAATGTGCAAAGGGTCTAAAGCCGGGTCGTAGTGTTGCCGTTGCGTGCCATTGGCACCTTTGTACCAGTCTCGGAAGCCTGCCACTTCCTCAAGGGGAAGCCAATCGAACTTTGGAGCTTCGCCTAGGGCTGTGTGGTTGTACAGCCAGCCGTAATCGCCCGGTAAATCTGGAATAACTACCGAAGTTGAATCTGCGCCTGGGGACTTTTCCAATGGAGTGATTATCACAGTTTGTGAAAGAAAGCCGTATGCATCGTCGAACGGGCGAAATGCTCGAAGGACAATTATATAGATAGCAGCTGAGATGAGAAGCACTCGAGGCAGAACAGATCGTTTGGTCTGGATATTTTCCTTGGATGTGTGCAACCGTGACATTGTTTGTGACTCGGGATCATTATCGCCATCCTTCTCCCAGTCCTCATCATCCAACGGCTCGTAGTTTTCTGAGAGATCTGTTTTCCAGCATCTGAAAATTAGAGAAATTGCCCACCACAAAATCGAAATCCCTTTGCCGGTGAGGTTGTATAGGAACGGGGTGGATGCCCACGCAATCAGACCAAACAAAATCTCGCCAATGAAGATACCAGTCAGTCCAGTCAACAACGTCTTGATCGAAGCGGCATCACGGTGGAAGGAATGCGCCTGTCGCCAATGAATCTCGGCGCCGGTTTTGGTGTAGAAGGATATGTTTGCGGCGGCTAGTACGGAGATCACCAAACTAGAGTAAAACACAGTAATTAGCTCAATGAACCCGATAGGATCGACTATGCGCACCTCGACCAAATCCCTACCAAAGCTAGCACACCACGAACCCATTTCCTTTGAAATTCTTGGCACACGGTGTATGCAATGAGGATGCAGATAATGTCTTGCAAAAAGAACGTAGGGCCCCACAGCACGAAGCGAGCGACGGTTAGGGAGTTGAGATGAGAGTAAATATGAAGCACTTTGGCACTTAACACGCCAATGAACAAAAGCGAGAACCAATATTGGCGAGTCTTGGGCCAGAAGACGTCGAACCAAAGACTGGGGGAGAGAAGGACGCGAGCCAGACTGTGGCAGCTCTGGCGAGCGAGTTTCATTGTGTCAGGCTTGAGGACAATCTAGGCATGTAGAGGTCTATTTGGACAAAAGAAAAGGATTGGGGAACTAAAGGGTAAAAGGAAGGGTCTTCAGGCTTACATGGAGGCTGAGAATAGAAACAGCCCGAGTATTGTCAAAGTCCAATACATCACAAATAGAACATCACGGTAGAATTTACTAGTGGCGTCGGTTGAAAGCCCCCAATTTTGCATAGAGTCGCGTGCCCCAGTCAGCCAATCATCAAACTCAACTCCCGTAGTTGCTCAGGCACACAGTCATCTTGTGCCTGTCCTGTTGGTCTCGCTCGTGTTACCAGCTGACCGTACGGGTCCGCCGTTTTTTCTTGTTGACTTCCCCTATTTTCTTTTACATTCAGGCGTTCCGGGGCCCATCCGATGCTACCGGACTAATTTGGTGGCTGCTTCCAGGGTCTGAATCAAGATTCCAGCTTATGGCTGCCTTACGCTCTACCAGTGGGGCCACATGGATGGGTTTCCAGGATTTCCAGGGTTTCCAAGGTTTCCGTGCTGCATACCCCTATAGGAAGTGAAACCTGGTCCCGTATTTCCAGGGTTTGAGGCTTGGAAATGACTAAAGTTTCGGTGTCACGGACTCCAGTGTGTGCATGTACTTAGGGAGAAGCCAAGCTTTCGTTAGGGGAATCCTTCGCGACTGCCCCACTGGTCACGTGGCCCATGTGGGACTACGTGCCTGTTGGTCATGTTTGTTGGCTTTCAAAGAGAGCCTGGAGTGATTCCCCAATCATCACGCAATAACCATCTTATGCATTTCGTGCCCTTGAAAAATTACAGTACTTCGACAATTCAGAAATTTCTGACAAATCATCTATTTCACAGACTTGAGTATACTTCGAAGGAACAGGCTGCCTACCCATACATAGATATCCTTGGTGAATCCCCATTAGCTAGATACATAAAGGGCCTGCAATATGAGTTTACCGCCATGATTTGCGTATTTGGATCCCTTAGAATACGCCTCTTGACCACTGGATAATTGTGAAGAAATCCTATATTATACACTGTGACGTGGACGGACTAGAAGCGCAGCTGGTTCCAGGAGCTTCTGCAGTAGCACAGGGTAAAAAGGCCGATATTGCTATCAGACGATGGCCAATATAATGGTAGTACTGGATGGCGAGAGATGCACCGTAATAAGATGGTAAGAATGTGCATTTATTTCATAGCTATGCAGTCTTTGCCATACAACTATTCTCAGAGACGTGACTGTACCAGGAGGCTCTATGGGATTTACAAGTCCGATTCAAGACTCTGGAACTGAGAAGCAAAGTTTTTCCGAACCCATTCCATGTATCCTTTCCACTTGTGTAAATCATTCGAGGCTTCGGCAGCCGGAAACGCCTTGCTAAGCTCCTTGGTGATCTTGAGGATACCAAGGGATGCCTCTTGGGCCTTCTCCAGCTCTTGTTTGACGGCGTTGTCCTTAGGCTTGAACGACAAGATGGCCGTATAGCGCTCAGCCAGGGCATCCAGACGTCGCTCAGTTTCCTCGGGGACAGAGATGATGAGTTTGGAGGTCATCAGATTGCTGACGGCGCGGATATCTTGCTCGTCTTCAACACCGGCAAGAACACGATCAAAAAGTTCGGAGAGGTGGAAGCGGGCAAATGACGTATCCAGGGAAGCGTAGAGGGTTTCGTAAGCGCTCTGTAATGAATGGTCAGTTGATTTATTGAGAAGCAGAATACGTAAAACGAACCTTGCGCAAGTCGAGTCCGTCGTCCACCTTGTGCTTGAAAGGACCCATTTGGACCTCACGGATTAGCTCCGGCTTGACGTGGGCGTCACCGAAAACTGCAGGAAGCAATTCACCCAGGTGTGGCAGGAGAAGATTCATCTTATTATGAATGGCAGAGTTTAGTGTAGTCAATGCAAGTCGATGGTTGCCAAGATCCTGGTCTGCTAGCATGCTAGTCAATAGAGGCACTATCAGTGGTCGCAGAACAACGTTAAAAGCGTCGCTTGCATCAGCTAATGTGTAACGGAAGGCTGAAATGACTACCCCACGCACAACAGGGTCCGAATTGTTGAGGTGCTCCTGCAGAAGACTTGTCAGCGTTCGTTATATGACCAAGGGGCTATCCATGGCTTACCTGGAAGTGAGGGATGTAGGCCACAGGATCAATCAGAGCAAGTCGGCCAATGCACTCTGCACCCACGGCACGGTTGTCTTCTTCCTGGGAGACCTGCAGCAACGACTGCCACAGTTTGAGGGCAGTCGGAGCCAGCTCAGGACGCACGTCAGCATGCTGAAGCAATTCGCGAACTGAATGCAGGAGCAAATAGCTCTGAGGGTTGGATTTGACCAGCCCGTTCAAAATGATGGGGAGGTAAGCCTTGACACTCCCGGCGGACGCATTTCCAAGGGCTGTAGCAGCAGCCAAGCGAACGTGGTCAGAGGGAGAGTCGAAGTGAGCAATGAAGATATCCGGGGTCAATGAACACTCGGCACCCATTCGCAAAGCAATTTCGCCAAGAATGGCCAGTGCGAGACATTTGCGGCTGTCATCTGTAGCAGTGCTCAACTCAGTAGAGAAGTCATCCATTGTGACTCCCAGGTTCGGTCCGCCATGAACAAGTAGAGTACCGACAGCTCTCCCAACAACAGAAGCGTCGCCAGTAATGCCGACATTTTGAAGCAAGCTCTGCATCAATGGAGCGCCGACTCCTTCGTCGCCGATGACTTTTACTAGAAGAAGCAGAGCCTTCAAGACGGTGCCCACTAGTGGCTGCTTGACAATTGAACAAATCGACTGAATGAGAGACTCATTAGCAAGGGTCTTTGAATTGCCAGGAACAAGCTTGGCAATGATGATCAGAGTAGGAGTGAGAAGATGGAAGTCGGGTGCGGACAAAAGCGGCAGCAAAGCTGTCTCCAGGCTAGCCATAGTGTCGGGGCTGATATGAGAACGAGTGTTACTGTTCATAGCACTGCTTCGGAGGGCCTCAAGGCATGAGCTGCGCAATGCACGATCTGCCTTTCGCAGATTCGAGCCCAGTTCAATGGTGACGGTGTTGACCCAGTCGCTGCTGATGTCGCCTTGGCAGCTAGCCAAAACAATCACATCATCAATGGCACGAACAGCGGCCAGCCGGGTTGTTTCATTTTTCACACGGTCGACTAAGATGTCAAGGCCCTTTGATCGGCGGTCGGTAGAAAGATACTCGGTTCCGCGCTCACCAGATGTACGTGCTAGTATGACACCGAATACATGAATCGCTCGCTGGCGAACCTCCAGGTCGGCGCTGGTGTCAGTGATCCGAGCGAGGACAACGTCATAAAGCTTCTCCAGTTGCATGGCAACATCCGGGCTATTTTCCGACACACGGGGCGGGGTCAGAGCCTTCGCAATTTGTTCCACAGCACCTAGCGCCTCACTGCTAACTTTGTAGTTACGCTCATTGACAGCTCCAACAACGCCCGGCACTAAAGCGATAAGGAATGGGAGAAGGGAGTCTGATAAGTGTGTTTCCGCAATGGCAGAAACCAGGCCAAGGGTTTCGATCTGTAGAGTACCAGCGCTGACAGCCGCACCTGAGTGGGCAGCTGAGCTGCCTACAAGCGACGATGTTTTCAATGCATCCGCGATCAAATCTTCAATCTGCTGGAGATGATCAGCCAATCCTCCATACCGGACCAACGAAAGGCTTTTCAAGAGGACGATGGCAGCCTGTCGCAAGGGCATTGAGGCCTGCTTCCACGACTTCACGAGGCTCTGAACAATGAGAGGAACGGAACGGGCCAGGTCCGCCTGGGGTCCCGACTTTGGCGATGAAGGAACAACCGGAGAGTCAATGGCTGAGGAGGCCCCCACTCCAGGCTCAAAGTCCACCATGCTCGCATCACTGTCCTGGCGTCTTCTCTTGCGAGAGTTCTTCGACCCTCCCACAGCTTCTAGGTAGCCACTAGAAGTGAGGACTATGGAGCCTTCACTTGTTTTGCGCACCAGTGCCGTCAGAGTAGAGACTACTTCCAATTTCACGCTCTCCTCTCGCTCTTTGCTGATACGGGTGATCAAGGCTGGCGCAACCTGCTGGTAGAGAGTGGCATCCTCCAGGCCACTGTTGCGACCAAAAGTTGAAATGAGGCTGTAGAGAAGCTTGGCTGCGCATCGGCGGACCTTCCAGCTCATGTCATCTACATCACTGTATCCACCTTCCTCCTCAAAATCCCCAAACTCGTCATCATCCATGTCTGGCTCCTCGGTCGCGTCGTCCTCACTGCCATCATCTTGCGTGCCACCCATCTCTTCATCGTCCTCCATTTCGGCGACATTGGGGTCGTATTTTAGGAATCGCAGGGCGGCTCGGGTGGTGTTCGTGAGGTAAGGTTGCATCTGCTGGTTGCAAGAGCTGATCAGAGCCTCCAGGGTGACAAGGGCGGTCTCCCGGAGCTCATCGGCCTGGGGATCGTGATCTTCATCATCAAGGGAGTACGTAGACATCTTGTTTAGACGCTTCCGCCAAAAAGCCAATCTGTCGATCACAGAAGGGAGTCGTATCGACATTGTTGGAGCTTGCCTCCACCCCGCGCTAACCCGGAATTAAGTGGGGCCGCTCCGAGCTCCAGAGGCCAAGAGCCTCGTTCACTGTAGAAAGTCGAATAGATCGAGTGACGGTTGACTTTTTTGTTTAGCGGCCAGGAGTGCTTGGAGTCCACCTTTCTTGCGGGTTTTAGCTCGCTTTTTGCTGCTGACGTTCTCGGCTGTTTTAGGTGGATCAGACAGTGCTGATAATTCGGATGCTGAAGATTCTGCTGGGATTGATGTTGATGGAATTGGAGAAGTTGTAGCAGTTGCAGGAACTGAAGGACGAGCAGAAGGTTTAGAGGGTTTAGATAGTGACTTTTGACGTGAAAGTACTGTTCGTTGCCTACAGCGCAAACACTTGTACACCGTGGCACTCCCCATGAAACTGGCTTTCTTCTTTCCCTTTTCTTGGACTCGAGTGACTTGAGTGGTTTTTGGAGATTTTCTCAAGCTACCACAGGCACAATGATGCTTTTTTTGGTGGGTATTGAGTGGTTTCAACTCCTCATGAAGCATCCGGGTATGAACACCTAAGAGATGCGCTGACGTGGATGGGCTACGTGTGGCCAACCACTCAGCTGCTTCACTTAGAAAGTGTAACTGGGGAACTTCCATAGGGGCCATAGTCAAGTAATTACTCCGAATAGATACTGGAAATGGAAGCAAACCAAATCCCTCGAAGGTGGAGGTTGAAGTGAATGAAAAAAAAATTCGACGAATTAGGAGCGTTCGTCCCTTTCCCGATTAAGCCTAATCCAATTCACTTTCACGTACAGTCACTGTCAACTCCCCGAGGCCGATCTATAGGTTTCCTCCATATTCTTGCTTCCCGTCTTCTCTCCTCTCCTTCCATACCATTGTCTCCAGTTTCATATTTCGCCATGCACTTTAGTTGGATTTGAACTTAACACTGCTGCCTCTGCTCTGCTGCTAAGCCATCAGCACTCCAGAGCGTCTTCGATCTACACTCATCCTTTTCATCCTATTCCCCTTCAATCCCCTTGACATTTCTTCTGAGCCCGCTTCACCATGTCTTCTCCCATCCGTATCGCCTCTGTTGGCTGTGTAAGTCCCCCTTTCTCGATTCAGTCATGCCATATGAGCTGGCAATTATCATGCTTCCAAGACTGACTCAATGACACAGGGCCACGGCGCACTGAATGAGATATATCATAATCTCTCAGTTGAAATGGCCAAGCGCTCTTGGGATTCCGTGGACTGTGTCATAATTGGCGGTGACTTCCAGGTAAGATTTCGTCCTATTTTTTCTCTTGAAGACATACTGATGAAACTCCAGTCACTACGGAACAGTAATGATGCCACTTGCATTTCAGTTCCACCAAAGTACAAGTCAATGGGAGACTTCCATGAGTACTACTCGGGACAGCGCGTTGCGCCTGTCTTGACCATTTTCTGTGGCGGTAACCACGAGGCTGGCAACTACTTGTTCGAGCTTTACTACGGCGGCTGGGTTGCCCCCAATATTTACTATCTCGGCGCTGCCAATGTCCTCCGCCTCGGTCCTCTCCGTATTTCTGGTATGTCGGGAATTTGGAAGGGCTACGACTATGGCAAGTCGCATTATGAGCGCTTGCCTTATAACGACGAGGACGTTCAGAGTATTTATCATACCCGCGAAATCGATATTCGCAAACTGCTCCAAGTACGTACCCAGGTTGACATCGGTTTGTCTCATGACTGGCCCCGTGCTATCGAGAAGTCGGGAGACTCCGCGGCCCTTTTCCAGAAGAAAAAACATCTGCGTGACGATTCTATTCACGGTCGCCTCGGCAGCAAAGCTGCTCGCGATGTCCTAGATCGACTTCGCCCAGCCTACTGGTTCTCGGCTCACCTCCACGCGCGTTTCGCTCTTACCATGGGTCATGATGGTACTGCTATCCAGAAGACCGAGCCTTCATGTGACGAGCCCCTCGAATGGCGTTACGCTGGTGTTGCTGCACCCGTCACTCCTGTCAAGGTCAAGCCCAGCCCCAATAAGCAGCCCAGTCCAGCCCCGGTGGTTGGCAATCCTGCAGACAGTGTTCAATCTCATCTGGCAGCATGGCAGACCTCTGGGGCAAAGGACGCGGCTGAGGAACTCCAGGTTCAGAATGACGACGAGATCGCCTTAGACAGTGGCTCCTCGGCCACTGGCTCGCCACCTGCCAAGCGAGCCGTGCCTGCAGCGTTGGACAGTATCTGCGAAAGCAAGACTATCATGAAGGATACAATCCCAGAAAGCATCCGCAACAAGCTGCCTACAAGCCTCGCAGCCCCGGTCGATTCGATCCCGGAGGCGATCCGCAGTAAACTACCAGCCAGCCTCACTCAGCCACCTCGGCGGCCAGAGACCCCGAAGATGAGCCACCCAGAGGCCATCAAAAACCGGGTCACCAAGTTCCTGGCTCTTGACAAGCCAGGTGGCCATGGTCCTTATCTCGAGCTAGTCGAGGTGAAACCTATCTCTGACCAAACGAACACCAACTTTGAGCGCCCCTTCCGCCTTCAGTACGACAAAGAATGGCTGGCAATTACACGTGCCTTTGCCCAGGATCTCCAACTCGGGGAGTTCAGAGCAAATGTTCCCGCTAATCTGGGCGAAGCAGGATATCTCCCGTCAATCCTGGAGGCAGAAGCATGGGTTGAGAAGAACGTCGTGGAGCAAGGGAAGTTGGATGTCCCATACAACTTTGTCCGCATCGCTCCGGTATTCGACCCATCCGTGCCGGTCACCACTATCGATGCCCCGCCTGAATACCCCAATCCGCAGACAGCGGAGTTCTGTAAACTCGTGGGCATCGAGAACAAGTTCGCCCTTTCGGACGAGGAATTGGCGACTCGCCTGGCCCAAGGGCCCCGCCCTAACTCCCGTTCGAATTTCGACCCGAGCCACCGTCGGGGCGCTCGAGGTCGTCGTCAGGCGCGTGGTGGTCCGCGTGGTGGTCCGCGCGGTGGTGGTCAGAGATTTGGCTGAGGGTGCCGGCGTGAGTGGTCAGAGGACTTGCTGACGGGGGCGGAAGTGAGTGATCACTGAAGAAGAGGGGGTGATTGATCAACGATAAATATAGGAGATGAGTGATCAAGTAATCTGGCTAGGAGTGGAGCCGTGTCTCTGTGGTGATGTTGGTTCAAGGTTCACCGATGGCGGTTAGGCCTCCTGGAGAGTTTATACAATGTATCAATGGAAAAAAGCAGAAGAGGGGGGGAGAGAGAGAATGAGCATTAGGCAGGATCTCAAAATCCATTGTTTCTGGAATGCTTAAAAATCTCTGAGTATTGTAGTCATCTATTCACTTAATTCTCATTTGCTAGTCATATCAAAACTAAATCTCACAAGATGAGCAAAAGTAAACGAAAAGCGGTTCATATCTCATCAGAATCCCAAGGAATCACTCAATCTCTTCAATCCTCGGCCTCGAAGACTCACCCCGTCCAGCCATGGGATCAACATCCAACCCAGCAATCCGATCATCCAATTCCGTCTTAATCTCCGGCATACTCCCAGAACCAATCCCCCACAGCAAAGACTTCTCCAGCCACGCCTCAAGACTCTCAATCAGGGCACGCAAATGTCCCCGCACAATGACATCTTCCTCTCGACTCTCAACGAATCCAAGGGTACGTAACATAGACGGAATATTACCAATGGTAGACGGACCCCGACTCTGTGTCTCCGCATGCGCATACCCATCGTCCATAAACGAGAATCCGAAACCAACGTCCCTGCCTTTCCGATTTTCGCGCGCTGTATCAAGCGCTTTTAAGATATCAAGAATGAGCACCACGCTCGCACGCCGCAAGATGGCACTTTCGGGCGCCGGCTCCAGTGTCAGTGTAGCCAGCGCAAGGTCCACGGCTGATCCTACGACCACAGGTCCCAGTCCCAGGATATTGCTTTGAATTGCCGAGGCGAGAATAGATACTGCTGATGCGCGGATACGGAGATCTTCTGGTTCAGAGTCGCTTGGTGCACCAGCTGCCCATGCCGCGACAATATTTGCCGCGTGGGCTAATTCTTCTGGGGATTCGTCGTCATCAGGCTCTGGGCCCAGTTCTTTTAAAGTGGTAGGTCCGACTGAAACTTTCCATCCTTCTGGCATAGTATATTCTTTTTGTTTTCTCTCTTCCCGTTCTTTTTGTCGGCGCTCTTTTTCCTCCTGCTTTTTGCGGTCTTGTTGAGCTTGAGGCTTGTTGCCTCGGCGTCCTGCCACGCTGACCATGCTTTCTCCAAGAAGTTTGGCTGTTTCTCCTGTCAGGGCTGTGCCCAGGTCTTGAACTGTTCGGAGGAGGGATTCGCCAAGTTTGAGGCGTTGGTCCAATGTTCGTTGCTCGTTTTTGTCTGCGTAGCTGTCTACCAGTGTTTTTACTACGGTACGTGGGTGTCGGGACGCGAGTGTACCGATTAGTTTGATGGCGTTAAGGTAGATAAACTCTTCGTTTGCGGTTGATTCGGAGATGTCGGTTATAATTGAAAGGAGGAGAGTAAGGGTCGACGGGATGTCGAGGACAGGTGAGGATTTCATGATCAGTTTTGAGAGTAAGGAGAACCCTTCGGCTTGCACTGGAGGTAGGTCTGAGTTGAGGTTTGAAAGTGCTTGACGGTGCGTTTCGAGATCAGCAATGTGTGGCGGTGGTGCTTTGGTGTCGGCAAGTTCTGGGGTGGTGAGCTGGATTTCAAGGAGCATTGATGAAGTTGTTGCCGGTTTGGAGAGGCTGTTACGAAGAAAAGGAATCAATTCGTCCAGGCGTTCTTTGATTGACTCCAGTAGTGACTTGATGTCTGGAGACATGGAGAACTCCGCCGATGCTAGAACGGTGGACAGCAAGCTAAATGCGGTAGATAATGACTCGGAAGTGTCCTCGTCGGATACTTCGTCATTTGTGCCTTCTGGGGATACAATGTTGGCAAGTGACGATAGCGATGGTTTTTCGGCCCTTTGGCCTCTCTGATTCTTCGAATTGGAACCCAACTGATATAATTCTCCTTCAATGACTTGTTTGATAAGCTCCAACACACGAAGAGGACGTCGAGACAATGTGTCCTTGAATGTATCCAATAGCTTCTCGGCAACCTTGGCGCTGACAAGCTTCTGAAAGATATTTTCTGAGTCTCCAATTTTCTGGTGCCCCTCTGTATCAGAGTGTACGAGCCATGTCTGGCTCGCATAAAGAAATATGTCACCGGTCAACTCTTCGCTACGCGGATCTGAACTTAGCAAGCGAGCGAACAGTTCTGTCCGGGTTTGAAGTGAATCAATCAATTTGATCATATTCGACTCTGCGGAAGCCTGGTTGTTTCGTTTGATCAAGTTGATTCCGCCCTGAGAACTGGGACTGTATGTCCAAGTTGAGCCACCATCCCACAGTAGATTATCAACAAGCTTCTTAAGTGGCGGCAACCCCACTGATATGCTGAAGTAAGTTTGGAGCAGTTCCATGATCTTATCATGGAAAGCTTTCAGTTCATGCTCTTGGGAATAGCAGATTAAACCCCAGAGTGGAAGAAGAATCGGGTACACAATCCTTTTTACCAACCCTGGATTTGGGTGTTGGAGAGCAAGCTTCCTCAGTCTGTCGAGCGCTTTATCGACCAATGTATCATCCACAATGACGTTTGATATTCTGCTCTGCGCAGGCTCCGATGACTCCACTCGCGTCATCCATTGAGTTGATGAATCATTCAATTCAGCTGTAAGCACGCGGAAAAGCGGTTCAATAAAGATTGAGTGGCCAATGGTTCCAGGGGCACCAAAAGCCCGCTTTCCCAGGATCCCATTTCCAATCGTGTATGAGACGGCCTTTTCAAGATCGGGGTCGTCCCCATCAAGTAGTGTCAAAAGTTGAGGAGCAATGGTTGTGAAGTATACCACTGGATCAACCCCTTGTGGAACGGATGAAAGGAGCTTCGAAATCTGCATTATGGCTTGAATCGTAAAATGAGGGCCGTTTGACGGCCCGCTTTGAGCCTCTTGTCCAAGTGATGGGGCGAATTGTGAGGCGATGAACATGATTGTTTGCAGCACGCCCCCAGGACGAAGCGGAACCTGAGATATTTGACTTGAAACTTTTGACTTAAACCATGCCGCAGTATCTGCCTGGAGAAACGCAGACAGAGTGGGTAGCAAGACTGCACTGGGGGTTCTGTATTTTTTGTTAGTATATGCATCTGAGTGACTCGTGTCGCGAGATGGCATACTCATCGATTAACCTGGCAAACTGTTCTTGAATATTTGATCCATCCCCACGACTGCTACAGTTTGGGTTGAAGGCAAGGTCAGCTGTGCCACTGATAATATCGCTTAGGATGCGACCTCGGATGATGGGCTGGATGCTTGATCTCGTGTCCATAAGAATAGTAAGAAGAACCTCCATCACGTGGCGGAGAAGAGATAAATTGTGAGGTGTGCTGCTTGTGGAGACATGTGCCTGCTTTGCAATGACACCCGCTGGCAGGACAGAAATCACTCGCTGCTGTAGAGGAATTCCAACACCAGATGAGAGTGACGGGTAAATCCCTTCAAGAGAAATCAGGTCCAACAGCGCATGAAGCATTCGGCGACGCTTTGCATCTTCAAGAGCCACATCTTCACCTTCCGTGGCTAAATGCTGAGATTGCTCTAAATCAGGCGTGATAAAGGCTGTGTGTATCCGGCTCAGTATTTGCAGTGCCTTGTCGACAACAGTGGTCCTTATCTCATCACCGCTGGATGAGGAATCACTATTCCGGCTTAAGGTTTCCAGTAGTGATTTCCCTTGAGTCTTCTCAATTTCCGCTTTGCAACAGTTAGCTGTATATCGAATCACAAGACGAATGGAATTCCCATGCCTCTATTGAGTACTGGACTTAGAAAGTCATTGGCATCTTTGAACGCGTCCCGAACTTCCATGGGCTCTCCCATTGTGTGAAAGTGCAGATTAGCTCAGGAGATATGTCATCATTCAAATGTTGGTCTCGAGAGTCGATATCAGAATGAGCTTTGGTGTGCTATGGAAGGACCGAAAGCTCCAGTCTTGGCGTCGAAATGGCTTGGTCAGCACCACGCTGCAGGTTTGATTGATTATGTAATCTATGCAATCCTAGTCAACTATATTGACTAGTCTTCAGGTCGATTGAGTTGTTTTCCAGAATTTAGAAGACGATGCCCTAATTGAAACTACTATTCAAAGATTTTGTTGAACGCTGCAAGCGACCATATAAAGTATTCGGAGGCAGCATGAAGTGGGCTAAGCCAGAACGCATGGTGGTCGTGAATATTGCGAATCAAACTGGCACAATTCAACAAAAGCTCTGCCTTTACGTTACCGGTAATCTCGACAGACTGCTGTTTTTTTTAACTCGTTTAGACTTCAGAGTTAGCAACGCAATGCTGAGGCTTCATCAATATGTATGTTTGTATAGAGTGGATAAATGTATAATATTAGTCAGCTGCATGTTGCCCCTCGCTGCATAACTAATCAGTGCCCCGCCATGGCAGAACGTTAAGGAAGATTCCGCGGCGGGACGGGCAGCGGAGTTTTTTTTTTTTTTTTTTTTTTTCTCTGTCTTGCCGTATTTTGATTATCGCATCGCATTCCTTTTCGTTCCACATATTACTTGTGAACTCCCTTTCTTTGAGTTCGCCGCCCTATTCCACGATGTTGAACGACGAAATCACGGCGCCCGAGTCGCAGTTCCAGGACCTCAATGAGGTCGTCGACAGAAATGACGACACTGGTGTTATGCAGGTGGAGAGTCTGTGTATGAACTGCCATGATAATGTGCGTTTCTCCGTTGGATGCTTTTCCTAGTCTCGAAATCGTTTATCGGGTATTAAATATTCTTTTTCTTGCAGGGCATGACAAGACTTCTGCTATTGCGTGTGCCTTACTTCCGAGATATCATCCTTGAGTCATTTGAGTGTGAGCACTGTCATTTCAAAGACAACTCTGTCAAGTCGTATGTTTTGGATCTCAGCGAAATCCGTGGATATATGCGATGCTGACTTTATGTCTGAAAGTGCCGGTCAGATTCAGGAACAGGGCTGCAAATACACCCTCAACGTCGAGAACGAAGATGACCTACAGCGCCAGGTCATCCGCAGTGATGTCTCCATCTTTAAGGTCGAATCGCTCGGTATTGAGATGCCCAAGGGCGAAAGTCAATTGACCAACATCGAAGGTGTCATTCAGCGCATTCACGAATCGCTGAGTGGTGAGCAGGATCTGCGCAAAGAACAGGCACCAGAACTCTACGCCGCCCTCGAGCCCATCATCGAAAAGCTGAAGGATATCTTGGAGCGCAAGGGCTTCCCGTTCACTGTCTCTTTGGATGATCTTACTGGTAACTCTTGGATTGCGCCTAATACCACCGATCGTGGCACCAAATACCGTCGCCAGGAATACCCTCGCACCCACGAACAGAACGAGGAGCTTGGAATTTCTTCGGACCCCAATGCCTCGCAGGATCAGGAGGAGACAAAGGGTGCCAATGATATGGGTAACCCTGAAGACTTGGATATTGTCGATGGCGAGGTCTATGATCTCCCCACCGAGTGCCCTGGATGCACCAGCCAAGGTGCATCCACCCGCATTAAGCGCGTTAACATTCCCCACTTCAAGGAGGTCTACGTCTTTGGAACTAGTTGCCCGGAGTGTGGCTACAAGAGTTCTGATGTGCGTACCGGTGGTGAAATCCCCGCAAAGGGCAAGCGGATTACTTTGCGAATTGAGAACGAGGTCGACCTCTCCCGTGATATCCTCAAGTCCAACACATGTGCCTTGAAGAGTGAGGACCTCGAAATTGAGGTTCAGCCTGGCACTCTTGGTGGACGTTTCACCAGTGTTGAGGGCCTTTTGACCGAAATTAAGGACCAGCTTTACGGCCACATCTTTGATGCCGAGGGCGTTTCCGGTGGTGATAGCATGGAGAACACAGAAAAGGGCAAGTGGGAAAGGTTCTTCGCCAACCTGGACGCAGCTATTGCCGGAGAGAAGAAGTTCAGCATCACCCTTGAGGACCCCATGGCCAATAGTTATGTCCAAGACTTGTGCTCCCCTGCTGTGGACCCGCAGATCACCATTGAGGAGTATGAGCGGACTGCTGAAGAAGAGGACGATCTTGGTCTCACTGACATGAAGACCGAGGGCTACGAAGAAGACGCCAAGAAGAACGAGGATAAGAAGGATGAGGATAAGCCCGAGGATCAAGAGAAAGCAAGCGCTGCCATGGACAACTTGCTTGAGGCTTCCATGGGCAAATGATTCACATGCTAGTTGCTCGGCTACGATTTGTTATGTCCATTTTCATGATATGAGACGCTTCCTGGTTCTTGGTTTATATTATGGCGTCTGTGATATGTACATTTGTTTTCACTCTTAGATATCCGGTGGTGATGGGGTTGTTGAGAAAAGAAAAGTTCTTGTGCCTATTATACGATTCGATCTGTTGGCCTTTTACGAGGGTTGTAGAAGTATAGTAAAGTCATTGTAATCTGGAATGAGGTCTTATTGGTAGTTTGGGGAATCAATTTATCACCATATATGTACACGCAATATTCATGCGAACGCAGTCAAGTGGAGTTGCTATCTCCCTTTTGCTTTGCAATGTATCCAGGATCTACAGTACCAGGAGACTGACACCCGACTGACCGTCATAGTGAACACATTAATGGAACCAAACCACACTTTAGGTAATTTCCTTTCTGGGCCATTGATTGAAACATCGGATTGGGTAGGTCTCAAGCTCGTTCCATATGTGGTGCTGACAGGGCCGTGGATACCGAGAATCAATGTCTTGTGGATATCGCAAGTGACCCGCACTTAATGCCAGCAGGCTGTTTCATGTCCTGAAAGACAGTAAAAGTAGCGCCTGGCAATCCGCAGCCGCGCTGATCGATGCCATCGGTGTCAAATCAGGCCATATTATCAAACTTATTTGGACTATGCATATGTTGGAGCATTCACTTCGCAAAAGGGTTGGCATGGATAGTAACACGTTCAATGCGAAGCGCGTCAAAGTCGTCACTTTCCTTCGGCTGAGAAACCTTGCCCTTCTTGTCGATCTTCGCATTGGCCTTCTCCAGTTTCGAAAGAACATCACCACCCTCATCCTGTGGACTTAGGTTCAACACTTTTCCAAAGACAGTACTAGCACCGTCGAGATGCGGCGCAGGCGCAAAAGTAATGAAGAATTGACTTCCGTTTATAGTTGCACCAGTCGCATTCTGAGAGCCAGGTGCTGTTCTATCCTTGACAGGGCGGGATGCCATAGAGAGGATACCGCGGGCATTGTGACGAATTGATGGAAGATGAATTTCTTGATTCATCGCAGAAGGATGGTAGATTGATGTGCCGCCTTTTGGGATCTCAAATGGTAGGGTCGGTTTTGTGGAAGTTGAGGGCTTAGCGACTGGTCCAAGGGAGATGTCACCGCCTTGGATCATGAAACCTGGAATGAGGCGGTGAAATGGGGTATCATTATAGGCGCCGCAAGCACAAAGGGCGAGGAAGTTTTCTGTAGTTTGGGGGACTGCTTCACAGAAGAGCTCGACCTTGAGGTCGCCCTGAGTGGTATGGAGCTGGAGAGCCAATTATTAGCACTCTAGATTGGTAACAAGCGATAGAGAAGATTATGATGTGTTTGATGCTTACCGTGACAGACATTTGAATGTGAGATTCCCTTCTTGTTCACTATGCGCGGTGACACCAAGAAAGCAGAAGCTGATGCGGGCGATGAGCGCGACCTCGTTATAGCGCTTAGTCATACACATGGAAATGCGGCCAGGGCTCGATCTCCGCCGATTATTGTTTACAGCTTCAACGTCCTCGTTCCTGACTGAATTCACATTATCTTCACTCTTCTGCAAGATCCAGTACTAATTCAAGAACCCCTGGATACCATATATCAAAATTTGGCATTCCTATCAAACACCGCCGCTTCTTCGACAACGTCGGCCGCCCTGGTCTGAAGCAAATCACCAACCATGAACCACCGCCCAGTAGAGCAAGCTCTAGGAAACTTGGTCCCGACACATGCCAGTGACTTACCACAAGACCTTGTTAGCTTGGCTTCTAGTCTTGTTGCTCAATCCCGGAGCTTCTCTAGTAGCCTGAAGCCCGAGGAAGAAATCGCCCGGCCTTATGCCTGCGCAGAGATCGCCTGCAGGAGGTATGCGCTCGACGGACTTTGCTGCCAATAGAATTAATTCCAATCAGGCTCATTTCACTGACACCTTTCAATTGGCAGGCTCACACGAGCGTTGAAACTTCCTCCTTTGCTCGGCCACCCGCCCTGCCCTCCGCGCGTCTACAAGAAGCTCTATTCATTCCTAGATCGGTCCCTTTCCTCTAGCACCGTCGGCATCAAGCGATCAGCAAGCGGATCTGTCGCCGGCACACCATCCCGTTCTAATTCCACTCAGACGACCCCTACCAAAGCTACAGTTGGAGGGCGAACCCCTTCAAAGGCAGCTCCCACACCCCGGGGCTTACAAAACACACCCTCCAAATCGACACCTTTGAAGAGAAGTGTTAGTGTTGCCAAGCTTGGCACGCCATCCAAGTCCGTACGAAAGCCCATAGCCCGCCCCAATGGCATTTCCGCCTCTACTGTCATCCCGGATGCCCCAGCATGGGCGATGACAGCGATCCGGACAGTATGCAAGACACTTTCGACCCCAGCGCCACGAACGACTACCTGGTCGCGGCCTCCGATCTCGAGAACCCTTCCACCTCATATTTTTGCCGGTGTCTCGTCCATTCTCTATTTGACATCCAGCATGTCCAGTAACGAAGAGGGGATTGATGAAGAGACCCTCGATTTCCTGGAGCCCATTGTGTCGATTACGAATGCAAACAACGATGACGATTTCAAGGAGCTTGTATACGCCATGGTCGTTTCAGTATACTTCCTTGTTTTGGCTCGTCGACGAAACCCAGCTGCATCAGCAGATGGTGAAATAGCGAGCGAGGGCCAGAAAATGGACAAGAAGACTTTCACCGAGATGCGCCAGACGGCTCTGACTAGTCTTGGCCTCCCTAATGACAGGCGCCACCGCGATGATGTCGATCATTGGATCGGATTGATCATGGAGCAAGGCTGGGCTAATGGTCAGGAATGGTTTGAGAACATTCCACTTGCGGGAGAGTTGGACGGCGAGGATGAGGATGGGAATTCTTTCCGCAATCTTGATGAAGAGGATGCGGCTTTCCGAGGTGTGAAGCTACCTAAGCGGAACGATGAGACTCGCGGGTCCAAGAAGGGATCTCGGCTCAATGATGCCACTCACGGTGGTCTCCTACCAGGCCTGGGAACCATGATGCAGGATCGCGTCGATTGGCTCAGTGAGGACCGCCGCGAAGACTTTATCGACTGGAAAGCCGAGATTCTCGGCCGTATTGAGGGTGGACAGAGCAGGGCGGAACTTGCGGCTGTCTGAGCTTTGTCTGTTTGTAGGATGAGCAAGTAGGACTAGTACTGATACCCTTATGACGATATGAGTAATAATTATGCACTCTATACCTTGATATACTATCAATGGATGATCTATGTACGTGCATTCGCCAAATATGCCAACCATCCAAATCTATCTGCTTCCAACCCAAATACCGGGCTACCAGAGCCATATTCAATCGACTCATCAACATGAATGCCAATCCACAAATGATGCCCAAAAGATACCATTGACGCCATGAGAAAATACGCCTTAGTACCAAATGCTCCGTGTCCGATGGTGGGGAATACCCTCGTTGTGCTCCGCTTCCAAAGTCTTCATTGTATCGTATAGAAAGAAATCAATGAGGATCGCATTGATCCCGTAGGTTTTGTGTGGCTTCTCAGCGTTTTCAGTGGGCTCTTCAGAGTCTTCATTCTCAATGTCGCCAGTCTTAACAGACTTGCCAGCGGTCTTGACCTCCGGGTGCCGCTTCTCAATCTCACGCTTAATCAGCTCCACACACCAAATACTGGTTCCACGAAGCTCGACTTCCCAAGTCGAGCCTGGCGTCAACGGCTTTAGACTACGGATATGGTTTTCCAGTGGGGGAGAGTAGCGGAGACACCCAAGTTGGTGTAGCATCTGTGGGATACGATAGTCTGTACGATGTCATTAGCGATTGAATGAGATGGTTGTAGAGATAACATTTGTACCTGCAAACATTGTAATCTTGTCAATGTCATGGAACTCTCCAAAGTCCTCGCCATTGAAGCAGGCCCAAAGATCCGCGACCAGGATCTGGGCTCGCTTATACAGTCGCACCCGTTTGCCGTGGAAGACTGTCTCATCGCGGAAACAGTCGAAGCTCTCCGTGAGCAAGTTGACAAGGCCTGCGGCAGAGAAGTTGGCACTATCAATGCAGTTTGCAAAGCTGCCTCCAAATTCCTGGTATCCATCTCAATTAGAGCTTGTAAAATGTGGAACGAGTAAGAAGACATACGTTACACAGGACTTCACCAGCCTCGCGCAAGCATTGTACTCGCTCGTGGAATAGAGGGATCTCCTCGTCTGTAGCAGACCGGAAGACATGTCGAAGGATCTCCTCTGTACATTCTAACTCGTTCACCCAGAAATCGGGGGTGGTGATAGGAATGCCTGTGGATTTTATGGTCAGCCTCTCTTCTTACAACAAGGGTGAGGGGTGTATGCGGGGCTCATACCTTCATCGATGGCTCTTTGAAGAGCCGCAACCAAACTCCAATATCCAGTCCACTTCTGCCCACGATACTCGATCGCAAAGCGCTCCTCATCTTTGTGCTCTGACCAAAAACTGAAATTCAACAGATCCATCGTGAAGATGAAATCCACAGTACTCTCATCTTTAGTCTGCGGATGAAGCTCGTGCTCTGACCAGGTCTGGGTACAGTATTCTTTCTTCTGCATCATACGCCATATTGTCTCGGCCGCATCTTTGGTGTGGGTCAAGCTGAGGGCGACATCAATGGCATTGTCAAAGACATACTGAGCATTCTCCAACACTTTTGTCTCTGGCGGAGCACCTTTATTTGACTTACCGCTCAGCCCGTAATGCTGGCGAAGCAGCTCCACCAGTTCAGGATCCGCTTCGTCCTCGGACCCTGAATCGATCGGCTGAGTTCTGGGTTGAATTGGTTCCAGCGAAGGCATTCTGGTTGTTTTTGCGGTGATTTTTATCAGTAAGGTATGACGGATGGACTATCCGGGCGTAATTGTCGGTATCCCCTAGATCTCCTGGGGTGCGACAGGGACCAGATACACAATAGGAAGGGTCAACTGAGGACCAATCTATCCACCCATACAAAGAAACTTGGCCAAATGCTGCGATAGAGACACTAAGATATGCGATATATGGATCCCGATCACTCTGGAATTGCAAAAATGAGGGATGGGAAGGTTCTTTCTTTTCGCCACGGAGAAAATCCATCAATTTTTGGATAGAAACATCTCTTATGTAAGCAGGGGCACGATTGAGGCTGAGGGTGAAGATAACCTCCTGCTCCACGGTGATGTTGCATGCATTCCAAGTTGTTCCTTAAGAAAGCTTATGTTATTTTATTGCCTCGTTTAAGTTGGCCAAACAAAGTACCTCCTTGGCATGAATTGCTCCAATCCTTGAGGCTATAAGGAGTCATTGAGTCGTATTCTTGACTACGGTATATAACCACGGATTTACCCAATTCCCCTCAGGTGTGATTTATCATTCAGCCTGACCAGAGTCGTGTTTGAGTCGGACTCAGGCTGGACAAACCCAACATATCCCAACCTAGCAATCACCTTTCTTTCTTCCAATTGGAAATATCCACTAGAACAAGCGGGGATGCAAAGTCCTGTTCACAGCCGCAACCTTACAGGTTGCCTGGAATGCAAAAGGCAATTGCACAAAGAGATGAACAATTGTAGAAGAGAATGCAGAATATAACAGACATAATTAATCTAGACAATTGCAAATGAGAACAAAAAGAGAGGAAACAAGGGCGGGAGATAAGGATAAAGTGTTTGGGGTGGCTGCGGAGTTAGCGGGCGAAGCTCTGCCATCATCGACAGTCAAGACGTCGTCCCGGCCTCTTCTTCCGGATCTCACACGCCCTGCGTTCTCTCCTTCTCATCCACCCTCTCTACCTCACTTTCTTTTGTTCCCGCGTGATCGATATGTTTTATTTGATCCCCGGCCACTTTTGATCGTATCCAGAGAGAACCTCATACTCAACACTGCGCCCGGGATGGCGGAAAGCTCGATCAAGCGTTCGCTAGGTGTTGACCTCACGCGCACCATTCAAGAGGTAAGGGATCCTTGGGAGGGCAACGAAAGGTTCTAAGAGGACTGAAGTCATTCAACGCGATCACATACTGATGCTATTTTCTTTTACTAGGCGCGCGTGCTGCTGGTTGGCGCCGGCGGCATTGGGTGCGAGCTCCTCAAAAACCTCGTCCTGACAGGCTTCGGTGAAATTCACATCATCGACCTTGACACAATCGACCTGAGCAACCTCAACCGCCAATTCCTTTTCCGACATGAACACATTAAGAAGCCAAAGGCCCTGGTGCGTCGGTCCCTTCGATTCCCCTCCTTGAATAGCTCCTGCGGCGCACAACACGCGCGATGTGCGCATTCACACCAGATTATGTTCTGACAAGGCTCGTTGTCCATTTAGGTTGCGAAGGAGGTTGCGCATAAGTTCCAGCCAAAGGCCAAGCTAGAGGCCTACCATGCCAACGTCATGGACAAGCGGTTCAACGTGGAGTGGTTTCAATCATTTAACCTTGTCTTCAATGCGCTTGACAATCTCGCTGCACGACGCCATGTGAATCACATGTGCCTTGCCGCAGCTGTTCCCTTGATTGAGAGTGGCACCACAGGCTTCAACGGCCAGGTGCAAGTCATTGAGAAGGTAGCTACTAACCAGGAGCAGAAGTTTTGGCTTTAGGGAAGAATATCGCTGACTCAAGCAGGGATTGACTGAGTGCTATGATTGCAACCCCAAAGAGACCCCCAAAGCGCATCCTATCTGCACAATCCGCAGTTCGCCGACTCAACCAATCCATTGCATCGTGTGGGGTAAAAGCTATCTATTGCCGTAAGTTAGCCCGAAGAACTCGTGGATATTCAGTATCTCACCTGTGGATATAGTGAGTTGTTTGGAGATAGTGAGGACAGTCCAGAGGGCCTTGATAATTCAACAACCGCAGACAATGGTTAGTCCAAACCATCATGTCCCTTATGGCCTTCTCTTACTGATGCTAATTGATATTCAGCCGATGAAATCGCAAAATTGAAGCAACAAGCGCAGCAGCTCCAAGAAATCCGCGATTCCATGGGCTCTGAAGAGTTTCCACACAAGGTCTTTGACAAAGTATTCAGGATAGACATTGAGGAACTGCGTGGAATGGAAGGTATGTGGAAAGAGCGCAAAGCACCCGAGGCTCTTGACTGGGACCAGCTCCAGGAGCAGTCCAAGTCCGTCGACCCTACAGTCGTCGACATAGACCAGAGGGAATGGACAGAGCCAGAAGCCTTTTACGTGTTCAAGGATAGGTGAGTTTTGCTCCTAGATAATATGTTTTCTTTGACTAATTTGAGATAGCCTGGACCGCTTGAGCAAGCGCCTTAAAGAGCTCCAGAAGACTGCATCGTCCGAAGGCCCTACTCCAATCATAGAGTTTGACAAAGATGATAATGACACATTGGATTTTGTGACCGCAACGGCTATCCTGCGTGCTGCGATATTCGATATTGAACCTAAATCTAAATTTGATACTAAGCGTGAGTTCAAACCTGCTGATGTATCCGATCTAAGCTTCTAACACGCGTCGCAGAGATGGCTGGCAACATTATCCCCGCCATTGCCACTACAAATGCCATGACCGCTGGGCTCTGTGTGCTCCAGGCTTTCAAAGTACTCCAGGGTGATCTCGCAAATTCAAAGATGGTACTGATTTGCAGCCCCTTTCTGAAGCCTTCAATTCGTTGCTGACGCTGTTATACTTGCAGGTTTTCCTCGAGAGATCTGGAGCCCGCGCTATCAACTCTGATTCTTTGAACCCTCCAAGACCGGATTGCGGCGTTTGTTCAGCGGTGCATGGGCAGGTAATTGTCGACCCTGAACAAGCAACCCTTAACGACATCGTGGAGGGAGTACTTCGATCAGAGTTAGGCTACGGCGAGGAGCTCTCCATTCTCAAAGAGTCGGGTATTATATACGATCCCGATCTTGAAGACAATCTCCCCAAAAAATTGTCGGAGCTCGGAATCACAAAAGACTCGTGGATCACTGTCGTCGATGAGGATGATCAAGATCAAGATCCTCGCGTGAACTTGGAGCTTTTTATCATTGAAAAGTGAGTTACACGTGGAAGAACACTTCAAGGTTTGAAGCTAAGTAAATATAATATAGAACGGAACCAGCCGCTGAAGAGGTCAAGCCCGCCGTGCTGAAAAAGGTCGTGGACATCCCACGTAAACCAAAACAAGCGACACAGCCCGCTTCCGAAGATGCACTGACAAACGGTGCCTCTTCAACTGGCAAGCGAAAGCGGGAAGCTGAAGATGATGACCTGACGAATGGACACGTCGCCAAAAAGGTCGCGGGCGAGTCAACGTCTAATGGAAACAACAGCGAGCCCATCATTATAGAAGACGAAGGTGCTATCTTGATCGACGACTAGAAGATAAGCTATTCGGCTTCACAAAAAGGCCCAGCCCATGCATTTTCTGAAGAAAGAAAATAGAGTTTTGGTGGCACTCAGTTTGAATTTTGGACTTTATTATCCATGTTGTTACACCTGTATTATATCACGCCACAGCAAGTTATGTTTGATTGAGAAAAGATTTAATGATCTCACAATGGTCATCTCTAAACCAGCTCAAAGGCAGACTATATATCGGAGTAAAAACATATTAAGCTGATTTTCCTTGCGATGCGAATTGTTAAAATAGTCTATTTACAGTGAATTCTATTGTACATGGATGGCGCACCGAGACTCAAGACAAGGCTAGCTTACACCTGGACAAGATACCTGGCCCAAAGCAGTATAGTGCAGGCCATAACCTTGAAATTACATCAATTATTTCGCAATTCCCTTAGAAAAAATTCATTAGACTGCACTCAATCCGCCATCGAGGTTGAGCACACAGTTATTGGCATATTCGTTTTGCGCTAGGAAGACAGCCGCATCGGCCACTTCACTCGGTTTGCCGAATCGATGAAGGGGAATGCTATCGTTTAGCCTACCCACTTCCCCGGAAGTGAAATCTAGACATACAGATCAGCGATGTGTACCATGGATAAGAAAAAACTCGTAAAGATGTACCTGCGATCATAGGGGTCTCGATATACCCCGGAAGAATGGCATTGGATCGAATAACAACATCCTTCAATGAGGCCGATGCCTCAACCGCTAGCGACCGGGTCAATCCCAGAAGACCAGCCTTTGATGCAGCATATGGCACAGCGCCCGTTCCTGACTTAAGGGCCAGCAGCGACGAGATGTTGATAATACACCTCGAAGAAGGCTTCTTCTCTCCTTCTGCTGCATTCCGGTTGCGCACACGGCTGCGGATTGCGGCACGCATCAATGCTCGCGAGGTCAGTATGGCACCTTCAAGATTTGTGCGCAGTATCTTCGAGATATCCTCTAGCTCTGACCGCGGGAGGATATTTGTGACAGAGATTCCTGCGGCGTTGACAAGGATATCCACATTAGTCTGTGCTGTTGATTAGCTTCTATATGGACGAGAAAGAATAATTCTCAATATGACGCTTACCATTTGCTTTTCAAGTTCACGCATCCATGTACCGGCTTCTGCGACATCTCCAACGAGTAGTTGCACTTTATCTGAGGAGCGGAGATTCGTGGCTGCTGCTTCTAGACGCTCCCGGGACCTGCCGACGAGAATGATTGAGGATGCTCCTTCTTGAAGAAATCTCTCTGCAATGGCAAAGCCAATACCTGATGTTCCACCTGTTATCATACATGTTCGACCAGAGAGTCGATTTGCAGGCTGGAAAGTAACTGGGGCATCATTGCTGGACTGAGCTGAAGATAGAAATCGGATGCTTCCTTTTGTGCTGGCTGTGCCCGGGATGTGAGGTTTGATATTGTTGATTTGCCTTGTGTAATATGCCAGATTCACAGAGCTTCTTAAACGATTCCAGAGTGTGGTGCTGTTCATCTTGACAAAGTGTATGGGAACACGAACAACCTAATGATAAAAGCAGACGCGCTCATCGTTATCGTCTTATCTGTTATCTGTTATCGTTGGAACGCACGGGCCACTAGACAAATGTATCTGGATTCTCAAGCTCTACCTCCGTCATCTATTTTACATGCGCCTCCCCACCATGGAATCCTCTACTGAACACGAGTATGTGACTCTGGTATCATGCGATGGCTTTGAGTTCATTCTACCCCGCAGCTCCGCTTGCATTTCGGGTACAATCCGGCGCATGTTAGACCCTTCGAGTGTGTCAAGCCATGTCCATGACGCCGAAACACCCGCTAATCTTCCTCTGCGTTATAGGCAAATTCTCAGAGGCTATCACCGGTCGCTGTATACTTGAAAATCTGAGGTTCGTCCGTGATCACATGTCACGCACTCCACCAATAGTTGTTCCATGTCAATAACCACTCTCTCATGCAGCGGGGTCGTCCTTGAGAAAGTCTGCGAATATTTTCTATACAACGAGAAACACAAGGACCAGGCCAATGTGACTGATATGGATATCCCCGCAGAGCTGTGCTTAGAGCTCTTGATGGCAGCCGATTACTTGGACACTTAAGTGACCATATGTTGAGATGTAAGTTGTATTTGCCCTTTCATCCTTACTAAGGTACTAGAACTGACGGAAGGCATTTGACAGTGCTTAGATTTTTTTTGCATTTTACAATGATTTATGAGGCAATGAGAAGAGCGAGACAATAATTCCGGCGATATGCTTCCAAGGAGTTATGGGCCGTATGGGAAACACTGCACCAGGCGTTTTTGGTACAGCATATAAAATTACTGCTCGAACACACATAGTAATTCGAATGATTACTTTTTCTACGAACCTGGCGCGCATGGTTCGATAACACTGAGCCATTCAAGCATCAAAACATTCGAGCCTGCTACGCTCCGTGGCCGAATGGTCTAAAATGGATGGCAGATCAAATACTCCCGCCTTTTTTGCCTTCAGTTTCTTTGTGACTATGGAAACTGGATTTCGATGTATGTGGCTTTGGGATTTGCGGGATACATCTTTTAATGTTCATGAAGCTAGATTTTGATCAGTGTTGATCGATTAATGAAACACAGTTTGATCTGGGCCAACCAAACCTCCGCAGGATTCATACCGATTCTTAGATATATTACTTCAGTGAGCATCATATTATAGCACTTGATGGCTCATATTATCCTTCTCAACTTGTTCATCGACAGCCGAGGTAAGAAAACCTGATGGACGAATTTCATGGCTTGTCCCATCTGCTGACTCATCCGGAGGAGGTGCCCGGCTTGAAGGAAGCGGCGACCCCAACACTTTCTTCCCCTCTTGATCGGTTTGCAGTCAGCAGGAGCTATGCTCGCTATGGTTTTGGATGTGGCATCGAATTCTTCCCATTATTCCGATTCTATCGCACGGCCAACTTGTTGATTGCGAGCGTCGCGTGGGGGTTTCCCCATAGCGTTCCGACTTCCCCGGATCTTGTTGATAGTGATTACTGATAGGGGGGACTCCTTGACACCAGCCCATCATGTCTGGTGCTTTAGGCCCAGCATCGATGCCGAGCACTTCTCCAGCTTCAGTGGCTCAGGCGATCAACTCGACCATTTCCCAGACTACTGGACATACCCTCCTTCCCTCGCCACGCGAACTACTCTCTCTTCCTCTCCGCGCTCTTCATCATGCCGAAACCTTCGCTTTCAGCACGGTTCCACGACACATCGCCCGAATGGCTGGGATTGAGGATATGAGCTTGAACTTGTGGCCAACTGCTGCGCCAGTGGCTGGACAGGGTATTGCAGATGAGGCCATGAACGCTGCCGCGGAGATTGCGGCCGGCGCCCCCGAGGTGGTCGAACAGGTGGAAAATTGGTACCTTGCAGAGGTCACGTCGACGATGCGGAAGGTCGGTGGCTTCTTCGGGTATCTAACAAGCATCTGGTCGTTCGCATGCTTGGTGGAGGTAAGCGCGGCATCTCTACACCTTCACAGGGCTACCACTAAGAACTGCAACAGGCCTTGATCCTGAATAGAATCACGATATACGCATCCACGCGGCGGCACCTTCAACTGGGATGGCAGAGACGTCTCGCATTGCGCATTATTCCTATCGTCCTTTTCCTTTCGCAATTATTGACATTGACACGCGGAATTCGATGCCAAACATCTCCCGACTTTGCGACAATGCGATATGGCAGGCCACGGAAACCATTGGTATTTGACTACGCGACTGGTGGAGGATCTTTGCATTGGTTTGCGTCAAGTCTCTTACCATGGGAATCAGATGAGCAGGCCTGCAGTGCTGTAAGGATGGCACAAACCGCCAACGCTCCGGCTATTCCATATGGATCCTTTGCACTCCTATGGCCAGTTTTTATCGTCTTATGCCTAAGCCACTTTGTGGAAACCCTTTCTTGCGCATTGCAAGGGCGTCCTGTCATGACTGAGACAGGGATGTCGATCTTCGAGCACTCTCTTGCCTTTGCTGAAGCAGAATCTATGATCAGTAAATCTATTGGTCTTGGCATGTTTGGCCTTGCGAAACATAATCCTCTTACTCAAGGCGGCAGTGGAGATAACACGGCATCGCCCCTTCAGCTTCTGTCAAGAGCACAAGTGCTGGAGCGCATGAATGTCACTCCGGAGCTTTTACTTATTGTGTTGATATCTTGCTGCAACAGTCTGACATCGCATATCCTGGAAGTCTTTGGTAAGCAAAGCCGATACCGTCTTGCAAATACTGCCTTTTGGGGGGCTTGCTTCATGGCTGCAATGTGCTGGGGATTGGAGGCGGGTCCTCCAGTAAGTCTCGACACAGGTGTGCTCAAGTTCCCAACGGTCTGCATCGTTGGGTTTATTCCTCATCTGCTCGTTTTATTTGGGGTTATCATATGTGTGGCAATCTACGGGTTGGCCCTGACTATTACCGCTTTCTCGTTGTCTCCTGAAGATAACCACACCCTCTCTCTCCGAGAGAGATTTATGATGGCGAATGAAAACATGCAGGGAGCAACCCAGATTCGTAACATTCGTTTCAACAGGCATGAAGACTTCTACACCACTCTGCTACGTGTTGGCTACGTGGCGTTAACAGCCGCGAGCGAAGCTGTGTTCTTGAACGAAGGCAAGGCAGTGATCGCGAGACAAATGACTTGGCTTGAACAGGACCGTTTGGCTGAGATCGAAGCCTCCCGAAAACGCAATTCTTCAAGTGGGAACTGGGAAAGCCACAACATGGGAACCACGCCTTTTGACCCTGCCAGGTTCGCTAGTTTTGAGTTGCCCGATGATGCTTCAGTCTGGGAAAGCGGATATGGCCGGGAGAAGAAGATCGAGAAGCCTAGAAATGGTTCACGGACGACACAATCTCAAGCTGAACTAGGTGGCGTGGGTGCTGTTCGGTCTTCTGTCCGACTTTGGCATGGTATCTCTTTCTTCCGCGCCATATTCTGGCTTATCGTGCGTTGGATTGCTTGTGCTTTTAGCAGAGTGCTTGACAGGCTCGGTATCCATGCTCGGCCACAATGGTTGAAACGATTGGCCGGATCCCGGAATAAACGAAAGTCTGCGAAAACCCCTTCGTCAGAATTGCTGGACTTTTGGATTCTTACCGATGAAGGAGTGCTTCAGCTTCCTGAGAACCATGATTTCGACGTCGAACTGGAAATGAGAAAGCAGGAGAGTTCTGGAAGACAACACTGGGAACTTCCTGATGAGAGCCGACTGGAGGATAAGATGTATGGCTGGTGGAAGGCTGGTGGATCTTGGGGCAATCAAGATCACACCCCTGATTATAGACCTCCGGTGATCGAGGATGACCTAACAAGTGTCATCTCGTTTTCTACCAATGCCTCAGAGTCCGAATGGGAAGATTACCCATCGGATGGTCGCCGCACCCCCACTCAATCCAACCCAAATCCTGGCTTCTCTCGCGAGACTTCACCGTTGCAAGATTCTCATATGGATTTGGATACATTTGCTCGTCTCCTTGATCCTCGTGACCGAGAGAGCAGAGAGGAAGCCCGTATCCTTGCAGCCCATCTCACTCCTGGACAAGGAAATCGCATTATGACTCGTAGCCAGTATCAGAAGCAGGTAGAACGGGATAGATCTCGGGTCCTGCTTTCTTCCCGTGTACATCATGTCGGCTCCAAGTCGACCATTGAAAGGCGCAAACCAAACCCCGAGGAAGAAACCGAGATGCTTGAACAACTGATCATCTCTCGGCGCTCTGAAACTGCTCCTACCTCTGACGCCCATAGTTGGGAGGAAGGCGCCATGGGCTTGGGCCCTAACGGCCCTCCTTGTGTAGTATGTCAAACGAGCCCTCGGTCCATCATTACCTGGCCATGTCGTTGCCTTTGCATCTGCGAAGACTGCCGGGTTAGCCTAGCAATGAACAATTTCGGTAGCTGTGTTACTTGTCGTCAGGAAGTCGGTGGTTTCATGCGGCTATGGGTTCCGTGATGGTCACGCATCGAGTAATTGCATTCTTCTATTTATTGTTTTATGACTACATTTTGGATTTGGTTGTCTATGCTCCTACTTCAGTTACCTAGAATATAATATTAAGACACATTTACCCATTTCGCACTTGTCAAATCTTGTAAAGAGCATAAGACGAAATGGATTCCATTGTCTTTTAATGAATTTTTTTTCGACTTGAGATGCTGGTGAGTGAAATATAGAGAACAATGTTTGATGACGGTAGGGTCATCTTGAATCATGATCCAAGCTGTTTCATTACACCGGGTATAGCGGAGTGGCTCTTTTAATACTTGGTACTAATACTTGATTTAGAGCAGGCCAATAATTCTGAAGCATTAATCATGATTGACTTAAGTGTTCACCGTAAAGTATACTCGAAACGGAACATAGATGATGACTTAAGGCAGAAAGGCTGGAATATGGGTGTGAACAGGAAGAATAACGAAAACAATAAATCCATGGAGTAGAGATACTCAAGCCTGTGGCTTTACGAGAGGCCTATACACAGCCTCCCACATCTGTGCCCGGATCCATTCTCTAAGCTCAGTATCCTCAGACGGAATCCCTTCTTCCTGTGCAAGATCTTCGCTAACTGAGCATTTGATCACAGCAGCCGCTATATCCACACTTATCTCTCGCACATCTTCTACATCAGGTAAGAGAGGCCGGTTCGGGTCCTCCAATGCCGGAGAGCGTGCCTTAAGTGCTTCCGCTGCTGCAACAAGCATCTTTTTCGAAACAAGTCGGCTGCGTGAAAGAACCGCACCAAGTCCAATACCAGGGAAACAAGTGGAATTGTTGCATTCCGCAATATCATATTTCACGCCACCAAACTCCACTGGTGGGAAAGGGCTGCCTGTTGCAACTAGTGCTCGGCCGTCTGTCCATTCGTAGATGTCCTTTGGCTGGGCTTCGTGAAGGCGAGTCGGGTTGCTCAAAGGAAAGATGATTGGTCGTTCCACGTGCTTGGCCATTTCTCGGATTATTTCTTCCGTAAATGCCTTTGGTTTCGTGGATGTGCCGATCAGTACGTGGGGTTTGACGTTTTGAATAACTGATAGCAGGTCATTATCTTTCCCTTCTGGCCACTCAGTATCCTCTCGGGCAAATGGTGTCTGAGCCGGAGTCAATTTCTCCGCCATGGACTTCAAAAGAAGGCCTGGTTTATCGAGACACCTAAAGAGGTTCGTGTCAGTTCTTCCCAAGCTTCATGCGGAATACTGCACATACCAAATTTGCTTCGAAGCCTCGGTCTTGGGCTTGTGAGTCTCTGTCGCAATGGTATCCGCGATCTGATCTGCGATTCCTGTTCCAGCTGTACCCGAGCCAAATATCACCACGCGGACATCCTCCATCTGGACTTGGCTGACATGTAAAGCCGCCATCATGGCAGCCAGAGTCACACATCCAGTACCTTGAATATCGTCATTGAAGCAGGGAATTTGTGACTGATATTTATCCAGAATTCTTTTCGCATTGGAAAGTCCAAAGTCCTCACTATTTGCTTTCAGCATGGTTCAACCGACGAGAATGAATAAGCATTGAGTTTACTCACAAGTGAATGTAGGCTTTGGGGAAACGCTTCCGAGCACTCTGGACGAAGCGATCCACGAAATCATCATACTCCTTGCCCCGAATTCGGTGCTGACGGAGTCCCAAGTACAACTCATCTTTCAGCAAGCCTTCGTTCTAGAAAAGGCATCAGCAAAGTGTCGATACTCCCATTATATTACCATTTCTTACGTCCGTTCCACAGTCGAGAACCACTGGAAGTTGTCGTGCAGGATGAATACCAGCACAGAGAGTAGTGATCGCAAGTTTGGCCACAGATATGAGAATTCCACCAACACCTTGGTCTCCGATTCCTAGAATCTGCGGCTCTTAGTCCTGGGTGCTCTCAGTGGCAGAAGTCAACAGGCACGTACCTCCTCTCCATCGCTGACGACAATATAATCGATATCCTCCTCATTTCCAAACCGTGATAAGTGGCTGTCAATAGAGTGCTGATTGCGGATGTTGAGGAAGCATCCCTCGGGCTTCCTGAACAGTCGCGAATAGTTTTCGATGGCATCACCCTCAGTGGGAGTGTAGATGATACTAAACATTTCCTTGAGATGGGTTTGCAATAGCTAATCGAGAGTGTCAGTTTTCGCATCTAGAGCAAATGGCCTAGATGGCAGCGCTTTCTCATTGGGGAGTACATACCTTGAAGTACAGCACTTCGTTCTGTGCCTTCATGCTAGCCATGAACGTGTTCTTGGCGAGGTCATCGCCTCGGCTGCTATATTGCTGGTATGCGCGCTGCACTTGCTCATCGAGAGTTTGGACATTGGGCGGTAGTAGTCCATGCAATTTGAAAAGATCCCTCTCTTCGTTGGGAAATGACGTTCCCTTGTTGAAACGCGAGCTTTGTAGCAGCGTGTTGCCCTGCAGAACCATTCAGCATCGTGCCGAGGCATCTCAAGGGTGAGAATTCACTAACCTCGTATGGGCATTGCAGTGGTCGATTAATCGAGCGAGGTAGCCTGCTAAGTCTGCTGGCAGTAGACATGATGTGATCGGTGAGGTTTCTAGGTTGTTGCGTGATGCGCATTAGGGTAGATGCGGGGCAAGTAATTAATCCCCCGCGGTCTGTGTGTTACCAGCTTGATGATTATATCGCTGAGACTGCTGATCTATTATACGATCGCACGGCCTGATACCAAACCGAAGGGGTGAATATAATCTGGTTTCAGTATTTGTGATGTCATGTTCCGGTGGAGTCGTCCGGTTTTCAGAGTTTCCGATCCGATGGTTACCCGTATACCCAAACCTGGAATGTTGCTATTTGCAACCTTTTTTGAGACTAATTAAATTGCTTGTGCAATTGCAAGAAAGCGACACTGTTTTTGCTTCAGATAAAAGCCTTGATACGTACAAAATAGTATCTTGAGGATGGGAGCCAATAAACTGTAAATTTCAATCGCTAACTTTATGCACCGCACTAATGGTCGTTCCAAGGTTGGGCTTAATGGATTATGTTTTCTTACTACAATTCCTTAAAAATCTTTCTGCCATTCTCGCAATTGCAACAACCTAAGTGCAATGTTGCGTGAAACTCGTGACCTTTGCAGGACCTGGCTGTAGGGGATAACGCCTGAGCAGACTGGCTTCGTCGCTGAAGGATTATTGAGTGCCAGTATTCTACAGCAACTGGATTGGCAAGGCGAATTTGGCAGAAGAATATGGAGTACGAACTCTATTGACCAGATATACCATATAATACCCGCCAACCATCTTTTTTTCTGGTACTACCTACCCTCTTTGACAGTGACGAGGTCGCTGGAAAACAAAAATATCATACACTTGCATGTGCCCTGCAGTCCTCATGCACAAGCGGCTCCTCGCATCTCTGCATCCGCCACCGATTCGTCGCCTCTAACGCTCCCGGCAGCCCTTGGAATAACCAACCCCACTTCCTCAGAAATCCTTCCGACATTTCCCACCCCGTAATATCCCAGGGCGGTGACCATGCAATGATGCCGCGTCGCTTGATCTCGTCGTCTGGATAGCCTTCGTATAGCCCGCCAATACAGTCAGCCCACAGCTCGTCCTCATCAAATGTGCCAGCGGCCTGAATCAGGCGGTCTCGTCCCTCAGGACACGGGAACAGGTCAATCCAGTCGCCGTGCGGCACCCTTTGTTGAAGGGCGGTGGGCAGAAGCGCTGAAGGGAGTAGTTCAGGCTTGGTAGGGTAAGGGATGACGTGAATAACTTCTTTATCACAGTCGAGCGGCGTGACGAGGATACCCGAAATTAAGGTGCGGTTGACGGCCAGAGCGCGGAGGGCGTTATATTGGAGGAGCGTAATGAGATGATCCGGACAGAGGGGGAAGAGGATTTGACATTGCTCTTTCTTACGCTGATTGGGTAGCAAGGGATTTCTCGAATTGTATAGTTGTTTGATACGGGATGCTGGGACTATGCAGATTGATTGCTGAGCAATGTCCCAGCATTCCACTGGCTCATCTGATTGAACCAGGGTCCCGGCCGTGCCACTGGGTGCTTCTGCCTTCCTTGCTAGAGCTTTGCGTTTTCCTACCAGAATGTTAGCTTCAATAACTGGGTGCGTTTTGATTGGGCTCATGTTGTATCTTGATTTGGAAGAAAGAGGAAACAAGGCCTTACGGTATGCCCTTGTGCTTAGTCTTGTCTGTGCTCGACGGCGTGCGGCGGCATCCTTGACTCCAGTCCAATCGTCCTGTCTACCTGTCGCCTATACGGTGTGAACAAGTCATTGTCTTTTGGTGGACGTAGCTGGCCTGGTACGTACCTCGGCTAGTTGTGGCATCGGCGCGATTTGGATGCATATTGCAGTTGATTTTGGAGGCTGAAACGTACTAGTCATGATTCTAGCGGGCGATAATATTGCTGTGATTCTGGGATTGCAGAAAAATGATGCAAGTTTCTTCGGGACGGCCAAGACGATTTATGCAGCCTGCTCACAATGACGAGTCTGACACTCGGAAAAGGAGCAATTGATATACATAATTTGCAACTGGGCGCAGGCAATGAGGGGTCTGGATCACGGGATACCATTGGTGGCTAGTACAGTATCTGACTTGAACGGGCTTAGCGTCATGCGACTTGCTCACACTGGCGGGTCCGGGCTCCAGTATAATCGAAATCCTCTGTAATTGATGAACACAACCTTATGATCTACCTAGAGCGGCCAGTTTTGAAAGTTGTTGGAAATTCAGAAGTCAGACGCAGCAGTTGGCTCACTTATTCACCCCACACCTCCCTCCTTGGTTCATAGTCCATGCAGCTTGCTCACAATTCCTGATGCTTGAAATAAAATTCAATGAAAGAGATCATCTTCTAAAATTGGTCATTATCTACAAGAGATATATAAATATCGTAGCAACTCTTCATTTGCGATGCATCTCGTCGTATCATAAAAAGAACAAAACTCGACTCAACACCTTGCATTATTTGCTCCGTAGTATCACACTTTCATCAGCTGTTTTAAGTGCTCACTTTGAACATGGATTTCAATCCCGATACTCTCCCAGACCTCAAGGACAAAGTCTTCATAGTCACAGGGGGGAATTCCGGCATGTAAGTCTGCCCTATACTCTCTTACCTCGAAGTCCAAGTCGCCGATCTGACCAATGCAGAGGCTATTATACCGTAGCTCACCTAGCGGAGCATGGTGCTCATGTTTACCTATGCGCTCGGTCCACTAAGAAGGGCACAGAAGCCATCACCAACATTAAGAGAATGCACCCTTTAGCCAACATCGACCTTCTACAAATGGACCTCATGGACCTTGCCAGCGTCGTTGCGGCGGCTAAGCACTTTCTGGCCATTGAAACAGCCCTTCACGGCCTGGTCAACAACGCAGGCATCATGGCGACGCCCTTCCAAATGACCAAAGATGGTCACGAAGCTCAATGGCAAACCAATTACCTCGCGCACTGGGTTTTGACAGAGCACCTCCTCCCTCAACTGCTGCGGACCGCCAAATCACTTCCTCCCGGCAGCGTGCGAATCGTCAATCTCACCTCGTCAGGTCACCTAGGCGCACCAAAAGGGGGAATAAACTTCAAGGACCTATCGCTCAAGGATAGTAGCCCTTGGCTGCGGTATGGACAAAGCAAACTTGCGAACATTCTGCACATCACAATGCTACACAAAAGATACGGCCCAGGCTCTCTTAGTGCAGGGAACTTTGAGGGCGAGATCTGGGTCTCATCCGTACATCCAGGTCTGGTTGAAACAAACCTTGCGACGACGGTAGGGCAGTCGGGGTCAGGCATGGTGAGCATTTTCTCGGTGCTACGCATGTTCGGATTCATGTGGCCTGCTGATAAAGGGTCGTGGACCAGTTTATTCTGTGTAGCTAGTAAGGATATGAGGGCAGAGCAGAGTGGCGCGTATCTCGAAATCTTCCGGCGGTTTGGTGAGCCAAGGTGGCAGAGCGCTGCGGCAAAGGATGGAAAGCTCGCACAGAGATTAGAGGAGTACACTAGGGAGGCGATGAGTGATGAAGGGTGGACTCTGTAATAGCTTGAAGTAATTTCTAACTGTTTCCATTATATTACTGGGCCCCGGGGAGTTTTTCATTCCCGTCCTTATATGTCCTTCTCCGTCCTCGCACTCTTCCCACTCCGAAAGGAAAATGCGCTAAACCGCCTAGGTCTCATATCTTGTGGCTCAGTCCTTTCTTTACCACGTAAAATGGACGTCCCAAAAACCATGGGATGCTTTGTCTTCTGATATAGCCACCAGCATAACATTACCAGCAATGTCAGAGGAATGGTAATGGCGGCCCAAATAAGCCACACCTTTTCTTGAATCGCTCCTCCGAATACACCAGCACCAACGAGCGTGCCAGCAAACGTACCCGGTAAAAAGACCATAGTCAGAGCGGCAATCGCATTCATAGATGTTGAGTCTTGCTTCATGCTGTGCGAGATTTGAATATTATTCGCCGCATCCTGCTGTGTCACGAGATTGTAGACCAGAGACATCGTGCTGTCTTTGCGTTGCTTGTAGTTCAGAAACCAAATCTTTTGCTTCTCCATTGAGGCGATAACATAGGATATCGAATCCTCCACTCGCTGTAGGATGAAGGGATTGGAACGCGGAAGCGAGGTGATGAGGCGGTAGTGGACATCGCGGATAGCTGTGGCTGTGATTATGGCCACATCCGCATTTGCAATATGCGAGTCTGCATTTTTTGAGATGATCTGGAGTTGTTTAGTAAGCTCCCCGAGCTTTGCTCGATCGCTAGTCTCGAGGCCAGCGAGGTGGTCATCGACTTTGTTGATTTGTGTCCACATGAATCGCTGGAATCTCTTGACGTGGTATTTTGAAGCTTCAAAGGAGAGATTGGATAGAATGACATGTATATCGAAGGGGTCGTCCATAAAGACAGCGGTCTTCTGGGTATCTGAGGCGGTGTTGAGTGCAATATTTAGAAGAGAATGGAGTGTCTTGATGGACGTATCAGACTCCTTGTGTGAAATGATGTACGTTGTCAAGTCGCGTCTAACATCATACCGCATGTAAACTGACGTGGGAGATCCTTGGACGTGGAGATTCCAGCGAGGGTGTTGGCAGAACAAATCTACATCCCAGTCAGTACTTATCTCTAATCTGTGAGGTGTTTTCTGACCGCAAGCCACCAAGCTCCCATTATGGTCTGCTTCCATGTGCTTCTGAGGTGCCCAGTAATCAGGTCTGCCAATCAGGTTGAGGAGAAAGGCTGGGTTGATCTTCAAGGTCTTCATAAGATCATTTGCATTCTCCCGGGTTATCAAAGCCCGCGACCCAAATGAAGTCCCTTCGGCGGGTACCAGAGGCACGAAACTAGACCGATCCGAGTCAGAATTATATCGCAGCTGCAGAGTGCGTAACTCACAAAACTAGCATTTTGCGTCCTTTTGAGGAGTTGGATTGCTGAAGAATGTCAGCGTAAATCCTGAAAATGGCCTCACAAAACACACATACTTGCAGAAGATTGCCCATGTCCTTCTGGTCTAATGTTTGCCAATCTTTCGGAGATTAGAGTCATTCAATTGCGTTCATGAGACGTGTTTACATACCTCCACCTTGTGAGTCGACCTGGAGACATTTTATACGGGTTTCCGAGGAAAAATTACCTCCATTCTGCAGATGGTGGTTGTACTGAACGGCGTCAAAAACCTGTTGAAGAGAGTGGAGATTTCCTAATGGATAGTGGTTGATGTCAACTTCAAAATCAAATTCTAGTTCATTGACGCCGAGATCGGATTTTTGGGCATGTCGGTCGACGTCGTTCTGTGATCTTGAGTTCGGGCGTGGTTCAACGGCAGCATTTACAAGGGAAGCCTCGAGTCGTGAAAACTTGGACAGATCCCCCGTTTCTGCACGACTAAGAGGATCCTGAGACATGGTATCGAATATCCTCTTTGGATCTCGCGAGAAACATGCGCTGTTCCACTATTTCAAGGTTGGCAATGTCTTGCCTAAATATGAGCTTGGGGTTGGATCCAGGTCTGAGTTTGTGTCAGACAGCAAACAGGTTCTTCATAACACTTAATTTTGGATCGAGGTGTAGGAGATGAGATTGAGCATTTCAGTTGGCGTTGTTGCCACCTGCAGCATCCTCCAGGGCTTCGTAAAGGAGCCTCATCCTGGCAGACTGGAGCAAATGAACAATGGAGTCTCGGGTGCTGATCCGTATCCAATACAAGTGGCGGCCATTTTGGCGCGATAACACGAGATGTGGGAAAGTTTGATTTGTTCGTTCGCTATGGCTAGACTAAATGCAGAATTGATAGACAAATCCTGTAAGCACTAGTTGTCCCGGTTTCCAGCAACACGGGTTTTGGCAGCTTTACACCCAGCCAATTGAGTGGCTTCTCCCATGCGTGTGTTAGCCATGTGCGTTAGTATTCGTCAGTCAAGTTAGGAACCGATGCTGGTGGGTTTTGATTGCCCTTCAGCCCCAGGATCAGTGGCCTTTGAGACCAATAAAGAATAAATAAGCTGCGAGATCCGCTCAGAACTGGCTAATCCTCGGACTTCGAGCAAACCATTCTTAAATGTATTTAAAATGTTGTTAAGTGGACCTAATTCCAAGGTTAAGTGGCCCAACCTTAACCTTACGCGGGGCCCGGTCGCGTGATCGTCGCTTATTGTTGAACGCGTCCCGCCAAGTTAGTGATGTAGATCCCTCTTTAGAATCAGACTCGACCACTCAAAACACCTGGAACCAGATTCGTATTTCTTCACTCGGGAGACCGACCAGTCATTCCCATCATGCCAATTGGTCTTCTCAGTCATGCGGAGATATGCGCCAAGTTCGACCGACTGGTGTCTGACGGGATCATCGCTTATCAACCCAGCAAACCGGTTCTTGTTGCCGACAAAGGCATGATCGTTAGTCTCGACCACATGACCCCGACGCCATTTCAAGACTGATCGATCCTAGTTCTGCTTCCACATAGCCCAGACTCTGAAAAATAAGCCACAGGCCGATGACAAGTTCCAAATCCCGAACTCGGGCACGTCGGACCCGCATGCGGGCACTTTTGGCCCCGGCAGCGATTTAGCCAGAGATCACCCTGATATTTGTATCACGATCGTTAATGGAACCCATTATCTCGTGATAAACAAATATCCTGTTTTCCGTCCTATGCTTCTCTTGCTGACTGTGGACTCGTATCGGAGGCAACACGAGTCCCTTGATCTTGAGGACTTGGATGCGGGGTGGCGGATGATCTGTGAAATGGAAGAGGAACATTATCTTTTCTTTAACTGTGGTGTGCTGGCTGGGTCTAGTCGGGCCCATAAACATTTACAGGTGGTTCCTGCGCCCGGGGCTCATGAGGGATATGGCGAGGGTTTCAGGTTCTTCCCGGATTATGATTCGGTGCCGGAAGAAGGCCCACCCGGCTTTGTTCATTTTCTGCAAAGGTTTGGGGACTTACCAGGTGGTTTCGTCAAAGGCAGTGCGCATGTGCTGGAGGTTTATGTGCGGCTGTTACAACGGGCACGAGAATCGCTTCACTTGCCAGAAAGTGACCCATGTCCTCATAATTTCATATTGACCAAGCGATGGATGATGGTTGTTCCTAGACAGGAAAAAGTGTTTCATGGGATAACTGCAAATTCGGCGTCAATGGTTGGCTCCGTCTACGTGGAGAATGAAAAGCAGCTTAATGCATGGAAAGAGGTTGGCCCGATGAACGTTCTAGCCAACCTGGGGCTCCCTAGAGAATAAATAACATATTAGACTCGCATACTGCAAATAATATGGTTGGTCCTGATCAAGCCTCAATCGCACATGTTCGAAATAGAAGACCAGTGGCTCCAAAGGTCTCAGAACTCATTCAATTTTTCAGAAAGGCTAATTAAAGAACCTGTTCAAGAATCCCGATTTCCTTGGTAGATCAGTACCATAGATTGTATCGTAGTTATCAATCTCCTCCTTGAGCCCACCCAGACTCAAATCGGCAGTCTCAGGTCGAACATACTTTGTTCTAAAAACAAGCTTCCAGCCAAGAAATGCAACGATAAAGAACCCGATCATGCCATAGTCCAGGAAAAACCACATCACAGACCAGCCCCCTTCCAAAAAGAGGTCATAGCCTCCTGCCAAGATCATGAATGATGTACCGCCCATAGCTAAATAGGATGTGTATGGTTGGAACCTTCCCTTGTATGGCAGAGTGTCTCGCGAGATTCCTTGTTTTGACAAAGCAGAGAAAAAGTGGCGGTATGTCAGCGCGGTGAAGCCGTAGTTCATCAGTTGGCAACATGTAACCAGGTCAACCAGATAGGTCATGACCTCAGCCGAGGAACTGTTGACCTGCAAGAAAGCAAGGAGGCAGAAAGATAACGTGAAAATGAGGGCGAAGATAGGTACACCTCCTTTGGTACATGTTGAGAAGAACGGAGGTGCATGGCCTGTGAGGGACATCCCATATAGAGTGCGGGTCGATGTGAAAAGAAGACCATTTCCCGCGCTAAAAATGGATGTCATGATGAGAGCGTTCACCAGGTGTGGAAGACCAAAAATTTTGAGACGCTCCATGGAGATAACGTACGGTCTAAAGAATCATTAGAATAAGAAGCCATGAGGTTGGTCCATGGCTGAGCAGAACTCACGATGCGGCACCTGTCCCTGAACCAGACACGTCTCCGCCGAGGATGAGTGCGAGCGTTGGGCCGTTGTATGGAATCACAATTCCCATGCAAAGAGCTGAACCAACAAAGAAGACAAGCATACGCCAGACAACTGATCGAATTGCTGGTGGTAAAACCTTCCGAGGATTTTCAGCTTCGGCAGCCACTATAGATATATACTCCGGGCCACAGATGCTGTTACTGACAACAATAGCACTAATGTAATGATGAACAAACTCACGAGAAGCTGGCTTGGTAGAGACACGATAAAATACCAAGAAACCTGCCCGTTTCCCCAGAGGCAAGATGTTCCACAAATGCACCAGTATCGGAACCCGTAACGGTCATGCAACGGATCTCCCCCAAGCATAGTAACGAAGGCGAAGAAAAATAGTCCAATCATGAGCAGCACTTATAATAGTGACAGATAAAATTCTGGAATGCCGAAATATCGTACACTGATCATGTTAAAGAGTGCGTAAAGAACAATCATCACGACAATGATAGCCTCAACCGGTACCTTGTCTGTCCAGAAGGTAGTCATGACATTCATGGCGACAATTTCGAAAGGTACGAGGAATGCCTCATTCAGAAAAAAGTTCCACGCCATCGCGAAACCCAACGCGTCGTCAACCCACTCACTGCCAAAGCGGACGAAGGGAGATGGAATGGGTAAATATGTCACCATCTCGGCGAAGCATTCATTCACTGCCCACATGATAATTCCCCATATTAGGAAGGCATTGAAGAGACCGGCCGGTCCTCCTTTCGGTAGAGCCTGACCCATCTGGACGAAAAGTGCTGCAGGCCTCGTCAAATCATTGCGCTAAGAAGTCGAAATGGCAATGGAACTTGAAGAACTCCAAATTACAAGTACCAATCGCACCAGCGATGGCAACCATATTTGATAAAAGGTCCTTGCTTGTGAGCGCTTCCCCCCCTCTTAGCAAATGTAAAAAACACGCGTTAAGAACCCTTATCGATTCGTCAACCTAGATTCCCCCTCAACATCTTTGCCATCGCCAAGAATGTTAGCGTAAACAATTCTGGTATCGCGAGTTTGCATACGAATCTTGGTGGACAAAGAGACATTCAGAAAACGGAGGGAAGCGATTAGCCACACAAATTCATGGGGTTTATCTTGACATCGGGCCCTCCGCTATCTTCCAATTGATGCAGCCAAGGGGCTTATCTTGAAACCCTGGAGATCGGCTGGACCGACGAATAGCCATTTGCTAGAATTTCCCCACCCATGCTGCCTCGTCAACAGTCTCACCCACAGTCAACAGCCCGTGGTTCTTCAGCATAACAGCCTTAACATCGTCCAGACTTTGAGCAATTCGCTGCCCTTCAGAAGCCCCATTGGCGATCCTGCTAGTCAGAGTACACAAAACGCGCCTTGAAAAATAGCACACGTCTTGATTGACCACGTTAAGAGGTGTCGCAAATGCAGACCATGCTCTATCATGGACCAAATGACTGTGACATATGAAATGCACTCCCTTCCGTGATCGATGGACTGAGCTGTGGATTTGGAAGCCAGCAGCAGCATTGATCTCGGGAGCCACCAATATTGCCACCAACAACATCGCCATCCAAGCAAGTTCACGCAGATCATGTCGTTGGCCTTCAACAAGCCAAAGTGCATGCCAAGCGTATTTATCCAGAATCGCTCTTCGATATGGGGTCTCGTACGCTGATATGTGCCATCATTCCCTCCCCATAGCCCTCACGAGCAAAAACGCGGAATGCGTACGTCATGTATGCCAACTGCCATTGGCACTTTTCAATATGTGAGTCGAACTGACGTGTTCCAGGCAAGACTTTGCTTCTATGGGCCATAGTAGTCATAGCGTCGACGACCTCCTTTTTACTGGTCGGAATAGTGGATTGTATAGCCAGGGCTGGAGTTGCTGCAGGAGCCATTTTTGGGGCAATGCGCCTTGACGTGATATGTGAAAGGAAATGTGAATATTGAGTGAATTAGCCGGTTTCTTCATAGCACAAGTAGCACAAGACGTCTTGAATATGGCATATGATACTTAAGAAAAGTCTACCTATTCAAACAGATTGAGCATTGGATCATTATTGCCAAGCTCGATCGGGTTCGAACAACTCGACCATATCGATATGACGCCAGGGTCGATAAATAATGAAGTCAAGGCCTATCACGGGGCTATTTTGTGAGTTACTATTTGTCGCATTAGGACAGCGCCTTCGGACTGAAAAGGAAGGCACCCATACTGCGGAGCTGTTTTGTGAGCCAATACGTACTATTTGCCGCATCCTCGTAACACTAGGAATGAGGACAAATGGTATCAAGATTCATTGTAGCGCTATTAGACGAAATAGGAATGTACCAAGAGCCAACAATTGCGGGGCTATTTTGTGAGCTACTATTGGTCGCATCAAGAGATTGGCACCAAGAGCCAACTCAAATTTGTGCGCCACAATATATTGCATCATGATAGCGCTAGGACTAATAAAGGATAGCTCCATGCGTCAATATAGCGCTCTTTGACCAAAAAGGGTAGGAAACAAGAGCGGGCTTATTTTGTGGGCCCCTATTTGTCACTTCATTATGGCGCTAGGACCAAAAAGGACTGGTTTCAAGAGCCATTATAAGGCCATCTTGCAAACTACCATCGTCGACCCCGAACTACGAGCGATTTTTGCAGTGTGATATGATGTGATGTGACATGGTATGCGTTGCACCTGTTTCCCCCGCACGGCAAGTATAATCGAGAGTCAGTAGGGCCCCAGATTCCCAGGCTATAAAAACCCGACCATTAATCCCAGATCTTCTTTCTTCCAACAACCGACTTGCTTCTACAATACGCCTCACAATATTGATACTATTCTTTCTGAGAAAAATATGGCTTTAGCTTCCCTCAATGGTGAGAATCGAGTAACAAGTATCGACAGAAGTGAAATTTTACTGACTTGTCTTAGATGTCGAAATCTCGGCGTTCAATATGACTTCCCTGGTAGGCGTGCTTGTTCTTGTTACCATTGCCTGCCAGGTTATCTACAAGCTTTATGGAACACCTCTGCGGAAGGTCCCAGGACCTATGTCTTTTGCCATAACTAAATGGCGACTTGCATACGAGGACTACAAGGGTGTTAGAACGCGGTTCATTCACGCTTTACACCAGAATTATGGCACTGCTGTTCGCGTTGGGCCAAACGAGGTGTCTTTCTCCTCTCTTTCCGCCTTGAGAACTATATACGGTGCTGGCTCGGGATTCGAGCGAACGGACTTCTACAGAATGTTTGATGTTTACGGTAGACAAAATTTGTTTAGCTTTGCTGAAGCCAAGAAACACACCGAGAGAAAGAAGCTCCTGGCCCACGCCTACTCGAAAAGTACCATATTGTCACCTCACGAAATGGCAAAGCCGCTGATTGAGAAAAATGTGAAAAGTTACTTGGACCTCTTGGATCGCGAGAAAGGAGTGGCCGAGGAGGTATACCAGAGTTTGCATTGGTTCAGTCTTGATAGCATTACTGGTTTCCTGTATGGAGAGAAACTTCAATACAGTGGAACCGATGCTATTGGGGGAAACAAGGCTCACAGAAGTCTTGTTGGTGATATCATTAATCCGGGCAGGCGGAAGCTAAGCTGGTTTATGGTGCACTTGCGCGTTTACACCAAATGGCTATACAGGAGAACCGGCATTACCAAAAAGGTGGTTGAGAGCTTGAGGTTGCTTCCCATGCAAAACCCTACCACTTATAGTGGCATTCAAACTCATGCTCTTCTATCCACCAACAAATTTGATATTTCTGTTTTTTGTGCACTTCTCGGAAAGCCGCATATCCAAGAGCCGTCTGTCATGGAGAAGTTGTGGAATCAGACAGACGCAAGTGAGGAAACTCGCCTAGGTAGCCTTGACAGGGCCTCTGAGATGGCCGATCACTGTTTAGCTGGTATCGATACGACAAGCGACACGCTAATGTTCGCTATATGGGCATTATCCCGCCATCAGAACAAAGCGTACCAGCAGAAGCTGATCGAGGAGGTTACCAGCATATCAGAAAAGGAGTGCAATGAAGATGGCATTCCTACTGTTGAGGCTGCAGACAAACTACCGTACCTCGGTGCCATCATTAAAGAGACCCTTCGACTCTATGCTCCATTGCCAGCGTCGGAGCCACGTTCACTTCCCGTCGACACCATGATCGATGGATACGCCATCCCAGCCCGGACGGTTGTAAGCATGTCGCCTTATACGCTTCACCGGAATGCAGAAGTATTCCCCGATCCGTTGGTGTTCAAACCGGAACGCTGGCTCGGAGAGTGTGGTGATCTCGCAGAAATGAAGAAGTGGTTCTGGGCTTTTTCCAGTGGAGGCCGGATGTGCATTGGATTGCAGTATGCATGATATCATGACAAACCGCAAAGAACGGTAGCTAACATTTTATCTAGTCTTGCTATGGCTGAGATGACGACTCTTCTAGCTGCCATCTATCGAGAATACACCACAAGTGAGTATGAGAAGCAGCGAGGGGTCAGCCCAGGAATTACCAGTCGCTTTGAGGTTTTCTATGATGAGACTCTGCCAAGAATGGAGGTAAGTCAATAATGCCGAGACTGGTCCTTCAACCATGTATTAAGGCTTCGCAACAGGAACACAAATGCTGGATCAATTTTGAGAAACGTCGCTAGGTGGAATTGTGTGATTTTTTGACTTGGATCGTGATAAGTGGGCAGGTATACATACACATTCGTTTGACCTTGGAAGGACGCGAGCTTGCAATTTAGGTGCACAATGCCAATATTACTTGATTTTGAATAAAACGTAATTCGTGATTTCGTAACATTCATAAGAAGTGATGGACGAATGAAAGCAACTGCGTGGATCCCAAACGCGGGGAAGGCGGGGAATAGCATCATGTCTCCACTTCCCAGGCCCTCGAGACGAGGGCCAGCTTTCACTGTGCACACCACCATGGATTCAGCCCTTGACTGCGATATTACCTACACTGCTTGGACGCAAGGGACTTCGACAATGTCTCCGAAATCCTCGTCTCGACGAATACGTATACGGAAGTCCCGAAGCCGTGGCCTACGCACAACAAACGGATGGTGAGTGCCGCGTGCAGCGAGTTCAGAACGGAGCTTACTTAATCCGAATGCAGCATAACTTGTAGGAGACGACACCTGAAGTGCGATGAGGGCAAGCCTCATTGTGGCCGTTGTGTGAACAAGGATAAGATTTGTGAATATGCCAACTCAGCTGACCACCCCAAGTCGATTCGGCACCCCGATAATGCCAAAACAGACGAGACTCCTGTCTCTATAACTCAGGAGAATGGATCGCCAGCGAAAATTCATGATTTATCAAGTGAAACTATACCAGATCTGGTCGCATTTGAGCCGCATGACATACCACCTCTAGCTTGGACTAGTACAGACCCAAACAGTGATTCTCAACCAAGGGAGGTACATGATCAGGACTCAGGAGCCGACGTTCTTACTGTCCTGAGCCCAATTGTCTTTCAAAATAATCATCTTTCTCCATCCAATGCGGCCGTTGCAGCTGTCCGGTGGTTTGGGTTATTAGCGAGTGATGCCGCCAAGGACAGCCCCCAACAATCAACCATCCCCAATTCATGGGAGACCGAAGGCCTGCTCCTTGACCACTCTAGCAATGGGATTGATCCGAGCTCACTTCAGCGCGCAACTCAAGTGCTAGATAGTCCTCCTTCCACCAATGTAAATCATGACCCGGATGATTCTGGCACACTTGAAAGTGCCACGGTCGCAGAAGGGCAGATTTGGCATTCACGGAATCCAATTGAGCTGTTGGCAAGCGAGCAGGTATTATTTGTGCATTTTGTGCACCACGTCAGCTCTTGGGTAGGCCAACAACTTGCTTCTAGAGGTGGATTTCAAGAATGATGGTCTAATGTGTTTCCTCCAGATCGATCTCTTTGACCCCACAAAACAATTCTCCACTTTTGTTGCACATTTAGCGGTACGCAGAAAGAAAAATGCTGGTTGTAAATCTTCAAGCCAGTCAGGACTCACACAATATGATCTAGATTCACAATGCCGGGCTTTTGAATGCCATACTAGCACTTTCGCTACGACACCTAGCCTTGAATCCCCATCAGGACACCCAAGACATCCCCGGAAAAGAAGGAGCAGCCGTGCAATACTACTATCAGACTCTACACTACGTGCAAAGGGCAATGCAGTATCGTACCTACAAGACAAGTCTTGAACTCCTCGCTACTACCTTGATCATCTCCGCATATGAGATGCTCGACAACTCTACCAACGGCTGGGAGCGACATCTCGAAGGAGTGTTTCTTATTCAGCGGTCTCAAACCATCCATGGGGAATCTGGTGGACTCCACTCTGCAGTATGGTGGGCATGGCTATGTCAGGATATCTGGGCTGCGTTTCGCGAGCAACGAAAGACCCTCACCTTCTGGGTCCCTCAGAAACCGCTTTCCGTGCTACTACCACATGAGCTCGCTAGTCGGGCAATCTACCACGCTGCAAAAGTTATCAGCTTTTGTGCTGACGCTACTACTGAAAGCACTATACAAAGTCGTATGGAGGAAGCGAATCATCTTCGTGGAATGTTGGATGACTGGCAACAGCACCTGACAATCGAGTTCTCCCCTTTGCCTTTGGTACCGGGGGAGACCTCATCTTGTTTCAAAGCAATATGGATCAGCCCGCCTGCCTTTGGTAGGTTCGAGCCTCATGCTTCTGTTCAACTTAGGACGGATATTAACGTAATCACACAGCTGTGGCAGTTCAGTTCTTTAGCGTGTCGCATATCCTTTTACTAGCCCATGAGCCGAGTATTGGGGGATTAGGCCAATACACCACGCGTCAGAGCATGATTCAACGATACATTGAGGATATTTGTGGCATTGCGATGACGCTCAAAGATAGTGCATCCAGCGTGATGTCATCACAAGCTTTGTTCATTGGTATGGGACTATCCATTATTGTATTGTATTGACACTGAGCTTACTTATTCCTAGCTGGCTTGTTCACGCAAGATAAAGATGCCCGTGAAGCTGTATTGGCGCTTTTGGATTTCTGTCGGCAGCGCAGCGGTTGGCCGGCTAGTTCGCTTGGGCTGGAGCTACAACAGCAATGGGAATGTCATGAAGTTTTGAGACCGACTTCGGTTTCAAAGGGGTTTATGTAGGCCACCAATAGTTTCGCGAGCACAGCGACTACAAATATTCTATTTTCTTGCTAAATTGACTGCTGAGAACAAGCCCAAGTTATTTCATGAAGCCGCAATTCTCCCGTTCATTGCAAATTGCTAAACATTCCACCATCTGCCAAAATTCCAGTTGCATTTACATATCGGCTCATCTCCTCACAAGCCAAAAATACGGCCGGGCCCGCCATATCGTTGGGATCCCCAATGCGACCAAGCGGGATTCGCGCCTCGAGTGCAGCCTTCTTGGTCGGGTTTTTCATATCGTGATCAGCTAGCTGGGTAGCGATTGTCCCCGGCATCAATGCATTGCATCGAATCTGGTCCTTGCCTAGTGAAATAGCCATGGACTGCATCATTGACAAGATCGCAGCCTTGGTGGGAGTATAATGCGTCTGAAGTCCACCACCTAGGAGCGCGCTGACGGACGAAACTCCAATAATTGAACCCCCGTGTCCCTGTTTGACCATTTGCTGAGCGGCAGCTTGGCATGAGTAAAATGTGCCTTTGACGTTCACATCGACACTGTGATCTAATAGCGCGGGTTGAATTCTGTGGATGTTAGCAGTACTCTCATGGACGGAAAGGGCTCTGTATTGATCATACTTTAGAAATTCGGCTTGCTTGAATACTCCTGCATTGGCAACGAAGATATCCAGCTTACCCCATTTAGATACCGCGGCCTGAACTAGGTCTGCGCTGGTCTGTGGATTTGTCACATCACCAGAAAGCTCGAGAATCTTTCCTGTGTTGATGCCCTTCCGCCCAATAGCTTTTACTTCTTCTAGGAGACTGTGTTGATGATCTTCGTCCTTTGAGAGCCCCAGATGGTTGACAGCAACGTTACATCCTTGCGTAATGTATGCCAACACAATTGCCCGTCCAATTCCCGTGGTGCCGCCCGTAATGGCGGCTGTCTTGCCTGCGAGCAAACCCCAGGCTGGTAGCGCGGCCATTTCTGGAATTTTAAATAAATTGAAGAAAGAAGGCGTTCCAACAGAGAATGATTGTTAGGCTGAGTAGATTGAGAGGTAATTAATGTAGAACTGGTGCGGGGGATCATCGCCAGTGACCCGTCTCGAGGACAGTCCCCCGTCTCGAGTGACCCACATATACAGGTGGGGGATACACTGCCTGTGCCTGGGGCTCTGTGAACTGAATCTCAGAGTTACTTTATTAGGGATGTTTTCATGGATTTGTTATATTCCACTGCAAAAGAACTTAATTTCGCTGCAAAAAGGTCAAGGCACCCAAAGCGTAAGCGTCCATACCGGTCCGCAAAGTCGGCTCAATTGCGGGCGCGAAGAACGGGGAGTGATTCATGGGTAATTCATTGATAGTCCCTTTCTCAACAGCATCATCCCATGTCTTTTCATCAATTCCGCCAAACATCCACATCACATAAGGAGCCCCAACCTCCATCGCCAGAAAGGAAAAGTCCTCACTGGCACTCGGGCGCTCCATATCAACAAGCTGGTCCTGGAAATATGACCGAAATGTCTCCCGAAGAGCACCAACAGACTCGTCATCATTGATCGTCGCAGGGCAAGATGACACAAGCTTCACACTGGGCTTCTCAACCGCACCCGCAGCAAGGCATTCGGCCTCGACAATGCGATGAATAGCAGCATGCACACGCCTCCTCACCTCGGGATCAAATGTCCTCACACTAATTTGCAAATCCAAGTGATCGGGAATAACATTCGACGAATTTCCTGCATGAATACTCCCACAAGTGACAACGGCCAACTCACCTGGCGTTACCTCCCGCGACACAATAGTCTGCAACTTCATCACGATCGAGGCTCCAATGATGATTGGATCGATGGTCGTCTGCGGTGCAGATCCGTGTCCTCCGCGCCCGAAAATTGTCACTTCAAAAGCATCCGCTGCGGTGAGCAACCGTCCAGCACGGAGGTTGACAGTTCCAGCTCGCATCCGCGTGACATGCTGCGCAAGCACCAGATCCGGCTTCGGGACCTTCTCATACAACCCATCAGCCAGCATCGCGCGCGCACCATCGAGAGCCTCCTCCGCAGGTTGAAAAATGCAAATAAGAGTTCCGCTCCAGTGGTCGCGCGCGGCAAGCAGTAGTGTGGATGCGGCCATCAGAGTCGTGACGTGAGTGTCATGTCCGCAGGCATGCATAACCGGGATACGATTTCCTTGTGCATCTTCTACGGTGCGGGTACTCGCGTAGGGTAGACCTGTTTTTTCCTCTAATGGGAGGGCGTCCATATCCGCCCGGAGGAGAATCTTAGGGCCTGGGCCATTGTGAAGGACGGCAGCGACGCCGTGGCCACCAACGTTGGAGTGGACTTCGAAGCCGAGGGTGTGGAGGTGCTCAGATGCTATTCTGGCGGTCTGTTCTTCTTGGCCTGAGAGTTCAGGGTTGCTGTGGATGTGGCGGTAAATTTCCTCGTAGGGTTTCAAGTCCGGTCGGTAGTTGTCTAGCAGCTCTTTTAAGTGGCTGTCGTCTTTGCCGACGTTGTCTGTGTGGATGTCAGCGCTAGGTGAAACGCAGTCGGGTGGATCTTCGATTGATCTGGAGATCTATATATACCGGCGATAAGTTTCATGTTCATGGTAGGTTAACTTTAATGGTTGTTCTTTGGTTGAAAGGGGCAAGAAAGGGGGTTGAGGCTAATTTAACTGTTGACCTAGCGGTTGTAGAGCCTGGCTTTCAGTGCTGCGCTCGGATCTTACATGTACTACGCGTATGCTCGATGTACCCTTCATAAGCGCCAAACTTTGTTCATAAGGCGCAAGCGGTGGACTAAAGTCCACCACTCCCGCCAATAGACTTAACCGAAGGAAAACATCAGGCTGCGCTAATACGTTAAGACCTCTTTCTCCGAGTCGTCATAAGGTAATTCGATCATCTAGATCCACGTCGATTTCGAAAATCCGAACATGTCCGAGCAGTTGATACCCCACTTTCCGATGCATGAAATACTGTGATACTGAGTCTCTTGGCGCTTTGGTTCTAATCGACCGTTCCTTTTGATCAAGCAGTAGGGCCCACTGACGGATAAAATGATTGGGCGAGATGATTCTATCGGATTTGGCCCCCACGACACAGTGGAGCGAAATGCGGTACTGTTCATGTTGCTCCTATATTGCAAGACGAAGCATGCATACATTGAGTTCTCTCTGACTTGAGAAACACCTTGGTAAAATAATCATTGCCAACGCAAACACAGAAGTCTCCCCAGAGCTTTACACGGAATTCACCCATGTGCAGATCCGAGATGACGGGTTTGTAGAACAGCATAATTGTGATCGAGCATTATTTCGTCGTACGACGGATGTATACCTAGTACATTGAGGCAACTGGGAGAGAGAATTATACCGCAGTTTTTCTATCATGCAAGACGCCATTGTCAAAATCAATCTGCCTCCTGTGAGAATGCCGGCACAGGCACGAGAAGACAGGCCCTTCTGGTCTAGATACTCCAGGGTCGGCATAGACATAGTTACAACTGAAACCTTCTGGGCTATATGTAAAGCTTATTAATCTGGAAAGATCTGAGAATGATCAGGTTCATGGAAAGGAGTACTTGAAGAGGTGTGATCTACCTAGGAGAAGCTTAACAGGTGGGTAATAGGTACCATAGGCACCTGTAGACGTGCCAAGGTTGATTAGCAGATTCAAGGGAAGGCTTATCATGGAAGGAATATTACATTTTGCTTTACAGTCATGTGCAATCATAAATGCATCGTGGAAGGACAGTCATATTATGTACGGGACTACAGATACATATATGACGATTTGATAAGTGTGAGGTCACAGTGCAGATAATTTTCTAGGTCAAGTATCCAACGCAAATACTTACTAATTGATGACCACGTCACGTCTGGCTTGGTGGGAGTAGCCATTGTCATGCTCAGGTGGCGGGGCCGGGGTCGCGTGCCAGTATGTGATCTAGCCCGCGCGTGGACCCAAAACACTCCCCGACGACCGCCAAGCCAACCTCAACAATGACTCAGGCGACAAGTTTAAGCAAGCATTAGACTGATGCCTATCCTGACAAATGCACAACACAGGTGAAGATCGGAACCTTCGTCGGGAATAACACATTCTGCCTTGCGCTTGGACCTGGTATATCAGCCACAGGCCCGGGTTTGCTTACGCTGCAAAAGGCAATTTGTAGGGGACTCTGGATTTGCTTGACTGCGGTGAAACATTCTTTCCTTTCACGTCGTCTTATCTACTTTTCTTTTTTCAAGGTTTGGTGTCACTGGTCCAACGAGGAGTTCTTCTACAACGGGCCGGCCCCCACATGTGGAGCCCGCGATATGCTCTCGACCAGTCATGGAGGGCTATCCACGTGGGAAAAAAAAATCAGCAACCAGGCAAAAAAGAAATGCCAGGTTAATTTAATATCCTGAGGATAAACCGAACGCGGGGGTCGAACCCGCAACCTTGAGATTAAGAGTCTCACGCTCTACCGATTGAGCTAGCCCGGCTTGCTTGTTGAAGACCGGAGTCTACTATGGCTCTATGAAGCCAGCACGGCAACTGAATAGGAAAAAAGGCAAAAAGAGAACTCAGATTGAAGCTGATGAGAACCGAACGCGGGGGTCGAACCCGCAACCTTGAGATTAAGAGTCTCACGCTCTACCGATTGAGCTAGCCCGGCTGGGCTTGTTGAAGAGACATGCTAAGTATTGATTCAGATTGAGCAACGAAAAGATCATTTCCCTATCCATGAACCTGGAGGGAGTTGCACCTGAAATCAGGTTGACAAGAACCTGGGTTGATATTGCAAGACAATTGTATTGGCTTGGATGATCGGCAGCCATTGTCCAGTAATGAAGCGAGAAATGGCCTTGGCGCATGCCCGCACCTGGGTGGATGTAGTCTGCACAGTTTGACCCGGGTGATAGCAGGTGTCAACCCAGGAATATACTTTGGCGGAAGCCTCCAGGCAACCAGGATCATGGATGGCCAGAATGATCAGGAAATGATTTCGTTTGTCAAAAATCGCTCGTAATGGCTTGCAGCCATGCTCGTCATTATCTCCATGCAGCCCTGGCGGTTTGCGGCTGTGTCTGTTCAGGAACAAGGACAAGGTGTCAGCATGGAGGACAATACGAGCGCCGACGTGGGTGGCTGGTGTAACGAATCACGAAGGAGCGTCTGTGGCATCCTGTGGCTGAGGCTGAGTCTTCAAGGCTCGTATTGGACTCATCAGCCTCGTTGGTGTGGCTCAAGGATGAGAGGGGTTCATTGAGTGTTCGCGATTAATGGGGGCCGAAACATGATCCCCCCGTCCGACCCCGGCCTATTCTTAGAGAGAAGGGCTAATTATAATGATCATCTTTGAAGCCCCAATTAAATTTGTAGCGCCGTATATGGAAATTACCAAAAAAGGAAGCCATCTAAAATGGGAATCAACTTGAAACTCGTCAATGGAGTTGGTTCGTTATTGGTGTTCGAGGGTTGTCTCAGGAGACGCTGCATTAGAGGCAGCGGTACCAGAGCAAATTATGGCGACGATGGGCCCCAGTTGGAGCCTCAGGATAAAAGCGACGTCAATAATGTATGGATATCGATGCAAGTTGACGAAATTGCTAATGTCCGATCGGATAATCCTGGTTGACTCGGGGTTTCGCAAGTGACTTGATGCACGAGACGCGGGCGCAGGAACACGAGAGGCTCAAGCCACTAAAGAGGAAACCCTGCTCGATCGAGTAGGCACCAGAATGACGGCCAGGGATCATGAAAATAAAACCAAATAAAAATAGAAGATAAAAAATAGATGTTTGGGATTTGTGGAAGAGGGAAGCGGTCTGGCGTCGGAGACTACATTCAGCAACCAGGATACACATTCACTCCCCGCGTGCAATGGATATTCACCTGCAATTGAACTGCTTTCAAGTGACGACCAATCAGCGACTGTGGGCTCCTTGATCCGTCGGCGGTCACTTGCGACTAAGCCACATGCACTAGTGCTCATGTATAAAGATAGCACAAGTACATTGGTTTTCTGGTCTCGTAGGTGGGGCCAGCGGGTACCAAGGAAGTCACTGTACTTGACCTTGCATGGCCTACGATCCCAGGCTCCAGTAGGCTCAAGTGCGCCTTGTGAATCAGTCAAAAACTATATAACTTCCTTCCCCCCACTCTGCATATACTATTTTTTTCCCACTCAAGCCTACAATTCCATTATCACACCTCCACTGAGCAGTTTCAATCTTGGATCATCTGCCACATCTTTTGATCACACTTCCCACTATATTCTAACACGGTCATTAAACCGTTTCTACGCGTGACCCCAGGAAATCAGTCATCGTGTCTTCCAAACGCTCAACTACCTACGTGGTCGACCCGAAAACCCTTTCCACCACGGAAAGACCGTCTCGTTCACCTTTGCGGCGTCAAAGTGTACGCCGCTCCTCACCAATGCCAGCCTCAATCATGGTCGAGCCTACCGTTGTGCGTGATCTGCACGACGATGAGAAGCTCGTCCTGGATGATTTCGAGGCTCACATTGCCCGCTGCACTCCCTGTGCCCTGGCCATCGAAACTCACGAGAACTATCACTGCGAACATGGCTACCTCCTCGCTCTCGACGTGAGCAAATACCTATACAGTGAAGGTGGAAAGCAGTTCGCGGCAGTGGACAGAGAAAACGGCAAGCCACGACGAGTCAAGCTTCCCCGCGACTCAAGTGCAACCCGCAGCCTCCTCGACTCCATTGAGAAGGGCATGCGTCTCCAGTCTCCTCGTCGAGGCCGTGCTCCTGCCGTCCGCCCTCCCCACTCTGCTAGCTCTAGCAAACGGCCCGTCGTGGAGCAGTCTGTGCCTCGCTCTCACACCCCAGAGTCCCATTCTACTCCCCTTCAGATCATTGAACGCTCGCCATCCCTCAGCAAGCGTCATGTCATCGTCTACCCCGGTTCCTCTCGCCAGTCTTCCCGATCATCGAATGCCTCCAGCCGTAGCCCTTCCAACCGGGGCTCGCTGTACATTCCCGATCACCTGGATCGTGAAGAGCGACGATACGAGACCCGCGGCCATCGCTACCACCGATGAACACGTTGAACCAAAAGAAAAGGAAAACCACAAAAAAAGGAACCCATTTTCTGATCATGTTTGTCTATCGCCTTTGACGGTTTACACTCTTTGAAACCAAAGCGTTATTCCAATTCAAACTACGGGTATAGATTGCCCAGACTAGGAAAACTAGTCATTTTGCCACAGAGTTGAAACACCTGGCCCCAAATCCATTTGCACCAGAGGGGGAAGTGGCTTGCCTGGAGCGCCCACCCCAACTGAAATCTGTTCATTCCAGCCCTTGATCTCAAGACTGGAGTCGGAATCCCAGATTGGAAACGATCTGTTTTCCGTTGACGTGACTCGTGCAAATGCTTCTATAGTTCGTTTTGCGGTCTAGTCCATTATTGGCGAATCGACCCCCTCTTTTCCCACTGATTGTGTGGTGAGCAGCCAATAAGAGGGAGCCAGAGTTGCCTGATTTTATGCATGCCCAGAGTATTTCTGCGTGTTTTTACTGGTTATTGATACTGTGACTCACTGATGTGATGTATGTGGAGGAACTTGCTTGGAGGGGTGGAGGCTCCGAGTCCGATCGACGATTTCCTTTGTTTCCACATATGACTTTTTGATGATAGCTATGCGTGAATTTATTGAGCTTTGTTCAGTGGATTTGCAATTATGAGTGATCAATGTATACGATGAAACCCTTCAATCCTTTCGCCACTGTAAAATAAGATTTCGCCTCTAGTCAGACGAGTACGGTTTCAAGATGGGGGCTCTTTTTGATCGCCGCTAAACGAAATACGATTTTCGATCATTTTCCCTTGACACATAATCTACAACTTGCTCCACTGGTTTGACTCGTGAGTCATTGCGGGGTTGTGGCTGATCTCCCGTGGGGCCAGACATTCTTCGGGACAACTGAGTCTGGACCCTGTGCACTCTTGAACCCGCACAAAGCAGCATACCTGTCCATAACTCGAACATGCTGTGGAGTAGGGTTGGAGTGAATTGACTCGTGTACCATTTGAAGTCAAGCTATGCCTTACAGAACTATTGACCCCTTCCAACGAGGGTCTATATTTTCCGAAGCGAGCGGTGACATCTACGTATCATCATGCTCACACATAGACATCTAGCAGCATGAACAAGGCCTTAAACATAATAGCATTTCAAAGTTCCCGAATCATGTAATTTCATCCATTTCACAAATATTGAAGCCTATGTAAAACTCCATAAACACAGCGCGATGCGAGAGTTCTGCATTTTCCTTCATGACTAGCCTTTGTTCGCTTTCCCAATGTCATATAGTCGCTCACTTTGCCCTTGATCTCGGAGTAAGCTTCATCATCAAAGGCTTCTTATCCCACAAGATGAAGCACTTCTGTTCAGTCCACTCGTCAGACGGCTGATCCAACTCCATATCGAAGTTGAAAACCATGCGAGCAAGAATTATTCTCATCTCGACATAGGCCAAGCTGCACAAAAATCAGTCAGTACAATATATATTTGCTTCATGGGGTTTGTGTACTGAGAACTTACTTCCGCCCAATACAGTTTCTAGGACCAAAGCTGAAAGGTTGCAAAGCGGTCTTGCTATCATTCGCAAATCGAGTATCGTCTAAGAATCGCTCGGGGATGAATTGTTCAGGGAGTGTGTAATTATGCGCGGAGTGGTAAGCGGCCATTTGTGTGACCGAGACAATGGTCTGTTCAAATCAAATGAGGTCAGTAAAATGCCTTGAATAGTAGTGCTATGCCAGAGGGTTTTATGGGCCTGCGACTTACACCACCTGGAACCCAGTGTCCGTTGATCATATCACCCTGCGCATCGACAATCCGAGGAAGACCACACGCGACAGGAGGATACATCCTCAGAGCCTCAGTAAGAACAGCTTGGAGATATACCAGCTTGTTACAATTCTCCAAAGTAATCTGGTCATCGGATTGAAAAGCACCCCAAACTTCTGCTTGTAGTTTTTGCATAACCTGTGGGTTCTTCAAAAGCAGATAAGTCACACCCGAAAGAAGTGTCGCAGTGGTCTCGGAGCCGGCAACAATAAGAGTGCTACCGTTGGTAATCATCTCTGGGAAACTGAATCCTTTCTCGGTATCCTTGTGCTTGAGAATATTACCAAAGAAATCAGGTCTCTCGTTTGATTTCTTCAAGCGACCCTGAACCTTTTCCTTTGTAAGTTGTACATGCAAGTTCCGTTGATTCAATACCTTCGTGGGCGTGATGAGCTTGCTAATGAATTTCCACCCTGGGAAACGTCTGGCAACGTTGGTGTATGCGCCAAAACGGACACTTGACAGCACAATTGATACCCATTGGTGGTAGGTGGAGTTTTTAAGACAATCGAACGGCTCTCCAAACGCGAGATCACCAATGATGTCGAATGTTGTGAAGTTGTACCAAGCGACCATGTCCAGTGCTTTATTACCATTTTCGCCTTTTTCACGAAGGCGTTGCATCAATAGATCCACATAGGAGTTGATGATGGGCTCTTGTGCTCGGAGCGAGTTATCGGAGAAGGCGTGGGATAAAAGTCTTCGCATGCGAGAGTGGTCTGCGTCGTTAGAGACGACGATACTCGGAGCACCCTCCGCGGTCAGTGGATAGAACCGGAAGTCCTTTTGCTTCTGGCCGTGGCCGGGTCGGGTTCCATAGATAGCTTTCCAAGCGTTACCGTCGATGAAGGATAGTTCGTCTGGGGCGATGCGGACAACTTCGCCGTATTGTTCGTGGAGGGACTTGATTGCCTGGGCAGTTTTTCCGGCTAAAATGAAACCCATGTAGGGGAACCGGGTAGCGGCCATGGACTTGGGGCCGGGATATCTGGCAAGAGGATGGAAGAAGACATTGTAGATGACCAGCCCGATAAAGTAGGCCGGTGTCTGGTAAACATCAGAAATGAAAAGGGTGAGTCTTAATATCTTAAGAGCGTCTGCATACCAGTACTAATGCCAGGATGAAGACATTCAGAGCAAGACGAGAGACTGAAGTTTCAGCAATATAGGACGCTACGCGTGCCGATGACGATTCTGTCGGTATGAAAGGCATCTTGAGTTTTGCTCAACTCTAGAGTCTTTCGAGAGTGGATTCGACGTAAACACTCGCTTTACCAGACATGATATATGAAATTTTTGCCTTCCTCCTCCCGGATATAATAGCACAAATATGGGCATAATAGTGCTGTATACATTGCATTATTCTACTCAGAATACCAACTAGGACTAGCTCTTGCATGGCTAGCTCTTGCATGCTGCGCGGCATGCCTGATTGAAGAGGGGTCGACCTGAAACGCTTGCCCCACACCCCACACGTCAGGTCAGCCCAGGAAAGGTACGAGTGCCCTTCAGAAAACTAATTCTGGTAAGCATTCTGATGAAAGTCAGCCAAGGAAAGACTCGATACCTTATTCAATTCAGGGAGAATTCGTGAAAATGATGAGAATCTATCATTTGCTGAATTCTGCACAATCCCCTCTAGGAATGATCGTCGTCTTGGCGACCTACAAACACTACTGTAGGTATACGTGTCACTTAATTGGGTAGTGGATCTGCACGGGCCGTGACACTAGGCCGCGCTCAAGGGCTATTTATGCCGATGAATAACGTCGTTATGATTGTTAATGCGGAAAGCCTTTCTACAAATAAATCCCTCGTCGGGAATACGGCACAAGTTCATAACGTAGTAACACAGGAGCAGACACCGTCTGCATATACAGGCCTAGGCCTGATAACAATACCCACTTTGGCCTCTCGATTGCATCCTGAGTAAACGTCCCTTTGACTGGAGGAGGTCCGGAATCAAAAAATCTAATTTCGGAATATAAGCTACGTCATTTAAACCTCCTTAAACAGCCCATCCGTCTGCAATTAAATTAGCATTAATTAAGAATACCAACAACGTCAGTCTTGTTCTTGATAAACAAACTTATCACCTAGGCTGTTAAGAATAGGGCACCAAGAGGAGTTTCCGCCCTAGAATGTCACGAACGTCCGATTCCCAAAAGTCTGCAGAGAAGTTACGTCCTACGGGTGAAAACCTTTGACACTGAGAACAAAAAATAGGGTTGCTCATTGCAAAATCGAGAAAGCGGTTATCACGGACAGTGAATTGCCGGAATAGTGACGAAAGAAAAGAATACATCGCTATTATCTTGCATTTCAATGAGCGCAGCTATTATCTTAGCATAAGCAATGACTGATCGTAAATATGAAGCCGCCACCATCGCCAATTGCTGAACTACCACCGCGGTAGGCTACGTGGTGCACTGAGAAGGGAGAAGAATCATCTCTGTCGTGCATTTCACCTGCTCCTCAGGAAAGTCTCCCCAAAACTGCCGTCGATGTTAGTGTCAGGGTTTCCAGTACGGGGCCTGGATAGCTCTTTATGGGACGGGGAAGTTCAACTCACCTGAGCAACATGCTGTCGAATGCGATGCATGTTCTTGCCCGGCTGGATCTGGCCCACCACCCCTGGACGGTCCGAGTCGGTCCTCTTAGGCACAATCATGGGTCGTCCGACGAAACACTCGAGCGTCAGCAGTGCAAAGCCGAGAGCTTCTTTCGCGCCGATAGGGATCCCAATCTCGGAGATGGGGACGATGCGAGTGTTGGGCAAGCGCTGCTTCAGGTAATTGATGATGTTTGGGTTGAACGACCCACCGCCGCCCATGTAGATCTCGTCTACGCCCCCAGGTGGACCCCAGCGTTCGTAGGCATCGGCCAGGGACTTGGCTGTGATGCGAGTTATGGTGGCAACACAGTCCTCTGGCGTAGCTCCGCCTGTGGTGCCACGGTTCGTCAGCCAAAAACCCTGTCTCGATTAGAGGAGTCAGACTTAACGGTTCAGCATCTCGTCGCAGATATCCTCCGCCATCCGATCCCCAAAGGTCTCCCGGCCAGTAGTCTTCGGTATATCATGCACGAAGTATGGCCCCTGGAGCACTTTATCTACAACAGACTGGTCAATCTTGCCCTTCAAGCCCATTGCACCATCCTTGTCATATTCCTGTTGACCGCCAGTGAAGTACCGCACGGCCGCGTCGATAAAGACGTTGCCAGGTCCCGTATCGAAGTCGTAACATTCTTCGACAGCGCCTCGGGGTAAGATCGAAAAGTTTGCGATGCCACCAATGTTCTGCACAGCGCGGTTGAGCGTCGGGTGACTCAGAAGGAGGGAATCGAGAGCCGCAAAAAGCGGGCAGCCTTGCCGGCCGAGAGCCATTTCTGATACCCGAAAATTGCCAAGCGAGGTGACGCCAGTGTTAGCGGCTATGATGGCAATCTCAGCCATGTCGAGATGTGCCCGGATTTGGTTGCCCTCGAAGAGCTCCGGCAGCGGTAGGTGCCAGATAGTCTGACCCTGACCACCGATCAGGTCGACGTCCGTTGCCATGACGAGATCGTTTTTCTGCACAAACCAATTGACGGCGTCGCTAATGACCTCGCCTAGCTGGATGTTGACGATGGCCAATTCCTCGGGCGTTGTGATGTTCTCCTTAATGAGCCTCATGACTCGTGCCTTGAGTTTTTTAGGCATCGGGTATTCTCCATAGTGCAGGAGCTGCGTCTTTAACGGCGTTGTCGGGCTATCCTGGGTGAAATGGACATGAACGAGGTCGACCCCGTCCATGGACGTTCCCGCATTGTGGCCAATGACCTTGAGAGAACTGTTGGGGGTTCAGCCACATAATTGCAATATTTTAAATTACAAAGTGTTCTTTGAGAGCATGTCATGCTGGGTTTAACACTTACAGTGGGCTGCCATTGGACTGGTTCAAAGCGGAAGGCATCGTGTGATCCAGCGTGGAGGAAATGCGCTACTGAAGACACAGATCATGAAACGAAAGAGTCTACTGCAAACACAGAAACAGGCACATCCATAGATTGAGCATACTTTATATATCTCATCGGAAGAAATCTCGAAAAAATGCTCCATCTCACCCTCAACAGCGGCACGGGCTCGGTTCCCTTCCAGAGACAGAGTCATCCCCACTGCCATCCCCGCACTTCCCATCCCAACCTTATTAGGTGCTTTGGTTCTTAGAAATCCTCAAAGTTGCCAAAGTCAACATGGACGTGTGGAGAAATACTCGAACCGTGGAGATACCGGGGCCGATCGTGGACAACCAACTAAGCGGATCGTCCCCGGAAGGCAACTGACTCCGATATCCTACGGATACGTACGTTGCAAATGGTTCGGCTTCCCCACGCCAAGGCCGCCTCTTCTTTCGGGGATGACTGCCTTCCGCGATATCTAACCCCACTGAGTACTTCCTCTGCCAATCCTTCCCACCACAGCCTATCCTGGCTCACTGTGAAAGGGTCTCGGGGTTAGGTGCCTTCCGGGTGCATTGAATCTTAAATCCCCCGACCTTGGCCTGCGGTCTCCCACGCCTGAGGTCATCAAACCCTATGTTGAGACTTTATAAGTTCAAGTTAGAATCATGACTCTCCGGTTGCTGTTATGGGATATGTCTCAAGTCTAAATCAATCTCAATTATCTCCAATCGAGAGAACACCCCGTCCACGTTCACATTGGACTTCGCAATGATGGCTTTCCTCCCATTGACCAAATACACAACCCACATGGGCACGTCGGGTCTGAAGCTCAACATTCTCGTTGCCGGCATTGCGGCATGTGCATTTTGGCTTTTCGGCTACGACATGAGCATCATGGTACACTATCTTTCTTGAGTTTTTCCCCTATAGCACGCCCAGTCTAAGAATAAATCCAGGGCGGTCTCATTACCGAGGAGTCCTTCACAACTGTCTTTCCCGAGATGAAAAACGCTAATACCCAGGGCATCGTGATCGCCTCTTTTGAACTCGGTGCTCTAATCGGTGCCCTCGCCTGCTTGGACCTTGGCGACCGCCTCGGGCGTCGTCTGACCGTTTGGTTCGGTATGCTGTTTATGCTGATCGGCGGCGCATTGCAGACCAGTGCCTGGGCGATATCTCAGTTGGTATTGGGCCGCGTTATCAGCGGCATCGGCCTCGGCTTACAGGTTGCTACGGTGCCGTCATGGCAGTCCGAGTGTGCGAAAGCGCATAGTCGCGGGCGCTGGGGTAAGCAGTAGTCCTCCACCTTGCTCTCGTATTTGAAGACTAGAGACTAACTTGATCTAGTCATGATTGAGGGTGGCTTACAGACATTCGGCGTTGCTTGTGGCCAGCTCGTTGGTTATGGCTTCTTCTTTGTGAAGGGTCAAGCGCAATGGCGTACACCCGTTGGCATTCAGCTTGTCCCGGCCTTGATCGTCTTCATCTTTATCAACTTTCTTCCTGAGTCGCCCCGTTGGCTGATCAAACACGGCCTGGTTGAAGAGGTATGTCTCGTTCTTTGCTTGCCATCCCCACGCTCCTCTGGATGGTGAAGAACCCCTCGCTGACAGGACACTGCTTATGCAGGGCACATACAACCTGTCAAAGCTTCGCGGCCTGCCTGTCAGCCACCCCGAACTAGTGGCTGAACGTGAGGCAATCATCGCCTCGTTCGAAGCGCAGACTGAACTTGCTCCGTTCTCCTACAGAGAAATGCTGGACATGGGACAGAACAAGACGTTCCATCGCGTCGCCATTGGAGTCTTCATGCAATCGGCACAGCAAATATCTGGAGTCAACTTGGTCTCGACTTACGCCAACAAGATACTGCAGGAGTCGTTCGGTCTCAATGCCAGCACATCGCACCTCATCGCTGCCATGGGCGGGTTGGAGTATGCTCTATGCTCGCTTCTATCCGTGTTGCTCATAGAAGGCCTCGGGCGTCGCAAGGCCTTTCTGTGGACTACCATTGGCATGTCCAGCTGCTTTGCTGTCATCGCTGGGCTTCAAAGCACAGGTTCGCGCACCTGCCAATTGGTCGCTGCTGGATTTTTGTTTCTCTTCAATACCTTCTTTGGTCTCGCCTGGGTTGGAGGACCGTTTTTATACAGCGCCGAGATTGCACCCCTGCGATGCCGCGCGCAGGCGAATGCCATGGCGAGCGCTGGCAACTGGTTATTCTGCTTTGTGGTGGTCATGATTATTCCACCTGCTTTTCAAAACATCGGCTGGAAGACGGTATGTCTGCTTCCTTGTGCATTGTGGTCTGTGATCAACCTAACGTGTCTCTAGTACATTATTTTTGCAATCCTGAATGCCAGCTTCGTACCTATCATCTATTTCTTCCTGGTTGAAACGAGAAAGAGAAGTCTCGAGGAGATTGTGAGTATCATCCGAAGGAGAGAGAGTGAAAGTTGAACTTGGCCTCCCATGAGGAGACCTAGTAGGCTAACGATTTGGCTTCTAGGATGTCATCTACGCTGCGGGAGGTGACCCGGTCAAGACAGAAAAGACGATGCCGTATAATATACCTATTGAGGAGGCCCGGAGGATTCTTGGGCTTTCTGAGAGTCCTATTATCGCTGAAGTACTAGATCACGACTTGAAGGAGGCCGATTGAGCGCATTTTGTCCCTGTTGAAGGCAGTTAGGGGTCGCTATGTCGTCATGCGGGTTTCCAGTCTGCGAGATAGATTAGGAAACGCGAGTGAAAAAGTCAATGTTAAGGGCTGAATACATTGAGTCAATCTACATCAGGGATCGCTGCAACGGCTGACAGCAGTTGTATGCAGTAAAGCATCAAGGAACAGCCGCAGACACAGGCCGTAGTAATAACTTAATCACTTTGCGTGCATCGGCTACTTCTCAAACTTGAGGACAAGGGTAAACATAGAGAAAAAGATAGAGCAAATTCTGCCAAGCAAAGATGAGAGTAGATCATCATCGGAGGTAATGTGACGATGCGATATGCAAGGTCTTGCTTTTTGAAGCATTCGTTTATGAAAGCATGCCCGGCTATGGACCAAGCAACTGGCCGAGCACTTACATACCCATGGTCCTAGTTGCAAAGGGGAAATCCAATTATTTGAATTTCTTGAATGCGAAACTTGGAATGGCGTAGTGCGAACCGAAAAAAAGGCGGGATTAGTCAGAAGACATGGAGAAAGTGTGGAGTTGGCGACGGGCACGGGCCAAAATATGAAAGCTGGTCCGCGCATCCAGTTCGCTTCTCTCCTAGGTGGATCAAAGAAAGCAGAAGCATGCACTAGTTTTGCGCCATCAGCACCTTCCAATGCCGCCCTTTCGGGAATCATTGTCGAAACAAGTGCGAGGGCCTAGCTCGAGATCTAAGCTAGGTAGGCGTTGAAACACGACATGCCATTGTCTTTCAGAATAGGAACGCTGATACTTGATGTCAAGCCTGCGAGCAGTGTCGCAAGAGCCACGTCAAGTGTGATCAATCGCGGCCTTGTGCTTTTTGCAAGCGACGAGGAATTGAGTGTAGCCTTTGTCAAGAGGTTACCTTCACTGCGCTCGAGTTCAAAGCACCTGCAGGTTGCTTGTTACAGGACTTTGTCTCCTCAAAGACAGTAGAAGGTCCAGGTAAGCAGGACCCACCGACGGTGGCTCTCGCCGTGAGGAACAATCACTGGTCTAACGCCTTCTGAGTAACAACGACCTTTGTGAATGAAACGAAAGAGGTTTCCGACCTATACCAGGTCGTAGAAGCGAGCGATGAGGCCTCAAGCGTCTCATCAGACCAGCACCCGTCGCCACGGCTTGCATTATCCGGTCACGCCGCCCCCATCACAGATCCCATTGACGCCTTTTTCCTCTGGAGATATGTCGACTTCATCGGTCCACGCTTCGACATGTTCGACGATGCACCGCGATATTTCTCCACAGTCGTGCCGCAGCTCGCTCTAAACGACGAGCTTGTGTTGCTAGCCTGTGTCGCCGTTGCAGCCCGCCAGTACTCCCTCGCCAATGAACAACATCAACACAGTCACGAGCAGGCTTTGACATACTACAACGCGGCTATTAATCTGCTGTCCAAGCGACTACAGAATAGTGGGCCCGACCCGGCGGTATTTGCGAGTTGTCTGCTTGTAGCGCACTGTGAGATGGTCGAGAGCAAGGCTACGGATTGGGGCCTGCACCTCAAGGGGACAGGAGATCTTATCAAGATACATGGTTGGCATGGGGCGAGCGGTGGTTTGGCACAGGCTGTACGTCCTGTTCTTCGTGCTGTGATTATGTGGGCTAACTTGAAACTTCACATACAGTCATTCTGGATTTACTGCAGGATGATTATCCTTGCCTCTCTCTGTTCCGGCAAGCCGATAGCTTTAGGACCCAAGGAATGGATCCCTAGAGGTGTATTCCCTGATCCAGCCACGTGGACGCTCGAACTATGGCAGAAAAAAGTCGTTTTTCTTCTTGGGATGGTCCACGATTTTTGGGGTCGCACCCCCGATGACATCAACGAGCACGCTGTGCAACTTCACGCTGCCCGATGGAAGAAGCTTGAAGCTGAGCTGGTTCGCCACCAGAACCAAGCGCCAGCCGTGTGCTCACCTCTCAGTATTCTACCTCCGAACAGAGAGGAAAATCCCTTCCAGTCTGTGCGTTACTTGAACGGTTCCGTGTCCGCCTCATGGCAAATGCTGCATACTGCATTTCTCATTCTCACTATTTGCACGCCTTGCTCGCAGGCGAGTCGCCTCTCAGTTCTCTCCAGTCCCGACGTGACTTCCCAAGCACAAACATACGCACGTCAGATTGTCTCCAACTCTCTGGCGAATCGATGCTCCATCGCATGGGCGAATGCCGTCCAACTCCTTACAATTGCGGGTCAGTGTCTCGTGGTAGAGCCGGAGCGGAAAGCATGCGTCCGCATTCTGCGAGAGATTCAGCAACGAACGGGCTGGAACACGCGGGCAAGCGTCGATAGAGTTGGCGCAGCGTGGGAGAATAGTTGGAGATATGACTCCGTGGGGAGGCACTCGGCGGTCAGACAAGCTGATGCTGGGAAACTGCTGTATCATGTTTGGCTTGGCGAGGAAAGAAGTCCAGGCTAAATGATCCGGGCTCAGATACGACGCTCGACTTGAAACTCATTTCCAGGAGATGAGGGCAGGACAGAAACCATCAACGCTACCCGTTACAGTATAAACGACCTGTGGGGGCTTGTCTTTTTGGGTATAGTCATCAGGGATTCACACTGATTGGACACTGAGCATCACTGAGTCTGAGGTCCGAGCCCTTGCTGGCATCTACAATGGGGACCGTAAGTATTTCCCCAAGTGCGGGTCCGGTAGGGTCAACCCAACAACCAACTTTTGGGAAGGCATGTACCACTCAGTATTAAGCGGGCTCGCTTCAAAAAAGCTTTACTTTGATCCGTGACTACAGAGAAGTATTTTGAGGAGATAATTCGAAGATCCATATAGCTTTTTAGTGACGATAGAGCGTTTTGAAAGTTAATGTGTAAATATGGAGGACCCGCCGAGGCATTCACTGAGCTTTTCAACCCCTTCAACATTATTTACATGCTATTAAAACAATGACTTCTTAGGTTATATCTATAGCTTATTTATTTAAAGAGGAAGATATAACAGTATTTAATAGTACCTTCAGGGGTAGGTAGCAGAATTATGGTGAGTAATACTATCCGTAAAAATTAATGTGTTAGTATAAAGGGTGATGAGACAAACACCAGTGGTTAGAAAGCTTAGGGTAGATTATCTTGAATTATTAAGAAATAATTCTGTGCGTCAGATGGGTATTAATCAACACGCGTACACTATCTAGTCAGTCATTTAAATTACAATTGATATATGTATTCATAATCAAGGCCCACGTATACTCGTATAATGATAGTCTAGGTACGATAACCTACATCAAGCTCTTATCTAGAGGCCACTACCCATCTTGATATCAAGTGCTTTAGTTTTATGCTATAATGAACTTTGATATATAGCGTGACACAGTAAGCTGGGTAGGAGTTGATAGGTCATTAGGTTATGTTCTAGTTTATGAAGAATAATCACGTAATAGGTAAAGAAACAAGCATAAAAGCGAGTCCAGCAAGCGTCTTCAAACCACGATTAAGTAACGACAAATGATAGAAATCCGACTATTGAATTTACTAATGGGTAATTCTAGTAACATACCATTTCTGCCGACCTGGAAATACGGGACTTATACTCGAAATATTGAATTGAGGGATTGGCCCTTGAAAGATGCCGTCCTCCACTTTGTTATATTAGGCGGGAGAAATGGACCTGGTGTCCCGTTTGGGGGCCAAGGGGAGATGGGGGCCAAGAGGAGATGGGGGGCAAGGGGAGAACTGTTCAACCCGCGGGATCTATTACCGGCTTGTTTTCTTATTCCTTCCATGTTATATATATACCAGAGCATTACCGATGAAAACCCGTTAACCCAGTTCATTATTTAGGTCCCCGCGAACACACATCAGCAGAGATGCGCACAAACTACTTTCAAAGCCCTTGCCAAAGTGATCGATTAGTGGCACTTTTGGCCCCAATATTACCAGGGATGTGGGGTCATAATTACGCTGCTATGAACTAGGCTTTACTCTGCCTTACCAATAATCTGCATATAAATTAATCCTATCGTAGCTTTGAAAGGTCTAGCCATTCCCAGAGCCGTCTCTCACCCATTGACTGATTTTTTTATTTTCACTCTTCTCTCAATAGGAAAGTCGCTTATTTCATGTCTTGGTCTCAAGTCTCCAAAAGTCGGTGGGAGCGGCCCGCCGGTGGCATGGAGGGATTCTTCACTGTAATGGAGAACACTTCAAGCGCACTCTGTGGCGGCCGCCGCCAGTTTACTATCTTCTCTCGCCTCAAGGTTGACTTACAAATCCCAGCTGCCGAGGTGGAAGATGCACTGCGATACGCGTGGAAGCAATTGCGCTATGAGCAGCCACAGATCGCTGTAACCTCGGAAGGGTTCAACAAGATCTACGAGGTTCCCGATGAAGCTACGCTTCAGTCATGGCTGAATAGGACATTCATCGTATCCGATTACGCTGATGGCGAGACTATTGGAAATGAAGCCAAACCGATCGAACAAGCCACCCTCTACTATGTGCCAAAAGCTTCACAGCTCGTCATTCGAGTCTCTCATTCCGTCGTCGATGGTGTAGGTATGATGCTTGTATGGCATTCATATCTAAACGCCTTGACCAACCCGAAGCCCAACCTAGTATTCGGGGAAGAAACTACTCGATTGCCCCCTTCGTTAGAAAAAGCCTTGGGCCACCCCGACGTGCTACCGGAAGAGACGGCGGCCAAGGGCGCAGAAATAACAGCTGATACGGTGGGTTTCCTCCCGGGCTTCGGTCCTCCGAGTCGAATAGGTTCTGTTCCAGCTGGACCCACACAGAGGCGCGATTTTGAGTTTTCCGAGCAAGCAACCGCCGCTATTGTGCAGGCCTGTAGGAGGAATGGATACAGTGTCACCGCAGCTGTGCATGCTGCTCTCGCCTTGACAGTTGTCAAACATGCGGACCCTGCACAAATTACAGAGAGGACGATGTATGCTACGGTTAATAGCTTCAACCTTCGTTCCCACCTCCCCGCGCCATATAGCTCCACCGCCGCGGCAGTCTACTATTCCATTTGGCCCTTGATCCTCAAACGACCTGAGAGCTTCGAGGAAGTCGTACGCCTCATTGACGAAAATTACAAGACCTCATTCAACGGCAATGCGGAGAACCTGGCACTGACCGGCTCGGTCACTGGTGCCCTCTGTGACACCGTGAAGACTCCAGAATTCTGGTCTGCGCCTCCAGCCCGAGACGCCTTAGTGAGCAGTCTCGGTATTGTCGAGCGCTATCTACGGCAATCTTATGCCTCTGCTGATAATGGCAGATTGGTTACTGTTGAAAGTTTCAAGCTCGGCACGGAGATCATTCTGGGACATAGTATGTTCTTCTTCTATACATTCCGCAACCGGCTGCAACTCGTTTTTAGCTTCAACGAATCCTATGAAGACCAATCCCACATCCAAACCTATTTGGAGGACGTGCGAAATACTCTACAAGAGAAGCTTATCGCATGAGGATGCGGGCTAGAATCAACTATATCGATAAACTTGATTTTCTCGATATCTTTCCACGCGCTTAAATCGAAACTTTCAAACTAGAAACGATTGCAAATAGCTTCGCAATAACGGGAATAGTCCTAGATAATTCAAATCGTGTGATTTTTCACCCTTTACAGCTTACGACGGTCCATAGTGCAACCTTTGGGTCCTCTGTTACCTGTGAACCCAATCTGCTAGGAATTGCTTATGATGGTTATTTCCCATCCACAACAGACCTGAGCCAGCTCTGTACGTCATCTTGTTCAAAGTCGCTTATGAAACTGTAGTATCTCCAAAAACGCGCCTGCTCGAAACAAGACGTCCTGTCTATCGATGGAGAACACTATCCAGCAACATTCACGTTCGAGAACCTACTCTGGACTTTTATTTTACCTGCCGTCGAGAGCCTAGCTCTGGTGACTGGTGTGCACCCATTTCCGACGCGTGGGCCAATGGAGAGGCTCCTAGGAGCAGCTGCTCTGACTGTGTGCTGGGAACCTACCAAGAACAGTTGGACTTTCCGCTGGGCCACGACGATGAGTTAGCGTCTAGCTTCTCATCATTAACCTCATCTTGTAGTGCAACAGGACACCCGATGACTTCGCCTGCCCTAGCGACGGTTGCTCAGAATAATTCGGCTACCGCTACTTTCACAGCAGCCCAGGCCTCCGAGTCATGCACCAATACCTATGTTAGAAAGACGGGGATGATTGCCATTCAATCAGTCGTTCCCAGCAGGTTTCTACTGCAGAAACTCTATACTTTAACAACCTTGAAGCGGGATGCACCCACTTCCCTGTCGCGGGAACAAAACTGTGAATGCCTCACAAGTGTGACGTCTATACTGTCAAAGAAAAGGACACATGTTACGGCATTACAAACTCCTACAACAACACATTCATCATGTCTCAATTTGTTTCATGGAACGTCGATATCAATAGGGGTTTGTGACAATCTCGAGATTGTTGTTGGCAACCAAATTTGTGTCAGCTTTCCTGGTGATGCCAATGCCCCTAGTATTACGGGCGCCCCAGCCGGGAAGACGTCGGACCTTTCGTTTTCTTGCTTTACGCCAGATGCCACGGCCGTGGATGATAGTTGCTACGTGAATACCTACTCAACCATGACACCATGAACATGGAACCCCGTGGACACGGTGGAAACAGTTCCGGGGGTTCAAGCGGCTCTCAGTTCTGATACACAAGCATACGAGCAACCCCGGTCCCTAGTCTAACCACTGTTTTGCACTCCCCGAATCCGACGCCAACCCTGTGGCTTCGCATACATATAATCCATCGGACGCTCACTGCGTCGTGTTTCTTGATCGAAGGGCAGTTGCAACTTCCCAAGTTGAGCCCCGAGCAAATATTTCCTCGTCTTTCATTGAAACAAAAGAGCCATTGTGAGGATCCTTCTGCGCCGCCATCCACAAATCCTCTAAGGAGACCTCATCAGCATGCCAACGTCGGGTGACGTAAAGGTTATGAATAAGCTGTTGGAGACGAACGCGCAGGTAGCCTTGGTACCCACTAGAGTTTTGATCTTCGGTATCTGTCATGTAGTCTGGGTCGACGGCCCCAATCCAAAAGTCATCTGCTAAACGGTTTTCCAAAACAGAGGCTGCAGAGTTGCCATCTATGTACAGAAAGACATTCCGCAGAATTCCCACTGTGAACCCCTCGGGCATAGAGGTAATGCTTACTCCCGCCAAATCGTTCATGAGGTACGAAATCTCTTTTTTGGGGGGAAACGATCGCAGATGATTGAACTGCTTCCGCAATTCGCCGAGGGTCACAAGAAAGCTTTCGTCTCTAGTGGGCGTCGAGGAAGGCCAATCTAAAAACTCGACGGTGTATCTCGATTGAATTGTGAGACAGCAGGCGATCGCACTGAAAGACATATACATTGAATATGACGACTTTCGATCATAAGAATCCCAACAGTCGGGATTCTCTGACTTCCAATAAAGGTTCACAAATATTGCATAACCCCACGGCTTTTTTGCCCTCATCTTCTAGCCATAGCTGACGTAGCCAGGGCTGCCCATGTTGCAACATTATCTCTATTTCCTCTCGCTTCTCAGCTTCGTCCATTTCTCGAAGTCGTCGGTCGTCCTCATCTAACGCATTTGCGATTGCCTTGGCTTCATATTGTTCGTAGAGATGGCTTTGGAAATCCCGCAGGCGCTGCAAGGTTTCCGTGCGATGCTCATAGGAGATATCAGTCGACTTATACAGAGCATCTTCGAATGCGTCTTTTTCGTTGAAGGTAAGCTTTCCCCAATAGCGACTCTGTAACAAATCAATCTCAGAGGATGTTAGGTCTCTCGGTGACTCGGCAGCCTTTTTCAGGAAATCTTGCTTATTCGAGGTTGTTGGAACTATGGCAGCAATATTTGCGACTTGGGTTATAAGGTCAGGAAAGCCGAGAAGCCGCATGCGATCCTCTGCACTGAGCGCAGAGGGGTTGTTTTCAAATTCTTGAAAGGTTGCAAGCAAGCTATCAGCATCATCCAGATCCCGGATAACGCGGACGAAAGCAGAAAATAAATGTTCCATGATCCGTGTAGCGGATGGAGAGAACTTTGGGTCTCAGCCTGTAGGAGTTGATGTGAACCAGTATCTATTCACTGGGTGGGGGCGTTTTCAGACTGTAGGTTTCGCTCCAGGGCTGGTGAGAGACATCAATGTATAGATATTCCGGTACTCAGGGCAGCAAGTTTGAGTCAGGTTGTGCATACAACCTTGGAAACCGGAGAAGAGTGACGATGGGTGGTAATGTAAAGAATGCAAAGCCATACACATACAGTAGAGCACGGCTGACTAAGATATGTGGCTCCTAGTATGCCGATCATACCCGTTTCCATTACTCTGGCTACTTCAGAGTATCGCCCAAAGTCTCCCTCTCCCTCTCAATTCGCTAAATGTGTAACCACATCGGCGATTAGCTGCTCATCCGGTCATGTCATATTCCTTGCATTTTCACAATAAATCAAACTCCTATCCTTCGGTTATCATTTAAATAATCTTAGATCTATATACTACTGTTCATCTAGAGTAATACTATTGTTACGACACGTCTATAGAAGGCCGACATAAAGGCCCGAGGATGAGCCTATAAGCTCTTAAGTTTATAGAGTCTCCTATGTACTACGTACTATAGGAGAAAGGTTAAGCCGATAGGTTTAGTTAACTACTTAGATAAGCCGCAATGTGATCTTTCACCTACTCTTACCCTACTTCTCACCCTATCTATTACGCACTTACTCTTCTTAGCCGCGACGCTAAAGCGGCTCTTACCTGTTTCTTACCTAGGCGGCGCCCACCGGACTACTGGCCGCATTGAGGTCACACGTAGTTTCATCCCTTGTACGCTTGTGCTACATAATTTACTTCAACGCGATGTCAAGCACATACGACCATAGGGTGTGGAGAACAGGGCTTCCCGTCCGCTCAGCCGTACTTAAGCCACACGCCGGTTAGTTAGTAGTATGGTGGGTGACCACATGCGAATCCTAACTGTTGTATGTTTTTAATTTTTATTTAACATTCAACTTTATATGCCTATACCACCCCCTTCAAGAGGTAGTCAAAGCAGCGCGTGGGAGCTAAGAACCACATTAAATTACAGAAAGCTTCAAGAACAAGCTTCTTCTATCAAAAAGCTTCTAAAAGAATGCTCGAAAAAATCCACTAAGCCCTTTAAATTCCGCAATAGATCAAATGGGGATACTGGAGTCGGCCTCTCCATGGAAGTGAAGGAGTCGACCTCCACGGTTCAGGAATGGAGAAAGATCGGGAAGAGTGGTCTGGAGCGAGTCCATGTACTTGTTCATGCCTTCGATCATCCAAGACTTCAAGTCGTCATTGGTCACATCAGTCATGACGAGTGAGCTAACATTCTGCCAGTTCAAGAACTTGGTGACCCATTCACCGTTTGAGTTCGGCGACTCAATAGTCCACGAATCAGTATCCGAGTCGTAGGTAGTGGTATCACCAAAACCAGCACCGGGCTGGAATGGCAGGTAGACTCTGTCACCGTTTGAGTCTTTCTAAGATGCTGTATTAGTTTCAAACCACGTAGATAGGATTTTAGGCAGAACTTACCAGACCAGTGAGTAGATCTTGGATGACTTCAATATCGTTTGCCGAGATTGTACCATTTTGTGCGGGAGTGGTAGAGCTGTCGGCTCTCTTTCTCTTTCCATAGCCAAGGCCTAAGCTGGTTGTGGTGCTTGCGGCACAACTGTAGGATTCACCGATCATGGAGGAAACGTTAAATTTCAGCAAGCAAAGGTCAGTGCGGGAGATCACTCCGTCGACCTTCCCATCAAGCTTGTCGGAAGCATTGATTGTCGCGTTTATCACGGTATCAAACACACACGACGGTGGGTAGTGTCCAATAGTCCGAATCTGGATGGGCGAGGCGATGTGGTTGACTTGCTGCTGTCCATATCGCATGGCAGGGGCACCAGCAATGATACCATCGTAGAGCTCAGGAGCCTTTTGGACCTGGCTCATGCCCTCACGTCCACCTTCAGAGCAACCCATGTAGTAAGTGTAGACTTTGTCGCTGCTTCTCTTGCTGGTGCTTTCGCTGAGCCCGAAGTAGTTCTTGGTGAAGATCTTTCCAATCTCAGTCATCTCAGCGATAGCCTGGTAGGCGAAGTTGTAGATCGCTGGCCAGTTTGCAGTGCCATTGCCAAGCAGAACAACGTCGTCAAAGTCGGTACTTCCCCAGTAAGGGAGGCCTCCATCCGTCATACCAGTGACAGTTCCGTAGGCCACACCACCTGACATGTCGGCGCCACCAGATCCATTGCTGATCTGGTATGCTGCACCTCATGTGGCGAGAAATCGGTTTTGAAAGTTCTCGGCAAGGGGCATCCAGTACTCGACAACAATTTGGTCATCCAGATTGTCGTGGGAGAATCGATGTTCACATTTTCCCAAAAGGTCGCATCTGTGACCGAGTAGTTGCGGTACGTGTTAGCAGTGACCGAACTCTCGTCGATGGTGATACCGAGAGGATTTTGTCGTCAGACGTCGGCAGGCTTGACTTGATATATTCCTTTGTGCAAGCCTTGCTCAGAGAGGTTGCGGAAGCAGCCCCAATGAGAAGGGGGGCAAGAAGGCCGATCATGGCGACTCGTGGGCAAAGTCACACGAGCGGAAGATGATTGCAGGATTAAGCTTGATGGGCAAGTAGAACAGGCGAAAGCTTCTTCTTTATATGAAAAGGGTCAATTCCAAGGTAACGCCTAAGCTCAACGTCACCCTGCCCCTAATTCCCTCGGATGCACTTTTTGCTCCATATCGGCTTTAGATTAATTGACTGGGGTTCCACATAGAGCATGCACAATTTTCAAGGTTCTTCAGTCTAACCATTTTGAGCGTCAAATCAGCGCATGACTCCTAAGATAATGCTACAATTAGCCCCGTTCCCGCACGTCGGACATGATTACGCGTATTAACTCGGCCCAGTTCACCCAATGTGGAACCCCGAGATGCAGATCATTTCCCCGGTGCCTGGTTTCAGGCTAACCAACGTGCTTTTTTCAACATGCGGCGACGTATGAGTGTTTTAGCGAAAGTTGGCCGCAGGATCAACAAACAAAATCAAAGGACATGGTCCGAGAAAATTTGAAATTTTCCAACCAAGACTTTCAGCCGTGGGATTCATATTGTTTTGGGAATTTCCCACTAGTTCTACGGCGGCCTATCACCGCCATATTCTTGCCCAAATATCTAAGCTTGACGTTTCGGCATGAGCTTTGAGTAAATATTACTACCCCTTTTCTCAGGTGACGGTTTGTGGTAAGGGTGGCTTCACTGTTGTAGGGGAGAGAGGCCCAATCGGTGATTACAAAGGACCTCAGGTCTGTAAACGTAACTTGGTAAAGGAAGTGCTAAGCGACACTATGTGTGATCATATGGATATGGATTTCAATGAACCGAAATTTTTGGTGAAGGCTGCCAATGACCGAGATCCGTGGAATGCTGATAAATTTCTCGTTTATTGCCCAGGCGTTTTATTTTTATTCCCTTTTTTTTTTTTTTACACAGCAAATAGCCTGTATTCACAAATCTAGAGAGAGCATAGTTTCTCTACTACAGTCAGACCAAACAACCTTACAGCAGTAAAAATTGAGGAAAATATTTCACGTGTTGTCTCGAGGTCAGTGGCCTCGGGATATCCTAGCTATCTATGTCTTTCCAAGACATTCTTTTGGTTTCTTGAAGATCAAATCGTCACTCCAAGGACCTTGGAAAATAAGACTAAACAAAATGACAGAACTTCAAAAAGCAGTGTTATTTGGGACCAAACCTTCAGGCTATACGGTGCCCATTGACCGATCAAGTGTGACGCTTCTTAATACCGCACTTGCTCAAGCACTCCTCCACCTTGATCACTGAGCCTGCAGGAATAGCATTCTTGACTTTGTCGATATCCTCTCCAGATATGCTCTGCCCAAATGTAGCAGCAATAACATCATCGCTCAGAGAGAATGTCTGCTCCGCGACCAAGCCAAACCCAATATCCTCTGACGAGAATGCCGCCGTGAAATTTGCTGGCTCACAATCCGGGTTCACCTGCGTGTGGAAAGAGCCGGCCGGGAAGATGGTCATCTTGCCGGGACCCAGTTCGGCGTTGATAACTCGTTGCTTGCCTTCAGAGTCAAGCACGCCTGCTTCGGGCACCATCTGGGTGAGAACGCGCCCAGAATTAATGACGAAGAGCTCCGTGGCACGAGGGTGAAGATGGAGGTAGACCATGCTGCATGCTATTGAGCACATTTAGTAATAGGGAAGCTTGATGCATTGTTGATAACATACCCGGCAGTGAGCCCACACTGAAAGACGTTCCATAGCCAACCAAAGCCGGAAAAGTCTGGCGGTTGGCGACCAGGCTGGTGTTGTTGTTGAAATCGAATACGAAATCCTCATCTTTTGGGAGGAGCTTGTAGCGGTCAATGGAGCTAAAAAAAAATTAGATTTTTCTGCTTCTGAAATTGAGCCCATTTCATAGAACTCACGTATCCGCAATTTGTAGTTGAGCTGTCAGGCTGAGCTCAGAGGCCGATCGCCTATTCATCTGCCGAGGTGCTGCCTCTGCCGGAATGGCAAAGGCAAGGATAACAGCAAGAAAGGAGCTAAGAGCAGATCCTGAAAGCATGCTGGCTATTGAGATATAAAGGAGTATATTGAATGTTGTGCAAGTGGAAGGTGAAGCTGGAAAGTGTTGTTAAGCTGTCGAGGAATGTTTGATGATGAATTATGAGGAAGCAGTGGACTTGAGCTCTTATATACCTGAGATCCAACTTGCAAATCTGGATATCAAGTCAACTACCTCGTATATCCATTCCAAATACTCCCAGCCGGACTGAGGCACTGCGCCTCATTCATTTGTTTGGAAAGGCTCTAGGTTTGAAGTGGAGCCGTCATCCGCAGCGAAGCTAATATACACAGTTCACCCATCATTATTGTCAATGCTACCATACGTTTATGTGGGTGGTAGATGATCTCAGTAAGTAAACCTAGCCCGCGGGCCAAGAAATCATCAGACCGATTTGCCAAGAATATCGTGGCAAGTAGTCAGCTCTGACCTAGGTTGAACCTCCCAGGAGCGCAAGTATGGCCTAAAAGAATGTGTTATGAGCGAATGAGTGTGGGTAGGGGCGAAAAGAGGCTGAATCAATCTAAACTACTCAGTGCCCGAAAGTGGATTTGTATGTAACTTGGCGGTTGTCGTATTACATAAGCGGGTTGGCTTGAGCGTATTAATAATACGACTTGGTCCAGTCAGCGTGCATTTTGATGATCAGTGCTGCTACTCACCACCCGCTCCAAGCGTATTCCCACCTTGGCGCGAAACATCGTATTTATGATAACCTAATGGGATGAGCTAACACAAGCTTCAAAAAAAGTTATTCTGAAACGATATAAAATCCAACTCTATTTACGTTGCGAATTTGTCACGGTATGGATTCTATGGAACTTCCTGAAGACACCACCATTTCCGGAGGCCATGGAGAATCGATCAGCGCCGATGTACTTTTTGTGAAAATTTTTGAAACCACATGCAAGTCAGCATAGCTCAAGGAACGCCTGACCTAAAGAAGGACTTTCGACCTCATGAACTAGATGGGTGCCAATGATAGACATGCGACACTAGAGAGAACACGAGAAAAGATACCATTCAACCCTCGCCACATACGCAAGACAGTGGTAAAGATCTATGCCAGTGCTTCAGTATTCATGTTACTGAGAAAAAGTCAAATATATAGTACTTCTAATTGGAAGCAAGTTCCAGCTTCACACAGTGCATGCTTTCGGGCCACCAGGTTTCCCTGGTATCTATGGGCTGGTGGAGCGAAACCTGAGGCTTCATTAAAGCAATAACTCGCCCCAGCTCCCATTGTCCAATGCCACCAATCCACCATACGCCGTCCAATAACATGACAAGCACCAGCCAGTGAGCAAAAATATCCATAGTCAATAAACGCATCGACTTCAGTAAAGAGTTCTCAGTCTCTGGGGAGTCAGGTGTCATCATATTCTCAGCGCCAGCCTCCATGGATGATGAATCGAGCACTGACTGGACAAGGTTGAGAAAGTTGGCCGGCGCTTTATTCAAGAAAGACATGACGGTCCGTCGTAGTGCTCTTGGCGACGTCATTGAAGTGACACTGGCCATATATTCTCCGACCCAGGGTGAGACTTTTTGGATGTGTTTCAATATCGAATGCTCAAATTTGGGGCCAGAGTTCCTTTCGACGGTTCTATTTGTAGAGAGGGCGTCCGATGCACATATTTCAAGGACTGAAAATGCTCTCAAGCAAGCATCAAGAGAAAGATGGTTGCAGTTAGAAGTTTCTGGCTTCTCAAAAAGAGCCACTGTAGATTCGACTTTCCCACGTAGAGTTTCGAAGGCTTGTGCGTATGTAGAAGTAACTAATGGAAGAAATAGACTTTTTGTTCTTTCAGTTGGACCGTCCTGTGGAGACAAGACGACCGTGTCATTTAAGATTGGGTTCGGCAGTGTTGGTATGTTAGCCGGCGGGCTTGGGGTGTTTGCGTATGTCTGGACAACGGGCACACTCTCAACTATGCCATCGAGTATTGCGGTGGATGCCGTATGAGCCGCGCGAGTAAATGACATCCACTGTGAGTGCTGTGGAAGCAATTCATTTGGCAACTTCTGCCCACCACGTTTTGCACTGGCAGCCAAATGTACCCTGATAGAGTGACTGGCGGAAGCGTACAAAACCATAAGTGCTGCATTTGCGAGGATGTTGTCATAACAATCTGAATGTGACATCACCACCTGAATGTGCTGCAGAGAGCTTCTGTGATGGTGTTCCGCCAACATGAGTAACTCCCGGATCATTACGACGGTTTGCGCATCCACAAATGTATTGGACTTGACTAAATCATGGCATTTGCATGCTGCTGCCAAGGCGATCAGGGATGACATGACAGGTCTGCTCTTGAAGGCGATATTTGGGATTCCCACAGAAAGTGCATAGTGGTCAAGATTGTCGAAAGGTATGTTCTGACTAGTGTGTGTGAGATAATGACTGAGGAGATTAAGTTCCGTCGCGTCAAGGGTGTTGGGGGGATCTGAATTTAAAGATAGTGTTTCACGATTTTTATTGACATCCGTAGGACAGGGGGATAGTGAAGTTGGAGAAGCGCCACGCGGGAAGGGGCCGAGGGTAGGGGCTTGATCGTCGGGACATGCAGACTCAAAGTTCAATCTAGAAAGTCGCCGAGGACCCTGATATTCACAATCGTACCGGCGCTTGGCACATCTGGAGCAGCTCGGTCTCAACTCATCGCACTGGGGATATGATCAATATAAGTCGGGCTGGTCTTTTTGTAAAAAAGTCTACCTTCTTTCTTTGTTGCTTGCATCTAAGACAGCCATGCCTAGATTTCGCATGCGACCTCCGAAGCTTGTAGTCTGTCACGTCACCAGCCATGCTGTCGGTCGCATGGTTAGCCCCAGAACAGATAAACCCAGAACCAAATGCGATCACGCAGGAAAGATTATGTTGTACTCGTGAGAGGCCCTGGGGAATGCCTTAGAAGACATAAATTATGAGTTCCGTCATCTTCCTCAGGGGCTTGGCCGCTTAGGTGAGGTTGAGGTGCCCAGGCCCGGGGACCCCACTTGAGGCTGATGATTTGGAATTCCAAGAAAGTGCCAAGAAACTCCGCCCTTGAACACGAGCACCGCTGTTTTGGAGAAAGAGAGAGTCGGAAATTGAAAGGGATGTTCGATACATGCTAGGTAAGGATGATGCTGACCGAGCAAAGGGAAACTGGAAAATTGACATGCGGCTGGTCTATACCTGTTTATTGGCCCGAGTTAACGTGTTGTAGCGCGATGTATTTGAACGTTACCCGCGACATATCACAGGTTCATATGTATATATAGTGTTCGTCTCTAGTTTTGTATTAGCCTCATGGGAATACCTCCACTGAGATAGACGTGACAACTTCACCAAGAGGGCCAGACATTGCGTCAGAATTGCTTGTTGGGAAGGCCGGGGGAGAGGCTATAATCAACTACATCTTCGTTAGCCTAGTCTCATCTGGTCGGGCTAGAGGCTCTTCATTGAATAATTCGGGGTGATTGACAGATTTTGTAAGCAGTGGGAGGAATGTATGAGGTTAGAGGTCCAGAAGGAAGGCACGCTTACGGGATGTTGACGCTTCCTTATAGCACACAAAGTTATTCTCTTCACAATATGCTTCGGCGTTCAACTTAAAATGGCGCGGCTATAGGGCACCCCATTATCCCAAATAGGTTTAGTCATATTATTGTACTTTCTAGTCCTAAGTGAATAAATCTTCTCACGCTCTATTCTTTTCCCCCATCATCATCTTCTCTTTCTTTCTCGAACCAACTCTGTGTGGTCAATATCTCCACCCCCTCCGTCTACCCGCCAAGATGACGAATGACAAGAAACAGAAGAAGAAAACAATTGAAGCCCCGGTTAACCTCATCTGAAGGGGATTTGGGTCATTTACGCGAAGCTTGGATGTGGATCCTTCAAAGGCAGACCTCCTACTCCCAAACCTTCAAGCCGCACTACAGCAGCAGCAGGAAATCCTCAAGCCTGCTCCCGTTGAGGGAGTGACGTGGAAGGCCATTGGAGATCTCACTCGAGACGAAATTCATGAGGGGTTCGGCATTGTGACATAGTCACCTGAGTCCGACGGCCTACAGCCCTGGCCGCCTCGCAATATGATCCCAAGGGATATATCAGCCGGCTGCTGTAAGTCTTTCTCTTCATCACAATTGTGTTGTGTGCCTTGATGGTGTTGTGGGCTGCAAAACTAATAGTGAAAAGTAGCCTCAATCCAAAGCGTCCAGAAATACATAGCACGCTCGTCACGGAATGAGGCTGCTGCAAGGGTTGTGATTGACCTTATTCTCTTTGACATTCTCGGCCCGATCATGGATGGCCACTGTGACATTCCGGGCACCTGGCCCCTCCACATCCAGATGGAGACTAGCCTAGAGTCCAACATGGTCACAATGAAGGGAAAGGACCTACGGTTCCGCGGGACGAGCGACTATACTCTATGGTACGGCAATGGTGATGGGCCTGAAAAGGCAACCAACCTAATTATTCTAGAGGCAAAGGCTCAAAAACCTGGCTTGAGTGATGAGCAAGCCCTAGGCTACATGAGTAAGTTTCTTTAAAATCGCATTTTTCTTATGCAACTTCTAATCTATATATTGGTTCTAGGCTGCGTCCACCAAGAGAGACGGCTTAAGCCCGGCCGAAGCGCTATCGTGTATGGTGTCGTTACAGACGGCGAGGAATGGCGTTTTTGCCGGATTAATGACGAAGGAAGATATTCCTGGGACGTGGAGTTTTTCGGGCAGCTATCGGGTGACTTGAAGGGTAAGGAGACCGGTTTTGCAAAAATTGCGACGCTCTTAGGCTTTATTATGGAGCAGGCCATGATTCTATCGCCGTACACGACGAGGGTGCACTCTAAATAGACATCCAGAGAAGACGACGCGCTAATGACCGGTTAGGATTGACTCTTTTTCTTATTAGTCCAGGTTACATATTCGCTCTGATTCAGGTTTTATTCAGTATCTTTTAGGTTTGTGGAATGACATGGAATAAGAAAGGCAATTGCTTGAATCTTCTTTGTTCTTAAAGTAGTTCTGACTCATTTTTGGCTTTAATGGAATCCTCTAAGCAGATTCAAATAAAAGCCAGCTGGACATCTAGCTCGGAATATTGGATGAGTGTTTTTACCGATCTTTCATATTGCATTAAGAATAGCTTTTTAGATTCATTATAACGGGATTCAATAACCGCCTCCTACTAGGTATCTGGATGGCTTATCGAATTCTCCTTATTGTCCATCTCAATCAGCTGAACAAAGCTCGTATTGGGCCCGCCATCAACGGTCCTTATCTTCTTCTGGCTGCTGGTATGACGCATACTGCTGGCCTCTTTGGTGGATCCAAAGACTGTCGGGAATAGACGACCAAGCAAGGAACGCAAAGCTGGCATGCATAGACAGAAAATCCCAACATCTATTTCGATCACGGACCAATAGCCACCAGGAGCATTGTCCCCTATAATGAAGATCGATTAGTTTCTGATAGATGAGAAAAGGGAGGGGGCAATACATGTTGGATTGGTACTTGCGGCGAAGAGCTTGAGCATTATGGCGCGGTAGATGCCAACGCCGGTAATTCTGAAGAACGAAAACATTAGCTCTTTGCATCCCGGTATGTTCAGACGTTATGGAGGTCGGAAACCGAGGGAAAACTCACAAAAATCCAATGGAAAACATGAATACCACCTGCAGTTTTGTATTCATTGATGCCTGGAGCGTTAGTACCCTGGGAATAGGCAGAGCAATAACCCAGATATCCAGGACAATATTGAACGCGGCAGCAGCGACAACCAGAGGGTTTGTCTCTACGCACATCCCTTTGTGCTCTCCATCCCAGCCATCCCAGTTATAGCTCACAGGTGAGCATTGAAATGCAAAGCCGAATAAGAAGGTCAGGCCGAAGCAGATTGTCACGAGGCAGGATATTTTGATTACCGATCGCATTCGGTCTGAGGGGAATATGCGCAGGTAGAAGAGGAGGAAACAAATCTTGACTATGGCGACGCAGGTGATGTAAAGAAGTTCCTGAATGTAAAAAAGCTGTTATGGTGAGTTGGCCGATGGAAGCTTTTGTTTGCATACTGGAAATTCGTACATAAAAGATGCGGGTTATCTTAGTGAATTCAAGGGTCCACATATCTTTGCCAAGACCAGTCTTTCCAACTAAAGCGAGTGTTAATAATGATTCTATGCTGGCCAAAGAAAGGGAGAGAGAGGTCAATCAATGCCACTTACGCAGGATCGAACCGACGTTGACTGGTACCGCGCAACACTGTGACAGTTAGCTTAGACCCTTCCAAACGCATCTGTGCCAGATCTCACTCCGAGGAGAATAGTTGCCCAGTCATCCAATTCGATGTCCAGATTTGTGACGATAAGGCGTGTGTATAGTCTCAAAATTATGAGGGCCAGAGTAATGCTCATCCCGATTGCTGGGACCAGGAGGCTCAAAGAAGTCTGATCTCGAATTGGAGCTCCACATGTTGTGTCGGTGACATTAACAGCAGCTATGCGATCGGTCAGAATGCGAAGCTCGCACATGTTTCTAGATTCCACGCACTGAGGGCCTCCTTGACGGTGCAATTTGCCGTAACACAGATGTTCAACGCCTCGTTGAGTTTAACATTTGTACATATACATGTCTGGTTTTTGGAAGCACAAGGTGACTGGGGAACGAGGTCGGTTAGGCAGTCCAGCTACAAATGATGTCAGCATCTCAGGGTACGGGTGGATCTTCCAAATCTCACAGCGCATGACGGTAGAGACTGTGTTTCGGCAAATGCTAGGCCACTGAAAAAAGCTACGGCGTAGGGTAAGAATGCAGCCCAAACTCGAAGGCTTCGCATTCTGCCGTGACTGCGAAGGGCTCAATTCAATCATTGATGCAATCAGGGAGAGATACGGGATATATTCTATTTATTAAGCCCCGGGAGAGACTTGACCGGGCCAGCGGGACCAAAACTCTAAGATGGAAAATCCAAATCGTAATCATATTCTAAAGGGTCTTGATCTTGAAGGATCGTGCACTGAATGGGCTTAGTTTCACATAATTTTGATGGTGATCCACAACTTCATGCCTTCGGCATCCCCACCACGAAGGAACTTTCATGCAAGAAACGTAAAAGCAAGGGGGCGCTGCCAACTACGGCAAAAGTCTGCACATCAACTAGTGACGCTAGCGCACGCATACAATAATGTTGTTTCAAAAGCTTCATTCTCACGTCAAGATTTGGTTTGCTAGATTATTCCGAGTGCTAGGAGCTGGACATAATGGAGTTCAGGATTCAGAATCGTATGAGTTCAAGGGTCCATATTGTATCTAGATCGATGAATGTCTTGGAATAGGCGGCAAAGCAATCGCGGAAACCACTAGTATTCTGTGGCTATTCCGCAAATGTTAGGTGGGTCTCATGAAATGAAGCTCGTACTTTTGCACTGTCAAGCAAGAACACCCCCTGTAACTTTCACTTTCAATAGTCCTTTCTCTCCTAAAGCATTGATGGGTCGAGATCATAAGTCTAATTTCATGGCTTGGTATACGCATAAGGTGAATACCTCAACACATCTCTTGATCAATTTTTTTTCATCAATCTAGGTCGTGACATGACACGTCCAATTCCCTCTCCCCTTTCAATACCCTTGTTCCTTATTCCGTCCGAAGGCCGATCATGTAATTTTACAACAACCTCAGACGTGTGACATGTTTTGACGCGTTGGGTTTTTAAGGATCCAGCCGTGTGGGTCTGCCTCTGTTCCACTGACCTACATGTAGGTACCATATAAGTTGCTCTGATTGGTTGATATGCAAACTCTACCTAGTGCGTCACCATGTCGCCGAGATGCCAAGTTTAATGAGTATCGGAACTTGCAGTTGAAGCTTTCGAGAAGAGATAGCTTAGCATTCAAAGACTCCATTATTTCCTGCTTGTACATACTAGGCGCAGGAATCCGAATCTAAAGGAATAGCAAAGTTCCCCTTAGCTTCGGTGGGAAACAGACAACATTTTTGTCTGTCTCCACACATTAAATCAGTAAGTGGGACCCATGTCAAACCTACCATTTTCTTCGCCCCCACGCTTTAACACAAAGTTAGACGCTCAACGTTCATGTTCGTTTTCCGTGCGCCAGCTCCCGTCAATACATACTCAATTAGATCTAACTGATGAAAGCCAAAATATCACTAGCGTTATTGTGATTGCCTACAATGTCAGCGTGAGCTCACTTTCGGTCATCCCAGCCAAAAACATTCTCGACAGAAAAAATATCTCTAGAGTACCGATAGTGGAGTCCCGTTCCGTGTGCTACAAGATTCACTGAAAACCTTCGCGTTGCATCCGTTTCATATGTAATGTGTATAATTGACGTTATGCCCTGGACAATCTATTTCAAACCACGCTCAAAACCACGTGCGGGTACCAATAATAGATCAGTAATAACCAAAACCACGCGCAAAAATAGTAGCATGGCTTGTGCGCGTTTGACCGGCTCATACCTACATTCAAACGCCCACTTTAACGGCTGGCTGGTTTGGCGTATTTGGAACCAGGGGGCGGAAGCCCGGTCAACGATACCCGTCTCCATCCGGGAGCATAAGTAGTATCCACTTGGTCTACAATACTAGTGGTAAAATCATGGAAAACAATTCGTTCCTATTCACCTCAGTGCCCAATGGGCTAAAATGTAAATTTATCTCTGCGCCAGTGCGGATATTGGTCAATCAATGAGAATCAGCCCATTCACCAACTCGGTGTCAACATTTGTGTCGCAAGTCATTTATATTTGACAAATCTATTGACTCGTGTAGCTCCCGAGGTCCGCGCAATTAGGGTGGCATAATTAGGGACGGCACATACTAGCTTACCACTAACCCCTAGCTCTTGTATAGACTACGTACAGAACAGGTATCTGTTCCGGAATAGACGAACTCCGAGATTCACAGGCTATGTGAGGTATTTGAGGCGCATCCATGCTAAATTAGGGGATTCTTAGTAATTGAGCAGCATTAAACTGATTGACAGATATCGTACAACTTTTCTATTCTACCTTGTCTTTCCTACGAATCATCTACCTACTCTAATTTTCTACTCCGTACGCCATGGCCCTTTATAGGTCGCCCGTAATCCCTATTCATGATGCCACGGACTTGTCCATCGCACAGTTCATGACGCAATACAATCCTGATGATGTGCCAGCATCAAAAGTCGTTCATGTTGAGACTTTCTCCAACGATGCCATCACGTATGGCTCTCTTCGCGAGCAGGCTGGTCGTGCTGCTTGGGGATTGCAGGCCAAATTGGGACTTCAGCCGGGCGATACCCTACTAGCACTGGTCAACAACTCCGTAAGTAACTCACTCAAAGACCGTGTTTTTTAGGATATCTAATTGGAAACATAGAATGCATTTGTTCTTCTCGCCCATGCTACGTGGTGGACCGGTGCTATCTTTGCGTAGGTTCACAAAACTGGAGAACCCTGAAAGCCGCTAATCAGGTTCCTAGACCCCTTAATACATCAGCGACTCAAGGAGATATTCTGCATGTCCTCAAGATCGTCAAGCCAACACACGTTGTCACTATTGAGGAGAAACTCAGCACAGTTCAGGCGGCTATAGCCAGTCTTTCAATGACGAGCAAGGTTCTGACCATTCGTTGTAAAGTGGACAATCTGCTACAGGTTTGTAGTACTATACCCTAGCATGATCGTATGTGCGTATTGACATTTTCCAGTTCCCGGACGATATTATTGGCAAAACTGCCACGGAGAGTATCCCGCCATATGACCTTCAGGGCAAAAGCTCCAAGGACGTGCCCAGCACAATTTGTTTCTCTTCCGGAACAACTGGAAAAATGAAGGGTGTCCAGCTGTCTCATTACAATCTTGTCATGAACAGCATCATCATGCGTGCCTCCATGCCAGTCAGAGTCAACTCAAACGTTCGCGAGGTTTTCTTTGCGCCGTGTAAGTTGTCCACTTCCTGATTTATCGGTCAAATAGCCGCATTGACGCGGTTTCATCTTAGATTGTCATTGCTACGGGCTAACTCTGGTGGTACTTTCTGGCATGTGGGTCGGAGCCCAATATTGCAGTCTTCCTGCTTTTGACTTGGAGACATTTTGCCGCAAGTCGAGTGAGCTGAAGGTTACCGACCTGCACCTTGTGCCACCGGTAGCACTTCTACTTGCCACTTCACCCGTTGCTCAGAAGTATGACTTGGCATCTTTGAAGAGAATTGTCATTTCTGCCGCACCATTGAAGGTACGTATGCCGACAGCGCTCCCTTGACACGATGGCAAGATGATATGAAACTAATCATGTTTTCCATTGCAGAAATCTGTTCAACTTCTACTCAAGAAGCGTCTACCACATGTCAGCGTCTGTCAAGGTCTGTAGAGCTACTGTATCTGTTTACCAATACCGTTTCACTAATATCGAAGCAAGGCTATGGACTTAGCGAATGCTCGGGGGGTGTTATCCACGAGATCGATGAGGATGAACAAGCTTTCGGATGCGTTGGCAAGCTCTTCGCTGGGATGTATGTTGCATATATGGCTTCCGTATATCGGATACTATTTCTAATTATGTGATAGAGAGGGTCGTTTAGTCGATCCAAAGTCAAACAAGGATGTCCCGCTCGGCGAAGAAGGTGAATTGTGGCTACGTGGCCCGCTGGTCATGATGTGCGAGGATCTTATCTGAATTTTTTTTCTCAGCATCAATCATACTAACCAGTCTTTCAGGGGCTATGTCAATGACAAAGACGCAACCGCCAAAACATTCTCCGATGATGGATGGATCAAATCCGGTGATATCTTAAAGATGGACGAAAATCAAAATTTCTGGGTCACTGATCGTCTCAAAGAGGTATGACTGACTTCTGTAACCATTCCTTTCCCGAATTCTAGCTGACTATTCTGATGTAGATGATCAAGTACAAGGGGTTTGTTGAGATCCCTGCTCCTCAAATCAATTATAATCAGCTAATCACTTTCATGTCATTTCAGATTCCAGGTAGCCCCCTCAGAACTAGAGGATATTCTTTTACGCCACCCAGATGTTATTGATGCTGCGGTTTGTGCAGTCTACGATGATGCTCAAGCTACCGAAGTCCCGCTCGCCTATGTCAGCCTTTCGCCAGAAAAGGCGGAGTTATCGGGGTCTGAGAAACAGAAGGTCCTTGATACGATCAAAGTCTGGATTGACGGCCAGCTGGCAGGGTACAAAAAGCTCAGAGGAGGCGTCTTCCATTTGCAAAGCTTGCCTAAGACCCCGACTGGCAAGATTTTGAGGAGACTCCTGCCTGCCAAGTTGAATGAGGAAAGGGAGGCGAAGCTTTAGCTACTTTCGTATAGAAAAATCAAAGCCGTATTTTTAGATCAGAGTCGAGTTCGATGTCTCCAAGCTCTGCAACTTGACCATCTCAAAATACCTTCTTCCCAGCTTCATCAACTCCTGGTGCGTCCCGTGTTCCACGACCATGCCTTCGTATAACACTATGAACATCAATTAGACTCTGATTTATAAATGGCTTAGAGATTGATTTGTTACCATATATGCAATCAGCCTTTTGCACTGTGCTTATCCGATGCGCAACGGCAATCGTGGTTCGGCCTTGAGCCGCCGCATCAAGAGCATCCTGGACGACCTTCTCAGACTCCGAGTCGAGCGCGGAAGTTGCCTCATCCAGGAGGAGGATACGTGGATTGCGAAGAAGCGCTCGTGCAATAGCTATTCTTTGTTGCTGCCCGCCAGAGAGCATGCCGCCCCTCGCTCCTATGACAGTCGAGAAGCCGTCACTGACAAAGATTAGTAGTTTCTCATTTTGGTTCTCAATAAGAATAGAACAATAAAGGCAGAGAAGCTTGGAAGGGGAAAATATGACTCACGGCAGAGATATTATGAAGTCGTAGATATTGGCATCCTTGCATGCCTTGATTATTTTCTCCTCGGAAACATCCTCATCATTGGTGCCTAGGGTAATATTTTCTCTGATGGTTCCTTGATACAGCGTCGACTCTTGGCTAACCAGAGCAAGGTGACTCCGATAGCTCTTGACATTCAACTTGGAAATGTCCTTCCCATCAACAAATATCTGACCCAGTTCAGGATCAAAGAAGCGCTCCAATAAAGCAATAACGGTGCTCTTCCCACACCCACTCGCTCCTACAAGACCTATGTATTGGCCTGGTTCAATACTCAGACTGAGGTTTTTAACAACGATCCTCTCGGGTCTGTTGGGGTATCGGAAATGGATATCCCGCATCTCCAAACTCCCGTCCATTTTGGTTAACAACTCGCCAGTTTCTTGACGGGCGTCGATGTTAACAGTTCGGTCTAACAGCGTTTTGATATCCTGAGCGGCCTGGCGTGATTTGCTCATATCTGGCGCGAAGGAGAAAATAGCGCCGGCGCTGAATGCTCCGACGATAACAGCAGCGTAAGCGATGAAGAACTGTACCATAGAATAGCCCTCGTTGATTATCAAACTTCCTCCATACCAGCGCAATGCAAAGAAAGTTGGCTGACTGCGACGCTGCATAATAGCTTGATGATTTGAGTGTCGAAATGACAGACTTTTGTCGCTGGGCTTCCAATATATTATGATATTCTTTCCGTATATGACCCTCGAGATTAAGCGATACAACTGTCTTTATAGCAGAGCTTGCCTCACACGCATAAGTTGCCGAAGCGGCATAAACCGCTTTCGACTGTCGAGCTATCTCACCGAGGATCTTGAGTCGGACGAGACCACAAGTAAGAACAATGGGAATAGTTGCGGTGCAAACAAGTCCCAGTTTCCAACCTATTGATATTGACACAGTCACGCCAGAAATCAGAGTCGTTGAGACGATGAGAATGGAGCCTAGTGTCACACCACTCATTCCCGCAAGGTTGGTGGCATCCATGGATAATGAGGATGTGAGTGAACCAGCCGAAAATCCTGCTGTGTCGAACATGAAAATATCCTGATGAAGCATTGCTCGAAAGGAGCAATCTCTGGCACGGTGAATCAAGCGCTCGGAACAGTAAGCAAAGCAGAGGCCTGACGCTCCCCAGCCCAGGAATGCAGTACCCCCAAGCATCAGATACATCAAACTCCAGAAGTCGATATCATGGCGTAATTTTCCATACATATCAGGGGGTAACGACATTGCTGATATTGTCTTGCCATAGAACACGGCCTGTCTAATAGCATTTTCAGCACTGAAAAACTAAATAAGATGTGTGAATAGGGTCTTACGTGGGATTTCCAGCGCCTGTGATGATTGAGAAAAATAGACCCCATAGCATGGTGAGAGTTTCCTCTTTGTTGAAGTTGGCGACGAACTTGATCAACTCCCATAAAGGGTATCGACGGGCGTCAGTCTCCACGTCGGGTTCTATTCCGTAAGTTTCAGCTTGTTGATGTTGCCCCTTTTCGAACGTGTACTTGCCGAATTCCTCGGCCTCATTTTCCAAAACTTGAGGTTCAGGGTCTTCTCTGAGGGCAGACTTTGCGCCACTAAGCTCGATACCATTCTCAGTTGACATGCGCTGTTTCTCTACCAAGTGGTAATATGTAGATCGTTTCTCGAGTAGATCATTGTGGGTTCCTTGCTCAACAATCCGTCCTTGAGACATAACAACGATATTTTCTGCCGATGTTATAGTAGATAATCTGATAATGCATCAGTATGAGCCATTAAGCCTTATTCAGCACATACCGGTGACTGATTGTGATCGTTGTCCGACCTTGAGCAGCAATATCAAGCGCCGCCTGTACCAGTCGCTCAGCCTGGACATCCAAAGCTGAAGTGGCCTCATCCAGCAGCAAGACCTTCGGGTTCCTAATTATAGCCCTTGCAATGGCAACTCGCTGTCTTTGGCCACCAGAAAGTAGTGAGCCTCTTTCACCAACATTGGTTTGATATCCTTCCGGCAAGGCTGCAATGAAGTCGAAACAGTTCGCCTTCTTTGCGGCGTCAAAAACAAGGGTTTCAACCACACTATGAGGTGAGTGCTCGTGCTCAGTGCCTACCAGACCAAACCTGATGTTTTCAAATACAGTCGTAGCGAAGAGCGTGGGCTGTTGTGTGACGATAGCAACATGTTGGCGTAACCATTGTAAGTTTAGAGACGTGATATCGTGATCGTCGAGCACTATGTTGGAAATGTTAGCACGGTCCAAATTCTTTAGGAAGAGACTCACATATTTCGCCACCTATTGGTTCATAAAATCTTTCGATCAGACCTGCCAATGTGCTTTTCCCACAACCAGATGCACCAACAATGGCAGTCGTCTTTCCAGCTGGAAATACAAGATCTATCCCATCTAAAGTCAGAATGTCTGGTCTAGAAGGGTAAGCATGGCGAATGTTCCTGAGTTCGATTTTGCCAGAGACATGCTGCAGTTTGTTTCCGGTGGTGGATGATGGATCAAGTGGTGACTCCCTGGACACGGTTTCAAGAATCTTGCCTGTTGCTGCCACACCAGTCGCAAACGCTTGGAAATTCGGTGCTATGTTGCCAAATGTGAACGCGCCTGTCAGCGTAGCAAGAAGAATGGTGATAAGATCTCCCAATTCAATCTCGTTCACAACAAGATAACGAGATCCTTGCCAAAATGTCAGTCCATAGGTCCAGAATATGACACCATTCATGATGGCCATCATGGCCGCAAGAGCAATGCGACTTCTCAGACCATATGCCTCTGCCTTGGAGAGGAATTCCTGGTATCTGTCGGCCAGCTTGTCTTGGATCCCAAATGCTGTAACGTGCCGTATTGAACTGATGGCTTCTTCAGCCGCTGTTGATCCGTCTGCATATGCCTCCAATGACATCCGGGTATACTTGACCATGAACGAAGAGCATATACTCATAGATCCAGTCTCTGCCACGATTGCAGATATCAAGATTAAAGCCATGCGCCAGCTTTTCACGAAGCTGATGACAAAAGCTGTCCCAAAATTCGAAAACGAGTACAGCGTGAGAGAAAGCTTGCCCGTCAACGAATCTTGGATGAGATTCATATCAGCAGTAATTCTAGTTGTTATTTCTCCAGCTCCGAGAACATCAAAAAATGCTATGTTTTGGCGCAGGATAGCGGCGAGATATTTCTCCCGAAGTCGTTGGGTTGTATTTTCGCCGCCTATCATGAATCCCGCTGTTGAAATATACACTGAAACAAACTGTCCAATGGCGATGTACACATAATAGAGAGCGAAACTTGCGACCAGAGATGAGAGGTGTGAGCCCGAGGAGGTACCCAAGAAGAACTCCTTGAATGCTTCGGCCAAGCCCCCCAAAAGAAGCTACATAAGCAAAATTAGGCCAGTCGATTGGGTTTCTGTCAAGAGCAGCTCACAAAAGATATAGGTTGAAGGGCTCCTCCAATTATGGCTGCAATTGAGCTGATGACCAGGAGGAGTAGGTCATAGGTTGTTGCACATGTATACAAAAGAGTTAGTCGACTCATCGGCGACTCTTGAGTATCGATTTGGCGCTTGAGAATCTCCTTCTCACGTTCTGTCAACTGTACTTGGTCCGACATTTTGATGCAGCCCTCGAGAATACGAGTTTGTGGAAATGTTTGCTGTCATTCCACAATATTACGACGAAATACACGCTGTCTTGGACTCCTATTTATAAAGCTATATTAGAGATGATTAGAAACTATCGGATAAACAAGACAAGATATTGTTTAGTTCCTTCTCTTATTATATTTGTCTGGCCAATCACAGCCGGTCGTCACTGGCGCCTCCTGATGACTCCTAATGACTCATATCACGCTAGAGTCCATCTGGTTGATGCTATCTCATCTCGGAAGCGTCCGAGCTGCCTGATTGCGCTACACTATACTTCCCGAGATTGCAAATCAACGGGGCGCAACCCAATTCAAAATGCTCATCAAAACCACCATTATTTCACCAACTCCCACTGTGCAATAAATGCCCATGCCATCCCCACACGGCCACGTTGAGACTCATACTCCTCCGCCGTAATCCCACGGCAATCAGTGCGCTCACCAAACTTCGTCAACACAGCAAGTAGCACTTTCTGGCCGGGTGCACCAAGCATCCGAGGATCTACATCCACATACCAGAACTCGCCACCACCGCCTGGACCAGAGCCAGGCACGTGGCGGAAGACAAGCTGGTCATCTTTACGTCCGTCAACGCCTTTAATCATAAGTAGGAATAGAGCGGGCTTGAGACGCGAGTGCCGCGCCAGTGTCCAATGTTCACAAATTAATCCGAATTGGAAACGCAGCGGACTTTGTGCACTGTATACCGAGATCTCTCCACTTTCCGGCTGCATAGTCTTCCGGCCGATGCTATGCTTATCGACATCGCTATAGGTCTTGATAGGTTTCAAGCCGGTTGGCATGTCGGGATTAATGACAATGTATTCTTCATAGCTCACGAAGCGACCATCCTCACGGAGGAGGTAGTCTTTGTTTTCGGGATAGTGCTTTAGTCCAAATTCCTCATTTGACATAGAGAATTGGGAAGGGTTGAATTTAGGCTCGTAAGGCATGCCTTTGCCGTTCACGCAGCCAGAGCCCCAGCATGGATCGACCAGCTTCCAGCGTCCGCCGTCAATCTTCACGGCGTTCCAGGCATGAGTGGTTTTGAAAGGTGGAGGTCGTGCGCCTGGCGCTAAGGGAGTATAACCGTAACCTTTACTAGCACCTCCAATTACGACGGCTTCCAATCCAGCTTTTGTGGCCAGCACAGCATATAGCCCCGCATACCCCTCACAGACAGCCAATCCAGTGGCTAGGGTATTTTGGGGCGTGGATGGCTTCACGTTGTCATTAAAGAATGCGACGGTATCATAATGAATATTGTGATGCATCCATGAGAATATGGCTCTAGCCTTATCAGTCGGGGATGGGAATGGAGCAGTTAGTTCGTTCGCTAACCAGCCCAGATCTTGTGTTGGGAGGGAGGCCCGTGGATACTGGGCTCCTCGGGCGTCTGGACCGGAAAAGTCTCGGCATACCAAGCACTCTGTCGTAGAATTGGAAGCCTGTACGGCGCCTGGGGAAGAGCCATGGAATTTTGGCTTGGTGGCTTGAAGCTTGGAGAGATCTGGACGAGATCCAAGGGGAATCGGGGGAGGCACTCCGTTTGGTGAGGTGTTGGTTGCAGGTGTGCTATTCGGCCTCACGGGGAGATTCGGAGTCTTCAACCCACCGAACCCGGATTGTCGAATGTTGTCCAGAGTCGCAGTATTGGCAGGTGGTGGTAACCTCCGAGTGGGTAGACTCGGGGGGCCTTGTTGATCGGGGTTATTCGTTTCATCCGGTCCATATGAGGGTACATCTAACCCGGAGGGCCGTCGCACAGGAAGAGGTGGCGGCGCAGGTGATTTCTCAGATCGGATTGAGGACCGTGTCGGCAAAGCAGGACGTGATGGCCTGGTGGGTGGTGAGGGTGAAGCCCCCTTGCCTCGCAATGAGGATAGCTTCGAAGTCAATCCGTTGAGCCTGGAATCGGACTTGGATTCGGAGCGCGGGGGTGGTTGCACGTCGATCGGGTCTTCTCTGATACGCCTCGGAGGCAGCACAGGTAGCTCTGTCTCTCCCCAGGCAGGGGCCTTGATGCGACCGTTGCCGGTAGTGCCAGTGGTACTAGTAGAATTGACAGACGTTGTCGATGCGCCACGTCCCAGGCTATTCACGGTCGTCGCAGTTGTAGAGTGAGAGGCATCGGAGGTGACCGATTCAATCGAGGGCCTCCTTGATTGATCTTCTGTCGGTCTTCGAGGCGGCAAAGCGGGGCGCCTCTCGGCGAACTCAGAGCGCCCTGGAGGAGGGGGAGGAGGCGGGCGGTCCTTTCGTGTTGGCAGGGGTGGGGGGCTTTCGGCTTAGGCTTCAGCTCCGGTCGTGGAGATGGTGTCGGAGGAGGGCGCACCACCGGTCGTTGTGTCCGACCATCAGTGGGTTTGTTTCTGGTTGAGTCGCCGTCAAAGGCGGACTCGCTTTCGTCGTATGATGGTGGTGGTCTGGCAGGTTGGCCACGCTCGGCAGCCGGCCGGAATAACGGTGGCTCAGGGCCCGATGGGTGAGCGGCTTGGGATTGCTTTAGAGCAGCGATCCGCTCTTGAATCGATCCCAGCTGTGGTTCCTCAGTCATGATGCCTGTACCTTGGTAAGGATAGACTGAATGAAGAACACAGCAAACAATCTTGGAATCTTGGAAGTGACTGTAACGACAGTTCCAAGCGCCAGTGGCTTGGCGCGAGACTAACACTCAGCCTTGTCCGGGTGGGCTTGTGGAGACCATTGAGCCCCAAGTCAATAGCAGTCAAAGTAAAAGGTAGAAAATCGAACCAGGCGGCTCGACCTGGAATCTGGCCCCATTTGAGGGGCAGATCGTGCCTCCGCTTGATCCATGGGTCTGGATCTATATTTGGACTGTATCCATGGATCTATATCTGTACCTATGTGGCAAAAGATCATTGCTAAACCTCTACCGATAGGTAGATACTACGAACTTTCATTACTTCAAGTCAATATTATTTTTCAAATTCTTCATTTCCATGTTGCCTGTTATTTGGACTCCCGAACTCCTGGAGCGGTTGAAAGGCGCCCCCTCTAGGGAAAAGATATGAAAACAGAGAAGAGAAGACTAAGTATGTCCATGTGGATGGATGGGGGATATATCCCCAATGAACACAAAGGGAAAGAAAGATGCACGAAAGGAAATGTGGGGATAAGTTGGGCTATCTCACTTTCAGATTGCGGACTTGGTGGCAATCCACCTATCGTTCATCATGAAAGCAGGGCCACACAGAAAAAAGAAACGTGGAATACATGATTGGAAGAATGTAAAAAGAAAAGGGATTCACAGAATGGAAGACCTCAAGGGCCAGGAGTCAGCATCGTTCATCAAGAGCATCACTTCGTCCCAATGCACATAATCGTGAGACTAAAGACAGGGCCTTAGACAGACTTGTACAGCAGTAGGGGCTCGCCGACATTCTCAATCTCAGGGATGGTGCATTTTAGATCAAAGGCCTTGGCCAGAACAATCTTGAAGATCTGCATGAGGTTAGTGGTGAGACACAAGATCGAATAGAAACAGAAACACACCTTTTGAACGTTGATACTGTGACTGGTACTGCTGAAGATCAGGCTGGCCTTCATCGCTTTAGCAAAGCGCTTCGCCTGCAAAGAAATCTCTTCTTGATCTTCCCGAGGGAAATTGACAAAGTGATCGTATTTGGTTCCAACCAAGAATGGAATTGCTGTCTTGTTGAAGCCTCGGCCCTGACGGTACCATTCCTTAATGGAGTTGAGAGTGCTCTTGCGGGTGAGATCAAACATGAACAGAATAGCCACGGCATCGTTGCAAACAAGTGGGAGCATATTCACAAACTCACGCTGGCCACCAAGATCCCAAATGGAAAAAGTGATCTCAGTGTTGCGAATTGAAATGGTCTTTTCCATGAAGTTGACACCTGCACGCAAGAATCTGGTTAGCAAAAAGAAAAAGACTTGATGGAATTCATTCTCCTGGACACCTACCCAATGTCTGAATGTAGTCCTCATCCCAACTACCCTCGACGTACTTGACCATCAGACTGGTCTTTCCGATCTGAGCATCTCCAACCATTCCGACCTTGATAACAACGCTATTCTTCGCCGCCTGCGAAGACTGTCCCCTTTGAGCGACCTCCGAGGGCTGTGGCTGTGACATGCCATGTCGCTCTGGACCACTAGAAAATCCAGAGCCGGGACGCGATGCGGGATGAAGCTGAGGCTGTTGGGTCAGGGAAGGCGATGAGCCGAAACGAGAAGCTGGGTCGGCATCTTGAGGATGGTATTCAGGAGCGGAGTGGTGGAAATCGGTGGACCGAGAGTGATAGTGGGCTTTGGAGTCGCTGGCGTAACCATGATCGACCCGGCCGTGACCAGCAGCGTGTTCGACCGGTGCAGCGACCGCCTCGTCCGAGGGCTCTTCAACATTGACACTGACTGGGGCAGGTTGCTCCAGTGGCTGCTCTACAGGCTGCTCCTGTTCGGACGGGACTGGCAGCGCTTGGGGAACCTCCGGCGCTTGGGGCTCGACAGGAGGCTGCTGCGGCTCCGCAACAGCAGAGACCTCTGAGACGGGCTGCTGTAGCGGATCCATTCTGGCGCTCGGGGAGGGTATTTCAGGAGGAGAGAGATGGTCTTCCTTGCGTTGAGTACCTGTTCGCAACACGTCCATCAGCACCTGCGGGGAAAGGAGAGACCCATGTGATATATCATCAACTACGACCAATTCCTGGCCTTGCTGGTCGCACAGCCCAATGGGAAGGGGTTTTCTGTATTCAAGGTTTCTTTCAAATGCTTACCTTTGCCTCCGACCGAGGAAGATCTGACAAATCGCCAGGGTCTGAGATTCGGGGGAGTGGGCGCGAACCGATCGAGGGCGGTGTAAACAGAGACTCGGTTCGCACTGGTTTGTGGGGGTGATGGGAAGAAAAAGGGGGGGAAAGGAAAGAACGCGAAAGTGAAGGTAGGGATGAAATGTCCAATGCAGGAACACGAGGAGGTTCGCGCCCGGATATTAATTATCTGTACACAGACTGGCGATTCAGCTCAGCAACTTCACATAATGCGGGAAACATGGATCTGCGCTAGTCCACGATAGGACTAGCGTGGACACCGGCTGTCGCCCAAAATTTATTGAAAAACTTCTTATCGCCGGACGAACTTCCCCTCCATTCCACCCTAACCTTATTTTCTACCTCTTTGACACTTTCACCATGTCTAAGAGAGCCGCAGATCCCTCTGAGGAGCAGTCCGCTGCCCTCAAGGCAGGCGATCGCCCAATGCTTGACGCTACTCCCGACGAAGTGGGGGAGTTTGAGGACGAATATGAGGATGAGTTCGAGAGCGAGGACGAGATCCTGGAGGCGGGTGTCGATGGTCGCCCGGATGCAGAGCGTGAAGAGGAAGAGCGAGGTAGGTGCTACTACTCTCAATGTCTATTCTATCCTACTGCAGCGCTAATTGGAAATCCAACTCTATGGTACAGAGGGCATGGATGTCGACAAGCAGACTTTCATTCCTGGCCGGACAAAATTGGCACCTGGAGAGACTCTTTCGCCTGATCCCTCAACCTACGATATGCTTCACACCCTCACCACACCCTGGCCTTGCCTGTCCTTCGACATTGTGCGCGATTCGCTTGGCGACAACCGCAAGACATTCCCTGGAACCGTTTATGCTGTCGCCGGTACACAGGCCGAGGGATCCAAATCGAAGGACAACGAATTGATGGTTCTGAAGATGAGTGGATTGAGCAAAATGGAGCGCGATGGCGAGGATTCGGAGAGCGACGAGGACTCCGACGACGATATGGGCGAACCCATTCTTGAGCACAAGTCCATTCCCCTGGGCTCAACGACAAACCGCATCCGTGCCCATCAAACCCCGTCCCAGTCGGCAGATTACTCCAAGCCTCCGCAGACCCTGACAGCTACTATGCTGGAGAACTCGCAGGTTCTCATCCACGACGTCACCGCCCACCTTACCAGCTTCGATGTGCCCGGCACCATCCTTCCCCCGTCCGCCTCCAAGCCTCTTTCCACACTCCGCATGCACAAGGCTGAGGGTTATGCTCTGGACTGGTCCCCACTTCAGCCCCTTGGTAAGCTCTTGACTGGTGACAATGACGGTCTAATCTATGCGACTACCCGTACCGAGGGTGGTGGCTGGGTGACCGATACCCGCCCATTTCTCGGTCACACCTCTTCAGTTGAAGAGCTCCAGTGGTCGCCCAACGAGAAGAATGTTTTCGCCTCTGCCAGCAGTGACGGTAGCGTGAAGGTTTGGGATGTGCGATCCAAGTCCCGCAAGCCTGCCGTGGACGTTCACATCTCCAAGAGCGATGTCAACGTTATGAGCTGGTCCAACCAGACCTTCCACCTCCTTGCGACTGGTGCCGATGACGGTCAGTGGGCCGTTTGGGATTTGCGTCACTGGAAGCCGGACTCTGCCTCTCCTTCTTCCCAGATCCGTGCATCTCCTGTCGCGTCCTTCGACTTCCACAAGGAGCCCATTACCAGTATCGAGTGGCACCCGTCTGATGACAGTGTGGTCGCTGTGGGTTCTGCAGACAACACTGTTACTTTGTGGGATTTGGCCGTTGAGTTGGACGACGAAGAGAGCCGTGAGGCTGGTCTGGCCGACATTCCCCCGCAGCTCCTTTTCGTTCATTATATGGATTCCGTCAAGGAGGTGCACTGGCAGGCTCAGATGCCGGGTACCCTGATGGCCACTGGAGGCAGCGGATTCAGGTACGTTCTTCTATACATCATTCTGATAAGTGCAAAGCTAACCCTCCTGCCTTTACAGTGTATTCAAGACCATCAGTGTCTAGATGAGCGACCAAGTCTACTTGTAATTACCCCAAAAGTCATGTGTGATGTCCTGCTCATATACCATTCGAGCATCATGGAGCCTTGCTCGTTAACGATTCGGAGTTGTAGCCTATCATATAGAAGTGATGGAGCCATGAATAAAGTTATTCCCTTTTATATCAAGTCGAATCCACCGTCCGGGAATTTCCAATATATTCAATTCGAAATCTCTCAAGGTCGCTGGTGACTTCAATGTTCACCTAGTTCCTTCAATCACCTGGGTGAGTAGCATGAACTGTAGATTTGTACCTGTTCAACATCTAAACTCAGCTATAAAACTACCAGAATATCCCACCAATCCTACCTCCGCGGAATTACAAACCTACTAATTCCGCATCCCCGGAACCAACCAAATTTAAAACAAAATAAACAGTATGGAGGGGGAGGGGCAACCGCTGCAATGCAAAACATCTACTCCGTAGTGCGTGCGAGTTACAGCTACACACCCGCCGAGCTCTAAGTAGTCCGGCACGAGGTACTCCGGGACTTCGTATGCATCTCGCGCCATAATTACAGCAGGTACCGTACCTGATGTATTGGTACTGGTCCGTGGTAATATGTAAAGAAGCCCTGGAAGGTGTGACCGTGCGTATGTACTACTACATTGCATGAAAGTACTTTTGGTAGAGGCTGGGCGAGATTCCTGCCGTACGTACATTTGAGCATGTAGTGGGTACGGACCGTGCCAGTTATTAGGGTCAGTGCGTTATTATTTCGGCGC